CCGAGGCCGTGGATAATTAGAGAACTGCTCACCATCTTGCAGGTTCCGGCCCTGGGTGGCCGTGACCTTGATTGACTCTGCCCAGCCGTCGGCACATGCAATTCTGCGTGCGGACAATCCTGGACTTGCGACGCTCCTGTTCCAGGAACCACTTCAGGTCCTGCAGGCGCAACAGGCAGGCGGCACAGAGATAACAGCCCGAGACAATGCCGCTGCTGTATCTCGACAGCCATGTCAGCATCTGCGGGGGTATGGAACTCGGGGATCACCTCAGGACAGGGGCCACGGCTGATGTGCAGAGCTTTAATTTCCCATCGACAAGCGCCTCGACAGGCCTCAAGCTCTGCATACTCCGACAATCCCGCAAAGCAGAGCAGAGTAGGCATCACGAACCGGCCCCATGTGCAGACCACCACTCGTCGCGTGCCAGTGTTGGAGCGCGTAAGTGCACATCAGACGCCAAACGGCAATCCTCATTGTCCGCGAGCATGGTTGGGCAAAAAGTAGTTCATGGGGTGTAGTTTTCTGTACGTTCCTGATCACCGGACCCTGCATAACCACGGGTCTCTGGGCATCAATTGCTTGGTATCATGTTGGAAGGTCCTGAACAGGCGTAGCCCGCCTCCTCACTCTCTGCTGGCTTGGGCCAAGACCAAGGCCGAGCCAGCTTGATGCCGATAATCATCAACCTCGGCAAGGGATAGGTCGCCAGTCCCTCAAGTGTCAGCCCGAATTTATCAGCACTTTGCCCGGCACGTGCAGACGACTGTGTACCACAACCTTGAAGCCCCGTACTTTGGAAACCTGGCGGGGCAGGTGAGAGTACTGGACCTGGACTGGACCAGAGCATCGGTGACTGTCCTGTTCTGACTGATGCAGCGCCAACAAAACGGCGCCCCGCGCAGCAACGAGCGTGTGACGACAGATTGAACCGGTTGGGGTGGGGGAACTCCAGTTGATAACAGGTTAAGGGCCGACTAACCAGGGGTCGGCCAAGTTTGTCCGGAACACTGTGTGTATCCGCTCCCCACGAGGCGCAGCGCGGCCTAGGTACCCGCACGACGCACGGGCTGGCCTGAGCGGACCGGGTCAATGACGTCAATGACAACTGTCAATTCAAGTGACTGGCTAGGCACCCGCTATCCGAGATTGAAACTCGCCTGTGCAGATGCCAAATATGCTGTTAGCAGACATGCGAGACCTGGCATGTTGAAGGCTCGGATACGATCGGTACCTGGTGAAACTACCCGGTACGCCTCGTCGCGACGAAGGCCGAGCTGAGACAAAGAAGCTTTGTTTGTGGACGCGTCGAAAGTATGCTCGGCTTCTGGCGCGGCTGTGGCGCCGTGCTCGGTTGCAATATCGTGAACACTGGCAGCTTGTCAGTCCCGGTGTAGTCATTGCATTCGGCACAACCGCAGGATTCCATACTATTTCATGTCCATTTGCTGCTTGTGCGTGCACGGCTGCGCATGCCTCATCAAGTTGTCGAGCTTCACCATGATTTCGCCAACAACTTGCCAAAGGCGGCTCGACTCAGTGTCGTGGAACTGTATGGCTGGGAGGGCAGGGGATCCGGCCGGAGAACTGGGCTAGTTCCTGGCAATCCGTGTCGCCAAGATACAGGGGAGTAGCATGGCTTTCCTTGGAATCGGATCGGACCACTTCCTCTTTTCAGCAGCTTCTCAGCGTCCTTTTCCCGGTCAAGGCATGAACTGTAGGTTCCTTGTGCGGCGTGTGCCTCTGGGAGGACTTGTTCTCCACTTGATAGAGTGGGAATCTGCAGGCTTGAATGATAAAGTTAAAGCCGACTAGGGGCTGTCCTCGTAGTACCTACTTGCTCCACCCGTCTAGCTTGCTATCCGCTGGTTCCTGCCGTTGGAGTCAACCGAGCGGTCTTAGCGACGACGCAACCCGTTGCGTGGTCGTCTCGCGCGTCTGTGGATTTTGAAGCCGAGAGCCTGCATGGGGAGCAACCTTCTTGAAGAGATACAGACATGACCCGGCACGGTGGGCCTTGCGCACGGTGTGCATTCCTTGATCTCGCCAAGCTTTGTGCGTCATCTATTATCGTCCATAGAACAATAACGTTTGGGTGGTGCGTTACTTGTGCGCGCCGCCAATGCATTTGCGTGCTCCTGCGGGCTGTTCGTCACAAAACGGTGTGTTTTGCCTGCTGTTGGCAAATAGCGCTTTGAACATATTTTCTGTCCAGATATGAGACCGAAGATTCCGCTGCATCTGCCGTCCTTTACAAAAACACTGGACGAGACGAGTACGGAACACCCCTTTGAATGGGGGGGTATGCGGTGTGGTGCGGCATCCCTGGCAGCAGCGACACGCGTCTTGACGGAGGGTGGGGCCACCGGCTCCGGAGTGTACACAAACGATCGATGATCCTCGAGCGGTGATCAAGGGTTCTGATACAGTGTAAAGTAGACGGCACGCTGAACGATGGCCGCTCGGCTTGTGAGTCTGGGAGACCAGTCGGAACAGCTGATCATGTCGTGTTGATATTCGTCGATGGCACCTGTGAGGTCGAGGCCAGCGAGGCGATGATGGAGCTGCCAGCAACGTCGGCTGGGAGCAGCGCTGCACGGAAGTGTTGGTTGGAAGGGATGTGTGACCACGATGGAGCCTGCCTGCCAAAGGTGTTCGACGCTGGCTGGTCCCAACCGGCAAGAAGCAGGTGAGCAGAATGCTGTCGTGGCACTGCCCCAGCTCGTGTGCCTGGCTATTATCCTTGGCATGATTTACGCAGGATCGCAGTCCTTGCTGCTCTGCAGCTGATGATGGGATCTGGGGCAATCGAGCTCGTGTTTGCGTGCCTGCGGGCTGGCTTTTATTATTGATCAGCACCAGGCGGACACGAACGACACACATACACAATGGGCGTGATATCCCCTTGACTGTACGGAGATATGTAGCATGGCCGCACCTCGAAGGCAGACTGACATCTTTCTTCAGTGCGCCGGCAAGCCCACTCTCAACTGTCGGCATGCGCCGTAAGCAGAGCCCACCGGGCCTGACCCATCCCTGCTCCAGCCTCGACGCTGGTCACAGCAGGACGACAGCGCAGTTTCTGTTGCAAGCTGCGGCTACGCTTTCTAATGCAGATCCATCCAGCGCTGGGCGTGTCGCTGCGCCTGCCCGCCAGCGCATATTGCTTTCTTGCCGTGTTGATCGCGGCGTCAGAACAATAGCGTCGTGTGTCATCGACGTACTCGGTCGTGCTGCACCGTTGTGCCGTGCCTGGGCGGCGTGGCGCAGACAATGTGTCGCCCCCCCTGCCCTGGACATGCCCGCCCAACCGCCCGCCTCCTGCCACGAGCGCTTGTGCCTGCTTCATCCCTAGCGGGCAGGTATGTGCCCCTGCCAGTGCGCGCGAGATGCCTAGTGCCTGCCCAGTGCTTACCCAGTGCCGCGCTCACGGCTGTGCTCACGGCCGGCCCACCCTGTTGTGCAGAAATGGGGCCGCCACGTCCGCTTGCTCGTGTTGGGGTCTGGGCAGTGCTCGCCTCTCCCGCGCCCGGGCGGAAAAAGAGGTCACCATCATCCGCGCTCCCGGTCGTTCCCCCAAGGCAGCGAAAATTGAGCCCTGTACGATTCATGCGCTGCAACCAAGAGCGGCGACGACAGCAGCACCAACAGCAAGCACTGCACTGCGCTCCATCGCTTGCTTGCCCGCCCACCCGCCGACTTCCACGAGCCATCGCACGCACCACCACCACGTCGTTGTGCTGTTCCGCATTGCATTATCAGACCGTCTTGCTCTCGACCCTTCTCCCTCTGACCTTCTCACCACGCTTGCTCGTGACAGCTCTCTCGCTGCTGCACGACCAGAATCACACCTCCCGGTCCACGGTCGTTTCCATATCGACATTGCAGTCCGGCCACGCGGCCAAGGCCATGACGGCACCCACATACTGAACCTCGCTAGCCTCCACGGCTCGACCCATCGTTTCCGCCGCCCTGACAAGGCCTTTTTTTCCCTCCACATCCTCGAGATTGGCATCGTTCTCGTCTGGACCGCACGACCGACCCTCGCACAAACTGTCCATCTGACAGCCCTGTCGATCCTGAACTCGACCCAGCACCGAAAACCGTTGCCGACGCTCGTTACACACTCCACATGCACCTCGGGTGGACGTGTCTTTTTAACCCCCAGCAACATTTCTCGACTTGCCGAGAAGAGGAAAAATAAAAGAAACCAAGCCAGCACTTGCTTTCATGCGGACAGGGATCCAGGGTACAGGAAAGACGAGCAAAAGCAGAACAACTTCGAAAGTCAAGCGCCCGGGCACAGCCTCACAAGTACCGAAGCTCGACAAACACCATTGCTGCTGGCGATTTCGCGTTCAAATTCGCACTCAACTACTGGTCCAGAAAAGTGGTTGACATTTCAAGCCTCAGCGCCCACCGCAATTCGCTGGTGTGGACGGCGACTGCATTCCAGCAACGCCCAAAACGCAGTGCTAGCGAATGAGCTTTGCTTGGAACCATTTGGCTCGCCGGAACCCCCGGACTGGGCTCTAATCGTCCACGCCCACTCAGGCTCCACGCCTCGTCAATCCCCCCCAAACGATCTTTCGCGCGCAGGTGGCGTCCATTTTCATCAGGCCACCACCCATTGCACCCCAGGCTCGGCCGCACTCTGCTCCACCGGGCAGGCATCATTTCGACCTTGCAGGGGAGGCACGCAGTATTGCTTTCTCTAGTGCAGCTAACCAACCACGGTGTCGAGCGTCAGTGTTACTGGCGTCGATTGGCGATTCCAACACATTGCAGCGCCTCGTCCTGACGCAGAGAAGCTACGCGACATCACTGGCTCGCAGAGCTGCCCTGCCGGCAGACCCCAGACTAGCAGCTTGTCTGGTTGTTGTCATCCTTGTGCTTGTGCAACTCGCGCGCCGTCCAGCACAACATGGCTCCAGTGGCGCCCCGGCTGAGGGTCCTCTCAGGTTCGTCATCGCTTTTCTTTTCCCATCACCGCATCTTACCCTGTGCCTATTTCAAGGAGCCCGTCGTGGGTTTCAGATCTCCTAGTGCAACCCAGTCCGTCGGACAGACCCGCCAGCCTTCCAAGCTGCCAAGTTCTCCCTCCCAACTGCGTCCAAATCCGACCGATTGGCTATTGTTGCAGCTCTGTCGCGCGCCCTGGACCAGCCCTTTTAATTCCTGCACATCTCCCCCTCCCACACCCACGCATCTCGTCCCCCTCCCACGCCGGAAGCAGCCATTCTCCTACGACGTCCGACCCAGTCACTGCCATTCCTCCCTCTCTTTGGGGAACATTGCGCACCGCGCAGGCCTTTATGCATTCTGGTGCTCACCATGGCTGAGACCTTTGAGCTAATGCGGGTGTGCTCAGTGGGCGGAAACGCGGTCTCTGCCTTTTTATCATGGAGACTACAGGCTACCAATGCCTGCGATGTTACACTCGTCTGGAAATCCGGCTTCGAAAGCGTCTCCCAGTACGGTATCTCCTTCCGGTCAGCGTCTTTCGGCAATGAGAGGTTCAAACCCAGGCATGGTAAGTGATATCCACATCTCACCAAGGATAACGAGTGATGGCACTTTTGCATAGCAGTTCCGGTTGCCCTCGTCGACTCCTGACTGACACACGTCTTGTGCGCAGTGGTTCAAACGCCAGAAAGTGCATCGCAAGTCAGAGAAGGCGCCTTCGACTATGTCATATTGTGCATTAAGGCTCTCCCAGACGTATACGATCTCGCCTCCGTCATTGACTCGGTTGTCACACCCCAACACACGTGCATCTTGATCAACACAACCACGACTCTCGGTGTCGAGGCTGCCATTGAAGAGCGCTTTCCTACGAATGTCGTTCTATCACTCGTTTCCAACGCCGAGCTCACACAGCTAGGAAGCAGCGAATTTGAACACACCGGCTCAACCGAGATGTGGGTTGGACCTGCGAACAAAAACAGCAACATCCCTGTCTCTATCCAGGAGGACATGGCGGAAGCTTTGGCCATGACGCTCAGCACTGCCAGGGTTGACTGCAAGGTGTCGAAGAACATTCGCCAACAACAGTTCGAGCGAGTCATCGGGTATGATATACTTTATGCTGTTCCGCAAAGCAAAGGCCTGAAGCTAATGTTTGGTGATCGTGCAGCCCCATCGCCTTCCACCCTGCCAGTGTCATGTTCGACACGGCATCGCACAGCGCGCTACTAGAGAAGACGGGAGTGCGGCAGCTCGTATCGGACGTCATCGACGAGCTCGTCTCGCTCGCTGCCGCCCAGGGCTGTGAGCTGCCACCCACCTTCAAGGAAGACACGATCAGAGAACAGACCCAGCAATCAGAAACCACTAGCATCATGTGGCAGGACTATGTGGCGCGTCGGCCGATGGAGGTAGAGACATATCTCGGTTCGCCCATCAAGCTTGCACAAAGCTCGGGCATCAAGTTGCCTCGCATCGAGACTCTGTACGCCATATTCCACAACCTGAACATCGTAAATCAGACGAAGCCCAAGGAAGCCCCAGTGGGCTATGGACCACCCGCGCCAGGGTCCCCGACGACACAGGCACCGATGCCTCGCATGCCAAACGGCCCACCTCGCCCAATGATGAACGGTATGCCCAATGGGCAAGGTGCCGGACCACGGCCTCCGGGGCCTCAGGGTCGCCCGCGAAACTCGTCGAACTATTCAGCACCGCCACCCGGCATGCGAAGACCTCCTCAAATGAATGGGGGACCGCCTCCCAATGGCTTCAGACCCCCTATGAATGGTGGCCCAAACGGCTACCCCGGTTCTCGCCAAGCTTCGAGGCGCGGATCTCTCGAGGAACATGACCTCGAGGAATTCAGCCACCTCGTGATGTATGGCGAGGATGGCGCGGATCCAGCAGATGCGGGTATCCTCTCAATTCGTGAGCGCGAGCTGCAACTTCGCCAGCGCGAGCTCGCACTGAAGGAGCAAGAGATGAGAATGCGGCGCGGGCCACCACCTCCTGGAGGACCGAGACGGCGAGGCCCTCCCCCCATGCGAAACGGCCCCATTGATGATGACGACGAGGAAGATGACTATTTCGACCCAAACTCAGCAACGACCCCCATGATCGATCCCGACAACTTTGACATGATGAGTGTCACTTCCCGCAAGAACCGTGGCAAGGCACGGCCGGCTCAGCAAGGCGGCGGCCGCCCGCACTTTGATGGCATGGAAGGTGCCGCCGTCGCTTCTGCTCGCAACAGTCGTGGCTGGCGACCAGGTTTTGCTAGAAACCGTTCCAGCCAGGTCATGGACTCGTCTATACCCAACCTGCATGACAACATTCTCGACGATCCTCTCATGAGCTGCTCGTCGAATCGCTACGGCAATGTTGATCGTGGCCAGATGCACCAAGGGTCACGGGCCAACTCACTTACTGCGTCGCATCTGCACGAGTTTGCCGCTGGTGGAGGCATGAATGGTGGTTATCCTCGACGTGCTAGTCAATCTCCAGGAAACCCATATAGCCCGTCTATCCGCGGCGGAAACGGCAGGCCATCCCCTCCCAATGGCTTTGGCGGTCCAGGCGGACCTGGCCGGCCTTCCCCTCCTGACGGCATGAGACAGCCAGTGCCCCGTTATCCTCCAGGGAACGGGAATTCGCTTGCGCCACAACAAGTGGAACAGCGAGTTGGAGTAAGCACTCTTCAACCACCAAAACCCAGAACCGTCCGCAGTCTGACTGGAAGTGCGAGTGCCAGCGCGGAGAGTGGTGATTCCACACCACATGACTCCGAGCCCTCTGCCCACAGCAGCCAGAGCAGCCTCGGCGCGCAGCCTGGCCGCCAGTGAGCAGACTTGTACGAGCGAGGGATCACAACTGGATCCCCTCGACGTCAGACGAATAAACACCTGCTGCCACAAAAGGCATGTATATATCGACGCTCGGGTCGCAAAAGTGCGCCCGCTTGATTTCTTTGTTTCCGGCAGCAATGCATTGGGATGCGGGTTCCACCATGTCCTATTGGCTCAGTTCTAGGGGCTTGTAGGAACGCCTGATAGACGAGCCTCACCTTTGCAGCCTGATCAGCCATGTCAGGCCTACGAACACGCCTTCCCACTCGATTACAATGTCACGACTTGTTCGTCCGCTCTATAACCACAACTGCTGCGGGACATGGCAGTCCACCGGCTGGCAGAAGTAATCTGCCATATCTTAGCAACATACACATACACAGCACATGAAACGTCTACTATTACCACTATTCCTTTGTCGCAAACTTGGATTCTTAGCATGATCTCACATGACCGGAGGTGATCGACAGAGCGTAAAGCTCGGGCGTCGGTACATGGGGGCGGCATCGATCACGATAGTAATGGCGTCTCGAGCCGTTTGAAGTAGCCGCGAGTGGCGCGCGAAATGGGAGAAGGGGAAAGTCCCTAGATGGGCTATGGGGCTCGGTGGATTAATACAGGTACAGATAATCATCCCCAGATGGTTGCCGAGGAATATATTCAGAATACCCGCGTGGATTACGCACCTCAATATCGATTGCCCTCGCGGTGTTTTGCTTGCTGTGAGGTTAAAGCTCGTGATCCGGTTGGGCCAACGAAAAGAGACCGGCTCCCTATTACCGATTGCGTGACCTGGCAGACTTCCGATGTGTCCGTTGTCCTTTAGAGCTCTCACCTACTCGCTGGCCTCAGTGATGACGCATGAGGCCCAGGTGTCCATGGCAATGTTGATCCTTACGGGCAGGCAGGGGCCGCAAGATGTTTCGCAGAAGATGCTTATAGCTACTTGGAGAATGTCTACGGTGAGATGCCTGGGTAATGTGTATATCTTTGCCCACGGACCCGGCCCTACATGAACAGCGATCTTGGTTACTTCAGTACGTTTTTATTTAGTTTCCTGACGGACCCGTACGTACTAGGAGCCCTCCGTATGCGACAAGGATGAAATGTGGGGCTTGCTTGTTGTTCGGGGCAGCCGCGTACGGACGACCAAGGCGTCGTCCCCCCCACCTCGCACTAAAGGGTGGTTAAACAGCCTCTGTATGCTGTGCAACAGCAAGAAACAACGACGAATACGCATTTGGAGAACCATCACTATTCACCGGCATAGGCTGATTCTTTCTATGACGACCGGGACTGAGCACACCAACAAGTGACCTGTACTCTTTCGGGCACAAAGTCTCTCATTCTCTCTCTCGTCCTCACTCTTTTAGAAAACCGTCCCCTAGGGCTTGTCCTCTGCAAAAGCGTGCGTAGACACACGGCCTGCCATCACCACCACCACCACCACGAAGGAGAAGAAGAGGAAGAATATGGCCACGAGAAGCGGCAGCGGCATGCAGCCCACCACGACGACGCGGGCGTCGATGATGCCTGTCCATGGCAGCGCAGGTGGCGGTGCCAGCGGCTCTGGCGTCAAGTCTCGACAGCTGGTGAGTCTGCCGCGTCCTCTACTTCACTCCGACAGTCTTCTTTGCAATGTTGAACATGACCATTTCGGCAATATCTTCTTCTTCGAGGATTGCGCGCCATTGGGGAAGCAATTTTGCGAGAGCGTGGGCGTCAGACTTCAGAGTTCGACGGGAATGCTCTTACAGGGGTGAAGGGGACATCATGTTCCAGAAAACTGATCTCCAAAGGAGTGTGAAGAAGGACACTAGAAGAGGAACATCATGGGGCTAATACTCATTGTCCCCCCCCCCCCCCGCCCCCTAGACACACCTTCACTCGCAGCTCGCGCAGCTGTCTGCGAACCTGGCCGACACGGAGAACCTGCTGCGCATGACGAGCGTGCAGGCCGAGGCCATGAAGGGTCTTGCGGCCTGGCATGGGGGCATGTAAGTTCTCCGTACAATTTTTTTGGTGCCCACGTATTTCCCCTCTCTCTCTCTCTGATCCGGGCCGGCTGCTACTCTCTGGTAATATCCGCAAGTCCGACTTGATCTCGAGGGAACGTTGGCCACGTTCTTCTCTTGAGCGAGCTCGGATTCGGGGACGTGGTTGGCATTTTGAGATTGAGAGATCCCTTTCTGGTGCATGAATGGCTACAGTCAACGTCACAGTTGCACATTGTCTTCAAGCTGACCCTTGTGCTTGTTCTGTATCTAGGTTCATGGCGGCGAGCAAAGTCTTGGGCGAGGAGTCGGTGAAAGATCAGCAGTCAAAGTGAAGAGGGCCATGTGGTGACCACATCGCCCGAGGAGACGAGCCGCCTGGGTGTCAGGGCAGAGGATCAATCGCCGGGTCGCGAGTGGGCATGTCCGTCCGTCGCGATAGGGCGCGTCTCTCTCACGGAGGATCCTGTTGTCAAGAAAGCCGAGGTCATGCCAGCGAGTCCACCGCACAGATGGCCGATACGACAACCTTCGCGTGCAGCCGTAAACCTCTCAGAGCACTTGAGTTTCTGGTGCTGTCAGGGAACTCTGGATAAAGAGAGCTTGCCATGTGGCTTTGATATTGGGCACAATATAAGCATCAGCTGATGACTGTGGCCCGGTCGAAGGAAAGCAAGACTATGGTTTTTGCAATGAGTCTCCGTCCGAGACTTCGTTTTGAGTTGATTCATAAATAATCAATTGACTTTTAAAATTTAATTGTGGCTTGCTTTGGATATCTATAAAGGTGTTGCGTTGTCGACATGCTTCTTCTTTGCTCTCTGCCTACAGAATATCACAAACGTCGTGCCCCGTGATAGGGTATCCCAATCCTGACATGGGACAAGCTGTCCAGATGGAATACGTAGCACTGTATCATCAATATAGGGCGATACTTCGGGTCAGCAAGCACTGCACGAACGCGCATCAAAACACTGGCATGGGGTTAAGTTGACCGCTGTACCATCTGCTGCCGCCAGGCAGGCTTGATCCCAGGGTGACTGGTGGTCTGAGGAATATCCTAGGATCCAAGTATGAGCGGAGGGCACTGGGAAGAGATCTGGCCTAAAGAGTAGGACCGCCGTTATCGAGGCTTACGTGCCGCTGTTGTTCCAGTGTGTTTCTTCTCCTCACTACTTTGTTCTTATTGTCTCTTTCATGCCTGTGATAAAAAATTTTCGGACAATCATCAAGCGGTCAAGGGCAGGCTGAAGCGGGGGAGGGAGGGACGAGGAATCAGGTTCCGTTTGTTGATCTCGTGCTGCCCTTTCAAGGGTCCTGGCATACGAACAGAGTAGTATAAGCACATGCCTGGTATTACTTACTGGGTAATGCAGGCCGTAGTGCTTGGCAAGGGCGAGTTGACGCCTTGAGGTGTGATTTTGCAGTAGCTTTGTAGAGTATCTGTCGACGTCAGCCAGGGACGGGGGGCTACATACCTAGGTATATAGTAGCGCTTCGTAGTAAATAGAGAGAGAAGTTGTCCAAAGAGCGTACATCCCCAGGACGTGGTCCTTGGGACATGTATGACGTAAATTTCCAGGCCACCGAGCGCTTAGCCACATAGCGGGCGCCTCTGCACTTTATCGCGATTTTGGTTCGTGCAGGTGTATAAGGGTTTCGAGACAGCCTCGCTTAACCACTCAATAACATGCAGCCACTTTGGAGTAGGCATCTTCGCAGTTCATCAGATCTGCAATGCTCATTTAGGCGGTCGGAAGAGCCCAAAGGGGAGAAGTGACGTCCCCTTCGTGTTGGAAGGACTAACAGTCCCAAAACAAGTTCCTCGATCGTCTTATGATAATAATGAAGAGGGCTCCTAAAGCCAGGGAGAATGGGATCCTCCAAACACGTCTTTGGAGCATAATGAACGAATTCAGTGAGAAGAGCTGAAGAGCTGGCATCTGAAGGAAGGCTCTGAACGCGGTCAAGTGTGAAACGCTTCTCCTGGTTCCTGCCGACCTTGCATCGTCTGCGGTCATCCGTTGTCCGTAGTTCTGCCACAGACTTGCCTTGCAAGATACGAGTGTCCGACCCGGCCCAGGTAAGACGTACCCTCAAGACATAGATGTGTTGCAGCGCAATGAAGCGCAGGAACTGCATCGGATTTGTGAGCCAACGGGCCATGCTGCCAAAGGACCACCTATTGATTCGCAAAACAGCCGATAAACGTCAGATTGTCGCCTTAAGGTGGAAAGTACAGAAAACAGAGCAATGTGTCGAGCAAATCTGGCACGTTCTGGGCCGGGCAGGATTAAACAAGATGGGCATTAGATTCGGAGGCTGAGATCAGCGCATCTCGTGACCAGTAATTGAGGTAGCATCAATGCGTGCGAGGTGGAAGCCGACGCTGCCGGTGTCACAGGATGCAGCCGGGCGTATAGCAGCGTATCATGCCTTGGGCTGGCCCCCGGTCTGCGGTGCTCATGCAGTATCCGGAGTAACGTTAGCTTCTCTCGGAGTCGCCCAACGTTGTCCGCGGCCGGTTGCCAGCTGCTGGGCCAAGAACCAGCGATTAATGCAGTGCATGGTTCTTTTGTCTCCTTGGAGGCAAGCTGAGTTCACATTATTACAATATGTTGCGCTGTATCTGTTGCATGCGCGGGCTTGGCTGGTCAAAGTCTTACCTGATCGCCCTGCGCTGCTCGAGATCGACCTTGGCCTGACTCGCTCCAAGCCCCAGCGGCGAAACAGCCTGTGCCACGCCGAATGGATGAGCGCATCGAGACTGAGTAGCTCGGTGCCTCAACCACCTGGATAAAGGTTCTTCATAGAAACCCTGCATTCTGCGAGAGCGCAGGCTCTTCTGCGTAGTGAAAGCCGTGCAGAAGGCGACTGGCTCGTGCGAGGTCTCCGAGCGAGGGAGTGTTGGAGCCATCAATAACCCATGATGTCATCGTCCAGCGCTGACCAAGCAGTCACGAGGCCCGACTTGAGTAGTGTTTGTGTTTCAAGATCTGCTGTTCGATATTGCGCCAGCGTCGTCTATCAATCATTTGAAGGTAGCTGCAAAACCTGATATGAGTTTGTCCCGCAGTCCTTGGGCACCGGGGATCGGCGCTTTGGGCTCATTGTGCTGCGCAAGTCCGGACTCAGGCACGCTGGAAGCTGTGCTGTCTGTGGCGTTGTCAATCTTGACAAGGGGCAAGCTAGCTCTCCGTAAAGCAAGCCCCAGTCCGTCCCTTCACGATGTCCAGGGTTTTGGCTGGCCAGGCCCACCTCTGCTGGCGGGTAGTGCAGGGACCGAAATAGCATCACGAAGTGTGTAGCCGCGCCATGGGTGCCAAGCAGCCCGCTCGACCTGCGAGACCAGCGCGCCGGGGCAAGAAGCTGCGCGGTGCAGCGGGCTGAGCAGAGTGAACGCAGGATGATGATCACGAGCTCCTGTTGCTGCTACTACTGCCTTTTGTCGACGCGAAAGGTCACTTTCCACGCCTTAAGTCCGCCAGAGAAGGTTTGTGGCGTCCCCCGTCCTGCGTCCTAGGAGTGATTTGATGTCATGCTGCCGAAACACCTCATGGACTGTACAGGCTACCCTGAGTGATGGCTCGTCAGCATTTGGTCAAGCACCACTGGGTTCATCTTGGCAGGGCATCCATTTAGCAACACGCGCTTTGCTTATCAGAACCAAGTCTAATCACGCACGCCCTTCCAATGAGGTCCCAGTCGCGTCTTTGGTTCGTTGGGCACCCAAAAGCAAACACGGTATTACGAATCTCGAGACCAAATGCCTCAGCCAGGCCCTGTCATGGTGGGGCGAGACAGGGACCTGGTGCTTCACGAGGGGCTTTCGTGCTTGCCGTCCTGCCTGTCTGAGAAGTTGGGCTTCAGTGCCGGATCGGGACCACCTTTACCTAATGTCCGAAATCTGGCGCTTGGTGCCACGAAATGCTTGAGGGCCAGAGTATCCATGGTGGAAATCAGAAGTTGGGTGATGGACATTAAGACGGATATGGTCTCGTGTCAAACGCCTCGAGTTTACTCTTCCCGATACTCTGCTTCGTAGGTTGAGCTCACTTGTCAGCCCCTGTCGGCTTTTCGCTCTCTTCAGGCACCAGAGTGGAGGCATGAGCGGAAGAAAAGGAGTCGAGACCCCCCAAGTGCCCGACCGGAGACCCCTTGGCGGGCGCCGTGCCATTAGCTTCGAAACGACAAAGGTGGAGCTGGCCAGTGCCCGTCTTGTGGCTCGGTGCCAGAGGCTTTGTGGACGATAGCTGGATTTGCTCGTCAGGCTCGGAGCCAAGCAGAATGCAGATGAGGCCTGGCCGGGTCGCGGCGCGGCACGCTTCAGGCCGATGAGGCAACGCCCAGGCAGCCCGGCGCGAAAAGCAGGCAACTGGGTCTACCGAGAGCTGGATGCGGACAGTGCAGTTTTGGCATGATTGCTGCCGACCATGAGAGGCAGCTGATCAATGCATACCGGTAATCAGCGGTCGCCAGCACTAGCGGTGTGAGCCTGGAGTGTCGGTCATGCATTTATTCCTAGCGAGCAGGACTGGCAGCACAAAGGAGGGAGAAAAGGAGCTGCCGCGCACTTTGACTTTGTAGTGCTTCTGGTGATTGATTGGGGACGAGCTGCGTGATGCGTCCTCGGTGCCGACGACGGTGGTGATGACGGGATGGTTGGAGGGACGGAGGGTTGGTGGTCATGTCACTGACACACTGCATCGTTCCCAAGCCAGTCGTCTGGTCTGGCGCAGCGCTCGCTGCTTCTGGAAGGGCGTGCGAGGCACTTGAGCAGTGGCATGCATGCATGGTTGGCAGATGGAGCTGCCGCGTGGGGTGTCCGAAATGTGCAGGCGTACCTGAGGCACGCTAGCTTTGCCTTTTCCTCGAGTTCGGCTACTTGGGAAGCCTCGCCACAGTCGTGGTTGGCCTGAGTCCAGTGGGATTACTTACTGCCGGCCCACCGCCTTGACACCTGGGCGCCGGTTGCTGCGCTGCTCCACCGCCGCCTCCTCCTCCTCTCCTCCCTTTCTCGCTTCTGGCCCGCCCACCGGTGTGAGACCAGACTCTATCCGCTGCATTGCCGCCCTCACCCACACTTCCCGCTTTCTCCTTCCTCCCCCTCCCATCACTCAAGCATCGACGCAGACGCCCTCATCCGTCCCGCGGCAGACCCCGAGTCTCTCATCGCCGAGGCGTGCTCGTCTTCCTTCTCACATCCCCATCGTCGACCTCGCCGCCGTCGCCGCCTCCCCTTTTGCGTGGTAAGCAAAGCCCAGTCTTCCCAGCCGCCTAGCCTTCCCGTGCCCCCCGGCCCCTGCATCTGGCCTCTACCCGACATTTGCATGCTTCTCGACCATCAACAATCCTCAGCTTGTGAGCAGCACACAGCGAGGTCTCGGCTCGACCAAGCATCTCCGCAAGCTCTAGCTGTCGGGCACCCCTTATGCTCGTCATGCGTCGTCTCTCATATATCGACATGACAATCAATACCCGTCACCGCCTCATCACTGCCTCATCATCAATCACGCGGGTAGCCTCAAGCTGTCTCAGGGTTCCGTCCAGTTTGATTGCAGATTCACACAATCAATAGCCGCAGTCACGGAACCCTTTGAGCTTGGCCGTTTGTGAGCACAACGCTGGTTCAGATCAGAGACTGATGCCATTTTGACACAGATTTGAAGGCGTGCTGTGCATAACTCGAGCCAATAAACCGACTTGACCAATTATTACACCGCTCAAGAAGCGGCCAAACAGACAGTCATCATGACTACCATGGTACGAGTTCCCAGACTTCTACCAGTCCCGTCAGACCCAGCCACGCTTGTGGCTCACGTGGCAGCCCATCACAAGGTCGAACACGAAACTAAAGGATAATCACTTCTAGGATTTGCGTGTCGGCAACAAGTACCGGATCGGTCGCAAGATCGGCTCCGGTTCTTTTGGCGACATTTACCTCGGAACCAACATCATTTCCGGTGAGGAGATTGCCATCAAGCTTGAGTCTGTCAAGGCCAAGCACCCCCAGCTCGAGTATGAGGCTCGTGTGTACAAGTCGCTGGCCGGCGGTGTTGGCATCCCCTTCGTCCGCTGGTTCGGCACCGAGTGCGACTACAACGCCATGGTGCTCGACCTCCTCGGACCCAGTCTGGAAGATCTCTTCAACTTCTGCAACCGCAAGTTCTCGCTCAAGACAGTCCTGCTTCTCGCCGATCAGCTCATCTCTCGCATTGAGTACATCCACGCCAAGTCGTTCATCCACCGTGATATCAAGCCCGACAACTTTCTCATGGGCATCGGCAAGCGTGGCAACCAGGTCAACGTGATCGATTTCGGTCTGGCCAAGAAGTACCGGGACCCCAAGACCCACTTCCACATTCCGTACAGAGAGAACAAGAACCTGACGGGCACTGCCCGATATGCCTCCATCAACACCCACTTGGGTGTCGGTAAGTTCTCCTAGCCGTGTCCAGTACTGGCCGAGTCCCTGCTGCTAACAACTGTCCCTCCAGAGCAATCTCGTCGTGACGATATGGAGTCCCTGGGCTACGTCATGCTCTACTTCTGCCGTGGCTCTCTTCCCTGGCAGGGTCTGAAGGCTGCCACCAAGAAGCAGAAGTACGACCGTATCATGGAGAAGAAGATGACCACCCCTACCGAGGTCCTGTGCCGTGGATTCCCCAACGAGTTCGCCATCTACCTCAACTACACCCGGTCCCTCCGCTTTGACGACAAGCCCGACTACAGCTACCTGCGTAAGATCTTCCGCGATCTCTTCGTGCGTGAGGGCTTCCAGTACGACTACGTCTTCGACTGGACCGTCTACAAGTACCAGAAGAACGCACAGGCCATTGCCCAGGCTGCCGACGACGAGGACAAGGCTCGTGCAGGCCGCACGAACGCCGCCGCCGCCGGTCAGGTCCCCTCTGGTGCCGCCAAACCCAATGCTATTCCCAGCTCCCGCCGCAAGGTGATCGAACGTGGTGCTCCAGGTGTAGACACTCCGGAAACCAACCGTGCCGTCGGCGGAAGCGACAGGATGTGAGTGTCTCGCCAAGTCCAGCCCAGCCCTTCAGCAACATTCCTTGTAAGGAATCCTCCTTGGAACTTTTTGGTCTTTTTCGGTCTTGAAACATACAATGCTGGCTGGAGGCATGCTGACATGTTTTTGCTGACGCTTCAGTTTGCGGTAACAGGCTGCGATCAGCTAGCAAAGGTCAGGGAACTGGGTCTGGATACGCGTCCGGCTCGTACCGCCCCAAATGATTCTTGTGACTTTGCCAGATCTGGTTTCAAGCAACACCCCCCTCCTGGGATATGATGCTCGGCACAGGCTCGTGCAGAATATCACCACTTCTCCTGGCTGTTGTGACTGCCCCACCACCAGATGTTCTACATCATGATTGCTGGTCTACTTGGGGACTGCATTAATAGAACATCGCTGGGGGGGTCAACGTCACAACACCGTTTTCTTTGGTCCATGGATTGTTATTGTTCACGTTCTTCGATGATTTCAGTACCGACACGCACCCCTATGGCTTGGACAGGCGGGGCTCCAGAAGGCGATCATTCATACGCTTTGAATGACTCGTCCGAGAAGCCTGGATCTGTCTAAACGGCACGCCCGGCATCTCGACTGTCGAGTTGTCGGCTACCATACCAACTTTGGACCATTGCGGGCACCGATACAAGAACTCTGCAGACCTCAGCATCACTTCCGAGTGAGAGGGTCCCGGAGGAGTACAGGCTGCGGGCACTTCACATGTCCCAGCAGTGCTCACATCGATGCGAGCAAGCTTTACCTATGGCCATCGCACTGGTTTTCTTTAATCCTACGGACGACTTTTTGTTTCCTTTTCCTACGCGCACAGGGGATCCATCCACCCGATGTGGTCAACATTGTTCAGACGGACGGCAGTGGCTGATCTTTGGCACTGATGATCACCGCGACCTCGCCTGCTCCCAAGACCATGCTTCCATGACTTTGTCTCTGTTTCTGCATCGCCTCGAGGATGCTGGAAATTGATGAATTCATGAGCCGCACGGTCACGGCCCGACACATCTCTTGGAGAGCGAACATTGGCGAAGCACAGGGCTTGTTTTGCCAGTAGGCATAGGTTGCATGACCAGTGTTGCCTTGTGTGGAGCACACGAGCTCGGGTTGGGTGGATTCACAGCTCATTTATCACGGGTTCCGCTGTGGTGTTCAGTCGACCAACTCCATTTGGCGGTGTGACTGGACCAGTGTGCAGTGGTGCACAGCCCCTGGTTCATGTCTGGTGACTTGTCTCACCCATGGGAGGCTGCATTTGCGCCCCTTGGTTGACGAGGGTGGTATCAACTCCACCGGCAAGCTCGCCCCCAACGGTAGATCTTAGGTAGTTAGCATCAAAATCACACGTATTCATTCTTTGCACTTGTACGTTCGTTTTACTGTGAGGCAGCAGTGAAGGTTCGACATGGGCGATTGCCCCTGCCCCAATTGAGTGGCTGTAGTGTGGAGTTGGTGATGAGGCAGCCATAGGCTAGTAGTAGTGTTGAGGCGGAGCATGTGGTCAGCTGCTGCTTTGGGGTCCTTGCGGGGAGGTGGACTTTTCCAGGTTGGAGGCTAGGCAGACTGGTCGGGTGTTGAGAAACGCCATGGCACTGTTGATTCCTAAAAAGTACTTGAGTACTTAAAGCTTCCACCAAATGGTGCGCGTGAGCAACCTTGACTCTGGTTGCACGCAGTTTTATCACCCGTGGACAACCAGAGTCGTCGGGTCTCTCCAGAACGACGGACTGGCATGCCCCACTTTGGATCTGGTAGCTGCGGCCCACGACATCATACACTACCTTGGCCAACCCATCTTGGGCATGATAGCAGGGCACTAATTGCAACGCAAACAACAACAGTTCTCCAGCCCGCAATTTTGTAGCTGGGCGGGAAAAGCCAGCTAGACAACATGGCTCTCGAACCTCTGTCAACGGCAGACGTGTTCGTGCTCACCTTCAACGCCCAGAAGCAACTCATCAACGTGCCCGTCTTTGCCACGCACCTGCTCGATGCATTCACCCACCATGCAGCGGCCCTCCCAGATCTCGTCGTCTTGTGAGTCGCGTGCCAGGGCACGGCTCGTGTCATTTTCCCAGTGCCGGACATAGACTGACCAGTTTCTTTGTATCGTGGCAGCTCCCTCCAGGAGATGGCGCCTCTAGCCAAGGCCTTTGTAGGCACGCAGCTTCTGGGCCCTTACTTTGACGCCTATGAGACGGCTCTGAACCGAGCTGCCGCGAAATACATGGGCCAAAATACCAAGAATACCACCAGTGACAGCGCAGAGGGATCGCCGTTTTCCCTCATCGCCACCCGCAATGTGGGCATGACAGCGTCGATAGTCTTCGCCCGTGACGCTGCCACCGTGAGCAGCGTCCGCGCGGCAGAGGTCGGGTTCGGCGCTGGAGACATGGCGAACAAAGGCGCCGTCGGGCTGCGGCTCCTGTACACCTCCCCGCGCGGCGGGGGCGGCGATGGTGACGGCAGGACAGAGATAACCTTTGTGACGACACATCTTGCGGCCATGGAGTGGAATCTGGCGAAGCGCAACAAGAACTGGGCGAGCCTCGTGTCCGGGCTCGTCTTCGAGGATCCCCAGAAGTACGTTGACCGGGCGGCCGCGCGGTCAAGGGACAGTGGTGCCGCCAGTAGGGTGCGAGGTGCCGAGGGCGGTTTTGGGCTAGCCGACGAGTCCAGGGGCCTGCTCGAAGGGGATCGTTCTGAGCTCGACAGGGACCTGCACAATCTGAGCATCTACAAGCCCGGGTCGCACCTGTTTGTCGCTGGCGACCTGAACTACCGCATCTCGACCACGTCCCCGGAATCAGAGGACGTGTTCCCAAGCGTGGACCCAAACAGCCCAGACTACTATCCCAAGTTCCTGGATCGCGACCAGCTGACGCAGGAGAGAAAGGCCGGCCGCACGCTGCATGGCATGAGCGAGGCGGACATCAAGTTCCCTCCGACATACAAGCTCGTGTGTCTGCCCAAGGACGACGAGAGCACAGACTCCTCCGCCGAGCAAGCCGGCAGCAGCAGCAGCAAGGACTTCCAGGTCGACGACGTAAAGTGGAAGTGGGCTCTCCACCGCTGGCCGGGCTGGTGCGATCGGATCCTCTACCGGGACACACCGCAGACCAAGATGCGCGTCATCGCCTACGACGCACTGCCGCCGATCCGCACGAGCGACCACAGGCCGGTGTACCTGCGCATCCAGGTGCCCCTTATCGCCCCGGAGACCCTCGGCGCGATCCCCGACGCCATAGAGGACGACAGCGGCGTGCTGGACACGCGCGTGGCGCTCCCCTTCCCCGTCGACCTCGACAGCTGGCGGCACCGGGCGAGCGTCAAGAAGTGGGAGTCGGCGATGGGCTGGTCGCTGCTGGCCGCGCAGTCGAAGCAGATCATCGCCAGCGTGTTGGCCACGTTGTTGCTTGTTGGTGTCGGGGCGTGGTGGTATACTGCGATGTCCTCAGTGGTGTGAGCGTGCGCTGAGGGCTAGAGTCATGGTGGTTTTCGTAGGGTCCCTACTTTAGACTTGTTGCTGAAGTTTAGATACAGAGGAGGCAGGCAGATCCTTCGCCCCGGACGAGTGGTTCCAGTACTCAGTACTCGACAGCGTGCACTTGACCTTTATAGTCAGAGAAGAACATGATTTTCAAGCGATATTTTGGTTTCCTTTCGGACCAAAAGGCAGTTTTGCATACCTTTTGTTCTGTCTCGGGGCATTATGGGTTATTTGTCCCGTCGTCAAGAAATACCTGTGTAAAGCGCACAGCTCGTTGCTTGGTATCTTTTGTTTCTTTATATATAATTAATACACGCTGCACACACGCCTGTTCCAACTCGACTCTTAAAAAATACAATCGTCTATGTTGATACATCAACTACGGGGTTTTCTTCTCTTTTTCCCCCAATCCCCAAAAGTATACATACTTGCACAGCTCAATTCGCCTTCTCGGCGTTCTCGGCCGTCTTCTTGACCCGGACCGAACCAGGCGGTGTCTTGAGCCCGCCAAACACGAGGGCCGCGACGCCCGCGATGCCCACGGCGCCCATGCCGTACGCGACCTCCCTCCCGGCCCACCAGTAGACGCTGGTGAAGAGCAGAGGGCCCAGGCCCCTGCCTAGCTGGCCGTAGCTGCGCAGCACGCCGAGCTTGCCCCCGCGCTCGGCCGCGCCGGCCTCGAAGCTGCTCAGCGCGTTGAGGCCACTGACCACGGTGGCCGAGGTCGTCGCCAGGCAGGTGGCAGCCAGGTAGAGCGAGCCCACGGTCGTGATGCGCCCGAGTAGGAAGAAGGCCACCAGGCACGCCGCCACGCCGAGGCGGACGGTGGTCAGCGGTGGCAGGCGCCGCGTCACGCCGCCCTGCAGGACCGAGGCGACGAAGCCGATGTACCCCAGCAGCCGGCCGTTCTTGGCCGCGTCGTACTGGAACAGGTCGTAGGTCATGAAGGGCAGCGAGAACTCCATGCCGGAGAAGAAGAGGAGGAAGGCGAAGTGGACGAGGTTGAGGAGAAAGTGAGAGTTTGTGCGGGTGGTGGGGGCCGCGGCAGTAGTGGAAGAAGGTGTGTTGGTCGACTTGGTGCCGGTCGCGGCCTTGCTGGGGAGCGTCTCGGGCAGCTTCGCGTACAGATATACCGTCTCGGTGACGATGAGGGCGAGCGAGACGCCTGCGGCCGTCGCGAAGGGGTTGGCGGCCACGGTGGCGATGGAGCTCAGGTACGCGCCGAGGGCCGGGCCGAACGTGAATGCAATTGAGAAGCACGCGCCGATGAGCGCCATGGTCGAGCCACGGCTATTCTCATCCGAGATATCGGTCGCAATGGCGGTCGCGAGCTGCACGTTGCCCTCGGACAGCCCGCCCACGATGCGCGAGGCGAGGAAGGTTCGGAAGTCGACGGCCACGACCCACAGGAGGACCGAGAGGATGTTGCCCGCCATGCTGGCGAGCAGCGCGGTCCGGCGGCCATGCTTGTCCGACAGGTGCCCGATGAACGGGGAGGCGATGGCTTGGAGGAGGGAGAAGAGGCTGCCTAGCGCGCCGCCGAGGAGGACAATGTCGTACCGCGAGTCGATGGGCTTGGCGAAGGACGACTTGTAGGCGTTGAGGCCGCCGAGGATGCGGGCGAGGAGCGTCGACTGGGAGTCCGGCCCGGCCTCGCTGTTGCGGTAGAACTCGAGGAGTTTGGGAAAGAGTGGCAGGATGAAGGTGAAGGATATCTAAAGGCGTGGGGTTAGAATTGGTCAGTCAGTGCAGTCCTGGTGTCTGTAGTGGAAACACACTGCTGGAAGGGAAAGCAGGGGAGGGGGTAGTGTTGCAGAACATACCAGGTCAAGGAGGAGAGAGACAAAGATGACCTTGAGCACCTTCTTGCGGGTGCTCGGGTCTACAGCAGCCATCGCGAGAGAGTATGTGCGAGCAGATTGAGGCGGGAACACAATGGCGAGCTGGCGGGTGTTTGTTCGTGATCGTTCGAGTAGGAAAGCTTGCTGTCGGCCGACTGGGGTCGGCTGGTGCGGGAGGCCGTGAGCTGGTCTGAATGGGAGGTAAAGTCGAGAAAGTTTGACAGCTCGACAAATGTGTTAGCAGCCAGCAGAGAGAGTGCTTTGGAAAGCCACGAGAAAGAGAAACGGCAAGGCCAGAGAGTGGCAGTGGGGAAGACGAGGAAAAAAGAAGCCAGCGGGTAGGTGCAGGTGGGATGGGATGGTGCTGGTGCTTGCTGGCTGGCGATGACGGTGGTGGTTTCGCCCTGGGCGGGCCTAGCGCAGGGTAGCTCAGGGTTGGCGGCGGGGCGTTTCAAGGGGCCCTTTTTTAGTTTTTGAGAACCCCCAGTCCGCTATAGGACAGTGACAGGCCGCGGCTTGCGACACGAGAGCGGACTAGATGTGACTTCAGATGAACACGGCATGCAGACCCTTTCCTCGTCCTGCCACCCTGGCTTCTTCTCTTTCTTCTTCTTCCTCCTCCTCCTCTTCCTGACAACGACGACCACTACTATCGCATGCATGCACGCTCCATCCGATTCTCTCTTGCGCCCCTTGGCCAGTGACAACCCCAGCACCCCGGGGAACCAGCATCTCCTTTGCCCGATCGGGCCACATCGAGCGCCAATGCAGCGCGACATCCGCCACGTCGGGCATAGCGCCTGGGGAAACAATCCCGGCACCTCGTCCTTCCGCCCACTAGTCAACCCGGGAATCAAGGCCCGCCACGCCGGGGGTCATCCGCCTGTCAAGATTGTGTCTCCCATTCCTCAAAGGCAAGCAGATGATTGATTGATGTTTATCTGTATGGTGTTTAGTTCCTTTTCGGGGAGCATCCACACAAGGCAGACAAATCTCCCACTTCTGAAAGTGTAGGACATACATGGGACACAAGCACACAAGTTCAGGACATGACCTTGATTACAACAGGATAAACGACAGGCTCTATAAGTATTAGTCTATATGATGTGTGTGTGTGTGTGTGTGTGTATGTGGAAGCAGCAACAAATTTCAAACACAAGACAGACACGCTGCCACAAAAGAGAAAAAAAGCACAGAAATCATCGCAACTTTTTCCCTCCCCCAAGACAAAGCGGAACTGCTTGCTTCCCCTCTACAGCAGCTTCCTCGCCTTCTGGTCCTCCAGCCAGGTCGCAAAGTCCTTGGTCTCGGGCAGGACCTCGCGCGTCTCGCGCACGCTGGCGCCGTACCCCTCGCGGTCGAACCACGAGTACATGACGCCCAGCTCCGACACCATCCACAGGACGAAGCGCGCGAGGAAGCCGAAAGTCGTCGGCGCCGGGTGGCCCGTCTTGTCGACAAACGTCTTGTTGAACTGGGCAAACGTCAGCTCGTCGCCCACGAGGGAGATGGCGCGCCCGGCGAGCCGGGCCTGGTTCTGCGGGAGGAGCGCCTTGGCGGCGACCTTGCCAATGTCCTCGGTGCTGATGATCTGCAACGGCCGCGAGCGGACGACGTCCCGCCACGCCGTGGCAAAGACCTTGCCCTGGAAGCCGCCGAGGTTCTCGTAGAAGGCCACGGGGCGGAGGATGGTCCAGGTCATCTTGTTGTTGTTGTCGTTGGTGGTGGTCGAGGTCGAGGTGGCTGCAATCAGGTGCTGCTCAATGTTGTGCTTGGTGACAAAGTGCGGCACCGAGGTCGGGTTCTTGGGGGACAGCTCCGGGCCGTGGCGGTCGACGGACGAGTAGACAAAGTGGCTCACGCCGTGCCGGAGGGACGAGTCGACAAGGGACTTGCCCTGGCGCTCCTCCGTCTCGGCGCCGGCCTTGTTGAAGGTGGGAAGCTGCACGCTGAAGACGCCCCAGATGGGCGCCGAGGTGGCCTTCTTGGCCGCGGCGAACAGGGCCTCGGTGTCGTCGAGGTTGCCCTGGACCAGGACGACTTGCTTGGGATATCGGGCTACGAGCTTCTGGGCAGATGCGGAGCTGGCATCGCGGGTCACGGCCAGGAGTTGGGTGGAGGGGTCCGCCGAGGCGGCAAGGGCGTGGAGGGTGGCGCCGCCCTGCTTGCCAGTGGCACCGACGATGAGAATGGCCTTGGACATTGCTGTCGTTGTTGTTGATGAGGCTGTGCTAGATGGGTGGTGTAGTGGAGTAATATTGGGAGTGGGGATATGAGAGTGGTGTTGGATGATGATGGTGATGATGTGTTTGTAGATGTTGGAGTGTTGATTTTGTATAAGTGGTTTGGGCACTTAAGTAAGTGTGTTGTTGTTGGTGGTTGTTGTTGCTTGTTGTCTTATGTTGATGATGCTGATGGTACTGATGAGAGGGATGGAAACGGGACGAGAAGACGGGACAATCGTGCCATGTTATAGACCTGGGACTCGGCATGGAGATTGCGCAAAAGCCCATTCTCTCAAACTCCATCCCCGTCCATCCAGCATTCAGATGCCCACGATGAATAATTAGCAGGCAGGTTGCAGACCCTGAATGGCAACCTGGACGGCTGCTCGGCCAATCACAGCAACCCTCGGACTCCGGGGTAGCGCTTCCCTGCAGCCCTTGCAGGGCCTCTTTAAAGATTGGCTCCCGCTGCCTGAGGTAATCATGCCCATCTTTTGTGGGGACGGCCAGACCCTCGGACACCGAGCCATCGGAAACGGTGCACTGTGGTTGGTCTGCCATGGCCACAGGTGGGCCCCACCCGGACCCCAGCCCAGGGCCTGCTTACAAAAGTGACAATCGCGTATGCACAATATGGCATATGGCAGATAACTCCAGTCTAAGAGCCTCGACGACCAGACTCGCCCAGCCTTATTCAGATTTGGGGTTTCGACTCGCTTATCTCCAGAGCTCCTGGTTATCTCCAGATCCCCCATCGTCATCACCTTCGCTTTCCTTTGTCCGATCTGAGCACTCCCGGCTATGTGTAAGCTCTCTTGTCCGTCCCTTTTCAGACTTTCCTACCATGTCGAGCGGAACCCGGCTCGGCATTTACCGAGCTGCGTATTCCCATGTCACCAAGCCATGCAGTCATGATTCAGGCCTCTTCTCCCCGATGCTTTGCAATAATTGATTCAGCCACTTGTGTCCAGACCATGCCCAATCATCTCAAGAGGAATCCGAGCAGACCACCTCGTCCTGAGCCCCAAGATTGCCAAGTGAATCCCTCGCCCTCTCCAGTCCAGTCCAGGCCATGCTCGTTATCTTGACAATTTTTGCGGAGACACGTCCCTTGCTGCATCCGACAACGAAAAGAAGACAAACAAAACCCTGAATGACAGGATCTCTCAAGCCGTCACTGCATGAGAGCCCCTCCCCCATGCGTCGTGTGCCTTCAGCCTATCCTCAGCCTCCCGCATCTGCTGGTCATGCCACTTGCTGTGCTCGACCATGCTGTCGCCCGCCCCGCGCAGCCGCTCATCAGCCTCCTCCATGGCCAGCTTGTGGAACTTGCGGTGCTCGACGATGCTGTCCTCGGCGGCGGCCAGCCTCTGGTCGGCCTCCTCCATCGCGCGCACGTGGAACCTGCGGTGCTCGACCATGCTGTCGTCCGCGCCCCGCAGCCGCTCGTCGGCCTCTCTCATGGCCTGCTTGTGGAACTCGCGGTGGCGGACCATGCTGTCGTCCGCGGCCGCGAGCCGCTCGTCGGCCTCCTTCATCGCCTGCCGGTGGAAGACGCGGTGCTTCTCAATCGCCCCCTGCGCGGCCGCGAGCCGCTCGTCCGCCTCGGCCATCGCGCGGACGTGGAACTTGCGGTGCTCGACCATGCTGTCGTCCGCCTCGTCCAGCCGCGCGTCCGCCTCGCGCATCGCCTGCTCGTGGAACTTGCGGTGCTCCTCGATCGCCCCCTGCGCGGCCCTCAGGCGCTCCTCGGCTTCTTCCATCGCCCGCGCGTGGAACTTGCGGTGCTCGACCATGCTGTCGTCCGCGGCTGCCAGGCGCGCGTCCGCCTCCCGCATCGCCTCCTCGTGGAACACCCGGTGTTGCTCGATCGCCTGCTCCGCCGCCTCGAGCCGCACGTCGGCCTCGTGCATCGCCTCCAGGTGGAACAGCCGGTGCCGCTCCATCGCCTTGTCCGCCTCCGAGATCATCCGCTCGTGCTCCAGCCACCGCAGCCGCTCGCGAGACTCGCGCATCGCCTTGCGGTGCTGCGCGCGCAGCCACTTCAGCCGCTCCGTGTTCTCGAGCTGCGAGCCGGGGAACTGCAAAGAATTCTTCTTGTCCTTGTCGTTTTTGTTCTTGTCGCCGTCAGCGTCGTCGCCATCGCCATCGCCATCGCTGTAGTAGTCCGAGTCATAGTCCCAGTCCAGTGCCTCCTCGCCCTCCGCCTCGCGCTCCAGCCGGTCCTGGTCTCCGTTGTAGTGCCATGGCCTTGAATTCTGCGATTGCCCCCCTACAGCCGACGGTTTTGGTTGCTCCGATCGTGAAGCCATCTTTCGTTTGTCGTCGCTCGAGGCCCGGGGGGTGTTTAAACGGAATGGGCCCCAAGGCGCCTAGTTCGCCCCACACTACACTGACTTGACCTCTGGGTCAGAGCCTCGAACTTGCTGGCCACGCCCTTCTCTTGAGAGAGCACCCTCGCCGGAACGGTGACCTTAAAAGGGCAGGCGGTTCCCGTTGCAAATATTTGGGTGCCGCTTGGGTCGCTGTTTGTCTCGTGATTGATGCTCCTCGACAGTTGCCTACAATCTCTTGCACGCTGGTCTGCTGTGCCTTGACCTACCCTGCCTGCCCACCACGTCCGCCCTAAATGACGTCACATGGTGGGCGAGTAACCTGCTTCGCGCTCGCGCAACCTTGCTCGCCCACACCATTTGGGGACATCGCTGTTTGGGTGACCCCATAGTATCAAGCTCCTATGATCTAAACTTCTGCTAGTTATTGGACATTCCCCCCAAAGACTGCTTTCCAAACGGCGCAGGCAGAATAGCTATCTGGCCCACTAGACTGATTATGATAACGGCTTCGCCAGAGACAGCGCTCTTCAGAACCACGCAAGCCGACCCTCGTGCAAGTAGCGAGCGCCAAATCGCTATACGAATTGTAAAGCACCTCCTAGAGTGCTACGAACCTCCAACTCCTTACTGGAAATGCAATAGACTCCAAATGCAAGCCGTAGACCTCTGCTGACAAACCATATGACGCCGCTTGGCCCCTTCCGAGGCTAACGACTGGAAACAAACTGGGGGAAGAATACGGCATTCCGAACCAACATCTCAATCTGCTCACTCCCTAGGTGAGGACTTCTCACCTCCATCAGCACGGTGATAGCCTAGGAGCGAACAAAACTGCTCAGTAGACGCTTGCCCTAAAGCATCGTGCCAAAGGTGTCCGTCTGGATCGGCTTCCGTGGACTTCCCTCGTCAGTTCCTTGCTTACGGTGGCGGAACGTGAAGCCGACAAACAGTCCCTTGCTCATCTCCTCGTCCCGGTCGGCCATGTCCTCAAGAGCCTGTTGTTTGTCGTGGACCTCCTTGTACTTGGCCATGTCTGCCTCATTGGAAAAGTCATCAAAGTAACCCGCATCAGTCTCGGAATCGAGCTCGGGCACAAAAGGCGCTTTCGTCTCCCTCAGTGTCTGCCAGTCGACCTCGGCAAAGTATTGATGCTCGAGGATCTCTTCAATGGTGGAAAAGCGCTTGGACCTCGAGTTGATGCAGCTAACGAGTAAGGTCAGTAGGTGGTTCGAGAACAGCCAAAGACCAAAGACTTACGTAGTGATGAAGTTCCACGTGCGGTTGCTGAGGAAATAGTTGGGGTCTTCCCATACGGGACGCTTGAGCACATCCTTCCAATGCTTGAGGTTTCTCCAGGTCTCGTCCGCGTTGGACCCAGCGAATGGTGGGAAGCCGGTAAGCGCCTCGAAAAGCATGCAGCCTAAACTCCAGTAGTCGACCGTAGAGTCGTATTCCTCTCCTCTGAGAACCTCTGGGGCCATGTAGTCGGGAGAACCAACGATAGACTTTGCGTAGTTGACATCTTTCTCACGCATGGACTGGTATCCCTCTCGGCGCTCTGCAATGGTGCGCTGTTCCATTGCCTTGCCGAAGGGGACATTGGTCTCAGAGGCCTTCTCAAGTCGCACTCTCATCGAATTGATCTTGGAAGAAGCCACATTGCCTGCAGCCAGGCCGAAGTCGGTAAGCTTGACATGGCCCGTTGAGTCAATGAGGAAGTTCTCGGGCTTAAGATCCCGGTGGATGTAACCAAGCTTGTGAAGGGCGTCGACCGAGCAGAACATTTCGGCGATGTAAAAGCGCGCGTGTCGGTTTGAGAGGACACCTGTGTTGTTCAGGAGTGTTCTGAAATCTCCACCTGGAACGTACTCCATGGCAAGATAGATACTCTTGTCGTCTTGGAACGAGTACAGAAGGCGGACCAGCCACTCACTGTTGGCGGTAGTCAGGATGTCTCTCTCGGTGAGGACGTGGCGCACTTCGTCCAGCTTGAAAAGCAACTTCTTGCTCATGACTTTCAGAGCGCAGACCTCACGGGTGTCCTTCTTCTGAGCCAGGAACACTTGACCGTACCCGCCCTGTCCGACCTGGGTCAAGATCTGGAAGTCGCCTTGCCTCAACCGCACTCGTCGCTTCCGCAGAGCCGCGCGCTCTCTGCCAGTGTACTTGCTCCACATCTTCTTGTACTCCTCTTCGTCAGTCTCAGGCGGCGGTGGAACTTCCGACTTGAAAGCTTCTAGTCGAGCTTGGCGCGACCCAACATAGGTAAGAAGGTCGAAGTAGTGGTCGAGAAAGTCTGTGCGGAGATCCGTGATCAGTACATTTATGGCCGGAGATAGTATTGCGGGCAACCCCGGGCCTGTAGGACTTACACAATTGCGTGACGTTAACCAACCGCTTCACGCTCGGCTTCTTTAGGATCTCGAGCTCTTCTGGAGTCAAGCCACGTGTTGTGTTAAACTTCTTCGCGGATGTAGTCAATGGGCGGCTCTCTTTGAGATGGTAAGGCTGTTGCCGGGACATGGCAGCCTGGTTGTGCTGCTGCTGCACTGGTATGCGGGATGGTGGCGTGTTCTCCTGGCCATGCCTCGGGGTCGAAGCGGCCTGTGGTGTCTTATGGAGGACACTGTCTTCGACTACAGATGAAGCATTGGCGAAGTAGCTGTCGTCAGCGGGCGGCTGTAGGTTGATCTTGCCCACCGGAGACAGTGGGCTACCGGAGGACTGTGGCCGACCCAGCTTGACAGGGCTTCCAAGTGCATTGGCATTCAATCGGAGAGCGTTGTCGAAGGCGGCGGGGAGATCATTGGCTCCAGGTGGGACGGTCTTCTTGCTTGGGCTGCCCTGTGGCGTGGCAGCTGGGTCGATGAAGCTGTTGGCAACGCTGTTGTCGGTCGGCGTGCTGGGACGTTCCAGGCTGGGCTGAGCACCCTCCCTGGAACCTCCACCGGAGAAGACGCTGGAGATGAAGCTTGCCATGGCTGTGAGGATGCTCGTTTCCGGGCGATCTCGCTGCCTTGCTGGACAAACTGGGCACGGGTTCTGAACGAAGTGGCGGCTTCGCGGCTTGTTGGAGACAGGGCGGCAGATGGAGGACGATAGAGGTGGTGTTTGTTTTGTCTGGACCAGCGGCGGGGGCCAGCAGCTTTATCAGAGCTGTACGACGGCACAACCGTGCAGCGCGCGGTGTCTGCGGGCCAAATCTGTTGGACTAGCGGCGTGCTCCGTGGGCCGTGAACAGATCGTCCCAAGTGTGATATGCTGCTGCTGCTGCTGCTGCAGGACGTCGTTGCCAGGATGGTGGGAGCTTGGGAAGAGGACCGGACCGGGTTGAGGGGTGCAGGAGGGACGGCGCTTGGCGGGGCTCTGCGCTCGATCTGGCTGCACGATCTGCGGCTGCCCTGTGGCCAATGTCAACAATGCAGCTGTGCCTGGCCGGGCCCTGTGCAACCGGGCGCGCGCACCTGCCTGTCGTCGCTAGGGGCACCCGCTGGAGCGTGCCAGTCGGCCGCCCCCACCACGCCCGCCCTCTCCACGAGCAGGCCCTTCTATTGGCCATGCAGGGATCGCAACCCGCCTTGTGCGCCCGTCGTGACAACTTCCCACGCCATCTGTGCATGAATTTTGACTTCACTTCGACATTACGCTTCTGCGCTAGAGTCCAGCGTCGGCCCATGGTGCAAAGTATGACATGCAGATGACAAGCAACGAGTTCGTGGCTGTCCGTTCCTCAGACAACCTCGGCCAAGTGTCAGGCTTGACGCTTCTTTTGCTCGGATGACTGAGCGGCAGTGTGAAGCCATGTCTCAGACAGTCAACAAATCACCGTAGCCGTTCTGGATGATCATCACTGCAATCTCGGCGACAATGAAAGACGGCACTTGACGGTGCAGGGTCTTTCTCATATTGTGTAGAAGTTTGATGTACTGTGATGGATGTGACGCAATTTCCAAGAGTAACTCCCAAGCTTATCGATAAAGCTGCAGCCAGGATCTCTTCCGCTTCCCGTGCTGAGCACAGTGCTTTAGAGTTGCATCTCCTTTGTCAGAACTTCATCGTGCTCGTAACCGTTTCCTAACGACAGCGCGCCCAACCCGGACTTGACGGACAAACATTCGGCATTGGTCACAAAGATGCCCAAGGAGAAGAACTACAACCCGGTGCAGGCGGAGCGCAAGGCGGAGAAGGCAAAGGCGCTGAAAAAGGGTTCGTCGCCCCAACCACGCGCACGCCGTCGCAAAGAAGCCCAAAGACTGACGAGCTTGAAACAGGCAAATCGGAGGCCGTCGCACGAAAGAACGAAAAGCTCGCCAAACGAAACCCCGCCCGGATCCAGAAGGAGATCGACGAGCTCAAGTTGATCACCACGAATGGTGGCAAACTCTCGAAGCACGAAGAGTCAGTTCTCGAAGGACTCGAGCGAGATCTCAAGGCTGTCAACAAGGCCAGAGAGGCCCTTGGAGACAAGGCGCCGACATTTGGGCGTGGCCCGTACAACGATGACCGCGGCGATGGTGTTCTTGGCAAGAGGAGGCGAGGCAGGGGAGACGATTCAAGCGACGACAGCGACGTCCCGGACGATGTGAAAAGCATACCGATGCCACGCGATACACCGCCACCGATACCGAAAGCCATACTAGACGAGTGGTTCGCGAAACGGCGAGCCAAGAGAAATGCGAACAATCCACACCATAACCGCAACGACAATGAGGCCTCGAAGCAAGGCAAGGCGACAGAAACGAATACCAAGCGCTCTGCTCCCGCAGCACCGGTCGAGTCCCGGACGGTATACGAAGCGAAGCCCGTTGTACGCGACCTGCGGAAGGAGGCGGTCAGCGCCTTTGTGCCCGCCGCCGTGCGGATGAAGATGGACAAAAGCAAAGGGCAGGGCGGTCTGATGGAGCCCGAGGAAGCCGACCAGCTGGAGCGTGAGGGTTATCTCAGGACTAATTCTACTGCGGGACAATCCAATTCTGCCACGGACCAGGGCGGGCCGAGAGGCGTGACCATGGAAGATGTTGAGGATGAAGACGAATGAAATGAGGTGCGGTCAGAATGGCTCTTGGGAGGCGATGTGCTTTGCAAAAACAGTTTTTGATACCCAGCGATGAGACATCTAGAGTAAAATCAAAGAATGCCCAAGACTTTGGAAAACAAGAAGTCCACCATTTCCCAGCGTTGGCTCTTTGGATTTCAGATCGAACGCTCACAGCACTAACATATTCAGCACTGACCTTTGAATCCAGGCTTGGACACCTGAGTCCTATCGTCAAGGGCATCTTTTTTTTTTTGGGATAGTCTGACGAGCTTATTCGTGATCCAGAACACCAGACACGACGAGTGCGTGTCCAGATGCCAACACCACGGTCTCCAGGTTGAGCAGAATCGTGAAACAGTTTTTCATATTTAATGACACTTCTTGCAGCATAAAGTATCCTTTGGGTTGTTTCCACAATTGTCAGCTGCGCCTGGATGTGATAGCTGCACGTCAGACTTAATCGGGGACCGGTATCGGTTGCGGGCCGGTGTTTGCGCAATCAGAATGCAACTCCTTGCCTGCACGAGTTGCTCGTGAGTGCCCCGATTCGGCCTGGCTAAGCCGGAATGTGCCTCCGAGCCCCGGCTGGCCCACTTTTCCCCGCCGCGGGCCGTAAGAGTGTTGATTAGTGTTGGAGCTCTGGTATATGTAAGAAGGCTTCAAGTCTGTGGATGGACGGGGAATATATGATGGGAACGAAAGTGTTGTTGACTGCTTGTGCGGAAAGGGCCAACCCTGCGGAGTTTGCGTTGTGCGATGTGATCCGTAGTCCACTGGAACTCTGTACGGCTCCGAGAACGGGCAACGAAACCCCAGACCACAAATATTGTCGTGCGGGTACAAGTGGGTCATACTTATAACCCCGGGGCGGTTTTCAGAAAACTTCCCCGGGCCGGAGGTCCCAAGAACAACATCAACATGTAACCCTGGCCGTTGAATCTTCCTTTTATTTCTCGCGCCGGTGGCAGCCCAGTCTTCGAGCAATCATCATGCACGAGAAGCGGGACTCTATCGACGGCCCCGGCCAACGACCTCTGGCCGAATCTGCTTGCGAGCCTGCAACAGCACAATGCCAGAAAGGCACCAATGACGTCCAAGATCTTGCTAGCTCTCCCTCGCAGCTGCTGACAGTAGAGGCAGGCGCACCGCCACCGCCGCCTCTTGACGACAAGTCTGACTCCGGGGTAGACAACTACGTCAAAGACGAGACTTACCCGGAAGGTGGACTTGAGGCGTGGCTGGTGGTGTTCGGTGCCTGGTGTGGCCTCTTTGCCTCGCTGGGGTTGATGAATTGCATTGGGACTCTGCAGTCATATGTAGCTGAGCACCAGTTGTCAAGTTATAGTGAAGGTGCGATAGGATGGATCTTTTCCATTTTCACCGCCGTGTCGTTCGGCTGTGGTGTCTATATCGGGCCTCTTTTCGACAAGTACGGCCCTAGATGGCTGCTTGCCTGCGGGTCATTGTTTCTCATTGCTGGGCTCATGGCGACCAGCGCCTGTACTCGTGAGTCCACCATGTCCTGCGATATTTGCTAGCTTCCGCAAAGCTACGACTGACTTGTACCAGAATACTGGCACTTCATCTTGGCTTTCTCCATCCTCACAGGTGTGGGCGTGGCACTGCTTTTCACCCCGTCTGTTGCAGCAATTGGCCACTTCTTCTTGCGCCGGCGTGGATTCGCCTCTGGCATTGGCACTACGGCCGGCGGAATCGGTGGTATCGCATTCCCGCTCATCCTTACGCAACTCTTCGCCAAGCTCCAATGGGGCTGGTCGGTGCGCATCATGGGATTCATGATCATTTTCTTCCTCGTCGTCGCCAACGTTCTGGTCAAAAAACGCCTACCAGCACCCAAGAACGCCAGTCCGCATCCAGACTTCCGCATCCTCAAGGACAAGACGTTTGGGCTCTTCACATTCTCCGTATTCATGCTCGAATTTGGCTTGTTCATCCCGGTGGCTTACCTGCCCAACTACGGCCTGGCACAGGGCTTCTCGCGAGAGTTTTCGACCGGCATCATCTTGGCCATCTTCAACACGGGCAGCGTTATTGGCCGTGTCATCCCGGGCTACCTTGCCGATCTCGTCGGGCCGTACAACTCGAACCTTGGGTCGCTATGCATCAGCATATTCGCCAGCTTCGTCGTCTGGCTGCCGTTTGGCCACACGGTGCCTGGGCTGTCCGTGTTCGCCTTTCTGTTTGGTTTCGCATCTGGAAATAACATCAGCGTTGCCCCCGTGTGCATCGGCCGTCTGTGCCGGACACAAGAGTATGGGCGGTATTACGCAACGGCATATGTCGTCGCTGCTGTTGGGTGTCTGATTGGCATACCGATCGGCGGAGCAATCGTCTCTGCTTCGGGCGGCCAGTATCAGGGCGTCATCCTGTGTACTGGTCTGTCACAGACCGTCGCTTTCATCTCTTGTTACTGTGCAAAGGGCTTCAAGGTCGGATGGCATCCTTTGACAAAGTTCTGAGTGTTTGCATTTCAGACTTGCGCGGCTCCTAGTCGTGGGCGAGGAGATGCCGTTCTTGTTGCTGTGCATCACTCGAAATCAACGAGCCGTCGAGCATGTGCTGATGATGTGTGTGCGTGCACAGCAGCTGGCAGTCCATAGTATATAACTGTTCATTGGCACCAATATAAAGTAATATACGTAATATAGCTCAGAGATGTCTATCTGTGTGTCTTCTACCATAATCGGCAATGTCATGCTTCGATCTCGAGAGTTCACCTTGGCATCATTATTGTCCGGGACACGGATACCTGGACTGGCCGGGTGTCTTCAGCCATCACCTGGGAAACGCCTGGGTCGCTCCTGCCAGCACCACACTCGCCCTCGCTCCTCCCCTCTCCTAGCCATGCCTTCCTCGACCTGCCTCGCAGACAAGCCACTTGATTCCAAATAATGCCGTTGCCCTCCCAACAAACAAACGAACAGCCACTGGCGACCGTCGTACAGTGTGTCGGCTCGAGACCAACAGCAAGGCCCTCGTAGAGAAATGGTTAACTCGCCGGATTCCTAATCCGGAGATTGTCGGTTCGAGTCCGACCGGGGGTGGTTGGACTTGGTCTCGCGCATTGATTCTCACTTTTTTGCTTGGTGGTCGCGTGCATCGGAGATTTGTTTTTGCTTCCCACTTGCTCGATGCCTTGTTCGCTCTTTTGTTCTGCTGTCTGATGCCTCGACGGGGCCGTTAGGCAAGCAGTTGCTCAGGCAGCAAGTGAGATCTCCCTGTCTTCGTCATCACTATAACTAGAGGCTTTCCCCCCGCAAGAGATGGGCACCCAAAAGATCATCTTGCACCATTCTTCTCTTTCTTCACTTGCGACTTGAATGTGCCACGAGGGCAGATGGGTTTCGCACATGCACTCCCGGGTGGGCACCTCGAAACGCATCACCAAATGCTATTTGAACCACGCACAGTCCGTCACGGAGACAATATTATCAGTCTGTTCTCATCAGAAACCATCACAATCAAGAGCGTCGACCTCTTGTCCGACATGACCGACAGCGATCAATTGCAGCGAGACCCTGAACTTTCGAGGCGCTTGCCAATTATGCATGCAAAGAGGTCGTGCATCGGCATAATTCACGGCCGAGTAGCGTATGGATGCAAGTTGGGGCTGCAAGCACGTAATATCACGACAGCCCGCCCCTGCATTACGCCAACTCATGGAGGCACACGCAACCTGGCCTGCCCCTATAACCACCGCCAATTGCTTGTCTGAGGCGTAATGACACCACCGGAAGCCAGGCCTTATTGAGCTCATGTATTGGAGGTTTGCAGTACAGACTCCTCACCGTCCCACTCTGATGGCGTCGTTATCTATGGCAACATCTGCTCACATATGCACCACATGCAGGACAACCCCGGGATCGCTCCCGGCCAATGCGGCCCCAATCCTTCTTATAACTTGACAAACCCTCTCGAAACCAACGCTTTCCTCGAGGTGAAGCTTGGTACGCTTCTGGAAAGGTTATACCAACCTCAACACAGCTACTGTTTGACACGGCTTGCCAATAGCTGTGGGTCATCTTCGACATGGCCACCCACGAGTCTGGCACAATCAGCTTCCAAAAGTCTGATTCTGACGACAAGTATGCTTCGCAGTCAAGCCGGCATGTTGTGGATGACCAGCCTCTCAAAGCGCCATGGTGGTCTTACATCTGGGACTACGAGCCAGGCCGGTCCAGCGAAGAGCGAAAGTTTGTAAACAAACTGGACTGGTACCTCGTTACCATGCTATCTCTGGGCTATTTCATTAAGAACTTGGATCAGACCAATGTAAGACGTGTCCCGGCATACTCTTTTAAGTACTGCTTACTAATCAGCCTTGAAAGATCTCAAACGCCTACGTCTCCGGAATGAAGGAAGATCTCGGGATGAACGCCAATGAGATAAATTTAATCGATGTGGCCTGGACTTGTGGTTACGTAATCGGCCAAATCCCTTCCCAGATCGTTCTAACCAAAGTACGACCGTCTATCTGGGTGCCGTCGTGCGAGCTCGTCTGGACCATGCTCACGTTCTGTCTTGCCGCGGCTAAGACCTCGAACCACGTGATCGCGATTCGGTTCTTCGTCGGCCTGGCAGAGTCGATATTCTACCCGGCGGCTCACACCATCCTTGGCTCGTGGTATCAGCCACTCGAGCTGGGCAAGCGTGCTTGTATCTTTCACGCGTCTTCGGCAGTCGCTAGTATGTTTTCGGGCTACCTGCAAGCCGCGGTATATACTGGACTAAATGGGCGGCATGGATTCGCGGGCTGGCAGTGGCTATTTGTAAGTCATATCGAGATAAACCTGTTCATTACTTGCCTTAGCGCTGACAAAACAAACGTTACCATATATCACAGATTATGGATGGTGTTATTAGTCTACCGATTTGTCTCGCAGGCTTTTTCTTACTGCCAGACTTCCCAGAGAATACTAGGGCATTCTATATCACACAAGAAGTGAGTTTTGGAAACATACTGTGTATATTCACGAATAGTGATAGAGATAACTAACAAATACTCCTCGGCCTAGGATCGTACTCTAGCTGCTGAGCGGATGAAGAAGGTCGGCCGAGCGCCAAGAGCACGACTTGGACGAACTGTGTGGAAGCGGGTCTTTGGTAAGCTCTTGGGCGGAAGTGACGAGTTCACCCAGAATCAACCGTGGCTGACTGACTCCAGGCCGCTGGCACGTCTATCTTCTGACGATCCTTTACATCATATTCATCAACCTCGGCCCATCGAGCAGCATCAACGTTTTCTCCATCTGGCTGAAGCAGAACGGATATTCCGTATCTCTTATCGTGAGTTATACTGCAGTATGCCTCTGGGCCTGGCCTTGGCTCTAATAAGACTTCTCCTTCTGTAGAACATCATCCCAACGGCATCCTCTGCGATCCAGCTCGTCCTCACCGTCTCCTTTGCCATCATTTCCGACGCCATCCGCCACCGCGGGCGGATCATGTCCATATCGACCCTGCTCGGCGGCTTCGCGTCCCTGGTCCTCGCCATCTGGGCCATCCCCTCGGGACTGAAATGGTTCGCCTTCTTCCTGCAGCGCGCGTCAGTGCCCTACGGACCCCTGAGCATGAGCTGGGCCAACGAGATCTGCGGCCACGACGCCGAGGAGCGCGCCATCGTCATCGGCATCATGAACTCGATGGGCTATGCGTTCAACTGCTTCGTGCCGCTCTTCACGTACCCGGCAGTAGACGCGCCCACGTTCAGAAAGGGATTTGTGTACACCACTGTCATGTTTGGCGCTCAGGGACTGATTACGGCTGCTGTGGCGACGTTGTATAAGCGGGAGACGAAGCAGAGGGAGGCGCTTGAGGGATCCAGGGACGAGGAGAGCCCGGTTGTTGCTCCGGCTGCCGTCGCTTCTGGGGTGGAAGTGGCAGGGCAATGAATGCGGTGAAAATGGGTTCTCGCCTTCTATTCATAGGGCAGGTCCATACGCGCCGAGCCAGCACAGTCCGGGCATTGGGAACTGCATAATGGCAGCAGATAGTGCGAGGAGTCTGACCATGGACAATCCCAGACTGTTACTAGTAATGCCAGAAAGCCCTGCTGCGTCCTCGTGCCGCGGCAACAGTTTAATTTGAGCAAATTCTGTGTCCGCACGACTCTGATCATATAAGGGTATCGTACAGTTGATAAGGCGCAAAGTAGAAGCCATTGTCAACTTGCAACACAACGCGACCTCGGACATCCCGAGGATGCGAGCTCGTGGCGACACTGACCACATGCCCACCCTGCTCGACCGCCCACATCCGCCTCCCCGCATCCCACCGCGCAGCCCCCTCGTGGCCCGAGAATACCAACGTCATCTCCTTCTCCTCGGAAGGCTGCAGGAATACCTTGTCGAAAGCGACAAGCGACTTTGGTGGACGCTCGACACTCGCGGTCTGCGAGTCATCGTGCGCCGGCGAGGCCAGTTACACCTGGACAGTCTCTGCGCCCAGGACCGTGCTTATGTTCCGGACAGAGACTGTCACGGAGATGAGGCTGGTATTATTGTTATTCGCGCGCGCCTTGTCAAGGGGTGGTGAGATGAGCCCCTCGATGCGAGTCGGATTCACGGCAAAAGTCACAAAGGACAATCCGTATCCAAAGGGGAACGATACCTCCTCATCAGAGCCGTATTTCTGATCATAGTGACGATAGCCGACGAACACACCCTCGACATACTCAACCTCGAGCGAGTCGTACGAGTCGAGCCCGAAATTCCCGTAGCACGGAGTGTCTTCGATTCGGCGAGGCCAGGAAACAGGCAGCTTTCCACTGGGGTTCACTTCGCCGAGCAATACATTGGCGATGGCATTGCCCGTCTCCTGGCCCGCATACCAGGCCTGCAGGACAGAAGGCACCTGCTTGAGCCAAGGCATCTCAACAGGGCACACCTGTAGTGAGGAAAACGATCGTGCGCGGGTTTGCGGCCGCCACTGCCGCAATTAGTCTATCCTGCGACCTGGTCTCGTTTGGCGACCGCCTGGTCGCGAGGTCTTGGCCCTCGGTCTCCCATTGCACGGTGCTGCCAACGCAGCAGATGACCGCGTCCGCGGACGAAGCGATGCTCACAGCTTCCGCGAGGAGGTCGGCCTCCATCTCGGCTTCGGTGACGAGCCCAATGTGGCCCGAGATTATGTTGAGCATGAGGTGCAAGTCGCTGTTGGCCACGGGTGATGGGACAGACTCAATAACAATATCGTAGGGCTGGCCAGCGGTGAAGTGGTATTGGAGTCGTGCTCCTCTTGCACACCGAGGAAGAAGTCCATCGCATCTTTGGTTTGTGCTGTCCGAGGGCTCACCAGCTGCCCGTTTATGAAGAGCTTGCTGGGACCGATTCCTGAAAAGCTGAGATAGTGGTTACCTGAGCTGGGAGGGGTGTATCTGGTGGTATACCGCGCCGACTTGGCGCCTGGTGCAGCCTCGATCATCAAGCTCGTAGAACATCCCCGGTTGAGGTGGTCGACGAAGAAGGGCTCGCCAGAGCGAGTCTGGCGTATGAAAATACTCGCCCTTGAAACCTGGTTTGTTGTCGGCGAGTGTGCCATCCTCCAAGTCTGGCCTTGAATGATTCATGCCCAGCGCCCCGTCCAGGTCTGCCGCCAAAGATAAGCGAGAGGTGCCTGGATGGCGGCACAGCACACAAGTCTGTTCGCCACGGCTTCATGTGGCCATGGGCGATTACACATCAGGCCTGTTCGCGCGGAATCCTACGTTGCATTGCATATTCCCATAGCTGACAGCCTACCCAACCCCAGGCCCAGGAGCACCGGCTGACGATCTTGCCCGTAATCGTCGCTGTGGCATTATAAGTGCTGCCTTATCTGTGACTTCTTTGTCTACGCCAGCATGTCCGCTCCGTCCACTTGAACCCAATGCCGGCGTTCCCAGCTTGCCTCTGTACACTCCTAAACAGCACCGAGCCAACCGAAGCTGCCTCTCGCCTCCATCATGAGCGAGAAAAAGAACGCCCAGGAAGTACGCCTCCAGCATGTCACCCTCGAGTCAGGCTCCGATGGCGCCGTCCTGGCCACCTCGGCTCCTGCCGCGCAGTTCGAGGCTCACCAGCACGCCATGACCCGCATAGAGGCTATCAAGGAGAACTGGCGGGCATTGCTCTGGTGTAAGTTACGCCGCGCACATCCTCCGTCGAAAAAAGAACCGCGAGAGCTGACTGGGAGGTCCGAACAGGCATGTATGCCTTCTACATCTGCGTCACTTTTGGTTATGATGGCCTTGCTGGCAGTATCGTCGTGTCCATTGCCGCGTTCCGCAAGGACTTTGGCACGCCGTTTGCCGGCGATTACGCTGTTGATGCCAACTGGCAGTTGGGATGGTTGGCCGGCACCATCGGTGGTAGGTTCGCCAGCTTATCCTACCGTGCCGCTACCTCTCTCACCATGGTTCTTCACGTTGAGCAACTGACATCTTGATGTCCAGGTATGGTCCTCGGTGGTTTTGCTGCTGGTCTTGCAATCAATAAGTGGGGGCGGCAGCCTGCCATTGTGGCCGGCTTCGTCGTCTATATCGGTGGCGTCTTTGCGCAAGTCTTTGCTTCGAGCAATGGCCAATTTTTTGTTGGCAAGCTCCTTACCGGTTTGCCCATGGGCGTCTTCCTGACAGTCGCCCCGACCTACGGCTCCGAGATGGCTCCCCTCAAGATTCGCGGTGCCGTAGCCGCAGGCATGAACTTCGCCATCGTCCTTGGCCAGTGTATCCTCTATGGCGTGATGCGTGAGGCCGCATACTATACCGGCAGCATGCAGTACAAGGTACTCTTCATGACGCAATGGGGCTTCTGCGCAGTCGGCCTCCTGATCGTGCCCTTTTTCCCCGAGTCGCCGTACTGGCTCATGGCTCGTGGTAGAGAGGATAAAGCCCGCCAAAACTTGAAAAGGTTGCACGGCAGTGGCTTCGATATTGAGGGCGCCGTTGCCGAGGTCAAGGAGTCGCTTGCTCGCGTTAGCAACGACAAGGAAACCCAAGGCTCACTGAGTGAATGCTTCGGCCGTGATCAGTGGAGGCGGACACTTGTTGGCGGTGGCATGTTCTTCGTACAAAATGCGTCAGGCGCCATCTGGGTTGTCGGAAACATGGCCTACTTCATGCAGCTTGCTGGCTTGCCTCCGACCCGAGCTGCCGATACATCAGTTGGCTTGTCTGGCCTCATGGTCGTTGGTAACATGGCAGGTTGGTTTGTCGTCGAGAAGTTTGGCAGGCGAGGCTCCGCATTGTACGGCAGTGCGGCCCTCACAGTCTGCCTGTTCCTGATTGGTGTCCTGGCTGCTATCAACGTCCCGAACGCCATCTACGGCCAGATTGCGGTCATGGGAGTTTGGTCTGTTGGTCAGTCTTTGCCCCTTTTTACACGCCTTGTGAACCCAGTGCCGGATACTGACTCCTCATGTTGCGCAGTATACCAAGCTACTGTCGGCACCGCTGCCTGGCCTATCGCTGCCGAGAACGCGACCTCCCGCCTGCGATCCTCGTCCCAGTCCATCGTCACCATGATAAACGGTCTCTCGTCATGCATCTGGGCTTTTAGTCTACCCTACGCGATCAACCCGGACCAGGGAAACCTTGGGGGCAAGATTGCGTTCGTGTTTGGCGCCACAATGGCTGTCTGCACCGTCTTTGTCTTCTTCTGTGTTCCCGAGACCAAGAACCGCACTTATATTGAGATAGACGAGCTCTGGACACGCCGGATTCCGCCGAGGCATTTTGCCAAAACCAACATAGTCACTGTTGGCGAGACATAAAAGAGCGAGGCCTAGTTGCTCGATGTATTGTGGGAGGAAAGACCTTGTAGTGTATTTCGGCATGAACTGCTCACCTGATCGGTTGGTTGGCTCAACCCTTAGAATGTCAACATTCGTCAGATAGCTGCAACTCTGTTAGATGCCAAGGACGCCCTGTCGCCCTTCAGAGAAGACAAAGGGCAGCAGTACCAGCCGGCACAAGAAAATCGACAAAGCTACACTGCACAGTTTGGCGACGTTCTCACGATGCTCGAATAGGCACAGGCCCAAGTGGAAGGGCTCAGAAGCCGCAAGTTCACGCCACGAACGACGAGCCGATGTCAATCAAGTCCTTTGATTGGATAAGAGCCTTTGTGCGCAGATCGCCAGCCATGGGCTATGCTCACCACTTTTGCACAGATCATGGTACTCGGTAAATAAGCGGGCACTATTCATGCGCTCACGTGGCAGGGCTGAGCGAAGGCAAGTTCTGAAGCACAGGCGTGGTGTCTCGAACTGCGGTTCGAAGATGATCAAATATCGAGTGAGATTTTGTTGTGGTGCCCCAACTACGTCACACCTGTCGCTGATCCACGCCTTGGAGAGGCGCAGGCTCTTGGTGCCAAGCCTGCATTGCCACGAGACATGGAACAGATCGTCAGCACAGCCAACGCTTCTCACTACCGGTTCTTAATGGAATCTGCCTTCTTTAAATGTGATAGTTTCGCTAGAATTCAAGACTTGTCTGTCGCCGCTCTCCTCTGCACTCTGCTCCGCTCCACGAAGCACACAAGGCCACGTCCCATTCCATATTCACCATCAACACCATCTCTACTGTCTCTACTGAACCGCCACAATCTCTCAACCGGATCGGAAGCATGGACAACAAGAGCAACAAGCAGGCTGAGGTAGCCTCCAGCAAGCTTTCTTTTGATTCCTTGTCATCCTCTGAGACGGATTTCGTGAAACCACAAGATCATCAACAAGACCAACGGCAACTCTCAGCCTCTCCTCCAACATCATTGCTCTTCGATGGAGAATACATCGTCGACGAAGCCCGGCCTGAACACCCGCTGTATAGACTGGACTGGGATGTGACTCGTATTCCGCAAAGCAATCGCGGTTCGGCCAAACTTGAGAGACTGAGTTACAAAGACACTGGAGCACACGCGACGACCGACACACTCGCTCCTGACTCGGCAGAAGCACTACATCTGTTCTACCTCGTCCATCCTTTGGGGGCCAAGTTTCAGACCGAGCGGCCGGAGTACTACGTTACCTGTGTTCCCTCTTCACGGACAACAAGCGCCACTGCAACAAAGCCCAACGCTTTGGGCAGCAGTGATGTCACAGAGCCGGCCACATTGGGCAACATAGCCTTGGAGACTACAAGCACTTCGTCGCAACGCTTCAAATTCCTGGGCTTGGACAAGGAAGTGCAGAGAGCCTGGCTCAGTCCTGGGACAGACGCCGCGAGCCGGCCGGTCTTCTACACCGATGCCGCCGAAGACGACGCTGCTGAGGGCAGCACAGCTGACACCTCCAGAACTCTATTGTTCGAGGCTACGGGCGGCAAGAAGAACACCATTTGGACTACTTCGATTGTACATGGTGGAAGTGGGCCTAAAGATCCTACAGACATGATCATTATAGCCAAGGAAAGCACAGGTCCTGCTAGGCCCGTATCCAAAGGCGAGGCGGGCAGATTTCTAGACAAGAACAAGAGCTCTACTGCGTGCGCGAGGCTGACCATCTCGGTGCCCCTGGAGCAGTCTGTCCAGGACGCCCTGGTGGCGACGTGGGTTCTCAGACTGTGGCGAGACGTTGCTGAGAGTCCTGCCGCGAAGAAGGATGGTAAGAAGTCCCTCCCTTTCCCCCCTGACCCTCTGCAGTCTCTTTTTGTATTTTCACTACTCCAGGATCCCTTTGATCTGCCTCTCGCAGTTTCCGATGGTTCTGTTCTGGCCGTCGAAAAACGACGAAGATTGGCAAAGAATACTGATGTGGAACAGCATTGGAGAGAATGACGGACCCCGACAGTCTTCGAAGCAGCATGCCGTTCTCAAAGGGCGCGATGAGAACCGGTGTACTTGGTGCCTTTGCCGCTGCCGGGGGTGCAGGCTGAGTCCTAAAGGCTGGCTCAGATGAATGAATGGCGAGTTTTCTTCAAGTCGGGCATCTTGGCGTATTTTATGGATTTATGAGCTTTCTGAAACGCTGTGCATGGATTTTCACATTCCGGAATTGTGCTTCGTACACGCTACCCCCTTCCTCCTTTCAAGGGGTTGATGCGAATGGTGCTCCTACGATGCCGAGACCTTCGGTCATGATTGGTGATTCGGTCCTGGGAAGAACCAAGACAAACCCAGAAAGATGCTATCACACCGTGAAGATCGCCCACAAGCTCTCGCTGTATTCGTTGCTCGCGCATGCCAGAATTTGCGATTTCTCCGTGTCAGAGAAAGTTCTCCCTGCGTGCAGCCATTACAATGTCGAAACCCAGCTCCGTCTCCCGCATTACAGTCTGCAGTTCGGGCTTGTCGAGAAGTGACCGGTATTCGAGGATGATATCGACGGCGATGTCGCGTATTCCCCGGTGTGCCTCCTCGGTGGTGGTGTACGCCTCGTAAGCAGCAGGCGGGAAGTCATCTCTTGAGTGCTGATTCCGACACGCCTCTCTAAATTTCGAGGCAGCTGTGACGCAGAGCGGGTCGATGTCGTAAAAGACGCCCAGGGCGTAGACTCGCGTGTGATGGAGCAGTTCTGGGACACTGTCGATCCTGTCCTCGTACGGGCCGACGATGCTACTCTCGCAGTCAGCACAAGTCTCATTGACAGCCGGGTTGATCTTGTATTAGACATTACTCGTTTTCTTCAAGACTGAAGCCAAACACGTCGACGGCATAGTCTCCCTGGAGCTTGCGGTTGGGGTACGGAACAGACGCATAGTCCCCGGTGTAAAGAAATTCAATCATGGCGTTGATCGTCTGGGGGCAGTCCTCACGCAGCTCGACACGGCCCGTTTCTTTTTCCTGCATTTCAAAGAGCGTTATTTGTTTTCATGCTGAGGCTCTTGTGTGAGACATGTGAAAGAAGCACTACTAGCCATCATGTCTACCGAGAATGCCCTGTCGAAAAAGGATGACTGGGAGCAGAGAACGACCTTGTGGAGCCTGTACTCGTCCACACCGCAAGTCACAACACAGTCAGAGTGTTTGCCCGAGGCGAGGGCGCTGTAGTAGAGGGCATGTGAGCAAGGCTATCCGAGAGCAAACGATGGGGTGTAACTATCTCACCCGTGCAACCACGCGCAGTCTGCCATGGTGGAATCGCCGGACGGTTTTGTTCAAAGCGAGTGGATCGTCGATAGCTGGCGGGGTGATCCTTGGCCGGTGAACCGAGATAGTGCAGCCGTTGCCTCAGGATGTGTACTGGCGATACGGGTGTGCTTGCAAGCGGGAGAGTCCAAAGATCGGACGGGATCAAGATGAAGTCCTGTCAATAGGGGATTAAAACCAGTCCTGTCAAGATGTGGTGCCTTGCGTATGTCACCCTGCATGACTAGCCGCCAGTTTTGTGCCTGACAAGGCTTGGTTCAAGGTGCCTCATCTACGACTCCACGATGCCTGAGGCACAAATCGAGAACTCATCAACGAAAGAATAACGGGTTTCTTTTGTCCTCATAGAAGTATGGATCCACTCTGTGAGACCCTTGCGGGGCACAAACGGCGTGGTACCTTCAGGAATATCTAAGGTAAGCTTGTCCGATGTCGCTTTTCACCAGCTGAAAGCTTCATCGACAAAAATGTATGGCCTGACCATAGTTTCCTGCCGTGCAAGCCGCGAGATAATCGCCCGCACATCGTCAGCCATGCTCGGTGGCCCACAGACGACGATGCCTACCAGCCCGTCTCCTGGGAGCTTACGCTCTACTGCCTTTTCAGCCTGGTTGACACTTTCCGTCCCTACGACCGTCTTGCCCTTGAAACACTGGTCCGGATGTCCAGAAGAGCTCGGTTGCGTAGGCAGTAGCGCCTTCCGAAGGATCTGCTCAAGATCGAGCCGTGTTCCGACAGCAGTCTCGATCTTGGCCTTGTCGTTGATCTTGTCGAGCTCCGGCTGCAGCGCCTCGAGCAGTCCGGGCAGCCTAAGACCCCAGTAGAAGTCTGCAAAGCGCCCACTGGCACTATCCCTTGTAAAAGCCTGCAGATACGGAAGGACTGCCGTGACGCCGACTCCTCCAGCAATGCACACGAGACGCTCGCAGCCTCGAAAGGCCTGCTCCGGCTGGGCTCCGCTGTGGTAGGCTCCCTCGACTAGGACCCTAAGCTGCAAAACCTCGCCGGGGATTGCGGCGACGCGCTTGGCCAGCTGTGCTGTCATGCCGGCGCGCGTGCGGGCGAAGAAGTGCGTTGCTACTTTTTGCTGCGATGTCGAGCTCGTGATGGACGATGGCGGTGACGAGGATGCTGTGTCGGCCGAGATATCTTTGTCGGCTAGCTTTTCTGTTCCGGCGACCTGTGCCAGCGAGTGCTCCTGAATCGCCGCGTCTTCATTCCTCGCGTGACCAGCAGAGCTGGCAGGAGTAGAGTAGGCCACTGAGAACGGATGAGCCTCCCAGAACTTCCAGCTCAACGTCGGGAAGCACAGGTACGCAAACCCGCCGTCTTCCAGTCCTACTCCGTCGACGCGGATGTGCAGATAATCCTCGCCCACCACAGTGACAGTCGCAAGTTTCATGCCCCGTCCCTTGACGAGCACCCTCGCCATCCTCGCCATCCAATCCATGGCCCAGAGCGCGGCCGCGACAAACATCCAGATCTCGTACCCCCACTTGTACTCGTAGCAGTACCAGATATGGTAGTAGTACCCCACGAGGAAGAGCAAGCTCAGAAAGACATGCGAGGTCAGAAAGAACTCGTACGCTCTCCTCCGCACGACCAGCAGACTCGTCGGGAAGATGGCGCACACCGCCACGGTGCCCACGATGCCCCAGATCCAGTACTGCCTGACCAGCTCGACTTCATACGCGCCGAACAGCTTGTAATATGCCAGCAGCAGGACCGAGTGCAGCACCGTGTGCAAGATGACCCAGTATCCCAGCCAGCGGTGCAGGAGGAGATATGTGCTCCTCGACCACGACCCGCCACCACCACCAAAGACCAGCGCGAGCGGGTTGTTGCGCATGGCAAAGGTGTACAGCGCGACGGCGTTGCCCATCGCCATCACCCCCGCGCGGTTGCCAATCACGCTGAGCGACTGTGCGCGCACGGAGACGAATGTCGATTGCGGATGTGTGGCGACGTAGGGGCCCAGCAGGAAGATTATGTTGAGCAGGCCGATGAGCAGGATATAGAGTGCCTGTCCGCGGGTTGGGGCGATCGCGCCGCCAGTGACGGAGACGAGGACAGGTTCGCGATGTTTGGTGCCGAGCACGGCGGGCTGGATCAGGGCTGCTTTGAGCGTGGTAAAGAAGTAAGAGGTCCGCGTGCTCGTTGGCAGGAAGCGCAGCAGAGACACCATGACTGGGAGCGCGACGGCTACGGCGGCGATGACGACGCTGTGTTGAAGGAGGGTCCCATGTCAGCCAGAAAAATACTTAGTCCTTGAACGTTGAGGGGAAATTGTAAACGGAGTTGCAAATACTCCAGCCTACCTGTAGATAGTGTGTCCGTTCTCGTTCGTCTCAAAGTCCCACATGCCATTGTATTGGATCTGCCAGTCGTTCGGGACAATAAAGCTCGTCACATTCAGGGGCTTCTTGGCTGCGATGGCTGGCAGCACGCTGCTCACGTCTGGAGCACCAATGTCCATGTCCTCCCCGTCCATGGCCACTCCGCCATGCCGACGGGAAAATCGTCTCATCGCGCCATGGTCGCCGCCGTGGTCATCATTGTCGTTCATGGTGCTATTACCATGACCCGGCGCCACAGCAGCAGCAGCAGTAGCCTCATCCCTCCGCGCTGCCCGCAGCGCATCCTCGAACGACATTGCCGGCACCCACTTGGGCGTGCCCAGCGTGCCCGTGCCGAGATGGCCCGCCCAGTAGTCCGCAATGACCTCAGGCGACGGCGGCGCCTGGCCACCCCTGCTGTGTGGGCAGTAATTGTCGATGCACAGCGCCACGGTCTTGAGGAAGGCCGGGTCGCTGACGAAGCAGGAGGGCGGCGTGACGACGGGGTTGTGGACAGTGCCGTGGTTCACCGCCGCGTCGTCGTCCTCGGGCGCGGGGGTGCAGCTCAGCGGGCAGTTGCGGACGACGTTGCGGCAGGCAAAGGCGCAGGTCGGGTGATAGAGCGTCTTGCCGATGCCGATCATGCCGATGCCATCGCTCCGGGCAGGGTCGGCGAGGAGGAGGAGCAGGAGGACTGTCCACGGCGTCATGCCGCGAAGGCCACGAGAGAGTCCCGAGGTCGTCATTGCTGGTCTCACCATCGTGGCAGCTTCATTAGCCTGCGAGCTTGCGGTAGTGACAGAATGCAGGAGTAGTGCACCTAGGGCAGGGCGAGCGATGGTCGACGTCTTGGACTGGTGACGGGTAAGAGAAGTATGACATGTCTAGACACAGGAACGGCAAAGCCAATCTTTATTTCTTCTTCTCGGATCCCTTATTGGTTCACTAACTAAAGAACAAATGTATTGCCATGTGCTTTGGTGCTATACCATCCACGATGAGAGTCTTGGCGGCGTGCCAAGAGAGTGTGTTTGAGCACGTTGCAAGCCCAGGTGGCGTGTCGTCCAGATGGCACCAGTCTCGTGGTATGGCATAAGTTGCGTCCTCTTTGGGAAAGCATTTGGATAGCGACGCCACCATGAGGCTGGATTCGATCTACAGAGTTCTTGGCCAGTCTTTGGTCGTGTATTCACAAGTCCCATTGGTGTTCGCATGGTATGTGAGAGAGATACATGAATGCAAGCATCCTCTTCATTCTGGACAGACAGTTCCCAGCACGTTCATGAATTGCAACCAGAGACCTGGCCGTGAGCAAGTTTGCGTTGGTTTCTGCAATTCATGCTATGGGTTGTCTCATCCCTGGTGCTTGGCATCTCGGCATGCGCCACTTGGGTGGTGCTGACTGAACCCCTCCTCCGCTTACATACACAGTCCGGTCACTTTGAAGGGCCTTGTGTGTCGTTGCGATAGAGGAGCACAGATGAAAATATAGTGCTATAGAGTATATGCCACGGGAAGCGGCCTCCGCGGATGGTTGTTGCATCAGTCAGCGCCGTGTCGTGAGATGCTCGCAGCTTTGGCCTGCCAAGACCGCCGGACTGGCCTATGGTCTTAGGTTCCTCTGGCACAGCACAAATAGGCCGCAAGGCTGGTCTGGTCGTTCCTCACTGGGTCTGTGCGTGCGGAGAAATCAAAATGGGAGACTCCTTTGTGTGAGAAAGGACTGTCAGGTGCTCTTTCCGCAGCGATGGCGGGAGCTCGACAGCGCCCGATGAGACGTCCTTGTTTCAAGTCGTGGCGATTGAGAAGCCACATGCCAACTCTCAAGCGCCACATCACGCGATCAGCGATTGCTAATCATTTAAGAAGTGCACGGGTCAAAGCAAGCTCGTTGGACCGCAACCCACGGTTGTGGCAGGACATGATGCTGTCTAAGAAACGGAGACGAGATCCGAAACCCACCGAACGGCGCATTGGAGAAGTGGGGCAGGCCGAGTTGCCATTTCAGGGCGTGGGGCGACCTTGGCAGGGGCTCTGATTGGCTGTCTGGATTAGGGTTTGTCCCAGCAGGCGGCGCGGTCGGTCGGCCGAGCCGGCCGGAGGTTCCCCATCTCAAGGCCCGGCCCGGACTGCGCCTGTTCCCCATGGGGATGACATGACAGTGGACTCGGATCGACCTGGTGAGCATGGGATCACCATCTTTTCGGAACCCCTGGCAAGGATGTCTCTTGGCCGTAAAAGTCCTATGTCGGACCTTCCCTCCCATGGTGAATGGCCGCGCGTCAGAGAAACCATGGTGTGGGTGTGAACGTCGCGGTGAAACGAGAACGTAGTGGCCAAAAGATATACAGGATTGGCGAGTTGTGACCAACCGTCCTGCATGAATCGGGCTTGGCTTGTCGGGCCTCTGCGCTTCGCCAGCCATCTTTCTGTCTCGAAGCCGACGCTGACAGACGCGCAAGCTACGTCGCACAGAAATCCTGACGTCAACTAGCCGCCCCAGCCTGGCCATCACGCAACTGGAATATCTGGCCCCCCCGAGCCTGGGCCTCCGTTGCGCCTCATCGTTAGCGCCTCACGCGGAACGCGTAAGCAGCACAGAACAAAGCCCGCTAAGTGCCAGACCGATCTGCTGCCGTCATACGCGTACAGCAGAATGACGCTTCACCTGTGAGACGCCCTCGGATGATATAGTTTGTGGCTGGAAGCACGGGTCGGGGTTGTCAAACGCCCGATCTCCCATGGTATAAGATATTCACGATTGCCTTGGTCTGTTGGTTTGTCGTTCAAAGAGATCCCCAATAAAGGCGACCAGCGTCAGTCAGAATATCTGCAAGCCAAACGCCAACAGATCGCTGCACAGACACAGATCGATCCCCCTGATCCGAAGGGAGAAGAAGCAAATCCAGAAGAAGCAGAAGAAAGTTTCATCACACACTAACATGCGACGAGACGGTGTCCGAAGCGCGGTCATGCTGGCCTCCGTTCCCGCCGCCACGGCTCAGTGGTGGGGAGGCGCTCCCGAGTGTGCTGTAAGTCCACTGGCAACCACATTCCTCTCTGCACTTTGCACGGCCGACGGAACAAAGCACGTGCCAGCTCCCAGCTCCAGCTTTGCATCCCTACTCCATATACCCAAGAGAGAAGCCACTGCTTGCCCGCACAGATAAGAACACCCCAGCTAACAGCCTTCTCTTCTTACTTCCGGCAGCAATCTTGCCTGTCCTCAGCCTGGTCCGCCGCCGCAAGCCCCTCGACAACCATAACATCCGGCTCCTCGACCATCACCCCGGCCCCGTGGAACGGCTGGGGCCCCGGCGGAAGCGGCGGCTACTGGCCCGCGCAGTCCGACTACTGCGACGCCGGCAAGGCCAGCGCGGTCAACGCGTGCGTCAACTCGGCCTGCACGTCGACCCTGTCCTCCCTGTTTGCGAGCTACACCTCGCTCTCGTCGTCGCTGTGCTCGCGCTACGAGTCCTGCCTCGCGGCTGACCCGGCTGCCGCCACGGCGGTCCAGACCATCACATTCCCCGCGGGCCCGGTGACCTGGGCCGCTCCGGGGGGCTGGGGTCCCGGCGGCGGTGGTGGTGGTCCCGGTGGTCCCGGGGGCCCCTTTGGGTGGAAGAAGAGAGGTGTCGCCGACAGCTGTGTCGGTCACGGTGGTGGCGGTGCCGGACCCCACGGCCGGCGAGATTCGCCTTTGGGGGGTCCCGGTGGCTCTGGCGGTTGGGGAGGACCTCCTGGTGCAGGTGCTGGTGCCGGCGGCCCCGGACCGTGGGCACCCGGCTGGGGGGTCGACAGCACCCAGGCGAGCAGCTACTGGTCCGAATGGGCGTCTGCCTGGTCCGCGGGCAGCACGGCGACGTGGTCCGGCGCGACGGTCACCGTGACGGGGGCGGCCGCCGCGTGCAACAGCTTTGCCGGGTCGCCGTGGTTCGTCGGCCCCGGGGGCGGGTGGAACGGCGCGGGCGGGTTCAACGGCTGGATCGGCTGGGGCAGCGGCTGGAGCTGGGGCCCGACGACGACGGTGACGCAGCTCGTCACCACCACCGGCTCTGGCGGCTCCTCCACCGTGGCCACCCGCCTGGCCACCCTCGCGCTGGCCGTCAGCGGCGACTTCACGACCGGGTCGACGGTGGGTGCCGCGGCGGTCACGGGTGCGCCGAATTCCGGATCCGGTGCCGCGCCCGCCGCGCGGTCGGCCCTGGTCGGCGGTGATGGGGAGGGGAGTGTCGTGACTCGCATGTGTGCTGTCGCGGCTCTAACCGTCTTCCTGCTCGTGGGGTTGCTGTGAACAAGGTTCTCCTTGTTTCCGCGGCGCCCGCTGTCTCTCGAGGCGGTCGTTGGAAATGATGAGATGCATCATGATGATTGTCGGGCGGGCTGTATGGAGTTGTCCGGAAATCTGGACAAGGGTATCAACAAAAGAGAACAACATTCGTTACAAGCAAGTACGCAGGATATAATGCAGGTTCTAGTGGCGTATCACCAGCCATCCATCTCCCGGTAGCGGAGGCACATTTGTTTCTAGCCTGAGGCATATCCCAAACATTCGTTGTCGAATTCTACTCATAGTCGTAGGTAGATGATCCATTTTCACCACGTTGAAAGGACCTGTCTTAGTCCCGTCTCCTGCTCCGACTCCGCTCCCTGCTCTTCTCCCGGCTGCGTCCGCCGCCGCCAACTTCAAGGGTATCTCTGCGGCTTCGTCTCTTCTCCGCATCCCGCTCCCGCTCCTTCTCCTTCTCGCGCTCACGGCGCGCCTTCTCTGCCTCGCGGTCCAGCTGTCTCTCCCGCTCCCGGAGTCGCTCCTCTCGCTCTCGCTCCTTCTCCCGTTCCCGTTCTCGGTCGCTCATCCGCTCGCGACTGTGGATCCTCTCCACGACCTTCACGTCATCCGGCATCCTCGTCACGACCAGCTGCTCGCAAAACGCGCCCCAGTCGCCGCTGGTGCCTTCACGAACCGCGTCGGATAGGTCTTCGTGGTAGCGTTCGCGGTACGCACGCTTCACAAGGGCCATGTGCTTGCGGTCCCAGTGGAAGCGCACCAATCGTGAGATGAGCAATTCGCGGCGTAGTGAGTCCTTCTTCGTCGCGCTGAGGGCGTGGTTGAGCAGAAGAGCGTCGCGCACTGGCTTGTTAATGATGCCGTTCAGGATGTGAGCCAGCACCTCTCCCTATAAGCAAAGAGCCACGTCAGTAAAAAAGAATCAATATGTCGCCGTAGCACGTGCAAAAGAGACTCACCACTAGGTTGCCACTCTTCTTGAGCGAATCTCTGGCAAAGTTGCTTCTCGTCGTCTTCTCATACAGCTTCAGCACCTCCCTTAGATGAGAGTCGCTGCGCTGGATGACAATCTGCAGCATTGCAGTCTCACCACCCTTTTCGGCTCGCACCGCCCTGTACAGCTCCTCCACGTCATCGGAGATGAGGCGGTGGTCAAGCGGTATAGGCCGGCCGTACCGGTCACGCTCTTCCATGCGCTGACCCTCTAGGACCATGAGCACAGCTCGCTTGAACTTGTCCTCTTTGAGCTCCGTCTTCATGCACTGTGTCAGTGAATCGCGATACTTCTTGTCGCTGAATGCCTCCTTGATCTGGTGGATTTCCTCGTTTGTCCGCCCCATAAGCGACTCGATGAGCAGTTCGCGCCGCGTCTTGTCGCCCTGGTACCAGAAGTTGGCCCAGTAGGCCTCGCTCTCCCACATGCCCAGCGCTGTGGAGTAGCAAGCCTTCATAAGCGTCGGGTCCTCATCCTTCAGGCGGGCACGGATATGCTTTGCGACATTAACACCCTTCCTCTCGGGTCCAGTCTTTACCAGCCTCTTGTACTCGACCCGAAGCTCCATAATCTGCTCGTGAGACATGCCTGGAAGGACTTCGATGAGGGGCTCCACATCTGGCGAGCGTTTGTCTCCCTTGAGAGCCTTGGCCAGTCGAGCAGCATCGTCAACAGGATCGTGGAACCGTGCCCGCCGCTTCTTCTTATCCCCGGACTCGTCGCCCGACGCTCCGGGTGACAGAGGCTCAATGATGTCGAGCGAGTTGCGCCCATTAGAGGGAAGGAGCAGAGGCGAAGGCATTGGCGACATGGACTGGTACGTCCCGTGGTAGGACTCGAGCAGGGGCGAGGGCGGCGCGCTTGAAAGCGAGAGGTGAGCCGAGTGGTGTGGCGTAGTCACACTCAAGGTCGACATGCGTTGCGTTGGAGGCGCGTAACGCGACCCGGCGTCTGTCGTTGCAATACTGCTGCCAGACGCCCGAGGATCGGGCATGTAGGTTCCGTAAGAGGAGCCTGGAGGTCCGCCAGGGCCGCTGCCCGGTCCTGGCTGAGGGTAGCCATATTGTGGGCGGGAGTAAGTGGTAGGTGAAGTCACCGGCTCTGGCATTGGGGTAATGCTGCCGTAGGCAAGGTCCTCGTCGAGCTTCTCCTTCTTCATGGCGCTCTTGAACTTCTTGTTCTCGTCCCAGTCTTTTGCCTTGGACGCGTATTTGGCTGGCAAGAATGCCTCAGCACCACGCATGAGCTGCTCCATTGGCGACTCCTCCTGGGCCTTGCCTTCAGGGTAACGAGGTCGCGTACGGCCGTAGGAGTCTACTGGTTCCGCGTCGGGGCGGCCGAAGCGGCCGTAGCTCGACTCGTCGGTCGGAGAGGCCATGCGGTACGGGTCGCGAGGGCCGTTGTGTTCGAGATCGTAGTTGTACGAGTAGCCGGCACCGGGCGAGGGCATGCGGACGAGCTCGCCAGGCGTAGGCTGCTCGACGGCACGTCCACGGTCGCGATCGTCACGGCGACCGGGCGACTTGGAACGGCTACGCCGCGAGCTGTTGTCGACTTGCAGAGACATTCTGGACCACACAGATCGCCGTTGTACCGTGTCTGACGGTGGAGAGAGAGGCGCTGAGACAACTTCTGCGTCGTGTCGTGCCGGAGAGCTGGGGAAGAGACTTTTGGTGGAGGGGGCTGGGATGCTCGTTGCTGTCGGGGTGGAGCGCGGGGCTGGCTAGAACAGGATCCGAAAATAGGTTGCTCTCAAAGCTGAACCCTTGAAGCCAGCTGAAGCTCTGACCAATGATGGCAAAGGCGGAAGCACAGGTGCTAGCTGGAGCGCACCCACAGAAGATCAAACGCGCAAACAGACGCAAAGATGGACGGGTGTACCGCAAAGGCGGACTGACTGGAAAGCCGGGAAGCACAAGAAGAAAAAGAGCAGAGGAGAAGAGTGAGCAGCCGCCAAGAGCAAGGGCGGGAGCTTGTGACTTAAGAAATCGCTGGGGCAGTCACAGGGCTGCGTTAGTCCGCGTTAGCTCTGATTATTAGGTCGGCAGGGGCTTCTGGATAGCGTACCCCGGCTCACGTAATAGCGGGCTGGGCCAGGATTATTCTTACCAAGACAAAGCCTTTGTTTCGGTTGCCGTGGCCACCCCCTCCTCTATATATCTTCATCTGTCTCGTAGAAGTCCACGCGACAGACAAGACATGGACGTAGCATCGGCGCCGCGTAGTCGGCTGCGCGGGTGCCCTATGCGGAGCTGCGTCCCCGCTGCCGTGCTGCCACAACCCTGGCTGGTGCATGGCCGGCGCGTGCCACGACATGCTCGTGGGCCTCACGGCGGGGGCTTGGGCTTGAGGCCTGCTGCATCTGGCAGCTTTTCCCACCTCGCTATGTGCCGCAGCGCTGCCACCACAAGCACAAGGGGTCCTGCAGCCCGGCCGCCAGAGCCTCAGGGGTGCAGCTCGCTCTCCAGGCGGGCTGACGAGTCCATCCTGGGCATCCTGACGGCGCGTCTGGCAAGGTCGCATCTTGCGCAGAGGCTTTGGGCCGTGATCGGGATGCGCACCAAGCCTAACACGCAGGGGCCGAAAGTCAATCCAGCTTGCTGTTCCCCATCGGGAGAAAGCGAGAGACCCTCCGGGACGTTCGACATCATCTGACGTATGTTGCGGAGCACTTTGTCGGTCGTCCATCCACCCAGAGGTGCATGCTGCAAGTCATTCAGCTGTGTAGGTCACAGGGCGAGGAGGCTGTGCCTCTCTGGGCTACGGGGTAGAGTCTGCCTTCGGATCTGCCCTGCCGTCGCGTGCATGGAAGATCTCAAGAGGTGGCGACATCGTCTCTGTGCGCAGTGCATTCCTGGATGCCGCCAAGCTTGCAAGTTGTGTGGTGCTTCGGTACGACCGCACCTCCAACACGATGCCAGTTGCTGCGCACCGGCATGCCCGTCGATGGAGCCTTCCCCCGCAGCGGCACAGGACAGGGGTCCTGCCTGTTGCCATCCCGCTCCTTGGCACTGCACTGTCTCCAGACACAACGGCCTCTTGCTTTTCTCTCGTGTCCTGTTACTAAGGTGCCGAGACGCAGATCCATGGCATCTGGGGTCGGCTACATCTGAATGGCGGTTCGTGCGGCGGTGCTGCGTTGCGTTGGTTGGAGGCCAGATAGATATTGAGGGCGGGCCATCGAAGAGTCAGGCGAGCCTTCCGGACACAAGCATGCCAGATTTGTAAGATTCCCATGCAGGTCTGGGGAAGTTTGTCGTGATGCATTCGACGGATCCTCTTGAAGCGGAACCTGGTTTGACCAAAGCTTCAAGAGGTTGCGGGTGAGCATGGACCACAGAAGCTCGACTTGTCTCCGAGGCTTGAAACCGGCCTGGCCAAAAAAGTGTATTACATAAGCCCCGAACTGCAGCCCACTTGCACTCCCGCCCAATTCTGCTCCACGTCACAGGCCAAGGACTCAGGAACCAAACATCACCTCAACTTTCTTATCGCCTCCGCTCGCTGTGCAGCCTGCGCATGACCTTCGTGGCGTCTGCAATGTCACAATGAACCACGACAGATCTCTGCCGCAGCTCGATACCGGCGCGGGCCCGGCTTCAAGCATCCTGCGCCCGCAGGTGGTCACGCGCGCCGCCACTCTCCCTCTCGACTATCATTCCAATCCATCCTCGCCTCGCGCCAGCCGACTCCACCTAGCTCCCGAAGATGCCTTCACCGCAACCTCTCCGCCCAGACGTCTCTATTCCAACGACTCTGCTGCCGCAAGTGGCCTCGCGACAGACTCGGGCGCAGAGTCAAACCGGCCTAGGCGATCGCGCCCCAAGCTCGACAACCGCAGCCGTAGCAGCAGGAGGAGCAAGAAGCGCTGGAAGAAGCTGCTCTGGGTCAAACAGTCGTATCCGGACAACTACACCGATCAGGCCACCTTCCTCGAGAACCTCCAGCGCAACCCGCGGTTCCAGCCCTACGAGTTCTGGCCCCTCGTCGCGGACTCCACCGTCATTCTCCAGCAGGTGTGCTCAGTCATCATATTCGTCGTCTGCTTTGTCGGCATTTTCCAAGAACGTGTGTCACCGGTCGCAGTCGTGGGCTGGGGTAGCTTCGCCACGTTCCTGGGCTGGCTGGTATGGGATTGGTGGGTAGGACAAGAAGACGAGGACGAGGTTGCGAGAAGAGAAAACAAGAACCGCAGACAAGCCGCGCGGGAGCACCGACGAGGCCGTAATTCTGGCCTATCCGGCTCACAGTCTGCCGCAGCTTCGACGACGAATCTGGTCACCATGGACCGCACGCAGTCCTCAGGCAATCTTGGAAATCTGGCAGCCATGCGCCAGGCTCATTCTACCTCGGTCGTGTCACTGCATTCCACGGCTACGCCATCATCAACTGCGGGCAACGGTGCTGGTTCGAACAAGCCGCCAAGCGAGTCATCCGACCACCTCCCCCCGCTGCCTCCTGCGCAGCGTGTCAACCGCGCCAGTCTGCGCATGAGCACCATCAAATCGGCCATTCTCATCTACTTTACCCTGTTGGGACTATCACCGATTCTGAAGTCCCTCACGCGATCCACGTCATCGGACAGCATCTGGGCCATGTCATTTTGGCTGCTGACAATCAACATCTTCTTCTACGACTACTCTGGCGGGGTGGGTGTAAAGTTCCCGGCCTCTCTATCGACCAATGCTGCCTTGATGGCATCGACTGTGCTTGCTTCCCGTCTACCGTCTACAGGCCAAGTGTTCAGCCTGACTCTGTTCAGTATTGAAGTGTTTGGCCTTTTCCCCGTCTTCAGAAGATATGCTCGACACAGAAGCTGGAGATACCATGTAGCGCTCTCCTTGTTCCTCATCATCGGGGCGGGAGGCGGACTGGGCATGATCCTCGCCGACAACAAAGACGCTGGAGTCTGGCCGTGGAGAGCCGGCCTCATGGGCGTCGTCGTGGCCATGCTGTTGTCCATCGTGGCCATGGGCGGCTGCAGCTGGTGGCTCATCAGCCTGCAAAAGTACAAGGAGGCTATTAATGGGCCTTGGGACCAGGCCCGGCCGATTCTGATTAGCAGGAGGTTATGGAATGATGACTAGAATTGTTTTTCTCATTAGAAAATAGATTAAGCAAGCGTTCGATCATGAATTTAGGGTTTTATTTTTTTCTGGAACAACAAACCATGCTTTCAACTCTGCCTAGCATATTCGTGTAGGTAGTCCCCATCCACAGCAGTCGGGCCAGGCGGTCCCGAACATACGGACGACGGTCTGGCACTGCTGACCGACAACCCCACTTCTCCACACAACACCCTCCTTATCTCCCGGAGCAGCCCGCCTCGGCCGAGCCCGAACCAACCGGAACGCAGGGTCCAAAGAGACTTATCTTGCGCGTCACCCCGTTGAGCAAATGGCTGCGGCGCGGAATCCAGCGCCCGGATTCTGGTGACTGCGGCCTTATCGATTCGGTTGGCAGACTGATTGGTGCCGGGAGGACTGCCCCGCCTGCCGGAGGTGCCTCCCCGTCCCAGCCTGGACGAGAATGAATTAGTGTATTGCAGTTTGTGAATCCCGACCTCATGCCACCTATTGATAATTTGTTCATGGTTTGCTCTCTCTATCTCATAAATTAGACCCAGTCAACTCTCTTGCCGGTTCAGCTACTTCACAAACGGATTGATCTTCCCCCGTTAGCTTTCTCTAGCCTTTCGGGCGAGCAGAGCAAGAAAACCCGTGAATAGTCGACCGAGCACATCGGCATCACCACCATTCTTCAGCAAGTTTGCGACACAGGCAACCGCCCATAATGTCCAGCATAACCATAACCTCGACCTCTTCTCCCGCCGCCGCCGCCGCCGCGGGGGACAAGCAGCAGCAGCAGCAGCAACACGCCTCCCGTCTCACAACACCCAGCAAAGCCCTGCCGCCCAACACGACCCGCGCGCTCCTCCACTTCGCCGTCCCGCCTTGTCGGCTCGGCCACGACCCCGCGCGGTACCTGGACCCGGAGGTCGGGCCGTCGTGGCCGCTCGAGGCGCACGACGTGGGGCTGTACGATCTCCGGTCCGAGCTCGATGGCTGCTCTTCATCGTCATCGTCGTCGTCGTCGTCTTCGGTGCCCACAAAGACGGTGATGGAGCAGCTCGAGACGCGCGGGTTCGGGGCGCTCAGGCACAAGAGCGGTGCCCTGGGCAGTCTGGCGGAGCAGGATGTCTGGAACGCGGCGTATCTCGAAGTAAGGCGTTTGTTGTTGTACTTACTTTGCGCTGCTTATTCTTTTTTTTTTTTTTTGCGCTGTTGCCACAGTCAATCGTATTTTTGAAGTCCCACTAACGAATTGTGTTCAAGGAAACGAAAGAGTGAGTGCCCTCGACCTCCTCCTCCCCCCCCCCCCCCCCGCCCGAAGTGTGACTTCAATGATCTAGAAGGAAGATGAAAGATCAAAAACAAGAAGAGTCAACAGGTTGCAAAAGTGAGCCAGCCGCTTTCGAAATATAAAACTAACCGGAGCCAAAACCCTCTCTTCTTTTCAAACACAGCCTAATCAAAACCCACCTCGGCGCCACCGACGTCTTCATCTGGAACTCCGTCACCCGCTCCTCCTCGCCGAGCACACACACGCCCTATACGCCGTCCACGTCGGCAAACTTCCAGACCACGGCCATCAAGGGCCTGCAGTTCGGCACCGCGACGGTCCGGCCCACCGCCTCGGGGGCGCACGTGGACCAGGACGCGCCCAACTCGCGGCGCATGTGCCGCGGCGCCGCCGGCGGGGACTGCTTCGAGAGGTACCGCCGCGTGCAGCAGATCAACCTGTGGCGCCCGCTCAGGGGTCCCGTGCGGGAGAAGCCGCTGGCCGTGTGCGACGGGGGCAGCGTGCGGGCGGAGAGTAAAGGGATTCACTGCGGTTTGTTTGGGACGAGAGTTACGTTGCATCATGATGGTTAGTTTTTCTTCCCTTTGTTCTTGATCCTGTTCGTTCTTATCCTTCTCCTTCTGCTGTGTGCGTGGGGGGGAGATCGCCTCGGCCTGGTTTGTTTTGTTTGTTCATTTGTTTGTCATCAAGCGTGAAAACTCTTCCTCATTTCGTGACTTGCCTGCGGATCTCTTTTCATTATGATACTCTCCCCCGAGAGTACATGTACAATTATATATATATATATATGCTCATCCGCAGCTGACACCTTCCACACCTCGACAGACTCGCAGAAGTGGTACTACATCAAGCACCAGCAGCCAGACGAGTGCCTGCTGCTCAAGATCTACGACTCGGCCGCCGAGCTGGGGGGCCATGCCGCCGAGTACGCCCCGCACACGGGCGTCGACGACTTGTACGGCGCCGACGACGACCTCGAGAACCCAGCCACGGAGAAGGAGGCGAGGGAGAGCATCGAGGTGCGGATCGTGGCTTGTTATGCTTGAGTAGCCTTTTTTTTATACCTTTCTTTTTTCTGTTACTTTCACTGCCTGGGACAGTTGCACTGTCCGAGTCCCGCTGGGCTGGGGAAGTGAACGGGACCATAATGTTGGTGGTTGACTTCTCAACACGGCACCCAAACCCATTGTTTTGGTTGGGATAAATAATACTCGCACTTTGGCGATCATGAGCATGTGGCATTGCTTCCTTTTCAAACAAGTGGAACATGAATCATATTTGCCGTCCAGATTCTCATGGCAAAATCGAGCTCCTACATTGTGACCATTGATTATGAATGCAAAACCAGTTCAAGTTCAAGCAGGGAATGCCATATCATGACTTCCTCGACTCGACCGCGCGAACATGCCGATCATGGAGCTCCTGCACAGCCGGGATGATCAAGCTCTCAATCTCGACCTCGGGCTCCCCCTCGGGCAGACTACTTGGATCCATGGGCTTGTTCGCCGGTGGCGACACGTTCTCCCTCGTCTCATCATCTGCCCCTGTCCCAGAAGCATATCTGCTGTCCGACGCGCCGACGAGCGACTCCACCCCCGTGGCGGTCTTCTTCCGCCGGTTCAGCGGGACGCGGATCCAGTTGTCCTCCATGCCCGGCGCGACAAACACGACCTCCCACTTGCGCGTGGTGAGCAGGTTGCCGATGACGAGGTGGTGCTGGTAGCGCGCCAGCGAGTACTTGGCCTTGTGGACCAGGATTTCTGGGTCCGTCTCGAGCTTGAAGCTGACAATCATGCCCTCGGGCGCCCAGCCGTCGACCAGGTTCTTGAGGAACTTGGGCACCGGGTCCAGGTCCACAATCAGGCGCTTGCTCCGCGGCACCGCGGGGGACGAGTCGAAGTTGTCAAACTCTTCTGCCGGGTGGGCCGCAGTGTCGCGCTTCTCCGTGGTGATTGTCGTCGGGCCTTGCGTCTGGGCCTCGTCCGCTGGCTGCGACTGCGGTTGCGACTGCTTCATGTTCTTGACGGCGTCGGTGCTCTGGATCTTGTGCTCGGCCATGCGCTCCGGCGGCACGAAGAAGTCGCTCACGGCTGCGGCGAGATACAGCAGCCCTCGAGGCCCCAGTGGTCGCATCAGCCGCGTTATAGCGCGCAGCTCGTGCAGATAGTCAGTGATGGTGACGAAAGGCAGCATGAGCAGCATGTTTCGGTCCCGGGCGGCGTTGTACTTGCGCAGCACACGCTGCATCTTCTGCTGGTGCAGCGGGTTCACGACGACATTGCCAGTGCTGGCGTCCTCGCTCATAAAGTCGAGGAAGCAGTCTGTCGAGTGGCTGTAGTGCCGACTGTAGGGAAGCAGGCTGAACTGGCGGTGCAGGAAGATGACGGCGTAGCCCGACTCGAGGAAGTACTCGGCCGAGGTGGCACCACGGGTACCAGCACTGAAGTTATCGATGAAGCGAACGGTCTGCTTCTCGAGGGGCACGGTGGTGCCGCCCGACGTGATGAGCACAACGCGCCGGCCCGAGGCGGCGTGCTCCGTGATGAAGGCCTGAGCGGCGGCGCTGTGCTGGGCAAGGGCCTTTGGTGGCGGGTTGGAGCTGAAGTAGGCGTTCTCTTCCTCTTGCAGGGACGACATGGCCGTGTCGGCCGTGTCCTGAGTCGACATGGTGTCTTGTGACGAGGACGAAGAGACGGAGCACGCTCTCCGACGGGAGTCTCCGAGGTTGAAGGAGAGACTGAGCAAGCTGGATGAGGTGGATGTGGACGATGTGGACGAGGCCGAGTCTATCCTCTTCTTTGTATGAGGGTTCTTCACGTCAGCCATGATGTAGGTAGGTGAGCACAATTGGCGTGTGTGCATGCGATTTAGGATGAACAGCAGAGATGAGGCCTGATGCAAGTCACGCGTATGTTGAGGCAATGGGGAATGTTGGCAAGACGACGAGATATAAGCCAGGCCATGAGAACGAAGAAGGGGAAAGGAAGGACATGTTTATCGCACGCAGTGAACCAACGACCTGCCCCGTGGACTGGCCGTGGGAGAGTTTTGGTGCCCGTGTATGGGCCGAGCTGGCAACCGAGCTGTACCTCAGTTGAGTACTTCGAGGGCGCACGGGTGGTGTGCCGCTGAGGTCAAGCTTCGTGCCGCCAAGGTGTGAGGACCTCGGCCCCCGGCTGTCGTCTCGGTCGGAGACTTTGGTTGGGGCCGGGTGTGGTGGGATCCCGCCACTGGCTGATGTCACACCTGCACCTCAACTGCCGGAGGGAGGGCATGATGCCAGGCATCTTGAGGACCGGGCAGACGAGGACTGGAAGCAAAGAAGACGAGGCACTCACCAACCGTTATCAGCGATCGTGGGCGGCGGATGGTCTGCGTCTCAGACGTCCGGCATTGATCTCATGTTGATGGTGAAGTGGACAAAGTGTGACTCAGCATTGGATGGACAAGCAGGCCATCACTCGAGCAAACACCCTCGATCACCCTGTGTCGTCGGGGCGGGGGAAGGCGGAGCCGCTGCCTGCCCCGCCCTTCCGTCCGCCCGCAATTGGAGAAACTCCGGAGGCGAGCTCTCAGTCTCCGCCGTCGCCAATCAGCCAGTCAGTGGTGACATTGCCCAGGGCGAGCCGTCCGCAGGGGAGCAGGCATGAGCGCGGAGACATGGCACTCAACGGCGCGGTGTGATTCCGCGATGCAACAGGGCTTCTTTCTAATGTGCGATGGGAAAGCTTAAGACCGGAGCTGGCTCGCACGTTGGAAATCTAGCACGATCTGAAGGTGCTCGCTCAACCACCAAATAAGGTTACCGTCCTGAACCGTTCAACAAGGGGAGGGAGAGGCTTGCCAGCTCCAGTGCATACTGTCCATGCGTGCAGAAATTGACGGCACATTGCGCCAAATGCCCAGTGACAGCGCGTGAAATGCAGGAGCCGAGTTAGGATCCATCAATTGGCGTGACGTGTCACGGGCGGAAATTGTTCGCGGCACCCCAAACGTGGAGGCCGCGCGGCTCTCTGCGCGTTCTTAATCAAACCACCACCCCTTATTCATTATCGTTCTATGCTGGATGCTATGCAACAAAAGGTCATAATCTCGTCCTCTTTTCAGTCCCTCGCTTTGGGCTCTAGCTCCGTCATGGGCAGCGACGTATCATAACCTTCACCTAGACCGCCATAGGCCATGTCCTCACGAGAAGGCACAGGGGCGTACGCCGCCTCTGCGATATCAACCTTCTTGCCAACTCCCAGCCAGTCAACAACCACCTTGCGCGCCAGAACCACACTGTTGAGATCAACAGCTCTCCAGAAGTAGTCCGACACCAGGATGGTCCAGATGAGCGTACTGAAGTAATACAGGACAAAGGCCGGGACGTGGCTCCACTGCCACTCCTTCACGACGTACTTGAGGATCGGCTCGCCCACGGCAACTCGGGCCATGCGCTGGAAGAGGTAGAAGGAGTAGCTGATCTCTCCAAGATACGAAATCGGGGCAATGGCAAGGAAGCGCTGAAGGAGCGGCAGCTGCTCAAGTCCCCAGATCATCAGTACCGCGCCAATGCTACCCCAGTACCAGATCCAGCCCTCGCCAGGAGCAATCTTGAGACTGTCCTGGAAAATCTGGGGCGTGATCCAGTAGAACGCCTTGTACGGGTAGACAGCACCGGGCTGGTTCTCTGGCCAGCTGCAAAACATGAGCCCAAGCAAGACAGCAACAACGCCGGCCACGGTTGAGATCCACTTGTTGGGCTTGAAGTCAGGACGTCCAATCAACCTGCCAATGTCGGCAGACAAGGGAGCGAACCTGAGCTCGGCGACAATCATGCCGCCAAAGAAGCAGATAATGTCCCACCGTTGGTCGACATAATTGGCCCACGCCATGAATCCGACCAGGATGGCCTTGCGCGGAACTGTCCGGAGTCTGCAGGTCGCAATGAGCATGAGGAACACAGCCAATGACAGGCGGTACTCGTAGCCAAGCGTCCAGCACTGTTGGAAGTGGTTAGGCAGCTGCTCGGGCGTGCGCCAGTTGAACGGGTTCATGACGGGCACCGCCTGGTGCCAGAAGTTGAGGAGATGCTGGAACAAGTTCGGCGCCTTGTCATCAAAGTCGGAGACAAAAGGCACGTAGCGGCAGACGAAGGCCTGGATGAAAACAAGGGCCAGCATTGGCGCAAACAGGCGGATACCACGGCGGAGAATGGAGGAGCAAAAGCTGGTGAGGAGCTCGTCAGAGACGGCCAGGCCACTCTTGGAGTTGACCTTGCGAAGAGTCGAGTACGAGAGCACGAAGCCCGAAAGAGCAAAGAAGATGCAGACCATGCCCTTGCCCGTGTGCACTGCACGGATGAGCGGCAGCTGCACGAAGTGGTTGTTTTCAGCCAGCGGCTCAACACCATACGGCCTGAAAATCCAGGGACGGTCGATTTCCCCAGTGAGATGGTGGTTGAGAACAACCCAGCAGGCAAGGCCGCGGACGCCATTGAGATAGGTCGTCGAGGCGACCTTGGGCAACTTGCGCTCCGTCAGGCCGAACGGGGCAGCGATGCAGAAGGGGATGAGCTTGTAAAACCATCCTCGAGCCTGCTTCGCCGAAGGTTGAAGCCATCTGGGAACGGGGCCCGAGGCCACAGGGACGTGTCTGAGCGTGTCGTCGCCATCAGAGGCGTTGAGCGGCAGGCTGGCATACTGGTCGTCCTCGGTGGCTCGGGTGTTCGAGCTCCATTTCAGGAACCCAGCCATGGCTTGTTGAGCTGTGCACGGAATGCCGAGTTGCGGCCGAATGAATCAAAGAATGAAGGTGGTTTGAATGGGACCAGGTCAAAGCTTGGTGGTGTACCCTGTTGCGGAGGGCGAAAGGCGGCAGAGAGCGTGGGGGACGTTCGAGGCCAGCGGACCTCGAGAAGCGTCGAGTTGTGCGAAAAGAGCGACGTTGGAGCAAAGCAGAAGAAGGAGCGGAATGGTCGTTGACTGGACGGCGGCCAGGGAAAGAACGACCGACACAAGCACGAGGTGAAGCACGGGGAAGAAGCAAGAAGGTGTTCGACCCTGCGATGCAAAGAGGCACAAGTGAGTAGGTCAGTCCAGTTCATCAGTCAGGAGACGGGTCTAGCCAGGGTCTGGTCTGGCTGACAGAGCCCGCACTTGACGCAGTCCCCATTCTTTGCTCGTCGGCTCGTCCAATCCAGCGAGACTGCTGCAGCAGCAAAGCCGACCAGATCGGACCAGCACACAACCGGTCCGGGGAGGCGCACGCCAGGAACAAGACAAAGGTGCACTTCTGGCGCTCCCAAACCCCACTCCCGGTGACGGAGTGACCAGGATCACCGGCTACTGCTGGCGGGACGCTGTATCCTCGCGTGCTCTGAAAGCAGCAAGGTTGCTCGTGTCAGCGCAGCTGGGCAGGGCTTGTCACAGTCGGCTCGCGGGATTGTGAACCCTGCCCCTGGCCTAAAATAAGGCTCAGGGGCTCTGGATTGGTGGGATCGGCGTCAGCCCAAGCCCCACTGCACGTGCTGGACGCGCTCTAGTCAGGGGTTCTCATGCTCGGACAAAGCAAAGACCTGCCTGGCCTGGCCAGGCCTGGCCTTACTGGCGAGCAAGACCCTCGCAAAAGTCTGACAGGTGCGACAGGTTGGTCCGACCGCCACCTCATGATGCAACTTCTACGAGATGATGTCTCTCATCTGGTGCAGAGGAAATCCGTGTTTCCCGTCTGTGACCCGGACAAGAGCGCAGTGAGCGAGAGAGGCTGCCGATGTTGCCGAACAACGCCTGCGGATCGTCCCGAAAAGAAGCCAAATTTTGTCACAGATCAACATTGTCAAGGTGGGCTCCCAAGGTTGCGGTTTGAGCTGCTGCCCTAAGCTTCTCCAGGAGTGGCGCCTCGTACCGTCGACCAACCGGCCTGCTTGAGCCAAGGCTGGCCATGCGCGATAAGCATATTGTCGCATTACCCTAGAAATGAATTTCCACCATGCATCGTGGCTGACAGGGGGATCAGCGCATCAGGCGCGACTCCAACACGGCAAGCAAGCCCCTTGGTGGCTGATGACCCTCGTTGCGCCATGCATGCTCTCGCAATATGCAATTTATATCACGCATAATCACCTCAATAGGCGATCATGTAGGCACGATTCTTGTTGTTCAGATTGAGCACTCCAGCAGAACGCTCCCACGCTGAGAAGCACGTAGACAGAGCTTGCCCAGGGACTTAGCGACAAGGGCGAGTTGACCTTCCAAGGTTCCAAGGTTGTTATGCGGGGCGATCCCAGGTTTGAAAGTTCACCTGGGCAGGCATGAACAACTTTAGTAGCCCGCGGCGCTAACCCACACGGCGCGCCGCCACAGCATGTAGCAAGCGTTCTAGATCATCAGTCCATTCAGTGGTTGCATCGTAGAGCCAGACGATCTCACGTCCCCTGGCGAGTCATGCTGCTATACTGCGTAGCTCCCACTTGACTAAAGTATGTAGCACGGGTAACGATGGACCCTATCGGTAGCTTTTCGGGAAGCCTTTTGCGACCAGCATTGAAACTTTGTAAACGACAGTCGAGTGCGGCTACTGTAAGAATGGACTGCCTCCCGCTGTGCTGCAATGTCGTATGATTGATCTTCAAAAATTATGATGCTCATTGTGATAGACGTATGCTCCTGGCGCCGTCGCAAGCAACATCGCCATCATGCACTCACATCTCGACCCGCCACTCATCCCAGCCCTTCTTCTCCCCAGGCAGCCGAACAGCCTCCCAGTCCTTTCTGGTCACGCTCTTCCAGTCGGCCGGATCGATCCAGCCGATGTACGCCCTGTCACCGAAGCCGCCAATCCAGTACACCTGGGTCACGACAAGCCGCACAAACTCGGACTCGTGGATGCGATTGCCGGGCAGCCAGTACTTGGCATCAGGGTGCTGCTTGACAAAGCATGCGGACACGCCGTCAAGCTCTGATGCCTCAATCTTCTCAAGGTATCCGAGCAGAGAATACCGCGGTAGGTTCGCGGCCGAGTAAGGGACCGAGTCTGCACCGTTCGAAGAGGTCACCTCGTCGCCGCCCTTGCCACCAAAGATCCAGTCCCACAGACTGGCCGGCCCGGACTTGATTCGCTTGTCCGGCGCGTACCTGGGTGTCCAGGCCTGCGCGAGGCTGATGTTCGAGCCGGCTCGCACGTTCTTGAAGGATGTCGCGATGTTGATGGCCAGGATGGTCGGGTTGCCCTCGTCCTCGCAATCGGCGACGTAGTCCATGAGGCCCAGGGGCACGCCACCCAGTCCGGCAGGGCGGCGCTCCTCGGCCGAGTAGTGGCCGTCTGGGGGGTTCGGGAAGACCGTCGCGAGAGTCCCGAGCGGCGTGAGGGCAAGGATGCGCCGCCCGAGGACGGCAGACTCATGTGCGGTCGGGATCCGGCCGAGGACAGACTGCGAGTCCTCTGGGTTGCTGGCAATGTGGCTCAGCGGACCAAGGACTGGGTCCGCAGTGCTGCAGCTCGCCAGCGCTGGTACCAAAGACAGGGCTTTTGTGAACCTCATGATGTAGAGCAACAGATGACTGCGAGGGGGAGGGGATGGAAGAGTAAGAGCACGGTCCGAGCCGAGGTTGGAAACCGTCCTACTACCGTCTGAATGTCGATCAAGAATGCTCACCCTAGTAGTACCGCACTTCCAGAGCGCGTGAAGAGGACAGGCTTGAGTGAATAAAGGTAATGATGGAGGAAGTGCCTCGCTACTTCCCTTCAGCTCGAGGACGAGCACATGGATGAGTGGATGATGATCACATGAGGCCAAGACGGACGATTCCCCACAAGAGCTGTGGGCTAGCGCGGAACTGACCTGACGCAGGCCTTATCAGATCGCTTGGCACTTCACGCATGTGCGACTTCGGAACGGCGGACGGTCCCATTTCAACCTGGTGGAAGGGGTCGAACAGTGGCCTCGAGCGCTGGCAGGCGCATGAGTTCAGCTGTGAACCAGCCGAATTCCGGAGTCGTGCATGCTGGTTCGCGGCGCAGCAAAGATGCTGAAAAGCCCTGATGATTCGACAGCGAGGCGGGAGGAGTGCTCGTCCAGCAAAACGTGGACGGGCCTTTGCTTCGAGAAGTAATACTCACTGAATCACAAGTCTATCTAGATAGAGATAAACGCGTCTGGATGACCAAGACGTGATCTTAATTTGGCAAGAAGACACCCAACAATCGGTGCCAAAGTGCACTGCTGCACACGCTCGGAGGGACCAATCCGCCTCAGCCATCCGTGGACGAACCTGCAGGTGGGTCTAGCTCCAACCCATGGGAGTGGCTACCCGGCATCAGGACAACCTGAACTTATCGGGTGCTATCGCCACGTGATCCGCACTTTTCGCCTCCGAAATTGGAAAATTAAACGAGGAAGGGGCCACCAGCTCTGACTCGGCCAGTGACTCTTCGATTTCGCCGGCTGGCCCACCCCCCGCTCACGCTGCACCTGGAATCCCTCCTCGTAGAGACGCCTCCCAGCTCGTACAAAACTTCGCAACCCTCCACCCCCTTCGTCTCCCACACATCGACAGCATCACGCAGTAACTGCAAGAAATCGACAAAATGGGAAAGGTTCACGGATCGCTCGCCCGTGCTGGTATGTGCCGCCTTGATGATGATAATGGACAAGCTGTGATGCGGCTGTCCATGCGCGCGCGACAAGAGATGCTGACAATACTACAGGCAAGGTCAAGTCTCAGACCCCCAAGGTTCGTCAACTCTACCATTTATGAAGCCCACGACCACTCCCCTGGATGCATCGGAATACGCGAGAGGCACGATGAAGCGATCACAAGCGATGGAAGGCACGCAAGAGAACCAACGGGCGACTCGACACCTCAGTTCGGATAGATGGCTGGCAGACTCGACGAATGATCCGGGTAACCATCAGCATCTACACGACACCCGCGATTGCTTCGACACACCCATCACTTCAACGTCAACGACGGAAGCCCTTATTCTCTGGTCCTATCGATACGAACTCTGACCCGCCACCACTGCCGCCACCGCCTGATACCGCCCTCGCTGTCGCCATCGGCCCTCCGCGTCGATATCAATCACCATCACTCTACGACCTCAAATGACGCAGAAGACTGATCAGTGAATTTTACACGCTCTACAGGTTGAGAAGCAGGAGAAGGCCAAGACCCCCAAGGGCCGTGCCAAGAAGAGACTCACATACACCCGCCGTTTCGTGAACGTCACCCTCACCGGTGGCAAGAGAAAGGTGCGTCGCGGAAACTTTCTGTATGGCTCTTGATAACCAATCAGAATACTGACTCTCCATCTGCTACAGATGAACCCCAACCCCGGCTCCTAAGCAGATCGCCACCGTTCTCTTAAGTTGGATGTCCCGCTTCATATATGAGAGCAGCACGAAAGCATGACCAGGCCTGGACGACTTTTTTCATTGAATTGGGGGAAAAGCGACATGAGAATGGCAAGGAAAGTGGGTACGGATGGAGGCGGAAACGTCAAAGAAGTCTTCTGCCCATGAGCACATTCTCGTCCGGCATGCCTGACGGAGTTATATTGGTTGTTCTACCTACACGAAATGTACATGCTTTGACATTTTCATCACGGGGCGTCACACGCCTTTACTGCTCGAGCTGCACACGCAATATTAGGGTTATGGTAGTCTGGTCCTTTCTAGGCAAAGGTGGGAAATGGAAACAAAAAAACGCCAAATGCAATGAATTTCTGGTTCATCATGCGCTCGCGCTCCCAAAAAGATGTGAATGGATCTTTTGCATATCGCCACCTGCCCATCTCCTCCGCGTCAACCTGCTCCTCGGCTGCAACGACGACAGACTTATGGAGGCACCCAGCCCAGCTGCTCCATCGGCCAGCGCACCCATATCTTGTACTCGTCCTCGAGCAACGACCAGATCCGGCCCATTAGGTGGGCGGCCCAGCCCTGCACCCACCACCGCGCACTCATACGATCGAGCAGGACGACAAAGTGGGCGAGGATGAGCAAGACCTCCTGGGTTGGCTGCTTGAGCAAGGGGAGCACCTCGTCTGGGAAGTCAAACAGCCACATGAAGACGGTCGCGTCGCCCAGGGCCTGGTCGTTGTGCCGCATGCTCTTGCGCAGCTCGTGCAGCCAGTGCAGGTATACGGCCCTGTGGTGGGCGGGGACGTGCTCGCGCGGGCGGGAGAGGAAGCCCTCGAGGGCGTCGAGCCGGCTCGCGCGCTCCGAATCTGGGTCTGGGGCCGCGGCCATGGCCTCGCGGGCGTTCCACGAGTCCCGCCCCGAGCCGAAGACTGGTGCCAGGGGCCCTTTCTGGCGCTCCTCGACACTGAGGGTCTTGACGAGGGCAAAGGAGCCTCGGAGCAGGAAGATCCAGTCTGGAACGCCGCTGGTGGTGGTGTCGAAGAAGAGGATGTCGTTGGCATGCTCCTTACGAGGGGAACCGAACGCTGTGACAAAGTACAGTCAGTGTTCTGTTAGTAATCTCTTATACAGCGCCTGTTGACTGTACCGTAGAAGACTGTGAGGGCGGAGAAGATGAACAGGTTTGGTGCCGTGTCGGGGCCGAGCTGGTTCATGGCCGCCAGGGCTTCTCGCGAAGCTATCTGGTGATGCTCGGCGGCCAGAGACAAGTAGTGGCTTCTCATGCTCTGCAAGGCATATCATATCAACATGAATGAGCACTTCCATATCCGAAGGATAAGGTAGTGACATGAGGCGACGTACTGGACGATAGTGGGCCAGGTGCAATGCTGCCAGGGCGAAGATGGTGCGCATAATGTACTCGCAGCGGAGGCCGAGCTCGACATATGTGCAGCGGTAGAAGTCCCGGAGGGCTATGTTGTCCGTGAGAGTGGCATATGTCGAGGTCGTGTAGTGATGAAGCAGCTCGAGGTCGGCCATGTTGAGGCGGCCGCTGCATTCGGGTGAGAGTGTGCTGCCGTTGTGCCGCGGCGAGGGCGCGTGGAGATAGTCACAGGAGACATTGTGTTTTGTGCAGTTGCGGCATTGGGGCTTTTCTTCGTCGCACTTGGCGGCGTAAGGTCTGCTAGTCAGGAATCGCGTTTCAAGAGGTTGTTCCTGATTGATCGAGCCACCGCGGGGAGGACCGCTCCTATTTACTGAGGCGCTCGCTCACCTTGATCTTTCTGGACTTGCAGGTCTTACATCCACTGAGGCCGTTGCATGCAGGAGGTTAGACTTGAGAATGATGTCATGGCTGGTCGTCCGTGTGCTTACGTCCTGGTCTTTGCATGTGTCCTACGAGACGCCTTTGCCGGCGTGGGTGCAGCCAGCGGCGTGCCTGTGTCCATGTCCAGGTCCATGCTGGCAATCATGTTGCAGTGGTGGTGATGGCCTTCAGGGACCTCGTACAGCTCGGGACCGCGCTCGGGTGTGCTTGTGTGGCATGTACGAGCACCAGGCTAGTAGTATGTACATGTATGTATTAGTCCCAGCCGCTGTGGTTATAAGCGGAGGATGGAGCTGTCCAGCGCTGCCCGACCAGTACCAGTACACTGCCTCTGGGCCACGCGTACCAATCTCGACGTTTGCACCGCCAAAGCTGCCAGGAATATGGCAGCCTGAACCTGTGGAGTCCAGGCTGCCGCCTCAGAACCACAACTTCGTCGTCCCCGACACTGGTGTGTCGCCTGGTCGTGCTGCCATGGCTCTCTGAAAAGGCCCTACAACAACTGGGTCCAGCCGCGCTAGCGCACTTGGAGGCTCGGCCGCTGTCCCTTTCTGGACTGGAATCCCCTCGTACCTGGACCCGAGCCTCGTACACGATGCGAAGAGTGGCTCCCTGTATTCACCTCCTCCTACATGCTACCGCGATTCTCAGCTCTCTGCACAGCAGCGGTGAGGATCTCTCACGCCCATGAGTGTCGGAAGACTACCTGCCTTTACCTTGTCCTTGTATCCACAGTAACTCGCGTTTCTCGCACCCGATTCTGCATCGTTGCTGTTGCTTTGCTTGGCAGCCTCAGAAAAGCCATGGCTCCAGCCCATATAAGTCAAGCTGCTGCCCAGCTATCTCCCGGTCGGCATAGATCAATTGTCATGATATGATAGCTCTTCGAGGGCGAGACTTCATTGTATGCGCCAATCTCGACAACTCCACGATCCCCGGAGACTGTCCGACTTGCACGAAGCACACTTTCCACTCATCGATACACTGCCGGCTTCGTCACCAGCAATACACTCTTTGAGCAGCAGCTTACAATCATCATGGCGGAAGACAGCAACATCTTCCACGGCTTCAGGTACTACTACTTCGAACCGTCCCTCCCGGCAGCCGCCACATTCCTCGCCCTCTTCGCCATCACCACCGCCGCCCACGCCTTGCAGCTCTACCGCCACCGTACCTGGTACTTCATTCCTTTCCTCGTCGGCGGCATCTGTGAGACGGTCGGCTACGGCGCCCGAATTGCCTCGTGCCTCCAGACGCCCAAGTGGACCCTCATTCCGTACATCATCCAGAACATCCTGCTCCTGATAGCTCCGGCCCTCTTCGCTGCGTCCGTCTACATGATCCTCGGCCGTCTGATCCGCCTCGTCGATGGCGCCAGGTATTCCGTGATTCCTCTCAAGTGGCTCACCAAGATCTTTGTGACGGTGGACATTATTGCGTTTCTCCTCCAGGGCGGGTTAGTCTCAACTCACCTTTCTCCCCGCTCTTCATCTCTATAGAACTCTCTCTGGCTAACCGCAAGACTCTTTCCACAGTGGCGGCGGCATCCTTGGCGTAGCAAAGGACCTTCAAGCGATGCACACGGGCGAGTCCGTCATCATCGCGGGCCTTTTCGTCCAGCTCGTCGGCTTCTCCGTCTTCATCGCTGTCGCGGGCCTGTTCCACCGACGCATCAGCCTCCAGCCCACGCCCGCATCCTCCACGACGACCCTCGCCCGCCGCGTGCCTTGGCAGCGCTACCTCGTGGTGCTGTACCTTGTCTCCACGCTCATCCTGGTCCGCTCCGTGTTCCGCGCAATCGAGTACATCCAAGGGTTTGGCGGGTACCTGCAGAGCACCGAGCTGTTCCTGTACGTGTTCGATGCGGCCCTCATGCTGCTTGCGATGGGTCTCCTCAACGTGTGGCATCCGAGCAGCAGCACCGTCTCCTCGTCTGGCGTCTCTTTTTCGAGAGGGGGAAGAGGCGGAGCGACATTCTCCTCCTCCTCGTCTGGATTCTCGGCGAAAAGACTGGCCGAAGAATCCTTGACCTCAGACTCGCAGTCTGCCTCCCACCGCACCGCTGCTGGTCCTGGAGACTCCGCAATGACGACGGCAAACTGCAGCGATGGGGTCACGCCTGCATCAGCGACACCATCAGCGGCACCATCAGCGGCACCATCAGCGGCACCATCAGCGGCAGAAACGTCTTTGTCGCCAGAGAACGCGATGGAGCTCAGGACGCTCGACAACAAGCCCCGAGCACCACGTCGCACCCGGCAGCATCAGAAATAAAGCCATGTGCGCTCTCATTCGCACGCCTGTGGAACCATCGTAGCAACGGGTTCTACCCCTGGAACGGATCATCCCAATATACTCCCTTCCATTCGAATCCTTACGGAGGGAAAAAGCGGGCGAACATCTGTCCGCCCTGCGTCGTCTTCTCGCACACACGACCGACGCCCACAGAGTGCAGCCACTTGATTCTGCCGCAAAGCGAAAGGTGGGCACAAATATAGAGTTCTCTTGATCATATCTGTTGTGTTGTGCTGTGCTCCCCGTGAGGTTCTGTGAATCCGGGGGTTGATCGGGGAAAGGGGAGAATAATTCCTCGGGCAACCCCCACTCCGTGTGCGTGCGCACGTGCATATGTAAAGGGAAGTTGGATATCAGCTCTTCATAACGTATATATATTCCCCGTGGACGAAACTTCGGAAATCCTTGTATCACAGTACAGAAGGCAGTAGACGGCCTCAACTGTAAGGCACCCCGGTCCCCGCATGAGACAGAAGTCCACGAGTTATCACGGTTCACTTACCAGACGTGGTTGTGTCTCAGTCGGCAAGAGCTACAATGTTTGGCCCCAAGAGTGCTCTGAAAGGGCGCAACCCAAAATGATTAAATATCGAGACGGACCAATCCTCACTGAATTGTGTACAGCGGCATCCTGTATAGACGGTGAACTTTGGTCAAAGCACCGGAAAACGGAAACGAGACAACACCATGTCACGCGTCAAGAGAGAGTCTGCTGGGCAGTATAATAGCAAAGCCAAATTGGTATATGATATTTCATCATCCCGTTCGTCAACCCTACTCCAATGGCCTCGGTAAAGCCCATGAGTGTATCCAACCCCCACCCCCCAACTCTCTCTAAAAGCGATGTGATGTGTATAGTAAGTCATCTGGTATCAAGTATCCGCTGTCGTAAAAACCCTGCAAGCCCTTCCCTGAGCCGAGGAACAGGAGGGGAAGTGTATTAAACCCAAAATCAAAATCCCGACAGTAAGCCGCCCATTGTACATGATATCTTCGAGATCGATCGTGACGGAAAAATAAGACAGACCGTGGCCCGGGCAACCCAAATGCTGCTCGCCCCACGTCCACATTTCCAGGATGTGGCACCCGCTCGACGGCGGGCTAACATGGCGCACCAAAAGCCACAAAATTGTTTGATTAAAGGTGATCAAGGGTAACGCCTCAGTGTGTACCAGCACATGTGGAGAACTTAAAGCCACCGCAAAGTTCGTAGTTGTGCCATGAGCCTTGACTTTGGCGAGGTATTAGTGCTTTCTGCGCGAAAGCGGAGGCATGCTTCGAAAAGATGTGCGGTTTCGTGAAGGCTGTTCAGAGACTCATCGTGAGCCATTCCCATTCCTGAGGGCCGGCCCCAGCCCCAGCAGGACCCATCATGCCGTTATGAGGGAGGCCGGTCATTCCCATCATGTTCGTGCCCATCACGGGCCTTTGAGTCATACCGAATCCGTTGGCAAGCCCGCCAAGACTGGGAGCGCTAGGCAGACCAAAGCTGTTGGTGGAGCTGACTGACCGTGCTGCGTCGTTTGAGCCAGTAGAGTTCTCGGGACTGTCGACATCCATGGATTCCTGTTGGCTGGCACCTTTGCTGCTGCGTCTTTGCCTCTTCGAGCTGCTACTTGAGCTCGCACCCCGAGACTGAGAGGCGGCTCCAGGCCCAGGAGTGTTCTTGGGTGGCGCCGCAGCAATGGGAACAACTCCTTTCCCGCCAATGGCCCCACCCACGGAACCAGCGTAACTAGGCGTGCTGCCGGCAGTATGCACGCCGCCACCACTGGCACTTGCAGGGCTGTCACCATCATGACCGCTGCTTGCCACTCCAGTGGTTGGTGGAGTCACAGCCTGTGTATTGCCTGTGCCAGTTGAGAGGGTCATGGTCGAGTTCTTCCGCGAGCCTGGCCCGGAAGTTGTTCCAGAGTTGCCAGCACCCTTCTTTGAGCGAGAAGACGAGCCTCCAACGGGAAGTGAAGCGCCGGAACCTCGGTTCCGCTTCTTGATCACATCAGTCTTCAGACTGAGCGGACGGACGACACCATGAAGCTTGAGGAAAAGACCACAGGCATTACAAAGTGGTTGGCCTTCCGGGTTCCGCCGCCACAGTGGCGTGGTCTGTGTGAAGCAGTTGGTACATGTGGTGGGGGCACTGCTGTCACCTGCTCCGGCGGCCTGTAGGTTGGTGGCAGAGCCCTGTTTCGAGCCGGGCGGGGGCGGAGACGAAGGCCGGCTCGGTGCGACAGAAGAGTAACCAGACCTGTTACCAGCATTATCGGTTGGCGGCGAATTGGGCGTAGACTGCGCGAGTCGGTCGAACGGGTTGCCCCTACCCAAGTTTGCACCTGGGGTGGAAGCTGTGCGAGGAATCTTCTGTTGTCGTCGATCAGCGTTGGAGCGGAATGATTGTGTCCGTGGAAGGTTGCCCACATTATTGTCCCATTCTCCCTGGGTCTCACCGCTGTGCTCATTCAAGGTCGTGCCACCAATAGTGACTTGTTTGCGAGGTGGTCCTCCAGGGTATCGAGCAGCCTGCGTGCTAAATTGGCCAGGCAAAGAGGCATCCCATCCCATTGAGCTATTCGTGTTCATGTCCATGCCCGACTCATCGCCAGGCGAGAAACTCTGGTGCATGCCCAGGTTGCGGTCTGGGAACGCGCCCCCGTCCTCATCCTCGTTGTCCGAATCAGCGCCGAAAGAAAACATGTTCTCTTGCATCATACCAACTCCAGGAGACCTCATGGAATGTTCAGACTGGAAGATGGTGTTGGGGTCAACGTTGCCGAAGCCGTCATTAGAAGCAAACGGAGTGGCCGAGGTATCGACACCAGTGGTCGAAGGCGGCAACATCGAATTGCCGCTGGGTGGATACATGAACTGCTGGCCCATGGGGTTGCTGACTTGTGGTGGCCCCGTGCGGTAACCTTGCGAACGTTGCTGGCGTCCTTCGAGCGAATTAAAGAACATGCTCTCGTTCTCGGCCATGGGGTGTGGTGTCGACACGGCGGACTGATACGCAGAGCCTGGGGGCGAGTAATAGTCTGCGCCAGTCATGGAGTTCTGGCCCACACTGGGGTGGTTGTACATGCTGTTGTAACCATTGTGTGCTACCATTGGTGAGGCAGACGGCGAAAAGGAGAAGTTCTGCTGGAGCGGTCCAGCAGACGTAAGGATGGGGTCGGGACCCATACCAAAGGTATCGATAGAGAATGGCACACCAGAATGGGACATGTGAGGAACTGAGGAGGAGTGTGTCTGGTCCATAGGCTGGTGGTCCAACGAGTACTCATGAAGGTCAGAATCGGCCTCGAAATCGTGGCTGATCGAGTTGCTCGTAAGAGCGGAAACATGCGGGGAAAACTCAGCGGGCCGCTTCAGTGGCCGGGTCTACGTGCAGATGTTAGTACGACTGGCTTTTAAGATACCGCGCCCAAGGTTCGTCACGTGTGTACTCACCCGACGATCGTCGATACTTGTTTTGCGGTGATGCCGAGTAACATAGCCAAACTCATCCTGGCGTCTCTGATGGTGCGCCACAGGTACAGACTGAGGAACAAACGCCTGGGCCGACGGAGCCTTACGAGACTTGATGGAGATGGCACCGGGGCCAGCCCCCATCGTGTTGTACTCGTGGCCATCATCACCTGGCTGGTGACCCTCTGTGGCCAACGGCGATGTCTCAAGACCAGTGGGAGAGGACACATTTTCGGGGAAAATGAAGTCATCCAGGTTCATTGGATCATTCTGCTGCGCAAGATTCTGGTCTGACGTCTTGCGTAGCTGCGCAATGCCGCTTGGGCCATTGGCGGTGCCTTGGGGCACAGATAGTGTATTGGCCTGCGCCTTCCTGGAACCGGGCCGAAGTGTCAGTGTCGGGATCCATGGACGCATACGAACAAGTCACTTCCAACCGTTGCTTACCTGGCTTTGGCCTCTTCCTGCTGCTTGCGCAGATCGACGTGCATCATTCGCCACGTCAGGTTCTCCATACGCCCTTGGTGGGGGAGGTTCTGTTTCGTCCTGCTGAAGAATTTCCATATCTGGGTTGCGAGAGGGTCATTCTGTCGCATGTCCTCAAAACTCTGCTCCTGGCCGCCCAGTCCATTCTGCATCGCGGGGAACATGGAGGTCTGCAGAATGCTGTGCGTCGCAGTGTCAACAGGGTCCGAAAGGCCCAAGTCGGCGCCGCCCATCATGCCGCCAGCCTCGAAGCCAGCAGGCTTTCGAGCCTGCGGCGGCTGGGCCGGGTTATTGTGGCCCAGTGGCCTCCGGGGGAAGCGGAAATCGTGCTCTGCTGTGGTGGTGTGCATGGTGTATGGAGAGCCTTCCATGGCGAACGGCGTCATTACCATTGCCATGCCAGAAGAAGCGGCTGGGTGACTTGTCTTGGGCACGCCCGGCACGAATGCGCGCGTGTCCCACGATCTGTGAGTCTTGCCGGTGACGGATTATGAGCAAGAAGCGCTCAGGGCGTCATGGATTGGTTGAGGCGGCGGTGGGCGTCGGCGATTGTGCGGCGTCGCTGTTGAAGCCGTCGTGCGATCCGAGAGTTCCCCCAGGTTGATCCGGGGGCGTGGGGTTTGGTTTGTCGGGGGGTAACCAAGAATCTCGTGAAATGTGATGTACGAGGACGGACCCGCGATGGAGAATAGCTGTCGCAAGAAGAGAGTCCCCGGCGGCGGACGTTGGAGAGAGAGGAAACTATCACGTAAGAGATGGCAGAAGGCGGTTTAGTGGAAGCTCACGGGCAGAGAGAGACTGTGGAGGAGGGCCGGCGGCGAGGGTGTTGGACGCAGGCAGGCAGGCAGACAGGGAGGGACCGACGGCGGGCACTCAGTGAGGTGCGGAGGCACGCAGGTGCGCCGCCGCAGCAGCAGCAGCAGAATGAGCCTGCGCGCACTGCAGCGAGTGATTGGGCAGTGGTTCGCAGGCCTGGCCCGGTTGCCCGCCGCCCAAAGTCGGGTGGTGGCCCTGCACTTGTTCGTCACTTCCAAGCGCAGCGGCGGCTTTTGTGGGCTGCTGTGGATGCCGACGGGGGCCCCAAGTGGGCTGGTGCTGGGAATTGGCGCACGTCGGGGGCACCTGTCCTCGGTGCCATTCCCTTGACCACGCCCGCCCGCCACGGCTCGACTTGACGCAGGTCAGGCCCTGGTCTACCCTACCCTGGGCGCCGCCGGCGAGCGGGACCGACTTGACAAGCGTGAGCCTAGCCTCTGGCCTGCCTGCCTGCCGGCGTCGCTCCAGCAGTCGTGGGATTCTAACTGGACACACTCTTCTCAGCACGAGCACGCGGGCGGGTGGGAAGAGGCGTCTTCAGGCGCAGGCGCCGTCCGTAGCTGCCGCCAGGCCCGACAATATCACCGACGCCCTGGGGCTTCTGCACTGCATACGAGACTCTCGAGAGTCCGAGAAGTGTTCCCGCCGACCAGGGCACAGGCATGAAGTCCCGTAAGTGTTGCCGTGAGTCGCTCCGCTTCGGCTAGGCGAAAAGAAGGCTGGCAGGGGGGACTAGGCCAGGGTCGACAAGTTCGCTGCAAATGGCCAGTGCCGGTTGAGCTCTGCTAGGCGTCGGCGAGGCAGGGCATGGCAGGGCAAGGCAGGCGGGCAGGCAGGCATGGCCCGTGGGGGCTCGCCTGCTGACGGCGGTGGTCGGCCGTGAATGGCATCCCCTCTCGTTGGCTCATCTGCTCAAACAGGACAGGCACACTGGAGGGCGGGCGTGACGCGGCCATTATGGCTTTCTGGCCATGTTGTCGTGGATACAGTCTATCGACGGCGTCCGCAGCAGTTCCTCCGGGCGGCTTGCGGGTCAAACAGTCGTGCAAGATCCACGATCCCCACGACGACTTGTCCCGGTGCCCTTTACCGGTTGAGTCGAGCAGGTCTGCAGGATGTGGATCTGCATCGAGATACAAACTCGGGATGCACCCTCCCTTCTTGACCTGGCCTAGGAAGGACCTGGAGTGGGGTGCGCCGACGACGACACAGTCATGTTGCAACTCAATGTATCAGGCGCAGCTTGAGCTCACTGACTGGTGCGAGCAGCACCAACGGCCGCATCTGGCCGTTCCTGTGCAGCAGGAGGATGAGCCATGCGGCATCGTCGCAACGAGCCGGTCTCCTTGGAGGCTCGTCGTCTCGAGCGTCTTTGCCCTGCTTGGCAGTCAGCAGCAGACGAGCAGTGTCTGGCTGTTCGTAAAGATGGGCCTGGGGGATTATTACCCGGGCCAGGGGTCTGTGCACTTGTCCACGGGCGACGAAGCCGGGAAGCAAAAGTGATGACCACGAGCGTTGACAGGACCATACTGAACATCCTTGTCTCACATGCTTGGCCGGCCGAGTTGGTGGCGCACCAGGACCACCTTGTTGCTCGTGGCTTGCATGCTGCAGGGTGGGAGCCCACAAGCCGCTGCGCAGGCTGGCCAGACAAGAAGCTTGTGAAGGCTGCCCTCGTCGGAGCGACGCCGGGCATCAGACGACACCCTCCTCCTCCTCTCGCCGTGGGCCAGCAATAGATGACGCCGCGAGTAATGGGCGTCGAGACCAAATGGCAATCCGCCGCTCGTGCGTTCTGGCACTTACATTGACGCTCGTGATTTTGGCATGGCAGGCACAACTCGATTAGCTGCCCACTGACTCGCTGGTCCTAGCGGAAGGAGCGCACCTTACCTCGTGGCCACACTCGCGTGCCTCTGCCCCATGTCATGCCACTTCCCAGTAATTTGGCGGAACCCTCCAATTGCCGGGTGCTTTCTCTGAGACAACACCAAGCGCCACGCCTTATTCCTCGCGGCGCACGCTTGTACAACATGGGCAGCGTCACGCAGTTCGGCCGCTCTTCCTCGTGGCTCTGCCCCCCCTCCTCCCCTCCTCCTCCTCCTCCACCTCGTCGAATGGTCTGCCCTGCACTGCGACATCCCTGCCGCCGTCTCCGGCACTACTGCACGGAACAACACCCAGACGCATCGTCACAGCACCGCCTACGAATGTGTGTTCCTTTGTGACACACGTCCACTCCGCAGCGACAACGGAAGCTCTCTAGCGGCATCGGCGTCGCAGCTGCGGCTCTGGATCAGTGTCGTCAAGGCACACGACATCCTAGCGAGCCCGTGCTCGCAGCGTCTTCACCCGGGCACGCCGCGCCTTGGTTCCGATAGCATCCGAGGACGCCCCTGCCACGCTACTAACGAGCGTCACCACCGCCGCCGAGACAGATCCGAAAACACCCACTTGGACCCATCAGTTAGGACCCTGAAGCTCCACCCACGGTCGCCGGCTCACGTCCCGGCGAGGAACCATGCAACGCAACCATTGCAGTTCCAAGCCCAAGAGACGGGCTTCAGCATGTCTGGCCGTGAGACCGCTACCTAGCATTCAGCGTGATTTTCCCTAGAGACAAACAAGACTCACACAACGGCAGCAGCAGTCTACCGAGAGAATTGCCGTGCAAGCACTTTTTGGAATTGCTGCTGGCGCCACTAGACTTGGCAGCGGTCAAGGTCTGCGCGAGCCACCAGGTTCGTGTCAGCCGTTGTCCGCCCTGATGTCATTGATGCTCCCATGCAGTTAGCCCCTCTCAAAGGATGTGCAGAAAGACGCCAAGATGGGGGAGGCAATAACTGTCGTCGTAGCCCAAATGACCCTGATGTGGTCTTTGAGCCTTCGAGCCCGGCATTAAGTGCCAGAAAAGACGTTTGTTTAGCGACGACATTAGTTCTAGCACACGAATCGTCGTTGACCCAAGGGGGAGCAACTCTGCTACTAGCCAGCCTAGGTCCAAACGCTAATCATACATTCTCACAGAAGGAAGTTAGCCCAGCAACCGTCTTTGACTCAAGGGCTTATTCGAAATCACCTTGCTGTGGTAGGCTGCAGTCAAGTCCTTTGGAGGAGCAGCTACGTCTCGGGTCAGCTAGTATTGTTCGGACTCGAGCTCATCTGCACCCATCCCGTCCTTGCCGTCATCAAGGGTCAACCACAATATCAACATGCAATGTCATGCCACAGGTAGGTGGAATCACTACCCCAGAAGCAATCATATTTGGGTTCCTGCAAGAGTCGATGGTTTCGCTGGTGATGTTCATTACTTGCGTAAATGGCAGACCTGTCAGCATGTGCCATGTACCACATGGTTCAGCGTCCGAACCACTTCGCGACATGACTCGTGCACCGATGGTTAGTGCCGTCCACTTACTCCTCCACAACGTGGAGCTCGACAGGCCGTGCCTATTATACGGATCCCCCGAACTGGGCCCGTGTGGTCCCTGGGGTCGAATGCGTTCACAGGCCCAAACAGAGAGCATGCCGCGCCCCATTGGGACCCTGTTGCATAAGACGATACAACATCGACTGTAGTACTCCGTAAGGAACAGCCGATATTGCCACCTGACCCAGGCTGAGCAACATGTTGTGACAAGAGTGTTGTCTCAGCAGATCAAACGACTCTCTTTCTTGGTATGGTCTATCCTAGGTCGACCAATACGCCCTTCTAAGCGACACGGCCCATCATTTGGCATCAGTTGGTATATGATGTCGAAAATTGGCTTCCGCTTCTTTCTTGGAGAACGGGTGGTGTCACCGGTCTCAAAGCCAAAAGGGCCCGACGATATGTTTGGTTTGAAAATTGGAATTCTGCTTCGAGCGTTGCTGGAACCTTCAGCCGCAAATCCAAACGAGAGAGGTGCAGATCTGCTGCGTGGAACGATGCCTCATCATGGCGACGCCAGGCGCCCCTCCGTCGGCTGCGTGGCGCAAACAATGTGTTCTGGCACAGGGGCTGCTGGCTGTGCTTGCCAGCTTCTCGAAGCCGCCAGGAGTGGAGGATGACGGATATATGTTCATACGGACGAATCACATGGCGCCATGCAATTCTTGAGAAGTACGCGCGTGCTCTTTGCGAAAACGAGCAATGCCCTCGAGCTGCAGCATGCTAGGCCAAACCGGCACATGCAGGGCGACAGCCGAGTCATTAGCCTGTCGCATGTGGTGCCGACTATGTGGTTGTTGATCTCCAGGCGCCATCTGAGGGCTTAGCACAAGATCTGGGCCTTCTCGAACCGCCTGGGACGTTGGTCGATGCAGACTTCACAATTAGCGCACCAGCGCATGAGGATCTCTCGTGGGGTCGCCATCGCCTCCAACGGAGCAAGTCCGGACTTGACTCGACAAATCAAAAAATAGGACGCGGCCAACAAAGACGCTCGATCGCCGGAGCAAATTGAATAAGCCGAGTGTGCACAAAGGCATCGGGGCCATGCGCTTGTGAGATGACGGCTGGGGCCGGCTGGGGCCAGCACTGGTCGGGACTTCACCGAGGAAAGCAGCCCAGATCGAGGGCGGCGTCAGGGCTGACGCTGAAGCATTGTGCGGTGCATCCTCTGTGGAGTAGCCGACAGCTTGTCTCATCACTATTGAAGGCCGGGACAGACTTCCCCATCCAGTCCAGCCACCGCTTCGGCCGTGAAAACACCCGCACAGGGTCGTCGGACCAGCGCAATGACGGCGCGTGGGGGCAGGCACAGGGGTGAGGACGGGGGACCCCCATTATTGAACATGGAGAGCGCCCGCACGGGCGAACCAGAAACCCCAGCCCGCGTGCCATTGGATGGACACGATGGGCCTTGCCGTGTCGCAGCCGGGTGCTGAGCAACTGCTGACGAACTGGACCATCCGCTCGTGAGGGTGACGGTGGCGCCCCGCCAGGCCAGCCAGCGGCGCAGGTTCCGCTGGCGGGCATCGAGAGGCCAATCCCTCCCTCATCATTGCCCGGCGACGGTTTGGCTGTTTGCGCATGTGTCTGCAGATCGCAATGCTCATGTGGCCGTGATGGCGCCTGGGCATGACCGAATGCTCGATGGCCGGGCTGCTGGCAGTCCACGCTGATCAACCTTGACCCTGGTCACATCCCGCGGGGGGGTGGAAAAGCCGTGGCTGTCCACCGGCATGCTCTTGCTTGCATTGTGCATCGACTCTGGATGGCGCCCTGGCCTCACCCTGCTTGTCTTGTGTCTCACCCTTGCTGCAAGGCGCGTGGGGGCAGCACACCAAAGGCCTTGCGTAGCCCAGAAGACAGGGCACACGGACCAATCATGGCCCCTCGAAAGGCATGCTGGCGCTCGACAATAAACGCCCGCCCGCCCGGTCTGGTGGAGTGGTGGTGGTGGTGGTGTTCACGAGAGCAGACATCACGCGCGGGCTCTTTAAGGGTTCACAAACGTCCGTTCCTAGCCGGCCGCAACGCACGGATGCTTCCGAGGCTCCGCTGACCCACGAGACACGACACACGACGCACCTCTTGATCCCAAGGGACTCGTGCAGGCTATTTCTGGGTACATCTTGAATCGCCAAGATCTCCTTGGCCAGCCGGTACAGCACAGACGACAACCCTGGTCGCTTCGTCGCTGTGGCGTCCAGTGTACCTACATGGTGCACCTCTGTCAAGCAGATCTCTGTGTGGAGAGAATCCGCCCCTCGCAAGTGGCTCGCTTGATCTTCGTGGCACGTGAAGCCTCTGCGTTTATCTCTGCGTTTATCTCTGGCCAGCGTTCGTCTTATCTTCTCCTGCCTGTGTGACGCCGTGTAACAAAAGGAGAGGTGCCCGCTCTGGCATCGTGGCTTTGATAGTGAACATGCATATATATCTGAACACATATGTCTTCTGCTTCAAATGATGTGGTCAACCCCGTATAAAAACTTGGTTTTCGCCACCCATCGGGGAGGTTCCGCGATATCTACGACCTCACCTTCCTGGCACGAAACCATGTCAAGACCCGGCGCAACTTTGACTATGGCCCGAGGGCACTCGCAAATCGGCTGCGACCACCCCCCCCCCCATGTCCGACTTACACGAGTGAGCCAACCTAAGCCTCATCAAACAATAGCATATCGCAGAGAAACTTCCGAAAGTCGAATCGAGCCATATCCCGACTAGATCGTGGGGAACTTTCTGGTACCTGTCGTTCTGGGGAGGAATCGAGTTTTCGACCATACTGGGCCTTAAACAATCAACTCGTGTCCTGTCCACGACAATAAGCACACAGCCTTTCACTCTGGAAAAGAAGTCGCCATGAGAGAACAGAGTATTGTGCAATCAAAACGAAGTAAACCTCAGCACCGACTGTCAACAGGCCTGGCAGCCTCAGAAATCATGCAACAACACGAGCCGACAAGTCCAACAAATCAGTCAGGGATAGCAGCGGGATTGCAGTCCCCTTTCTCGAAAGCTTCGGTCGGGCAATGTGGCCTTGGCAGCAAACACGAAGCGATTCTTTCTCACACGGCATCGACCTTGACACCACATTACTTATCCGAGACTAGAACGGCAGGTGCCGTGTTGATACCTCGGTCCGGTTTGTGAAAGGCGGTATCTTCCACTACTGCAAGAGGCTTCCGTACGTGTGACATGCTGGCACAGCTTACCACATCGGTTGCCGCAACGTGGTCGACTCCTTCAACCCGACTCGACCATACAGCATGTGTTAATCTCGTGTGGTTCTGTTCTTCGTGAGTACACAAAAGCTTTGGCCTCCCCGCCATGTAGGCTCGTCAAGCTCCATAGTGAGATATTCCACAAGCTCCGTACCGCCCAGGTTCATCTCCGTCGCCACACGATATGTGGTTGTTCATTTCCACGAGGGCTCTTAGGCAGAAGTTTGTCATGACCATGGTGGGACAGTCGGACGTCTCAGTATCGACGATCAGTCCGTGGCATGGGCCAAAGAAAACTTCGCTCGAGTTCTAAACCCTCGAGCAGCATCCCGAGTTTACACGCTGCCTTGCCGCATCCACCACCGGACAAGTATCTTCAGCCGATGGTACTATGTACCTGCGTCTCGGGGAGACCACGAGCAGGACAACTGCTACCATGACCCTATCAGACTCCGCCTGCACCGCTTGGGTTTGCTTGGTTGTCAATGGCGTTGCTGCACGGGCGCTTGACACTGGCTGGGCTACTATATTTTCCAGTGGCATGGACATATCCCTCCACTGCTAGGTCAGCTGCGGAAGGCTAGATGGCCAAGCCAGTGTTGATCGTAAGTGCGGACAGTGAGGGAAACCAGAACGGCGAGAATATGAGGTGGGTTTAACGAAGGCTTGACACTAGTGATGCATCGCACGTTCTCGCTGTGCCGATTCGGGAATCAAAAGTGCTGCGGAAAAAAACAGGAAAAAATTAATAGAGGCCGAACAACAACTCCGAGACAAACCGAACGCAACTATGAGCCCCGGCTCTCACCAGGATCCATGGATCTTCCCTACATCTCGTGGGGAGCATGCCCATGGCAATATCTCATTGTGCGGCTGCTATGAAACGACACACTGATGTGACGGCAGCCACGAGATTATGGATCGACCGTTCGTGACATTAAGTCTTTGTTAGACCAAGTGTGTAGTGGGGGAAACCGAAAGCGATGAACCCGAACAATGGCAAGCGACTGGGCATTGTGTGATTCGGTCCTCAACACGGCTGAGCTGCGATTACATGGATGAGCCTCATCCTGGCGGAAGAGCTCTTCTCAGGCCGCCAGTGGATCAAATGTTATGCTCGTGGCTCTGGGTCGCCTGGTTTGAAAGGACTTCCGTAGACGGAGAGCTTTGACTGTGGGTGCTCCCCGGAAGCTGAAAGATTGCTTCGCTGTAGGCTCTGTCGTAGATGGCAACTGCTACTATTGCAGTTTATTCCAACCGAGGATTCGACGTATGCCAGTGTTTTCTAGTTCTTCACCAGTTCTTCACCAGTGTCAAATGCGATGAGCTCATTTTCCGGAAGCTTGCGTGGCAAAACCTACCCACGTAATGCCAGTGTCGTCACGGCGGTTTTTTCATCTGGTTGTGCTCCCATACCGCCCGGAGCATTGTATTGAGTGGCCCTGGGAATAATGGTGTCAAAAAGGTAGGGCTTGTAATATGGAGACCAGTGACGTGGTGACTTGTAAGGAAAGCTGACGCGTTCCTTTATTGCCAAGTCCACCACCGCTAGGCTATCGAGTCATGCTTTGAACCAAAGGAAATCAACTGTAGCTCCAATGTTATCGGGCTGGTGTGAGGTTCTGGAGGGAAGAAAGTCATAGCGTGGACGAGGAGGTGAGTACCGCGAGTGTCAGCCGGTGTGGCCATACTCCGACTGGGGACATTCTTCGTCTTGTGCCAGAAGCCTACACAGCGGATTGACGTTGATGTAACCTGCGTGTGTTAACACTTGGGAGAACTTGCACAGGATTGAGAGTTTAAAATAAAAATAAAATAAAAATAAGGCAGAATGAAATCACTAGAAAGCATCACGAGCTTCGACTTGTCGAAAAAGAAACAAAACAAAAACCACCAATTATTGCACATCCAGTCTTGCCACTACTTGCTTCCAGGGGAGCAGAAGAAATGACTACAGGCGTGAGAGACCTCGGACTGCGTTGGCATCTGGTGCGATATAATTCCTGCTCGATAGCCTTGGGCGAGGATAGTCTAGGCAGCGAGGTGAACTCATTCACATTTAGCGAAATTTACTCGAACCTCATGGCGAGCTCAAAGTCAGCTCTAGTACGGTGAATTATTGATGAGCAGTCGATTGAGTTCGCGTGGATGCGTCCGGATCTGATACTGGTAGTAACGGAGTTTTCAAGTCCCAGTTGGCACAGGATGTTGAACGGAATTATGCTAGACCCCCCCCCAGGGCTCACCCAGTCGATAAGATTAGTTGTCTGCTGCAGAATTACATGTCTTCGGCATCGCGGTAATCGCACAAACTTTTGAAGTCCATGTCTTTCGAGCCCCCAATTCCAGCGGTGATGAGGTCTAACGCGACGAAGGAGCGCCGCAAGCATGCGCAAATTTGCACACTGCATCGCGGTTCAGAAGCGACCATATTGCATTGGTTGTAGAGCCAACCGTGTCTCTGAATCATTTTTGCGACACATTGTCGCATCCCCGTGGGCTCACCCCTGATGCCCGATTTGATCAACAACCAGAGCATTTATCCACCTCCATGGTTCGCAATGCAGCATATCCTTCTTGCATGCTTGACGCAAATGTATAGTGGCATAATCATCCTGTACTTCAACAAACAAGGCCTTGTGGCGCAACGGTAGCGCGTCTGACTCCAGTCACTTGGAATCAGCTCGTCGATCAACGACGAGCGGTCTATCAGAAGGTTATCCGTTCAAATCGGGTCAGGGTCACTTCACCTTTCTTTTTTTGAAGCCATCGTGAACATCCGGGACGCATTGTGGGAGGCCGGAGCTGGTGTTGAGGTTCGGAGCTGGTTGGGTGGCATTTTTTGCACAATTTTGGCTGCGGCGAGGAAGGCAGGCCTGACAGTGGTATCACTGGAATCGCGAGACTGAGTCTACCCCTTGGCTGGACCTGCGACGTCGACTGGGATGGTGGTTGGTGGAGGATTGGCTTTTTGGTTCGGGGGCGCTATGCGGTGGTGGGGATGCTGTGTGCGGCTTGGCGGGTCCCGTCTCTCAGAGTGCTCTCACGTCCGGCGCAAGGCGAGTTCGATGAGATCGGCGGTTGTGTGGATAGTCGGTATGGAGGCGTTCGCGACACATAAAGCGTGTTCTGGTATGGTGGGCAAACGTGGCGAGGGTTTTGGCAACGTGCCGATTGCGCGGCGCAACTTTTCCTGTTGAAGTTTTGCGATTGTGGTGCGTGCATGCACCTGTCGTTCCTGCCTCAGGAAGTGAAGCGGCGTGACTGCATCAACGCCGACGACGGGGCGGGCACTACGTTGCAGCTTCTGCAGTTTCCAAGGAAGGAGCGATCAATCAATGCGACGGACAGGCGTCGCGAATGAGATGTGATCGCGCATAGACTTGAGAGAACATTTGCATTGCTCTGGGAGTGACTCTCCGCCAGTAGAACGTCGTTTGTTCTTGTTGCCTCGGCGAGGAACTTTGATCTATTGCGACACAACTATGGGACTCACTGCAGTACAGAGCTCCAGGGGCCACAATTTCTCTACCTCTCTGTGAGTACATCCTCGCAAGCAGCATTGGCACCTCACATGCAAGGAGCCTCGAGATATTCCCTAGTGATTGACAGATCGGACGTTGAAAGTACCGGAAGTTACGCCGCTGTCCAATATATACAACCGAACTGGCCTGTCGAAGTCATGCTATATACCTTCTTCCCCAGTGCCTGCTGGCCACCATCCTCGAATCTCAGTCGTCATGCAGCCTGCGATACGACACGCAAAGACAAACGTCCTTCATGATGAGACAACCCGAGACCATCGGCGACTCTGCCTGTCAAAAAAGACTCTTCCTCCTAATACACCACCGGCCAGTCGTTGTCGTAGCGGATGAGGTTGATGCCCAGGAAAGCTTGCCCGTCGTTCGCGTAGTAATGGTAGACCAGCACGTCGGCGTCGGCATCCGTAAAAACAGCCTGGTGACCAGGCCCATGGATGCTGCCGTGGCTGGCCATGACCTGGGTGCCACCGCCCGACATCATCTGATTGCCAGCCTTGTCCACAAAGGGGCCCGTGACGCTGGTGGAGCGGCCGACCATGACGCGGTACGTGCTGGCGGCGCCGTTGCAGCACTTGTCGAACGAGGCCCAGAGGTAGTACCAGTTGCCCCTGCGGGTGATGTAAGGGGCCTCGATGGCACCACCGTTGCTGGGCCGGCTGGCAATCGAGATGAGGTCGCTGCCGGACCTCTTGCCCGTGTTGGGGTCGAGCGGGATCATCTTGAGGCCGGACCAGAAGGAGCCAAAGCTGAGCCACCAGCGTCCCTGGGCGTCGACGATGAGGTTCGGGTCGATGGCGTTCCAGTTGCTCGAGGTTGTCGACTCGATCACGAGGCCCTGGTTGGTCCACGAGCCGGACAAGCCGGTGGAGCTGGTCGCGAGGAAGATGGCCGACCTAGACGAGCCAAAGGTCGATGCCGAGTAGTACAGGTAGTACCTGCCGTTGCGGTAGGAGATGTCGGGCGCCCAGAGGTTCTTGCTGCCGCCCGTATAAGTCGTCGTCCACGGAGCGCCGTTGGGGAACACGGCACCGGCATTCTTCCACGCCGTGCGGTCCGTGGACGTCTTGAGTGACACGTTGTCGCCCGTGTGGGCGAGGATGTAGAGGCCCGCGGGAGTCTTGACGACTGAGGGATCATGCACGTTCGTGTCGCCAGTGACCCTGCCAGGGCCAGGGTATTGTCTCTTGAGGAGAGAGCTGGCCGTGGAGGTCGCTGCGAGGAGTGCGTGGACGAGGAGGCTCTTGAGAGCGACCATCTTGAGAGCGGTGACCAGTGGCTGTGACGGGGCAGGCCGAGTCGACAAAACGTCGGAGGCTACTCAGGATCGAACTTTTGGCCCAACGGGAAGTCTGTCGTGGTTCATATACAAGAGATCCATCCTTGCTTCGCACAGATACCGCAGCCCACCAAACCCCCCCACCCGAATCAACACGCTCAGATGGACCTCGGGAAGTGCCATTCAAGGTGCATGTCCCGTTGTGTTAAGCGCACGTCGGAGAATTAGCACGTTGCTCGCACGAGCCCGTGGTGCTGCCCAGCCATCGGCGGGCTGCCAGACTCCGGCTTCTGTATTCGGCAGGTCGACCCAGCGAGCACCAATCACGGGCCAGCCAGGGTCGACAAGGCCGCCGATCATGTTGACCGCGAGCCACTATAATCTAGCCCTGGCACAGAGTACCGTAGTACTATTACTCTCTCTCTATACGTGCAACGACTTGGCTTCTTGCACCTCCCGGAAACGGAACTGGAAATCAGATCGCCACGCACTAAAGCGATTGCTGGTTGTCAGCCTGGTATCACGTGCGATTGGCTCGCATAAACTGTCAGATGGAGATGCAAGAGACTTGTGGACATCAGACCCTGACAGGGCAGGCTTGCTGCCCGGATTCATCGTTGACAAGGGGGCCGGGGCAACGCAGCTCCACGCATAAATGAAAGGGGCATAATCTCATGCCAGCACCTGGGGAGCGCCCCCACGAGAATCAGTCACCGCCCCGCAGCATGGCTTTACCCAAATCACAAAGGACACTGACACAGGAGGGGGGAAAGGTGGTCCAAGAGACGAAGAAGAAGGGGTAAAAGAGAGAGCAAGTCAAGGCGACTTGAAATGACCAGTGTCAAAAACTACAAACAAGGCAAAAATGCATCAGCCGTGAATCGAACACGGGGCCCATCGATGGCAACGATGGATTTTACCACTAAACCACTGATGCTGTATGGAGGGTATTTGTAAAAAGCCAGCGGCTTATTGCCCAATATGTTGCTGACAAAAATATTGTGGTCCCATGCTGGAACAATGGTTTGAGCACTCGGGTATGCATTTCTGTGACTTGACTTGAACAAGGTGGCCCTGCCCGCAGATCTTCGACATGGACCGGACAAAATAAAGTGATGAAGGGATGGCTCCTTATTCTCCCCCTCCCCCTTAAAAAGAGAGATTGTCACGGCTCTGGCCCCTTTGACCAGCAGCTTGAAATGCTGAAGATGTGGTTCGAATCCTCGGGCGGTGATGGATTATGGAAATCCTATTATAAAACGCCTAGATACGTTGTAGAAGCAATTTATCTCGTCAAATAACATGACCGGCCAGAGCCCGTGTGTATTTTGAAAATGGCCACGACGACGGTGTATCGGGCCGGTCGGCCTGAAAGGCACCCGAAACTCCAACTTTCTGGCGGATGGCAACCTCTGTCGGCCATACCGCTCGGTGGGCCGTTTCAACAACCCACCCAGAAACAAGGCATAGACTACACTCGATATAAGACTCCGTCTCGGGACGTTCATCACTCATACATAATGGAATTACGGGCTATTGTGAATGACCACCTCTGCTTTCAAACTGCACAATCTACTCGCCGTCCAAGACTGTTGTACACAGCATTGAATGGCCTGCGGCGTGCGCTTGCATACTCTCGTAGGGACGAGAGATCTCCCCAAATGGCGCACTTTCAATCTCTGGCTTGAAAACACGTCGTCTCGCCAGCGTTGGTGGTCCCCCTGGCTTGAGAACGCAGTTTGCATCGGCTTGACATTGTGTTCAGTGGAATGGTAGTAGTGCCGGTGACAGTGACGCGAGGCCGTGATGAAGCCGTTCGCAGTTCCTCAAACCAAACACCTACATTCCCTCCCCCCCTCCCCCTCACCCTTGCTCTTATATCGAGCCAATGCAGGGGCTTCTATCGCCCGGCCGGACGCTTCCTCTCTCTGCAAATCGCCCGATCGGGCGGGTCATCTGGTACCGCCCACTTGTCTGTTAGGACCCGGCACGGCGGAGGCCCGAACGGCTGCTGTGCCGGGCAGATGTCCTTGAACGTCTTGAATGTCTTGGAAGCGCACCCCATCCTCGGCTTCCGGGCGGGGCCCTTGAAGGGGACCAAGGGCCAGGCGACCTGTTGGTTACATTTGCCATATTCTGGCTGACTTGAGTTGTCCGTCTTGAGTCAGTACAGTAGGATCGGGCACTACCGTGCATGCTTGCCTGCTTGCTTACTCAAAAACAAAACACACCAACACAACCCGAGTTGATGAAAGACACAACCCTCTGGGAGGAAAGAAGAAAAAAGAACTCACCAATTTGCAAAACAATCGTCATAGCCCGTCCCACACTTGCCGTTCTTGTTGCAACACTGGCCCCAGACGACGCTGCACGTAGATCTGCGTTCCCCTCCGCACGTCCCGTCCGTCGAGTTGCCGTCGCTCGCCCTGATCCACTCAGTGGGCTCGCGGGTGAGGCACTTGCCGGACTGGCACGCGTCGTAGGCGCAAAACTGCATCCCAAAGCCGCACCTGCCCTGCTGGTCGCAGCAGTCCCCCCACTTGCCCAGGCACAGCCGGTGGTCGTTCTGGCGGCCGCACGTCCCGTCCGTGGTGTAGATCTTGTGGCCGTAGCAGGCGCCCTCGTAGCATGTCCCGGGGGCGCAGTCGGTCCTGTGACAGGTGGGCAGGGGGGGAAGAGGTCATAGTCATTAGTACGTACATTGTGTAGTTCTAAGCTGTTCTTGGATTTTTCCTCATGGTGACAAAGAAGTCTTTGGGACGCAGTATCTTGGGCTTGATGGACTTACGACAAGTCGCTCCCGCAGGTCCACGTCTCCGAGTTGCAGCACTGGTGCTCGGTTCCAATACAGGTTGCGTTGTTGAACTTGGGCCCGCAGCGGCCGTCCTTGGAAACCAGAGGCTGGATGACTGCGTTTGTGAGCCATGAGTCAATCAACCACCCGCTAAGCATATCGAATAGACAAAAAAGGAAGATAGCAGCTAATGCAGGGTCTTGCAAAAGACAAAAAAGACTCACAGCCTGCCATGCAGTACTCGGTCTGGGGCTTTATATCACCGCAACCCGCGCTGACCCGGGACCGGTTCAGCTCAAAGAACTTGTCGAGCCCGACCTTGTACTTGGTCGCCAGCTGGGCGCACGTCGAGGCGTCGACCTGACTGCCACTCCACCCCGAGTAGCGACAGTTGACTTCGCCGGGCAGAGGGACATTGCCCTTTCTGTCTGTAAGCTGGAAACGGCGGGACGGCGGCGGCGGCGGCCGGGTCTCGCCAGGCTTGACTTCGTTTGTCCATGTGACTGGCGCGCATGTGCCAGTCCCCGGCTCGGCCTCCACAGGAATTAGGAAGGGAAGGAAGGGAAGGAGGAGCATCAGGGAAAGAAACATGCTGGGCAGTCAGGTCCGGAACTGCTCAGCCTTGGTTTGACTGTAGGCATGGTAAGTGGCCCTCCGCGCACTACATGGCTGGAACAGGGGACGGAAGATACATCTTATAGGTCTGTTGACAGAGGCTTTGAGGAATGTCGGGATGCGCACTGCCCGCGAATTCAGCTTTGACACAAACATACACACACTGTCTTGCTCTGATGGGTGATGAAAAGCCCACTCGAAGAGGTCAAGAGAGTCGCAGACGGGCTTGGCAGGCCCGGCAGGCTTGTCTTTTAAGATTGGCGTGAGAAACCATGAGTTGTCAGGGTTTTGTCCGTGTTGGGACAGCAAGACCAACAGAAGCTCGTCCAGGGGTCTCGAAAACTGTGGTCCCACTACCATGAAATTACACTTAGTCTAAAGCTGTGCAGGAACCAATATGCATAATATGTGCAAGCCCAAGAGAGCGGGTTGGTTGCGCTTTGACTAGGGAGAGCCTGATTACAAGGCTGGTTACAAAACCCTAATTTGGTATAGTCGATCTGGGTTCGTCGGGGGGTCTAGATTATGTCACCACGCAACGGTCCAACACATTTCTGCAGTAGTCAACAAAACACATTTCCAGAGAGCAGTATGGTGTTTGGGTATCAATATCATATAATCATACTATGCTATATAATCAATCTATCTTATGTACAGTTTCCTGCGCAATGCTTTTCATGAAAATTCCTCCTTGGTTGGGTTATCGCTCCCATGACTCATTTAAGCAGTGTCCAGCACGATAACCTCGGCCTCGACCTCGCCGACGCTCTCGACGGAGAGCTTGTCTCCGGCGTGAACGCCATCGATGAACGCACCGTCTCCCTCGCTGTAGACCTCGTCGCGGCCGTCGATGCGGACCTGGGTCTTGCCCTTCTTGGTCATGGGCACGTGGATAAAGACCTTGCGCTTGTTGTTCTCGGTGGCGTTGGCACCGACGGTCCACACAAACTTCTCGCCGGCGGGGACGATGCCGGCGGCCATGACGAAGTCGGCGTGGATGGGGATGGTCTCGGGGATGGTGGGCTCGGCGGCCTTCTCCTGCTCGGCCGTGGCGTCGACGCCGCCCTTGAGGGGGCTGAGGATGGGAACAAAGGCCTTGCGCTTTGCGTCCTCGTCAAAGTGGCGGGTGTGGTAGCGCGGGGTGAGGCCGCGCTTCCAGGGGATGGCCCAGATCTGGAGGAAGTGGACCGTGTCCTTGGCGTGCTCGTTGAACTCGGAGTGGGCGATGCCGGTGCCGCCGGTGGTGAACTGGACGTCGCCACGGTGCATGCGGAAGAACTTGTCCGACTGGCCGCCCTCGGCACCCTTCTGGAGCATGCTGTCGCGGTGGGTGAGCTCGCCGGACAGGATGTAGCTGAAGATCTCAAAGTCGCGGTGCGGGTGCGTGGGGAAGCCCGAGTTGGCCTTTACGCGGTCCTCATTGAGGACGCGGAGGGAGCCGAAATGAGAGAACTTCGGGTTGTACCAGTCGGCAAAGGAGAAGGAGTGGTAGGTGTTGAGCCAGCCATGGTCGCCGTGGCCGCGGGTAGCGGACCGGTGCGGCGTGATCTTGGCGTGGGAGAGAGTCTTGGACATGGCGTTCTTGACAGTGTTCATGGGCTCGACTGTGTTCATGGACTCGGTGGCTTGCTGCGTGGCTGCCGTTGTTGTTGTTGTTGTTGTTGAAATGTCTGTGGCGGTAGCTGGTGATGGCTTGAGCAGTGAGAGAGCTTGTTGGAGTAGCTGAGAGGCTGTGTGTGAGTTGAGAAAGATGATGGAAATTAGAGCGACCAGAAATGACAAGACGAGACCGAGACGCTGCATTTATAGGCGAGGACAATGGGATGCGAGAATGCACGGGTATCTGCCAACGACGATGCGAGAAGACGGGAGAGTGGCAGACTGAGGATTTGCGAGGATTTGGCAGGTATTTGATAATCCTGACCTGAGGCTGCGGCAGATGCGCAGAGTGCTGACGGATCTGCTTGATGATGATGCAAGGCCAGGCCGCCGCCCCGCCCCGGCACTCTGGGTGTTAGGGGCGCATTGAGTGCTCCGTGATTGGCCAATGCAACACAGCGTGGGGCTGCAGAATGTTCGATGCGTGCAGCTTTGATGGCGGGGCCCGCTTTTCGCCGCTGCTGACAAGCGATTATCTCATGCTTAGAAGTTTGGACCAGACAGGACGCCCGCGAAGCTTTGAGCAGCCTCAGCCACAGCTCGTTGGCGATGGATAAGCATGACACTTAAGCTTTGTTTCATCACGCGCAGCTTATGGTTTGGAAGCATTTTCAAGCTTGCTCGCAGAACAGTCCACAGCCGTGAACTAGGCGTATCTTTTGAGGCCGTCAATACGTTTTATTTTTTTGTTTGGCTCGTCTAGACTGCGATGACTGACTGCCTCTGCCTCGAGTGGTTTCACAGCCCCGGCTGGGTCCTCAAGGACCAAGACTGCCAATCAGAGCCGGGACAACAACCGAAAGAGGCTCGAGCCGCCAGACAGGCAAGACAACACCAGCCATGATGTGTCAGCCCACGAGCTGTACCATTCAAAGCTGTGCAGCTGCAGCCGCCTGCACCACCTGACAGGCGGGTCCTGAGAGCCCCCACCACCAGGCCCCCGTCCCCGTCTTTGTCTGCCTTATCCCCCCCCCCGCCCTCCCAAAAGGCTCCTCCGTCGCCCTATCAGCCCCGCCGTTGCGTGTTTGGGACGGGTCTGCAGTGCCGGACCGGACACTCTCGCCGGTTGGCGCCCGGCCTGCCGCCTGTCCCTGCAGCCAAACGCCTAACGAGAAAAAAAAAATTGCTATCGCAACCTCCCCTTCTCTCCCGTTACGTCCTCCTTACTCGAGCGCCATGTCGTCCTCCGCCTCCGGCCTCGCCCTCTGCGCCGTTGCCCTCTGCAGCGCCCTCGTGTCCTCCTCCCGGCTTCTGCACACCTGATTGTCTCCCCTCTCAACGCGAACCGCTGGTCGATGCGTCTCTGAGCAAGCCCGGTCCCGAACCCGCCGCTGCCGATCGAGCGACTTCCCCTCAACGGGCCCCAGCCGACCAAGAACGCGTGTCTTTGGAGACAGCAGAGCCTCGCCTGCCCCGCGCCGTCTCTGCGTCACACTCTGAATTGCACACTGCAGAAGGTACAGACACGCCTCGCAACTGTCCCAAACACGTCCTTCGACCCTGTCGTCTTTACCTGCAAACACGATCCCCCTCCACCCGCTAGCTGGCCACGGCCCAGTTCGCAAGAGACACAAAGGAGCCTTGCCGCCAGGCCGGCAGGAGTCTCTCTCTCTCTCTTCTATGCGCATCTATGTGATGAATTCTTTTCAAAAAAATTTAAATGTTCGACTGCCTAGCATTGTGCTGCGGAGACAATTTATTCTGATTCATGCGCAATTCTTCCTCACCCACACACAATTGGCACTTTCTGGCTTTGGTCCCAGGCACAAGCTGCTGACACTATCATCCATAGATCTAGTTTAGCCGCCAAGATGTGTGGTATTCTCGGATTAATCCTCGGCCACATTGGCGACAACCCGGACGCCCCCTGCCAGACCGCGATCGATCTGCATGAGGCACTCTACTTCTTGCAACACCGCGGCCAGGATGCTTGGTAGGTCTGCCCTCTGAGTACACAGACACAGGGGCACCATACTCACAAGCAAACAGTGGTATCGCAACATGTGCTGCCGGGGGTCGCATCTACCAGGCCAAGGGCAACGGTATGGCAGCCAAGGTCTTCAGCGACGGCGCGCGTCTCCAGGATCTGCCCGGGTCCATGGGTATTGGACACCTCCGCTATCCCACTGCCGGGACCAGCGCCAGCTCCGAGGCTCAGCCCTTCTACGTCAACAGCCCCTATGGCATCTGCATGGCGCACAACGGCAACCTCGTCAACGCCGCCGAGCTGCGGACATATCTTGATCGGGTAGCCCACCGCCACATCAACACGTCGAGCGACAGCGAGCTCATGCTCAACATCTTCGCCAACGAGCTCAACGAGACCAAGAAGGCCCGTGTCAACACCGAGGACATCTTCAGTGCCCTGTCTCGCATGTACAAGCGCTGCACGGGCGGCTGGGCCTGTACTGCCATGATTGCCGGTTTCGGCATCTTTGGTTTCCGTGACCCCTACGGTATTCGGCCGCTGCTCATAGGCGAGCGCGACTCGCGCACCCTGCCTGGCACCAAGGACTACATGCTGGCGTCCGAGTCGATCGCTCTGCGCCAGCTCGGCTTTTCCAACATCCGGGATATCAAGCCTGGCGAGGCGGTCTTTATCCGCAAGAGCCGCGCCCCGGTTTTCAAACAAGTTCACGAGCCTCTCGGCTATACCCCTGACATCTTCGAGTACGTTTACTTTGCTAGGCCGGACTCTGTGCTCGATGGCATCAATGTCCATGACAGCCGGCAACGTATGGGCTACAAGCTCGCCGACAAGATCAAGGAGTTGCTTGGACCTGAGGGCATCAAGGAGATCGATGCCGTTATTCCCGTGCCCGAAACTTCAAATACCTCGGCCGCGACAGTGGCCGAGAGGCTCGGCAAGCCTTATTGCCAAGGCTTCGTCAAGAACCGCTACGTCTTCCGGACATTCATCATGCCCGGCCAAGGCGCGCGTGTCAAGGGTGTCCGTCGCAAACTATCGACAATCCCGTCCGAATTCGCCGGGCGGACTGTCTTGCTCGTCGACGACAGTATCGTCCGCGGCACCACTAGTAAAGAGATTGTGGCCATGGCGAGAGAGTCTGGTGCCCGCAAGGTCATCTTCTCCAGCTGTGCGCCGCCGATCACCCATCCTCACATTTAGTAAGTCATCTTTCGCAAATCACCCACGCCTGGCCCGGCTCGTCGAAGGAAGTGCTGACTGACCTGTCTGCAGTGGTATCGACCTAGCGTCCCCTAAAGAGCTTATTGCCTCGGACAAGGACCGTTTTGCCATCGCCAAAGCCAGTAAGTGTTCCGTTGCCCTAGATATTTCTAAATAATTCTCTAACACTTCGTCACCTAAAGTCGATGCCGAGGAGGTGATCTACCAAGATCTTGACGACCTGAAAGCTGCATGCCTCGAGCTGTCTCCTAAGGACGGCCCCACAGGCTTCGAGGTGGGTGTCTTCTGCGGGTCCTACGTGACCCCCGTGCCAGAGGGATATTTTGAGCACTTGTCCACCGTGCGGGGCCAGAAGCGCAAGTTCGCCAACCCGGCACAAGTCGCGAGCAGCGGTCCCACCATGGTGGCCTCGTCTTCCTCCGCTGCGGGAACTGGTGCGATCGGAGCCAACGGCGACGAGTCTGCCTCGGCGCAGGGGACTGACTCATTTGCCAACGGCTCAGAGTCACAGAACGGCTCCCACGACCAGACGCAAGAGGAGGACAGCCGGCCATCAAGTCGGGCGCGTCACGGCGAGCAGGAGGAGGTTAGGGAGATGCAACAGCCTCGCTTCCAAGAGGACATTAGCATGCACAACATTGCTACCGATGGCGAGAGGCATTGATTAGGCTTCGTCTGTTCGAAATTCTCCAAACTCGAGGCAGGAGAAAAGGCTGCCGCGTGCTTGCCAGCATAGAGTCATAATTTTAGACAATATGAAAAAGACGCCGTCCGGCGCGTGGATCCGCATTCTGGAAGTGAATGTCTCTTTGGAATTGCTGCGTGTGCTTGCGCTCAAGGATCACATACATTTGTCTGCCCACACAGGAGCTCGATAGTGGGTTTGTAAGATGACCCATTCGTTGCTTTCCTCGCGGTTATTCGCAGTCACTTATAATTCTCAACTTGGGGTTGATCACATCATACTGAACAGAGCCATCATTGAACAGTGTTGCCCTGCCTCTAAAACGGGACTTCGGCTCGCAAATGCTTTCATTGTCTCTACTATTACATATCCTCTTGCTCGCCTCCACATCGTCCGTGTGTCCTGTGAATCGTGGTTGAATGATAGTCAACTCGTACGAGTGCTTGTCGCAAAGCCTAGCCATGCTACGTGCTCGTCTGAGCAGGTCGCTTGAACGATTGGCCTGACTGTGCAGCTCTGTGAATGTTGCAGTGGTTTTTGTGCGGGATCTGTTTTTTTTATATTTTGTAGCTTACGAAGGGAAGGCGAGTATGTCCATCCCATACCACAGACCTCGATTTTTGACTTGTGAGAACTCACACGCGGGCGTGCACTCGCGACTAGACAAAGGAGCTGGGTGTATACGGGTCAAGTCGTTGTTCCGTTCGAGATGGATCGATGTATGGTCGCCGAAAACGAGGGGGAGCGTCAAGAGATGAAGAGAGAGCTGGAGAGCGCCAAATGGGTCAAAGCCAATCGATAAAGTCACAATGACCGAACAACTCCAGAGCGCCGTTCCCTTTAGCAACGACTGGTCGAAGCTTCAACGAGCCTTGGCAGAAAACATAACCTCATGAATGCGTTATGGTGGGTATCAAGCGAGCGCAAGGCGTTGTCGTCTTCCGTGAGATAACTCACGACTGGTGAGTCGAGTGTTGCGGCATGCCGGATTGTGGTGGCAAGCCGTAAGGGCCACTTCGCTGCTGCATGTAGTTCTGGTAGGCGAGGGCGGACTGGGGGTCGACGGGGACATTCGACATGTAGTTGGGAGGCATGTGAGGGTTCTGGGGAATGCCAGGCCGAGCCGCCTGGGGAGGCAGATGCGCAGGAGGCTCCTCGGGCGATTCGACCTGGTTATCGTCGACGCCATTCTCGTTTCCTGGGGTGGGCTCAGGTGCATTGAGGCAGGCCTGACGAAAATGTCAGCACAATACAACGCCAACAGGATTGTCACTGCAGCGATTTTGCTGGCACATACCTGGATGAGGTTCTTGCCCTCGGCCTTGGTAACCAAGGGCTGCAACTTTGGTGTTGTGAAAGTGTAGACCAGACCAGTCTCCGAGACGACGAGCAGTAGAACTTGTGTTCCGGTCAGGACAGAAAGCTCGTAGGCCTAGATCGAGACATTTTGTCAGCTTCGATAGCCAAGATTGACCGTTTGCGACGCGACCCAGGTGGGGTTTCGGGGCAATGTCCGTAGGCATCTGGCCACCAGCAGTATCGTGCGCGGGATGCTTGTAATGGAGTCACACAGCACGATTGCCAGTGCTACATCATTTACATCGCGAACATGCTTTGAGACAGCACCATTGTGCTCTCATGATGCAGGTGTACGAGAAGAACGAAGTCTTCCTGGCCTGGCATAACATGTTGTGGGAGACGAGGATTTGGAGGAAAGGGGACCAGGACACGGGCGCGTCTTGTGACGAGGTTGTTTGCATGCTGGGGGGATTGCGTGCGTACCTTCTTCATGATACCGGCCTTTCTCTTGGAAAAGGTGATGTGGCGACGCGACTTGTCGCTGATGAACTTGATTTCGATCTTGCGGCGCTCGCGGCCGCCCTTGTCATCGTCATCGTCATCATCGTCGGGGAGGGCGCGCTGGCGCTTGACGCCGCGGTTCTCGCCGGCAGCACCGTTGGCGTGGCTGTCGTCGAGCTCGTTGGGGGAGGTCTGGTCGTGCTGGTCTGTAATGTCGGCCATGGTGTCGAGAGGGAGGAACGTCGGCCGTGCTGGCGAGTGACGAGTGGCAGCGAGGTATCACGAACGAAAAAGGCAAAAAATGGAGATACGGTACGGGTTTGGTCGTCGGCCTTACTTCTTCTGGATTTGACCTGGGCGGGCGGAGAGGCTGCCTTGATGTAGAATGGCCAAGTTGGAAAGGCGGGCGCCAGGTCGCAGAAATCCAGGGCTGGGGTGGTGATCTGTGCTCCGCTGGGGGGGGAGGGAAGGCGCTGGGCTGTCTGGGGGGGCGGAAGGCGCGTTCGGTTGGGTTGCCTGTGGGCTGTGGGCCTAGGCGCACTGTGTACGGGCTACATGCAGCCTGGCGCGTGCGTGGGTGCAGGAGAGCAGCAGCCGATTGGCAGTGGGCACAGGGAAGGGGGGCGGGGAAGCAACAAGTCGCGAGCAAGGACCATCAAGCATCCATGGATAGCGTGGATGGCAACAGCCGGTCCACTCATCCACCCGAGCAGGAGCAGAGGTAGGCGGGCGGGTCTGACCGACCAGGCGATCTGAAGCAAGCGCGTAATTAGCTTCCGTCTGGCAGCTTCAGGGATGGCGGTTTTATCTCAAAGTCTGGTCCCAGCGCTCGTGCTTGGACAGACCATGGAGTGAATGATGCACGCCAGGAGCTGGGCATTTTGACATTTGGGAGAGAGCGCCCCCTGGTGGTGAAGACCCAGCGAGTGAGTCTGTTTGATTATGGCAGCTCCTGCCGAAAGCAGACTAGCCGGGCCAGAGGTGAGCCGCTGGGGAGCGACACTATTGGCTGGCGGTGGGGCGGACGGATGCGCAGTGAGATTGGCTGAGTGGAAGACACACAGTCTGCCTCTGCGCGACTGACACGGTCGTTCTGGCGAGAGCACCGGATGGCATGGGGACAGGCGAAAGCTTGTGAGAGAGAATCTCGCAGATGCAGTAGCGCGGTGGGCAGCCTGGTCGTGGTCCAGCCTAGACCAGACTACGGGGCTCCAAGTAGGGGTGTCGAGGGGCAAGGCGTGCTCTAGCGCCTCCTCCCAGTGGGGCCCGCGTGCGTGTGCAGCTTCGGGGATCAGCAGAGCTCCAATGCCCATCGGCTCGTAGGCTACACGCTGCCCTGCCGTTGTGACATTTCGGCGGGCAGAGTGCCTGAAGGTACTTACGCATCTCACAGGGCCGAGTGAACTCATGCATGCGGACGCGCCAAAAACGCCTGTCCCAAACACCCTTGAAGCTGCTCCTCGGCGGCGAGCCTGAGGGATCGGCGGGGCCTGCCTGGCACGAGAGAGAATGACAAGATGCATGTATGTAGACCTGATGCCAGCCACCGACAGCACCAAGCTCTAGGACCGTCCAGGCGCGATACAACGGCGCTGCTACACCCAGACGGGAACGACGCCGTTGTGCTCGCTGCGGGGTGCGGGCGGCAGCGCCGGGGCATGCAGGCAGAGACAAGTCTGAGTCTGCCACTGGGCTCTGGAGGCGGGCAGTGCTAAGGGGCGGCACAGGTCCGTGGGTACGTACCTGAGAGGTCCATAAGACTGGCACGCAGCCTGTCTTAGTCTGATCTGCTGGCTGGAATTCACAGGCAGGAATTCCGCATCCGTCATGGAGACGTGCTCGCTCTGGCATATCAAGGAATGCTTGGATCCACGATCCACGGCATGGGCAGGGCCAGAGATCTTGTACGGAGTGTCAGCCATAACATGGGTCAGGTCAGGGTAACATCCAAGGGCTCCAGCGGAGACCGATTCCAAGATTCAACAAGGCACAAGTGGGCGCGCGCTCAGTAACTGCTGAGTTGGCCAGCCGGTGGCCAGTGCTGAGTCCTTGTCACACAATGCACACCTGGTTCTTCCCAAGCGCAAAGACAGCTCGATGTTGGAGAGTGAAAAGAACCACAAGGCTGGTAATTATTTGGGATCCCAGGCGGTTCCAGAGGAACTGTCGCTGCCATCACCCACCCGCAAGCGGAACGGTGCTTGTCAGGACTGATCTGGATATCTCTGCAGCTGCTGTGCTGGTGCTTTGTGCGCGTTTCGTGGCCTGCAACGCAGCATAGATGGCGGTCGAGAATACAGGACCCCGTGCAGAGTCGTTGCCACCTCTCGTGTTGATCCTCAGCAATCCAAAGGCCCACCCGCGCACAATTGAGGAGGGGGGGCATCCCCTCGCCTTTTTCCACCACCAGGTCTTCGGGCAGACGCACCTTTCGCAAGTCCGACCCGAGGTTGCAGGCTGCCGGGCGGTGCTGCGCGTCCCTCCGAGGCCTTCCAAGGTTCCTCCTCGTCACGGCGAGAACGCAGGTCAACCAACGCATGGACCGCACCCAGCGCGTCACCACATCATGTGGCACTACTTCGCGTCCTTCGACCTCACGCGCCTGAGACCTTGGTGGCATTCTGCACCGCTCGCCCACGGCTCTTTCCCTAGGCCTTCTCCTTTCGTCCATCCAAGCGTGCTCGCCGCCGGCCAATGAACATGGCCGAGCTGTCCAGATCTGGGAATCGTGGTGCAGCAAGGCAATGCCCGCTCGGTGTCACTAGGCGATAATGGGACACGAGTGCCACACCGCGCCCGGGGCCGTGCCCTGGACTCGTGGCTGCTGTCATCTCGGTTGACAGGGGGGCAATTACAGCGCCTGCGCAGGCAGGCTGCATCAACCCATGAAACGGTGTCAGCAGCAATCTGGCGCAGACGGCAGACCAGGGTGAGACGATGGCAGGCTGAGGCGGAGTCAGCCAGGGTCCACCTCACACAAATCAGCTATCCGACCAAGATGTACTGCACTGTATCCGCACACAGATTTCACAGTACCAACTACTTAGCACGGCGACTGTCGATCACACGTGGTTGTCTCTGGGCCACCATTGCTACCACGGCGGTTCACTCACCAAAAGGCAGACCTCGGCTCGGCGCCGCAGGTCCTCGTATGATCGAGTTGGAAGGAAGGCTCTAGCAACAAGCCAGGATAATAAGCTTGCCGATAGCCCTGGGCGATCAACAACACTGACAACCCAATCGTGGTGCAAGGGCCAGGTAATTCCCAGTGCATTTGAGCGGCCACGCAGACTGAGCGGTCAAAAGCCCTTCGCCTCCGCCAATAAGACCAAGACAATTGTCCATTTGCAAGCCCGGTCCATCGAGATCCCGGCCAGGTCGCTATCGTACTGTGTACTTCGCCGTCTTTGAATTGCCGGTTGGCCTGTCCTGTGTCTGTTTGGTCTACCAAGCTTACAGAATTGACACATGGAGGCGGGCCGGCCGTGCGCAGAACACCTCCCAAAGTGTTGACGAATGAGAGGAAGACGCGCACCCAAGAGTAGTAATTGTGCGAGCCTTGTCACTCTCCATCATCTCCACCACCTCTGGAGTTCGCCGCAGCTTGTTGGCTTATGGGCAGGCCGCGGATCAGCATGGGTGTCGCAGGAACACTTTGCGCAGAGTTGCAGGTTCAGGAATGAGACATTTTGCACGCCAGACGCGTCTAAGACATCGATGACTCGCGTGATCGGCTGCGTGGCTGTGGGGTTATGAAGAATTTGTAGTGGTATTGCCCTTGACCTGGGACACCAAAGCACACCAGTGCTTACATTAAGGTATGCTCGACATGGAGGAAGCTGACCGCCACCAGCGCTCGCATTGCGTGTTCACGCGGACCAAACGGCCCGTACCATGCAAACATAGAGGGAAACGTCGCAGCAGTCGAAAGCAGAGAGCTGAAGGACGAAGACGGCAATTGGGGGGGGCGCGAAATTGCCTGCACATAGCAATCATAATTCAAAGAATCGGACTAGACCCGACTTCGTCAATGGCCAGACTCCTCTTAAGAAGTAGCACGGCCCTGTCGACGGCAGCTTGACTAACTGCTGGGCATGCCACTCGACGACATCTGATGGAACCCTTCAATGCGTCTATGTTCCTTGAGTAGACTCTATGCGTGCTGCATGTATCGCTTGGTCCATATCATTGGCAAGTCATTCAAGATGAGGCAGCTGCTTTGAAACCCGGATTACTCTAACCACTGACAATGGAGGAGCTGTTCGGTGTTCTGTGCCAAGCGGAGAGCTGCTAGAGGATGTTAGCATTCGTGGTCGCTGAGTCGCACACTACCCTTATCATCTGGGCAACGACTCGCCGCCGCGGGGAACTCCTCTATTTTGTCGTCACACGTATCCTTTCGTCCGTCTATTGCTCACTCTGGTCATTGCGTTGCTCAAGGCTCAGCAGCCGTGGTCCACCAGGGTCCAGCACGGTCGTCAGTAGCGAGGCCCGCCAAGCGGGGGAACCGGAGTATAGAAAATACAAAAAGATCGGAAACCATCGTAACCCGAAGGGCTAGCGACGAATGCTCCTCTCGATCGGATCGGGGAAGCGAACCCTGGCCACGATTCCCATTTGGGGGTTCATGCAAGCGCAATCCGACTACGAGGAACTTCTGGCTGAGGCTCTGCCTAAGGCGTTGTGCTGACTGAGGCAGAGCCAGATTTCCTGGAGATGGCAGTTGGCAATGCAGCGGTGCCGTGCCGCGAGAGATGTCTGGCGGCACGCACGCGAAACCTTACCCTCCAGGGCCACCTGCGTGACAAATGCCGGTATCTTGGCCACTAGACGGATCGAGATGTTTGCACCAAGGATAGATGGCTCGTTCTGGCCTGCTGGCTATGCGATTCTTGAGGGGGTAAGTAGCGCGGGCTAAGTAGTAGTTTGTCTCCCAAGGATGCTGTACAGGCATGTTTGAGGTGCCACCGAGTGCCGTTAGTGCACATGTTGTCGCCATGGCGGCTCTTCTTGTCATCATAATGTCAGTTGCAGAAGAAGATAGACGAAGGAGCAATGGACATCGCAGCACGAGTGGTGGCACCACAATCGGCACATGCATCAGGACGCGCGCGCGTGGTGAGTTTTATCGTGCGTTGCCGCAGGCTACCGGATACACTGGGCTGTCGTTGTCGTCATCGTCCGTGTATGTCTACCTAGGTACTGTTGTTGTTGTTGCAGCAGAGCTTCACGGTGGTGGGCAATGAGCAGACCTGGACCCTCAACGGCGTGGAGTGGGTCGTGCACACCCGGACAGAGCCAATGGCAGTGCAACGAATCGGCTAGGCCCTCCATGGAGCAGCAGGGACTCATCGCGGGTCAGGAGGCCGACCTGCGACAGCTGCGACGGCATCATGAAACCGTCCCTGTCGGGAGCTCCTGCCTCTGCATTGCTCGCTACACTGCCTCCTGCTGCGCTTCTGCTCTGCAATCCGTGGCCTCTGCTCCGCTCCTCAGACTTGTCAATGCCTGGCCGCCCAAAGTCAGGCCATCTCACCTCCTGCCTTGTATCACGATGATTCCAGGATCCTGGCCATCAGCCGACTTGGCCCTAGCCACGGCATCGACGCTACGAGGGTGTCACACCTTCTGGCGGAGCCGCATCGCCTGTCTACTGCACCTGTCCCGCATGCCGCCCGCCACCCCTTGGTGACGGGACCCTATCTCGCCTGTGTCTCTCTACTCTTTGCCGACCCTCGTGCTGGATGAACCACTGACGTGCTCCTGTGTGTGTGTGGCTGTCTGTTTCTTCTCGCGCCTGGCTGCGTTTCGATTCTCCTTCTGGGCCCAGCGACATCGTCCCATTGACGAGGGTGCCCCCCTGTCCTCCCTTTGCCTAATTCTCTTTGCGGTTCTCTCTTCTCTAGCCCTGGTCCGCTCCAACCAAGCCTTTTGCTCTTGTCCTTCTTTGGGCTCTGTCTTGTCCTTTCTTTCGAGAGTGTCGCGGCCAATCTTTTTTCGTTTCCGGCTCATCGTTCGACTGCGTCGACGAGGTCTGGGACAGCGCGGGTTCATTCTCCTTCTCTTCTTCGCCAGAGCCGCTTTATTGTGCGGCAGTCCTTTCTTTAATCGACCGACGAGGCTCCGGGTGAGCACTTCAAAGCAACCGTTTCGAAGCTTCTTTCGGTCACTATTTTCTTCTTATCGACGATAATCGACGCCGGCCGTCAAATCGCAAATAACAACAACTTGAAGCACGACACACAGACACGCACAAGACAATAGCAAGTTGAAACAGTATAAGGGATCTATCTCTAGGACGAGACTGTTGTTCAAAAGCGAATCGCCGTCAACGAATCGTGGGAGCTGGCACTTATTTCGACCTCGAATCCAGGGAGACATCAACCGACACCGCAAACATGGTCAACAAGATCCTCGCCGCGTTCGTCCTGGCGGACATCTTGTTTGCAGCTGGCGGCGCCATCATGCTCGGATTTGCCGTTGTTGTCCAGCAGACTTGCTTCAACGTGCCGACGGAAGGGGTGGAGGCAGCCCGGCATCTCCTATACAGAGAGTTTCCCTTTAATGGTGAGTATGAGGGATACTTGCAAGAGCGTCAGGATACATTTGTTGGTTTGAGCTGACTTTCGCCGTCTATCATAGTGGGCATCGCCAACGCCGTCCTCACCTTTATAATCTTCGCCTTCACACTGCCTGGCCTGGCCACTGGCTCGCGCGGCTGGCTCAAGGTCGCGGGCTACCTCGTCGTATTCAACGCCATTTTCACCTTGGGCATTGGTCTAAACCTCTGGACGACGACCCTGAAGATGCGCGAGCGCTTCAGTGCCATCTGGGTGGCGCAGGACGCAGAGATCCAGAGCTTGATGCAGACAGCTGTGAGTCCCATCCGTTGCCTTTCTTTGAATGGATCATTTTCCTGAAACACCACAATTCTGACAAGCGGACTAGTTTTCTTGCTGCGGCTTCACAAACAGCACGTCGCCCGCGTTTGTCACGAACCCAACGTGCCCGAGCCCGGCTTCTTCGGCACTCATGCGGGGCTGTGGCTCGCCATTGGTGTCATTCGGCAACACCGAGATTGACCAGATCTTCACGGCCGTGTTCGGCATGGTCGGCCTTGACGCGATCTTCATCATGGCGCTGGCGTGTCTGTTGAAGGACCGCAAGGAACGCGAGCGTTACCGGCACATTGACGAGAAGAGCGGTGCTCGGAGAGGAGGCTTCTAAGTTTGCAATGTCAGAGTCCTGGCGGTATTCAAGGAACGGCCCAGGTGTCTTTTCCTTGTCTAACGTCAATGGCTCCTCTTCTACTGGCCTCCTTGGGCATTGTTTCTCTCTTCTTTTTTTATCCCTTGTCAGTCCTCGGCTCAAGCTGTGTATTAGGAACTTCCAGTTTCTAATGCCCAGTGAGCTGTAAGACATAGACCACTAGATACCACAGTTCCAACCACAACCATAACATTGCAGTCCGAAAGTCCGGCACAATGTATTTGTTCTTATGTAGCACTTTTGTAAGCTCACGACATACATACACAAATCAGTATTCAATCAAGTTGTTTCCACAGGGAAAGAGTCTTGGCGTTAGTTCTGTGACGCCACCAGTTACTCGCCATGCTAGAGTCGAGATCAAATCATGATTGAGTGCTCGAACTCGAATGACCTCTTCTGCGTCGTGCCGTGTTGGCCTCAATTGCCGTGGGCGTTTAGCGAGCAAGCTAGCTTCCTGCGTTGTCTGGGAGACATGAACTGTTACCGTGTGTGTGTTTTCGGGAAGAGCGCTGCTTCGTTTTTAAGGTAAGGTTTGCTGTTTACACCTCCGCCTCGTCACTCCTTCCCTCGTGCCTCGTGTTTTAAAGGGTCCCACTCCGGGGCTTCTGACTGGAATAGGCAGAGAAATATGCATATGTGTAACGACAGACCAAGTATGCTGCCCCCTTCGCTTTGCATGATTCCGCAGGTGTGGTCGTCTGTTGAACATTGGATATCAGCTCGGGGGAGACTCGCGTCGAAAGAACGCGGTATTCCAACGACACATAGCGCTGCTGCGTATGACGATGTGATGTTCTACTATACCGTGGCACATCATCTGCAAGAGCGGCAAGGACCTTGGTTGAACTGCTCCCACGTCTTCTGTCCGGGCTGACTTTCTTGACAGCCGCAAGCAACAGAACATTTCCTCGATTGCCATTGCCGCACTACAGTGGCCGTGCGGCTGATGCTGATGCTCTCGCCTCGTCGACCTTGGCGGGCACGCCCGAAAGTTAATCGTTGGTTTCTGTCTCATGATGGGAAGAGGGATACATAGTACTGCTGATACGCATCAACAGCCTTTCAGGTGTCATTCGGCTTGTGCAGAGCGGGCTAAAGATAACTCCAAGCTAGGCACAAAACGAATTAGGACGAACTGGACAAGCTGCAGCAGGGCTGAGAAAGAGAGGCCATTGGTGCTAAGGGGAAGGCAACGTTACGAGGCCCGCTGGAGACTCTGTTATGTCATCAAGCAGCCAATGCCTGCACATTTTGATGTGGTGCCCGTGGTAACAGTGTTGGTGTGTGGTGGTGGTGGCTTGGTCTCAGCCGCGCACGGCAGTAACTTCAGCAACTGGACCAGCCTGAATCATGGTTAGCGGTTAAACGGCGAGCCCGCGCAGCGCGGCTTTTGACTAAGTTTACGGATTGTGCATGAGGGCCAGCCGCCTTTTTTAAGCGCTTGTGGAGGCTGAAACTCTGTAGGCGTTGTTGTTTTTGTTTACGGCCTCCCTAACTTTGCTTAAGTTTGTGTGCAGAGGGGGCTTTGCTCCGATGCTGTGCATCAGCTGGGCAACCCAAGATCAGCTTCAAACAGACTGCAGGTTATATAAAAGTGCCTGCCGCTTTGATTGTTGTTGATTTCTCGAATTCTGCCTTGCACATGCTACCGACGGGACCTTTCTTTCCTTTGTAGAACTGGTTGTGGATATTAGACAAAGAACGCAGCAGGGTCTACTTTCACAGCACTTGCAAAAGTGTTCTGCCAACAAGCACAACCGACGTGTCGCGGCGAGGCACACCACCATCGATAAACACCGCATCACTCGACGGCTCGTGCCTCAATTCGCGACTCAAGAGCACTCGCTTCAAAGCTACCAGCAGAACCGGACCAGACCGAAGGGAATCTCCCGGCAATCTCCAGCGTAATGGCCTTTTCACACGTCGAGTACGTTGCTGCGACCCTGGCAGAGCGTGCAACCAAGACATGGACAGATTCGGAGGGCAATGTGTGGCAGTATGACACGGCGACATATGGTATGCCGTCATTCGCAGCAGGACTGCTGGTTGAGGAGACGACCACCGACTCTAGTGGACCAGAAGCTGACTAAAGGGTTCTTCTAGCGCTGGCATGGTGGATCGTGGTGTTGATCATCTGGATCTCATGGTTCTGTGTCGTCTATGCCGTTGCCTTCATCGTCTACTTCATCAAAGGTACACTCACTCACCCTCATCCTGCTCGGAAGCGGGACTGGTTCATCATAAGAACAAACACTAACACTGTTGTTTTCTTCCGGGACGGTAGAACGCAGGCGGAAGCGTCAGGGCCTGCAGTTCCGGACCGGGCACGTCTTCTGGAAGGCGTTCTGCATCGCAAGCGGCCTGTGGTTCTGGATCTGGGTGTTCAAGAAGTGCGGGGCCGGCGGCGCCGACAGCCGCAATGCTGGCGGCAACAAGAGCATGCTCGACGGCAACAACTACAACCAGCTCGAGGGCGGCGGTGCCTGGTATGGAGCGAACCCACAGCACCAACTCCATCATCCCCAGCTTCAGCAGCAGCAGCCTGGCCGGTTTGAGCCCATAGGCTATGCAGGGTCTGGCGGCATCTACCAGCATCCGTACCAGCAGCATCCGCAGCAGAGCAGCGCGCCCGCGAGACCATACGATGCGCCCCCGCCGCGCCGCCATTCCTTCTCAGCCGAGCTTCACTGAAGGGCTAGTCGAGACATGACGATGAGGACTCGGAACCTATGTAGGGGGAAGAATTCCTGGATTTGAAAGGGTTGGCCCGCGCGGGGTAAGAGGGATGCAGTGGGCACGAGGAACTTTTGCCGGTGTGTATAGATAATTAGTGGCTGTTGATCCCATGACTGGGCCCTGGCCTCACAGGAGTTCTATTGTCTTCTCTAGCGGAATGGGGAATCCAGAATATGCCCACCCGATAGTGCTTTGTGATCTGCGAGCCTGCGTCAAGATCGATGGCCCGGTGGAGAAGAAGACCGGCAGCTCGCTATACCGGCCGCGGTAAGCGCTGCAGGGGATCTCGGACTATAACGATCTCGGAAACTTACGCTGCACGCGGATCGAGACTAGGTTGTGCTATTGTTGGGAATGTGCATGTGGCCCAGGGCCTGTACGACCCCAACGCACAGCACAGAGGAGTAATTTAGTCATGGGTGACCACATTCAGGGGTCTTGCGGATGGCTGCCTCGGATGGCAGCCTCGCCGGGGAAAAGCAACTAGGCCCAGCCAAAACCCCAGGGCCGGAACGAAAAAGCAAAAAGAGAAAGGGGAAATTGTGCGTCGAGTGACGCCATGGTGCCAGCGTGCGCAGTTAGCATGGCGCCAGGGACGAGCTAGGTTAGCGGGAGAGGCTTGTCCGGCTCGCGAATGACGAGAGCCGTGGCAGGAGGAGCCATATCCGAGCATACGTACCACTTAGTGGTCCCTTTTCAGGGCTCGCGGATGGTGACGAGCTTGAGGGAGGACAGTCTCAGGGATCGGCGGGAGGAGCCGCATGGTGCCGTCCCTGCCATCATGGCCGCACTTGTCCTCTGCCTCTCTCCCCTTCTATTCCCCCCCCTCTCTCTTAGCCACGAGACTGACAATGTGATGAATCTCGGACCACGACATTGGGCTCTCGAAACAGCCGCCTTGCCCTCCGGATTGCTGTGCCCATCGGCCGACCGAAGGCCATGGCGACAGATGCTGAGCGCCCGACAGACGGCGATGCGCCCCGGCAGCCAACCCCTGCGCCGGCGCCGGCGCCAGCCCCGGGGCTTACATTCCTCATAACGACGAACCCGCGCGAGCCCAAGTCGGCGGCTACCAAGAAGCGCGTGCGGCAAGCGGCGGCGCTCAAGTCGTGGCGAGATATCAAGAGCGAAAGTGCCAGCGCAGGGCCGGCACCGAAACGTGCAAAGACGGGATCAGAAAAGGGTAAGGTGTCAACGGCACGAGGCAGGGACTCGAGACCCGAGGCAGTCACCTGGGAGGGCGTTCCTGCCGTCCACGTCCCCGACCACCAATCGCCCGTGTCCCAGCAACATCATCGCCCAGACTCGATCCTCCTGCCGGCCCGTCCCACCAACTTCGTCGTCGCCACCCCGGCCTCCGCTTCTTCCTCGAGCTCGACGCACACTTTGTCGTCCTTGTCCTCCGCCAGCCTCTCCCCATCCGTCCCTACTCAGAGCCATGAGACCCGCCACGACGCCCAATTGGACGCGCTTGCCCCGTCCGCTCGCGGCAGCCTGCAGGTGCCCTCGTCGATAGCGTCGAGAAGACGGCGCGCTCAGGCATCTGCTGCACTTCTCTCCACTTCCTCCAAGATTTCCCCTGTGACTCCACCAGCGGTCGGTTTCCCGGCCACACCCTGTAGCGAGGATGGCAGAATGCGAGAGTCATATCGGCACACTATTGGTTGGCCTCCTTATGGTGCTGGGCAGCTCATCACAAGCCCCAGACTCCCTTCCATTGACGACATAGTCCGGCATCAACAAGGCGTCTCCCAGCCCAATGGCTCCATGGCTCACGGTCCGCCTGCTCGCAAAGGCCACTCGGAGCCTAGCACGCCCTCGTCTCCATGCCGGACCTACTGCAACGACCTAGATCCTTTCAACTGCTGCCCTGTCAAGCACAAGTCGTGGTTTGATGGTGTACTGCATCATAGTAAGTAGTCGGCTCTCACAAAGAAGTCTTGTGGTGGTTGGCGTCTGCATTGCTGACACTAGGAATCAGTGCTCACCGTCTTCGCGCCACGAGCCTGGCCTACACTAAAGATCACAAACGAGCAAGGACTACAGTGGGAGCACTTTATGACACAGCACGCCCTGGCCGAGCCTGCCCTGTATTATGTACGACTCCTGTTCGCCACAGGCGACATGGTTGTCCTCAACATCACAAAACCGCAATTCAGACTGTGGCTCCAGGCTCGGGCGCTTGAAACCATCAACGAAGCCCTGGCAGACCCCGCCCGTGCCACCTCGGACGGCTTGATCCTAGCTATCGGCCGGATCGCCCTAAACGAGAGCCTGTACGGAGACAAGGTCGCGGCACACACCCTGCATAGACCGGCTCAGCAGAGAATGATTGCCATGCGTGGTGGCATGAATGCGTTGGACTTCCCCCCACTGGTCAAACGCCTGATGAGATGGTCGGACAAAGTCATGTCGATGCAAGGCGGCACACCACGAATGATTCCTGACGACGTGGAGCCCCATTATACAGATGCTACAAGTGTGGACGTGCTCGAGAAGTGGGCTCCTACCGAAGGCATGGCACTTCGGAAAAAAGTGCAGTTGCAAGCTGCTCCTTGAGTGATGCTTCACAGGTGGCCCAAAACAACGAATGGCTTAATCTCGACAGAGGTCGTCCTTGCTACGAAGAGAATCAAGCTGCTGCACGCCAGACACCTCAACTTCTAGTCGGACGCCAGACACGCAATGCAGGACAATGGTGTCGTATTCGTGATGCTGTGGATACAGCATTGTGTTTGGAGAGGCTGGCTTCTCCACAGTCTCCACCACAAGGAGCGTCTAGGCATTACTTAGGAGTTTGGGGTGCTGTAAACATATATACGCACCTTCAGCCAGGAGCTACAGAGGGACGACAAGATGGCCTCGCATCCATGTCCGAGCTCGTTATCCGGCGTGATTCCGTGTCAACAACAGTCTTGTGCGGGCAAGGCTCGTCCGTACTTCCACCAGCGATCGGACAGTGCACACCGTGGCCACGAGCAGAGAGTTGTGGACTTCGTACTCAGCTGCCGCGCAAAGCGCTGCGTGCGCCCGAGATTGCCCTGCTGGAAACCTGCTTGACCCACAGCATCGGCCCTGGCTGTGCCATGAGAATGAGCGGCTCAGGTGGACGTGGACGGGCGAGCACAGTCGGCAATGCACAGGCCGCAGGTGGTTCTCCCAGCCTACCGAGTGCTGTCCACGAGCAACACTGTGCATAAGGCGAGATGGATCGTTCTAGGATACATTGCGGAGGTGGCGGCACGAGTTAAGGCACTGGAAAAGCAAGATGCGAAGTTTAAAGACAATGATGTCCACAGGTCCTCGAGCCAGCATCATACGGCCCCGATTCCCGGAATCAACGTGGCATCGCATGTGGGCCTTGGCTGCATGAAGCCCGTAATGGGGCCCGGGACGCCGGAGGTTGGAGCACGGCCAAGCTTCCACAACTCTCGCGCGCTCGGGTCAGTGTTTGTTTGCCTGTCGCTACATGGGCGAAGCATGAGAGCGGAAGACCTCGTGATGGTGGATTCCTGCCCACTATCGAGATGCGACGCACTGCGTTGGCAGGATTGCTGGTCATGCCAGACGCGGTTCTGCGTGGCCCTGTCTCTCCGAGTCTGACGACACACTTGACAAGCCTGGAAGAAGGAATGGGGCGGCTGCTAAGTTAGCAGTCGCGGGCACGAACCTAAGGCGGCGCCTCCCGCTGTTAGGGCGGAAGAGGTGCTATTTCTGGCTGACAGGGCTGCGGACTGCGCAGAAAACACCGCCTACGTATCGCCATAGTCACGACTCGGGAAATGTGTACGAACTGCGAGAGCACGGGAGAGCAGTCATGCGCCGACGACCCCAGATCCCGGCAGTAAGCGGAGGCGTGCTGCAGCTTGCAAGTGCCGGGCAGGGGTTGCCTTGGCCTGTTGGGTGGACCCTGAAGCCCGCCAGCACACAATACGAGGCGATCGGCACGCGGTAGCAGGTGCGCAGGCCATGACGACGGGGGCGCCGCCTCCACAACCACCATCGTGTGATGGCGCTGGGGCTCGTATTCCTGCCGCCCCGGCAACACAACACCAGCAACCTGCCATCGTCTGCCCTCCAGAGCATGGCCGCCAAAGGGACCCTGCACGCGCTCACCGGCGCTTCTCCACACATCATGACGACACCCACAAGGCACGCCTGCGGGGACATGTCAGCGAGATGGGTGCAACATCAATACCACCGCTCGACATATAAATGATGAGAGCCCAGCACAACCGACCCGATATCAAATAACACCATCACCACCACCACAGCTCTCATCCGACCTCCTCACACTCTCAAATCAGATACCCTCGTTTTCCAAACACTCTCAAACAATCACCGCCAAAATGCAGTTCTCCACCATCCTGTCCGCCCTCTCCCTCTTCGCCGCCTCGGCCACTGCCGTCACCGTCTCCTACGACACCGGCTACGATGATGCCGGCCGCTCTCTCACCGTCGTCTCCTGCTCCGATGGCCAGAACGGCTTGATCACCAAGTACGGCTGGCAGACTCAGGGCCAGATCCGCTCCCAGTACATCGGTGGTGCCGATGTCATTGCCGGCTGGAACTCCGCTCAGGTAAGCTCTCCTCACAAACTCTGTATGCTGTGTGGAGAAGAACTCCCCTCGCTGACCCCTGTTTAGTGCGGCACTTGCTGGGAGCTCAGCTACAACGGCCGGACCATCAACGTCCTCGCCATCGACCACGCCGCCGCAGGCTTCAACATCGAGCTGTCTGCCCTCGACGCCCTGACCGGCGGCCAGGGTATCGCTCTCGGCCGCATTGATGCTTCCAGCAGACAGGTTGCTATCTCGGCCTGCGGACTCTAAACGGACACATCAACAACCGTGAAAGGCACTCTAGGCGGGATGGGCTTAATTGGGGACGTTCTCATGACGACGAGCAAGCATTGGTGGCGAGTGGTATTAATTCTGCATGGACTCATGACACGATAGCATATCAGTACAAGCACATGACCTGGCGTTTTTGAAATTCAACTCATTCATATTTCGTTTTTTTGACGGCTTTACTCGATTGTCGGCTGCATGTTGATTCTGCGGCCATGTGTGAATCAGGGCTGGCTGGAGAGCCTTCGCCATCTGCTCATCCTGCTCGACTCCCCATCCTCGGACTCTAGCCCGCGTACTCCCACTTGTTCATCGTTCCCTGGAATCCATACATCCATACATCTTCCCACGGGCGCGGGTGGACACGGACTAGTAAGCGTGGAATCAATTAGTGGCATAGAGACGGACAGAGAGACAGATACAGAGACTAAACTGCCTGGCAACACAGCAGACTCGTCGTAAGCGCGAGTACAGGTCTGCCGTCAACACCGCGCTGCCACCACATGTCTGTCACTCGGACTCAATTTCTTCCTTGGGCGACGGGCATCCTCGGACAATCTCCTCTCTGCTAGCTGGTCCCGTCCAAATCTCCTTCTTCGTCTGTGCTTCACCAAGGGTCACCTATGCAATCTCGGCCACCCAGGAGCTACTGACTGTAGTATATAGTAGACGTTTGTTGCTACACGTGCATATATAGCCCCACCATCACCCAGGGTAAAGAATGGAACGCAATCAACCATGTGATAATAACGAGCATAACATTTTATTGCGCATTTTTGTCAAGATGAAACGAGTGACTATTTATAACCATTCGCCGTCGTCGCCGCCGGATACCATGCCTCCTTGCTCCCCAAATCAAGATCAGAAACGCCAGGAATGGTCTCAGTCTGAACTCTGCAAAAACAGAAGGAGAAAGAAAAGGGTGGCCGGCGACTGACGCGAGGTGCGTAAGTGAAGAAAGGCGTGAGATGACAAAGGAAAGTTTTGTGTTTTTGGGGGGTTTTTCTCAGTCTGGTAGTGGATTCGTGAATTATGAGCCGAGCGTAATCGTTGTTCGCCAGGACGACTATTATGTGCTGTGGTATATGTGGTGTGCAAAATTCTTGTGGGGGGTATCAGTCTAGATATCATAATCGCAGGCTCGCAGATGACATAAGATGAAAGCAGTATGGCCCGATGTTATGTACTTGGGGTTTTTTCTTGCCGGGTTTCGGGTTTTGTTTTGTTCCGTCTTCCTGGCCATGTTGTCTTTTTCCTTGGTCGTGCGAAGCAAAAGAAATGGGTATAGTGTGCCGCTTAGTCGTCAAAGAATGCTGCATCGTCAAAGTCTTCCACCTGGGCATCCTGATCGTACGTGGTCGACTGCATCATCGGTGGTGTAACAGGTGGGCCATGGGCACGAGGAGGAGGCGTGTTGACCATTGGCATCTTCTCAGCTTGTCTCGAGGTCATGGAAGGACCACGACTGCGGCTGGCAAACTGCTCGGCTGTCAGGCGTCGCCCAGTGCTGCCGAAAGCTGTCGGTTGAGCATCCGGGGCTGGTGGTGTTTGCCGGACATTGGACGCAGGCGGGGTCATCAGCCCAGAGAGCAGACTGCTTTGAGAGTCGGAGCGAGACTTGGACGGCGTCGCGTTGCGCCCAACGCCACTGCTTGGACGAGCCCCGGAAAAGCTGCTGTTGCGAGATGGCTGCTGCTGGCTGGCCTTGCGCCAGCTACCCCACGCCGCGGCCAAAGGACCAACGGCTTGGGCTACGCGCGGAGTGGCCGCGTCACGGAGAGTCGCGGCAAGACTGGGCAGGTTGATGGCTGAGCCTCCGTTCATGGCTCTTTCACGCTCTTGCTCTTCCATTTGAAGGTTTGCCTTCAGACGGATTGTCGCGTCCTTGACGGCCTCGCGGTTGAAGCGTTCGGCAGACAAGGCCTGGATAATATCCTGGAGGTCGCCATGCCTGACGGCGAGCAATTCCCGGAGCCAGGTGATCTCATCATCACGCTTGGAAATCTTGGTTGCAGCCTCAGGATCGAGCTTCTCTACTTCCTGCTCGAGTTCCTCGATGCGCTGCTCACGGGCTTGCAGCTGCTCCTGCAACACCATGATTGACTCGCGCAGTGCCTGGGGAGAGATCTTCTCAGGCAGCTGCATGGCTTCGGCGAGCTGCTTAGTCTGACCGACAGGGCCTGGTTGAGCTGGGGCGGAAATTGCGGATGGCGTGGACTTGGCCAGCGCCGCAGCTTGTGCAGCAGCACGAGCAGCCTCTTGAGCAACCTGGACCTTCTCCTCAAGGTGCGAGATGCGGTCCTGGAGGTGCTCGGTCTTGGATTTGGACAAGCTGAGACGCTCCAAGAGATTCTGCTCGGTCTGCTGTGCATCCTCTGTGGCGTTGTTGATCTGTCGCTCGTGCTTAGCTTGGAGATCTTCGAGCTCCATCTGGTGTTTGGCCAATAGCTGATCGAGGTCTGTCTTCTTGCTAGTCTGTGCCTCTTCGAGCATCATCTCGTGGTGAGCCTTTGCAGTGTCGGCATCCAGCTTGACTTGGTCGAGCTGGCTGCGCAGTCTGCTGGCTTCATCATCGAGCTCCGCACGAACGACGTTGACCTGGTGGTTGGCAGTGTCGAGTTCTGCCTGAAGCGCGATCCGGGTACGCTGGACTTCTGATGCACCAGAGTCACGGGCCTCTTGCACTTCCCGCTGCAGATGGAGGACGTTCTGGTGTAGGTTGTGGTTCTCGTTCCGCAGTTCAGACAGCAGCGTCTCCAGACGCTTGCACTCACTCACGGCTCTCATGCCAGCTCTCTCGCCTCCCTCGAGGCGCTCAACCTCAACCTCGAGGCGCTCGCGGGTGCGCGCCTCAGCCTGCAGTCTAGCATCGAGAACCTCCATACGAGCCACGATACTCTGCTTCTCCTTGGCACGGCGCGAGTTCTCCTCGGTGATCTCACGGGCAGCATGAGCCATATCGTCTTGCAGGGCAACAAACTTGGCACGCCAGTTGTCCCGGATCTTCTCATTCTCCTCGAGCTGGACTCCAAGCGTGTCGATGAGCTTGTGCATGTGCTTGGTCTCGGTGACAGCTTGCGCGTGCTCCTCAGCATGGCGGATCGACATTTGTCTCTCCTGCTCTGCTTCTGCGCGCCAGTGGCGAGCTTCCTGGCGGGCATCGCGGAGTTCACTCTCCGTAATGTTGAGGCGGTTCTTGAGCTCGTTCTCGGTGCGTTCGGCGTTCTTCTGAGCACCCTCGAGCAGGGTGAGCCGCATGCTGGTCTTACCAGAAGTTTGCTCAATCGCCTTGATCTTCTGGTTCCGCTCTTCGAGAACTGAGCGCAATCTGTCTTCCTCCTCTGACGAAATGCGAAGGAGACGCTGGATCTCCGAGAGTCTGTCCTCGGCTTCGCGGCGGCCGGTCAACTCTTGCTCGTTGCGGTGTTCCTGAGCTCGCAGGCGTTCTTCAAGGTCATGCACTCGCTGATCGTACACGCTTCTGTTCATGATCTCGACCTCAACCTTGGTCTCGGCCTGGTCGAGCTGTCTCTTGATCTCGGCGGCGCGGTCCTCCGCTGCGCGTCTGGTCGAAGTCTCCGCCTCCCTCGCGCTTTCCTCAGCCCTCAGCTTGTCCTCAAGCTCTTGGACGCGAGCACGTTCACGTTCGCTGCGCTCCTCTTCGTCTCGGAGTCTCTGGCTCAAGTCGTGCATCTTTGCCTGCATCTCTGCGAGAGCAGTGTTCGCTTCCTCATCGTCCTTGATGACAGTAGGTGCTGGCGGAGGCAGGCGGTTGGTAACAGCCTCTTCAACGATAGATCGAAGATCGTCACTCTTGAAGTCGAGCCGAAGGGGCTCGGATATTTGCTGCTTCATTTCAGTGATGGCTTTGAGGACTTCCGATTCCTCCTTGGCCGCCTCCGGCGCAACTTCAAGCTGGGCCGGCTGGAGCGCTCTTGAGGCCATTTGAGCATTGAACACTTCGGTAACAGCAAGTCTGATCTGGTCCATCTTCTTGTCACGACGAGGGCTCAGAGAGCGACGAGCAGGCATTTCGTCGTCCTCGTCATCCGCATCGCTCTCCTGCACCTCAGCTGAGACACTACGCCGACTGCGACGCACGGAATGATCCCTGCCAATCGCGTTCTCAATAAGCCCAAGAGATTTCTCAAGAGGACCGAGCCGGCTTGCGAGCAAGTTGCCAACCAGCTCAGCGACGTGGCTGTCGAAGAAGTGCGACCGGTGTTCAAGTTTGTCCTGCTCATCTGCACTGAAAGCATCATCCCACTCGCTGTCTGGAATGCTGCCACCAGCGTTCAGGTGGTGGACAGGGGCGTGACCATCGAACGTCTGCGAAATCACACTGCGAGGAGGATCAACAAAGGGATCGTCCAGCTCCGCAGATGCAATCGGACCCGCAATCAGCGGCAGCCCACGGTATTGCCGCGGGCTCGGGCTTGGTGCGTCGCTGCGGAAAGGAATTTGGGGTGGCACAGGTGGAGGCGAGTGGCTGATGGCAGCAGACCGCTCAAGACTGCGCTCGCGCCATTCGGGTGAGGTAACCATGTGATTGATGCCCACATCCGGGTTCTCGTTCATGAACTGCATGACAGCATCAATCTCCTCGAAGGTGGCATCCTCAGTGTGGGCAGAGTGCCGCTCCTCAGCTCCAGCACTGACCACTGATGGAGGTCGAACTGGCAGCGACTCGAATCGCTGCATTGAGTCTGTAGCTGGCTCCGCTGGTACGGCCTCCTCTGAGACTGGAGAAGAGGTATCGGCGAAGCGCGAGGCAGCCAGACCTGACGGTCGAGGCGGAGGCGAAGGTGACTCGGCGAATCTGGAAGCGCCCAATCCCTTAGCTGCTGGTGCGGGCGGTGGCGAGGCAAACCTCGAGGCCGAGAGACCAATCGACGCTGTTCTCTTCGGCAAAGGAGATGGGGTACGCTGCGCGGTTCCAAAGAAGTCAGGGCCAGGAGTTGGTGATCCGGCACGATCATCTTCCACTTCGTCCTCAGATACACCATTGCTGTCGTGGGTGATGTGCGCAGTGTCCGTCTTCATAATGGGGTCAAATGGTGCTTCGGCGGAGTTAGAAGCGCCAAACGTGAAGTTACCAGGCACAAATGGCTGGGCAGTAGCGGACAGGTTCTTCTCGTGGAGTGACTCGAAAGGATCCGTGTCGCCGAAGGGCCGGGCGCTATTGAAATCCTGGATGTCGCGCTCGTTACGGAACTCGAATGGCGTCCACGTCGACTTCTCAAGGTCGGGAGTGGCCGACGGGCTAGTTGCCTTTGTGTCGTTTGCATCGGACTGCGGCTTGCCGTCGGTCGACTCCGAGAGAATTGTAGAAGCCAGAGTAGTGTCACCCAGGTGGATAGCCTCTTCATCTTCAGCTTTGTCCTCGATACCCAGATCGACGGCGTCCGACACCTCCTCTTCGATGGAGCGTCGCGGTTCAGCGTCGCTCGTGTCTTCCTCGGCTGTCTCACCCTGAATCGACTCAGGATGAAGCTCGCGCTCGGGAGTTGGCTCTGCGAACAGAGGCACGTCATCGCCATCGTCGTTGTTGTCCCTGAACTTCTTCCTGAGTCTACTTACGTCGATGGGCCGCCCATCTTGGTCATCAACATCCAAAGGAGAGGTAGACCTTGTGGGCGTCGGCGATTTGGACCGTCTACTCGGTGGCCGTATGATCGGGACCGCCTTGGTCTTCTTGGAAGGCTGTGCGATGTCCGAGACATTAAGATTGATGGTACCAAAGATCGAGGTCGGCCGCGTCCGCACACCATCCGTGCCGGATGCAGTGTTGCTCGAGATGGAAGGAGCGAAAGAGCCCGTGGGAGTAAAGGAAGCAGCACCAGGATTGAACGCTGGCACGCCGGGGTTGAACGACGGGCCGGCGCTAGCAGAGAAGTTGAATGAGCTTGTGCTCGGGGAGAACAAAGGTACAGACTTCTCGCTCTGGGGTTTCGAAGAGGTCGTGACAGACGGGACCCTCGCGTGGGCGAGAGCTGCGCTGGGCAGGAAAGCTGGCGCGCCGGGCTTGAAGGTAGGGGCACCTGGCTGGAACGCGGCTGCGCCCGGCTGGAAGCTAGGCGCACTCGGCTTGAACACTGGAGCACCGGGTTCGAAAGCAGGGGCCCCAGGCTGGAACGTTGGAAACGCGGAGACAGCCTGGTTGTTGCTACTGCCAAAGGTGAAGGTGCTTGGGGTGAAGCTGCTGGTAGGGTTGAACTTGAACTCGGCTGCGCCAGCATTGAGCTTCGACAGGGACGGTTTGCTACTGTGGCTAGGCCGACGAGAGGACTTTACACTGTTGCCAGACGTCTCATTCGCCCAAGGGTTGCTCGTCGTCGAGACCGTACGCTCGTGCAACTTGTTGACAAGGTTGAAAGCCTCTAGTGGTGTGCCAGGGTTGCTTGGGTTGGTCTCAACCTCGTATTTGTGTTTTGCAAGTTCCAAATCAAGCTTCTCCAGGACGTTCGAGTTGACCAAGCCTTCGTCTGCACTATCGCGAACTTCTTCATTGTCGAAGAACGGCTTCTGTGACAACGAGTGGCCACGGCTGTGAGGCTGAGGGTGGTGAAGCTTGGGACCCTCGTCAGAATCAGTGCCAAAACTACCAAAGTGTACCGACGGGCCTCTTGCGTGGCCTTGCCCGTCTCCGTCCAGAGCTTCAGCGTCAAGTGGCTGGGCTTGTTTCGCGCCACTGCTCTCCTTATGGGGGCTGTAGTCTGGCTCCTCCAGCTGGGATCGAAACTGCTCTTCAAGGTGGTACTCGGCATCATCGATTTCCTTCTGCAAGCTATCGCTTGCATTGTGCCGAATAAAGTGCTGGGGCTCTGGTGTCTTCGACGGGCTCTTGCCTTCGTATGGATTGCTTTGAATTTCTTCCTCCTCCTCGCGCAAGTCATGCAGCCGCGGTGATGCCCTAGCAGAGTCCACTCTGTGGAGTTGCTGGTGAGGTAGCATGGGATACTGCAACGACTGGTGCCTTTGGTGCAGCTTCATGGCCGGTGAAGCTTCATCGCGCTGGAATGGAGAGCTTGGCGACATTATTGAGTTCATGTTGAGCAGAGACGGAGAGCCGCTGCGACCAAGCTGATTTTGCAAAAACATCTGTGGCGACCAAGCTGGAGATGGCTGGCCGGAGAAGAACGGCAGCTCATGCGGCGAGATTGCAATGGACGCACGAGGGTTGTGGTTGAACTTTCCGCCGTGCATGGGTCGCCCGTTGAAAGACACAGGCGAGGCGATGGCAGGACTCTGTGCCGCAGAGGATCCTGCGCCAGGCAAGAATGCTGCTGGGAATGGAAAACTATGCGGGCCATTGCTGGCTGCCGAGTCTGTCGGCAGCGGAGGCGAGAACGGCAGCGGCGGGTACTGATACGAGGCCTGGCGGCTCAGATTTGAAATGGCTGGCGAGATCGACTGAGGTGGAGGCGTCGGTTCATCATCACCACCCAGCGAGACACCCAATCTGCGCAGCTTCTCTTCCACAAGGTCATCTTGGTATCGCTTCCAGGCTGGTTTGATAGGTATGTTAGTGGGCAGACTCTTCTTGAATGACTTTGGTGTGTGAACTTACCATCGAGGTCCGGCAATGTCACCTGATAAGATTGCTTGGCTCGCTCCTCCGCCATGTCGACGTGGGCTGGCCACTGGCCACGACTTTGCGATGTCTCCTCGCTGGGATCCAGGTTTGGCTGGGCCATATCGAGATCGAAGCCACGAACGTTGTACCCGAGTTCCTCCCAATCACGCAACATTGTCCTGACATTCTCTGCACTCAGTGGCTTCGGGGCTTTACCAGGAAGCCCTCGCTCCTCGTCCCGTGGAAGCAGGACCATGATGTTCTTGCCTCTCCAAGGCACTTTCTTCTTAAGTCTCGGCGTCTGCGCCGGTAACTGCTTGATTGGACGAGGCGGTGTGGCGGGGCGAGTTATTTCCTGTGCCGCTTCTTCTGGCATTGGTTCGACCTCTGTCATGGGGAGCTCAGGCGCGGCGAACTCCATTGGAGATTCCAGGACGGACAAGTCCCCCGGTATCGGGAGGACTTGTTCTGACTCTTGAGAGTCCATGGTGTGAGGTAAAGCACTATTGCCTATTGCCTGTCGCAATGTCTCGTTGCTCGATCGAGCCCGCTGGTGATGTTGGGCGGAGGTTGTTGGAAGCGACAGACTAAGAGGCGCTCTTGGTGTACGAGGGTCAGCCTCTTCCAGCCAAGAAGCTTCGACTGGCGTCCGTGAGCCGCTCAGTAAAGAGTGCTCGCTCTCGTCAGTGTCGCTCAACCAATGGCGATATTCAGTCTCCGGATCCTCGGTCGTGTGTGTGCGAATCCAATCTTCGGTGATGCCAAGCACAGGCCGACGGGCACGGTTCGCGAGGACGGCAGCACTACCTGTCAGAGACGATGGCGTGGCAGCCTCGGGAGATGGCTGGGCCGGAGGCGCAGGACGCAGGAAACGAGTGTTCACTGCAAGCTGGTGTGGAAGCGCTAGCTCGCTATCCTCGTCGTCGTCTGAGAGATCGCTGCTGAAGCTCACCTGGCGAAAGTGCCTGGCCTCGCCTTGTTGATAAGGTGATCCCCAGCTGGTGGTGACGTAGCGGTTCTCTGGTTCCGTAGCCTCTGGAGCTTCTGAAGGTGCCCGCAGGAATTCCAAAGCGCGCTCGGGAAGCTGTGGAGCAGGAAGAGCCGGGAGGACGGGCGACGAGAGTTCGGCGTCGTCGGCTGTTGAGGTGCTCGAGATGGATGATGGCGACCTTGGGGGAGTGCCTTGGTGGTTGAAATCACCAGAAGTCGCAGAGGGAGACTGCAAAGCTGTGTCCTTGGTCGACGGATCTGGGACGGAGGGAACGGCGTCAGCTAGTGGTCCCTCAGTAAGGGGCATAATGACGCTGCAAGGTTCCCGAGAGTTGTCGTGCGCGCATGGAGTAGACAGTTGTTCCTATGGTTGGGCAGTCATACCGTGGCCAAGAGGAAGCGCACAGGCGGAGTGGTGGTCGCCTGGTCTCTGATCGTCCCGAACCGTGAAATTTTATCGGCGTTTCCTTTTTATTCTAAACTTTGGGGAGGTTGTGTGAGGCTCGGTTGCGAGAGTGAGCTGATGGCGATGCGGCGGTGACGTTGAAGAGGCTGTCACTGTGCGCCGGCGGGTGTTGTCTATTAAGCTGATTGGCGAGAGGGGATGCCTCGAAGCAGTACAGGATATGCTGAGATCAGAGTCGTCGGACGGTCGCTATTAGTGCGGTAGTGCGGCGACGCGTTTGTCCTCGAGGGTATCAAGCACGGGAAACCAAACTAGTAGACAAGGGAAAGTAAAAGGAGGGAAGGAAGAACGCGAGGGTCCAGAGCGCGCTGCATCGGGAGGCTGCTGCTGTTTAGCCGGGAGGATGATGAGCTCGTCGGCGGCAGTGAAGCACAGCAGTCGAGCCTGTAAGGAGACGCGACGGCAGCAGATGAGGGATGTTTGGGGACAGTGGACAGAAGCCCGTGTCAATGGACGTGGTGGTTGTGCGAAGGGGACTTTGACGGGCGAGGGACCGCACTTCGCACCACCCAAAGGCGGGAAGGGGGCGCCGGCGGATCCTGGAGACACTTTTGATGGGTCCGCGACGGCGCCGGGCGCACCTGCTTGCAGCAGAGTCAAATTGCTGGCCAGGTCTCAGTCTGCGGCGCGTTAGGGATCCCCAGAATTGGCGATAGTGCACAGGCTGCGATGACCGGCAGCACCACTAACAGAAGGCCCCGCCCGCCCTAGCGCCTGACTGCGAGCTGCATTGTGCAGGCTCGCCGGCGCGGCAAATTGGCCCTTTGATGAAGTGCCCACTGCGCACACCCACGCAGGGCCCTTGGTGCCCCTGACAGGCTGGCCAGCTAGTCCAGTCTAGGCGGCGTGAACCTCACGAGGTCCAGGACACAGTTGCACCGTGCTGGAGCTGTTTTGGGCCGTGGCATGCCCAGCTGACTGACACATCTGGGTTGACAGGGGCTAGCGCCAGCGGTTTGTGAACTCTGAAGTCAGCCCAGGTGCCTCTCTGCCCAGGCGGGCTCTTTGGTTGGGCTGGTGCTTGGCAGACAGTTGTCGCGCCGCGTCGAGCACACTCGAGGGGAAGCCAAAAGAAAGCTGCAACCAACCACGTCATGTCTGTAGGGGGCGACGCCACGTCGCTGCTGTGATTCGTGCCACGAGGCAGGCACGTCACCCCGTTTGGGCTGCAGCACCGGCAAGCCGTTGCAGAAAACGGAATGGTCTGCCCAGCTAGTGGCTACCCGGGACAGCGCCAGCCGTTGGGTACCTACCTAGGTGCGTAGGTATCCACCAGAGCTTCCAACTGCTGTGCCTTGCTGTCTGAGCCGTCATTGCTGAGGGAAAAGTGCTGACAGTGTGCATCTTGTGCATTACATGTCTTGCCATACTGCTTGTCCTGTCCAGCTTGCCTCGGGTGTTTCCATGAACCATAGCTAGCTAGAAGTGGGCTGAACAGGACGTGCTTACAATCCTTTGAGCTACTTAGTGGAGGGTTGCTCATTTTGTCTTGGCTCAGCAGAGAGAAAATGTCCATTGTGTGTGAAGAAGCTTGATTGCGCAAGAGCCAGGCAACATCAGAGGGAGATGGACGAGCAAACAAGTAGATGTGTTTCTGGTGGTCATCCATCTTCGTGTGAGAGTACACAAACATACCATTGCTCGGATCGTTCTGAGGCTGGACTCCATGATCCAGTCTTGAAGACTTCCAGAGCATTATCTATCCTACATTGACGAAAATGCAGTTCGACCTATGTCACAAGTCATACACTGGGTGGGCGGTAATAAACCTGTTCCTTCCCGAGCGGAGCAAGCCTGACCAGAATTTGAGCTGACTTATTCAGTTTGAGGTGACCAATGGAGGCTGTATTTTTTATTTGTTTATTTAAATACACGAAAAACACTTTTTGGATTCGGAGATATATCTCCTCTGCTGTCCAAATATTCACGGGCGCTGTCAATCATAATTCGATAGCCATCTGGACTTGACATGCGTTCGACATGGAAAAAGATGGCAACTTTGTTGTCATTAGGCGCCTGCAAGAAAAACCTGGGCGTCTCCAGATACAAATGGAGGCCGAGTGAGAGGCGCAGTTGGCCCGCTTGAATACTGTAAATACTATCATCTCGCCATCCTCTGCAAACGAGGTGCTTGACGATGGTAGGGGAATAATAACATCGAGGCATGCCACTTTCACTTTTCCAGCCTGGCCTCGGAATCCATTAGCAGCAGTCCTGTGACAGCGACATATACGCGTACTCGTGTCGCGAATAGCTGCCTGGCCCTATCACAAAATACCCGACGTCCGTGTTCATGTTTGCCCTGTGACTCGATTGTACGCCTTGAGACTGGTGGTATTATCAAGAACAAACAGAAGCGGACCCAGATTTACACAAGTGCTGGCAGGAGTCTTATGAGAAGGGTTTGGCAGTTGCTCGATCACTCTACTTCATTGCAGCCCCCCCAAGTTGAAAATCTGACATGCGCTTATACAGGATAGATCAGAGCCGTCCATAACCACGAGCGTCATGCCACGATCTTGTAATCACAGTGCGGAACGCACGTGAGGGTCGCAACAGCTGACCGCCAGGCTCGCAATATGGTTGGTGTTCAAAGTTGAGATATCAGAGGGAATGTGAGGCAACTCGATGCTGGCCATTACCACCATACGTCAACCACTGCACCGTGATGCTGCAGGTCCGACATAACGAATACTGGGAGTAGATCATGACAGACTAGGAGCCAGGAGCCGCAACACCTGTGCTATTTCTAGATTTAGAGTTTGAATAGAAATAAGGATAGTCGCCCAAGGCATGACTAGGCCACATATATCAACATTCACTTAAGTCGTCAGGCTGTTACTTAGGCAGGCGGCCGAGTTGATGCTTGCCAGCAGTCAGAGTCGGAGTTCAGGGGAGATCCCCCACACATAATCCGTCCACGATATGACAGCGGGCGTGAGGGTCTTGACTGTGGCTCAGCAACAAGTTGCATGAAACTTGAGCCGGGGATTATGCCCAGTGGTGGCCAAGATCGCCAACAGAGACGCGTCTTCCACTCCTCCGAGACCCTGCGACTACCAACCTCGGGCAGAGGGCAGCACGTGGGGCACTGCAGCAAAACGGACTTGCCTGTTTGTCCACTGCTGATTCATGGTGTAGAGGCTTTGCGCATCGCTGTGGGAGGTAGATTCATGGTCTTAGTCTCACCTTGATTTGTGAGCGAGATTCAGCAAAGCCAACCTTTTGCCCTCAAGAGAGCCAGGCGGCGATCATGCAATGCAGAATGCATGCCGGGATGGCGTGCAGACAGTTTTGTGTATTGGCTGTAGTCTCCTGGTGACCAAGCTACAGAGGCCGCCTCTGGCCTAGCGAGTACGAGCATGTGAAGGAATGACGCAGCATGACATCCATGGATGATTAGCTCTTAGCGGTGGTGGTGGCCTGCCGAGCTCGCCTTTGGCTTCCCCGCTGTTGGGGGGGGGGGGGGGACCCCAAGGCAGACTCGGAAGAGCATGATGGATCGGCGAGCCGACATCAGCCAAGCGGGCCCTTAGCAGTCGATCAACGGCGGCCACCGATGAGCATGTAACGTGCCCTGAAAGCTAACAGGCAAAGATGGCCCACGGCCACAACCAACCTGGACCGGTGGAACAATCATCGCAGGCACTGGCGATATCTTGAGTGGATATCCGGGGGAAAGCATTGGCGCAGACATGTCTCAGACAGTCGGAGCTCGTGGAATGTCTCGGGGCACTAGGCGAAGCACAGTAGTCGTCTTTGACTCGGCTGGCAACGGGCAACGGGCAAAGGGTTCAGTTGTAGGGTATTTTTAGACCTGCGCAGACTTTGGTTGGGACATGTTCTAGAAGGCCGCTGGAGATTTGGGCCTAGCGCCGTTGCAAGCATTAGGGCGCCCTACCTCACGGTAATTTGAGAGGAAGGGTCCCAAGCGTATGGAGGACCCAGATAGTATCGCCAGCCACAGAAGAGAGCACCCTTTCTACGCAGTGTTGGCCCTGAAAAGTTTGCTCTGGCAGGAGCACCGCTCGGCCGACCTATTGCGAGCTAGAAGTTGGATGGATGGACGGATGGATGGATTGTTGCGCGAGAAGCTGCCGAAGAAAAAAAAGGTGGGTGTAGCGGGTGTCGGCGTGGGCGACATAGGCGGATGACGCGGCAGAGCTTGCTTCACACCAGCAGCCTTCCAAGGTTTTGTCCCTGTGATTCAACAACTACTGAGCTCTCAGGTGTAGTGCACCTGTCTGATGAGTCGTCATGCCGGGAGTAGTTCACGTAGTTGTTGAATCAATCACAGCAGTCGCGCGTGTCCCTGCCTCTGATGGGAAGGCTCGCCAGGGTCCAGGATGCACACTGCCAGACCCCTTCCGCAATGACCAGCAGACACACACGGTGCTGGCGCAAGCAAGGTCACGAGAGGAGAACAAGCGAGCTGGGGCGGATGGCCAATGCTTGCATTCTGGCAATGGGGCGGAATACGAGGTCGAGGACTTGCGCCGGTGGGCCCTTTGTCCACCAAGACGGCAGGCAGGCACCCTTTTCCCAACACCTGCTCCGCAGGTGCAACAGCGTACCCTAGGTAGACTTTGCCTTAGTAATGGTGGTTGTCTCGCCGTCTCGTGGTGGGCCCACCCGCTGCATTGTGCGGGTGCACAGGTGCCCCCAGCCTGCCCAATCACCGTGTCCCAGCACAGCCGCTTTGGCCGCTCCCTGCACGCGCGCTCTGCTCTGCGCTGCTTCTCGAGTCTCGCCCTCCCTCTCGCTCTCTCCGGGCAGACTTATCATCACCACACTCGCTCGCTGTACTCCACCACGCACCGCGCCCTCCTGTTTTCCTTTCTATCCGCCTTCTTCCGGCCTCACGAGCCATCCTCTTTTAATCACATCCCACGCTCGCTACCTTCTCACGTACCCATCTGATCAACGACCGGCTCACCCTCTCATCACCGCCTCGATCGTTTGTCCCCTTTCTTCCTGATCTACAGCCGCATCCGTAGCCGCCTCGGACTGGGACTCGGCACTACAGGCCTGGCCTATCTACCGACCTCCAAACAGCAAGCAGCAAGCCAGACAACACATCAGACAAGATGGTCTCCACCAGCCTCGTCCGCGCTCTCATGGTCGCCTTGACCGTCTCGGCGACCGCCCAGGCTTCCTGGATTGCCAACGCCCCCCAGGCCGGCGACGTCGCCCTCGTCGAGAGACAGGCCGACAACAACACGTCCGGCAGCGCTACTACACCCACGGGAAGCCCTACATCGCCCGTAGATCCAACCTCGACCCCCACGTCAGCAGCTACGTCGGAGACGACGCCGGCCACGCCCACGACGCCCACTAGCGAACCCACAACTCCTACCAGCACTCCCACCGTTCTTCCTCCCACCACCACGCCAACCACCACCCCCGGCGAATCCTCCACACCCACAAGCCCGATCACGACACCTCCGGCTTCTCAGACCACTTCCAAGCCAGAGTCGTCGACACCTGCTAGCTCATCGCTGCCTGGGTCTTCCTGGGTTTCGACGACCCTTACCACCACTTTCACCTCCACGGATGCCAATGGCTCGCCGACTGCAGTGGTCTCGACAATCCCCACCAACACCTACGTTCCCCTGGTCCCCGGCAGCAGCCAGAACGACGAGGAGGCGCAGGCCAAGAACAAGAACATCATCATCGGTGTGTGCGTTGGCGTGGGTGGTGCGATTATCCTTGGTGTTGCCGCCGTGCTCTTCTGGCGCCTTCGCAACAAGAGACGCCAGGAGGTTGACCACGACGAGCTGCAGAGCTTTGGCACTGGTTACGGCGCCCCCAGCGCCGCAGAGAAGACGGACGGCGGCGCCAGCAGCACTCGCAGCCCCTTCCAGAGCACCCTCGAGAGCTATCACGCGCCGACTCAGACCAACACTGCCTCCAACTTCTAGACGTGCATTCTTCCGTATTTGTTGGAGCCAGCACTGGTTGCGTCGTCCCCCCTGGAATTCGAGGATATTCCCAAGACAGCCATTGGGTCTTTGTCAACTAAGGGCGGTTTTTCATTACCGTGATCCGATGCGCTTCTCTGTTGATTGCCTTTGACCAAGCCTCAAGCGCTGCGCCGCCGTTTCATACAAGTAGATTATTTGCATCCAGCGAGCCATTCTGTGTTTTTACGAAAAGAAAGAGCAAAGAGTCTCTCAGCACACGAATTCTCATCGACTTGTCACGTTGGTTTGAACATCTGGTGCCTGCCGTGACCGGCACTATGGGGGAGAGAGGAGAGACTGACGTCGGATCTGATTAGTTGTATACAGCCTTTGTTAATACTAGACGTTTTTCTTCTCTTCTGAGTTGCGTGTGTGGGGAGTATACACACACATATATATATATGCGTGCGTTTGCTTGCAAGTTGAAGTGACCGCCTGCGGTAGCAATTGTATGTATGACACGTTGTGCAGCCAGTCCAGGGGAGAGAAGATGACGCCGCTGTGCAGATTGAAGCGGTGGGAATGCAATGCAATGCAGCGCGCAGGGCAGATGCGTACGTGTAATTATTGTCGGAGCGGAGGCGACGCCTCCGGTGTCAGGAGCTTGTTTCAAGACGGTTGCAATCGGGGGCAGTTGGTGTTTCGGTGTTGCCCCCCCTCAAGTTGGGGATGAGGAAATGGAACTGGATCTGGGGGGTTTCCAGATGGTCTTTGCGCTGCGCGCGCTGCGCGCGCAGCAACAGACAAAAATATGCTGCACTGCAAGACCCGGATTTTCTCTTCCGCACGTTGGATTGGGGGAAATGCGATGCTGTGGCCTACAGCCGCATTCCTACTCTCAAGGACTTGAAGAAGATGGCGCGTCTGACATGGCCAAGGGAAGCGTGGGTGTCACGTCGCATCTACCCAGAGGGGGGGGGGATGGGGGCGGAGGATGGAGGCTGTCTTCGATGAGTTGCAGGGGGTTTGAAATGGTGCAGCAACTCCAGACTACTTTCGACACAGAGTGGCGTGACATGCCGGACTGGAGCAGTCCTTGGCGAAGCCAGAAGCAGGGAGTGATCCTCGGGGAATAACAGTGCATGCGTCTCTCTGTGCGGGGGTTTCCGTGTCGCGGATCATGTTTGTCTCGTTTCTTGAAGCTTTTTGTTCCTCGTGTGCTCTTGGGATTGTTCAACTGTCCTGTCCAGATACACCACTTCGACTTTTGCAAACGGCTCTCTCTATCCAAAGCACCACCCTTCCAGCCAGTCCGGTACAGCAGCGTTCTTCACAAACTCGGTGGACGTTTCCCGTGGACTCTATATATCTATATTCCAATTCTCGCGACGACGACGTGGTAGAATAACTTTGGCCGAACATAAATCATCGCCGGCCTGCGCAGCGTCAACGTTTGGCGCAAACGAATTCAATCCAGTCGCCCAGCAACTCCAGGCCTAGGCCGAGGCACACGCTGTTTTCTTGACAGCACCAGTGACGACCTCCGCCTTGACTTTCCGTGCGAGCGAACAACAACCTTGGAAGCACAACATATAAAACGACAACATACAATCACGATGGCCTCCTCCGTCCTTGCCAGCCTCGCAACCTCGAGGGCAACAACCAAATTGAACGCATCCACCATGCACAACACAACAACTACAACAAGGACGAGAAGAGCACGTCTCCCCACCACAATGATCACCATATACACCACCATACTCTGCATCATGATGCTGGTCGCTGCCGCCAGCGCATCCCCCAGCAGCGCGGCAGGCAACGAAGAGCTGGTGGGCTCCATGGAGATATTCCCCCGCCAAGGCGCGAAGCCGGGACAGGTCCTCTTGGCGAATCTGCAGGTTCGTCGTAAACCCTCTCTCTCTGTCGTCTAGTAATGCACCATGGGGGGACGACGATTGCCCCCCTTCCCCCCTCCGCTCCCCTCCAAGAGTTCAGTCTGTAAAAGACATGGGAGAGGGCATAGAGGGAGGTGATCGTTACACAAAAAAGCCATGAAAGTGCTGACACCAGATCCTTTGTGTGTTTTCTCTCTACATAGCCATTCTCCGGAAAGTTGGGCGGGTTCTCAGCGCCACAGGTAAGTCCCATTTCCCTCGCCCACCCCCCCAAAGTCCATCATCACCCACATCAACCGGGCATGGAAGCACGAGAAACGCGGAGCGGCGCCGCGCATTGGTGCTCTCTACCACAGTCCGCTGATCAGTCATCACAACTCCTGCAGATCTCACAGTCCAAAGATTCATCACGGCCCTTTGAAGTCGACGGCAACACTTTTGTAAGCATCTCTCAAAGATCCATCACATCACCCAGCTGCAGGTCCGATCCAAGCAGTGAAGAACAAAGGGCTGGGGCAGGGCTGCAAAAAGGCCTCCGCTCCATTTCGCTCTCGGATCCCAGCCAAGAAAACAAATAAAAAGAACCAAAAAAACCAAACCAGACACAGGACTAACCACACCATCTTACGCGTGACTTCCACGACAGACCGACTTCGCCTCGGCAGCCGACCGCGCCTGCGACAACCAAAAGAACGAGTGCGCCGACGCCGCCAACGCGGGCCGCAACAACGCCTTCTCCGTGGGCGAGTGTGACAAGCAGAATGGTGCGTCCGCCGCCGCCTCCCCCGTACTCCTCTCCTCTCCCACCCCCTTCCCCCTGTTTCCTCAGCTACTCCTTCTCTCCACCATCATTATCATCATTCACTGTGTACTTTATCCCCCCCCCCTCTCGGGCTGAGAACTGATGCAATTTTCACCCAACGTGCAGAGCAGTGCAAAAAGGCCGCGACAGCAGCAAAGGATACAAATTTCGCAACCTTTTCGTTCGCCGACGACGAGAACGAGTATTTTTGCGAGGAATAAAACCTTATATATTTTTTTTTCGTCTTGGTTAACGGGGCCGGGTTCTCGTCGGGACTCCTTGTCCTGATAGCCTGTTCATGTACAGTCCGGGTCGCGGGAAGGAGAAGCCCACACCAATTCTGACTGCCAAGTAGTTGACGACACCGCGCAAAATTGCCAACCAGATGCTGGAATGCAAGCAGGTTGCGAACAGATAAACATTTTCTAGGCACATGATGTCATTCGCAGCGCCACGGCACTGTAGTTTTTATAATTTCATATTCATTGATCCAAAGAGTCCCGCTCTATCGCAGGAGTGCAGGTATGGTGTTCAAACACGACAGACCTCTTTTGTGCCTCCTCCCTTGTCCCCGGTTGTTCGTAAGATAAGATCAATGTCCGACACCATGACTCCACCGAGTTACTATAACGCAAGTCGCACGGAAATATGCGGAGAGATGTACATGAAAGAAACGCCCGCGCCCGTCGTGATATGTGTGGTACAGACCGCTCTCAACAGAGTGCAACGCAGGGCTAGAGTGAGGCATGGCGAACAATCGCTCGTCCTGTGCCTGTTGAGCAACTCTGAACCCCGAAATTTTCTCTGATCCCTCCATGATAATTCAAATCCCATGCAATCTCAAAGCTGTGACAAAGGAAAAGATATTAAGTGTTGATGGACTGCGTTGCAGCAGATGACGGGCCTCTTCTTGCCACGTCTTTATCGAAAATGCTAGTTGATGTCTAGCAGCGCGTCATAGGCTTTGTGCGCACGAGGAAGGGCGACGGCATCTCGTCCCTCTCGGGGTCCCAGACCGCGGCAGGTTCGTGCTTGCCCATCACACGTTCCTTAAAGGTGCGCTTGGGGCTCACGTTCGAGTTCTCGACAGGGCGTCCGCCTGCGCGAGCTTGTTGCAGCTCGACCAATGTGCGCCCCTTGACATTGTTCTTGGCTGCTCCTGTCTTGAGTCCAGACTCGGTCTCCTTCTTCAGTGATGATGTCCGCTGAAGACCACTCTCGGCGGCTAGGCTGGCCAGTGCAGCTGCTGAGGGGATCTTGCTCAGTCTCCTGTTAGGAGAGTTAGCGCGCTCCCGCAGAGCGCCATTGCTGTTGTGCGCACGAATCTGTGTGTCACCACCGGCTGATGCCGGAGGTAGAGATGGGATAGCTTTGTTCAGACCAAAGGCCCCCTGTGTCTTCAGACGGGCCACAGGTGCTGTTTTTGTTGACGTCAAGACGGGTCTGTTGGGGCCAAAAGGATTGGTCTTGGATCTCGGCATTCGTGTTGGCGAGGGAGGGGCGAAGCCCTCATCTCCAGAGTCATCAGACTCGACTTCGAGCAGCTCTGGCTCGCGGGACCCGCTCCTCTTCACGTCGTCTCCGAAGATTGAAGGGGCATTTGCGGACGGAGCTTTTGTGGTGTTGTTCCGGCGGGGCGAGAGAGACAGAGATGCAATGGCAATGGGTGACGGAGACGCCATCTCGACATCCATAGGGGTTCCGATAGGCGCGGCAATCGTAGCAGCGCGGTGGAATGGTGTCCTCGCCTTCTTGAATGTCGGTGCCGGCTCAGGCACTGGTGTAGGGGAGTCCGGGTCAAATTCGGTAATGTCGGTGGTTGACGGGAACTCGCCGTCTGTGCTCCCTGCGCCGATTGACTGCGGGAAATCTGATCTGGCGAGCGACGACGCGAGGTCCTCGTCGTCATCCTCTCCCTCTGTCGGTGTAGAGGTCTTCCTCTGCGCGTCCATAAATTGCTGCACTCTTTCGTCCACCTTTTGCTTCACCTCATGCTCGAACTGCGCCTGCAGCCGCGCAATCTCGGCGTTGACGTGCCGGTTGATCTCGAGCTGCGCTTTCGTCTCCCATTCCCGCCTGAGTGACGACTCGAGCTCTTGGCGCATGAGCTGCCTCTCACTGGCCATCTTCTGCTCCATGTCACGAATTCTTGAGTTCAGGGCCTCTTCTTTGTTTCTCAGCATGCGGCTGACCTCGACCGCTTCCTTCTCCTTGCGCATGAGGCGCACGACGGGCATGTTGAGGAGGGCGGCGGTGTCTGGCCGCAAGTCGGGGTTGACCTTGAGGCAGTCCTTGATGACGGCGAAGAGCTCGCCAGAATAGCATCTGGGTAAAGGCGCAATCTTGCCCTCCTTGATCTTTTGGACGAGCTGGAAGTGGGACTTGGCATTGAAGGGCGGCTCTCGTGTGCACAACTCGTACATGATACAGCCTAATGACCAGATGTCGGATTTGAGTGTGTACTTTTCGGCAGCGCAGATCTCGGGCGACATGTAGAAGGGTGTGCCGACATATGTGGAAGCAAAGTCGTGGGACTGGATCATCTTTGACAGGCCAAAGTCGCCAAGCTTGACCGAGTTGTCCTCGCCAAGGAAGACTGTGACATTCGGTCAGTACGTACTTACGTCGTGAGTCTGTGGCACCCATGGGTGGGCGGTTCGGAAGACTTACCATTCTCTGGCTTCAGGTCTCTGTGGAGGATTGTCATTGCGCCCGGCGGCGACTTTGGCTTTGCCACAGGGCCGAGGCCGAGGACATTCTTACCGACCTCCGGCGGGTCGACACCGTAGTGACACCGATAGAGGGCAGTGACGAGCTGCGAGAACATGCTCCAGACAAACATCTCCTCGGCGTATTGATTCTTGTGGGCCAGATCACGGATGACACGGCCAAGGTCGCCATTGCCGCAGTATTCCATGTACAGGTGGAGGTCCTGGGAGAGCTTGAGATGTTCGCGGTGGTAGTAGCCGACGATATTTGGGTGTTTGAGGCCCGAGAGGATCTGGAACTCGGCGTGGAGCTGCTCGCGCTCCTTCTGGGACATTTTGAGGTAGCTGATTTCCTTGCGGCAGAGGACCATGCCATCAGCTTTCCGGCGGACCTTGCGGATGACTCCGAAGGAGCCATGGCCTGTTGGGCGAGGGATCAGCCGTTAGCGGGTAGCCCGAGGCAGCATGTGCTGTCGTGGGGAGGGGAGAAACACACCGATCTTCTCAAGAACCTCGTACTTGTCGGACTCCGTCATGATGAAGCTTGAACAAGACGAAGCAGATGTGCCGCTGTGTGAGTTGGAGCTAAGGACGCATGAGGAGGTGCCGGCGGGGTGTTGTCGAGAGTGGGAGGGCGACGAGGCTGTATGTAAGTGGTAGGAGATGCTGGAAAGGCGAGGAGAGAGGCGGCGACGGCAAGCCCGGACGAGAAGAAGCGAAACCCTGTGTAGGTTAGTAGTGAGGCGAGATGTTGCGAGGATGGTTGGTTGTTGTGAATTGCGGAGCGAAGGACAGAAGGAGGCACGATCCGAGAGTTTGAAGACAAGCCCAGGCCAGGCGAGCAGACCAGGCTCGGTGTGAAATGCCTGGTTCACGGCAAGCGACGTCAAGCCGCCCTGTAGCCCCGGCCCCAGTGTCAACAAACCGCTCGTGTCCACGGCAACAACTGCTGCGAGACAGGGCCCCACCACCACCTGCCCCTGTCCCGTCTCGGGTCCAGCTGCTGACTCATCACAGTGCTCCCTCCCGTTCACCAGCCTGAGCTGGAGATCAAAAGGCTTCAAAGTTCTGCTCCGTGACTTGAGTACCAACACAACCCGGGTTTGCTGCGTTATGTAAGCCGCCGAGTAAGTATCAGCCGTCCGTCCCTGCCCCCATCGCGGGCATGTGAAAAGCTAGAACTTCGTGAGCACGCATGCAGCCTGCGGCTGTTTGATGCTGCAAGACTTGTTGCCATTCCTCGCAACCACGAGCGCTGTGGCCTGTCATGCCTTCCGGCTTGAGCTGCGATACACTATCCATGTCGAACTATTGTGAAAGCATTCTTCCGAGCGACTCGGTTGCGCGTCGGCCTTGTGGTGGTTTGCCACTCTCGCCAATCATGCATGGGCGGGTCTTGCTCCTTGGGCTAAGTCATCACTCGTCGAGACTGCAAGTGCTCGCAATGACTCTGCCCTCCTTTCCACGCAGTGCGTGACTCTCAATTTCCATCCTCGCATCCTATAGACAGCTGGTGCATTTCGTAGAAACCCCTCTCCTATCTCCATTTTCCTTTTATTTCCCTTTTTTGCGCTTTGCACCTCGTCGCCTCCCATTGCGCAGCAGCTGGCTTTGCTGGTGCCATTTCGTCATTCTTGGCCTCCATCCATTACGCCCGCTATCTCCGCCTGCAGGGACCCCACCTTCCACAGCATCAATAGCATCGACGAGGGACGAGTACAAGACTGTCGACCATGGTTCTGCGCAAGCACGAGCTGGAAGTAAAGCTCAAGGATGACCTGGAGCTCGTGCGCAGCGGTGTTTTGAGGGAGGAGAACCCCCTCGACACGAGTGAGGGATTCAACGAGCTGCTACAGGCTTGCCGCCGTGGCGACTTGAGGAGAGTGCAAGAGCTCATATCTGAAGGCGTGAATCTCAACGGTAAAGACAAGTTTGATTACACGCCTCTGATCATTGTAAGTTGAGCATGTGCACATACATCATTACCTAGCCAGCACCTGCACAAATAACGACGGCGCTGACCATCCCCCAGGCCAGCCTGTGTGGCCACTTCGAACTGGTCCGGCTACTGCTCGAATCCGGTGCTCTCGCTGAGCGAGACACCTTCCAGGGTGAGCGGTGCATATACAACGCTCTTAACGACAGAATTCGCAATCTCCTGCTTGAGTACGACTTCTCCAAGTCGACGGACCCCCTTCAGCCATGGGCCGCCCATATCACGTCGCTGCTGTCGCGGGAAACCCCGGCAACGTCGGACATCTCCCTGGTCGAGGGCAAAGACTCCTTCAGCCTTCACAAGTTTGTCCTGTCTTCACGGTCGCCGTACTTCCAGCGCAAGCTGGCTGAAACCCCAGAGACCCCTACGATGAAGCTGCAGACCTCGATACCGAGCGAGTCGTACGCGCTTGTGCTACGATATCTCTATCTGGGCGAAATCCCCAGAGATATCGTCAACCCCGGTTATACCATGAGGACAGAAGAGGAGGTCCTCAAGGGTGTTGACAAGCTCGCCAAGGACCTCCAGATCGATAAGCTGTGGGAGGCCATTTTGTCACAAAATGACCGCAGGCTGGCCAGGCAGCGACATCAGGACGAAGTCAACACGGCACAGAAACAGATTGAAAAGTTTTTCAGAGAAAAGGTTCTGGGCCACAAAATGACCGTCGACACGACGAAGGTCCAGGATGTTAAGTGGCCATATGGCAACGCGATGTTTGCGGACTGTCTGCTGCGTGCCGACGAAGCCGATCCGAATGGCGGCAGCACTCAGGACGAACAGGAGGCGCCATCCACGATAAACGGCATTCCGATTGGACCCGGTGCTGGCAAGCCGCAGACCAACGGAACAGCCAAGACGAGGAAGTCGGTCCTGTACCCCGTGCACAAGGCCATGCTCATCCGCAGCCCCTACTTTGAGACCATGTTCTCGAGCCAGTTCATGGAAGCTCAGACGTCAGATCATCTCCACATCATCCAGGTTGACTGCCTCCCAGAAGTGCTGGAACTGGTCCTGACCTTCCTGTACACGGAGAACGTCCATGTGCCGCTCGAGTACGCCCTGGACCTGCTGTACACATCCGACATGCTCTTCCTCGACAAGCTCAAGACCAAAGCCGCCGTCGCCATCAGCACCCTGGGGAGCGGCAACAACAATGTGCTCGTCGACAGGACGCACGGGCAGCAGCAGCCGAACCCGGACCAGCAGACGAAAGACGACGGCAGTGCCGTTCCCGGGGCGGTCGAAGTCGAGCCCATCAACGTCTACGACGTCCTCCACGCGGCATGGGACCTGCGCGTGCAGCGCCTCGAGGAGTTCGCCGCGCGGTATCTCGCCTACCGGCTGGAGGACTACATTGACGAGGACGACTTTGCGCAGCTCATCAACGAGTCCGCCTCGCGCCTCAAGAGTCGTGAGGAGACGGACACGATCGAGCTGCTGGACGACATCCGGTACTACCTCTCCGAGCGCTTCCGGCTGCGTTTCGAGGATGCGGGTCTGGACGAGATGCTGGATGAAGACGGCGAGATTGCCCCGGAGGCTGCGGAGGCTATGGCTGCGGCGGCGGCAGAGAACAGTGCCGTGAACGGTAACGCATCACCACCAGCGAAGGAGAATGGCGCCCAGGCTGGAGCTACCAATGGAGGAGGACCCCAGGCAACGCAGCTGATCCCTGGTACCACGGTGCGGACTCTGGACGGCGAGGTCGCGGCCGACGAGTTCGAGTCCGATGCCCTCAACTACCAGTTACTGCTGCAGAAGATCGATGTCATGCTAGATAAGCTCAAGCTGGATGCATAGATAGCGCGTGAAAGGTCTGGCGCAACCAGCTCAACAGCGGGACGCTTTCCTTGGATTATTTGGATCATGACACCTAGCATTACTAGACATAAACTCAATATACCACAAGCTCGAAACAGGAATTTCTCTGGAAGGCCACGATTCAATAGACTCTGAAAAGTTGCATACTCCAAGTCATACGTTCTGCAGGCGCAATTACGGAATGGAGGTTAGAGACAGTCGCCCCTGGGACTTGCTTTGCAGTTTGCTAGAGATCACGGGCATCGAAAGGACAAGAAAGGCATGCACAGAAAATGATATAGCACTTTGCCAGGAGCTGCACTGATACCTCGACGATACTTCACACGAAGTCCACCAGGCAGACGCAGAAGACAATCATCATGGAAAAGGACAAATAAGGTGAATGATATTGCACAGAGACAAACAGACGCAAATGCAAAGGAAGCAAGAACGCCAGAATCCCAGGACCGAAACAAAACAAAACGAACGCTAAAGCAGCGCAGAACAGAACAAGAAAACAACAACAAAAACTGATCCATACCCTATATGCATCCATAGATTCTTCCATCTTCCCGTCCTTCTATTCCATGCTCTTACCTCATCCTCCAATTCCGTCCTTCGCGACCCAGTCGCCTCTACTACCACCACCCAGAGGTTGGCCGCCTTCTTCCAGTGCGCCCGCTCATGCCAACCCCTGAGCACACCATGCCCCGTTCCAAGAAACGGCCGTATCCTCCCCAAGTGCGCCCGCTAAAGCCGTTCCTCGGAACCTTGCAGAGCCTCGTAGCTGACCGCCTCCATACTAAAGAGTGCGCCCGCTCAGGTCAGGTACGAGGCCCCTCAACGCGACTCTCTGTGCAAACACCCGTCACTCTCGGACCAAAAAACTGACATGGAGCTCATCGGCTCGAGTGCGCCCGCTCAAGTCAGCTTCCTGGCCATTGATCCTCGCCGACAGCTGGCATCGTGAGTGCGCCCGCTCAAGCCAGCCATCGGCTCGCTCTTCACACCCAAATCGGACATCCCGCTCAAGGACTAGCGGAATACCTCTCCAAGGTCTAACGTGCTCACCGCGCAAGCTAGCCCCTGAGCATCACCTAGCTACCACAACTAGTCGTGTGTCCCTTGACCGGGCTCTCAGCGTGCGCCCGCGCAGACTAGCAGTGGCAGCTTGTCACCATGCAAGATATTACAGGCTACTTACCTTCTGAAACCGGTGTGATCGATCTGGCCTCGATGGCAGGAAAAAAAGGCTTGCAACTAAAACTGGCGGCAAGAGCTCACACAGTCATCAGGTCATCAGTAAAAAGCACATGGAAGGGTGCCCAGACGGGAACAGTCAAAGTAAACAAACTCACTCGAAGTGGCGAAAAAAACCACAATCAACGACATCAAATACTCAGCCAAGGAAAGCATAAGCGAGTCCGGCACCAACAGCTGCCGCAGCGACGGCAACGCTGGCAATTGTCTTCCAGCCGAAACCAGACTGGCCAGCAGGCTCAGGAGCTGGAGTAAAGGCGGACTCGTAGAGGTTGAGTTGGGGGATCTGCTCAAGGTTGGCGGGAATGTTGCGACGAGCAGAGAAGTGAGAGTGCAATGATTGGCGAACAGGGCATGGTGTTCCTGGGGCCGAGCCGTCGGCCGGCTCGGGTGCAGCCATCATCTTCTTGCCGAGGATTGCTACGACATCAATAGCACTGAAGGCAGAGGAGACATCCTCTGAAGAATCCTCAGGCAGCTCTGGTGTCTTGGCAAAGACGGCTCCAAGATCGAACTTGGGAGGAGCCTGGACAGCGGCGGGTTGGACCAGGACATCTGCGGATTCTGGGACCTTTGGTTCTTCAGTCTTGCGAGCGCTGAGAACAGCCTTGATGTCTATGGGGCTGAAACTTCCAAGGGACGAGCCAGTGGCAGACTTGCCAGACATGCTGAAGGAGCCACAAGCGACCTCTGCTGGGGTCTGGGCCGGGTGTGAGACGCCCATGGCAGCATCAAAGGCAGTAAGGCTGATGGATTTGTCCTGGGTGTTGTCCAAACCGTGCTTCGCCTTGTGGTCTGCGAAGAGTTTGCGCATCCGGTGAAGAATAGAAGGAGTGAGGTCAAGGGCCATGATTGAGCGAGGCGACTGATACTCCTCATCCTGTTACCGAGTCGGGTTAGCAAGAGGTCGCGCGGATAGGTAGTAAATATGACTTACGATGATTTCGCGTGATGGGCTGTCCCATTCTGACCAAGTCCAGTCGTAGCGGACGTGATTGTCCGAGCGAGCACGAAACTGCTTGGGATCCTCAAACCAAGCTTTGTACTGCTTTTGCTCATGGGATGCGCTCGATTTGCGGACCGGAGACGATGGAGCAGGAACAGCAGGAGTTTCAGGGACCGAGACAGGAACGCCTGACGACTGGACAGGAGGACGGGTGGTCGGTGGCTTGACAACATTGGCAGCAGGAATGACTGGCGCCGGAAGTGGCTCAACTGCAGTGGTTTTGATAGGACCGGCGGCTACAGGAGCGCTTCTAAGGGCGAGCTCTGCCAAGGTTTCGGATGAGACTGAGCAAAGAGACAGGTCTGGTCTGGTGGAAGGCTCCCAGCTGGAATCATCCTCGAAGCCATCTGCCAGAGGAAGGGGACGTCGGAGGGGCATGGGGATTGGGTGGACAGGGGGGGAAACACCCTGCTTGGGCGTGCTGGCACGTTCTGGTGCCCCAATGGTGAAGCCTTCGAGCAAGTCTGAACCTTGCGAGCCAAAGGTGAAGTCATAAGAGTTGTCTGGGGCAGCAGGAGTGACAGCATAGCCAGCAGCTGTGAGCTTCTCACGCATGTTTTGCTGGTACTGTGAGGGAACGAAGTCGGCGACATCGATGGGATCATTGGACTCGTTCAATGTCAAAGGAAGAGTAGGATAAGCGAGCCGGCTGTGGTAGGTTGACCGAAGTTCAGCAGGAATCTTGACAATGCGCTTTCCTGTAGGGACCATCTGGGCTGGACGAGTGACAACCATTAGTAGAGGCCACCAGGCTTTGCCATCATCATGCCATGAATGGCAGACGCGCGCACATCACGGTAGTATGGTCAGTCTCATTTCCTCAGTGCTGTGTTAGTTGATGCAGCAAGGGTTCACTGGGTTAGTCAAGGACGCGAGTCCACACAGTTGACATCACGACGCGTCGGAGCGCAGGCAGCGAAGTGCGAATATGTAGGTAAGTATGTTTGATAGTAATAATAGTATTGTATATATGTAAGGAAGTAACCGGACAAGTTGCCACGGAGAGCCGAGAAATAGGAGCAGAAGGAGAAGGAAAGCAAGCAAGGCTGGTTCAAAGGGAGATCCAAGCTGGAGGCTGACAGACAGAAGGCGCGACGACGGGCACCGATGGAAGCGACGAAAGCAAACACGGCAGGCGCGATCTCACGACGTGACGATCCTGCAGCACAGGCACGAGAATCACAGCACGACTTACGCTGATGCGGGCACGAGGCACCCAGCCACTGTTGAACTTTTCTGCAGCGCAAAGTGCAGTCGAAAGCCTGTGCAGATGGGGGCGACGGCGAAGTGAGGAGCTGGGACATGAACCCAGGACGACTCTGGCGGTGACCAGCGAGAGACGCCGACGCGTTGTTGGGCATAGGGGACATGAACCCCTGACCTGCCAGCCGCGAGGCCAGCGAAGCCGACGATTTGAAGAAGGATGAAGGTTGCATTGCGAAGACGCGAGATGCAGAGCAAGTGTGTGAGATGACGGATGTGCTGAGAAGGTGCGTACGAAGAGTGAGAATCGAGAGACGGTGATGTTGTTGATGGAAGGAGCAGACGCGACGGCGGAGGCGTGGCGGTCGGCTTTGCTTTATACCTTCCTGGGGGGCCCGCCTTCCTTCTTCCAGAACGTCATGGAAGGCCGTCCAGGCACTGGCTCGTGGTGGGAAGTCACATGAAGCTCATGGAGAAATGCACAAGCTTGAAGAGTGGAGCGTTGGAGAAAGCTTAGCTTGTTTGGTCGGAGTTTTGATTCCGTGAGCCAATCTTCGCAGAGGACTGGATCACCGTGCTCACAAGGCGTCGTCGAGGCCGGCAAGATTATCCAGTGCGTATCTCCCCGTCAACAAGACCCCACGGACGAAACCATCATTGGACATCCTATCGGGCCCTCCACTTCCATCCGCCAGAGCGCCATAGATGCGTGGGTCATTGCTAGAGAAGTAGTCGATGGAATCGACCCAGTAAAGGCACGATGTTGGATCATGTGAAAAGGCCAGTGGTGACACTCAACTACCACACAGCAACGCCCCGCGTTTGGCCTCTAGAATTCTGGCCAAAGCTTGATTGAATGCTGAAGCTGGTCGGAACGTCGTTTTCTCACGTGAAAACCGGAGCATTTCCAACAATCAGGTTTAGCTCTTCCAGAGGATGGAAAATTCCTGTCGAGGCAGCGTTCGCAGCGCGGACGCAACGTTGCCGCGATCCGATAGGTCGGAGACGAATCGCTGGAAAGGATCCTTGGACGATTCTAAAACCTCGCTTCTTCATTTGAAACTACGGAGACACCCATCGAGCACATATCCGTTCTTTTCAGACACGTTCAGGCACAACAAGGCCCCACCCAACCACAACAGTTTCGTCATCACGAGAAGGACAGAACCGCACCATTTGCCAGACCATTGCGGCAGCAACCGACTCGATGGCTCCAGAAGCTAGCTCAACCCATCAAGCTTGGGTGACGTCGAAGCAGACCTTCAATCGCTAGTCCAGGCCGTGACCGTCCTGCCAGCATGATAGCTGGTGCGACACTCGAAAAGACACATCAGAACGACCATCGCCCGAAGATCAATGTTCCGGAATTATATATTGGGGAGAGAATACAGGGATTACCACGGCATTGCCTTCGCAGGGGCCCAAAAGGAGAGGTTGCGGCAACTGGTGTGGGGACACCAGGCTATGTAAATGATTCTATGGCACGAGCACGTGGTGTTCCAGCCCTACAAAGTTCCCCTTGACATACAGCTAGAGCTTTGCAGCAGCCGCCTCTCGCATCTTGTAGAGACCTTCTTCGAACAAGCCACAAAGCTCGGCCATTCTTGCATCCGCTGGTGGAAGGAGCTGGCCGGCGTAGAGCGCACAGAGCCCAGCCTTGCGATCACACCACTGGAAGAAAACTGGTTAGACACATTCCCGAAGTACACTTTGGAGGACTCGTGACGAAGAGACTGAACCACTTACCCATACCAGATTTGGCAGGCCGCCCCATGTCATGGTCCCCGCAAGCCTACCTCCTGGCACATCACCCTCATTGATTATGCCACCAAGTGACCAATCCTTGCTCACACTCTCGGGAATATTCCCCATGCCGTCCCGCACCTCTTTGATTCGGAGCAGCTTGTTGAGCTCGGCCTTCGCCTTGGAAGACAGACACGGCCGGAAGAACTCAGCTACACTCTCCTTTTTGAGCAGAGTCTCGTCTGTGTCGCTCGTGAGCATACCCTTGAGCACCTTGAGATAGTCCGTCGGGCTCGCAAACATGCCCGAGCCGCCGAAACACCCACCACGCGCATTAAACTGCAGCTTCGCGTTGCTACGCTTGACCTTACTCGGATTCTCTGGATCACGCTTACTCATGTCGGCCATCCGGGCCTGCAGGTCCGGCCTCGTGTGCATGTGGCTCGAGAAGACGATGTCCCTTGCGCCGACGCGGTTGAATATGTTGTCCTCAAAGTACTTCTGTAGTGTGGTCCCACCGCATGCCCGCTCGACGGCGACACCGGCCCAGTCGATCCCCGCGCCGTAGCACCATGACTCCCCGGGCTCGAAGACGAGCGGGTAGCCGTGCTGCGCCTCGACCGAGTTGCCCGTGAAGCTAGGCTTGGTGCGGTGCCAGGCGTGCCAGGCGAGCAGTTTGGGGTGCGTTTCGTCATATGCGAAGCCAGACGAGTGCGTGAGCAGGTGCCGCAGGGTCATTGTGTTTTTGTGCGGCACCAGCTTCGGGCTGCCGTCGTCGTTGAAGCCCCTGATTACGGGCAGGTCTTTGAGCTCCGGCAGGATGTCATAGATGGGGCCGTCCAGGCTCAGGAGGCCTCGCTCGCAGCACTGCATGGCGGCGATGCAGGTGACGACCTTGGTGCATGATGCTATCCACATCACGGCATCTGGTTTGAGGGGAGACTGGTCGGCTCCCTCGCGGACTGAGCGCTTTCCAAATGCCTTGCCATAGGTGAATTTGCCTGATACAGGAATGTGAGCACAACGAGAAAGGGTTAGAACACGGAAAAGCAAAGTAATGGCCTACCATGACGATCTGTCGCGAGGAGGACGGCCCCTGGGATCTCCTCCGCAGCACAGGCCGCCTCGATAGTCTTCTCGAAAGGTCGCATTGTTGCAAGCCCAGCAGGAAGTGCTTGCTCAAAGTGTTATGCTCAGGATGGCAACAGTCTGGGATGGACTGCAGTAGGATATTGTTCTGAACAGACGAGCAGGTGATTGCGATTGTTCAGTCCTGGCGAGTGAATCTGCCAATTTCTTGCTCCAGTACATGTTTTGGCGATGTCCGGCCCCAAGACTTGAGCCTCGGTTGCATTTTAGCCTGGGCGGGTGGGAGCTTAGCTTCAGGACCCCTGCCGGATATTAGTTCTTTTGCGGGGGATGCGCCAACCACTGTGGGGTAAGCCACCAGCCATACGGGGCATGACGGGCCGAGCATCTTGACTAGTTAGGGAGTTTGGTATGCTGAGATCTGGCTGCGAAGAGTCGTTTATTGGGTGAGTTTCGCGAATACGCCTTGAGACCGACAGATGGGCGTGGGCGCCACGATACTGACAAGGCATGTGCCGGACATTTATTGGTGGACTGCGCTGCTGGTGCCTGACGCCCCGACGATTCACGGCACGGGATTCGCAGACACAACGCCAAAGCGTCAACTCAATTCTGCGTGCTGTCTAAAGCATCATCGGGAGCGCCAGCCGTGAACGCACGAAGCCAGTGGTAGGCAGAGGCCGGAGTTCTTTTGGTGCATCGCACACAGCAAGAATTGCATATCCTAGGTACCTGGGTGAATATTGAGATTAGTTCAACTCGATCTCAAGTTCCACTCGGGTGCACATCACAACACAATCTTGGAAGGCACAAGGCCGGATTGGAAAGTCGCCCTACCGGGTTTGTGCAAATTTGTGCACATGGCTGCATACAACAAATAATGCTTGTGGGCTCAATGCTGGATGCATCAGCCAGGAAACTTGATCTGGAAAAGCAACTTCTCCGTGCGCAGGAAACGCTTTGGTACGGTGATGCTCCTGGCGGCCCCCTTGTTTGACATGGCACGATCCAGCGAAGCCGTGTTGTGAATACAGTGGATGAAAACGCGCAGCTGGGCTATTTAAACGGTGACTTGCCACACGCCCTTAGGCTTGTGTCTGTGGCCGGCGCTGCTTCTCGGCACCTTTGCAACGTTCATGAGATGCACTGGGGACGCTACTGGTTGGCCATGCCGAGTAGGGGGTTGAGAAAACCTCACAAAGTCATTGCGCATCCTTTGGTCGAAGCTTCGAAGTCGGGATAACGAAGGCCAGCCACACAGGAGTGCTTGGCTGGAACCTTTGGGCGCCCCACCGCGAGGTCCCAGCTCGGCGGACCGATAATACCGTCACGCCTTGGCATCGAGCTCTAAGCTAGTGACACGGGATCCACGCGGGCTGACAATAGGCTGACAATGGTGGTTGAGATAAGCTGTGGCCTCGACAGCTGCAGCTGTATCCTGGCCTTGGCTGGCTGGCACAGCGATGACGAAGGTCGTCCCAGGTTAACTCAGCTCCCGCGTCAACTCCGTGACGCCATCGCATCATCGTTATCGCATGTACACCGAGGGTCATGGTCGGGATGTCTTGACCTGCACAGCTGTCATCGTTCGAGCCCGGAGGACTGCATGGCCGAGAGTGTCTCGCGCCATGTGCTGGACGTGCAGATGGAATGTTTCACGAACAGCTAGTTGCTAAGACTGCTTGGGCTCTTGGCGAGATTCTGCCCTGTTTTGCTGCTGATATGCTGAGTGGGCGGGCGATCAATCGAGATATCAGGGAACAATCCCTGACAACCCACCATCAGGGCAGGCAGATATACTGCAATGCCACATTGTTTAAATAACGTAGGGTCGCATGCTGCTTGGACGGCCGCGTCCAGAACGTCGTCTCTCGAGCATCAAAAGTAGCTGACCAAGGTCGAACAATCATCCGAACTGCCTAACGATTTCGCATGACCAGACCGTCCATGATCGGTTTTGACAATTCGACGCCTGGCCTTTGGAGCTGACAAGCCTGGAGACGCACTACAGCCGCGCATCGGCTGCAGCACCTCGTCATTGTCATGAATCACAATGCCTGCATGGACGATCCTCCGGCGAGACCCTTCTCGGAGAGCGAGTGCTAACGAGCAGAGAACAAGGACAGCAACACCACCAGCAACGAGCCATGGAGCAAAGGCGACGCGAGCGGGACCGTCGAGGCTGTCCTTTATGAAGGAGTTGTTCAGCAGGACAAGATCGCAGGACAAGGCAGGGCGCCATGCACACGATGGCGCTGCCGAGACGACGCGCGGGACGGATGGCAGTGTGTCGTCGAAAACCTCAAACGTAAGTGCCGTCTTTGTTCTTTGTGCCCCAGCCCCTCGTGCGCAGGCGGTTGTGGCCAGTGGCCAGTGGGCAGGCAAGTGCCTGGAGGAGCAACCAGAGTTGGAGAAATGGCCCCTGGCTTGGGGCCGTTGAGAGTCTATTGTCTTGGGGAAGCGGGGGCACGCGCGGAACCTTCCATTGGCAGGCACGAACCTGGAGGCGTCGCATGATCACGCCGTCCGGGCCCGGCACTGTGCAGTCTCGACCGACCGAGACGTGGTTGGGCAATGGCTCCATCGACAAACCACCTCTAGACATCTCTCGCGGCTGGTCCTTGTCGGGCGCTCCATCTTCATCCCAATCTCCCATCCCGTTCCAAAGACCTCTCTACAGGCTGCACAAGCAGGCGTACAAGGTTCCCCCTTCGATGGGTCCGCAGCCGCCACTCCCGGGCCTGTCCAACTCGGCATGCTATCCTGACATCTACGCCTCCGCCTCGTCCTTTTCCGCATAGCTCTCTTCATCATTGGCTGGATTTGTCGGCGAATGGAGTTCAGGATCTCTCGCGTTGACTCGCCCGTGCTTCCCTGATGACTTCTGCCACTCGAATATTCGTCGCAGACTGCATCTTACTTATACCCTGACAGGTTACACCAGCCACTGGCCCCAAGACTTCTGTGTCTGCCTCCAACTCCAGCATCTCCCGGTCGCCGCCTAGCGAGGCCCCTGCCGCTGGTGAAGTGTCTACTGCCCCGGCCTTTCCGGATCTCCTTGGAGAAGAGGAGCCAACTCCGCGGGTGGATGGCGATCACCGGGCCGCCAGTAATAATATCAGCACCATCACCCTCACCGCTGCGGCTCTAAGCCCGCCCGACTTCAGCATGGCTGCTCTCGACGAGTCCGACGTCGAGAAGCTCTTCTCAGGGGCCCCGCAGTTCTTTGCCCGGTCGCTTGGCCACGGCACCGGTGCACCTCATCCATCCGTCGCCTTCCCCTGGAACGAGGAGCTCGGCATCCGCGACCTGACCGACCACACCCAGGTCGAACATGATGCCTGGGGTTCTGTCACTGCTAGTGCTAGGATCATCCTCCGTGATCCTACCACCCCACTAACGCCTTCGTTCAAGGCACGGCCGCACTTCAACTCGAGGACGACAGAACGGCCCAACATGGTCAGCTTCACTGGCCTGGAGAAGGGCACCATTGGCTATCAGGCTGCTCTTGAGCTGTCAGTCGCCGACTCCCTGCAAGAAGAGCAGTATGGATTTGACAGCATCGGCACGAAAGGACCAGTCATTGTTGAGCAGCGCCAGCGACTCATCACTTCCAAGGATGGCTTGCGTCATCTTGATGATGCTGCAATCATGGAGCAGCTACTCAAGCTGGAGAAGAGGTACCACGATGACCGGGCAGACACTCGTATAAAGCCGAATGATCTTTACCATGAACTATTTCACAAAATCCTCCATCCGCCGACCAAGGTCATCGACCACAACAACCCCTACAGCCTGGCGGTCCAGATATATGCCCTGGTTAAGGTCCTGGCTGCTCCGAATACGTGGATCGACTTCTCCCACGTCGAGTGGCGTATCCGCCTGGGCCAGATTTTATGGGCCTTCCCCCTTGATGACGAGCTTGACGATGGCTCGTCCATCAACGAGGGCGACAACGCGCACGATCGGAGCGAGGAGCGTTATTGGCTGCTTCTGCAGATTCTTCTGGCCTGTGAGCTACTGATCAGATTAGACGCCATTACTGAAGGAGACGAGTTTGGCGGTGCATCCAAGCTGAAGGCCGCAGATATCCATCGATTTGACAAGGAAGCAAATGCTTCTGTCAAGTGGTCGTTAATGCTTGCGCGATCATGGCTCGAGAATATAACCATCACCAAGACGGTCCTCAACAACTCTGGCCAATCTACACCCAAGGGCTGGCTTACATCACTGACGGCAAAAATGCACCTGAGGCATGAACATATGCACATGTCCCATCACATAGACCACACCCAGATTCGCCACAATGACCACTCGGAATATGCGTATGGCATCAAAGGTCGCTACACAGAACGACAGCTTTCTGGCCTGACTCAGTTTGCAAGGAGGCTGCGTTGGCCCGATGTCGAAGCATACTCGGTGAAGATGTCGCAGCAAGCAGCCATACTCAGCGATGCCACACCCATCAATACTCCGATTCCCACCACAGACACCCAGCGCTCATCATATTTTGATGGCGCACGAGCGTCACTCGACAGCAGGAAAGACAAATCACACAGGCGTCAAGTTGGTGCAGCTCTTCATGCCAATGGCTGGCTGACCAAGTCGTACATGTCTGGCTTGATTCTGCCTGGTGAGGTGCTTTCTCACTTGCTGATGTCCACGCTGCTGGAGAATGATACCCATGCCATGTCCAAACTTGGCTTGATGGCTAATCTGTGTGGTGGCTTCGTATACGGAGGGAAGAGCTTTTGGAGCACAGCTTGCGTGGTTGGGCGTGTCCTTGCGGCAGGGAGTGGATCGGTAGAGTGCATGGGATGGATATCAACTGATGTGAAGCCCGAGGGGCTCGGCGATGGCTGGCTCGATATCGAAGTTGGCGACGTCCCTGGTAAGCGGCTGTGATTGGTAATACGACTTGATTTGCAAGTTTTTCTAACCTGGTAACAGATGATATGCTCAAGACCGGCAAGCGCGCAAGAATATGGGGCAAGAAGCAGATTGAGAAAGAGTCAGACGTCATCGGCGACGGAGACTGGTCCAGCATTCTTCCGAAGGACTTTATCGTTCCGTCTGAGAATGTGTATCCCCGCCCACCACCGTCAAACGTGCGAATCGAGCTCAAGTCACTGGATTTGGCTGCGCCAACCATGAGTGTGCAGCCCACGCCAGCCTCGGAAATGGCCACCCCGTTCTCGTATGCCACGAGCATCACGAGAGAGCTCCTGACGTATCCCGCGTCCATCACATTTACAATAATGCACGACGGTGCTGAGGAGGAGGCAGAAACAAATATTCCTTTGGCAAACGACGTGTATTTTGTCACTGCTCACCCTTGCGCCCCATCTAGCAAGGTAAAGCTCTATCGGTCCCCCACGAGCCCGACAATCCAGGGAGTCGATGTCCGTGGTTTCGATGAAACGGCGACATTGTCTACGTCGTCACACATCATAGGTAGGTCGCCATTCCACTGCCAGATTCTACACCCTCATCTATATGCTGACAATGTACAGGACACCCTCTGCACAAGTCCTACACATTTAAAGCGATCCATGTCTTGGATCTCTTAGAAAAAAGAAATATGACACTTGCCGAGATTCTGGCAGAGGATCAGACACCAAGTGATTCCGCCAGCGATTCGAAGCAAAACAGCAAGACTATACCTAGGGTCCTGGTGGTGGACTGTGTCACTGGCATCACGCCGCCCATGCGATCTTCTCCAGAAATGGCGTCCCTCTCGCGCGTCTCGTCACTATCATCGTCCTTTGGCCTGGATGCACCGGCGACCCCACCCTTGCTGAGTTCGCCGCTTAGCCTCAGACGGCAGGCTTCAAACGCATCGAGATCCTCAACCAATAGTGCTACCACGGGCGGTCAGCCACCCAAGTTCGAGCGGATCGATCCTCCCGGCTCGGCGTCCTTACCTGGCACCAGAAGGAAGAACTTTGGATCGGACATGGAGATACTCATAAGGGCGTTATGCGTGGAAAAGGGGTGGAATGCCGTGATCAGCCGCAAACGGAGAGGTTGCTTGGCTTGTGCGATTCGCGAGGCCGGCGCCCTGGGCTGGCGAGTTGTAATTCGCGTGGAGTAAGAGGTCTGCTGCCTGTCTTTGCTTTGCCGTGAGCATACATTCACAGGCGCACAAAAGGGAAGCACATCGCAGTTTACTTCTTAACGATCAGCAAGGCGCACTGGTGTTTCTTGTTTTCTAGCGGGTCAAGACTGATGGACTTTAATCATGAAGAACAAACTCACCTCCCTGACCATGGTTGTAGAATATGTACAGCACTAGCTTGTTTGAGCATAGACTCGCGTTCTCGGGACAAGCGATGTCACAGCTCTCTCGTTTGTGCACCTTGGGAATAACGGAATGACAACCTTGTTCCAGATGCAAGCTGAGGCTATATATGTTCTACAAATGCAGCATCCTCTCGGGACTATAGTAATCAAAAGTTGCTAGTCAACAATCCCGCTAGTCCCCCTTCCGTGATACCCGTGCTTCCCAGCCCACAGCATCATTGCACAGATTCGTTGATGCGTGAAGTGGCCTGTTCTTGTGTATATGGGCAAAAGGCTGGGGCTTGTAATAGATTCGAGCAGACGAGCATACTTGACTTGAAGAAGAAGAAGAGCGGCTCCACTGCTGTCTGTGTATTGCTGGCATGTACAACGTTGCGGTCAAGTCTGCTGCGAGTGTCTCTTGCGGCCGAGGTCACATTCTTGTTGACACCCGCAAAAGCTAAGCTCGTGACGATTGTTACATTCGCAGTGAGGTTGGACACCAACTTGATGAGCAGATGCTCTGAAGCTTTGAAGGTATTTTATTCGTAAGCTATAACTAAGCTGCTGTTAAAAAAAACAGCCTTGACAGTGTGTCAATGTCTATAATGCCTCCTTTGTCCCGTAGTCCCACTCTTTGCAAAGTCTCAAAATGCAGGTGCCAGCCAGTGTAGCTGGCTGATATGTGTATAGATCGCTTGCTCACGTGAACAAGTTGTATGTGTGTGAGTGTGTGTGCGTGTGTGCGTGCGGGCTTTTTCATCTTGCTCCGCCCCTCCTCAAACGCTGGGCAAGTTTCATCCTGACCTAACCCACGGTAGAAAGACGAGGCTGTCTTCACCTTGTCTTATTCGCCCTGCGCCTCTCAAACTCTGCCCTCTCTTCCTCGTCGCTGCCACTGAATTCGGCATTGTCGTCGTCGTCGTCATCCCCGACACCACCCGCGCCCTGCCCGCCGACCGAGGAGTAGGAGGTGCCAGCCGCGGGCTTGACGTCGCTGGCGTCGACAAAGTCGCCCGAGTTGAGCGCGGCGTACTCGTGCTTCTGGATGAGCTCCCGGAGCCCGGCGTTGCGCGGGTCGACGAGGTGGTAAGGGGTGAGCTTGGCCTTGTTCTTGACGCGGGTGCTCGAGCCGGCCTCAAGCATCATCTCGACGAGGGCGTTGCCGAACTCGCGCTGCGCGGGGGGCTCGCTGTTGATCCACCGGATCGCGCTGTGCAAGGGGGTGTCGCCTTCTATGCGGTTTATCGGGTCGCACTCAAAGTTGGGCTGGTCGAGGAGCATGTCGATGATCTCGTCTGTTGATGTCAGAAGGGACGAGGTCCACTGTTCGTTAGCCAGATATTTGATTGCCCAGATGCCTGAGTTTCTTTTGCAACACTGCTAGGGAAGCCAGATCTGGTGGCTGGCTGAGAGGTTGAGGAAGAGGTTGAGGAGGGAGGAGGGGGGGGACTACGCACAATTACCCTGGAGGGCGGCCTCGTGGTATAAGTGGTTGCCGAGGACGGACTTTGTGTTGTTGAGGAGATCTGATATCTCGTCGTCGTTTCTGCAGTTGCCAATAATCTCTGTCAGGAGCTCGACGTTGTTGCGCCGGCACGCCTCGACGAGCTGCTCCTTGGCGGAGGCTCCCTGCGAAGGAAAGAGGGTCAGTGGGTGCCGAGCAGGGTTCGACAAGGTCTTGTCGTGTCGGGAGGTCGTACCTCGTGCTCGTCCGCCATGGTTACAAGTATATGTATTTGGAAGGGTCGAGGCCGGTCTTGCCTTTCGCAGTCGTCAGGGACGTTGTAGGCGAGACAGTATACGTCAAGGAGCGGGTAGCGAATGACTCGGTGAAGGAGGACTAAGTCGAGGTGCCGAAGGTGGAATCGGCGCTGGTCGGGAGAGGGTGTTGAGCAGAGGGATCGATTGGGACACGACCAGACAAAGATCCGACGAGATCGGTGCCAGGGAGTCCGTGTAAAGTACGCTACTTATTAGCTTGCCGAGAAGGAGAGGGCGACCATGGAGTTGTTGTCTCGTGTTGGTGGGTTCCCAGTCAGATGCCAAACCCAGGCAGAGCAGAGCAGGCAGACCCCGCCAAAACTCTGGAGCCTGAGCGCGGCAGTGCTCCGCGTCACAAAGTCGCAAGGGGCTGGACGTCCTTACCCAAGGTACGTAGCTTCCAAGCTTGTGCTTGGGCTCGTGGAGGGGCCACCCACTTGCACATCCATGCCTGCCTGCCATGGCCCCATAAAAAACTTGTGACTCTCGGGCGGCTCCTCCCCAAAGAAAAGACTGGACAAGAGAGAACTGTCACATGTCGGGGAGCATCGCTCACTGTATCATTCTCAAGCACTCACTCACTCACTCACTCGCTCACTCACTCCATCATCCAGGTCGTCGCCGGCACTCCACCTTCCCTCTTTGACTGGGACCATCACAAGCTGGCCTGTTCCTGGCCTGTCCGGTTCATATCACCCAGCCGAGCCTTCCCGTGCCAGCCTCGCATCTGCACGTGCTGAAACCATCACACAATGCTGCTCTGTAAGGACTACCTGCCCTTTACCACCTGCAATCTTCCCTTTTCCAAACCTTCCCCTGGCTTTACACGTGCGCAACATATCAATAACAACAATAATACTAATGAAAAAACAGTCTGCCCTCGCTGCTCCAACATCCTGACCGTCTCGCCCTCAAACGAGACAGGCCGCAACCGGCTCGAGTGCCGGACCTGCCCGTACCAGCACGCCATCGAGGAGCCCCTGTACTCGCGCCGCGTCTTCAAGAAGAAGGAGCGCGAGGACGTCTTTGGCGGCCCGGGCGCCTGGGACAACGCGGACAAGACTAAGGTCCAATGCGCCAGTCCCACGTGCAACGGCGGCGAGGCGGCATTCTACCAGATCCAGATCCGCAGTGCCGATGAGCCCATGACGAGCTTCTACAAGGTGAGTTTTCTTTGCCTCGTGGTCTTTTTTCTTTTGCTTGGTTCCTTTCTCTCCTTGGGGGTGGAGCAGGGGAGGAGAGGGAAGGGCCGGGGGGACGGGGGGGGGGGGGGGCAGAACTTGATATCTGGGACATCATGGACAGATCTTGCTAACATTTTGACACCCCGTAGTGTATGTCTTGTGGTCACAGGTGGAGAGAGAACTAGGCAGAATTGTCCCTCAAGCTTCTGCTCCTACGCAGTGGCAGCTTCACATGGCGTGGAACGAGCAGTTCTGAGCAGGTGGGCGTGTTTCGCGGTGTGATGCATTCAAAGCAAGGCGTTCATGGGGAAAAACTGTATTTCGCATATAGAGCACGTCACAAAGAGACCAAGTATAGAAGGCGGATATTCACGCTCACCGTTCCGTAGACTGGCGTAATCTGCTCCTGTCTACGTCATCATGATTTGAAAGAGCCTATTGCGCTGCCGAGACTGAGCTGGACGACGAAAGGTATGCTCGACTTCGGCATTCCTATTGATCATACCCCACCAGATCGTCCCTTCCTCATGTTCGTGTTTACCATGAAGCACGTCAGGTGATGCCGGGTCCAAAATTGCGCCCATGCCGCCTTTCCCCATGTGTCCCGCCCTCTTCGCGCACAGCGAGCCTCGACACCTGTCTCAATACATGCAACGCCTTCAGAGGTCAAGTCAAGCCTCTGATCGGCCGTGACGGGGCGCAGGCCCCTCTCGTGAAGCCAAAGGTTGCGGCAAGGATTTCATCGTCTCCGTGAATGGCGAGACCCCCTTCGCTCGTCTCTCGTCGCTGGATCATGGGTGTGCTTTGCTGGTGCAACGGTTCCAAGCATGGGCTCACGTGGCCCAACCCATCGTGATAGCTCGTTTGCATGCCATGCTTCTGCGTCATCTCGTGCCTGTGCAACACTCTCCCTGTCACATTGTGTGGCATTGTGCCAAACGTGGGCGAGCATGGCATTCCCACGCCAAGCACAATACCCTTCTTCGAGCACAAGAGCTGCACATTGCTCAAGTTTTCCGCCAGGATGGTGTATTGATCCCTCTTCCCATTTCTCATCTGGAGGCCGACCGCCTCTACATCACCGATCCTTGTGCCACTCCACGGAGGCCTTGACGCCTTCGGCAGCCAGGATCTGCGCAAGCTCCGGGCTGATGATGTCCTGGCGGAACTTCTCCTGCTGTAGCAGCTCGAGGTGCTTGAGCGTCGGGCCGGGGTAGGTGAGGTACTTGAGGTAGGGCGGGCGCGTCCAGTACTGGAGGTACGCGAGGTATGCGACGAAGGCCGGGTCCGAGAGGAGCTTCTGCGAGGCGAGGTCGTTGAGGTAGAATGGGTTTGCGAGGGATTGGACAAACTATGAACACGCAGTGAAAATCCGGGGGGTCAGCCGTGGTTGTTGTCGCGTGTGGGCAGCGTATCACTTCCCGCCAGCCAGGGAGAGAGAGACGTTAGGGTTTTCTTGGGGTTCTGGAGAGAGGGAAGGGGGGGGGGGGGGGGGGGGGGGGGATGTGCAAGACCACCTCGTCATGTGGGATGGGATTGCGCCTTCTTACCTCGAGCTCAATCTCGAAGCGCGAGAACCCGCCGTACTTCGGCTCCGTGTCGCCGCCAGTCGTGGTTGCGGACGGGATGGAAGGAGGCGCGTTGCCCATTGTCACGTCGTGGGAGGACTGCATGGCGAGAGTGCAGTGTCAACCTTGTGATCTCTGTCGCCAAGCTGTCGTTCAGTCCCTAGGCAATGATAGCATTGGTTGGACGTCGTGGCGTGCCGTCGTGGTGGTTGTTTGTCGAAATCGCGGGCCGTGGGGAAGCTCAGTCGACATGGGACTAGTTGGATCCGTAGACGGCAGGTGCGATGGCGATCACCCGGGTCATGCTCGGCGCTGTGGGTCTCCACTTCGGAACGGCTCTGATCCTTTTCGGACCTTGTTCTTTACATTCAAAGGAGGACCTCTTGACTCTGGATCAATGCCTTGTCTAAACTCTGAAATCACGCTCACAATTACTCGAATAATTACGCTGGCTGCACATGCGTATCGAACATCGCCTTTCGAGGCTCCAGGCATAGGGGAAGTAGATAGATGTCATTTGACAGGCCTAATCCTCATTATCATTAACGTGTGCTGCCTACGTAATTACACTACATTCAACATCAAGCAGCCTCTCTCCTGCCATTGATTCCTGCTCCGGAAGACCTCTCAGACACATCTGCTATAGTCTGGACAAGCATGGCCAACTGTTGCAACTTTTGCCTACAAGGCGACAACTGCACCGATGACACCAGCAAGGATACCAGCGCCGATCATGGGGCCCGGGGTAGCACCAACGTTGGGCCGGGTAGTGGTCGAGACAGTCGTGGTCGGGAGACCGTTGGATCCGGTGGTGACGATGGTCGTCGTCGACGCGGAGGAGCCAGTGCGGGTGCTGCTGCCGCTGCTGCCACTGCTGCCACTGCCGCTGCTACCACTGCCACCACTGGTGCTGGTGCTGCTGGCGGTCGCGCCGGACGCCGAGGACGAGGCAGTCGAGGGGGGCTGGGTCATGCTCATCGAGCCGGAGCTGCCGCTGCCGCTGCCCGAGGCCGTGGTCGAGGCGGGGATGTTGGACAGCAGGCCGGCGCTGAAGCTCGAGCACACGGCAACGCCCGCGCTCTGGGCCTGCGAGACCTCGGACAAGTTACACTTGGTCAGGAGGCATCCGGCCGCGGCGGCGCCAATGGCAGCCTGGGTGGGCCCGCATTGGCAGCTGATGTCCGTGGCCGGGCAGCCGACGGCAGAGATGGCCGAGGAGAGGCAGGGGATCTGTGGTTCGGTGGAAAGAGTCCCGGTCAGTCGATCGTGTGTATTGTTTGTGCGTGCGCGGCGCGTGGTTTAGAGTGCGACTTTGTGTGTTTTGCAAGAAGAGCAAGCAGGCAGGCAGGCAGAGAGCCAGAGGGTGACGACTTACAGCGCAGGAGGGCTGGTTGGGGAAGTACTGCGCAGCGGCAGTGGAGGCAATGGCCAGGATCAGAGCGTAGTGCATCTTGACGGGGGTCGTGCAGGTTATCGTGAGGCGAGGCGACGAGTGAGTATGTTTCACGAGTGCTTCTCGGACAGAATGCGTATTTCAATTGTGAGTTCCGTGTCAACCACGAATGAGTCAATTGGAGAAAGAGCAGACGTTGGAGAGCAACAACGAGCGGGAGGGACGCGGTCCAGCTAATAAACAAGAAGATGGTCCGAGGGTGGTGCCCAGTTCCAGCCCAGCTAACGAAAGCTACCTGCAGTAGCGCGAGATCCGAGTGCTCAAGCTTTCTCTCCCCCCCAGCCTCGGTCTCTCCTCACTTCCAAAAGGGTGTGCGTCCTGCATTGTCAAGACCCCAAATCGTCCTGGGCTGGACCGGGTTCCCCCAGCCAGAATGGGCGACGGCCTTGTTCCACCACCCGTCGCCGTCCCCTCAGTGAGACATGACCCCCAGCCCGGTTATTTGGAAACACCGGCGATGCCTTCTCCTCGATTTGGAGTCGACGCACATTGGCATGCGCTTCTCGCCACCGTCACGCACGCCAAGGGCTCCAGGAGGGAGAGGCAAGATGGTTTCTCCTCATCGTCGGAGCGTGGGAAAACAAGGAACAGGAAATCAGTCACTGGGCTCCCTCCCGATCCCCGGCATGCAGTAGTTTGTACCCAGCAACCTTGGAAGTATCCGTGAAATTGGCCGCCACAGCCAGCCAGCCAAGCTAGCCAGCTAGCCAGCCAGCCACGCCCTGGATTAGGCCAGTCTTGGTCCGAACGACACAGGGCTCTCCGCACTGTTGCGCTCAGACCCGCAAGACCCCAGCGTGCGCGATGCGGGGGTTACCATGGTACGTCCTTGGAAGTGGTTATAGCACGCAAGAGCTGGCTCCCAGAGGTAGTCTGGTAACTTCTGTAGTCGAGGTCCACAGCAAAGCACACAACAAGCAAGGGGCATGACCCTGGAAAAAGCTTAGCACTCCGCACTGTCTACTGAGTGGGACTGTCCCCTTCTGGTTCCAGCCAACTGTGGCACCTGCAGAGCTCACAGCCTTGCCCTCGTTCCGCCGTCCAATTACCGTCATTAGAGGCCATGGATATCAGTCTGCTAATGCAGCGCTAGAAATTGAGGTCATACCATCTCCCCAAGTATAGACATAGACAGACACAGCCAGCAAGCTCCGACGACGGCTAATCACACATCTCAAGTGTATTATTGCCTGACGTCCGTCCCGGGCAATCATCGCGATGCTTTGCGCTAGGCACGCTACAATGCCATTACCAGGCGTCTAGCTTGGTGCAGAGTTCAGGCTAGAACAGGATCTCGTGGTCCAGACTAACGTTGCAAAGCCTGTAATTTTCTGCGCCGGGTCCCCACGATCGGATCGGCTTGGCCACGGCCAGGTTTTGAGAACCAACTAGAGTCCGGTGGCTGGCGTCATATTTCAAGAGGTGCCCGCTCTTGTTTTGAATGGTCTTGGCTATCAAATCGCCCTTAGCCTTGGTATATGGGATCGGCGCATGCACCGTCAATGCTTTGCCAGCTTGGCGCTGCTCATCCCGCTGCAGCAATACTCTTCTGGATCCGCACCAGCTTGCCAAAATCCATCTTGCGTCCTTCCGTCGGCATGTGCTCGCCACTGGCGATGCAGAGCACACGCATGCGTTCATCGTAGCGCAGACCCGTCAGAAGCTTTGGCGTGATGAGAAAGTACTGCGAGGTATGTTCTCGGCAGGCAATCTCTACCATGCGCTCGTGGACCATGCGCTCGTTGCGCGGGTCCATTCCTTGGTTGATCTCGTCGACAACCCGGAAGGGTGCCTGAGCCATGGACTGCAGCGCCATGAGGTAGAAGATGGTTGAGACTGCACGCTCTCCGCCCGACTGCCGGTGCTGGTCGAGCTGCTGAAGGGTCTCGTTTTGTCTACACAGTCGCCTTGGTTAGTACTGGTTCCAGGAACAGTGCGCGAGGAACAAGAAAAGGCTTACCGGAACTTGACTTTGATCTCAATCGCCCATTGCTCAAAGTCCTCGTCTTTGTGTATGCCAACCTCGCCAGCGCAGCTGATCTGCTCGAAATTGTATGAGAATGCATCGTTGATCTTGCCAATTAGCTCATCGACACGCGGTTCCCACTTTGCTCTGACTTGCTGGATCTGTGATGTGAGCGAGTCGAGCTTGCCCGTCTGCGCGTCTTTCCGTCTTGTCAATTCCTCAATCTCCTTGGCCCGCTTCTCAAACTGACGAACAACACCTGGATCAAGTCCTTGCATAAGCTCTAGCTTGGCCTCCTCAGCGCCAATCTCCATGCCCAGGTCCTCAGGACTCCTGCCTTCCGCCATGGCGTTGAGCCTAGCCATGACAGCGGAGCTGTCTTCCTCTTCGGCAAGCGCGGCTCGGACAGTTGCTAGAGCCTCTTGTGCGTCGAGCTTATTTCTGTCAGCCTCGAGATCTAGCTGTTTTATCTTGGCCTCTTCCTCCTCGAGAAGCTTGTTGATCTCCGAGTTTTTGGCTTCGAGCCCACGGGCATCTGATTGAGCTTCAACCAGGCGTATCCGGGCTTCGAGCAGCGCCTGCTGTGCTTGCTTGATCTGTGCGAGGTGTTCGTGATGCTTGAGGACTAGTCTCGCCTTGTCGATAGTGATTTGGTCCTTTTGCAACCGCAGATCAAACACACGCTCGCGGCACGCAGCTAGCAGCTCCTGAGCATCCTCGAGTTTCTTCTTGTCCGCAGCTACCAACGTCAGTTAGTATTATGGCGAACATAACGATCTAGCAAGTGGTCATGAACTTGCCTAATCTGTGCGGGAGTGCCTCGTATAAGGTATGTGCTTGCTGAAGTTCACTCTTCTGAGCTCGCAGGTCGTCCTTATTAGATCTAGTTAGCAACAGAACCCGCGCGAGGACATGCCGAATGCCTTACTATCCGCTCTTGAACAGACTTGGCGTCGCTAGCCATCTCATCGAGCTGCTCTTTTTTCGTGTTGTTCTCAGCTTTGAGCTTGTTGAAATCCTCTTCGAGCTCTTTGAGCCTCGTCTCAAGTCTCACTGTCTCCGAGTTGTCCACAGGCTGATCCGTCCAGTACTGGCCCTTGTTAATCTGCCGCGTAGTTGTGGACGTCGCGCCTGGTCCGTACTCCCGACGCCTGGATATGCGGTGCATTGTCATCCCAGTCGCCCAGGCAGCGATCTGCTCGTGTTGTGTTATTTGATTGTACTGTGCATCGTTGATCTCGTGTAGGCTCAGCAGAGAGGTGTGAAGCTTCTTCTCTGCGCAAAACATTGCGAGCACGGGCTCAGGAGCATCCAGATAATCTATAGCGAAGCCGCCGTCCAGTCCCAGCGCTTCAAGCTCGCTGCTGGAGAGGGGCGCTTTGTACGATGCAAAGCTGTTCCCACATGTCCTGATCGTGACATTGAGCTTCAATTGTTTGAAGATGTACTCGCTGAGGGTCTTGTGGTCGTTCCGGGTTTGTGCCACAAAGCAAAAGAAGTCGTCCTTGCCAAGGAGGGACTGGATTAGATCTGAGTAACGGTCGTCCTTCACAGAGGCTGTGAGCATCGGTGGACCAAAGACTTCTTTCTCAAACTTGTCTTGGTTCTCCTGTAGCCACAGCCAACCTTTGTGGGCGTCACTGTTCATCTGTCGCAAGCGAAGCAGTTGCTGGCCTTGCTGCGAGTCAAGCTGACTCTTTTGCTTCAACAACTGGTCTCTCTCTTCCTTGTTGCGCCGAGCGAGATTCTTGATGTCTTCAAGCTGACTTCTCACGTCTCGTTTCTCGGCTTCGTTCTGGCGCAAGACCTGCTCTTGTTCACGCTGTTCTTCTGTCAGCCCCTGTACCATTCCTCTACCTCACCTGCGACTTACTATCTTGGCATTCCACTCATGGGCATCAAATGGCAAAGGCTTCTTCTTAAGCTTTGCTTCCGTATCCGTCAAGGCCTTTCGAATCTTGGCAATGTCGCCCTTCCTCGCCTGGAAGGTTTCTGTTTCTCCGTTCAGGCGGCCAACGACGTCTTTGATGTCACCTTGTTTCCGGTCCACAGCAGCCAGGAGTTGCTCGCCGGTCTTTTCCGCATGCGCCAGGGCCGTTTCTCTATCGTGTATGACCTCCTGGATCGCGTCTGCATAGGCTCGCTTGTCTTCTATAGCCGTCAGAGACGGGCCACACGACTGTTGGAGCTTTTCATAGTTTGCGCTGGCTTCTTGCCTTCTTCGTTTCGCGTCCCGGAAGAGCTGGCGAGCGACAGTGTATGTGCTCACCAGTCTTGCTTTTCGAAGGTCCTCGATTCTCTGCTGCACCGCATCTCTCTCGCGATACCTGTCGACATCGGCCTGCAAGCCTTCTTGGCGGCTCTGGAGGTTTGCAAGTGTCTCCAATACAGTACTAGCCTGTTCTTTGACCTTCCTGTGGTCCTTATGTAGTTCATAAAGCTGTGCCTGCCATTGAAGCATCTCCTCGGGAGCTGCAGCACGGAGTGTCTGGTGCAAGAGCTGCACCGGGGTAAGTCCAGCAAACTCTGCGACTTTGTCCTGTGGCAAGAATTGGCACAAGTTATCGACTTGGATGTGCAGCTTCGATGTGAGCTTCTGCACAGCCCCCAAGGTTGAATCTTTGCCATTCAGCCACCACTTGCGGTGGTTATCTTCCCTTTTGATATCAACGCGAATGACGTGGTTTGAGAGGTCATTGGGCCTCTTCTGTAGCTCGATCTCGATCGTGGCAACATCTCGTCCCAGCTTGACGAACTCGCCGATTTGACTGGCGCGACCGAGATGCTTGGGGCCATAGCCAAGTCCCAGGCAAATAGCACAGACGAGAGAGCTCTTGCCCGTGCCGTTGGGGCCAATGACCATGTTGAGATTGGGTCCCGGAAAGAATTCGGCTCGCTCATATGTAACAAAGTTTTCCACAAGCACCCTGACGATGGCGCCTGGGGCATATTCTCCGTCCCCGCTGGGTACGCCATTGGAAAACGGTTGGCTCGCGCTGGGGACCGGGCTTGGGCTTGGTAGGATCGAGTTTCGAGATGACTCCTCATCGCTTTCGGCTGTTAATCGAGTGTGGTTCCGGTAACCATTCGGACGCTTCCTGCGAGAGTCTTCGGCAGCTGATGCGGTGTTGTCTTCTTCGTCCTCGAAGACGGCGCGCGATCGCCGTCTAGATGTGATCGCCGGCATGCTGGACAGTTTGTTCGCGTGACACTGGCGGAGGGGCGTGTGGAGGTCGTTCGCTTCAGACAGTGGGCTTTGCCAGATGTCTCAGACTCGGTAGAGATGCATCATCCTGGTGTTCAGACTTGAAGCGCACCTTTCTGCTGCCAAAGCCAGAGTGGTGAAGCATGGATGGAGGGGTAGTTGGTTGAATGGTCCGGTCCAGTGAGATCGCATTGCCGCAGGCGGGAGGACGCGTCGCGTTTGGCGGCAGGGGCCGAAAGAGCTAAAGTGGCTCTGCAGCTGCCACTCAATCAGCCCCACCAGTGCAGCCTGGCCTCTTGCCATTCTTGACGCTGTCCGAGACGTGATTGGCTGCAGCGCAATGCGGGAACCCTGAACTCGCCCGGTGTAAGAGGACCAGACGAGGCGGCCTGGGATGGATTTGTGACCTGGGCGCATGATGTCACGAGAAAGTTGATCATGCCAATATTAATCTTTTGCCTGTGTATGAGCTGCGACCCAATCTCAGCTGTGAGCTTTGAGCCAGATAGCTTGGTGTGCAGCAGGCATGGTTTAACCCTCCCTTCCGTTGTCCCGAGCTTGGCATCCACATTTCAACGTTGTGGAATTCTGTTAAGCGTCTAGTTGTTCTATTCTTACATGGTCCTGTCCCACTTGTCCTCAACCTGCACACTACTGACACATGGAGGACTCTTGTCATTCCAAAGAGGAATTCGCACCGATATTCGAGTCATGCGGGCTCAAGATACATACTCGAGCAGGTGCTCAGTGGCGAGCTCTGAAGGATTGGTCTGTCCAGTTGGGAGGCTCTCCGAGAGGTACCGGCACATTCGGGCCCGATGCGCCGCACTGCGTTGCCATGGCCTTGCTGGGGCAACAACAACCAGCACTCGCGGTTACTCCGGATACCCAAAGTCGATCGCACGCGAACTCAACTGCCAGCAACAAGTGACGCGTCTCAAGTTGAACACAGCACGCCTCAAGTCACTGCACGGGCGACACCATCGCGAGCTACTGTGTCCACCAGCGCAGGGAGGGTGGCTGCCACGCCGTCAGACACCACATTCCACCCATCTACAACCATACAATTCAAGCCTGCCCGCGAACTTACCACCGCCTCCCTCAGCGTCGCCTCCCTGGCGCGTGTACCCTTGTTCGGCTGACTGCGCGGTCACTCCGGTCGCATTCCATCGCAAGCCTGCGCTCGACCTCTTCGACTGACCTCATCGCCTGCTGCGAACACTTCCACCTTGCCCTCCCTCCTCCTGTGGACTGTCTTTCGCCCGATCCTACACTCATTGTGCGGCACTTTATTGAGTCAAGCTGCACTTGAACAGAATCTGCCATCGACAAGCAACCAGAAACCGCAAGCCCTTCTTGGAATCGACATGTACTGCTGAAGTAACGTGGTCCAGAACGGCGGATATGGCGTCGAGGACTCCTCTTGGTGATGCCACAGGCCGCATCATCAACGCGTCCTCAGACCGCCCACACAAGGCAAGCCGTTGTCGCGCCCCTGAGCGCAATCCGCTGAGAGCCCCGAGCAGCAATTCCAAGTCGGCAAGGCATGCGGCACCCAAAATACAAGAACCGATCCATCGAGATGCAGCAACAAATTCACGAGCACCAGCTGCCTCACGCACAAAGGCTCTCGCCAACGAAGACGCAGCTGCCACGAAACGAGACTCACAGGTCTCCAATTCCAGCGCTTCCAGTGGCAAACGCAAAACTCATATTGGGCCGTGGCAGTTGGGTAAGACATTGGGCAAAGGATCCGCGGCCCGAGTCCGTCTTGCCCGTCATCATGTCACGCACGAGCTCGCCGCTGTAAAGATCCTCTCGCAGGCTTCCTGCCACATGACTCAGCCAGGCAGCCTCGCAGAACTTGATCAGTGGGACCGGCAGCGCGAAGAGTATCAAACAGAAAACCACATCCCCTTGTCCATTGAACGGGAAGTGGCGATATTGAAGCTTATCGACCATCCAAACATCATGAAGTTGTATGACATCTGGGAAAATCGGTCAGAGATGTGAGTACCTGCGTCTTTAATGCCCGCCACGACGGAAAAACACAGAACTGATCTTGTCTCGCTGCAGATACCTCGTTCTTGAGTTCGTCGAGAGGGGCGACCTTTTTGAGTACATCAACAGTCACGGACCGATTGCGGAGCATGAGACTGTCTTCTACTTCAGACAGATGCTCAGTGCTCTGGAATACTGCCACTCCTTCAATATCTGCCATCGTGACCTGAAGCCAGAGAATATTCTGCTCAAGGAGAATGGCCAGATCAAGATTGCCGATTTCGGCATGGCAGCTATCCAGCAGGGTCCAAATCACATGCTGCGCACCTCTTGTGGCAGTCCACACTATGCAGCGCCCGAGCTCGTGAGCCGAAGGAAATATCGCGGCGACAAGGTCGACATTTGGAGTCTTGGGGTCATTCTTTACGCCATGCTTTGCGCTCGACTCCCGTTCGACGACCCTGATATCCCTCGACTGCTGGCGAAGGCGACAAAAGGTATATACGAGATGCCCGGGTGGCTGAGCCACAACGCTCAGGACCTCATCAGAAAAATGCTGCAAGTCGATCCCAAGGACCGCATCTCGACACGAAAAATCTGGAAGCATCCACTAGTCGTCAAGTATGCCGATTTCGACAGGTTCGACGAAAATGGGGGCCAGATCAACAACATACCACAGAGTCGACAGTGCCATCCTATCTCGCCAAAGGATGTCGACTTTCAGACTCTGCGGCAGCTCAAGTCGATGTGGCACACATTCCCTGAAAGGGAGCTCTTTCTCAAGCTGGTCTCGCCAGAGTAAGTCCATTCATAATGCATATCCTCGGCTCGGTGCGAGAATGTGTGAGAAGTCCTTCTAACGGGGAAATGGTTGCGCTTCAGGCCGAATGACCAAAAGCTCTTTTACTGGCTGCTCTACAACTATCGAGAAAAACAGCTCGAGAATTACGACTCTGCCCTCACCTACTCGACCAGTGATTTTCATCACCTCCGGCCCAGGGCGTGGAAGACAAAATATACCACGTTGGAGTTTCCATCTCAAGGTGGCCGCACACCATCTCGGTTCACTGTCATCTCCAATGTGGCAACCGATCCCGCAAACGAAACGATAGAGACAGTAACCGATGGTGGTGGCACGATACACAGCTATGACCCGTACAAATCCGAGCGCGTCTTTGATCACGAGCCGGTCGCCAGCCATGCCAAAATCACGGTATATCGCAATGCCAGTGCAGCCAAGAGCGCAACAAAAGCGACACAGCCACCCGGGACCCTGCGTACAGAGTCCAAGAGAACTGCATCAGTACAATCCCGATCGAACCGGACCGGGAATGCCATGTCGTCCCATGGGAAGAGCGCATCTCGACGCTCGCTTGCCTCAATAAGGAGTACCGACAGTGCGACTTTCAAGCGGTCGGCCACCGTTCGGCATAAACGGGGGGTCGACTTCTCCCATGTGCGCAGAAAATCGGCCATTCAAAGCGAAGCCAATCAAAGCACAGGAGACGAAACAATCTTTACTGCTGGAGCAGCCGCCCGAGCTGTTTCCATCAGCGCTGTGCACCCCGAGAAGATTATGAACAGACCTGCAGCGGGCATCACGAACGTTAAAGCAAAGGCTCGGGCCGTGCCCGAGGATGATGCCACAATTTGGAAAGATGAACTACGTAAGATCAGCAGCAGCATTGCGAAAGACTGTGACGACGCGTTTAGCAGCTCTCTCCTACTTCCCCAGCCCAGCGCTTCAACCTTTGTGAACTCTCGTGACAATAGCGGTAAGCTCGGAGCAGGCAAGAGTTCTATGGCGCGAGAGTCAGGAAGCCCACAGCCTTGGGAGACCCGGCCACTGCCTCCAGCACCACCGTCAAAGCATGGTTCGTTGCTCGATGCCGAGAGAGCCATCAATGTTTTGAGAAAACAGAAAGAAGCCGTTTCACTGCCACTTAAAGCCACTAGACATAGTGACAATGGCGGGGATAACACTTCATCAGCGAGACGCCGAGTTGTCTCGGCTCCCATATATGCACAGTACAGCACGCAGCATGGGCTCAACAACCTCGATCCCATTAAGGAGGGTTCAAAGGAGGATGGGCCTACAGAAGACACCGACAAACACCGCATTGTCTCTGCGCCTGGAGATTACTCCACGCCACACAAGGATCGTCGTGGTCTCGAGTACCTTGCTCAACATGAGAACACCATCCGGCTCGTGAACTCTCCCTCCGCCAAAATGGGCCAGTCTCAAGCCAGCAAGCCACTTCGAGTGCCCAAGAAGTTGTCCAGAGGCGTCGACACACCCACTAGGTATAGAAAAGTGTTTGTGCCAGCAAGGACGACCGCAGAAGAACCCCGGCCGGCTGCCACTGAGGATGAGCCTTCATTCGCATCGCAAGACAGCTCCACGGCGTCGAAGAAGCGGTCTCTGTGGTTCAAGAGAATCTCTAGAGACAGCAGCCTCGACGCTCCTGCGGCAAAACTGGGCAATGAGAAAGGTGCCACCATAATTAGAGTGGACTCTGCTTCCTCGTCGGGAGCGCACAATGCGGCTAGCAAAAAGAAGGGCTTCAATTTTGCTTTCTGGCGCAATACAAGAGATGAGCCAGCCACGCGTTTCTCCGTTGAAGGTTTGTGTCCTGTTCTAGTAGCCGATGGCGATAAACTCTCGCTAACAATCTCAGATTTCGACTTTGACGAGACGCCCAGTCCGGAGCCTTCACAAATGTTTGAGCACCCAGCACCACTGATGTCGAACAAGAAGGCGAAAGAGGATAGCTCTGCTCGACACATTGCCCCGCAACAGAATTGGCTGGCTCGTCTTTTCCACGTCAAGCCGGCCACCAGATACCTGTGTTTCTGCATCTCAAGGCGACGCGCGCGCCGGGAAATTGCCGTCTTGCTCCGAGAGTGGCGCAAGTACGGGATCCGGGATGTGGATGTCGACAAGGAGCGCAACATTGTGTTTGCACGGGTTGGTGCTAAGAACTGTGAGTTGTGTTTGACAACTTGTGATGTGTGGCGCTCTTTGCACGGTCACGATGGCTAACCGTTGACACTCCACAGACCTCAATATCAAGGAAGTGGCATTCGCAGCCGAGGTCATGACAGTGATTGAGCATGGCAAGCGCAGCCAGCTCTGCATCGTCCGACTTACACAGGAACGAGGAGCAGCCAGCAGTTTCCATCGAGTAGTCGACACGATGGACACTGTTTTCGAAAGCCGCAACCTGCTGGTTGCCGAGCAGCGCAAGACCAAGATGATGGTCAAAACGCTCAATGCTTGACCATGACGAGATAGAGTTACTCCTGGCTGGCGAGGATGTTGCATGGCTCACCTCTGCTGGACAATCGGATTTCTTTTTTGCCATTCTGGAAAGAGGATTGGAAACTGTTTTTTTTTTCTTCTTCGAGAAGCAACAGTACTGTCTAGGTATCAATCATCCACTTCGATGTTCGCCAGGGGGCCATGGGTGGCATGGCGTCGCTCAGGTGGAAGGAAAGGAGCGCTTTTGAGAAAGGAGGGGAAACTGGCAGTTTGACAGCCAGCCAGCTGTGATGTAAGAATTTCTATAACTATGGTTTCTTGTATGTAGTTTTGGCCACGACCACCGGCTGAGTCCAGCGGGACGAGTGAACATTGATGGGTAGCAAGCAGGTAGCCACACACAATCCCAAGAATTGATGTGTGACGATGGGGAAGTCTGTCATCGACGTCGGGATATCCCGGCAGCACTGGAGTGAGCGACAGGAGAGGGCAGCTTTGTGGCAGAAGGAGCACCCCTGCCTGGCCCGAGCGAGCGACCCCGGAGCCACAAACCCCAAGGCCGCGGGCCCGTGCCGATTGCCTCCGGAACCCGCATCGTGGACAATTATTTCGCGCGAGACTCTGGCACCACGAAACACAGCCGCCGACCTTCCCAGACAACCATCTTACGTCCGAGCCGAGTTGCACCGTCACGGACTCCGCCCCGCGAGGCCCCTCTGTCTGTCTCTGCACCTCCACACCCATCCCTGCCTGCAATCTCTTGCCATTTTTACCTTCCAAGGCTGCGGCAGCGACCCAATACCACGCAGTCACTTCCTCCCACGCAAAGCCCGCCGCCAAACCCAATCCGCCCACCCATCATGCTTCGCTCGGCGTCCGCCTCGGCGAGCTCGCTCCAGAGGGCAGCTGCTCCCCGGCTGCTCTCCACCTGCCGTGCTGCAGCTCGCTACCCCTCTCCTGCTACTGCTGCCATCTCCCGCAGCTCCAGCAACAGCTTCACCTCGCCCTCCACCCTGCCTACACAGTTCCGCAGAAGCATCCACGCCACCGCCCTCAGGATGGCCGCCAACACCAGAACCGAGAGCGACGCCTTTGGCGAGATCCAGGTCGATGCCGACAAGTACTGGGGTGCGCAGACCGAGCGCTCCCTCACCAACTTCAAGATCAACCAGCCCCAGGACCGCATGCCCCCGGCCATTGTCAAGGCCTTTGGCATCCTCAAGGGCGCCGCCGCCACCGTCAACATGCGCTACGGTCTCGACGAGAACATTGGCAAGGCCATCCAGCAGGCCGCCAAGGAGGTCGCCGACCTCAAGCTTCTCGACCACTTCCCTCTCGTCGTCTGGCAGACCGGTTCCGGCACCCAGTCCAACATGAACGCCAACGAGGTCATCTCGAACCGTGCCATCGAGATCCTCGGCGGCAAGATGGGCTCCAAGAAGCCAGTCCACCCCAACGACCACGTCAACCGCTCCGCCTCGTCCAACGACACCTTCCCCACTGTCATGCACATCGCCGCCGTGCTCGAGCTCGAGGGCGACCTCATCCCCGCCATGCGCAGCCTCCGCGACGCCCTCCAGAAGAAGGTCGACGACTTCGAGGCCAAGAAGATCATCAAGATCGGCCGTACCCACCTGCAGGACGCCACTCCCCTGACCCTCGCCCAGGAGTTTTCTGGCTACGTTGCTCAGCTCGACATGGGAATCAAGCGCATCGAGTCCTCGCTCCCCGACCTCAGACTGCTGGCTCAGGGTGGCACTGCCGTCGGTACTGGCATCAACACCTTTGAGGGCTTCGCCGAGGCCATCGCCGAGGAGGTCACCAAGATGACTGGCACTGAGTTCAAGACGGCACCCAACAAGTTTGAGGCCCTTGCCGCCCACGACGCCTGCGTCCAGGCTCACGGCTCGCTCAACACTGTCGCCGCCTCGCTCACCAAGATTGCTCAGGATATCCGGTACCTTGGCAGCGGTCCCCGCTGCGGTCTCGGCGAGCTCAACCTGCCTGAGAACGAGCCCGGCTCGTCCATCATGCCTGGCAAGGTCAACCCCACGCAATGCGAGGCCCTTACCATGGTTTGCGCCCAGGTCATGGGCAACCACGTTGCTGCCACTATCGGAGGCATGAACGGCCAGTTCGAGCTCAACGTCTACAAGCCCCTGATCATCCGCAACCTGCTGCACAGCAGCAGACTGCTCGCTGACGGCATGCGCTCGTTTGAGAAGAACCTCGTTGCCGGCCTCCAAGCCAACGAGGAGAAGATTGCCAGTATCATGAAGGAGTCGTAAGTGCCGGCTCTCTATCCTCCTGCTTCGCCCCAGCTTCTGTAATTTGTATACTAACCACTTTTCTTTCCCAGGCTCATGCTGGTGACCTGCCTGAACCCGAAGATCGGCTACGACATGGCCTCCAAGGTTGCCAAGAACGCGCACAAGAAGGGCCTGTCTCTGAAGGACAGCGCCATGGAGCTCAATGCCTTGACTTCTGAGGAGTTTGATGCCATTGTGCGTCCCGAGCTCATGATTGGCCCGTCGCCCTACAAGAAGTAGATGCCCGGTACTCGGCCTGAACGGCGAAGGAGGTCAACATGGCAGGAAAAGAAACAAACGAAGTAAATAAGGGAACAAAAGCTCCAATAGAGATGTAGTATTATCACAATGTACAACGATGCTCTGCAGGTCACTTTTTTCGGACACGCTGTGTAAGTACTAAGAGGCATGGATCCAATGCGCACGGCATAGCATCGGTTTCCCCGCAGTGCGTCACTGCCCTTGATGGGGCGCAGCTCTGGGCGTAGCGCAAAAGTGGGATACGAGTAGGATCAGCGTCGAGATTTGTGCCAGTCACGGTTTAGTGTGAAACGGGGACGGGCAGCAAATGTCTTTTTCCTACAGCAAAGTGATGCCATGGACCTTGAACTTGGAAACACAGAGACAGAAGCGGAACCGGGTTTCCCAGAGAAAATAACTTAGTCAAGCAAAGCAGGCAGCTAGCGCGTGCACAGGTTGCGTCTTCTCCACGTTCTCCAGGTTCCATCTCCCCTTCCATCCTTCCTTCCTTGCTGGGGCCCCTGCTTGACCTCGGCATGAGAGATGATAGACGTCCGTGCTGGGCAGCATTTGGATCATCGGACCTCCTTGTGTGGTTGGGGGTTGATTGTAGTACAGTATTTTGTGAGCGGGCAGCAATAGTATGTGAGTAGCGTACTTGAGTGAATAAAGTTGGGAAGCCGTTTCATGTTTGTAAGTTGTATGTATGTAGCAGGATGCAGACACTAGTGCAATGGACCAAGGAGGCACGATTGCCGTGGAGAGACGGATAGATTTGTAGGCATGTATGTGTAAGCGTAGGTGTGTGTACCTATGTATATGTGTGTGCGTATTGTAGCGAGTTCATGCGTGGGCTGTATACGAAGAGCTATGTGGTTTTGTCACAAAGTGGAAATAATGAGGCGGGTTACTTGCATCTCGCGATGAGCGTTTGTTTGCGATTTCCTTGCCACGGCAAGTGAGGTGGCCACCACGCGGAGAAGTTCCGTGGTCGGTTTGTCGCCATCACACACCTCAATGCGGATAGATGCTTTTTGGAGGGGAGGTCGGCGGATTCCGGGGCCGGGGGGCCCGGCATGTGCTGCGCAAACGGTGGCTGCGGGTTGCCGAGGTCGGCGTGCGGGTCCGCCTTGAGCAACATCGGATCCAACATTGGGAACCGAGCGTGCAAGCGAGGAACAGAGCTAGTGTAAAGTTATGTTATGTAATGTATATGGCATTGTTCTCTTTTTGGTGGATTCCGGGCCTGGAGTGCTGCTGGAATGGCAGCTGGCATGTACTTTGTGGGTTGATCTTGTCTTGTCTCTAGCTCGCGTACGCTACGGGCTCACGCTGTATGTCGCCTTGTTGCCTTGTCAAGGTGCTGGCTGGCAATCGCAGGTTTAAGAATGGCCGAGAAGCTAGTCTTGTAAATCAATCCTCTGCGAGCGACGGCAAGGAGTAATTAGGAGCGGTTTCGGCCAGTTCTAGAACACGACCTGCTGAGAGTTTCTGAGCTTCGGTACCCTAGTCTCTGGATGTCGACGTCGCCGTCGACGCCCTGCGAGTGCGGGGAGCGGTGGAGCAGTTTGACAAGCCTGCCCCAGGACCGGAGATAGTGGCCGGTGGCCCCTTGGCGGTTTACTCGATGGCATCGAGTAAATCACAGCCTGTGTATGGCTGGCAGCGCTGGCGCGCAACACCAACAAACACACTCTGTGCATCTCAACATAGGCATAGCGACGACAATGTGAGCAGAGTGGGTGTGCGGCGGCTGCAGCCAAATCAGCGAGTGCATGCTGTAATATGAGATGAGACTGGGCCGAGTGTAGGCGGGAGAAGCCGCAAACGTCACTGCTGCGCGAGGTCCCCTCCCCCACACTTTCACAAGCTCGTGCCGTCGTCCTGGGTTGGAGTCTGGCGTAGCCGTAGCCGTGGCCAGAGCCATAGCCGAAGCGCATCACTTCCGCACCAGCACCAGAGAGTGAGAGGACGATCGTTGGCCCAGGCAGAGGATGCGCTTCTTCACCAAGGCGAGGCCGAGCATCCCGTTCGACCGGCCAAGTCCCCGTGGCGCTTCCCCTGCCCCGACCTCGCCCTTCCAAGCACCTCGTCATCATCACCCACCATCATCCATCAATCATCCCCGTGGCAATTGGGGTAGCCCTTCCACAGCGACACCCCTTGCCCGCGCGGATTGCCCTATCAGCTGCCTCCCGTCTCGTCTGCTCGGCCCCCGGCTAACAGAGGGCCTGCCTGGCCAGCATACCTAGGTAGGTAGGCCCAGTTGCCCCGGTCCTGCGTCAAGTGCCGAAGCCCATCCCAGCCCCAGAGCCCAGCCAGTCCATCATGGCAGGCCAGTCCTTTCCGGTCGTTTTCGTGATGCCGTCCAAGTCACGGGCAAGACGACTGCCACATTGTCTGGGCCCCCCGCATGCACCGGCTGGCGCAGGTAAGCTTTGGCATGACTGCGTGAGTGGTGTGTTCAGCGCTGTTAGTGTGCACATGTGGTGTCTTTGATGGGGTACGTACCTGGCCGTGCTTTATCTCTGCCGGCCCAGCTCGTGGATCCGTAGTCGCTCCTTCCCCAGCTCCGGCTTGCATGTGCTTTAAAACCTTGGGGCCCTCCCACGACTCTCCCCTTCGCCCCGACCTTCTTCCTTTGCCCGTGTAAACGACCTGGTCGTATTGTTCTTTTCTTGGCTGCATCGAAATAATCACTTGCGCGGTCTCGAAAAATTGTCGTCCTTGTGCAAGCACAATACCCTATCGCCGCACAGGATCGCAGCGCACTGCAACTTGCCTGCGCACTACCCCAGCTCACCCCCAGCACCACGACTCGTGCCAGCCCTACCTCGGCTTGACTGCACCGCCTGATTGGAGCAGCGCAACCACTTATACGCCATCCATCGCCCGGCTGACAAGCTTGTGACTTGGACGAGAGATACTCTGCTACACCATTCTCCAGCTTCCACACACAGCAATCCAACATGGCTACCACAGAGACCATCCTCCAGGGCGTCACCGTCTCTGGCCGCGTCCAGCCCGAGCACAAGAAGATCCTCACTCCAGAGGCCCTCGCCTTCCTCGCCCTCCTCCACCGCTCCTTCAACGCCACCCGCAAGTCCTTGCTCGAGCGCCGCGTCATTCGCCAGGCCGAGATTGACAAGGGCGTACTCCCAGACTTCCTCCCAGAGACCAAGCATATCCGTGAGAACCCCACATGGAAGGCCGCGCCCCCAGCCCCGGGTCTCGTCGACCGACGTGTCGAGATCACCGGTCCCACCGACCGCAAGATGGTCGTCAACGCCCTCAATGCCGATGTCTACACCTACATGGCCGACTTTGAAGGTGAGTGCAGATTTTGCCATGTTTGTGTGTCCAGGAAACCACTCCCGACGGCTGACCTGAATTGCAAAACAGACTCCAGCGCCCCGACATGGGATAACATGATCAACGGCCAAGTCAACCTTTACGATGCTGTCCGCCGGCAGGTTGACTTCAAGCAGGGCTCCAAGGAGTACAAGCTGCGCAAGGACCGCACGCTCCCGACCCTGATTGTGCGCCCCAGAGGCTGGCACCTTGAGGAGAAGCACGTCACTGTGGATGGCGAGCCCATTTCCGGTTCTCTCTTCGACTTTGGTCTCTACTTCTTCCACAGTGCCAAGGAGGCTGTCAAGCAAGGATTCGGACCTTACTTCTACCTGCCAAAGATGGAGTCCCACCGTGAGGCCCGTCTCTGGAACGATGTCTTCAACCTCGCTCAGGACTACATCGGCATGGCCCGTGGCACTATTCGTGGTACTGTACTGATCGAGACCATCCTGGCCGCCTTTGAGATGGACGAGATCATCTATGAGCTCCGGGACCACAGCTCTGGCCTCAACTGTGGCCGCTGGGACTACATTTTCAGTGTCATCAAGAAATTCCGCAACAACAGCAACTTTGTTCTGCCAGACCGGAGCAACGTCACCATGACCGTACCATTCATGGACGCTTACGTGAGTTCCACCTTGCCTGCCTTGACGCTTTAATAGCGCTAATCATCTTGGTATGCAGGTCAAACTTCTCATTCAGACCTGCCACAAGCGAGGTGTCCACGCCATGGGTGGCATGGCTGCTCAGATCCCCATCAAGGATGACAAGGAGGCCAACGACAAGGCCATGGCCGGCGTACGTGCTGACAAGCTGCGCGAGGTTCGCGCCGGTCACGATGGGTAAGTCTGATTGATGTGTTGAGAGGAATGAAGAATGCTGCTTTTGCTAACACTGTTCAATAGCACTTGGGTTGCCCACCCTGCCCTTGCCTCCATTGCCACCGAGGTATTCAACAAGCACATGCCCACGCCCAACCAGCTCTTTGTCCGCCGCGAGGATGTCAGCATTGGCCAGAACGACTTGCTCAACATGAACGTCCCCGGCAAGATCACCGAGGATGGTATCCGCAAGAACCTCAACATCGGTCTGGGCTACATGGAGGCTTGGGTTCGCGGTGTCGGCTGTGTGCCGATCAACTACCTCATGTAAGTGTACTCGCCCCATGCACGTGGTAAAACATCAGAATCTAATCTATCTGAACGATAACAGGGAGGACGCCGCCACTGCCGAAGTTTCTCGCAGTCAGTTGTGGCAATGGACCCGTCATGGTGTGCCCACTGCCGAGGGCAAAAAGGTTGACAAGCAGTATGCTCTCAAGCTGCTCAAGGAGCAGGCGGCCGAGCTCGCCTCAAAGGCCCCACAAGGCAACAAGTTCCAACTCGCTGCGCAGTACTTTGCCGGTCAAGTCACTGGCGAGGACTATGCTGATTTCTTGACGAGCTTGCTGTATAACGAGATCACACAGGTTGGCACTGCCGCGCCGGCGAGCAAACTGTAGTGGGACGTTTGGGCAGATAATATGGAGCGAATTTGAGATTTTGCAGTGTCACCCATTTCGAGAAAGTAGGCGTTATAGTTTTAGGATATACTCAACAGACCAAGATTGATACTCAAAAGAGAGTTTCCCGAACCTCAAGATTATCTTTAACAACAATGCTCTATTATTAGTAGTGGAACACAAGACTAGAGCCTACAAAGGTATATGGGACACGAGACATGTCGGTAGCAGATCCGCACAAGGGTGTCATCATTACCCATTCTTGACTGTTTGTCACCTGGTCAAAAACGGCTATTTGGATTGTCATATTTGTGTCTTGCCTAGGCTATCATGCCGTACTTTGTGTGTACACAAAGTACCGTCTGTCCATGTAGTCCGCTGGCGCATATTCCTTGCTACCCTGTTTTTATCCGCCGGCTTCTGCAGCCCCCAGTAGTAAGGAAGCCCGTTCCAGACCCACAGCAAGTAGCACCTCTCGTTTTTCGACACAACCACCCAAGCGCAAGCCCACACGGCGGGAAAGTATTTTTCAGATCAGGAAGCCCTTCTTTTCTTTTTCTTTAAGGGGGAAAGGGCATGGGAAACCAAGAAACCAGCGTTTAGCTAGCTAGCTAGCGAGGGCTTTTGCCCTGTTCTAGCTGTTCCGCAGCAACTGCCACAGCCCACCGAGCTTGCCGCCCAGGGTGAGGGCGTACCCGAGGCCGACGATGCCGTTTGCAAAAGCCCAGCCCTTTTCCTGGTCGCGCACGGGGTACCGCGCGGGCGGTGGGATGGCGGTCTGGACGCCGAGCCAGCCGAGGCGGTCCTCGCAGACCGACTTGATGTTGCAGACGCCCCGGAGCCCTTCCTCGCCGGCGAAGCGGCCGTAGCCGGAGCCGCCGACGCCGCCAAAGGGCAGCTGGACCGCGTAGAAGACGGCAAAGTCGTTGACCGCGACGCCTCCCGCGCGGATGCCGCGGACCAGCTTCGGGATCAGGGGGTCCGAGGGGGACGCGTAGATGCTGGAGCCCAGGCCGAAGTTGGGCGCGTTGACGAGCGCGAGGATCTCGTCGGCGTCGGCGCCCGTCGGGCAGGGCATGATAGTCATGATGGGGCCGAAGCACTCCTCGTTCGCGACCGCCATGTCGGGCGTCACGTCGGCCAGGAGCGTCGGGCTGAAGTAGAAGCCGCTCGGGTGGTCCGGGTGCACGTAGCGCCGGCCGCCGGCGAGGAGGCGCGCGCCCTTGGCGACGGCGTCGTCGACCAGCGCCTCGAGGCGGGAGAAGGAGGCGTCCGAGACCATGGCGCCCATGTCCTTGTCCAGGCCCAGGCGCATCGCGCGCACGCGCGGCTCCAGCATCTCGACGAGCTTCGGGTAGACCTTGGGGGTGGCGATGATGCGCTCGATGCCGATGCAGTTCTGCCCGGCGGCTTGGAAGGATCCGCGGAGCAGGATCTCGGCTATGCGCTTCAGGTCGCCCTTTGCCGAGTCGAGAACCACGGCGGCGTCTTTGCCGCCGAGCTCCGCGACGACCGGAGTCAGAGTCTTGGCGGCGCTCGCGGCCACGTGGTGACACACGGGCCGGCTGCCGATAAAGGTGACATGGCTGATCTGCGGGTGGCTGGTCAGGTGCCCGGCTGTCTGAGGCCAGCACACTGCGCTCTGCACGAGCTGCGGGTCGTGGCCGTGGGCGACAAGGGCGCCGCGGACAATGCTCGTGTAGTAGGCTGCAGACCAGCACGTCTGCTCGCTGACCTTGACGATGATGCCGTTGCCGGCGAAGATGCTGCTGATGATGGGCCCGACGAGGTTGTGAAACGGGTAGTTCCAGCTGACGAGGGCGGCGACGACACCCAGGGGTTCGTAGTAGACCGTGTTCTTCTTGTAGCTCATGAGCAGGTTGGTCGGGCGGCGGCTGGGGCGGAGGGCCTTTTCGCCATGCTTGAGCGTCCACTGCAGCTTCTCGACGGTGACGAGGATCTCCCCCAGCTGCGCGTCGAGCATGGTCTTGCCTGAGTCGAGCGATGACACCCGGCAGATCTGCTCTGCGTTGTCCAGGACATACTGCAGCATGGTCCGCAGCACGCGCCTGCGCTCAGCAAAGGTCGTCTTGGCCCATGTCTTCTGCGCCTCGCTAGCCTGGGCTATGGCTCGGTCGAGCCCGGCCGGGGTCGAAGGGTTGACGTAGCCGAGGAATTGGCCGGTCGCCGGGGCGTAGCACTGTATCGCCGTGGACCCGGGGCTCTTGATGCTGGGCTTGTCGAGGATCACGGTCTCGTCTGGCAGCTTCGGGGCGGGGACTGTGTATCGCTTGGGCTTGTCGAAGTGGTCGTCCTGAGTAGCGTAGAGCAGGGCGGCGGCAAGGACGATTGCGAGCACAGGGACAGCGATCGAGGCCACGGGCGCAATGCTGAGTCTCGGGGGGCAGAGTCAGTGACGGGCAGCCAGGCTGGGGGCACACAGGAACAAGAGACGTACGGAAACTTGGACAGCAGGATCGAGAACTGCGTGAACCAGCTGTGGAGATCGGTGACCGCCTCGACGTCTGGCGGCGACCACAGGCGGTGGATGAAGTCGGCTGGTGACATGGTTGATGCCAATGTTACGCCACAAAGGGACACAACCGGTCTGGCGTGAGGGGATTGGCAAGGACGGGCGGTCGCCATTCCCGTGGTCCCTTTTTCGAGGTGCAGGCGGGCGGAATCGAGTTGGCGTGGTGTTGTCTGCCGATCATGGAGCCACCCCCCAACACGGTCCTCGGCCAGGGGTCCTGCACGCCACAATTCCGTACCTGCAGCGCACTGGGGGTTTTGAGGACCCCTGCAAAGGAAGACGTTGTTCACATCAAAACTTACACAGTCACGTTAAAGCATGGTACCGAAGTTTGAGAGCTCATCGACTTCCTGCATGATGCGGATATACTTCAATATTACAGACCTTGCTTTCTACTGCACAGCACATCTGCGCATTTTCGTTGCGATGAGACTCAAGGAAAAGTGTCTTCAACGTTGCTAGGATGGCAATTTCCCAGCATACTCCCCTTCTTCATCCGGGTAGTGTCGCCGCACCTCCAATGCAGCGTGCGTGTATGCATAGACATTCACCGGGCTGTACTTCTTCGAGTCCTCCAGCCTCTGCAACAGCTTGTCAAGCTCGTCCCTAACTACGTGAGGCGGCCACTGGCGAAATGCATCAAGAGCCACGAGCAGGCGAACCACTGTGAGATCGACCTTATGCTCGGGTGGCGCCTCTTGCCCTGAAGATGGCTTCTTCCACCCTGGTTCGTACTTTGCCGAACCCCAGACAGCATTCTGGAAGCCCTCCAGCGTGACTTCCCAGGTCTGGTCCTCTGTTAACCGACACCCAGCACGTACAAGCCAGAAGAGCTTCTGTATCGACTTGGCGTCCGCCCAAGGTCCTGTAATGAGTTCTTCTGGAATCTGCGTGTCTTGGTGAGCTCGGATATAGGTCTTGGAGGTGTTGACCAGCGAGCCGTCGAGTGGCAGCGCTAGCTTTTCAGTCTGACGAAAGGCTGCGTAGTCGTTGAGAAACTCGTCGCGGACAAGGCTGCTGACCTGCGGGTCGTCCTCTTCCAGTGTCTGAGACTGGACATCTCCCCAGAGCTTGGCGGGCTCGTAGACACGATCTCGGGCAGATCTATTGCACCAAAACTGTTCGCTCTCAAGGATCATGTCGATGTCTGACCAAGGCTGTCTCAGAAGTGCAGACTGTGCCCATTGTCAGCCTTTGCGAACTGGTGAAAGTCGTCATGAGACAGACTTACTTGGAAATCTGGATTGCCACCCCATTGCTCGGGAACTTCCTCCTGCCCCGCAGAGCTGAAGATACGGCGCCCTTCAGCGCTGATCTGCTGCACGCAGCCGTGCCAAATGTCCCACGTCGGCGCAAATGCGTTGATGAAGGTCTGGCGCAACGTGGGCCGGCCTGAGAGTAGCCAACCAAAGCGAAGAGAAGACAGCGGCAGGTTGACGTTTTCGCTTTGCCAAAATATGCTCTCGAGGACCTCGAGTGGTACCTCTCTCTCGAAGTAGGAGGCCCGCACAGCCGCGTGGGACTCGCCTGTCTTGTGCTTTCTCCTTCGCTTTTTCCTGTGCCGTTCCCGGTCGAGAGCCTTTTGTGTTTGATGCGATCCTGAGGGTTGGTGTGAACCTTTGTCGCCTGCCCGACGCTTTTTCAGCCGGATTTTGATTGGGGTCAGCTCCATGTTGGTAATCTGAGGGACTGGATCCTCCAGAAAGAGTGCCTATGCACGCTGCTGGTCAGGCTGATCAAATCGAGTCTCGCTGTTGCCTTCCAGCCTGTCCATCAACTCCCATCCTAGGCTTTGACGGTGGCTTGCCGGACATGTCGAGTGGCACTAGCCAGCACCAGACGGTCGCATGAGGGATGACATCGTGGCTGTCTGTGTGCAGGAACTCAGAAGTCTCCAGGCCTCGATGAGTGAGCCCACCGAGATGTCGAAAAGTTGTAAGTGCCCACTTGCACGGGTGGATCCCGTTGACGTTGCGTTGCGGGCGGCGGCGGCGGCGGCAGCGGTCCAAATTTTTGGAACCAGGGTCCGCGCCTACCGCATCGGCAACTGCCCCATCACACAATAGCCCTGGCCAGCGACATCACCACTCTTGCCTTCCTCCCGCAGCAGCACCACAAGACACCACCAGCGCAGCCGACGAACAATGGCCCTTTTGCAGCCCAACAACACCTCATCCTAGCACCACCGCCTTGACTCGTGGTATCAGAGCCAGAAGCATGGCGTCCTTGCGCATGAGGGCTCCATCGCCGGGCTTGTTGCGCTATCTTCGATCACAATCCGATCAGCTGAGCCTCTGGCTTGAGCCTCCCTCGGCCTCCTCCTCGGTCGCTCGCATAGCATGCGCGGCGTCGCGCGCCCGACGCAATGCCCAGAAGTGCCCGAGGGCCGTCGATACCGACCCGTCGGCTACACCAACCGCGAATACGAATCTTAATACGAATCTTCAAGCCGGCTTGCTAAACTTCGATGGCATCCTGCGCACTCGCACCGCCCGTCAAGTCAAGGCTACTCGCCACGCAAAGTCGCCAGACTTCTTCACAGCCTTGGGCGGTACCCGCTGGAGTTCGACCGACAGCCGCGACGACTCGTGCGCTCCATCCTGGCGTGAGAGGCTGTTCGGCCAGCCGCCCCGACGAGCTTTACAGCCGCTGGAACCCGACGACTTGCCCGGCGGATCAAATGACGGAGACCACCACTCCATGTTCAACAGCCGTAGGCAGCTGAGGCAAAAAGCCGCGCTGGAGCCCAGGCTGCGCTGCACCGAGGTCGACGAGCACGGCAATGCAGTCCTGGTCGATGGAGAGTTCAAGAAGAGCGAGTTGATAGCCCGAGTAAGACGAAACCCCCTCCGCTGCAAAGAAACGAAACTACATGACGGATCATATGCTGACTTGATTTGTAGTTTGGACTCTTGCCGCGTGACTTGCGCAAGATCGACTCCTCAAATCTGCCCCATATCCTCGTTCGCCCCTCTGCAATTCTCCTCAACTTACTCCACCTCAAAGTCCTCATCAAGTACAACACGGTCCTTCTCTTCGATGTGTACGGATCCAAAGCTTCATACCCGCAGTCTGCATTCATGTATGACTTGCAGGGAAAGCTCCAGCAGAAGTCACAAGGCAGCAGCGGAGGGCTACCTTACGAATTCCGCGCCCTCGAGGCTGTGCTCCAGTCAGTCACTCAGGAGCTCGAGAACGACTTTGAGGCTGTGCGTGAGCCGGTCTTGCGGATCTTGAGCGAGCTCGAGGAGGACATTGACCGACACAAGCTCCGTATCCTCCTCATTCTCTCCAAGCGCGTGAGCACCTTTGAGCAGAAAGCCAAGCTCGTCCGAGATGCGATCGACGAGCTGCTCGAGGCCGATGACGACTTGGCCTCCATGTATCTGACTGAAAAGACGCACGATCTATACCGTGGGCTGGACGATCATACGGAGGTGGAAATGCTTCTCGAATCTTACCACAAGCTCTGTGATGAGGTCGTCCAGGAGGCGCAGAATCTGGTGTCTGGAATCAGAAACACCGAAGAGATGTAAGTCACTGATTTGTGTTTTTCATATCAGGTCAGCAGTATGAAAGATTAGAGCTGACTTGTATGATTCTCGCAGCATCCGCGCAATCCTTGATGCCAATCGTAACGCGCTCATGTTGCTTGAGCTCAAATACAGCGTCGGCACTCTTGGTCTCGCCATGGGCACGTTCATCGCAGGTCTGTACGGCATGAACCTGGAGAACTTCATCGAAGAGACCAACTGGGGCTTTGGCGCCGTGACTGTGGTCTCCACGCTCATGTCCTTGTGGGTTTGCCGGTATGGACTGGGAAAGCTCCGTGTGCTCCAGCGCGTCAAGATGTCTGGTGACTCGACCAGCCGGGTCACCAACTCGCACAACAGCCACTGGTTCCATGACGAGGCCCACGCAGGGCTGCTCGACCCCCGGAACCGCGAGAAGCTACGCCGCTTGAACCAGCAGAAAGCTCTGCCAAGAACGCAACCAAAGAAGAAGTGGTGGGGCATGTAGGCGTCGCTGCTGGGTGTAATTGCAAACGCGAGGTCAACCACTGTACTTTAATCTCTCCTCTGCACCTTCGCGCAGGTCTTCATTTAGGGACGATCTTTCTACCAGCAGCTGTTTCAGGCAATTCAGCTCTTTGTACAATAAGCTTCATGTGTATGATCTCATGATTGTTTTAGATTAGAGGGGGAACAAGGACCCGAGAAACGGATTGCTTCTTCAAACTTGTATATATATATATATATATATATAAAGCCGCCGCTCACGCACTTGTACATATCCGAGCGTACAAATCTCAATGACTGCTCAAAAACCGAGTAATTTGTATCTGTTGCAGCCCTGTCCGCCCCACATTTTTTAACGCGACAGGAACCGGGTTCCGGGTTCATTCTCACAATTAAGATTGTACCCCAGCCGGAGACACATTCGATTCGTTCGTCAACGAATGGCCTGCTTCATCGCTTGTTGCTTGTTCTACAGGGCACGTCGGTCAATCACACACGCGCGGACACTCAAGTGAGCTCCCAGCCCTCTTCCTCTCAAGGAACGAGCCCTGCTCCAACGTCTTCTATTCCCCCAAGTTACGTACTTATATAGGCCAACAGCCCTGCGCCGGAAAAAAAAAAAGAACCTTCACATCACCCCGGGCGACCCGTCTCGTACAATGATGGTTTCCCGCAGAAAAAGAAACCCCGTGTATTTCGCTATATATGGATATTTCAACTGTGCAAGGTATGAATAAGACAACAAGGGGACTGGTTCCGGCACAGTCGGGGCGTTCTATTGCGTTTCTGGCGCTGGTTTATTCGACATGTCCTCCCTCGGACGACAAATGACGAGTCCTTTCCCCGTCAGATCACATGAAACGTGGGGGGCGTTGAGAAAAAGAAAACGAGAAGGAACGCTGCTCTGGAGACAGTGGATAATCTCAAAATCATACAAGGTCGTCATTGCCCCTTTGTTGTTGCTGCTGCTGCTTCCCTCTCCTACTACCAGCTGCGCCTCCGTCGTCACGAGTGTCGGTGGCATCGTCGCCATGCTCCCACCCGTGCTCGCCAGGGGGCGGAGGCTGATGAACCAGGGGTCGCGCAGCAGATGATCCTGGGCTCTCAGGAGCCCACGGCACACGCGCGGCTGTATCGCTCGCTGTCGACTCCACGCGCGGTCTCGTGCTGTTGTTGCCACCGCGCCACCACTTCATCTTCCAGATTCCACCCAGCGCATCCTGGACGCTCGTCGTGCTAGTCCGGCGTATGGATCGCCGCGCATGGAATCCTGGAAAACCTGTCGATTTCCGCCGCTTTCTGAACATCCTGCGGGGGACGTCTGTTGTTGACGCTGTAGACTCGCCCGACACCAGCCGTCGTGGTAATAGTGATGTGCTCTCATTCGCGGGGCCACTTGGTAATGTGTTGGACCGACGCCTAGTCAGTGGCGGACTGGCAGTCTCCTGATCCTCCAACTCGCCCCAGATCTCGGACCGCTCGAGCCATGAGTTCGTCGGCTTCCGGCTGGGTGTAAGCGGCGTATTGTCGCTATGCGGGCCGAATGTGTTGTATGTTGACGGCACCGCATTGCCATCGTCACTCATCGTGTCCGAATCAATGAGGGAGTCCGTCTCCTCCCCGTCAGTATCCTCCACGAGGCCCAGACCTGGCGTCAAAGTCGATTGGCCAACCGCAGGCTGGTGCTGTTCGTCGTTGAGACGCCACGAGAGAGCCAGGACGCCGGCAAGGAGAATGACGGTGCCGAGAGCGATCAAGCCCCCGTGGAGAGGCGTGATGAGGTCGGTCTGCTTGAAGTAGATCAAGCCATCCAGAATAGCAATGATGTTGTATATGCAAAAAACGAGGGGGTATAGTACCGAGGTCGAAACAAGCTTGAGGCCCCTGTGGAGATAGTAAAGCTGGCTCAGTGCCAGAGTTACCAGCGTCAGGACGAGCATCCAAGACTGCCAGTGGACAAACTGGTTATCTCCGTCTGCAATGGTCCTCAGGATGAGCTCGACTGCGGACTTGGCGAACAACAAGGAGTGCGCCGACAGGGTGCCGCTGATGAATCCATACGCGAGACCTCGCGCCAGGCGAAAGTTGGGGCTCTGTGAGAGCGTGCTGAAATGGCTGAGCAATTCGATCGTGACGGCGACAGAAATGGCGAGCACAGCTTGGAGCGACATCCACACAATGAACTGCCATCGTCCGAGCAGGGCGATGAGCTCGCGGAGGCTGTGCGCTGGCGATGGCGTGGCGCCAAAGATGGCGATCAAGGCAGCGCCCGATGTGACGAGCGCGGTGCCCCAGAAGGACCATTTCGTAAAGGGTTCTCCGAGAATAAGACTGGCGCATATCGAGTTGAAGACAAGGCCGGCAGCCTGCAGGGTCGAGAGGACTGGGAGAGGGAGTGTCGAGATCTGGATCGAGCTGCCGACGACATTCGATATGATGAACATGCCCATGCCGAGCTGCCACCTCCGCCTCCGGTACGGCGGCCGTTTGACATCATGGGGGCTCTTTTCGTCTTCGAGGAGATGCGACTTGCGCTGGAGGGTCAGGCCGAGGGATTGGACGCTTGTGGATATCAGGCCAACTATGATTCCGATCTGGTGCACAAGATAGCAGAAGTCAGTCAAGAGCTGTTTCGCCCACCCAGCAACCGGGGCGACGAGCATAGAGGGCTTACGGCAAGGCTCCCAGCCGGGGAGAGGTCGCCGAGGGTGCCCATGATGACGGGTCAGAGTATGTGTTCATCTGCGACGGGTCGCAGGCGTATGAATACGTCAACTATGCATGGATTCGAGAATGAACGATGTGCGTGTTTCTGGCGGCAACGAGGCAGTCGCAGGGTATTGATGATGGCCCACGCGCGGTTCAAGATGAGCGGCCGTAGCTGAGGCTGAGGCGTAGGCACGGGTGTCGGATGATGGCTCGCGACTGGGGACAAGGCAGCGACGGAGAACACCCTTGGGGATGTCTTCCGGGATGGCGTGCTGTCTGCGCCAGAGTCGGTGTTGGCGGGAGGGCAAGGAGGACAAGACGTGGGTGTTCGAGTGAGTTGGGAAGATTGGCGGCAGGCTTGAGTTGATTGAGGTTCGACGGGCGGCAGGAATGATGAGGTGGAACGGACAGACGCGGGCAGCGGGACGGGCCTGGCGCAGTCGGCGACGGTGACAAGCCAAAGTCGCTGGCCGGACGCGGCGGTCTGGGCAGGCTTGACTTGAATTGGAGCTAGTCAGGCGCCCACCCTGAGCGCTCCCACTTCAGCGAGATCCACGCGCCCCAGACGACCTGGGGCACCTGCATGACGCTGCATTGTCGCAAGGGACACGGGCACGGGGTCTCGCCTAGGTAGCTCTAGCGGCCCAGGGCCTGTGATGTGATGGATGTCTCATCACCCATCTCAGGGCCACGGGGATCTGCAGGCAGCGGAGCAACCTCTCCACCAACAAGCAGGCAGGCTACAGACCTGATCACTGGGCCGGGGAAGATGTCGTAGCCGAGGCTGGGCTGGTCTGTTCCCTCTCCCTTGTTCTTCTGTCTTTGCTTCTGGCGTCGACTGTACTCGATGCATGCTCTGAAGGTGTGGCTCACCAACTCGTGCACTGACTCATGGATCTCGTCAGTGCCCTTCCCCAGAGAGGGCGGGTCACTACTGAGGAAGAACACGATTCTCAACGACTTGTCATCGCTCGGGGCCTCGGCTCAGCTGGCTGCACGAAGCATGGGCAACAGTCGGGCATCCATGCGTTGTCAGAGGAGCGTGTCTCCAACGTTGGTCTCACGGACAAGGCAACATATTCCATAGTGCACGGCAAGTAAAGCCCACTACATATGCTTTATGGTCGCAAAAAGTCCATCCTTTGCTTCCCCTCCCTCCTGGGCCTAGGCGCCTGGCAACTCTGGGGATGAGAGAGGCTAACCACACGTTTGTCCACTTTAGTTAACCTGATGGCAGATAGAACACAGCAGCTATCATCATGGTGTACCTAATTGCTTCTAACCCAATGGCCCTTAGTGCCTCTGCCGGCAGCAAATGCTATTAGAGACTCACAGATGTCCTTGACACGACGTAATATATAGGTGATCGTATAGCATACGGGAGATTGGACTGCTGGCCTCGCCCAGGTCAAACCACCAATGAAAAGTAGGATTGAAGGTAGCTTTTGGTACAAGGGGTTGCTGGGGGACCTGAAGCAGCCACGGCGTGTTAGCTACCTGCGCTTTATGTCGTCCTCATTACGGTATATGTACTGCCCACGCCCTGGTCAGCTCGACCCCAACAGGCCCATGGAAGCCAACCGACTGGGAACTGCTGACATCGGCGCAGAAACTCCGGCAGACTGGGAGATATCCCCCTCTTGACGTCTCCAGGCTTATAATGATAATGGGCCGACGAGTTTGAGTTTTGCTCCTTCCGAGCTGTTTCACCGCGATACAAAGTCAAAGCTCGTAACAAACGGGGCCTGTCTTCTTTCGTGGACCGAACTGCGAATTCGTCAATGAACATATACTAGACTTCGAAATTGGGCGTAGCATTATCTCCTGTCTCTCACGTCCACTGACGCTTTCGCGAAGCTCCTACTCCTCTATGTTTATGTATGCTATCTCGATCCCTACTACTCTGCGGTTCTCTGTTGCGTCCGCTGGCGCTCTCGTGACCCTACTGGGAAATCTATGTGCCTAGGTGGGAACGTCCTACTTCTAGAAAGCGAATCATTATCGTAGTTTAGGAGCGTAGAGTTTACCCAGACCCATTTTACACGGCTTCCGTGTAAACTTACACCCATTGGGGCTGAATAGAGCGTAGCATTAGTACATATGGAGAGGTACAGCGTAAAGTTACTGTGGCGCAGAATAGATTTGAGTATAGTTGATCACTTGATCGTCCATCCTTGGCGGCCCGGGCCAGACCGGTCCTCCTCGACCGAGTATACTAGGTTGTAAGGCTAAGTGAGGCTGCGTGATCACACTACCCCCAGGCCACCTCCCTGTCCGATCTGGGCGCACGATATGCTTGAGTAGGCGGCCGTCTTTTAACCCTAACGATCCCCGGTGTCCCTCGCTTGCGATGCTACATGCTTCCCTCCATGTTGTTGTGCAGCTCCTTCGTCCTGGAGCATTAGTCGACCTGCGTCGTCCGGGCCGTGCACTTGAGTATCCATCGGCTCTGCAACACGGCAATGCTCTTTCCCTTGCTTGTGCTCGTTTTCAATTTGGGTCCTCGTCTTGTCGACGGTGCCGCCAGAGCCAGCATGGGGCCGAGGGCGAGCACGACTTACGCTGCCCAGAACCTTGTGCGAGTCGATACACCGATGATCACGACGCCGCCGAGCCTTGAAGACCTACAGAAAAGAGATCTTGTGTACCAAGGCAACTTCCTCTACGCTCCAGATCACGTCTGTGGTTATGTGAGCGGCGATCCCTGTAAGAAGAGTCTCTGTATTAGCCCTTTATCGTGTTGATGCCGACAGACCCGTTTGCTTCCCATGCCGCGTATGCATCCTGGATATTTATTGACCACCCTGCTGAATTCTCGTCGTCCATGATAGCCCGACCATGGTCATGCGATGCGTCGGACAAGTGCGTCTTCGCAACCTCCAACGGTGGTTTCGTGGCCTGCTGCAACGGTGCTCTGTGCTCCCTAGGGCAAAAAGGCTGCGTAGACTCTGCTACCTATGCTGCTAGCGGCTGCACCGGGTCCTGTCCACATGATACCCTGATCCGCAAGTGGTAAGTCGAGCTGTGATGGCCATGAGCCACAAGGCATCTTGCCACGGCAGGGGCATTCGAATACACAGGGGCTTGCACTGACACATGCAATCTGCGTCCTGGTTTTAGTACTCTCAGCAGTTTGCCCTACTGTGGAACTCTCTCCTTTTTCAGTGGCATTCTCGACTACCAATGTGTTGCCACGAATTCCTCCACCCTGGCTCCGGCCGAAACCACGTACGCTGGTCAAAGTGATGTGATACCACTGAGCAGTGTCTATATCGGCTTGACCATGATGAATAATGGGCCAAGCACCGGCACAAAGAGCAGCAGTACTAGCAGCACTACCAGCGCCAGCATTCCGCCCACCGTCACCAACCCCGTGCCCAGCCAGGAGCCTACCAGCCAGCCCTCGACTCAGTCAGGCGCCATCATCGGTGGCGCCGTCGGTGGCTCCGCGGCCGTTGTACTTCTCGGGCTATCTGCCTGGCTCTTCTTGCGCCGCCGTGCCAAAAAGAAAGGGGCCGAGCGGGAATCCACCACCCCTGGGGATGAAGCTGAGTACTATCAAGACCAGCACAAGTCTGAGCTTCCCGGATCGCCTTCCGACCAGCCCTCATCACAGATGCCTCAACTTCTCGAGAACACAACCCCAACGGTGTACGACCTGCCTGCCACAACAAAGCCCATGGAGCTGCCTGTCTCCGCGAAGCCCATTGGGCCCGCTGAGCTGCAGTGAGGTATGGGCATCACGAGGCCAACTGTTCTTTTCTAAGTGACTTGATCGTGGGCTAGTCTCGCTCCTGTGGTTTAAGTTCAATGCTGGTGCAGACAGCCAGTTGCGAGGTCGTGGTCCAGCCTGTCATAATATGCCATATCTGATATATACACTGTTCGGAGTTTAGGATCGAAGCACTCAATTGTTGCATGCGGATGCGCTCCTTTTGGGAAACACGTTACGGCGACAGCGACGGACTCAGCCCCAGCGATGCCAGACTCTTGGCGTGCTGGTGGTGCCAGGACCAAAAGCTTATAGTACGTTGAAAGGTTACGTCTGGCTTTTGCAAGCATGCTATGGAAGCAGCTGCAATTGTAACGCTCTTCGGCACTGATACGGGAAGCATAAGTGTGCCGCAATTTACTACTTGGGGGTGCAGGAGTGAAAGCGGCAGCGGCACCTTGGAAATGTCGTCCGAGCAGCATCACTCGGATTGCCTCGCCAACTAGACTCACCTGGTGGTGATATTGTATAATCCCAGCTCAGGTTGGCTTGACGTAGCTTGAGCTTGAGGGGCGTTTTGCTGGCAAACCTCGTAATTCGAGCAACCGCCGTAGAAATTGCTTACTTAGCAATTTAGTTTTTGGCGAAGCAATCCTAATCTCCTACCTCCCAGTCTTGGGGAACGGGAGCAACCCAAACCAAACCAGCCCAGGCTGGTGTGAGCTGGGTGAGTTTTCTTTTTGATTTGCGAAAAATGAGCCCGCCTTGGTAGTGCAAGATTGCTGGCACTGAATCGTCGTACCCCGGCACTTTATAAACAGATTCCTGAAATAACGAGGATATCTATAATTTTCAATGGATTGATGCCTTGTGGCCATCAATAGCCTACGGAAGTACAGTGCTACAAAGTATCATAGAAAAGAGGAGGAAAAAAAAAGAGAAGTCGCAAACCACGCACCCCCCATGGTGTATATCGAGGGAGTTGTTGGATCTGGCGGCAGCTGGATTTCGGAGATGCTGGTCCCACCCAAAGCCGTGCCAGAGTCGGCCAGTCTTTGGCGGATGATGATGTGAGCCAAAGCTGGAAAGACGTTGGCCTCAGTGACTGCCTGCTCCGCTCGCAGGCAGGCAGGCTGCGCTATGATGGCACTGGACCGGCGCCCCACACCTACAACCGCCCACTGTGAGCAGCACGCAGCTGAGCTGCCAGCTTTAATCAGCGCACTCTTCCACATCTTGCTGGCGTTGCACTGCGCCGCGATATCGTGCTTGATGCTCAGCCCCCACCCCTGACTGACCTACGCCATCTCTCTCTCCGACCTGCCGCCCTGCTTGACTGCGCAAGCTCCAGCCGATTTCGAGATAGCTTCCATCTCAATTCAACCTCAACCCATCCTCCGCCTTCGTCATCGCCGGCCCCCGCCCTTTAAGCCTCACCGTCAGCTCCCTGCGCCACGACATCAGCTTCGGCTCCTCTCTTCACCCCCGTCAACGACAGTCCAATCCTTCAATCATGTCGCAAGTCCACGCCTTGTCCGACGACCAAGTAAATAGCTCCCCCAACCAGCTCTCATGCTTCGCAGTCCTGCTTCGGCGCCGCTCGGCAGCGGGACCCGTGCCTTCGACATGCCACGACTGACTAGTGATTTTCCTTTCTCCGCTACATAGGTCGGACAGGAGCTCCGCAAGATGACGGCCTTCATCAAGCAGGAGGCGCACGAGAAGGCGCGCGAGATCGAGGTCAAGGCCAACGAGGAGTTCAGCATCGAAAAGTCCAAGCTCGTCCGCTCCGAGACGGACGCCATCGACGCCACATATGCAAAGAAGTTCAAGCAGGCCACCATGTCGCAGCAGATCACCCGGTCCACCGTCTCCAACAAGACGCGGCTCAAGGTCCTCGGCGCCCGCCAGGAGCTCCTCGACGACATCTTCGAGGCCGCCACCAAGCAGCTCGCCGACGTCACCAAGGACAAGAAGAAGTACCAGGACCTCCTCAAGGGCCTCATCCTCGAGGGTGCCTACGCCATGAACGAGAAGGAGATCTCGCTCCAGGGCCGCAAGGCTGACTACGCCGCCCTCAAGGAGGCCGTCAAGGCCGCCGAGAAGGAGTACAAGGCCGAGTCGGGCAAGGAGACAACCATTTCTATCGACGAGTCCAGCCCTCTACCGGAAGGAAGGTAAGCAAAGTGCTCCCTGTCTCTTTCTCTCTCTCTGTCTCTCTCCCTGTGTGGAGGGAATGCCACGGAGCAGCCGAATCTCTCTTCCTCGACGAGAGTCCTTCCGCCCAAACCCACATTCAAAGTACCGATTCGCTGACCAAAGTCTTTCGCTCCACAGCGCCGGAGGCGTCATCATCGTGAGCGGCTCGGGCAAGATCGACATCAACAACACACTCGAGGAGAGACTGGAGCTGCTCAAGTCATCGGCGCTCCCCGCCGTAAGGGAGACGCTGTTCGGCAAGAACGTCAATCGCAAGTACTACGACTAAGCCAGCCACAGGAAGCCTGTGCTTGGTAGTCCCGCGGTCGTGTGCGTCGTGTGATATATGGACCTCCCTATCATCTATACTGTGTGGGTTGACAAAAGTGGTTGCGTCGGGACTTTGATTGCCGGCAATCGCGAAAAACCAACTCGCGCGTTAGACCAGCATGCATGAAACTCTTCTTGTTTTTTTCCCCCCACCCTCCATGGTTCGCTCCTGTTTTCTAGTTGCAAAGCTGCCGTGCATCTACGAATATAAAGATTTCAACGCAAGTTTATACATTATCCCTGTTTCTGTTCCCACGATTTCGTCAGGGTCGTTGTCTTGGCCCGACACTAATATGTGCTATGCTCATGTCATGTTCTCGTCAGTCATATGCAATCAGCCAAACTTCATATACACGCAGGAATAGATAGAGAGCCCAGGTGCCCGTTCACAGAACGTTGTGGCTCAGCCCCGTCTCCCCATCTACCAGCACTGCGTTCAGCTTGGATTTCTTGTCCACCAACGCCGATGGCGTGGTGGCGGCGACGGCCCAGTTCTTCATGAAATCCCTCTGCTTCGGCAGCTCGGTCTGCTCCTCCTCATCCTGCTTCATCTTGCGCCCCAGCACCGTGTTGCGCAAGAGGTGCACGTCAAAGATGCTCGTCTTGGCCGGCGGGCGCGTGCGCACAGAGTACGCAAGCCTCTTGGCGAGCGCGTCCAGGCTCGTCTTGGCCTCCTTGCGCTCGGGGGAGTTGCTGTCGTGGATCTTATTCTGCAGCACCTCGATGCGCCGCGTCAGGGCATCGACTGCGGCGTCGAAGCGCCGGTTTGCGTCTGCCTTGGACTCTGCCTGTCGGTAATGCGCTGCTGCTGCTGGTTTTGCTGTTGCGGCGGATGCTGGCGACGCCGCGGCTGACACCACGATTGTGTTTGGTGATGTTGCGATGTGCTCCGGTTCCACAGGCAGTGAGCACGAGCGGTCCGCTAAAGGTGACGAGCCTTGAATGCGCAGGAAAGCTGCATTGCCAATCGCGCTGTCCAGGAGTAGTACTAGACTCCTGAACTCTTCAAAGTCCGTGTCCTGGTTGATGGCAAAATCGTGCTGCTTCAGGCGCTCAAGAATCATATCGAGAGTCAGGCCATTCTGGTGGGCTGCAGACCCAAAGAGTATTCCCTGCGCGACACTGCGCCACAAAGATTGTAGTCGCGCAGTCGTCTTTGGGATGCTGTTGACTGCCTGTGCCTTTAAGACCATCTCGCTGATATGTCGGGCGACGTAGTCACATATTTTCTGCGGAAGGTGTCCATGTCAGTATCCCTGGATCTAGTCATGAAGCATACCCAAGCACCCTGGAGCAGACTTACAGCAGCGAGCTGCGGCACTGATGTCTCCGGCAAGCACATGACCAGAGCTTGTAGAGCCACAGCATGCTCATGCCGCACGACAGTACCACAAATCGGATCCAAACTCATACGTAGGAGTAGCAGAATCGCATCGAAAGGTTCGCTCAGAAACGGTGCCAGTCCCACAAGCATGCGCAGAAAAGAGACCAGAGGCCCCCAGTCGCGCTTCGTATATGCCTCCTCCATCTCCATCGTGCTCACAAACTTTCCATCCTCTTCACGACCTCGCGGGCCTCCCAGTCCCTCCAGCAGTGTATACAAATTGTTGGCAGTGACAAGTCGTGCAGCCCTCTCGCCGCAAAGAGTGACAATATCGCAGTAGCGAAGTCGTAACTGCGCGTCCGGCTCGACGCACGCCTCACCAATAAGCCAAAGCAGAAGCGCTTCGGGGATCTGGAAGCCCCGAGCTACCAGCGTCTGCGGGATGTGGTGAATCATTGACTGGTCCCGAGTCGTCGGATCCCTGAGGAATTTCCAGCGCCCGTTCGCCGAGGTGAGCGGAAACGGTGCCCTCTTTCCCCTGATTGCGGAAGGCGAAAGTTTCGGGCTGAAGAAATAGCAGCATCGTCGCGTCGGCTTGGACTTTGTCCGATCGATCGCTCTCACGAGCTTCTCGCCAGTCTCGTCGTCGCCATCGCCCTGCAGTATGGCGCGGGCTTTCTCTTGTAGATTGGTTGTGCCCCTGCCCGCTTTCACGTCGCTATCGCTCCCGCCCTTCCCTCCTTCGTCGTCGTCATCGTCGGGCATATCGATGAGTTCTTGTGCTCGACGGGCGCTCTCTTCCGCCCTCTCATCCTCCCGCGCGTGCTGCAGGAGAGCCTTCATGTCGAATTTGCGCTTCTTCACCGGACGAGACCCAGGCGCGCCAATGCCACTGCCACCACCAGCACCACCGCGCCGAAGTCTTTGCTGTAGTGTCAGAGGCGACTTGTGGCCGTATACTCCCAAAGAGGCTACTCTCTTCGCCTGGGGTGTGGCGGTCTCCTGTGCAGGCCGCTCATACTTTGGACTCGGCTTAGACAGGCCAAAAATGGCGGACAACGACTCGACCGAGCTGTCCGAGACATTCCCGTCACCGTCCGTGTCCTCATCGGATCCCTTGATCTCGTCGTCGCGCTTGAGCGATCCTTTCTTGATTCCCGTGGCATCTGTCCGCCGCGGCGTCTGCGGCGACGAGGGCAGCGATGAGGGATGTAGCCCGGACGGGTGGGTCACTGTCACTGCTGCTGTTGTCGCTGCTGTTGCTGCTGGGACAGGCGACGACGGCAGACTTGGAAAATCTGGCGTTGCTCTTGCAGAAGAAGCAGCATGGTTGCGTGGAGATTGTTGTCGTCGTCGGCGCTGCTCTGGTTCCAATCTCTCACGTGTTGCTGCTTGTGGTGCCGGAGCTTGACTGGATGACGGCTGGAAGAAGCTCCTTATGTCTTTGCCCTTGCGGGACATCTTTGCGTGCAGCTTCTTCTCTTTTCAGAAGAGCATCGCTACTGCCGCCTTTTGTCTTGTCTCATGAGATCATATGCCTCCTGACTGGCATTGCTGAACTGTCGTCGGTGTCCCTGGCGGCCAGGGCTTGGCACCTGTAGGTTGGTATGTTCCCACTTAATGGTGTTACATGGCAGCTGTGGGGTCAAGCGCTTTCGACGCGACGCGTTAAGAGAGCAAGCCTCGTTCAGGCACGGCTTGCAGCACAAAAGGCTCGCAGCGGCTACCCGGGAATTGACTTCCAAGCCGCCCACTGCTGGAACCATCAATGCAAAGGTATCGCAACCTTGCGCGATGCATGAAGAATCCGCCTAATTCTGCGCCGAAAATACGGGCTTCTGATATTTGGCTAACCATGAAATCATACTGCTGACTGGCTCACAACTTTCTGGGAAATCTAGAGGAGACCCCGAATTTCGGAGCCCCTCTCGCGGTGTCAAGGTCCTCACAGACGTGTTCTATTCGATGGTCATGTTAATAATTGCCATAAATCCTGAGACAAAGCCTTCGTCCTGCTCGGCAAGCGCCGTCAGTGGCTCGAGATCTTCGGGCCTTGATTCTGTTGTGCTGCCGAAGAGGTTTGCCCTAAGGATGAAACTTCTTGTCCCGGAGCACGTAGAGATGATCATTTCCGTTCCAAGCACACCGGTGGACCTGGCACTACAAGGGAGTCCGCATTGATGGGGAAGTTGTTTAATCAGTTTATCGTATCCAAGAGGCTGGGAAGCCCACAGGCTGCGTGGCCCTTGACTCTTGAGCAGCAAAAGACCCCTGAAATGCCAGCTGCCTTTGGGCAGATTGCCCACTTGGCGATGCCAGATCAATGCAAGGGGCGGTGGGGAAGCGTCTAGATAATCTCATGGATTCCCACTCCTGAAAATAAACGACGGGTCGGTGCTGTGTTGCGTCGCGGGCGGCTCGCAAGCACGGGCATTCGATATTTAGACAAGACGCAAGCCAAAAACTTGAATGAACAATGGGTGAAACATGTCCTGGCATTTGTATACGTATTCAGCATCGTCAAAGATGCAGACGGGTCCGCCCAAAAAATAGTGTCGGCGGTCCATCAGTGCGAACAAGGGTCGAGCGCCGCTTGCAGGGCGGCGAGGCGCAAATGGCGACGCCTCTTCGCACGCTAGTATTCTTCCGTTGTACCCGCTCGGCATCAGAAGCTGTCAGTTTGTCAGCCTCCCCCGAACTAAGAGAGAAAGCTCTTGCCAGAGAGGAGTACGTGCGAAGTGGGTGGTCCTCTGGGTGGCACAAGCATTCAGATTGAGGTTATGATTGTACCGATCCCAACGTGGCGTCGCTCTGGAACAAAAGCTGAGGGTTTAAGTAGAGTATTGCCCCGCGACGCCCATACGCACTACACTCCAGTGCGCAGCGAATGCAGCTAAATCAACGCGCTGCAGCTTGATCGCCACCAATGTCAAGCTTTGCTATATCCGAAAAACATCGGCCGGCCCTACCATCGGGTTGGCGGGTTTAAGCCGCTGGACTTGACAACAATCCCGACTATCGGCATTCCCACCAACCCCGAGCAGACGAGGTGGATCCGCGCCCGGCTTTGGTCTGAGACTCCTAGTGCATTGTTGGCGCCAACCGACCGAGTCGTCGCTTCAGTTGAAAGGATGCGCAGCTGCGGATCGCTTCGAGGTGAGTCAGGCGACGCATGCTGCCGAGAGGAAATGCAGGCACGATTCTTCAACAATGAAGAATGCACTTTGCGGTGTCTCAAAGCTCCATAAACCGCATCGGGCTTCGAATCGAACAATGTAACCTGGAAGGGTGATGTTCCGTGGGTGCTCCGTGCACAGGTCGAGTCCTCAACACTGTCCTCCACCAGCTAAAGCCGCGTCGTCACTTGCAAACGCCTCAGCGGAAGCGAGTGATCTAAGCCTTATGAGGGTGACGCTACAATGCCCAAGCAACGTCACCAATGTCCATCTTGTGTTTGGCTCTGGCCTAGAAACCGCCTGGTTACGGCCGCCTCCAGAAGAAGCTAGACCCTGCTCTGGTGCTCTCTCTTCCTCGTGGACATGATTGTCAATCCTGGAAAGATGACAGCAGGCACATCACCAGGTGAAACGAGATGACACCCTTGGCAGCACCCGCAACGGCGTGGGCGGTAGACCTGACAAAGCACGAACCTGCTGGAATAGGAAACGCGTGGCCGCAGCCCCTGTTCGAGACTGGAGGACAGTAGCGCGCCGCCCAGAGTCAGGGGTCACCATGGCGGTGGCCTGGCGCAGTGTCAAAGTTGGGTTGGTTGTGCGCTCGGGCCCTGTGCATAAGTCGTCGTATCGGCACCGTCCAAGCCACGAGCGTGCATTGTCAAGTTTCTGGCGTCTCATCCCCGCTCATGGCCTGGCTGGCCATCTAATTACCAGGCGATTGCACTGTTGCTCGTGTGCTGCTTGCAGCAGGGTGCCAGAACAGAACGGCGTCCCTGGCTTGCTGTCAACACGAATATCGGCTCGCTGGATATAAAGCTGCCTTCGTGAATTGAAGGATGTGCGGTCGGCTTCTCGCTATACATGCGCCTTTGGCTTGTGATGGAGGTTCGTTATGCACAATTGAGACGCGAAGGCAAGGCCCGGAAAGCGCACGCGACACGCTCCATAGTCTTGTGTGGAAGCCTTGAGTCTATCAAGGCTGAAAATCAGTTTTTGGTAGTCCGGCCTGCCTACCCTGATAGCTTGAGACACCCATGATGTCTCTCGGCGAATTCTTGATGGCGGCAGTGCGGATCGCGCTGCTCTGTCCAGCAATTCAATATAGAGCACGTAGGAACGGCCAAGCCAAAGCCGACAACGCGAATCCATGTGTTATCGTTGGTGAAGTTGTGTGGCTGATGAATTGCTCAAGGTTATTCTGACAGTAAATGGTCTGATATGCGATACATTTGCAGAGATTCTCAACGAGTCTGGAGGCGAGATTGTTGTCGCTGGTGGGACCTCGAGGCTGGTTGGCCAAACAAAAGCCGAGAATCGAGGCATCATCGTCATACTTGTTGCGTACCTAAGGTAGCTGACCATCTCATCGCTGGGCTGCGCACGAGAGCCTCGCCACGTCGGTTCGTCTCTCCGGGTGATGTAGCTGGGCACAAAAAAAGGCAATGGAGGCAGTCCCCAAGTGCTTTGGCGTCGTTGCGGCACCTGCGTTGCGCGGATCCTGAGTAGCTTACAAATACTATGATGCTGGTGACGAGAAACTAGCGATGGGTCCCGCATTTGTTCATTGATCGCGCAGGCTCATTCAATGCTCACAACTCGGGATCCGAGCAAGTTTGAGCCAATCTCTCTGGGGCACATGCGAGCAATCGGCTTGCCTCCAGAGCACCAGGTCGAAACAAAGCTCATTCACTGTAGCAAATTCTGCTCGGGCCTTTGATGTGCTGGCTTGCTGACCCTCTGGTCGAACATGGAGATAGCGAGTAATCTATTGCGGCCGTGGTTGCACCTGCAGGAGGCACTCGTCAGGTAGCTTGGCGGGAAAGGAAGGCTGGACAGGGACCGTGCCGAGCGAGCAAGCAAGGTGCCTGGGGCTGAACAAGGGGGGGGGTCAACCGCCTCAGGAGCAGGACACAGTGCGCCACAGCGTCGTCATGGTAGGGGTGAGGATTGATACCCAAGCACAGCGCTCGAGCAAGGCGCAAGATCGACTGCTAGGTTCCTCTGTCAATGGTCCCTGGTTCAAATAGGAGAGCAACCCATCGGGACATGGAACAAGAAAGGTCGAGGGACGGGCTCGGACTGTGAGCGGCGGCCGCGCGTAGCGCAGCGGTGGGATGTGGCAGGCGGAGGACGGCGGAGGCGCGAGTCCGTGATGGCTGCAGAAAGACGACGCGAGCGAGGCGGAGGCGGATGCTGGGGGGTGCATTGTGGTGGTGGCCCAGGGTGGAGGACGGCCCTGGTCGTGGATGTCGGCGACCGGGCGCAACGGGCCACGGCAAGAGGAAGGGACGACCCATGACGGGCCACTGCCAGCGCAACGCCAATGAGCAGCGCTCCCGGACGATCCGGCCGGTGTTGGCTGGCTGGCTGAGTGAGAATGAGTGATTGAGTGAGTGACTTTGTCTGGCCAGCGGAGCGAGCGGCCACCTTGCGCATGCGCGCGCCCAGCCTGCTGCCCCTTGCCCTGCCAGCCATGCACTCTCGCCTCCGCCCGCTCTACTCAGCAGCGCCCGCGCTCCCCCTTGAGGCCAGTCCAGGAGTCCTGTCCTGTAGCCTGTGCTTACTCTCGCCGTCACTCCAAATTTCTGGCGGCGCCCCCTTCCCACTGGCTGCGGGCTCCCTTTGCTGCCAATCCTGTGCCCTTGGTTCCCTGGCGCCATCACTGTCCTCCTACACCACCCTCCGCCTCGCCAGTCGTGTCCGCGCATCACCACCACCCTCCTTCCCTCCCTCGGTCCTCACAGCTTGGTCGAGCCAGGTCGTGTCAATCGGCGCCCCGGCCGCCCTGCTCATCCTTCTCGGTCGTGCATCTACCGACACAGTTTCGCCTGCCGGCACCATCGTCCTCGCAATCAACACGACGACCCCAACGCCACACCCGAGTCCCCGTTCGGACCAACATTCCCGGACCCCAAGCGCGCGCCATTCCAGCATCTCTCAGCGTCTGTCGCCTCCAGTAGTCCCATTCAGCGTCAGCACTCGACAGTCTCTTCCGGCATTCATCATCGCGGCTCGCGCTTACCCGCCTTGCATAGCATCGTGATTACCAACACAAGAATCCCAACCAAAGGCGCTGCGCTTTTGTACTTGACCCATTAGATCACCACAGACGTCGACTTGGGCCATTCGAGGCCAGACTGGCGAGCGTCATTGGTTGAACGGGCTCTGCCCGCAACTTTCATGTCAGCATGGCGAAAGGAGAACATCAGCCGGGGTCCAACTCCAAAGACACCGGCCTTGCCAACAGGACAAGATGGGCCACGAGGAAACTCACCATCAAGAGCAGTGGCAACAAGAGGATATCTATTATGGACCGGTTGCACAAGAGGACGGGATCGACAGAGAAGAAGCGCCAGTCGGGTATGAGCCACACAACGCTTGGCGATGGACAAGAGTCGACAGTCCTGGGAGGCAGTCGCGGCGGTGATGCGTCCAGTCAGGCCCCAAACACAGATGAGGGGGAAGAGGACAGCGGGCGAAGAGTCTTCTTCAACTTGCCTCTGCCGGACGACATGAAGGATGAAGAGGGTCACCCGATCACTGTCTACACGAGGAACAAAATCCGCACGGCCAAGTACACACCGCTCTCGTTCATTCCCAAGAACCTGTGGTTTCAATTCCACAACGTGGCCAATATTTTCTTCTTATTCATGGTCATTCTTATCGTGAGTAACTCCTTCTCCCGGCAATTGTTTCCCATGGCAAAGGGCCATTATTTACACATTCACAGATATTTCCGATTTTCGGCGGGACGAATCCCGGGCTGAACGCCGTGCCAATCATTTTCATCATTGTCGTAACTGCCATCAAAGATGCCGTCGAGGACTACCGTCGAACGATCATCGATCAGGAGCTCAACAATGCCCCAGTACATCGTCTCGTTGGCTGGGATAACGTCAATGTTGAAGAGGACAATGTCTCACTATGGAGGAGGATCAAGAAGGCCACCTCGGCCTTCTTTGGCGCCATATGGCGTGCGATTCAGTCCCTTTGGACAAAGAAAGACAGCAGTGTCGGTATGCTCCGGAATTCCTCGGATCCTCGACCCTCTTTAGAGACGATGGCCACCAAGCGACACTCGATGATGTCTCCTCGGACAGACCGCACATCTTTTGTGTCAGCTCGAGAAGAGATCCAAATGACTCCTGTCCCATCTCCGCTACCCCAACAACAACAGCACGCCAACTTGCTCGAAGTGACTGAGACCAAGGATACCCGGCCGTCTTTTGAGGCTGAGGAGCCCGAGACATTAGCACGAATTGATGGTGATCTCATCAACCACAGCATCGAAGCCACCGGCAAGGCCAGATTCCATAAGGATGCATGGAAGAATCTCGTCGTAGGCGACTTCGTTCGTCTCTACAATGATGACGAGGTTCCCGCCGACATTGTCGTTTTAGCCACATCTGATTCAGATGGTGTATGCTATGTCGAGACCAAGAATCTGGATGGTGAGACGAATCTCAAGTATCGGCAGGCTCTCCGCTGCGGCCGAACAATGAAACACGCGCGCGACTGCGAACGGGCTCAATTCGTGGTGGAGAGCGAGTCCCCTCAGCCGAATCTGTACAAGTACAGCGGTGCCATCAAGTGGCAACAGCAGATCCCAGGCAAGAAGGGTCCCAAGTCCATGGAAGAGCCCATCGGCATCGACAACACACTTCTCCGCGGTTGCAACCTCCGCAACACCGACTGGATATTGGGTATCGTCATTTTCACAGGCAACGATACCAAGATCATGATGAATTCTGGCATGACGCCTAGCAAGCGCCCTCGGATCGCCCGCGAACTCAACTTCAACGTCTTTTGCAACTTTGGTATCCTCTTCGTCATGTGCATACTGTGCGCACTCGTCAATGGAGCGGCTTGGGCCAACCCGACGTCGTCTTCGCGCTGGTTCGAATATGGCGCCATCGGTGGTACTCCTGAGATGACGGGCTTCATCACATTTTGGGCTGCTCTGATTGTCTTCCAGAACTTGATCCCCATCTCACTATACATCTCGCTCGAGATTGTGCGAACATTGCAGGCCATCTTCATATATAGCGACGTCGAGATGTACTACGAGCCTATCGACTACCCTTGTGTCCCAAAGTCTTGGAATATCTCGGACGATGTCGGTCAGATCGAGTATATCTTCTCGGACAAGACCGGCACGCTTACGCAGAACGTCATGGAATTCAAAAAGGCCACAATCAACGGACAGCCATATGGTGAGGCGTACACCGAGGCCCAGGCTGGAATGCAACGGCGCTTAGGCATTGATGTCGAGAAAGAGTCTGCCAAGGCCCGCCGGGAGATTGAAGCAGGCAAGGTACATGCTCTTGAAGGCCTACGGCGACTCCACGATAACCCCTATTTGCACGACGAGGACATTACCTTCATTGCGCCGGATTTCGTAGACGACCTGCAGGGCATCTCCGGAGATGAGCAGAAAGAAGCCAACTACCACTTTATGCTCGCCCTCGCTCTTTGTCACACCGTCATCGCTGAGCATGTTTCCGGGGAGAAGCCAAAGGTCGAGTTCAAGGCCCAATCTCCCGACGAAGCAGCACTTGTCGCCACGGCCCGCGATATGGGCTTCGTCGTACTTGGCTCTACTACCGACGGCATACGGGTCAATGTAATGGGCAATGAGGTGTGCTATGAAGTGCTCAACACGATCGAATTCAACTCAACCAGGAAGCGGATGAGTACAATCGTCAAGATGCCTGACGGTCGCATCATACTGTACTGCAAGGGCGCTGACAGTATAATTTACTCTCGTCTCAAGCGCGGCGAGCAGGCCGAGCTGCGAAAGACGACTGCCGAGCACCTGGAGATGTTTGCTAGAGAGGGCCTCCGGACACTCTGCATTGCCGAACGTGTCTTATCGGAGCGCGAGTATCTCGAATGGCGCAAAGAGCACGACAAGGCTGCGACTGCTCTGCACCAGCGTGAGGAGAGACTGGAAGAAGTTGCCGACAAAATCGAGCAGGATTTGACGCTGCTCGGAGGCACTGCTATCGAAGATCGCCTCCAGGATGGTGTCCCAGACACAATCGCTCTACTGGCCGAGGGTGGCATCAAACTCTGGGTCTTGACTGGAGACAAGGTCGAGACCGCCATCAACATCGGGTTTTCCTGCAACCTACTCAACAATGACCTCGAACTCATCCATCCAAAGGTTGCCGAGGACGAGAGTGGCGCGACGCCTGACGAGGAATATCTGGGCGTGCTGGAACAGGAGCTCGACAAGTATCTGCAGCACTTTGGGCTCACTGGCAGTGATGAAGACCTCAAAGCCGCACGAAAGTCTCATGAGCCTCCGGCGGCGACTCATGCTCTGATCATCGATGGTTTCACGCTAAGATGGGTTCTCCACGATGACCTGCGTCAGAAGTTCTTGCTACTCTGCAAGCAATGCAAAGCTGTCCTCTGCTGCCGCGTTAGCCCGGCTCAGAAGGCTGCGGTCGTTGCCATGGTCAAGTCCGGGCTGGACGTCATGACTCTATCGATTGGCGACGGCGCGAATGATGTTGCCATGATCCAGGAAGCCGATGTCGGTGTCGGTATTGCTGGTGTCGAAGGTCGTCAAGCTGTCATGTCTGCTGACTACGCCATTGGCCAATTCCGCTTCCTGCAGCGCTTGGTTCTAGTCCATGGTCGCTGGTCCTACAGGAGAATGGCTGAAGCAACTGCCAGCTTCTTCTACAAGAGTATCATCTGGACGTTCACCATTTTCTGGTTTCAATGCTTCTGCAACTTCGACATCACCTATCTCATGGAGTTCACGTACATTCTCATGTTCAATCTTCTCTTCACTTCTGTCCCGCCCATCCTGCTGGGTGTCCTCGATCAGGATGTGTCCGACAAAGTGTCGCTCAAGGTCCCCCAGTTGTACCGACGAGGTATCGAGCGCCTGGAATGGACACAATCCAAGTTCTGGTAAGCGACGGGCCCTGTCTACTCCAACTCGCATAGCCTCCGTGCTTGTCTCTAACTTTTCACATTTCCCAGGTACTACATGTTGGACGGCTTCTATCAGAGTGTTCTGAACTTCTTTATCCCCTACCTGACCATTACGGGTGGTGCCATTGTCACATCGAACGGTCTTGATGTCACGGACCGCCTCCGCCTTGGCGCTTATGTCGCCCATCCGTCTGTCATCACGATCAATCTCTACATCTTGCTTAACACGTACCGATGGGATTGGCTGCAGGTCTTGGTCGTCGTCCTTAGCGACCTCTTCATATTCTTCTGGACAGGTGTCTACACTTCTTTCACGTACTCTCAGTACTTCTACAAGGCTGCCGCGCAGATCTATGGCGAGCCATCATTCTGGGCTGTGTGCATCATCACCCCAATCGCGTGTGTGGCGCCGAGATATGCCATCAAGGCTTTCCAGAAAGTCTACTGGCCCCTGGACGTTGACATTATCCGGGAGCAGGTGTCAATGGGCATGTTCAAGGATGAAGCGGATAACTCAGTTGATGAGAAGGGTCATAAGACTAGCTCGTCGGATCTGTCCGACTCTGTGAGACGTCGCCACCAACAAATGGCGAGCGTTGACGACGACCTTCGACCGATCTACCCGCCCTCCGTTGTCACCCAGTCCGGAGCCACGCACAACACACGCAGTCAGAACGGCAGCGATGGGACAAACTACACCCGCCACGACCAGTCGCTTGATCTCCCTGTTGAACAGCAGCCTGCGGATCCTGCGGTGCCCAAACCCCCGCGCCATGCCGTCAACCCCTCTGTAGACCGTATCCGGCCATCTTACGACCGCATAAGGGCGTCGATGGACCAGATACGCCCAAGCTTCGAGGCCAGCCACGACTTCACCTCGGCGGCCATGCTCAGCAGATATGAGTCGTCGCACTCGACGGGGCCGCCTCCTCAGGGGATCGTCGGCAAGATCAGGCGCCGGACTCGAGGCAAGTCCTTCAAGTCGCCATTCAACGCGTTCCACCACAAAGACCACGACGCGCCCCATCCTCCGCCCACCCCGAAGCACGATGAGACATAAAGAAAAAAACGTCGTTTTCTGTCTGCGATTCCCTTGTATCACTCACCTTACTGAGTCGTTACCGCGTGGCTTGGTTTTTTTTCCATCATGATATCCCCCACGCCGCCAACGACATGTCGCAGTCTCTGTTCATTTGAGCAGCAAGCGTCCTGATTATTGAGTCGGGCCCTTGGCATGCTGCTCCCACTCATCGGCCTGTATCCGTGCATTTACACATCTACTTTCCCTGGCCTGGGGTCTTTGGTTTTTCGATGTTTTTCCGTTCTTGGCTTTTCTGTCGCGCGTACATAAGGAGGCGTTTGGGCGTATATGAGAACATTGCATTAGATGGAGCAGTTGACTAGGCGCAGCATCAGAACGACGGATGATCAGAAAAGACTCGTTTGAAATAATGCCATCGTCCTCTCGATGCGACTTTGCGTGTTGGGATTGTCCAGGTTTAGTAGCCCCTGCAAAATCCCAATGGCAGGCAACTTGTGACGTACCCTCGATGGAGACCACATATTCCAATTCTCATCCCGTATATACATAGAATACTAGTCTATTGCCATACCAACGCACAGTCCTTTGAAACCAATCTCCCTCCACGTGCTTGTGTGCAATCTTGTATCGGAATGTGACGGTGCAATGCACTCAACCACCTAGTGTTTTCCGCGCGCGAGAGCGGGCCTTTTGGAAGTGCCTCCCACCACGGTGGAAGAGGGGCGATTCATAAAGATGAACCAAAGGTCTCGTCCGCAAAGGAGTATCTAGACGATAGCCATAGGGGCGTGCGGACGCAAGGGCTCATGCGAGCAATACGCACACACCACACATACACATATATATATATACACACACATGCATGTACACACGTGGTCGGTCCTCACATACACTTGATTTTGAGCTATCTATGAAGCAGTCTGATATACCAGGTATCGGCAAAAGACGAGAAGAAGTTCTGTAAGTGTTTTTTTGTTTTTTTGTGTTTTTTTGGTAGAGGCTTGAGAACCGGGCCTGCGCTTTGGCAATGGTTTGGCAGCTATGCGTGGGTACACTTCCGCACCAGCGAGAAGAGGGTGGGTGGTTTAAAATTGGTTGGAGAAAAAGAGAAGGGAGCGAGTGGGTATGAAGTGAAGAAGATGCCCCCATCGTTTGTCGTTGCTCTGTTGTCGTTGGCTTTGGGGGGCAAGCAAAGGAGCTGGAAGACGGAGGAACGATGGGGAGCTGGAAGCCTCTGGGTTTTTTTCTGGGTTATGAAGGGGGGGTGTTTATGTGTTGTGACGTTATGGGGGAACGGAGGGAGGGTGGTTTCCGCATAGGGGAGTTGTGTGTGTGCGTGTGCGTATCTTGTGACGTGGCGACTGGCGAAGCCTCAGCGGCTGAAGGATGTAATTAGTGTGGTGGTGGTTTGGGATGGACTATCTGATCCATTTTCATTTAGTTGTTTGCAATTTTCGGCCTATAGACATGGGGCGACATCTACTTACAGAAGGGAAAAAACAAAACAAAAGGAAAATCTAGCCAGTGGGCCACACGGCTAAGGGAAGGAGCGTGAGTATCCTCTTTGACCAATGACCATTTGTTAGAACACCAGGGTTATGCCTGATCTTGTACTTGAAAAATAAGATCAAGAACTGACCACCGAAAACATGAGCCTTTGGACGCATCTTGCAGGGGGTGCTTTATTTGGTCTCGCCAGACGAGGAACCCCCTCCAGTAGTGCCTTGGGTGGCATCACTGGACGAGGTGGAGGAGCCAGATGTGCCGGATCCGCCGGCGGGCAAGCCCTTGATAATGCCACCCACGGCAACATAGCACGAGTCGTTTTTCTCTGACATATCGTCGTCACCGAGACCGAGGTGATGGAACGCCATGTGTTGCTCTGAGATCGGCGGGGGATTGAGTCGAGGTTGAGCGAGTGAAGATGAGGGGAATGGTGTGTGATGAATGATAGTTGTGGTCTGGTAGTTCGCAAGAGACACACTTGAGCTTGGCGTCGGCAACACTTATACTCGAAAACATGGCTCCGTGTGATGAGATGGGTGACTGAGTAGGCAGTATCGGAAAACCAACCATGGAGCTGTATGGACTGGTCTTGACGGTACTCGTAGGGCTTGCGAGGCAGGGAACCAGCGTCGTTCGTCCATTCCTGAATGACGATTGGCTGAGGCAGTGGTACTCAGCAACAAGGCGGCAGGACACAGGTCAGCGTGGTCCTTAGGGCAGGATGAAGTACCTGCATTGTTTCGGTGGCTCGCCTTTGCTATCATGAAGCTGCGTGCTCGTGGGCTATTTCTTGGGCCAGAGTTGTGATGGCGGGTAACAGCGCTGGACCGCGTGGAGACCTGCGACTTCCTAATCGGGTAATACTCTGTGTTGGGGCGGCGACAGGGGTTCGCAGAGAGCAGAGAGCAGCGAGTAGCGACTTGCGGCCTCTGAGTGGCTGTGGCCGGGTTCGACGCAGGGCGATTACTGCTAAGGGTGCTGGGCGGTGCCGATCACACCAGACGACGGACGGGCACATGGATGCGCCCAACTGTCTGGGTCAGCCTTATTGCCTTGTGGTATTCTAGGATATAGTATGTATGCTGCTGCTGCTGCTGCTGCAATATGCAGACACACACATACACACCGGGCAGGCAGTCAGTCAGTTAGTGATAAAGCTCCCTGCCCAAACTGCACTTCTCGTTTGGTGTGTCCAGCGCCGCCATTGGCCAGTTCGTACACGCCGGGAAGCTTAGCATTGTCCGTCTCGTGATGCCGCAACTCGGGCATCTGCAGGACGGCCCTCAAGTCGACATCTGCAGGGACTCGCCAGCCAGGGTCTCGGAGAAAAACCACGTTCCCAACGTCAATAGTATGATACAGTCGTACGAGCAGATTCAAGGCGGCAGCCACCATCAAAGAGACGCCCGCAACAAAACAAGGTCTATCATCCCTCTGCGGAGACTCTTGCGTGAGCTATCTGGTTACCAAGTCTCGTGACTACACCAAACCATGGACCACATTGCATGTCGAACAGTGCAAGGAAGAGACTCTGACTACAACAGTCATCGCCGAGACAGGCAAACAAAGGTACAGGTGCAGACATTACAGCACGCAGGCCACACGCCGAGCCCTTCTGTCTAGAATCCATTTGCTAGCAGCTGCTTTGGTCGAGGGAACCGGCTGTGGCGCATCCGTGTTGGCTGTCAGCAGTAGTGCCGCCAAGATATTACAATTACGGCAACGAGCAAGACAAGGTGCGCTACTTGGTCAACATGGCAAGCACAGCCCGCTGACAAGAGCAACCACATCAGATCGTAAACAGTACACATGCATCAATCCCTCGAGGTAGTCGGGACCATTCCGTGTATTATGTAGCACTGCCCGGCTCTACACTGGGTTGATTCGTTAGGTAGGACTGCCTGCAGCCCCTCTCACAACGCAACCTCGACTCGACACTCTGGCCGTGGTTATCGATAAGAATTTCCTGCGGCGGGCAGGCTCTCTCCTCCGCCTCTTGAGTCGGGGTCCAGCATCTCGACATCTTCACACCTCGAACCACCAGCGCCGACCTGTGGCAGCCATGACACCACCACTGCGCATCGCCATGCGGCTGGCCACCCCAGCCAGCCCTGCCTTCCTCTGCACCACCACATCCCGCCTCGCAGCGGCAGCCACTGCACGATCAATAACAACCAGGCGGATGCCCACGACGACAACAACAGCGACAACGGCAGCAGCCATCCACACAACGCCCGCCTCGCCCGCTACCGTCTCGCCCATCCACGGTACCGGGCCCCCGCCCGAAGCCCCCAAGCCCGCCGCCGACAGCGCCGAGGCCCGCCTCGAGCGCCGCAAGCAGCAGGCCGCCCTGCTCCAGAGGGCCCAGGACATGCGCGACGCCGCCGCCAGCTCGAACCCGCAGGCCGCCATCTCGCCCCTCAAGACGGCCCGGACAAAGACGACCAACCTCCTCCGCAAGCGCTTCTGGAAGGACGTCCACGTCCGCGAGGTCGACGGCGCCTACGAGGTGCACCTCGACGCCCGCCCCTTGCGCCGGCCCGACAGCAAGGAGGTCGTGCGGCTGCCTCTGAGCAAGCCCCTCCTCGCCACCGCGCTCGCCGTCGAGTGGGACATGCTCGTCTCCGCCCAGCAGGCGACCCGGCAGCACCTGATCCCGCTGACCAGCCTCGTGTGCCGCGCGCTCGACATTGCCGACGATGACAGGAAGACCGGCTCCGGCTCCGGCTCCGGCGCGCCCAGCATCCGCGCGGCAATCGCAAGGACCGTCCTGCGCTACTTTGACACCGACACGCTGCTGTGCTGGGCGCCACCGCCCAAGGCGGACGACACACCCGGCCCGGATGGCCTGAGCCTGCGGGACACGCAGAAGAAGGCCGCCGAGGAGGTCATCGGCTTCCTCAACAGCCGCGTGTGGCCCGGCGTGGAGCTTGAGCCGGTCCTGGACGAGGAGACCATCATGCCGCGCCGGCAGTCGCCCATGACGAGGCAGATTGTCGAGGGGTGGGTCATGGGCCTCAACTCGTGGGAGCTAGCAGGGCTGGAGAGGGGCGTGCTCGCGGGCAAGGGCCTCCTGGGCGCCGCCAGGCTAGTCGCCGAGTGGAGCGACGGCGGCGTCGGTGCTGCTGCTGCAGCTGCAGCTGCCGAAGCGAAGGAGGACGCCTCGAGACCACGATATGGCGTCGAGGAGGCGGTCAGGAATGCCAGCATCGAGGTCCGGTGGCAGACTGGCCGCTGGGGCGAGGTTGAGGACACGCACGATGTGGAGAAGGAGGACCTTGCGAGACAGTTTGGCAGCGTCGTCCTGCTTGTTGGCGGCGCGGGCTCCAAGTGATTCGTCTCGCACTGCTCGGAATGCAAGGACGTTTGAGAAAGGTACCTTTCTGACACACAATGTTCCATGTATAAAGTGTACCATCATATATTCATATAGTGTATCACCAGACGCATATTCCGCATACAGTGTCGACCGATCATGTTGTGTGTGTGTGTGTGTGTGTGTGTGTGTCTTGGTCTCTCTCTCAACAAGCGAAGACAGGGCGGGGCATGCTAACAACCACCTGGACTGTGTTGACCAGAGCAAAAGAACAGTGTTTGAACGAGCCGAAAGTGTTTAACGACCTCCACCACCAGCCATTTCGGCATCACTGAGAATCTGCTCCAGGCTCAGCCACTCATACGGACCCAGCTCGATGCCCATCGCGAGCTCCTTGTCCCCGGGCGTCCGCACGGCCGAGCACGTCATGAAGTCGGGCCCCAGCGAGCGGAGACACACATTGGCGTCCTCGACCTTCTCCCCGGCGAGCAGTATCTCGCAGTCCCGCCGGATCTGCCCCGCGGGCTGTCCCACCTGCGTGGTGCTGCCAGCCGCCGCTCTCTCGGGGGCCCGGAAGTCCTTGAACTCAAGATCGTTGAGCCAGCTCGCGAGCAGGGCGTCGCCGGTCATCTTGACGTAGGCCTCGCGGTAGCACCAGAGGGCGTAGAAGGCGCGGAGCTTGGCGTCGATGGCCCCCGGGGTCATGGCACTGGCATTCGCGCTGGCGCTGGCTCCATAATCATCATCGTCGTCGTCATCATAAGCGGCAGAAGCAAGCAGGAGATTTCCGTGCTTGAGATGCTCGGTCTCGGCCCGGCCAAAGACGTCTGCGTGCATGTCGACGAACTCGGACCACCCCTTTTCGCGGATCATCTTGTGATCGCGGTCCCGGCGCTCGCTGGTGCAGACAATGTCGGTGCCGACGTCGATCTGCGTGTCACCAAAGTCGTCACCCTCACCCTCACCGTTGCCACTGCGAGGGCGGTTTGTCGCGACGATGAGGGACACGAGGCCGGCCTGGTGGCTGACGTTGAAGAAGACTGGCTGCTGCTGCTGCTGCTGCTGCTGTTTTTCTCCGCCCCTGTTGTCGGCCGGGGAGCTCCTGAGGAAGATTGGCTTCCCCCGCTCGTCGCGGCCCAGCTGAGTCTGGGACCACGGGATGCTGCATGTCGTGGCGACGACCCAGTGCTTGAGCAGGTGCGAGACCAGCGCCATCTTGGCGTCGGCGACAAAGTAGAACCTCAACACTTTGGCTCTCTCGTCGCCCGTCAGGAGGTCGAGAGCTCTTGTGGCCTTTTGGGGGGGAAAAGATTGACAAGAGATTGGTCAGTCCTTGCTTTTAGATATGAAGCGGCGGGGGGGAAGGTGTCCAGGAAAGAAAGGACAGCAGAGCCTCAATTCTTACGACATGCTCGAGGTCTTTTGTCTTGGTGGCCTCTGTCCACAGCTCTCGGGTATCGACGAGATACTGGAGTATCTGTATGTTGGATCCGGTCGCCATGATTGCGGGGTTGACTTGTGTGCCTGGGAGCAACTGGCCGCTATAAATCCGTCAATGAGAGACTCTTGAGCTGGTGCTGTGTACCGAAAAGAATTGGTGATGGAACAATGTATTCAGCAGACAGGCAGATGGTGCTTACGCTATCTCGGAATGTCTCAGAACACTCACTCAGTCACTACCCGATCGTCGTGGAGCCTCCTTTACATTATTTGTACGGTTATTGTTCTACTTCAGACCAAGACGCCATAAAAAAAAGGCTTGGGCGTTCCGGGATTTACGTTTCAACTGACTGTTTGGAAACAATCTCCATGAGCTGTTTCCCATACAAAATGGAGGTGGGCAGTTGCCTTCTCTTCAAAAGACATACAGCAAGTCTACGTTACGTTTGTCAGAGGAGCTGGTGGGGCGGGCGGGGCAAGTGCAAGAATGTAAAGACGTTTCCCCGTTTTGATGGTGAGTCCTGTAATACAGACAGTTCAAACAGCAAGAACATCAACAAGCAATAATGAATTCCAACAAGAAGAACAAATACAAGTCAGTCAGTCGACAGAGATTGGAAAGACGAGTGAGTGAGTGAGTGACTGGCAAAAATGGAGGGCAGCGCCACAGAACATATTGATGTGAGCACGCACCAGCAAAAATGCATCAGCCGTGAATCGAACACGGGGCCCATCGATGGCAACGATGGATTTTACCACTAAACCACTGATGCTATGATCAACAGAACCTTTAGAATGCTTTATAAATAGTTCTATGCGGAATGGCTGCAAAGTGACTTGGAATAATTTGACAGACTTGTTGTGTGCATTGCGGTACACCACAACGACATCTATGATATATCCATTATTTAAGCGATCTCTAAAGATGTCACGATTCTACCACTACTAGTTAGTTCTTAGCGGGACTGGCTTAAGTTTCCGTTCTGCTATAATATAGCGTAAGCAATAGCACACTCAAGGTCGAATACGTAGTCTCCGGAGTTTGTCAGTTACGTGTCTCTGAGAAGAGATATTAGTCCTCTATGAGCCTCTCGAACCTCTCTGACCTCTCTGGTCTATTAAGCCTGCTAGTCTCAAGAGATCCCTCAGGCGTCCCAAACCTCTTTGACCTCCCTTCCCTCTTCGTGCGAGGCATGGCCGCCGTGAGATGAACACGCCCGCCTACGCCTTTGCCAACAACGGTCTATCGAAACCAAGGCATGCCGCGGCTTTGCCGAACAGAATGGTCTTGGACGGGGACAGCATCACGCGCATGAAGTGGATCCGTGCAAAGTAATGGTTGGACAGCCACTCGAACAGATGCTCGACGCTCCTGCCCGATGCGTTATGATCGTCAACAAACTGGTCAAAGGAGATGCCCCATTCCGGGTGATATGCCACCATAGTCGGAATGCCAACTGGATGGCTCGGTGCAGTGAGGACGCCCTGTGATGCCTCGGTGATAAGCTGTCGTGCCTCGACGATGTCAGCCGGGGTGACGTCAGGTAGGGTGCCGACGATAGCGGTTGCCTGTTGCCGTGCCGCGACGAGGGCGGTTCCTTAAGGCGCTATAGTAGCTATGATGCTCGTCGTGACCACTACTGTACTGGGCAATGGACTACGGTAGTAATAATGGTAAGAGGGGAGTGTATGGTAATGCTACGTGACGCCTATGATGATGCTAGGAAGTGAGGTGATGATGAAGTAATTTGAGGTGAGATGCGCCGTAGTCACACCGATGTTGGAGATACTTATATTCACTATCGTGCCGTCGACGACGATATGAGATGGCGAAGAGGTGAGCGCGTCGTCGAAGTAGGGGAAAGTGCCTAGCAGCAGGGCGACGTGTCTAGGTGAAGGTATCGTCGGCTAGCGCCAGGAACTATCAGGTAGTAAGAGGGGAGGGACAAGTTGTGTTTGTGGGCGAGTTTCAACGCGACGCTAATTAGTGTCGGCAGTGAGTTACTGTCGGGCTAGCACTCGCCGATGCAGGTCCAAAACATACTATGGGTGATCAGGGGCGACTTCCCGTGATGGTTGTGAGGGTTGCAGCTGGGTCTCTCTCATTCCCATGGAGCCGATGGTGGTGGGAGCCTTCGCCTTTGTAGACCCACTCGGCAACCAGCAGGCAAATGGCTTTGCGTTGTTGACATGCAGCTTTCGTAGATACTGGTCAGAGTGGGTACAGGACCTTTGCCGCCTTCATCTGGCTCATCGTCACAAATATGAAAGTTGCTCGGCGATCAACTGAGCTGAGTCTCGGCGAAATGAACTATGTAGCCCCGTGCGGAAGTTTAGCGCTTTACCTCTAGCCCGAAAACCTGTATCGCTCGCCATAGCCCTCACGCACTGAGCCCAGTAAGCCCCCGGAGAGAAGCACTCTGATTCGATATCTGAGACTTTCTTTTCTTTCTGTCCATTTTACCAAGAACATGCTTTTCTGACAAATTCTGAATTGCGGTTGCTGTAATAGAAAGCTGCCACGTATAAGAGGATTCAGAGCACATGCCGCGGGATCTTGTAGCTTCCCACCCACAGTCATTAAGCGCTTATGCTACCATGGGCGCGCGTAAGTGTAAATAGGCATCTGACTGTATTTCTAGGAATGTGCCTGTCGCCGCTTGAAGTCGGGAAATCGTACATGTACTCTTCCCCTAAACCCCAGTATTTAATGTCCCATCAACTGCTTTTTCGAATACACAGCCCAACTCCCCCATCATCGCCGATGTGGCCCATCCGAGTCTCGTTCTACCGGCGCAGGCTCTATCTCGACCTGATAGCTGTACTCGGCCCGTATGCCCTGCCCACCCCATCCATCTTGTTTCAGCAACTCGCCCTTGTCAGAGGAGGAGTAGTCATCTCCATCCTGCAGCCTCGTCCAGCCGCTCCGGTCGTCGCCACCGTCGCGGTCCCGGCTCTTGACGGCCTGCGTCACGGTCGCCAGGTTGATGCCCTTGTCGGTTGGGTTTCTGAAGCGGCCATGGTGATCTAGAGGGGGGCCAGGCTGCTTGCTGCCAAAAGTGATGAGCCCCAGGTTCCGGTCTTGAATGTTGTTGTTGTTGATGTCCATGTTCTCCGAGGACGCCGCCTGGCCGTACCAGGTGCGCAGGACCAGCCGACGGAGCGAGGGGAACGACGCGGCGACGCAGCCGATGCCAGTTTCCACGAGCGAGCACAGCACGACGACGGCAATGTAGTAGTGCTGGTCCGCCGGGTTGCTGTACCGCTGCACGTAGGGGATCCGGACCACGGTGATGATGGAGGCGCACGACCCGACCGACAGCATGGTGAAGACCTGCAGCTTGGCCTGGAACTGCATCTGGGCCTTCCACAGCACCAGGGCCGGGATGAGGACCAGCGCCGCGTCGGTGATGATGGTGCACACGGTCGAGATGTAGCCCAGCGCCACAAAGATCTCAATGGGCGCGCAGTAGGCGCTGCCCTCAAGCACCAGCTGCGGCCTCCAGAGCGCCTCGATGGGCTGGCACTGCAGCAGGGTGCCGACAAAGGCGGCGACGAACGAGACCATGGTGATGGCCAGCAGGACCCAGACGGTCAGCGCCAGGCTGCGCTTGGAGCCGCCCGTGATGCGCAGCAGCGTCACGCAGATGGACGCCTTGACTAGCGTCATGGGGAAGAAGTAGACGAGCAGCCACGCCGTGTGCATCTTCTTGGACTCCTCAAACTGCCACTGGTTCAAGTCCACGTCCAAGGTGCCAATGCCGATGAGATTCGCCCAGATGCCGACGATGACGCTGCCCATGTAGGTGACATAGCCCGCGACCATCAAGCCGTCGTCCCACCCAAACACCCTATCCACTATCCGCACGTGCGTCCTCGTCGCTGTGAATATCGTGGTCAGCACGGCCATGACGCTGGCCGTGGTGATGACGCCGAGGGGAAGTCCAGTGGGCTGGATGATGCGATTGCCCGGGTCGACGTCCGGATTCCACCCTGCTACCGTCGCCATTTTTCTCTGTTTTTCGATAACGGGTCGTTCAATCAAGTGATGGAATAAGAGAATCAACAGATCATGTTGAACCCCGTCAGAAGGTAGGTGGCAGATACACACATACTGTATTAGTTGCCTTTTCTCCCACCCGTGTCTGGCATCAACGGCGTGCCACGAGCAAAAGGGCAAAAAGGCAACCTCACCGGGCTCCTGAACCAACACCTGCCGCTTATGGTACCCTCATGCTTGCGAGAAATTGTTGGATGCGCGGAACAAGGGCCTGTCTGACATGGTTCTTTCACCCTGCGCGCCGGCAAGCTGCTTCCGAGGAGGGTACCGGGGGCTGACATCCGTGATGTACCTACCTAGTGCATGCATGTGAATACTGTCAGGCACAATTGTTTATGGTTGAAACGGTTACCACGATCGCCTGTCATACAATCTGTCACAACCGAGGATTGATAGTGATCTTAATGCCATCTCAGATCAGATCCTGATGACTTCCATTGTCGACAGAAGATCACGGACGTTACCCCACGGCAGCGCCCGCCGGGAACCTTTCCGGTCTGGGCTGCAGCTCGTGACAGGGAACCCGGCTGGGGGGGATTTTCATCCTGGTCCGGGACCCCTGTGCCTGTCTGTTAATTCTTCATGCTCGCTCGAGAACCCAGGTCTGATTAGGGCGCATCCTTGATTAGCGTTGTGGCTGGCTGTCAAACATACTTCCAAATCTTCTTTTGGCGTAATACTTAAGTGGCTTGTGCGTGCCGAGGTCATGATTACTAATTCTGCAGCTGGATGTACGGAGTAGGTACTCCGTGTTAAGTAGGCAAGCCTCACTCAATAGTCACGCGAACGCCCTTGCTCCCTTCCTTGACAACAGGAATAAACATGTCGTGATCGTACGCCACATCCGCCACCGTAGTCTCGTAAAGCTTCATATACGGCATGACGCGGAGCACGACGGCCGCGAGGGCGAGGTGCAGCTCGCACATGGCCAGATTCTTGCCCAGGCACGCCCGGCTGCCCTTGGAGAAATTGAGCAGGCCCCTCTCCAGCTCGCGGTTCCTCGTCGTCTGGCCGTCGCCGCCCAGGAGCCAGCGCTCGGGGACGAACGAGTGGCTGTCCGGGTAGAGCGCCTCGTCGTGGTGGGCGATGGCCGCGGACATGCCCACGGCGTAGCCGCGCGGGATGGCAATCTCGACGGGCTTCTTGGCCCACTCGCCGCGGTAGACAAGGTCTTCCTGCGTGGCCACCCTGGAGCTCCGGGCCGAGACGCCGTAGGACAGCCGCTGGCCTTCCTGGATGACGGCGCCGAGGTAGGGCAGGGCCTCGAGCGTCGCCCACCGCGGCAGCTTGGTCGGGTCCGGGACGGCGGCCTGGAGCTCCTCGGTCAGCCTCGCCAGGATGGCGGGCTTGTCGAGCAGGTGGAAGGTGATGACGCTCAGCGCCCAGCTGGTCGTCTCGGTCCCGGCGCCGACGATGGCGTTGGCCTCGAACGCCAGCCGGGCCGGCTCCTTCTCGGCCTCGGGCAGCTCCGATTCCAGCAGGGACCCAAAGACCGTGGGCCGGTGGTAGCGGATCCCCGCGTCGAGGTCGGCCTTGGTCTTGTTGACGTGGCCTGGGATCGTGATGCGCATGGCGCGGATCAGCAGGGCCATGTCGGCGGGCAGGTAGTCGACGAACAGGACGGCGCTGTTGGTGAGGGGCAGGAGGAAGGGAAAGAAGCGGAACAGGTTGGTGGGCTTGAGCATGGCGAGGGTGGCGTCGCGGAAGTTGGGCGTCCAGCCCGGCTGGTCGAGCAGGCCGAAGGGCTCGCCGAAGCTGTAGCTCGAGATGGCATCGGTTGTGAACAAGCTGTACGCGGCCGCCACGTCGACGGGTTGCCTGGCCGGCCCTGCCTTTGTCCGCTCGGCGAGCAGCTTGTCGCACAGCTTGTTGGCGAGCGCGTGGACCTCGTTCTCGAGCTGCGAGATCATGGCGACGCTAAAGAACTTTGCAACCGGCACGCGGCGAATGCGGTGGAGGTCGTGGTCGGCCGTGCCAAACGTGTTGCCGTTGCCTCCCGACGAACCGTTGATCAGGTGCATGGGCTTGTCCCGCTTCCGGCCGCCAGAGGCATAGATCTCGTCGGCAAAGTCCATGTCGTTGCAGTGCACCTCGTGAGGGTTCACGCGGACAATGGGGCCGTACGTGCTGTGCATCTTCTGGATGGCGTGCGTGTAGCGGCCTCCGAGGTAGACATCATGGTAGAACTCGGGCAGGTAGGTCGCTGCTGCCAGCATAGGGCCCGGCACATGGTGAAGCGGGTGCAGAGGCGAGATGTTGTAGAGGGCCTTGAGGAGCTGGTAGGCGGGCCATGCTGTCACGACTGTCCAGACGCTCGACCAGAATGTGCCGAAGCCCAGTGGCAGGCCAAACGGGGGAGAGGCCATGGAGACTGCGGAGGATTATTACACGACTGTAGTAATTACGTCTTCAACTGTCTTGTCAAGCGAGATGGAAATGTCACTCTCTGATGGAGGATGGGCAGCGAGGAGCGGCAGAGGGTCGCCCGCCGAACCATGTGGAGTCCCGAGTCTGGACCCTTCGGCCAGGAGTAGGCAGGCACACGCAGGGTATGTACGAGGTGCATACCTATTGAGATAGCGGACACTTCTCCAGCAAGGTCAGGGATCATTCTGACAATCGGTCGAGAAAGTGGACTTCCGATGCCAGTCATCGGGTAATAGCCCCAGACTTCCGCCATCTGCCAAGTCTGCCCCTGGTCCGGGTTCGAGGCACTGGTCCCCGACACAAATGCAACCATCCTTGTGTGGCCCGACTCTCGCCCCGAGGGACACAGCCAACAGAACAGGCGGCGAGCTCGACACCAGTCCAACTCTCGCACTTCTTCTCGCCGTACTAATTAAACCAGATCACAAACCCGGTTCAGGTGGCTCTTCTTCGTCAAGACGATGGGATGTTCTCTGGGTTGTCACCGTTGACAAGGGCATTCTGACCGGCATGTGCATAACACATATCGCGGCCCCTGTACCCATTTGTCCTATCCTAATTACATAAGGTGTGCCGTGATATCCAGCTTGGCCCTTGATAGGGACACTAGCTATTTCGTTCCGTCTACGCCCGGGGGCCGCATGTTGGGTCGTTATATAAGGCCCTAGATAGCAGTCACAAAGGGCGTAACAGGAACACACTACAAGCAAACTTACATCTACTGAATAGCTAACGCAGCGGAATAAAAACGGGAATCTTGCTACAGATGAGGCTATCCTAAGCGTCTTTCATGACCTAAAATTTAGCACGTGAAGTGGAACAAGGGCACAGCGTTGGTCAAGGCGAGGTCAACAGTCGTATGCCAGAAACTCCGATCTCGACTATGATGGCGTTCGGTATGGCACCGGCGAAACCAGGTGCACTTCCCCAAGGTGGCCCCCAGAAACACGTAAGTCTAGTGACGTACGCAGGTACCAATACGTAGCAGTAGCGACGCTAGTTGCTGCAAGGTTTTGGCGAGTCAGGTACGATCGCTCTATGAAGAATACATGTATCCCACATGTGGGTGCCCGTGACAACGCCGGTACTCCCGCGCAGCGAGGAACATGGCAATGGCAGGCATTGGTCAAGTGCTTGCTTCCTCGGACTTGTCTCGTCCAGACTTGTCGCGTCCACTGAGCTTGGCAAGTGCAAATAACGGCTGAGACAGACTGAAAGAGAACCCTTGAAATCATTTTTATGGTACACGAGCCCGGGGCGTCGGAACTCGACCAGTAGCATTCTCTCACGAGAGGCGTCGTTCTGGAACCGACAATAATGGTAGTGAAAGACTGGGTTTACGGATAGACTGGACCCCCAGATCCATACGTTTAGTGCCACCCGGCACTAAAATAGGCTTGCTGCGTCGAGCTGAGGCTTCTGGCACGTAACTCACTACGCCTCAGAGAGCCACCTGACTGCCACAAACTAGTCTGGGCTAGGGCTAGACCAATCCAGCTTGTCGGTTTCTCCTCCTCCTTACTATAACGTTTCAACCGCTAGGGTCCAGCCTTACCGTACCCACTAGCCAGGTTGTATCAAAACGTCCGGTCTGGCTCACGCAACAGTGGTCGCTGCGGCGTTTTGGTTGGTTCTCGGCTGCGTCACCCAGCCAGGAGAAGGGACTTCCTGCCCGCCTGGATCGCCGGAATCGTGTTAGCGTGGCTTGCGGTCCCAGATCGCTGGATACCCCGTGCCTGGACAGCGGTTGAACAACAATCTTGCTTGTCAGCTATCGATGGTCAGTTGAGTTGGTATGGAATCGACACAACAAGCTCGGTTTGTCGGGATTTTTGAACAGCCCTAGTGACAAGCCGATCGCGAAAGGCGAGAAGCCGGCTCCATTGAGATGGCGCCACGGGCCCTTCCAGATTCCGCTCCACGCCCTCGGGAGTACTCAGAAGCAGTCGTCAGCTTCAACTCGCTCGAACAAACCAGCGAAGCTGGTACCGGAGGAGTCTAGAGGGTACTCTGAACGTCTTCTATAAAGGCGAGACACTTTCTCCGCTGGCCGTCATGGTTTTGTTCGAATTCTCTCTCACAACCTTTCTCCTGGCACCATAATCCACGCCGCCTTGATTGGGCTGTTGACGACCAGCTTCGTCTCTTCTGTTTCGGCGGTATGCTATGACCAGGGTGCCCCGGGCCCGGCCGCCCAGTGCAATGTTGGGCCAGACGAGACCGACTACCTGGCGGTCCTGGAGATAGTCGCCCAGGACTCGCGTGGTGAATGTCAAGCCAACGTTGCCCCCTTTGGAGGCCAATACTACGAGCTCGGAACAGTAGTCTTCACTGGCGTCGACAATGTGGTCTCTACCGCGGGCGCGATAAACATCATCTCAGACATCACTCCGTCCATCACCGGAACTTATACATTCTCCTTCCCCGTGCCGCACACGTCCATCTCCGTCGGGTCGCCCGTCGCTGTCTATGTCGGCTACAGCATACCTGGCTACGGAATATTTGCTACGTCCACGTCTTCCTGGACCGAGAACCACCTGCCCACCATTGCACTCACTGCTTCCACCACCACGTCCACCACACCGTCCACGGTGTTTGCCAGTGAGTCCTCGCCCAAATGGGTGCCAGATTCGGATCCTCGGTTCCGCATGATACTGACTGCGAGATTTCAGCATCGACATCTACCTCGACTGTTACTACCACGGCCACCATCACGCCGGCGGCAGTGACTACAACAGTCATCACCGGGACCGTCACGGTCCGGGCGACGACGCCAATAACCACAACCACAGTGACAATAACCCCGAGAGCAAAAGTCGTCTACACGCTCTCACGCAAGACAGTCACCTCGACAGTCACGTGTTTTGCAAACTGGCCTCGGCGCCGTGACCGCCAGGACGACTTGATCGCCCGCGACGCGCCAAACTACCAGTTACCCAACTGCGGCCCGGTGGTGACGGCGACCGTCTACACGGATATCGTCACGCAGTTTGAGCCCTCCATGACCACCGTTACCGAGACGGGCTACGAGACGGCCACGGTCAGCACCACGACGACGCTGGGCACGGTGACCAAGCCTGTCAACGGCGCGGCTGTCACCACCGTCACCCCGCGCGCCGTGACGTGGACCGTCAAGATCAGAGCGGCCCGCCCCACGAGCACACGCACAATAGTGATTGTGGTGACAAAGCTAGTAATTCCTCGCGGCAAGAAGACACCCTTATGCCGCAAGGCCCCGAAGCCGCCAGTCTTGCTGCAAAACGGGCCAGACGGGCAGTGTCCACTTCCCGTGAAGAAGCATTCCTTGTGAAGAGCACATAGTTTTCTTTTAACATGGCGTGGCGATCGTTGGCTCGTTGCAATTTGCTTCGGGCGAAGAGCATGGGGCGAGTTGGTTTAGAGTTGATCACGGCGAGGAGAAAATGTTTTGGAAAAGTTTAGGCTCGTTGCATCAACCGGCTAGCTCCTTAGTAGAGTCTCGCGTTAAACCCGGTGCAAATTCATTCTCTTGAAATTGAGGAACTATCCAGTCTTGGTCCTATTTGTATCATAATGCTCAACATCCCTGTAGACTTGCGGGATTGCGCGGTTGATCTGTCAAAGTGGGTTACACAAGAGATTTGTTTACAACCTGTCGCTACTGAGCAATGGGCAACTTGACCTGGTGTAAATCGGACCGGCATCTACAAAGTCACAAACGACTATCAGGACTAATCGGAATGTGAGGGCCGGGACTGATACCATACATATGAGAGCCTGCCTAGTGCGACCGGCGGTATAACGTGACCATAGTGTGGTCTTCTGTCAGTGTTCAGCCTCGAACGTAAAAGGAAAAGGATCCTGGCGGGTCTGAAGCCAAAAACTGTTGACCGCTATCAAAGGCATCATACTCCAGAACCATGGTTGCCGTCTTGGAGATCCTCAGAGACCAACCAATGAGATCGCTGCAGAACCTGGTTGCATCGTCACCTGATTGGGCTGGCCGTGCAGAGAAACTGCACATGCGTGTAAGATGAGTTGAGCTCTCAAGTCGGAAACTCTAGATCATCATTGGACGGAATTCAGGCCGGCATTTGCCACAGCATGTTGACTGAGTACCCATCAGGGAAAACAATGATTGAAAGCCCGCAACAAGAGTAGATCAGCAGTCTGTCGCCCGATCTGTTAGCCCCTGTTTGCTGATGAGAGGTAGATGTGAAAGATGAGACTCTTTTCGCACATGGTCACATACAAACCACTTCGTGTTAGATAGCAGGCTTGTTAGGACGATGCCGGCTGGTTGTGTAAGTGATCATGATGATCTCGAATCATGTCTATAAGGTGCGCGGCTGCTGCAAGTTGGCCGGCCGAGGCCTGGTCTTCAGTCACAAAACTCAAAAAACCCGAGCTCAATACTACCCGCCTGCGACTGTCAAATTTGACTTTCGCAGATACGCGGCTCATTGGCAATGAAGACTCATCCCGAGCACACGGCCACTGGCCCATGTGTGGAGCATACAGACCACCCCACTGGTACGGCTCTTAAGCACGAGGTGCAAACAGGTTTTATTCTTGCCCAGCCCTTGCGTTATAAGACGCTGGTTCTCGACCTCGGCGACGTCCTGGCATTCTACTCCGGCAAAGGACTCGATCTCCCTATCAGTGCCTCGCTGATCGGAAGAATTCTCAAATCGACAAGTTGGGGTGAGCTCGAGTGTGGTCGAGTTGCAAGAGAGGAATGCTTGGCACGATTGAGCCGCGATTTTGACGTGGAACCTTCGGGAATCGAGGAGACCTTGCGGCTCTTGGCCGGGACTCTCACTTACAACACTGAATTGGTCGAAATGGTCCGCTACTTGAAGAAGGCCTCTGGTGGCGATTTGCGAGTCTACCTAGCCACGAACATCACTGCGCAGGATTATGAGATCCTCAGACCGGCCGTGGAGGCCTGGGAGATCTTTGACGATATATTCCCTTCGTTTCAGCTTGGAGCTCGAAAACCGGATGGCAGCTACTACCGGCACTTGCTGGACCAGGGCAATATCGAGCCCGAAAGCACACTGCTTGTAGACGACAAGCCGGACAACATCGTGGCGGCGCGCGTCTTTGGTATGCACGGCATTCAGTATCTCAACAACGACAAGACCATCGCCAGTGTCAAGAGAGCTTTTGGGGACACAGTCGCCCGTGCAGAAGCTTGGTTGCGGGCTAACGCGAAGACTATGTGGTCTGAAACCAACATCGGCGTAGTTCTCCGCGAAGTCTTTGCCCAGCTCCTGATCTTGGAGAACCTTGGAGAGAGGTCAGTGACGCTTTCCGGAGATTGTATTGCCGTTGACCCAGATACGTTCTCGATGAGCCCTCGAAAGTTCATTTATACTTACAATGGGCAATGAATAGGAGTCTGGTGACCTTGCCAGAAGACACGGACCGAAGATGGAACTTCTTCGACGGGCAGCCGGCCTTGACAACTGCGGTCTACCCAGACGACCTTGACACAAACGCACTAGCGTTTCGGAACGCTGACGGCATCAGCGAAGCCACCAAGAATACAGTGATGGACGAGATGTTGACCTACATGGACGAAGACGGGCTCTTCAACGTAAGCATTGGGCCGCCCCCTCCCTTCTCCTTCTCCCAAAGCCATGACCATTAAGACCCAACCGTTCTTCCCTTATCAAAGACCTATTTCGACCGCAACCGCCCACGCCCCGACATCCACGTGACCGCGAACGTCATGTGGACTTTCTACTCCCACAATCGCGGCCACCAGGTCCAGCGCTCGCTGTCCTACATGTGTGCCGTTGCCCGCACGCGCGCCTACGAGTCGGCCACGCGGTACTATCTCCACCCGGACTGGTTCTTCTACTACCTGTCCGGGCTCTGCGCGCAGCACAGCGACCTCGGCCACCCGGAGCTCGGCGAGCTCAGGGGCCTGTTGGTCGAGCGCCTCGCGGAGCGCTTCGGGTCCGTCGAGTCCAGCGACCCGTGGAGCCTGGCGATGCGTCTTGTCGCGGCGGACAGGCTGGGGTTCGACATGCGCGGGGCCGGCGCGAGGAAGGATCTGGACAGGCTCAGGGCTGCTCAGCAGGCGGATGGGTCGTGGAGCGAGCAGCCGTGGATATACCGGTATGGTTCTGGTGTCTTAATCGGCAGTGTTGGAACCATCACTGCTCTCGCTGTCCGAGCGCTGAAGGCGGCGGAGGGGAACAGGCTGTGATGAAGAGCAGGGAGGTGCTGAGCGCAGACTGTGAAGGCATGAGGAGAAGATGTCACGACGGGGACGGCTGGAGAGGCTCACAACACTTGGTGCAGCAGGTCATCGGTTCACCTGTTCGATACTTTCCTTGCAGGTCTCGTTTTGAAGTTGGATGAATTGCATCGTCGTGAGGTATACATACAATCGAGTTTTCATTGCCTAAGATCATGTCACCACAATTTAAGTCATAAAACACAGACGACAATGCCTCGAAAATGTGAATCGTTACATTAGAGGAAAAAAGACTGGAACTAGGCTTGAAGCTTTTCCCATGATTGTTGTGCATTTCAAACAGGTTTGCCTAAGACGAGATTTAGCACACAGCCCGGTGAATGCCATCAGCCAATCGAGGCCCCGTGTGCTTGGTGCCGTGGTGCGGGTGCTTCTTCCTCTTGTCATGGTCCTTGACCGGGTTTGTCAAGCCCGGCGGTTGTGTGCCCTGCAGGATGTCCAGATCAATGGCGTCGTGCTCCATGAGTGTCTGCGTGACGCTGACAAGGTCGGAGATGAGCCGGTCCAACAGGTCGAAGCTCATGCTCTCACGGACCACAACGCGAAGAATCTCGGTCTTTTCTTCGGTGGGAGGCAGTGCGTAGTTGGGGATGATCCACTGCCGCGCCCGCATGAGCAGCGACACAGGCTCCTGCTTGATATGCGGGTACTCGGCCTTGAACTTGTCGCTGAAGCGGAACGACACGACTGGCAGGCCCGCCACGTAGTCTGCTGATGTCTCGCCCTCTTGCTCGCCAAGAATCTTGTCCTTTGCCTCTTTGAGGACGGACGAGGCGGCGTTGGAGGCGGAGGAATCGGGCTTCGGGGCTGGACGGTGGATGTCCGAAACACAGGTGTACCACCCTGTGGCCTCGAGGCTCTTGGACAGCACGCGGGCGTTCTTGAGGCAGTTCTCCATGACCTCGCGATAACCATTGAAGCCGAGATGGATCAGGTTGTAGTACTGGCCGATGACCTGGGCGCCAGGCCGTGAGAAGTTGAGCGTGAAGGACTCCTCCGTGCCACCGAGGTAGTGAAGCTCGAAGATGAGGTGCTTTGGCAAATAACTCTGGTCTCGCCAAATGATCCAGCCGACACCAGCATAGACCAAACCAAATTTGTGCCCGGAGGTGTTGATAGATTTCACACGAGGGAGCTCAAAATTCCTATAATCAAGGCGTCAGTGTTGTTCGACCCGATAATCACGGCCAAAGCCATGGTACATGGACACTCACCACTTTGGACCTCCGACTTGAGCATAAGTAAAAGGAGCTACAAAGCCGCCCGAGGCGGCATCGACGTGAATCGGAATGTCATGACCAGTCTTCTCCTGGAACTCATCGAGAATCTTCGAGATCTCCTCGACAGGCTCATAGTGACCAGTGTATGTGCTGCCGAGGATAACAAAGACACCAATAGTGTTCTCGTCAATGTTCTGCTTGACGAGCTCCGGATCCAGGCGGTAGTGGCTCTCCTTGGATACGGGCAGGATGCGAGCCTCGACGTCAAAGTAGCGGGCAAACTTCTCCAGCGCGACCTGGGCGTTTGCGCCCATGATGATGTTGGGTTTGAGCGTGTCCTTGCCCGCCGCCTGGCGAGCCTCCTGCCAGCGCCGCTTCATGGCCAGGCCACCGAGGTGGATGGCCTCAGACGAGCCCGTGGTCGCAGATCCTATGGCCTTCTCGCCTTTCTGCACTCCCCACATGTGTGCGATGATGCTGATACATCGCTCGTGGATGGCCATCATTGCTGGGTACTCGTCGTTGTCGGACAGGTTCTTTGCGAGGTTTTCGATGACGAGCTGGCGGGCCTTGTCCTCCATGTAGGTGCCCACGAAACTGGTGCCGTGTCAGCGAAGGCCTACCCGGCCTGCAACAATGAGGTTTTGCTTACCTGGCCAGATTGAGATTGGGCTTGCCGTCGAGATCCAGCTCATCGCGCAGGAGCTCATATACTGCATCTGCGGGAGCACCCTCCTCGGGCAGCTTGTATTTGGGCACGTCGACCCGTGCCGCATACTGGGACGAATAGGGCGTCAAATGGGAGACGGCCATTTGAGAACGGATGCTCTGCCCGCCCTCAGTCAGGTGTGCATCGTGGATCCGTTGGACGAGATCGTCCGGATCAATCTGTCACAGGGGAATTTGTCAATGCTCCACCTCTGGCCTAGTCTCCTGAGGCTGAATGAATACTGTGTTGGCTTACGTGACGAGCAAGAGCCATGGCTGTGCTTTGTTTCGAGAAGCTGCTCTGTTTCGTTCCTAGCTTGGGTTGTTTGGGACAGGTGAGGAAAGAAGTGTACTGGTAAAGAGAACTCTGCTCTGTATATCACTAGCGAGCTGCTTGACCACATAAGCTTCATATAGGACCGCGGGGAGCGGTTCATAGCATCGCATGACGTATGTATTCATCATCAGGCAACGCGGCGGCAGGGGCAATTGAAGCCCGGGATTGGGTAATACAATGACATTCTGCAGCGGTGTGGTCCGCGGAAGTCAAGCAAAGAATTCCTCTAAGCCCAAGGGCAACGCAGCTCGAGAGTTTGCCCTGATATGCTCAGACTCCTACACTAACGACTCGGACGAAGGCTAGGACTACGGCTGTGATCCTTGCCAGGATATCAACGCGCAGCTCACGGGACAATTGAGTCTTCTCCGGAACACACGGGTAGGCGTGGCTGCGGATTTGGGAGGGGGAGCTTGCTTGCGTGACGGCACGGAAGCGCTAGGTGCGGAGCTAAGCGTCCAGAGAGAGGGGCAGCGTGCAGGCGGCATGCAAGGTTTCCCTCGTCAGGTCCGAATCAGTCATTGCTAAATGGCCGTTTCTGATCCGGCATGTGGGAGTGTGATGACGGCGTACGCGCGGTCTCCCGGCCCCTGTGATCTGCGCCTTGGCAGGGCAGGAAAGGCTTGTTTCTCCATCCTTCAGAGTCTCTCAGGTGCAGCAGCATCATCAGGAAGGGTCGGCGGGTAACGGGGCAATACACGACACCAGTACGGGCGACATGGACCCGGCGAGACAGGCCAAAAGACAGGCCGGAAAACAATGACGTAGTGTGGTGAGTGGAGTCAGGATGCGGTGCTGGGAGCGAATCTTGACGGGAGGCTGACCCCACGATATCGGAGCTCAGTGGATTTGGAGAACGCCGTTGCGCAAAGTGGGGTAGCTCCAATCCTAATCGATAAGAATTATCACGATCGACCTGCCTGCCCGGCCTCGCAGGAGCTCGATCGCGACTTCGTCCTCATTGGACAGGATCACCCAACCATCCAAGTTTCCCCCGGTCGCGAAAGGCAAACAGCGCTACTCCACACATATCCAGTCAGCCGACAACGACACGCGACTCGATCCCTTTCAGCTCACGACATAATGGCGACCCATCGCGCCGACGAGCGCAAATTCCTCGATGAGCGCGGCTCCTCGGCCTCGCTGGCGCCCAATGGCCTCAACCCGGCGACGATCATGGAGAAAGCCGTCCGCGAGCGCATCATTGATAGCTACTTCTGGAAGGAGCAGTGCTTCGGTGTCAACGAGGCGGACATTGTCGATCGCGTGCTCGAGCATGTCAACTTCATCGGCGGCACCTACGGATCCTCCCAGAAGCCCACGCCATTCCTGTGCCTGGCCTTCAAGCTGCTACAGCTTGGACCCGGGGATGATATAATCGAGGAGTATCTCCAGTTCGGCGGGGAGAAGTTCAAGTACCTTCGTGCCCTGGCGGCCTTCTACGTGCGGCTCACGAGGAAGGCCGAAGTGGTGTACAAGACGCTCGAGCCGTTCCTCGAGGACAGGCGGAAACTGAGGAGGAAAGGGCGCGCGGGGACATCGCTGACGTATGTCGATCAGTTTGTGGACGACTTGCTGGTGAAGGATCGCGTGTGTGCGACGAGCCTGTGGCAGATGCCGAAGCGTGAAGTCTTGGAGGATCTCGACATCCTCGAACCCAGAGTGAGCCCGCTCGGGGACATTGAGGAACTGCTCGAGGAAATGGATGCGGAGAACGAAAAACAAACCAACGGCAACGACCACGGAAGTGAAGAGGGGGCATACAGTGACAGTGATGATGGACGAAGAGGCAGTCGTAGTCCTCGCAGCAGAAGTCGGTCGTACGACAGCAGGTCTCGGAGTCGATCTCGATCATATTCAGCCTCGGAAGGGTCATACAGGAGAAGCCGCAGCCGCACCCGTTCGCGAAGTGCGGGACCAGAGGATATGGACGTGGACAGGCGGTAGTCCGATATTGCGCCTCCTTCAGCTGGAGGCAGATGAGAAGTATATCATTCATATGAACCACCGGCACGCGGCATGCTCTTGAGTTCATGGATCGGTATGTCTCTCAAGCCCTGCCGGTTTCAGCTGGTCATTATCCCAACTCAATTAGAGTACATAATATTGATCTACACAAATTCAGTAGTCCGAATCTAGTCTAGACGGGCAAGTGTCGGACAGATTGTGGCGTATCCAACAGCCCTAGATGCATCAGCTACGCTAAGATTGTTGCGACCAGGCTCGTATCCATCACGTTGCCTTTCGCAAGGCTGACTCGCTCCACTCATCTTGTATCGACAGCGCGGGAAACCAATTCTGCAACAGACAGGAGGCGGGCATCGTCCCAGTACTGCCCAATGAGTTGCAGGCCGCCAAAATTTGCTTTGGATTCCTCGCCGTCTTGGGCAGGGGAAGCAAGACCCATTGGCACGCTGATGGCTGGCAGTCCAGCGAGACTTGCAGGCACGGTAAAAACATCATTCATGTATGAGTCGAGTGGCGTCTGATGCAAGACTTCCTCCAGGAGGGGTGGAGTCGTTGGTGCAGTCGGGCACAGTAGAAAGTCGACCTGTGTCGGGCCCAGCTTATTCTCCAGCACAACGGACTCGTCCATATCGCTGAGGTCAAAGGGCTGCTCGTCCCTGAGAGGGTTGGAGAGCTTGAAGACTCTGTCGAAATCCCTTCTAACTAGCTGGCGGACCTTCTGGGCTTGGATGAAGTAGTTGTCCACAGCTTCGGAGCTGAGCGAGTATGAACCCAGCAATATTCGTCGCTTGACCTCTTTCCCAAAACCGGACGCTCTCGTCTTTGCATAGAGCACACCGTCTGGCGCGTCCGTGTCGGTGTCGGTGTTCCGTCGGCCGTAACGGATGCCGTCGTACTTTGCCAGGTTCGATGCAGCCTCGGCTGGTGCAATGACATAGTATGCCGATAGCGCCATCCTTGTGGTTGGAAGTGATACTGGAACAACACGGCCACCCATATCTTCCACTATTTGTGCTGCCCGAATCCATCCATCTCTGACGCTTGAATTCAGCTCCTCCACATTATACTCGATCGGGAGACCGAACGTGATGCCTCGTAGAGTAGAGCGAGCTTGGCCATCATAGCCCGTTCTTTGCGCAGTACATCTCTGCCGCACAGAAACCGGTAGACTTGTCGGGTCATTGTGATCGTGCTCAGCGAACAGCTTCGTGCCGATGAGCAAATCTCTGATCTTGGTTACTGTCTTTGCCAGCAAGCCAACAGTGTCGAGCGAGTTGGCATACGGCACAACCCCAAACCGGGACAGCATTCCATAGCTGGGCTTGAATCCGACAGTCCCGGTATACGCTGCTGGCATCCGCACAGAGCCGCCTGTGTCTGTACCCAGGGCGATCTCTGCCTCCCCTTTGCTGACCGAGACAGCACTGCCGCCAGAGCTCCCGCCAGCCGAGAAGTCCTGGAGGGGTTCGGCGTTGCGTACAATGCCTCTCGCGCCGGTTGTGGAGTGTGTGCCCATGCCAAATTCATCCATGCCCGTCTTGCCAACCACGGAGAAGCCACGGCTCCGCAGCTGGGACACTATGGTCGCGTCGAAGGGAATGGCTGTGCCAGCAAGGATGTTGGAGTCGCATGTTGTCAAGCTGCCGAGGGAGGCGATGTTGTCTTTGACTGCGAGTCGAGCTCCCGTGGAGTTGCATCTCATCTGGCTCCATTCGCGGGACAAGCGTGGCGGGGGTCGGGTTGGATTCGTCGCGCAGAACACCCGCAGGGCGCTCTGGGAGCGGAGGCACCTCACATGACCTGGAGTGGTCATGTGGTCTGTCTACCGTGACCGGTCGCGCTCGCGTTTCATGGGAGGCTCGGCAGAAGACTCTCACTCGCGCGCTGTGTGTCCTTGCTGTGAGCACTGCGGTAATGGAGGTGGCAGCTTGCAAAATGCACCAGCCCACCACACCTCGAAAGCTCTGGTGGAGGCGTCATGCCTAACGCCTATCTTGCCGCGCAACCCCTGCCATGCAGGCCAAGCGGAATCGGGGAATCTCCGCAGGGGCCCTCCAGGTACCCGCGATTCCCCCATCACTCTGACGCACTTGCCCCCAAGGTGCCGCATGACCAGCAGCACAGTTGACCAATAGATGCATCGTCGTGATTCACGAAGCTTCCTCCATGGTCGAGAGCTAGCACCTTCACTCCTCACCATCGCAGCATCACCGCCAGTCTGTTCCCATCGCTCAGCTTGGCCCTGTCACTTGCGATTCTACGTCCCAGTGTGTCAAGATGCTGGGCAAAGCTCCGCTGGCTGTTGCCGTCCTGGCATCCGTGACTCGAGCTGCCCAGCCCGAGGCGCCAGCACCCATCGCAGCACCGATGCGTGATCTCGATTGGGGAGAGCTCAACTTCCTGCACACCACTGATACACATGGCTGGCATGGCGGCCATCTCCAAGAGTATGTGAGCCATCATTTGCTGGCTCGATGAGCTGCGGTTGTCATGTCGTGACCTAGCTGACTCCCAGCCACTTGCCTTGAGCAGAAGCCAGTATTCGGCTGATTGGGGCGACTATGTATCCTTTGCAGACCACATGCATCGCATGGCCGACGAGAAAGGCGTCGATCTCCTCCTTGTCGACACAGGCGACCGAGTCGAAGGCAACGGGCTTTATGATGGCTCGGACCCCAAGGGTCAATTCACCTACGACATCATGGGTCAGCAATCTATCGACGCCATATGCACCGGCAACCACGAACTATACCTCGAGGATACCGTCGAGCGCGAGCACGACATCACGGTTCCCATGTTCAAGAAGTCGTATTTGGCTTCAAACCTCGATTACATAGAACCACAGAGTGGCAACAGCATACCGCAAGCCCAGCGGTATCGGACCTTCACCACGAAGAATCGCGGCTACAAGGTAGTTGCGCTCGGGTTCCTGTTCAACTTTGACAGGAATGCCAACAACAGCGTTGTGCAGCCTGTGGAGGAGACCGTCAAGGAAGAGTGGTTCATCAAGGCAATCCAGGAGAAGCCTGATGTGTTCCTCGTCATTGGCCACATCGGGCTGCGAATGAAGGAATTCGAGATTATTTTCGACGCGATCCGAAGCCAGAACTGGGACACTCCGATCGCGATCTTTGGCGGGCATGCCCATGTTCGCGATGCGCGCAAGTTCGACAACAAGGCATATGCTATTGCCAGCGGACGGTATTTCGAGACCATTGGGTGGATGTCAATCGATGGTATCAAGACAGGGACCAGCGATGTTTCTCCACTGAAGGGCAGCCCAGCCTTCAAGCGGCGCTATATCGACAACAACCTCCTGGGCCTGTACCATCACACCGGCCTCAATGAGACGACCTTCCCAACGGACCATGGCCGGAATGTCACAAAGATGATTACCAAGGCACGGAAAGAGCTGAAGTTGGACCACAGGTTTGGCTGTGCGCCTCAAGACTACTGGATGACTCGAGCCGAGTACCCGGGCACCGACAGCGTCTTCACTCTTCTAGAAGAACAGATCCTGCCCGACATTGTCAAGAACAAAGACCGCCCCAAGACGCCCCGTATAGCCATACAAAACACGGGCGCCATACGTTTCGACATCTTCAAAGGACCTTTTACGAAGGATACCACCTACCTCATCTCCCCGTTCACCAGTGGCTTCTCCTATATCCCGGATGTCACCTACACAGTGGCTAAGAGGGCGATCCAGATGCTCAATAGAGGTGGTCCCGCCCTGGCTGCCAGTGATCTGAAGGCTTTGACGATTCCTGAGATGCGTCACCCAAGCCCGTTCCTCTCCTTCAGCGACCGGAGTCTCTCACAAGGGCTCGCATTACAAGGACAGCAAGCCAACACCTTTACAAAGAACTTCCAATTGAGCAAGCCTAACCTGGTCGCCGGTTATACCACCAAAGATGATCTTGGCGATGACGGAGACGATGCTGAACACTCGCCCATCCAATTTTTCCAGGTGCCCAACGTCATCTCTGCCGACATTGAGTTCCCTAAGGATGGGGACCCTGACAAGGTGGATGTTGTGTTCAATGATTATCTGCAGCCGTATATCATCCCGGCCTTGCAGTTTTCTGGAGGGGACTATGACAGCGACAACGTGAAGCGCTATGTCGAGGGGAGTTTCACAGATCTGCTTGCAGCCTGGATTAAGGAGAATTGGACCGGAAAGTGCTAGATTGATCCCGGTACACACTCTTGGGTGTATATATGCGTCTACGTAGTTGCATTTATATTGACTATTGATACATAGACTTGCTTGGCTGTGGCGTGCTGCTGTGACTGTGACAGATGCATGGCCTGGTCCGCCGAACGAGAATTTCGTGACTGTACAACAATTGCCCGGTGCCCCTGATTTATCGCTAAACTCCATAAACGCCAAGAATGATTCGGTTCCGTGTGACCAACGCCGAGACATATACCTCGAAGAGATGACCATGCTTACTACCACGACAGAAATCATTGAAGCTGGTCGAGCAGCTTTCTCCTCCTCCTGTCTACGAGCTCCTGCTGTACCTCGTCTAGAGTCGGCAAGTCCCATGCGTGGCCATCTCCTGTATCTCCAGGCAGAGGCTCCCAGCCCGGCGGAGGGTGTCCCTCTTTGCCTCCTTTGAACTTTTGCAGCAGCATATCCTCGGCTTCGCGTTCTTTCTCTGCCTCGTACTGCAGCAGAGTGCCGGCTTCCTCGTCCGGGGCGTACCCGTAGTAGTTTGCATCGACCGTTTTCCTCAAGTCGTCTCTCGTCTCGAGAGGCTTCTCGTTTGCCGACTGCCGCGCCTTGGCCGCCGCCTCGAACAGCTCCTTCACGCCAGGCAGTTCCTTTGCCCGCCCAAAGTACTTGTACCCTTTCCCGCCGCCCGGGATCTCCCTCCCCGTCTCATCGTACACCTTCCCGCCCTGGCGCATGTAGTTTGGCCCGCCCAGGTTCCGGATCTGCACCTCCCACATGTGCTTCTCGCGCATGAGCTTGTTGATCTCGTCGTTGAGGTCGCGGATCTGGTAGTCGGACAGCGCGGGCTCCTGGATCCGCGAGACCTTGCGGCTGATCTCCTTGAGGGTCTGGCCGCGCCACTTCTCGCACACGGGGATGCTGTCGACCTCGGTGATGACGCGCGGCCGCCGCGCCCGCCCGGCGTCGATGATGCCCAGGTCCGCGGCCTGCGCCTCGCGGAAGCGGAAGAGCATCGACTGCGCTTTCTCCGAATTGCGCGCCTGTTTTTGGAAAGGGAAGATGTTGGGTCAGCGGGTGTGTTCCACAAACGGCCGTGCGGTCGGTGGGAGACGTCCTGGTGCTTACCATTTTAACTTTCTGGGAAGCTCGACGAGCGAGGGGCGAGACAAAGGGTTCTTTTGGATGTAGTGAGTGCGCCCTGCGCCTGTTGTCACTACCGTTGGGTTGGGCTGTCCTGAAGGTGTCTTTGTGGTCTGTTTGGAGAATGGACGTCGAAGCTCCAAGCCAGTCGCAGGGGAGGATTTCGAGGTGGGGCCGCCAGAGATGCAGGTGGTCCGTCCAAGGCCCAACTACTGTACTCCGACGCGCCCATGCATCTTAAGCATGCAGTGCACGCGACCCAGGCACAAACTGCAACTTGCCAACTCCCATTTCCGACCATGAAATACATTGTTTTGCGCGTTCCAGGCACGTGCGGCCAAGACGGGACCGATGGGTTTCTGGGCCAGAGGCCGATTTGCCTGAGCGAACACATTTACGAATCGCAGCCCGCAGCCTGCAGGCAACCTGCCAGGGCCGGACGTCTTGTTCGACTCAAGCATGCCATTCCCAAGGTAAGGAAGCAATGACCATGCCGCAACAAGCTGCAATGTGGCTCGACAACGACTCAAGGTAGGGGACATTGTCCACAGACTGGAGGGCGCCTACTGGGCTGCTCTTGGATTCACAGCAACGCATTTGACAGCTACCTGTGGATATCGTCGCGACTCAGCAATTTTCCCTACAAATGCATGGAAAGTTCCTTTTGCGTCAGCCTAACACAGTCCACGCGATGAAGACAACGTTTCAAGAGCTAAACGGAGCCATTGGTACACACCATGCTTTATGGCGAATGACAGCAAACACAACAAGAACGGAAATCTGAGCGTGGAAGAGACGAGAGATGGTCCCGTCATCCTGGAGCAGCTGGGCTTCCAGGGAGCACCACCCGGTCTGCTCGACGTCCCCGTTCATGGGTGCATCCGGCGAATTCTCGCCAAACCGCGGTAAAGACGACACATTCATCTTTTCCCCGAGAGCATGTCTTCGGACGTCTCGATGCGGGCATTTCATATAGTTTTCAATCGGAACTGTGGCGATGTCCCCACGAACGGGACATATCGTTTGTGCGCGCTGGAGGTACAGGAGCTCTTTGGGTACCCGGTTGCTCTCTCACTCAAGTGGGAGCGGGAGTCCTTCCGGGCAAACCTCTCTCGTTTCTTTCTTTCTAATTTGTCTCGGTTTGTGTTCTGCCCTTGTGGCAGACCAGCCGCTCACGCCCGGTGATGACCAAGTATCCAAAAAGCCAAATTTGCAAGCAGCCTGAACGGTCGAGAGACTCGGGAATGGTTGCTAGTGAGAACCTGAGAGCTAATCTGAGGGCATCGTCTGTACATAAAGTGTAGTGTAGTCCATTCAGGGAAGCAGCGCGCAATAGGAAATATGTCTCTTTGGAAGCACAGAGTCCAAGCAGGACATGCAGTGATGGCCGCGCGCGGCCATGGGGTTGGATCTATTCTTCCTGAACGATACTATTGACCTCGGGCCATTATTGGCTGTTGATTTTTAGATAATTTGCACATGCTCGTCAAGGCTGGGTGAGCCTCGCCTTCAATCCTACCTTCAATCAATCGATGCTCACCATCTATGTCAATGGTTACTCGAGCCGACCACACCATTTGAGCTATTCCTCAGGTAATGACGGCGAACTTGTATCTCAAACGTTACTCTCTAATGTGAGCGGGGAAAATTAAATTTACTCAAGTTAAGTACACGGTCGTCGTGTGAAACTTGGATATCACGAGATGGGTACACGACTGGCAGAGGACGACCTTGAACCTGTCTCTTCGCTCAAATTTCCTCGTAAAATCTGAACTTGCAAAACGTCTGGCAGCAAGCCCTCTGCCAAACTCAGACACCAGACCAAAAGTTCCATAAAAATGAGATCATGACGCAGGAAAATGCAATGCAGGTCGCACAGTATGGAAGCTAATAGGTCGAACCACAAAGCCATAGCAATCGTAAAATGCCTATGCTACCATCACCTCTTTCCCAAGCTAGCTTCACAACGAAAAACATAGCGTCTGTGACGAATAGTGCAAAATAAAAAGAAAGCCATCGCCAACCAGGCGTAGAAAGCCGCAAAAAATCAAGTCGTATGTGGACGCTGTGGGAATTGAACCCACGACCTTTCACAAGCGTATCACGGGCGAACCGCGAATGCGAAGCGAAAATCATACCCCTAGACCAAGCGCCCGGCATGTTGCTTACACAACCTGATGTCATTGCCGAGGCTTAGGAAATGATATATCAGTAACAGATGCTGATCTGGCAATACCCTCCTCTGTTCCTTCCAAGGCTGCTATTCGAGTTGTATTGACAATTGGCCCACGATGGCCGGACAGCCAGCATTGGCACTAGATGATCGCGTGCGAAATAGGTGAGGACAAATGTGAATGCCTTGGTAGGCGAGCAAAGAGTCCGAGGTTGATAAGTCAGACCGTGACTAACTCTTCGCGTTGGAAACATTAGCAAATCCCATTGTTCGCGCAACAGTCAAGGTCTAATAGAGCATCAATAAGTACGCTGCGCTGTGTTTCTAGTTTTTCTACTCCCTGTTTGCTTACAAATTGTGAAGACCGCCAGCATACGTACATAAGTTCACTTGTGTAAAGTACCTCAAGGAACGGAAGCACGTGCGCGTCGCCTGCAATGAACCTGAATCAACTTGGGGTGCTCTTGTTTCAATGTATTTTTGGCTCCCCGCGCCTGCTGGAACTACCTACTTATGGGTACCTATGTCCAGCACCGGCACAGTGGGGAAGGTGGGGACCAGCTGAGCTTGGTGGGGCTGTGCAGCCGCCTGCGTTATCCTGAGAGGCCAAACGGTGCTGTTGCGTTTCAACCCACGAACTAAAGGGTCGAGTCCAGAGCTGACAGCATTCGAGTCGACGCCCGGTTGCGAGTCCGGATCGGTCACTGTCAGCAACCTGGTCTTTACCTGTACAACAGCGCGCTTACTTCGAAAGCGTCAGCGCGGCTCCTCAAGTCGCCCACCTGTCCTGTTGTACGAAATTCTACAAGTGCGCCTCCGCGACCACCTCTTGCTTAAGGGCGATCGCCAAGTTGATACAGCCGCATGCTGTTTTCCTGATCCGACCACTGAGCCCCGACCACTTTCCCAGCGATACGGCTGTCTCCTGTATTGCCGCTTCCAGAAGCTTTGCTCAGCACCGGTCAACATACAAACAACGCCCAATGTGCTTCTGCCGACTAAGCTCGCAAGTCCGCGCCGCGTGAGCCAGCATTCCCGGCGCACGATATCATGCGGGGACTCGATACGCACTTCACTGGACTGCCACTGCAATCCTAGCCACCTGACGACAATGTCGACCCGCCCGAGTAGATATCGCTCGTCGACCTCTGCTTCTACACCATTGTCGATCTCGAAGGCGACTGAAGTCTTCCAGAGGCTCCTCGATGACGTCGCCGCCGCGGCAGTCCCTGGCGAAAATGGCTTCCCAGATACGGCTCGGCTAGCCAAACAGCTTGCCCGCGTACAACTACACCTTGCAGCATTCGACCCGCCGAGCCCTGTGCAGGACGACTTCAGGCACCTGCATGGCTTTCAGCGGCTGTTCGACACGCTGAGAGCGTTCTCTGGCTTCTATAACCCGAGCCTACGCAGCCAGGAAGACAGGGAGGCCTTCTTCACATTTCTTGAGACTACTCTGAGTCTCCTCGCAGCTTCTTTTCGTAACCATCCGGGAAATCGACGGTACTTCCGGACCCGGGTCGAGGGCGGAGGATGGGAGGCTTTGGAGCAGACAATTGCGAGCATTGGCCTTGGCGGAAGCGACTCAGATACCTGGACCGTTAGCCAACTGTTTGGGAAGCTGCTGGCCTTCGCCCTCAACAATTCCGCTGTGGACGAGGTTTGTTGCGAGATCGCCCTCTCTGGCGCGCCACTGCGCCGGGACGCGTCTTTGGCCAGCCAGAATGACCCCGACGACGACGACGACGACGCTAGTGATGATGGTGCCATGCAAGATGAGCAGGTCAAGGCGATCGAAGTCGCCGTTGCCAAAGTGATTGGTCAGAGTGCCACTTTGCAGAACCCTGAGGTCATAACTATGATCATGGACTTTTGGGAGTCCATGCCGCGCGGCTCTAGTGGGCAGGAGAGCATTACTTCGCTCTTTGTCCTCAAATTCATCGCAGCCATCATCGATGTTTCGGAATACAACCTCCATCGCGTGCACGAGGCCGGCGTTCTGTCAAGACTGCTCAAGTTCGCCTTCAGCGACGACACATATTTCACAGCACCTGAAAGCAAGGTCATCCTCGATCTGTGCCGCAGTCTCATGTCTTGTGGCTTCAACAACCTGGCTGATGCACAAAAGCTTATACTCAACTCATCACCGCGCTCATCCGACTTCTGCCTAGAAATGACGGATCGTTACACGGATCCACCTTTCATCCAATTCGACCTGTCTCTCCATGGCCATTCGTCTATAGAGCTTCCGAGCCTGGGACGAACTTTCCCACCTCAGCAGTCCGCTGGGTACACGTTTACAGCATGGTTTCGAGTTGACAAGTTTGATCCAAGCTGCCATACCACGCTGTTTGGCGTGTTCGATTCAACCCAGTCTTGCTTTCTGCTTGCATACCTCGAGAAGGACACGCACAATTTTATTCTACAGACCTCAGTCCGGTCAAGTCGTCCAAGTGTTCGTTTCAAGTCGTTCACGTTCAAGGAGAATAAATGGTATCACGTTGGCATTGTCCACAGGCGGCCGAAAGCCCTTGTCGCGAGCAAGGCTGCCTTATATGTTAACGGCGAGTTTGTGGAACAGCTAAAGGCAGCCTACCCATCTCAACCACCATTGGCCAACAACAGCACGGAAAGTTTCGCCTCCTTCGGGTCGAGTAGCAATAAGACAATGCCCGTCCAAGCTTTTCTAGGAACGCCAAAGGACCTGTCTGCGGTCGTGGGTCCCGGCCTGGTCAAGTCGAAATGGTCGCTCGCAAGCGCCCACGTCTTTGAGGACGTATTGAGTGACGAGTTCCTGTCCGTGCCAAGCCGCCTTGGGCCGGGCTATCAAGGAAACTTTCAGGATTGTCTAGGGGCGTTCCAGACATACAAGGCTTCCGCTGCTCTGGGCCTTCAGAACGAGCTGTTGAGCACGGGTAAAGAAGCGGAATCAGACATCATGCGAGTAATTCGTCAGAAAGCTGCCTACCTCATTCCGGAGCAGCGGATAATGCTGAGCGTCATGCCTTCATCGATATTTCGAGAGACTCGTGGCTTTGGCGACTCGCAGCTTTTCCGAGCTCTGTCACGGGGACCTGCGCACACTCTGACGCAGATGGTACTCAAGGCTGGTACTGGAGTTGCCATCAACGCTGCACTGCCCTCCATCAATGACGCTCTTGTCCGGTCGGCTGGTGTCGCCATCCTAGCGGGAAATCCCATTGTTGTCACGCCACATTTGTTTGATGATGCACTGTGGCGACTGGCTGGTTTCACCCCGTTGGCGCTGAAGCTCATAGACAGAGCTGACACGGTTGACGCACTGCTTCAAGCCGTGGAGATGGTCTTCAAATGTATCAACTCCAGCTGGAGGAATAGCGAGGCGATGGAAAGCGCTGGCGGCTATCAAATCTTGGCCCTTCTGCTGCGGACCAAACTCGGGTTTACAACACCAAGTAGCAACCTCGCAACTTCGCGCCTGGAGCTCGAGAACGATGAGAGAGACAAGTTGTGTTTCCGTCTGCTAAGTCTCGTGCTGGACTTTGTTGGATACAAACATCGCGACCCTCTGGATTCAGTCATCATCAATCCCTTGGCCTACCGGATCTTGCTCGTGGACTTTGATGGCTGGAGGAAGTGCACGCCCATCATCCAGGAACTTTACTATAAGCAGTTTGTGTCCTTTGCCGTTCGGAGCAAGTACCACCAATACAACAACCGGAGACTGCTCAGAATGCGTAAGTACAATGTGCAGAGAACCCTGTGCGCACTCGATACTGACAACCGCTGCAGGCATTGTTAAGAGACTGCTCGATGCGATCAAGTCTGAACCATTACCCGAAAACGTGGTGCAGTATTTCATGGGCGCCATAGAGAGTCTTGTGAGATGTGGCTATAACACAGAGGTGCACCGGACCATTGCTTTGTTCATCACATACGCATTCCACACACCGTCACGATCGTTGCCGCGGACACCCAAACCGGGAACGCCCGCCGGTACTTTGACCCCGACGACTGTGATTCGGAGACCGACCCTCGAGATCAACGGTGGTACCCAGGTTACCGTCGCCTTGTTGAATCGCCGTCAAATTGGCATTCGAATTTTGGAAATGTACTGCCAGCTCTTGTGCGAGAAGGGCAACGACGCGATTATTCGGAAATTTGCCAAGACAGTCACAAACAAGGTACTTGATTCACAGCCACTACATAGCGGCTCAAGACTGATGATGGTGCAGTGGTTGCTCTATCTCCTGACGGAGGATGATGCCGAGATTGTCGTGCACGGCAGCAAAATCCTCGCGCGACTGCTCGTGGTTCACGGCTCAAGCTACATTAGCAAGTTTGCCGGTAAGACCGGTGGCTTCTGCATCATGGCACACCGGCTGAAACGTTGGTGGAATATACCCGCGCTGTGGCCGATATGCTTCAGTCTACTATTTGGGTACGATGTTGCAGAAGTTGATTTCGAGAAGAACTTCGACTTCTTCACGTTGATCGAGTGTTTTGGGAACTGCAAAGTCATGTATCCTGAAGCACTGCCCATTATTACCGGGATGCTAGAAGCCGGCCTCAAGGACATCTTGCGGAATCAAGATGACCCGGAATCGCCATCTCCAGTGCCATCTGCTAAATCCCAGACGAGACCGGTCACAAGACCTCATGCTCGGTCTATGTCCTACCAGCGCGATGTGGATGTTCCAAGTAAGTGCAAATCACATATTGCGTGGAAGAGGCTCCCCGGGCATGTTGCTGACAGCTTTCCGCGCGCAGATCTGGCTCGCCTCGCTGTAGACCGACTTGATGGCGATTCTGCCATTCTACAGACTGTCATTCGCTTCACCACTGATCTTTACACGCGATCTGTTGACTTCCGAGATTTTGCCTTATCGTCGGACTACGTCCGGCTGCTGCTGGCAGCATTATACCCCGTTCTGGTCAACTCGGATCCAGTCAGCCCAGAGACTGAGCTCAGCTCAGGCGACTCTGCCCTCACCTTTGAAGGTAATGACGTGATAATAAGACCGGTTGGGAGCTCAGCCTCAGCCCGGCCGGTGATCAGGACTGCCACGCCAGAGCCTGCTAAAGTCGCGCCTTCGACGGTCCAGCGAGGATCGCAGCTACGCAAGGCATCATCGTACATCCTCCTGACCGCTGGAGAACCGGCACAGCCGAGCTCTGCGAGAATCAATCACATCATGTCCCCCAAAAAGAAGATCTCGGTGCAAAACCACACGCACGCCGCGCTGGAAGGGATCTCAGAGCTCGTTATCAACGTCTTCATCGATCAGCTTCTAGTCCGCAAGGAGTTTCCCGGCTTCGGTCTCTTCCTCAAAACACCACCAGGGTTCCAGGAACACCACGCATACTTCTCGTCATACATCCTAAGAAATACGATCAGTCATTTATCTACCAGCATCAAGTTTGACTGGAAAGTCCTCAGCGAACCAAGGGTCCTGACAAACATGGCGCGCTTCAGCCTTCACATGGTCGAAGCCATATTCGAAGGGTGGTTCATGAATGGGACCGAGGCCATGTTGGAGTTTGCAGGCATGCTGCTCGAACATCTGCAGAAACCAGAGGTATCGAAACAGAAGACGGTGAGGCTCTGCAGCCAGGCTGTATCTACAATCCGGGCTTCTTTCCTCAAATTGGTGCTGCTGCGACTCTCTGAAGTCGATGAGACGCACGTGTCGGAACTGGCCGCAAACTATTCGATGGATAAAGTTCTCTACTGGTTACCAGTAGTTCTCGAGACGCTCACTGTCGATGACGATTACATGAAGCTCTTCTGGTACCAGCTCTACACCAAGCTCATTGACGAGAGGGAGCAAGTCAAAATAGCTGCCATCAATGTCTGGAGGATCATGCTTGTGCAGAAGCCGGACGACTGCACATCATTGTTCCGCCTTCTAATGAATTCTGACCAGCTCCAGCTCACAAAGGACTTCCAGAAACTCACCGAGCTCGATAATGACGCATTCATGGAGTGGGCGGGGCAGAACCGCCCATCACTTGATGTGCTTTTCTTCACTGGCATATCAAAGGCTTGGGAAGACTTCGTGGGCGCGGAGAACCAACGCACTAAGGATACCGCGCGATCCAGACTCTCCAAGCGTCGTGACGTGCTGAGGCGCTGGCATCTCGAGGCCCGAGGATGGGAGAATATCATGCTGAGGCACGACATGGCCAATTCGGCATGGATGAAATCCATTTATAGCTCCGAGCACTTCAAACACCAGCGTTTTCTGCAGGACCAGCAAGACGACACCATATACTACACTGCTCAGTTTGGCAAGATGGAACGAGACCTCAAGCGGCCAGGCGCAGTGTTGCATGATGGCGGAGCACGCAAGTGGAAACTGGACAGAACCGAGGGCCGAAACAGGATGCGGTTGCGGCTCCTCCCGGACCTGGCATCTCCCAATGACCAGTCTTACCAACCAAAGCGAAGAACGACAGACCAGGCCCCTGCATCGGCCCTCAAACTCAACACTTCTGTGCCACTGATCAAATCTATCGGCTCGGTTGGCCCGTCGCCCGCTTCAGCGCATCCCAACTCCATGGGCAACGATGGCACACCTCGGAATCTTCAGGCATAGGCCAGTCCAAGCCAGGCGATGTCGCACGAGAGCCAGGGGTGGCCCCTGAGGATGATTTCGAGCTCATTGACGACCCGAACGATCCCAACGAAGCCGAAGATGGATTTGAGGACAAGAACAGAAGAGTCATGCGTCGCCTGGCTCATGGCGATGTGGTACAGCATGTCTACAACACTTCTCGGATCATTGGTCTAGAGGCGTGCGAGGGTATCCTGCTTATTGGGAAGACTGAGCTGTATTTGATGGACAATTTCTTCCAGTGCGCTGACGGCGAGATTGTTAATGTCTGGGAAGCGCCGCCTGAGGAACGCGATCCCTACTCGCAGATAGTCACGGGTGCGAAGGCCAGCGAACGACGGTCAGCGAGCTCGACCCAGGATTCGAGAAGCTGGCATTGGCATGACGTGGTCAGCCTGTCCAAGCGGCGATTTCTCTTCAGAGATGTCGCCGTCGAGATCTTCTTCACGGATGGCCGCAGCTACCTTTTGACAGCTCGCAACGCCAGTATGCGGGACGAGATGTTTGCCAAACTGAGTGCAAAGACCCCTCATACTGCGGGCGCGAACCTGCTTCCGAATCCTGAGGATGCGTGGAGATTGGAATCACTCAAGGTCGTTGACGATGCACCGCAGTCTCTAGGATCCAAGTTTGGCAGCATCTTCAACCAGAGCCCATGGACACCGGTGATGCGTCGTTGGCAGCGTGGAGAGATCTCCAACTTCCACTACCTCATGCTTGTGAACACAATGGCCGGCCGCACTTTCAACGACTTAACACAGTACCCTGTCTTCCCGTGGATCCTGGCAGACTACACAAGCGAGGAGCTCGATCTCAGCAACCCAGCGACGTTCCGTGATCTATCAAAGCCGATGGGCGCCCAGACCGCCAGACGACAGGCAGATTACACCTCGCGGTATAACAGTCTTGCCGAGATTGGCGAGACGCCGTTCCACTACGGCACTCACTACTCGTCGGCCATGATTGTCGCATCGTACCTCATCCGTCTTCCGCCATTCGTTCAATCGTACATACTACTGCAGGGCGGATCATTCGATCACGCGGATCGCCTTTTCTTCTCGATCGAAGGCTCGTGGCGCTCTGCAGCGCAAGACAATGGCTCAGATGTCCGCGAGCTGATTCCCGAGTTTTTCTGCCTGCCGGATTTCCTTAGGAACGTCAACGAGTACAACTTTGGCGAGCGGCAAGGCTCGCGCGGGCGTGTCGACCACGTCGAATTACCCCCGTGGGCGAAGGGCGACCCCAAGATCTTCATTGCCAAACACCGCGAAGCCCTGGAATCCCCGTACGTCAGCCAGCACCTTCATTCTTGGATAGATCTCATCTTTGGGTATAAGCAACTGGGTGAACTGGCTGTGGAGAACTTGAATGTCTTCCACCATCTCTCCTACTACGGAGCCAAGGATCTCGACAACATTACCGATACCGACGAGAGGCATGCAACCACAAGCATCATCCACAATTTCGGCCAGACGCCACATCAGGTCTTCACAAAAGCGCATCCACCACGAGAGCACATTGCATTTCCTACCAAACGTCTGGACGTAGCCAGCGAATTCCTCGCCCGCATGCCTCATCCGGTACTTGAGAGTCGAGAGCGTGTAGCGATGCTGGAGTTCTCCAAGAAATACGACCGACTGATCTGCTCGTCTCCATTCCGGCTCAACCTGCCACCTTTGTACGACAAATACCTGGAATGGGGGTTTGCTGATAACAGCATTCGATTCTTCTTCAATGAGAACCGCCGCAGCGCCGGAGTGAACGAGAACCTACACATCGGGCAAATTTCCTGCGTCACAGTAGCTGGATCCAAGACACTGATAACGGCCGGGGAGGATTGCGTCATCCTTGTGCATGACATCCAGACACTTCCGGGGAAGCCGATCGATCTGCTGCAGCGGGCGGCTCTAACTGGCCACAAGACGCCCGTGACGACTATTGCCGTCTCAAAGGCTTTCAGCACCCTGCTGACGGTTTCCCTGGACGGACAAGCTTTCCTGTGGGATCTGAATCGTCTGGACTTCATCCGCAAGCTGCCGACCACGAGGACAGTCGAGTGTGCTCAGATTAACGACGTCTCTGGGGAGATACTACTGTGCTCGGGATCGAATGTTCTCATGTACACCCTCAATGGCGACTTGTTGTTGGATCAGAATGTCTGCAGCGAGCATGATGACTACGTACACTCTTGCGCATTCTATGAAGGGTCTGGAAACGAGTGGCTCCAGAACTTCCTCGTATTTACAGGACACAAGCGTGGCCGTGTCAATATTTGGAAACGAGTAACCACGCAATCGGGCAAGTGGGTACTGGAGCTTGTCCGAAGACTCGATCATGCCGACGTGAGAAGCGAGACGGGTGCCAACACGGAAGCAGCAATCACCTGCATAACGCCGATGCCCCAGATGGTGTACACTGGCGATGATGATGGCCGAGTGGTAAGTGATCTCTTTGAGCCTCGCGCAAGAGTCTCTGACGGTAGAATGCAAGACTAACAGAAGCATCTCTAGTACGAGTGGACCTTGATCCAAAGAGAGAGGTAGCGTGCTTGCGATTCACGGACAAGTGGTCGAGATCGTCCACGACGGCGATGCTGAGCGCGTCGAGATCATGATGCGCCGTTTGAGACGGAGTGTCGAGCCAACGCCGGAGGGCTGAAGTACCACATATAGATAACACAGAACCAACGACCCCGAGGTCTCCCTGACGAGTCGCGCACTTGCAAAAATCAATCAAGTGAAAAACATTCGTGCATGGAAGAGAGAAGCTTGCGTTGATTTGCCTCGTGAGATTATGTACAAAAGATTCCAAGGTTCATAAACGTCAAGTCCTCTTTCGAGCTCAATACCACCCTTAACTTCGGATGGTTGAACGTGTGTTGCTACTGCTGTCCCTGAAAAAGAGGAGCATCAGGCCGAACATGACTCTCCTTTGTGTTCTCGCATTTCGATATAATATACTTAATCGTCATAGCCGCTCAGCTGCTTTCTGGGGCCGGTTGGTACTAGAATTGCATGCGTGGTCAGCTTGTTTGTCATTCCAAGGTGGGATAGTCGCCTGTCCGTTCATTATGCGCCCGTTGTGCACCCATGAGGCCTGCGGTTCCTGCTTCAAGCGCCGGATAATGCTTGTGTGGTGGGCTGGCAACTGTAGTCCACCACCAGAAACCCCACGAGCGCAGGTCCCCCGGGAAACGTCATGGCAGAGAAACCGCCGCCGCCTCATGCGTCCTCCCACTCGAATGGACCCGGCGCCAGACCGAAGAACAGCGAACCAGCATGTGTACGTACTCGGATATGTCATGGGGATGAACTCGCGCTTCTCGTAGCCCAGCATCTTGCGCACGGGAGGGACCGTGACGAGCATGATGGGGCCCAGGGAGCCGGCGACGACGGACCAGAAGTACGCAGGCTTCTCGCGGGCAGACCAGCGCAGGTACCGGAGGGGCCCGGCCCAGAAGAGAGGTGCGGCCTTGGGCGCAATCGGCATGGTGGGTTTGGTTGATGATGAGGCTGGTGGTGGTTATTATTGTATCGAGTCCCGAAGGGGAATGGATGTGGCTGTTCTTCGCTGCCGGCAATTAGTAATCGTGTGTGTGTCGTGAGCAGACTGATTCTTGTGTTGGGTTACTCGTACGTGTGTGTGGTGTCGCGGCACGCCAATTGCCAGGACTGTTCTTCGTCGTCGTCGGGGTCGCGGGCCTATGGTCAATTCTCTGATGCTGTCGCCGCCTGAGCGTAATTGAAGCTCCGTTGTTGGCTGGGGTGGCTCCACTGCGAATCCCAAGACCCGGCAGCTGCCAGCCCCACAGGCACCTGTCTTCGTAGTTGGTTGGCTTTGACTGACTGGGCCAAGAGTGAGGACATTAGGTAAGCTGCCTGTGCAAGCCTGGTGGGGTGGTCCACGTAACGACCGGAGCTTATGACAGACTGGCCAGAACAGCGCTGGGGAGCTTGTGTAGCTCAGAGGTCGAGCTCCAGGTACAGCGCCACCTGGCTGCTGCGGGAAGGTACCTGCCACGAGAAGACCCTGGAACTTTTGAGACAGTCGAGACAACTTGCTTTAGACAAGTATCCCGCTGGTGATCACAGCGACAACTCCAATCACACACGTGCGGCGACTTCCAACGTGTCAAAGCGGTCCTTCTCAATTCGCCCATTTTGCGACTCGCCCGGAGCGCGCATCTTCGCAATTGAGCCTGCCCCCGTCCCAGAGCCGCCATCCACACTCTACACGGCAACGCCAATTGGACTCGGACTGAACGGAGAACGAAGACGCGCAACACCATCATGAGGTCCTTCCTCTCTCTGGCAGCTGTGCTGCTTGCAGCCGTCGCCAATGCGGCCAGCTTCAGCGGCGACAGACTACTGGTCATCCTCGAGGACGCCGCAGAGAAGGCCGCTTACTCCAAGTTCCTGGCCGACCTCGAGGGTATGTGCAGCCGTGGATGCCAGCGACCTTGATTCTCGACCTGACTAACACGTCTACCAGGTCGCGGGTTTGATATCGTATACGAGAGCCCAAAGAGCGAGGGTCTCAGCTTGTTCCACCTCGGCGAGAAGTCGTACGACCACATCTTGCTGTTGCCGACCAAGTCGAAGGGTATGTACAATTCTGGGATTCGACTTCTTTGAGGCAGCTGTTCTAACCGATGCTTCTCCGTAGGCCTCGGTCCCAACCTTACACCCAACGCCCTCTCTCAGTTCATGAACGCGAAGGGCAATATCCTCGTCGCACTCACTTCCTCTACACCTGCGTCGACATCGGTAGTCTCCCTACTCAACGAGCTTGACATCAGTCTCCCAGCCGAGCGCACCGGTCTCGTTGTCGACCACTTCAACTACGACAGCACCTCCGCCGCGGAGCAGCACGAAGTTTTGCTCCTGCCCGCCCCCGGATCGTCACGCGCCGGAGTCAAGGATCTCTTTAGCCCGGCCGCACCCAACGGCGAGCTCATCGCGTTCCCCAACACCGTCGGCCAGACCCTTGGCTCGGGAGCTTTGCTCGCTCCCATCCTACGTGCTCCTTCGACAGCCTACAGCTACAACCCTAAGGAGGAGAGCGAGGTTGTCGAAGACCTCTTCGCTAGCGGCCAACAATTGTCTCTGGTCACTACTTTCCAGGCCCGCAACTCGGCTCGCTTCGCCGTCATTGGCTCTGCCGAGTCGCTGACCGACAAGTGGTTCGATGCCAAGGTCAAGAAGGCCGGCGAGAAGAGCAGCGTCAAGACCCTCAATCAGGAGTTTGCCAAGCTCGTCTCCGGATGGGCCTTCAACGAGATTGGAGTCCTGCGCGTCAACTCGATCGAGCACCACCTCGATGAGGCAGGCGCCAGCAACGCCAGCAACCCCAAGATTTACAGGATCAAGAACGATGTGGTAAGTCCTTATACTCTGAGAGGGCATCAAGTAGCAGAGCCAAAAGGCCACCAGTTCTAACATGATACTTTCCTCGTCGCCAGACGTATTCGATCTCTCTGTCCGAGTACTCGTGGGACAAGTGGACGCCTTTCACTCTCCCGGAATCGGACGAGCTGCAGCTCGAGTTCAGCATGCTGTCCGCGTTCCACCGCCTGAACCTGAACGTCAGCGCCTCGGACGAGTCGAGCACGACCTACAGCACGTCCTTCAAGCTGCCTGACCAGCACGGCATCTTCAACTTCCTAATCAACTACAAGCGGCCGTTCCTCAGTAACGTCGAGGAGAAGAACACCGTCTCTGTCCGCCACTTTGCCCATGACGAGTGGCCTCGCAGCTTCGTCATCTCGGGCGCCTGGCCCTGGCTCGCCGGCATCCTCGCCACGACTACCGGCTGGGTTGCCTTCTGCGGCATCTGGCTGTATAGCAAGCCCGTGAACAGCGGCAGCGCGTCAGAGAGCAAAAAGTCCCAGTAGACGGGGGGTGCAACTTTCGTGTGTGCAGGAATTGTGGGTTATGATGGATGGAATCATTGGCCTCGTCGTCCGATTCTGTACCGGACAGAAATGGGTCATGTATCGGCAAGGATGACAGCCTTGTATTACAACGAGGACGAGAACGAGAGTTGAAGAGTAAATAAAAAAGCAACATCACGTTTCTCCACGTCCTCACGAAATCTACTGTGCACATGTACGACTGGCAATATTGGGCCGCTCGTGGTCTAAATCGTAGCCGTTGTGACTGTGTAACACAGAGAATCGCCTGCCTGCTTTCTTTCGGCAATATGGCACGTGTACGGTGCGTGTCTGTGGTTCAACAATGGCAGATAGATTAACCTTTCGCGAGTAACTGACTCCAAGAACAGTGACATAATGGACACAAAGAGTTATACGACTGATTGGTGAACAGAGCCAGTCATTCACGATTAAGGACGGTATTACGTAACTCACTGACTGACTCGGTCGTCTCGAGGACGAAGAGCGCAAGAGTCAGGTTTCACGAGGAAGGGTGGTTGGCCAGGTAGTTTAGTGGCTGGTGCGTCGTCCCTTATCAAGTTGTGCCCGTGCAAGTGGCTGCACAGGAGACGCGCGCTTGAGCACGGTGCCGAGTCGTGTGTGGTGTATATTTGAAGGCTAGCTCCAGAGCCGTTGCCAGCTGTGGCGGCGGAAAGGCGATCACGAAAGCCCTCAGTGCCTGCAGGAGTCGAAGGACCAGTATATGTTTCGGCTTTCCATGTGAGAGTGAATATGGGGTTTCTGCTCCAAACAATAACGAGCACGTTCATATTGTTGCTGCAAGCAGGGCGTGCGGCTGCTTTGCAGCGGGCATCCAGGCACGGGCGGCTGCACTGGACTCCGTACATGGCTAGTGCTGGACAGAGGAACATCCCGTTTCCCGGACGTGGCTGGGGGATTCCAACCCAGCCCTGGACGTTGCTTGGTTGCCGTCCGTCATGACTCCCCATGTCTGCGTTGAGAGCTCGGGCTCAGCATGTCTCACACTGGATGTCGATGACTATCGCCGGGGCCGCCTATGTATTAAAAGATGACTGTCGGTATCTTGGATCACCAGTCTCATGACCGTGCTGATGACGGTGCGGCTCACTGGCCAAGGCTCTGGGGGCAGGGACAGCGACAGGCACGTGGACAAGACGGACGGTCGCAAACAGGGGCAGTGAGGAAGGCAGCAGGTGACCGAATTTCGGAGCGCGGGATGCGCGCACTGGGACCTTTGCCTAGAGTCGGGTCTCTGATAGCTTCAAGCACTGGGAGCCAATCGCCCGAGGCTAGCGAGGCTGGTGGTGGAGCGCGCCACCACAAGGCAAGGCACACCTGGCAGCCAGGAACGGCGTGGGGTGTGTGAGTGTGAGTGCTCGCCAGGCAAAGAGGCCGCGCGCTCGTTGACCAGTCTCCGCAGCCAGCGAGCTTGGCGGACCCCCGGGCCAGTTGAGCGCACAGAGGCCTGGTGGGCCTGGGCTGGCTTGAGAGAGAGTGATTGTGTCATTCATGTCTCGCCCCGGACTCGACTGGGACAGGGGATCTCCTGGCCTGGCTCGGCTCGGCTTCGCTGGTTGCTCGTGTACTGTATGAGCTCTGGCCATTCCGGATCGGCGGACAACTCGCACCATCTCGAGAACAAGGCAGGCGGGCAGGCAGACTGGCAATCGACAGTGGCACTGTGGACGGCGCGTGCACAGAGAACGAGGCTCACTGCGATAAGCCGTCAGCCAACGCACTCAGGGTTCAGGTACCTGGCAAGTCAGGAGCAGGCGGCTGCAGGCGCGATGCGGGGAGAGATGGGCATCCAGCGCATGTCGTGTGCTTGGCTTGTGACCTGCCTGCCCCATGGCCCGGCCTGTTTGGATGGCAGCATCCGCACCCTCGATTGCGCGCTGGCTTGGGTGGAGCACCGAGTCTGATCCATCCACTCCTTCTCCAATGTTGGGGGGGGAATCCCTTATCGGATTTGCCATGCACAGCAAAGTGGATGTTGTCGATGATGACCGTGAGCGGGTTTATCAGCCTGCGGATGGCGAAACAGCTTGGGGTACGTGTGTACAGTACGGGGTCAAGAGTCAGCACGCCGCGGCTGTGTAGAGGCAGGCAGGCTTGGATCACTCCGTCCGGCTCTGATACTGTATCGTACTGTTGGCTCATCAGTCGTGCCGCCACACCACCCCCAGTTGTGCTGCGAGTCGTGCTTTGCAAACATCCTCCAGCATGGCAACGCCCCGAGTGAGATGGTGCGCGGCTGACGATTACATGACTGCTGTGCTGGTCCTGCCGTACATGCCATGGTAGATGTCAGCACTGCTCGATGGGGAGCCGGTGCTGCAATGATGATGATGCGTCGGTCAGTCAGACAGACCCGTTGCCTCGCCATCCGGGTTGCAGGGCCAGTGCCAGCAGGCACTGTTACCCCAAACAGCTATCGAACCACGGGCCCCACGGGCGGCCTGCGCTAGGCTGCATCAGGCTTATCTCGACCAGCCAGGCTGCGCCTTGTCCTCAACCAGGTGCGTCACACGCTCCCCCCAAAGCCCGGGGAAGGCAGCAGCTGCGCGGCTGCCCTTGCTCGCTCGCCGGCCTGAGCTCTGGGCCGCCGCGACCCGCCTCCGCCCTCTTTATCTCGACAGCTCCGGCCTCGCCATCCTCTCTTGCCTCCTCCTTCCTCTCTCACGCCTTGTGCTTCATCCCCCATCGTCATCGCCATCTCTATCCCGTCCAGGATCTCGCGGCCGTCTTTCGTCGCATCGTCCTTGTTCCCAGTGTCTTGTTGAGCAGCTCCGTCGTTTTCCCCGTTCCTTCGCAGTACAGAGTCGCAGGCAGACTCTCCCCTCCTTCGCCCATCATGAGAGGCTTCCTCACTGTCCTCAGCCTGGCCACGGCCGCCTCGGCCGCGCCCTCGTGGTTCAGCACAGAGACCATCCACGATGGCTCTGCCCCCATTCTCTCCTCGGCTGGTGCCGAGGATATCCCCAACTCGTACATCATCCGCTTCAAGGACCACGTGACCGAGTCCTCCGCTGGTGAGCACCACTCGTGGGTCCAGCAGCTCCACGGCGAGCGTGAGGACGACCGCCTCGAGCTCCGCAAGCGTGGCGTTGTCGACGCCTTCCGCGGTCTCGGCCACACCTTCAAGATTGGGTCCGACTTCCTGGGCTACTCGGGTCACTTTGACGAGGAGACCATCGAGCAGGTCCGGAACCACCCTGATGTAAGTGCGCCCCTCTGAACCCTCTTTCTGGGCCATCCCCCCCAGGAGATGCGCTACAGTCACTAACCTGTGCCGCTCTTCAGGTCGCGTACATCGAGAGAGACAGCATTGTCTATGCCCTCGGTTCTGAGGAGCCTGAGCTCGAGAAGAACGCCCCTTGGGGTCTTGCTCGTATCTCGCACCGCCCGTCGCTCTCCTTCGGCACCTACAACAAGTACCTGTTTGCTGCCGAGGGTGGTGAGGGTGTTGATGCGTACGTCATTGACACTGGTACCAACATTGAGCATGTTGACTTTGAGGGCCGCGCCAAATGGGGCAAGACCATCCCCAGCGGCGACCAGGACATCGACGGCAACGGCCACGGCACCCACTGCTCCGGCACCGTCGGTGGCCACAAGTACGGTGTTGCCAAGAAGGCTCACATCTATGCCGTGAAGGTTCTTCGCTCCAACGGCTCCGGCACCATGTCCGACGTCGTCAAGGGTGTCGAGTACGCTGCTGAGCAGCACATGGCGCAGGTCAAGCTCGCCAAGGACGGCAAGCGCAAGGGCTTCAAGGGCTCTACCGCCAACATGTCCCTCGGTGGTGGCAAGTCGCCCTCGCTCGACCAGGCTGTCAACGCCGCCGTCGACGCTGGTCTCCACTTCGCCGTCGCTGCCGGTAACGACAACGCCGATGCTTGCAACTACTCTCCTGCCGCCGCCGACAAGGCTGTCACCGTCGGTGCCTCTGCGCTTGATGACTCGCGTGCTTACTTCTCCAACTGGGGCAAGTGCGTCGACATCTTTGGCCCTGGTCTCAGCATCCAGTCGACCTGGATCGGAAGCAAGACTGCCATCAACACGATCTCTGGTACCTCGATGGCCTCGCCCCACATCTGCGGTCTCCTGACCTACTTCCTCTCTCTCCAGCCTGCCTCGGACTCTGAGTACGGCATGGCTGCCATCACCCCTGCCAAGCTCAAGAAGGCCATGATCGAGCTCGCTACCCCCGATGCTCTTAGCGACATCCCCGCCAACACCCCCAACTTGCTCGCCTACAACGGTGGTGGCCGCAGCAACTACTCCGAGATCATGGAGCTCGGCCAGAAGGCTTAGATTGGCTGGAACGCCACGAAAGCCACGCAAGTCTGATCGCTTCGGCGGGACCGCTTTTGAGATTGTGAACACGGGAATATACACGAACATGGGCGACACGATGCGCTAATCTTGGTAGTGACGGGTTTACTGTATTTGGTTGTGTAGCATTTCATAGGCTTCTTATCATCGCGTACAATGGATCACAGCATGACAAATTTCACCTCTCGGTTCCTAGCTTTCGTCGGCTCGTTGGTTTCGGAGGCGCGGCTTAACGGTCTACAGCTTCTTCGCGTGATTGTCGATAAGTACCTCAAAACACATGATGCAAATATGGCCGCTCCTGCCAGTATCGCTAACCCCGAGGTGGAAGGAACGGCTCGCCTTTATTAAACAGCCAGCAACAACCATGACAGGAATGCAAGCGTGGTCTTCACGCCTCGCATGCGCGGTTGCTCAAACGTTGTCATGTACACATTTTTGTCCTGTCTCTTGTGCATCCACAGCCTCTTGCGATGAGTTGTTTTTGGTTACGTTCATCCATCATCATCATCATCATCACTGAGAGCTTCTCTTATATCTTCTCACTAGAGGCTGAAGCTGCTCTTTGTCACGACCTAGCAAGGGCCTGCCACTTTATCGTGTTTGGTGCGAGACTGGCCCGCACGAGACGAGCAATACAGCATGCATCGTCGCAGGAGTCTGGCACAAAGCGATGTTGCCCGTACGCAGTCCAATCGGTCTTCGAGAGGAGTTCAGCTCCAGCATGTTGACCCCGATAAGGCCAAGCTCCATGCCCACGCCGCCGCATCTCGAGCTTTCACGCGGGCCAGGGAACGTGCCAGCACCGAACCAAGTGTTTGGCCACCACCACGCACAGGAAACAGCACGCCACAGAGTATCGTCTCCCGGAACCCCGCAAACGCGGCAAGGTCTCCTGGACGAGAGCTTCGCCGTCGAGACAGCGTGCGGTTCTGCCGGTCACGCTCTCCAACAAGCCGCCGGACACAGGGGATTGAGGGACTTGCGCACCCAGCTCATACCGAGTTTCGCCATGGCACTTCTCATTCTAGGGCAACTGACTTCCGACAGGCAATCAGCCCATCCAGAGCCTCCGCGGATGGCATGATATCTGCTACGAAAGGCGCGGCTGGGGACTATATCAACAATTTGATTGTGGGTGGACAAGAATACTATACCCCAGAGGATGACATCGCATCTCTGCCATCCTCGTTCAGAAGGATTCGCAAGTCAAAGTCCATGTTTGCAGCAAGTGGCCATCATAGATATGGCCCAGACACGGCACAAGATATTGTGACCACGAGCCAGTCACAATCGTGGTTGAGAGGGGTTGGCACCAGCCATGGTCCTGGTCGAAATTCGGCAGTGAAGTCCATAAGCTACCTGAAAAGCCGCCAGCACCATAGTGAACCAGTGTCGACATATCATTCAGTCCGGATGTACCAAGAAGACACCGTCGCGGCTCTACCTGCGAAGTCCAGGACCTTGAGGTCTCATTCCTCGACTCTCTTTGGCGCAAGGACTAGTCAAACCTCAAAGCTGTTCTCCAAGACTATGAGGATCATGGGCGCAGAGCGGCAGTGCAGTACGAGAAAGCTCAAGCCAGATGACAATGTTGGTCTCAAGAGCAAGGCAAGAAAAGTTTCGCTTCAGGTGAAGCGTGGTATCAAGAACATTTTCAGCATCAACAAGGCAGATGACGACGACGACATTCTACCACCCCAGCATATTGAAGCCAAGAGCAGTCCTGCAGTATCGCCTGCAAGGTCAGCGAGTGAGGCAAGCATCCTGTTCCACCTCGACGCTGCCGATGTCGACTGTTCAATTTCGCAGGTCGCATCGGGAGTGCCGTCTCTCCACGCAGTGTCTTCGCTACAAGAGCTGCAGTCACGTCATGGAAGCGTTGAGAGCCTGGAAAGCGACAGCAAAGCCTCCGAGGAGAAGTCGCGTGTGACCAGTTGGACGAATTCAGACAGTTACGCACATTCAACAGTGGCGAGCAATCGCAGCGATCATGGCCGACAGCGACTCTCCGTAATCAATGAGCATGGCTTGCATGTCTCGTCGTCGTCTACTAGGCCAGAGCTCGGATCAGCCCGCGGTGACGTTAAGCCAACTGATCCGGCGAGCACGCCAAAGGCTTCCCGCGTGGTGGATGGCCCGCGACTTTTCTCCGCCCTGATGAAACGACTCGACGACGCAAGTCCGACAAAGCATGACTATCAGAGTGAAGGGGATGGCCCTCGGCCTCCGCCCATACAGAGCCTTCCCTCTGGGCATGAATCTCCAGTTGCCTCGCTGCAAGATGCCGCCACTTCGAAAGCATCGCCGGCCACGATCCGGCGGGTTAGCACAGCGGATGGTGCGGCCCTCGAGGCACGTCTACCACCAGCTGCACCAGCTGTCACAAAAGAGACAGCCTTCGCCGAGGAGGTAGTCACGACCGCGGTCGTCCCCACTCTCAACGCTTCTCGATCTGCTCCTCTAGATAACAATATTGTGTTGTCCTCTCAATCCAACGGGGCAAATCCTCTTGCGGGCGAGAGGAGGGACGACCAACGCTTCCGAACACTTTCTTCCCGAAGCTCTGCGTTCTTCGGGAGTCCCACGTGCCACTTGTTCCGGACCAAGAGCCCATACCGCAAGGCCCTACAGGCATCGATACGGACTGCTCATGGCGCACCAGAGCAAAAGTCGCCTGAATACAATCCTTGGATGCGCTCACTCACAGATCTGTCCTTTAGGTGTCCTAGTGCTGATTCGGAACCCGACCGAAAGATGCGTGACACGGACAGCATATATTCGGAAACCCCAGATGATAAGCCGCGTGGTCGTGTCAACATCATGTCCATCGTCGACAAGTTCCCAAAACCGCCCATCACGCATGGCGACGCCACAATTTTCGTTAGCTCTCCAACGCCGATGCCACTGCGGGGTAGGAGAGCACCTGAGAGACTCTCCTCAGAATGGAAAAATTGGCTTTCCACGAATGTTTCCAAACTGGAAGGTGCCGAGGAGTCCCTGATCGCGACACTATCTGACAATTTTGGCTCCCCCATTGTCCAGGGAGCCTGTCACGTTCGTGAGCAGGCACAAATTGATAACGACGACCCTATTGATGACGGCTCCTACGAAGGTGCTTTGCTCTTCGGCCAAAGTGACGGTCAGATTCATGCTGGTCATGCGAAGCAAGCAGGTATAGCTGATGGAGCCAGCCATGCAACGTTCAAGACGGTGACCGAGATACAGGATCCACCAGCCATGGAAGAGGCTCACGAAGCCATTCGGCGTTTGGACAGCGGCAGTGTCTCGTCACGACGTCTGCTAAGCACGCCACAGATGCCTCAGGGTACCGTCATGCCAATGGAGCATACTTCCATTGCTGCAACATCCCCTCGGGGTTTGAGAGATGCATCAAATCACGCGAGAGACATCAAGGAATGTGCGAGCAGAAATTTGTCGGCGGCTACAGGCGGGCGAGCAGAATTAGGATCGTCTGTGGATAGGCAGTTTGGCATTCTGCTGGCTTCAGACCGCCAAAAGAACGCCAACAGAGGCACTGCGGATGTTTTCATGAAGAGCAAGCATCTACAAGGTTCGCCATCCAGAACTTTGTCCAGTGCGAACAGAGAGAACGAGGCGCCTCGAAATTTGGATGAGAATGTGCCTGCATCACACGAGGCCGACATCATGCGGTCAATTTTACAGGCAAGACGCCATCGTCTTGCCAGCAGCGACGATGACGGCAGTGTCTTTCTATAAACGCACTTGTAGGTTGGCGCTGAGTATGTGCACTTGATAAGGCTCGTCCGTAGCTCGCATGTGTCTCCCTTCTATTCCATCCACGCTTGAAGCTGCCAGAGTTATCAGAGAAAAAGAGTCTGAGCTAGGTCACTGGCAAGCCATAGGAAAGGCCCTGATAGATTTGCTCTGCAAATATATGTATGGAACCAGTAGCCGACTGGGGAGGTGCATAATAACCACTTGGAGCAAAGAATATCAAATATCAATGCTACGCACAACTGTTCTTGGATTGATGGAATTTGTGACTACTCGAGTGGCTGTAGGAGTTTAGTGGCGCGATGGCGAAATCCTTTCGGACCTGCGGGCCGCCGGTAACAGTCCATGGGTATTCAGCCCGCTCAGGCCGCATGCCACATGGCGCCTTTGAATGATCTTGAAGCAGCAATGCCATCACGGTTGAATGGCTCAAGACTTGTGCAGCCGTAAAATTTGCGTGAATGATGCCCACCAGCGAAGCATCTGATCGGGCAAAGCACGATGAGCAATACTGAAGAGCACCTATAGAAAGACAGTTTTCCTTGCTCCGGGAGCTGTACAGGAGCCAGGCAGCAAAATAAGCAAGACAACGCTGATTGTCACCCTCAATAAGTTGAGACAGCACACTATGCTGTGCTTGAGAGACATTGACTATTCAGCGGGCAGGCAGCGTTTGTGGCTGCCAGAGTCAGCACGGGCCGATCGTTGTGCCGGAACTAAGATGCAGCGCATGTGGCGGCAGAGCACGTCGTAAGGCCATTGCCATACGACGCTACTGGGGGGGATCTGAAGAACCCTACTAGGGCCTTGCATGCATGCGTGGCATAATACACACACATTCACTCACTCACTCACTCGCAGGCTTGCATACATGCAGTCTTACCTTTTGCTGTGCCGAACCCCTGGCGCAAATGTAACTGGCATTCTGGGGGTCCGTGGACATTGCAGGCACGCTTTCGTGCGGGAGCTTGCTGCGGTTTTTTCTCTCTTGTAGTTCAGCCCTTAAAACTAGGCTGCACTTTTATTTCCCGTCCTTTCGCGCACGGCTGCCGAAAGATAAAAGTCCTATAGTCCTATGAGCTGAGACTAGGCAGCGCTCTAGTGGGAAACCACGACGCATGGTTGGGCAAGGTTCGCCTTGGGGGTTTGTTGGTTCTGTGGAGAGCCGCCGATCTAGAATGCGAGATACGAGGGTTCCGGAATGAAGGTTCCGGAATGAACACCCCAGTTGGCCCGATGTACTCGCCATGGCATGCATGCAGATCGTGTGGAAGCTTCTTCCGGTTTGTTGAAGCAAGGCAGCAGCAGCCAAGCAGGGTTGTTGTCATGGAGCACAAGTGTTTAAAGCGGTGCCTGGGCCGAGGTGGATACAAGGGTTGACAGGCTATGTTATAAACGTTGGACGACTCGGCTGTTCGAGAGCTTGGCCATCGCTATCTGTCCTTGGCGCGCCTGCTGGGTTCTTGTTGTGCTGAAATAAAAGTTGAGTTTCCGGCCTAGCAGTTGCCCTCGTCTGCTTGTATCCACCACCACGCACTCACACACGCACCTTGGCGCCAGCCTGCCTAGTACCTCACTTTGACACCAATTGCCACGATGTTGATTACCGACAAGGCAGCGGCAGATGTGACCTGCTCGTTGTTACAGACAATCTTGTTGCTCGGTGTCTTGGCACTCTCCACGGCCGTCGATGCACACCCGGGGCCCGCCGGCGCCGACCTGGCCCGGCAGCTCCACCACCAGGTCCGGACCGGCACCGGCCCCGGGCCTGGGCCCGGCCACGGCGGCCAGATTTGCAAAGCATACCCGGACTCCGACAACAACAACGACCACCACCACCAACAACATCCCGCGCCGCAGCCGGGCGGCAGTCCATCAGTCTGGCCTCCGGCCTTGACCTGGGCCGCGCTCAACGCCACCTCTGGCGGGCGTCTCATTCGGCCAACTCCGCCGGGAGTTGTCTGCCACCCCAGCGCCCCGGGCTTTCCCACTGCCACTAACAGCGACCCGCAGCAGTCGTGTGCTGACGTCGCGGCGCAGTGGACGACCATGGAATTCCACAGAGCCAGCCCGGTATCCCCCATGTGGAACCAGTACGCCAACGACACCTGCCTTCCGGACCCCGGCGCCCCGTGCAGCGCGGCCGGGTATCCCGCGTACGTGCTGGACGCGGACTCGGCCGACGTGGTCAAGCTGGGCGTGGACTTTGGTACGTAGTCTCTTTTTTGGCTCCCTGACTTTTTCGTGGAATGGGATGTGTGGCTGACCGATCTTTGCCTTGTGACAAGCACGCACCCACAACATCCGCCTCAATGTCAAGAGCACCGGCCACGACTACCAGGGCCGGTCGACCCAGCCCGGGTCGCTGTCCATCTGGATCCACCGCCTTCAGGGCTACACGACGCAGCTGGACGCGAAGAAGGGCTTCAAGCCCCGGGGCTGCCACTCGGCGATCCCCGGCGCCTCCGTGACGGCCCTGGGCGGCACGCAGATGGGCATGCTGTACGAGGGGCTCGACAGGCTCGGGTACGCCGTGGTCGGGGGCGGCAGCCGCGGTGTCGGCCTCGGGGGCTACATCACCGGCGGCGGGCACTCGATCCTCGCGCCGCGCTTCGGCATGGCGGCGGACCAGGTGCTCGAGATGGAGGTCGTGACTGCTGCCGGGCAGGTCGTCGTCGCCAACGAGTGTCAGAATCAGGACCTGTTCTGGGCCATGCGTGGTGTAAGTCCCTGCTCTCATCAACCCCTTTTTCTGTCTGTCCTTCACATCGGGTGCCTTGAGTGTTTTATTTCTTTTCTTGTCCTCTTCTTCTTCTTCTTCTGTTTTCTTCCCCGTCTTCCCTACAATCATAATCTCCTGAAAACTGAAATCTTGTACTCCTTGCGCTTTCCGACCTGTAGGGCGGCGGCTCAACCTTTGGCATCATGACATCCGTCACAATGACAGCCCACCCCACCCCGAAAATCGTGAGCTACGATGCGTTCTTCGGCACCCTGGACGTCACCTCGCCCCGAGTCCCCGACATGTTTGGCTACATCCTCTCGCAGTTCCCGGCGCTCGACAGCAAGGGGATTGCCGGGTACGCGAGCTTCAGTCCGGCACTGAACTACAGCATCCCCGGCAGCTCGTCGTCGTCGTCGTCGTCGTCGGGGGTGAACACGGAAGTTCTCGTCGCAGGCGGCAGCCTCATCTTCATCCTCGTCGGCGAGCAAGACCCGGCAGCGATGAGCGCCATCATGGACCCGATCCTAAACCACCTGATCGCCTCCTCAAACTCGCCGAGCAACACTTCCGACCCGGAATTCCCCAGCGGCCTCTTCAGCCCGGCCCCGCCGACAGTAAAAGCCTACGACTCGTTCTACTCGTGGTTCCGCGCCGGCCACGACGACCCTTCCCCCGCGGGCGGCAACATGTTTGTCGGCTCGCACCTGCTCGACGCAAAGGCCCTGGGCGACCGGGCGAGGCTGTCCGAGGCGTACAGGACGTTCGCATCGACCGGCGGCACGGGATACCTTGTGATCGGTAAGGGGGGCAGGAACGCAAAGCCTCGCGGAGGAGGGAACGCGGTCAACCCGTCTTTCCGCAGAGCCGTGTCGCATTCTAGTGAGCTCCCCCCATATCTTTCCTTTTGTTTTTTGTTTTCTCTTCATTTCCCGTCTCCGGAGCCAAGATGACCAACCAGGTATAATCACCACACCTTTACAGCCAATGGTATCGACTTTGAGCCTCTAAACCCAGCGGCCAGGGCACAGGCTTTGGTTGATCTCAACAAAAAGCTACAGCCCTTGCGGGACCTGGCGCCCGACATGGGATCCTATGTCAACGAGGTACGTGATGAACTTCACCACCAACAAAATGACACGTCCTTGGGGGAGAAACGCAGTGGCAGAGGGCGTCCCGAGCGCGCACTCCGAGCTAACACGAGCACAAATGCACAAAACACCACAGAACAACCCGGCCGAGCCAGACTGGCAACATAGCTTCTGGGGAGAAAACTATGCCCGGCTGCTAAGCATCAAGCGCCGACTTGACCCGCACGATGTCTTCTGGTGCCATCCATGTGTCGGCAACGACCGCTGGGAGGAGCGAGGATACAGACTTTGCCGCAAGGGCTCTGCTTGAACATGTCTCCTACATCGAAGAACGAAATTGTAGAACCTGTCTTTGTGACACAGCATGGCGGTACGCGTGACTCTCGTCACGGTGCAATCTTGTAATTCTTCTGCTTCTGCCCACGGGTATAATGTCCTAATCCCAATGCTCTCGGCGTTCCCATCTCAAGGTGTTCGGCAACCCGGCGCCAGTCTGCATTGGGGCTGGTGTGCACCCTCCTGAACAGCCTCGCCGCAAGAATGGCACAGCCTTCTCATCTTGGTCGAACGCAAGCTGCTGCTCCCGAATAATTCTCTGATTCGTCTCTACTCGGGACAAGCTCCACCACTCAACCCATTGAGTCACCGGTACAATGACATGCTGCCGGCAGACTGAACATGGCACGTCACCCAGATTGTCGTTTTCTTCACCTTGCTCCACAATGCGACGCAGTAGAGGCGGAAGGTGGGCCGGTGCATTGGGCGGGAGGTATGAGGGGAGCTCTCGTATCTGCGCAGTTCGGGAGCATGCCTTTAAGGAGAGCTCCAGCAAAGAGTGGACGCGGCTCTCTTTGGTGCTCAAGAGTTTTTCGTTTCCGTCACTGTATGCTGCATCAGGCTGCTCAACTTCCAATACTACACCAGACAGCTTGCCCACATCTTGGCCAAGATCTGCCAACGGCAACCGGAAGGCGGAAGTGATCACACCACGGCTGTCACAATATTGGACAGGTGACCTCCCTGCCAAGCTGGCGTGCCACCCCGAGAGCTCAGCCGCGCAGAGTGGTTTAGCTGGCAGCTGATCGCTCGTTGAGCTGTCAGTGCGCTTGGGCGTTGACAGCCAAACTCTCGTGGCATGCCCACCATCATAGATGGTCTGGAGGACCGCATCCTCGGACCCATCGTCGGTCCAACTACCGTGCCCAACTTGATCCTGCATTTGTTCCGCAGGTCGGTGGAAGGGGTTTGGATGTATCGTCAGGTCGACAAGTTTACTTGGAAATTTGAGCAGATCCAGAAGCTCCACTGGTAAGCACCGAAGTCGGTTCAGGGACAGGTTGAGACTTTGCAGGTTTCGTAAAGTGCCTATACAGGCTGGAAGTTCCGTGATTTTTGTCCTGCGCAAGCTGAGGACCGTGAGAAACTCGAGGTTGAAGATAGCCCCGGGGGCTTTCCGCAATGGATTGTTTGCAAGATATAGTCGTAACGAAGGGTCCTTGTGTTCGAAAGGGACACCCTCTGTGACGAATGGGATGTATGAGACTTCGGACAGTCGGCTGACCGTGCTGTTGGACACGGTTTCCAGGCCAAGACCACTGCCATGTGTCAGCGGATATAAGGAAACCAAGGTGTTGACAGGACTATTGGTCCGCTTTGAAGAATTGGGGTACATACGATAAGTCAACGTCCTCAATCCCTTGTTCGACGACTGTCTCAATCTTCTCTCTGACGAGCTCTTCTGTTTCGGAAAGTTGACTTGTAGCGATCGGGCGTCTCAGTTGAGGAAGCCTCGGCTCCGCGGGCGCAAGCTCGAATACGGATTCGCCCATGTCTAGATCGGCCGAGTCGTCGCTGCCCATCCACACTCCACTGTCCATTTGCCTCTCTAGTGTTCTCTTGCCACCCCTGGACTGGTTCCGCGTATCTTCGCCAAGTGCTGGGTCCGACGAGGCGAGCTGCTGCTGAAACCACGAACCGACATAGCGTTTCTTCTTGTGCCTGCCTTGGGTGTAGTTGTCCACGTGCGGATCATCGTCGCTCGAGAAGACGGCCGGATCACTCGAATTGTTGAACAACGGAGGTGGGGGGTTGAGGAGATTGCGCGCGCGTTTTCTGGTGTTTGCGAATGTCTCAGTTCCTGCGTCCCAGGACACGCCGGGCATCCGGGGGAGCGTCGGCTCGTCTGCCATGGTCGTTTCGAGTCCGCGGGGCGAATGCTGCAAGAGGACAGTTGACCTTGGCGTGTCTGGAATCACCGAGAGCAGAAGGAACCGCAGGCGAGCGCCGGAGACTATGCCTGAGACAAGTAAGCGAATACTTGTGTTCCAAGGCCGAGCGGGGGAACAGGATGCAGCGGCACAAGAAGTCGAAGCTTGGGGTCTCGAACGCGTGGAAGAGCAAGACACGCGCCGGTGCCGCTAGTAAACATCGGGCAGACAGGGGAAGGTGCGGAGCTTGCAGAAATGGACAGCGGGTGTGGCCCTGTCAGGCCCGCGTCATCGGCCCCACCTGCCGTATGTAGGAGGAATTTCCAGTTCAGGGTCCACAAGCTAGGCTGAAGGTCAACCAGGCAGCTCCTTTAAAACTTGCCTGCTCGAGTGTGTTGTGCAAACCAGATCCTCGGGTCGATTGTGCTTCATGAGCGTGAAGTCCTAGGCGAAGAGCTCTGGTCATCGGTTTCGGGAGAATTCCCGCTCTGAACTCGGGTCGTGTGACGCAGTTCTCTGATAGTCGAAGTCACTGCAGGCACATCATAGAGCGGAACGGGACTGTCTGATGAGAGCACGTGTGTAGATGCTGATTGTCTCATGTCTGAAGGTCCGCGTTGCGAGGGTAGTTTCGTGCTGGCGTGCGATCCAAATGCAGAACCTGATGATATGCCGAGTTCTGAATCTCCTCTTTCCCCTGGTCCCTTGCTCTCAGTCCCAGTCCAGGTCGTCGTCATCAGCCACCAAGTTGTGTCTTAAATTGCCGCTTTTTATGCCCTTTCCAGACATCAGCGCCTCCTCCTTGGCGTCCTCGGCATCTCTTTTCCTCTTGACCACGCGCATGTCCTTCTCGCCCACAGCACCTATCTCGACGAGTAAGTCGTCGATCTGAAGCATACCAACTCTTACACCACCCATCTGTACCAGCGTGACAATCTGTTTGACAATGTCACCATTCTTGTACACAAGAATGGTCGGGCAGTTGCGGTCGGGATAGCCCTCTATGGCCTTGTCTGCAGGGATCTCGCAGAATTTGACGTCTCCGTATTCCTTCGCCGCCTGCTTCCAGAGCTCCGACAATACTCTAGACTCAACATTGCTGCCCATGGGCGACGTCAAGTTGACGAGGACGGGTCCCTTGCTGGACGCCTCTGTGACTTCGCGCGAGTAGTCTGGTTTTGAGATTGGATAGACAGCCCCGTGTTTCGCCTTTTTCGTCAACGCGTCGAGTTCTCGCATGCGCTTCTGTCGGTATTGTTCCAAGAAGGCCTCGTCCTCGTCGTCCTCTAGCTCATCCAGCTCGTCGAGGTCTTTGCCTTCCAACCGGTTCTCGTGCGCAAGTCTCCGACCTTCAAGAATGGCCTCTTCAATCATCGGCGTCGGCGACGGGGGCTTTTCGGGGATCACTCCATGCTTGCGCAGGATTTCGTTCCTGTGGTTGCGCCAGTGGTCAGCTCAAGGCTCGGGGGTGCGAACTGGGGGAGAGAGGTGTCTTGTCACACTCACCACTCGGTGTCAGCGTTGGGGTCGTCGATAGGGACAGCTATCCGCTGTTCTGTTGGAGCTGCCATGGCTGGATTCCAATGGAAGGCCGACCCGAGCTTTCGCCAGCGTGGAATGCAATGCGGACTTTCGGCGGCAGGTCAAAGGTGCCAGAACTTCGCGGCACACCAGGGGATGCAGTTATGGTCACGAGGAACCACGGCGATTCCTGAAGAAGGCGGACGGTCGTGATGCAGGCAGCAGGATGCAGCTCCGATCAGTGTGCTACACGCGGGTTTCACTCTCCGATCCCCCTCCGCATCGCGCCTCCAAGAAACGAGGTGCCTACGACCCCACCAAGCCTCGGCGATTACGGATAAGAAGACTGCCTGGGGACCGTGGACATGTGTATCGTCAATTCAATGTCACCCATTGCATCAGACCGCAGCCTCGGCCTGATGATTTTGCAAGTCTTCAGAGTTGTGAAACAAAGAATCCCCTTGGGCTCCACGAGGCACCGAGGTGGCGCATCGAAGTCTTTGGCCCTCCGTGCATCAATCTGCGATGCGCAACGTGCATATTCTTTACACAGTCTGCTGGGCTAGACCGAACCAGACCACCAACGATTTCAATTGTGGAACATCGTGGAACTAGAATCTGGAATAGCCTGGATGAATCATTCGGCAGCATGTGCAGATTTCCCAGCACCGAGAGTCTGTGGCAAGGCGTGTAGAGTCATCGTTGTAGGCCCGGCGTCTTGCCACCTTGGACCTGACAGAGCAGCCGTGGTTCGACATGCGATGCTCTGAGTGGCCAGGATGGCTGCGAGCGGTGGATCCCTTTTACAAGGCCTTGCCCCGTTCAGGCTGGCGCTGGACCGCTGGCACAAGCAGCCGAAGCCCTAGCCCTGGGGAGAGAGAGAGGGAGGCAAAAAGCAGAGAAAATCAGTGTGCACGACCTGGTCCGTGCACCCTCCCCTGCGAGAGCACCTGGGTGGAGGGCCAGCTTCACCAAAAACAATGCACCCTCGCTTTTTTTCCACTACCCGCTCTCGCTTCCCTCTCCCCCCATTCCGGCCATCGATAATCTGCCATTTCAACGCCATCCAGATTTCGACACTCGACACCTGCATCACCCGTCACACACCCAGAGTAATCTCGGAAATCAGACAAGATGGTAAGTCGCAGTACTCATCGTCTTCCGCTCGGTCGCGCCCCCCGCACGCCAGTCGTCAAATCCCGCCGAACTTGAACAACGCAAAACGCCACCCTCGTGCCTCTCCTGGCATCAGCAACTCATACATCGACAACAAAGGCAACGACATCCCTTGAAGAAGGTGATCCTGCGACGACACAAACGAATCTTGAGGAGGCCTTGCCGTCCTCGAATTGAGTAACGAAGTTCCTGGGTTCCGATATATACCACTTTACCGGGGACACACCAGCGACACATCTCGATCGTACTTTCGTATACTGTTCAGTTTGGACGACGATCGGATCGTGCGGGACGGCTTGAACTTGAGAGCGTAGCATATGACCGTGCTCATCGAACGAAGTGCTGACGGATCGCTCATAGGTTTTGGCCGTTGATCTCCTCAACCCCAGCCCGGCTGCTGAGGCCAAGAAGCACAAGCTCAAGGTAAATTTTCCTCTTGACCCCTCACGCCTCGTGACAGCTTCGACTAACACGTTGCAGACCCTGGTCCCTGCTCCCCGGTCTTTCTTCATGGATGTCAAGTGCCCCGGCTGCTTCACCATCACCACCGTCTTCTCGCACGCCCAGACCGTCGTCATCTGCCAGGGATGCACCACCGTTCTCTGCCAACCCACCGGTGGTAAGGCCAGACTCACTGAGGGCTGCTCCTTCCGGAGAAAGTAGACGTATCGTCTTCTACTTTTCTTCGTCATTTTGGGCATCTCGGTCACGACATTATGGTACTTTAACGGACATCTGCAACGCACTCTCGGTGGCATGGGCGCATAGAAGGAAAATGGATCTTGGTGTCTGACAAGACACGTTCGACATTTCACGACAGCCTACGTTTCTCCCGGCATCTGCAGATAGACGACGGATACCAGAAAGATCCTCAATACAAAAAAGGGGCGTTTGGGGTCCTGATATCTTGCATCATCGTTTCCACGAATCAAAAATCTTGTTTCTCGTTATCCCTTCCCGCCACTACGGACCATGGACGACACGACAGGAGCGGCTTTGTTTCTGTTTGGGCATGGGTGGACAGCTGAAATGGCTCTTTCACATGAGCATCTACAGGCTTGGCCGTAGGTGTGAGGACGTGGGACGCTGATTGAGGATCGCTACATACCCCGCTGCAGTGGTTGGTGGTTCTCACTGTGCTATATGCGAATTCTAAAACAGTTCCACGAACACCCGAATCTCGCTGTGAATATGTGCTGCATACGTAACCAGGTGCATTCGTGGCTGACGATGTTCCAACACGACCCCAGTTTACTGGTACTTGCATGTCTTCTAACGAAACCAACATGATACAGTGCACTGCCTTGTTATGATGCTGCGCCTGATCGCTCAGCGAGCAGCTCAAACCCTCGAGTCCATGGATGTCCCAAAGGCTCTGCTGGGAGTGAAGCTCCGTAGGTCCTGCTCGTGTCAATGTGCTTAGGCCTACGGTCTGCCAATCGTGAAGTGGAATGGGTTTCCCCGCACAAAGATGGCACAGAATGGTGACGCAAACTCTATTAGCACGAAACAGCCAAGTGCGCAGAGCCTAATTTGCTGGTCTTACCTGCGCGCCATGACTCGAGGTCTAACCAGCTTCTGCCTGCACCCTAGACGATGTTCTTGAAGCGTGTACAGGAGCACGGCGAGACGTCCTCTGCCTTTTCCCAGTACTGTGAATGTTTCGTTCATCTCGATCGGTGCCGTATGATTTGCTTCTTTTCGCTCTGGGCCTGTGCTGCGCAGCTCATGTAGGCATGTGCATGCACGGAGTCATTGTGAATCATATCCACGGATGCTTGTTGCCTGCTGAGGAGGAGGCCACACGTGACCACTGTGCAAGTCTCCGTGCCTCCGGGCGTTGCTCAATTGACTGTTTGACGGGATGCCACAGTTTCAAGGCCGCCGACGGGCCTCCAGACTTTTCCCCGGGAGGGGACGTCTGCTGAAGATCTGGGGCATTTGATTCGTTGGCGAAGCTGGACCCTCTGCGCGAAAGGGTCCGGGCTGGGGCCTACTCGACTGGAGCACAATCTCCTGGCACCTTCCCCAGCCGACAGAATAAAAGCACTCAACGCGCTGGCACCGCGTCGCAGCGCGTGTCTGCGCCCCACTTGAGCACGCCAATCGACCCGTCTCAGAGTCTTCGCTCCCCTGCCCTGCCAGCGGCCGCCGCGAGGGCTTTTTTGTGCCAGCCAGCCCATTCATTGTCTTGCACAACCATCGTCATTGCATCCAGTTCCCAGCCTCGCTGCCCATCCATCACCTCGCCGCCCTCGTCCATTTGTACAATCTCCCCTCCATCTGCATCTGTCTTCTTCTATGCGTTCATAGCCAAACAGGCATTGCCATCCCTGCTTTTCCGCCCGTGCACACCCCAGACAAAGACCCCTCCGTCCCCATCATCGTCATCCATCTCACTTGGAGCCTCTGCTGCCCAATCCAGAGCCAGCTTACTGAGCTGTTCGCCACGACCCGCGAATCCCTTTCTCAGCACATCGCGCGAATCGTTCAGCTCATCAACTCTTGAACGGCTGCTGGTACCCGTGGACCGCTCGTGGCTGCAGCATCTTGGCTTCTCCGCATCACCCAGCTGCGCGACAAACATTCCAAAGGACGGACAATGGCAGCCCCTCGAACGAAGCGGCAGTTCGCCGGTGCTGCCAGCGACCCCGCGCAGCGTCAGATCACCGCCTTCTTCAACTCATCCGCCACGTCATCTGCATCGTCGACTTCGCATGTCGCCCATTCTGTCGCTCAATCAAACTCGCCCGCCTTGCCCGCATCGGTCCAATCCAACCTCATCTCGGTCGGCATGCGCGTGCGCAAGTCTGTGCCCGAGGGCTACAAGACGGGCACATACAGCGCCTTCTCGCTCTGGGACGACGCCAACACCACCGCCTCCTCCTCATTCTCCACAAAGAAGCAGAACGACTTCACCGGAGACTACACGGCCGCCAGCTCACCAGAGCGCAACCGGTCACGGGCAAACGCCTTTTCTACCCCACGCGAGCTGATGCCGTTCTGCGGCATCCACAGGGTCGGCGGGCTCGACGTCCAACCCGGCTGGGGCAGCAGCAGCTCGCACCCTCAATCTCACGACAGCCCCCTGGACGACTTTGACGACCTCCCCGGCCTGACGAGTAGCCAGGAGTCCGCCGTCAACACCGACTCGTGGGCCGCCGCCGCCACCAACGACATTGCCGAGACCAACAATGCCCGCAAGCGCTTCTTCGTGGACGAGGAGGACGGAGTCAGCAGCAGCAGCAGCACAAGCACGAGGAGCCTGGCGCCCATGGGCTGGGACAACGGGCGTCGTGTCATCGCAGTGCCCAAGAAGATGCGCTCGCGAGGCAAGCCGGCGCTGGCGGGTACACCTGAGCTAGCCGCTTCTTTCTTCGCTGGTCATCGCGCGTCCAAGCTCGACCAGGAGAATGTCATGGTCATGGACACCGATTTCGAAGAGGCCGACTTCCTCGACCAGCAGAAGAGCTGGGAGGTGGCCATGAGCGATGCGTGATGGATTTGCGTGTGTGTGAAAGAGAGACAGAGCGGAGACCCGGGACGGCTGACGACAGAGGATTGGAGCTCCAACACTAGGCGGATTTGTCTGTTGTTGTATGATGAAGACACCTTGGGTTTTGACAAGGGGTACGTGTTTTGAGATGATACCACGGGACGGATTTGAGAGGATCGCGCGTTTCTGTTTTTGGCAAATGGAACGATCTCACAAATTTAGAGGTCGCAAGGCGCATGGCATTTTCCTCGGGCGTTGTAGGAGCGTTTGTTTTAGATCTAGCACAGTCACTTTTTCTCTTTCTGGAATCAATGTGGTTCTTGATAACAAAACCTGGTCCCATTTGCGGTGCTACGACATTAGGGTATCCTCAGCGCTGAACGCCAGCCAACCAACCACATGGCAAATATATCGCGAATGTTCTGTGAAATATACACAGCACCACCATCATTTGGAGGCTCGTCAGACGACGCCACAGGCTGGTTGCTCGGCTCGAGTACAGACAACTCCTGATTTGGTCAGGAAACACGGGACAGATGCCAGAAGATCTCGCAGTGATGAGCCTCAAGACACGGATGGCAGCAGCAGTAGTAGCGGCGGCACCACGCCGCGAAGTCTCATGAATGCTACAAGGAGCCAAAGGGGTCCCGGAACTCGAGCAGGTCTCGCTGGCCATAAAACTCACCCGCCACTGTCAGGATCATGTTCAACGTGGCACGAACGTTCATCTGTGCCGCATTAACGGCAGAGTCTTGTTGCTCCCCATGAGGCTCGTCATCATGTGACGAAGGCTCTACGCTCTGTGGCTCCGGCTCGACAACAACGGCGGCATCGTCGTCGTCGTCGTCGTCAAGCTGTGCCAAAAGACGCGCCTTCATATCTTCCAGGCCAGAATGGTCCTTTGGCGGTTCCACATTGTCGTCGGAAATCTCACCATCATCCAGATCCATTGGCGCATCGTCGTCTTGGTTCTCATCTGTGTTTGCGGTTTGTGGTCTGGGGTCGGCGGTGCCATTTGGACCAGATTTCGAGTCAGCGGTGACTCCGAGGCTGGCTTCATCGGGACCAGCGGTTTCGGATCCAGTGTCATCCTCAAAGAGCTCGTCCACATCGACATCGCCATCGTTCTCGTCATCGCTGCCACCGACGCCATACTCCTCCTGCAGCACTTGCGCCTCCGCAAGACCGATCATGAGTAGCACGGCACGTTTTCCCAACTCACGAATCCAGCCGATCTCCTGGTAATCCAGCTCACCTCTGTCGGGCAGCCGAGCGAGCAGTGCCCAGATCCACGTGCTTGTGCGTGCTCGCAGCTCGACGCGTTTCCTGAGAAACTTGCCGCCCAGTATGATGCGCAACAAGCGGATGATGCTGTCCTTGTGCATGGCCGCGATCTGTACCGGCATTGGATCCGTCCCTCGGAGCCGTCCCGACCATTGTGGGAAGGCCGACGATGACCCGTTGAATCCGTCGACATCTGTGGGGTGCGTTCGTGGCAGGGCAGCGACGGCACTATCTGGTGGTTGTCGCTGGACGATTTCACGGAGCGATAAGTACCTCTGCGTCAGAGACGTAAAGTAAGCTTGCCTTATCTCGTCCACACTGCTGTTGTGAGGGCGGCGTTGTCCGCTGTCACCGCTCCAGTTTGAGCTGTCGTCAACATCCTCAAGGCCTTTGCCGGCCTCGTCGTCGTTCTCTTGGCTCCCGTAGGAGTCATCTTCTTCGTCCTCAGATCCGGGAGTCCCCGTGTAGTCATCAGGGTAGGCAATGTATGCCCCGTCGTGGTAATAGCCCCTAAAGTCTCCCGTGCCATCATTGTAGATGTCTCGATCGACATCCTGTGTCGTGCTCGCAAGTGAGGCTGACGGTGGTGGCTGTGGTCCTGCTCGTTTGGCGACGATGACGTGCGGGATGCCGGACGCTTCCTGTCTGTACTCACCGAATCAGTTCACGGGTCTAGCTGGAGCCACAAGAGCGAGGCCGCTGGAAAGAGGTGATTGGTTCAGCATTCGAGGAAGCAAGCAAAGAGGCAGGAGAATCTGTAAGGGCAATAGAGGGAGGGCTGCTTACCGAACAAGTCGCAGATAGGCCAGAGCCTCTGTATCGTCCTCGCAGTCCAGGTCGCTGTCGGCAGCAGGCGCAGTGGTGCCTATCTCGTCGAGGCTGCCGAAAGCATTGCGCTGGCCGTAGGTCTGGTCGACGGCCGCGTGGGAGTTCTTGCCGCTGCGCTGGGTACTGTTGTGGAAGTTGCGGCGCTTTCTGGCAGAGGTTGTCGCCTGCTCGTCTGCTGGTCGCTTGGAGCTCATGGCGTGGACTCCTTCTTGACAGGCGAGTGCGGTGCTTGGGAGAATGACGACGGGGGCATTAAATAATCCGGCGCCGCTGTCGCGACCGACGCGATGCGGCAGTCGCAGGTGCCTGGCCTGTGACCTGGAAATTTAAAGTGGGTCGACTCTGGCCCTCAAAAGACTCCTACTCAGGCAAGTTAAGATCACAAACCTAAGCTCTTCATAACAAGATGTTTACATAATAACATCCGACTCTGCTGCCCTGTCGTCGAGCTGTGATATTGGCCCGTGCCTGCTCAATTGCTGCCATTGGACAGTGCATTGGTGGAAGCCATATCCCCAGCTGCCCTCTAGGGATAGCGTAGCTCCCAGGTCTAGTCCATGGCTTGTCTCTCTAACTCGACCTCAACGTGACCCATCACATCTGACAAGACACCAGCTCCAGGTCTACCCTCGCAACCAAGCCATCTTGCTCGTTCCCAAACCGCACTCGTGTTCCATAGCCGCTTCAGGCGTGGTCGTTGATCCTTTGATCGCGCGACGGGTCGGCCCACGCAGCTGGTGACTATCATGCGTTCCAGCCTAAAGTCCCCCCAAGAAGCACTTCAAAGCCTCCAAACCCGATAAGATGAGGCTGCCACAGTCGTTCTAGCATATGCCCACGACTCTGTTCATCATGCTTGGCTTGGCCCTTAAAGAAGAACAAGGCAACGGTTGCCTTGATGTCCAGCCCCTCATCCTCGGCTCCAGCAGCACCCGGCGTATGCCAACTCGACATTGGTCTCGAGCTCTTGCAGGCTAATTACTCTACAACACAATCCCGGTCTCAGCCGAGGGCCGCCGACCAAAGCAAGGAACGCTGGCACGGGCTCTGACTCGGGGTCTGAGGCGCCTGCATGACGGGGCGTGTCAGACTCGATCGGAGCATGACATCAAGATGGGTTGCAGCAGGTCCAACAAGACGGCAATCAGGCTGCCATCAGGTTTGCCGTGTGATGCAGGCAAGGATTTCGCCATTGGTCTGGACAAGACGCTACTGTAGTGCACAAGGCGGCCAGCAATGGTGCGGCACAGCACAGGCACGGGATGTCCCGCGATTCGTATATTGGCAACAATGCTACCATTGCCCGATGGTCACCCATACCAGCAGCATATCTCGGTGGGCGAGCCTCGCAAGGAAATGCTTCCAGGGCTCCAATATTCATGCTGATCAATGGCAGGACACGGTTTGTAGAGCAAGGAGGGTTCAAGAGTGCCCGCTTCTTCCTGTGGCCTTGGTGCGTTTGTCGGAACCCTACGCCGGTTCGTGCTTACCTACGTCAAGCATCGTCAGATCGGTGAAGGCCACTCCACACATGCTGCCTGGCATGGAGCCGCAACTAGGCAAATGCACCGTGCATGGACCATGACAATGTAGCACGGACTAGTGAGCCCCCCCCCCTCTTCATCCTTGTCGAACTTCGGACGCAAGTCCGAAGTTTACAGCCTTGCCGTCCGTCCTGCTCCCTGACTCTCGGCGCTGGTCCCGCGTTTGTGCAGCCTTGAATCTGCATAGCACCTTGACGGCCGCTATCTGGCAATTTCGATTTGTGCTTGGCACCAGCGAAAGACGGCATGACTCGCAACTACAGGTTTCTTGGGATGTAGTGAATTGTAGGGTTTTGGGGGGGAGTGTCTTGGCATTGAGCATGCGCTGATCGCTCGTCCTCGGGAATGCTAAGGATAATATACTGCTGAGAAGTGCTACGTGGTCCAAGCATAACAAGCGATTCCTCAAATGCAGCAAGGTCAATAATGTCTTCATCACAATTACCAAGGTAGACACCCTCATAAGATTATCTTCGTAACCCGGTGTCCTTTCCAGTCGTGCAGAAAAGAGCAGGCATATTATATTAGCAACCCTTGTCGCATTCAAAACAAGCATTATAGGTTGCTTTCCTATTTCCGACTGGTGGGTTTGGGGTCCTTGGATTTGACCAGTCCTTGACGAGATACTTGGCGACGGGCGTACGTATGTCAGGCAGATGTTATCAGTGTTTCTCCTGCTCCCAGGAATTTTCTGAAGTCAATAAATGAGCATGCATCCAGTTTGCCCAAGGTTCATAAGCCACCCAGGAAGAACTGTCCAATATTATGGCATTGGGCACGAGCATTCTCAACTCGGGGAACCTGGAAACACTTTACAAAAAGTGGGACCCGGACTTGGGGTGCATCAGTTGACCGCTGTCACCACACTCGTTGAGGGAATGGAGTCCGCAGTACAGACCCCCGACAACAAAATTGGTACAAGAGATACCAAGGTGTGTGCTGTGTTCCTGCCCAATAGTCAACGTCGATGCAAGTTGAGCTCGTGGTTGCGCTTCTTGAACAATAATGCACACTTACTACGGTGCCTGAGGGTCAGAATGGGTGCCTACATGCTTAGGCATAGGACGAAAATCAGCTCCTATGTATTACATGCTGGTCATTCTCATGAGGAGTGGAAGCGAAACTGGTACAAGTGGTGCTTAGAGTATGGACATAAGCACTTTCCCACAAAAGATGTGCATTTCTTACCAGTTTACGAGCTTCCCCAACGGTTTTCGAATTTTATACGTCCCACGAATTTTTGTGGCGTTCACGGTTGCTGCCCTACCCTAATGTGGGCAGGCAGCCATGCAGGAAAGCATGTGTAAAGCTATGCGCGTTCTGTCAGCGCGTTCACATGTGATGTCATCGGGCGAGGGCCACGAAGTCTTGTTTGTGGCGCTTTATACTGCAAATGGGCGTGGCAGAAGGGCAGTTTTCAGGTCGGGCTTCTTGCTTGCATGCTCAACGTGTTGACCAGTATGGGTAGGCCTCCACGGTGCCCTGATGCCGGCAGGGCATACTGTTTTCTGTTGGGCATCGTTGTCTTATATCCGCAGCGCAGACGTTGGCATCACGTTGAAGATGTGCGATTATACACGACACCTATCCCGGCGGGAGAACCGGGAGCTGTTACGCCTGCGGGACCTGCCCAAGCGTAGGGCGTCCTGCATGCGATGTCGCTGTTGTTCCTAGGATATTTTTCCAGATCCACCCAGGTAGAGCCACTGACGTTGTACGACATAGAGCAAGATATTTCACTCTGACGCGAGGTTAATAAGCGCAAACTACGCCGATGTGGTTCCTGTGACACAGGGCTCGCTTCCAAATCGCATGCCATGGCTAGCGCCTCATCGCAAGTCCGCGGTGCCGAAATCAGATGTCCATCGGATGTTCTTGATGGCGTCTTGGATGATTTGTGCCTCGAAAGAGTGCCGTGCAGCTGAGACAGCCGTAGCGAGGCCCGGAAACGTATCTCTGTGGAAAATGTGTCGGCGGCAGCGCAATACTGCACGCGGAAACAATGCACCGTCATGGCTCGCAACGGGCATCGATTGGAGCTCAAAACGAGGCCGACGGGTCCCAGACACTGATCACATCCCGAGGTTTGGTTGGGCCCCAGAGCTTGAATCCGCGGCCGTGTGGCGGACCGTCATCCAAATGGCTTCGCCAACCCTCCATGACAGGTGGCAAATGCTCGAGAAATGTAGGCCAATCAACCAGAGTTTTCCGTCTCATTTCGCCGCTGCTGACTGTTGCCTGCTCTGAGACTCCTGCCGTGGATTACTGAGTGGATGTGCCATGTATATGGATCTTGGTCGACTTGTTACATTTGCCTCGTTTGTGGCCAGCAAGTGGAAGGGCGACAAGCAGACTGGATGACGGCGTGGGCCAGCTCGCCTTGCCCAGGGCGCTTCGCTGACGCTGGCGGATAGGAGACTGAATCTGGGGAATCCAGGCTTGACCAGGTCAGCTGCTCAAGGACGACAGGCTCAGCTGCTCCTCGAGGATGCCCGATGGTGGTCAGACATCGGATGCCTAAGAGAACAGAAGCGCGTGCGCTTCAGGAGTGGCACTTGATCAATATTGAGCATCGATGCAGTGAGTGCACACCGTCAACACCACGCTGAAGCTGATTGCTCAGTAGCAGGGGCCCTGTCACAAGCTCATTTCGATCTTGAGCCAACTGATACCTACTGGTTGCTTCTCGATATGTGGAGTAGTGATTGCTATGGCTCGATATGTAACCAAGCTGATATGAGTACGCTATGCGACCGGCCGCTGTTGGCAGTATCAAAGAGGCGAGAAGTGGAGAATGTCGTTATTGTTGTCGGGACAGAGCCGATTCGTAGCGAACCACGTCCAGACAAGGCTGTCTTCTGTCGAGGGAGAGTTTGCAGCGATAGCCTTGTGCGAGGCTTTGGGAAGGACGAACGAGGATGCGACCCTCCCAGGGTGTGAAGTGCGAAGACATCGGGATTCTTGATGCTTATGGTCAAGATATGGATGAGGCTTGGGGTCCGAGTCGCTGTGGAGATGCAGAGCTGCCTGCACAGCGATGGCCCAATGTCTCAGCGTGCATTCACTGGCCGGCTATAAAAAGTCGAAGCTGAAGACCCGTCGTCAGCCGGTGATCGTACACCAGGCCGAGATGGTCCGCACGCGTAGGTGGTTTGCCTCTTTGCCTCTGTGCTTCTCGGCTGCCTGGTTCGTGCTACTCCAGGCCAACGATGTTGGAAACATGATGAAATCGTGACTTTGATGTTGTTGCAGATGAGCAGGGAGCAGATGCCTTCTCGCCAGCCGACCTCAAGGCTGTGTGGCTCCCCGAGATCGGGCGTCTTCCGACTTCGGTGAGAGAGCCCGCCACAGACCATCTCGGTTAGGTCCTGCATTGAAGGCTACTCAGTCAGGTATTCCTTGGGCAAAGATGCCAGGGCGCAGGATATGAACAAAGTCGTGCGGCTGGGGACAACAAGCACGTATTTTGCGCCTCCAGGGCTGTCCCTGAGCTGGCCCACGCAATGTCCATCCCTGTAGCAATAGCCCCGGGGAGCTCGACTGCCTGCGGGTACGTACCTGCTTTTGGTGGTGCGCGCACCATCAGCCAACAGAGGCAGGCACGCACTGACTTGGGTTTCTGCAGGCCCTGTTGGCGATATCTACCTAGGTGATTGTCACCTTTAAAATAGCGCCTGAGCCCGCCTCCGACTGACATGCCTACTCCCTCCGTATGACGTCCTGCGTCGATGCTACACCTCTGCGAGCGAGAAGCCAAAGACTGAAAGTGAGTCCAATCCAGCCGCCTGGCGCGTGCCGGTCTGCACTGCTTTACTATCGCCCGCCGAGGGAGAGAGAGGGGAGGCTTCTGTTCTGCGCCGCTGTGGACACCCCACCTTCATGACGGGACCATTTGCCGCCTCCCCAGCTTGACTCCCCAGGCCTGCCTGCCTCGCCTCTCCGCGCCTCCAAGCTGACGTCTTGCCTCAGATTCAACCGCTCCGGCATTCACTCAGTCTCGCGCGAGCCTGCACCTGCTAGCCCGCCCTGTCGCGTGTTTGGAAGCTGCGCCATATGCAGGAGCAGACGCCCAGCCGGCCCAAGTTTAGATGGTGGTTCGAGGTTTCGTCGTTTGATACTGCCACTGTCCAGATCCTGCGCACACGGCATCCGTGCTACTCGAGTCCCTGAGCCCGAGGCAGTCTACTGCCCGCAAAAGCGTGCAGATTTCTCCTTCTTATTCTTCGTCATAAATCATGTCCAAGGGCAAGGGCATCGACAACTCGTACACGAGCTTCCTAAGGCGATCTGCAAAGATCAGCTGTCCTCTGGGCGGCTGTGGCAAGGACGTGGATGCTGTCGAGAACACCATCAGGGAGCACATCAAATCAGCCCATTCGGATATGCTGAGCACGCGCGACCTTGCGGTCTTGGTCTCCGAGTTTCGCAGGTAAGTGTGGTGTCGAGCTCCCCGGCATGTGGCACTATTTCCCGCGCGTCATGCCCATGCTCTCCTGTGCCTGCGGCTTTTTGAAGACTCTAGGCCACGGCAAGCGACCTGCTCAACGTCTCACGTTCCCACGCTGACTTGGGACGGCAGACCGCAAAGCAAGAAGCCAAGTGCGCCGAGCTCTCCGCAGTCCGGCATCCCATCGTTGGTTCCAGAGGTGGACAAGGACGAGTCGCCCTCCAAGGGAGACGCATCGCCTTTGAACCCCAACAAGAGGATCAAGAGCCCGAACTCTTCCGCCAGAGCTCGAGGCCGCAGCTCCAGCCCACAACGGCGATCGAGGGCACAGTTCAACGCCAAGATCGACCATGACCCCGACTTTAAAAGGTCGACAACGAGCGGTGGCTCCTTGTGGACACCGCAAAAGGGTGGCTCGTCGCAGAAGCCCACCAGGCCGCGGGTTGCCGAGCCGTTGCCTGCGGCTGTCGAGGAGCCCTTCAAACAGCTCGAGACTCGCCCAATCAGTCAAGATCAGCTTGTTGCAGAGGTGAAGGGCATCTACGCCGGGCTGGTCATGGTCGAGTCAAAATGCATAGAGGTTGATAATGCACAGTCCTCACAGAATGATGCAAAGTTGAACAACGAACAATGGCAAGCCCTGATAGCTCTTCATCGGACACTGCTCCATGAGCATCATGACTTCTTTTTGGCCAGCCAGCATCCAGCGGCAAGCCCGGCTCTGAAGCGACTTGCCACCAAATATGCCATGCCCGCGCGTATGTGGCGCCATGGCATTCATTCATTCCTCGAACTTCTCCGGCATCGTCTGCCAGCCTCGCTCGAACACATGCTCACATTCATCTACTTGGCTTACTCAATGATGGCTCTCCTGTACGAGACCGTTCCTGCATTCGAGGACACGTGGATCGAATGCCTGGGCGATCTCTCTCGCTACAGGATGGCGATAGAAGACGATGACATTCGTGATCGGGAGATCTGGACATCAGTCTCCCGCCACTGGTACTCCAGAGCAAGCGACAAGGCACCTCCGACCGGTCGCTTGTACCATCACTTGGCCATCCTGGCCAGACCAAACGCCCTGCAGCAACTCTTTTACTACACAAAATCACTTTGCGTGCCAGCACCTTTCCTTTCGGCGCGCGAGTCTATCCTTACGTTATTCGATCCGCTGCTCAAGAGACCAAGCAAGGCTCTCAAGCTCGCGTCGATCGAAGCCGAGTACGTCAAGTGTCATGGGATCTTGTTTACTGGACAATCTCGGGACGAGCTCGAGTCTTCAACGAATCGTTTCCTTGCTGCGCTGGACAACCACATCACCAAAATCGGCAGGCGCTGGATGGAGTTTGGCTATTACACGGCTGTGGCCAACAGCTGTGCCATCATGGGCTACGGGAAGGAGGACAATTTCATTGCGAAAGCTTTTCAGCAAAAGGCTGAACCCGCCGAAGCACAAAATCTCAAACAGGAAGCCACGCCTCATGACACTGCATCGGACCCAGACGTGCAGGATGCTCTACGATTGGCAAATGGAACGGCAGGCGTTGTTCTGAAGCGGCGTGGGGACGACAGCGTCTTTCCGTTCTTCCACGTGTCCTTGGCGTTTCTCTATCATGCGGCTCAGTACAACAACGTTGTTGGCACGGTCGGAAGATCGTTCCCTTGGGAACTGGTCTGTGAGCTGCTCAATTCGATGCTTCTCTCATACCGCACCCACGAGCGCCTCCAGAGCAAGGAGTTTCCTTTGCCTGCCGGCAGGGCGACTCCACGCCCCCTTCCCGAAGATTTCGCCATGAAGGGGCTGACGTGGACAACCAACTATTACCCAGATGACTTCTTCTCGGATGACAAGATCGACGATGATGAGAAGTATTTTGAAGTCGCTTCGATGACTGATGAGAGACGTGAGCGGATCTTGTGGTTAGCAGCTCGTCTCGCGGAAGGCCAACATTGGCTTGCCGTCAACGAGTCGTTCACCACGTTCAGTCTTCTTGACGCCACCATTAACGACGCAGGGCACTCGTCGACAGTACCTTGCGACGTAGTCATGACGGATGCCGATAAGCCTTTGTGATTGGCACGCCAGTCATCTGTGTCCGCCCGTTGCCCTGATGTTGTCATCAATGGTCAGAGCAGGTTGGCATCACTTTGCAGAACGCGGAATGGCATCACGAGGGTTCTTCCCCCACCGTGGACGCGATAGATATACCCAAGAGTATAACCACGGACAAAGTGACCATGACCGTTTGAGTATAGCGAACAGAACAGCCGACTATTCATCAATGGGTCACATGACCAACCAACAAAGCAGCCTTTGCATACGGCCCGCTCGGTGATTCTCGGCAGGGACATTCTGCAAGCCATTTCACCAAGAAAGTGCCAATAGCGCAGGTTGATTGGTCCTGCCGCAAGGCTACGGGCTCCGTCCTCGCGCCAAATCAGAAGGAGGCAAGGCTTCAACCGGGTATGGTACCCGCAAGGGTTCGGCACCATTGTCCAGCCACAATCCGATTTAGGAAGCCTTCCCCAAGAGTTGCGGCTCGACGCGACAAAAGTGACAAGGCGACCTTGCAGGCACTGGTGTGGGCTATCATGGGGGCGGGTTGGAGACAGTCAGACGACCGGCTCGACCAGGCAAGCTGGTCATTCATTGTACATGTTCAAGTGTTTGTCACAGTTATACCTGAGGGATTTTGGGGTAGGGTAGTCTGAGGCGCCGCTTCTTTGCCTTATTTTCAGAGGACAAGAAGAAGCGTGCACACCCTCGAAAACGGTACCTTGCCATCATAATGTCTAATTCGCAGGCTCGCAATAGACAAAGTCAGTTCGCGCAGGCTTCCTGGTGCGCACCATTCGGTCGAGTTTGCTACTGCGGCAGCATGCGCCGCAAGGCGATCCGAGGGTGACACAAGATGCAACATGGCCGACAACCGGTGAACGCATCTTGACATATTCACGTGGCCGATGCCAGTCTCGGCGGGTTACCACACACCGAGGCAGAAGAATGACGGGCATGCACCAGCAGGGACATTATATCGGCGGGCGGGCGCTTGCCAGGGTGTTGCGGTCAGCCTTGTTGCCCGAACCAGAATCTGACACGACCGACAGCTAGGTAACCGAGAATTTTCGCTGACAGTGCTGACAAGTAAGACGGAGACCTCCTTTTCCCCTTGGGGTATTGTCCCTTGCGCACGCGTGTCCCGGAAACCAATCTAATTTCGTTTGCCCCAAGGAATGAGGCGGCCGAGGCAGCGAGGCTGAGCCTCTTGAAGGCCAAGGTTTGCACGGGGCGGGGTGGATTGTTGCCTCGTTATTACTTGACTGGAAGCAGAGGCTCGGAAAAAATGCCAGAGCGCCGCTTCCTCCGGAACTGGGGGGGTCCTTGCACATGGTGTGTGTTCTCGAAAATCCTGTTGCCTGCTCGGACTTGGAGGAAGAGTGTGTCTCCCTGTACGTACCCGCTTGGCCACGTGCGAGAACAGAAACCAGATGGACAATCAGAAGGGAGAGGAATTTGTTGTGCTTTCTTGCACTATTTTTGGGGGGATGTCATCGGAGCTGCACGTCTCGCTGGCGCCAGCAATGCATTTCTAATGATGAAGCCTCAAGCTTTTGTGCAAGTTACTGTACTACCATAGTAGGTAGCCTGAGATGTAATGTAGTTGGGGGGAGGATGGGGGCCGCTTTGTTGCAAATCGTTGAGGGGGAAAAGAAGTGGAACTTTGTTCAACCCCTCTTGACCTGCAGAACATGTCTGCTCTCTGCCGTGCCGCACTGCATTACAGTTTCTTGGTCTGGCGGCGGTTACGGGACTCGATGCTACTCTGTACTGTAGAAGCTTGCCCAAGTAGAAGAAAGAACAAAAGTAAGAAAAATGGAACGGACAAGGAACGGGAGCGGGACATCACGGGCGTCCTTGGCGGCACACGCAACATGCAGCTGCACGGCTTCTCCCTCTCCCTCTCCCACTCTCTGACACACACTCGAGAAAATTGACCACACGGATCGCATCCCACGTGCCTGGAACCAGCCGGTCAAAAGCGCGGGCGCGGGCGCGGGCGGGTAGGCTGCTGGCTGCCCCCCCCGGCGGGCCAGGGTGTGACCCCTTGCTTAGCGCGGTTGCCTCGTCTGGCAGCCTTGTCTTGGAGTGTGTGGTGGCCGGGGAAGCCGCCCGCTTTGCTTTCTGGCAGAGTCCCCTAGAGCTAACGTTAGCAGGCAGGAGAACCGGGCAGGCAGGACGCGAGGTGGGCGGCTGGGCTGGGTCATGATGGTGTCATTTTTCCGAGCTGGCATTTTCTCCTTTGAACAGGCTGCGAAGCTGCTCATCTGGGATGCACGAGGCTTCATTTCTTCAAAGCAGGAAAAGGGGGGGTCGGATGATGAAGAAGGGGGGAGGGGGGACTGACCTCACCTGTCTCTGTCTGGTTTGCCCACCGACCATCGATACGCCCCAGTTGCTTGTGTGTAGCGGCTGGCTGCGACTGTCTTGGAGAGGGGGCGGGATACCATGTCCAAGCATGCTTGTTCACAATAATAATGTGGGTGCTCAGTACTATGGTATGTCCAGCACCGCAGTGCAGCATGCAGCATGCAGAATGCAGAATGCAGTAGGCCGGCCACGGCGGGCTGGCGGCGTCGTCACCGCTCGTCCTTTGGCGCGCTTCTTGTCTACTATGTAGATATGCTGCATGTTGTTCGTGCAGGGGGGGGGGGGGGTCGTATCTGCCTCACACCACCACAAGTTTGTAGTGGTTGGCAACCACCAAGCACCCATGATGCAGAGGCTGTCGCAAAGAGGAACAAGGCACAATGTTGTCACATGTTGCGCGACACATCTGTCTCAAGGCGGCCTATCGCCCCGTCCACCACACCCGCAGCCTTGCGTCAACGCGGCAGAGAGAAACCTGCTGCGATGATGGCTCTGGTCCAAGGCAGAGACGACGCCTGGCATCTGACGATATTAAACTGCGACAACCTGGATGCATCCTGCCCGATTACTCCGCCAAAGGGCATGCGAGTCATTAAGGCGACCAGATCATGTATCACATACTTTTGGTTGCCTCCTGTAGGATCCCATCTCGCGGACCGACGTGTACGCCTATTACGTGTTCAACCGATGCATTACTTCCTTGTTTCTCAATGCCTTCCCCACGAGAACCTCTGCGTTCCCACAAGGGAAGAAGATTGATTGGAGAGGGGCGTCGGAAGAGACACCTTGTCTGTTGCTGTCGAATCCGGAGCACCGACTGGCCTGACTGCATTGGACTTGTGCTGCTGTGGTTGAAGAGTATACGTGTGTGTATATGTCGAGCATGCGACACCACCACATGCCAAGTCCCACGGATGCGATTGTCTCGAACAATGGAGGTATATTTTCACGTATTGCTCTTATTCTCACCTTCAATGCACACTTGGGTGAACACGGTGCCCGTCCGTGACACCCCATGGCAATACGTGCTCTGCAACAACTGGCAGCTGGACGATACATTGCTGTGCGACCGACAGCTGCGAGGTATTCCCACGCAGCAGCCGGTGCGAAGACGTGTGTCGATGTTGTCATGGCTCTGGCGGGCAAGGACTCGACGTCCAACATTCAGGTTCCCCGGCGATCATGGATCGTTGGTTGGACCACGTGTAGTGTGGATAGAGTTCCGGATAACCTATTTTCGTTCCGCCCAGGGAACACCAAAAAGCACGGCATGCTGCATTACTATATGCAGAAATCTCCTGCGACCCCGGGCCGCAGTCAAACCGCAACCGATGCTGTGCGCCGTCATCCGCGCAGATGCGTACCACGGCAACGATCGGTCGGGATGGCGGGAAATACAGCCTCATCTGCTGGAAGCCGGCGGGGAGACATGCTGCTAGCCGTCCGGTCTTGGCTACCGCACTGCATTCGCCGAGTGGCCCGGTGTCGGTATGCAGCTGCCCGCGAGGCGTGGCCGGGTGGCGTCATGTGTTGTCCTCCAGAAAACCATTTTATCATTGGCGATTCTGCAATGCTTCCTTTTGCTGTACGTGGGCGGCTAAACTTGGGATTAACTGGTGACAGGACCGGGGACCAACCCTTGTGTGTGTATAGTTTTCTGAGCCTATGCTGTTTCCTTCGGGCATGGTTACCGACAGTTCCGTTCATCTTTAAGGGATTTACTATTGTGGCAACCAAAACAAGTAACAGCATATAAATGAAGACCATGGTTAGGTTGTGATAGATGAACGCCTGTCCCTTGATAATTTGTAAAGGACCGCTAGTTCGTCTCAACTGCTTTGTTCCACGTAGCCCAAATGCTTTATGTATCGGGTGCTTGAATTTTTGTCTGCTGTGCTCGGCTGAAACCGATGTGCACCGTCCGATGGAATATCTGAGAGCCCTTCACAGAAAAGCTTTCACACAGTGGTCTTCAGGCAAAGGACATCCTGGACCTCGGCAGACTGGAAACACCTTGGCCAGACGCTCACTATACGGTTGAGATCACTGTAGGTCAGAAACATACATTTTGTGCAGGACTGGTAGAGACAAGGGACTCTTGCCCCTAGCTCTCAAATCAATAACGATCTTGGATGATGTCAGTCGCTGAATCTCGATATCCGAGCCTGTATCGTGTCTATCTTGTATCATGTCTCGGAACCGTTGCCTCGGTGAAGGCTAGGCCCTCTCGCGTGAAAATGAGTGTCTCCCTCTCCCCCTTCAACCTGAGTTCGAGCCATCTCGTCCTCACCATATCCGCAGCACATTTGTGAATCCGACGAGACCGAGGGACTATGCAAATTTAAGCTCAAAACAGACATGCTCAGCCCGGGAAGCCACGTGGCGGCGTCGCATTCCGGCTGCGGCACACACCCCTTGCCACCAGGGCCGGTCGTGACGATCGGTCCCGAGGACCCGGGCCTCTGGGGCCAGATGTGGACCAGGCCCCCTGCATCAGACACCAGTTTCCAGCTCCGAGGCCTCTGGTGCCTTAGTTTGCGATGATTCTTGAGCGTCCCGGTCCTGAGAAATATCGGAAGACTTCTATTGTGTGGTTGTAGGATTTTGTGTGTGAAGCCATGGCCCATTGAGGGTCTTGATGTGAACTCTGCCAGGATGCTTGCAACACGACTTGAAAGACCATGACGACGAACTCACTAGTATTTATTGGACTTCGAGAGGACCTGCGGAGAGAAGATGATCCCGTCTCAGACAGCTACTTGCGGTAAAAAGAAAATAGAGGCCGTGGCGACTGGCTGACAGAGTGCGCTCATAGACATTGTGCAATGATTACCCAGAGCGGGAGACCGCCGAAAATGCTTCCCAACACTCAGTCACTGTCTCGATATCAACAGCGATGTTTGTGTTGCGCAATGGAGAGAAATACGCGGCCTGAGAAGTGGAATGCTAGCTTCATTGTAATTCCTCATCCCAACCATCGACAACGTACGCAACGCTTTTGCAAGTAAACTTCTGCTGTTATATTTTGTCTTTGATCTCGTCTACTAAAACCCTAAAGTACACTCTTTGAGCAAAATTAGTACTTTTGTCTAGAGCTGGCCCCCGCCCGAGCTGGGATTCTCTCTTGCAACTCGATGAGGCCTCATTTGTAAGAATTCGCTCGGTGTTATCTGGCTTTCCTCGTCTCGCCTGCTTCATCGAGGTCCGCAGCGTGATACGATCTGCGTTGCTCCCAAGGTCTTAGCCCTCCAACCAAAGTGAACCAGGGGGAAAGCTGTTTACTCACGCGGCAAATCAATTGGCCCTACACGAACGACAAGTGACTTCACAAGCAGGATCCAGTGACGGAGGAGTCAGGGGAGCCCCTAGGCGAGGCATTCTGGCTGTTTATCGAAGCCGGCCATACAAGTTACTGCCGCCAACCTCTTAGATGGCGACACGTTTGGTCTGGGTACAGCCCACCGAATAGCAAGAACGAAGCAGCTGCGAATATCCCAACATAATCGAGGATTCATTACAGGAATCCAGGCTCGCCTGGGCACGCCATCGATTCAGCGAGGACTAAGCCGTGACGTCAAGTCGTCATGGCAGGGCTCCTGTTGTCTCACAAGGACAGACTTTGCTTGGCCCGACGTACCATTTCGCGGACTTTGACTGCAGCGAGAAAGTGAAATGCACAGGCGTCAGTCAACTTGTAGACGCCAATTATGAACCCCAGCTTATACTGGGCCTAGATCCGCGGGACCAGGTAGACAAGGATCCTAAGCTTGCGGATGTAAGCTAGGAGGTGGTCGAATTCATACTTCATTGGGATATTACAATTAACTGGGATTTATCGGCTCCTGGCAATATCAGGCCAGACGTTGCGGGCAGGCAGGATGAAGTGACGAGACCTTAGTGACGGGAAGTCATGCGTGAGCGTTTGCATCAATCAAAACTACACCTCGCCTATCTGTAACCTTGGAAATGACTTGATGTGATTAGATTTCTGGACATGGGGATTCTGACTAGCATTGGATTCTATCTAAACTTGTTTCGGATTTGATATTGTTTCCGTATCGAGAACTTCAACGTAATGAGGCTCGGAGATTGGACATCGACACTGGCCGATGCAGTAACCCACCACCTTGTAAGCGGGTTGGCTCGTCCGGGCCATTATGCCTAGTATTTTGTATTGCTAGCGACGAGAACATATCGTCCGTACAACCACTACCTGAGCTATGAGCCAAGAGCACATCAATTTCACACAGGAGCCCGAAGTCAAACGCATGCCGGATGGGATGGCATGGGTCAACAGTCTGTCTTTCGGGACTGGCACATACATGTGAAACAACTCAGGGAACAGTTCTCCAGGCATGTTGACACACGAGTCTCTTGGTGATTTCGAACCAAGGACTGAGAAGTTCGCTTCGCGGTTGAACTCTGAACAAACCTGAAAACAGCGCTGCCAGTCAAAGTATGCTCTGACTGGGCAAGTGCTGGGAAGGGGTTCTGCCGCCACAAATTAACACAACAGCGATCGATAAATGGACGCGACGTTGACTGTGTCGAGAGAATATCCGCTCTGTCGAGCCGTTGAGTAGTTCCCATTTTTGTGCCCGTGACAGCTAAGACCAGCAGCGATCCTGTCCGGGTCGGAGACACAAGGCCATCATTTCGGTCCCTCTCTGCAGCAAAGGCACCCAAGAGCCATAGCGCCGACACACGATTTGCAGGCTTTCTTGGGCTGAACAGTGGAACCGTGACTACATCCCTTTCTTAAGTATCCACCTCATGGAGACCCCCATCTGGAAAAGGACATCATGTGGAAACAAACGGATTTTAGACCGTATGCTGCGTACTCCTTGTTCACCCCCGTTACAAGTCGCGAAATCTCTCGAGGGAAAGTCAGATTAGTCGTCAGAGAACGAGCAAACCGCGCTCACGATTGCAAATCTGTCAAACCAGCAGCAGCCGGAGAGAACGTACGGCTGTTGGCTGTCAAGATCACCCCAGCCGCTGCAAGAACCCGCGCCCCCAAGATCTGTGTCACCACCACCACCCACCCGCCCACGCCCCCTACCATTTCCCGCCGCACTAGAAGCTTCGGCACAGCCGGCTGTCTGCCCACGTCCCATTCTACAGCGGTCGTTGCGAAACTTCCTCTAGGGGAATGCAATGTATGACATGCAGGCCGGATCAGGCTCTACACCGCTGCCGCCGTGCCGGGCTGTAGTGACGACAGGTAAACGAGGCAAGAAGGAATGTTTCTGTGTTTGGCCAGCCGGTTAAGCTGTGAGAGAAGGAGGGCTTCACGGGACCACGGCAAGCATCCATGGTGACACAACCACGACTGGCAGCAAGGGGGGGTTCGAGTGAACCAACAGGTAAGGTGACGCCCGCCAGGCATGCAGGTTGCGTGACATGTTGGTTGGCGGCCCCCTCATCCCTGCTGCTCGAACGCAACCATCACACATAACGCCATCGCTGCACGCCACAGCGCTTGGCTTGGACATTAGATGGGGCTCGGATCACGAGCAGGATGTTCTACCAGATTTACGAGAAGTGAGAGTGGCATTCGCTGCTCGCGGAGCCCGGGGACAGGCATCGGCGTCTGGAACTGTTGTTAGTGTGCAGAGCTGAAAGAGGTTGATGGGCCTCGATCAAAGCCAGTCCAGACAGCACCGGCGTTCTCCGTCTGCCTCGAAACGGATGGGATGAACACGAAGATCAAAGACGCAGCCTGATGAACTCTGCAGGATCAACCAAGCCCCTGTCCTGGTCTTGCATGAAGAAGATGGGCTCCATGTGCAGCTCGTGTCAGCCATGGCCATTCTGGCGTGAATGCCCCGAAGGTCGTTCCGAAGCTTCATCACTCCAGCGCGTCACATTTCTCGGGCGTGGAAATGGAAAGGCAGAGAACGGAGAGACCATCACCATCTCTGGGTAGGACTGCGACTGTCCAGCTGGCCGCCTAGGTTGGAGGTCACTGTTCCAGGCTGTGGTCATCAAGCCCTCCACTTGGGGTCCAGGACCGGTCACCGAACTACTTTGGCGCGGACGGTCGAGCCTAATGAAAGGTCACTGATGTGCATAACAACGTGGCCGATCTTGACCCCCGATGTGACAGCAATGCGGCTTGGCCATGCTGTCATGTTGCCGAGCAAGATCGACCTCGAACGATCTCCTGGTTACTGACAACCCCAACCCTCAGCCTGGGGCATTCCAAGCACATCACAGGGTCATCAAGAAAGCTGGGTCCAAAGCAGGCCCTGCTTCTCGCACCACAAGGTCGCACCGCCCGTCGCCCCAAGTCAGCCCTGTTGGCAGCTGTCCAATCCTAACCTGAGCCCAGCAGACCGGTCGAAACATTGAGACATCACCATGTCGCAACGGGGATAGTTTGGCGGCCCAACCAAGTCGCGACAGCCTTGTTCAATCCACAAGAATGAGAACTTACTGACTCAAAAAGTTAGCAGTAGCTTGCTCCGGCAGTTCTCGAGCATTGTGCTGCGGCAGAAACTTTCTTCTTTATATCGCCTGATGACCCTGACACAAATTGCGAGTGCAAACTGATTGCAAGACACAAGCCCAGATCGGCGAAGGGTGCCCTTGAAACATTGAAGCTCTCCAAGCGCGGTCTAAGAGTCAGCCGGCATGTAAATGGGGGCCATCCAGTCGAGCGGAAGTAACTTGACCGTCATCAGCCCTGGAGAGGTTGATACACCCTTTCCACGTGGCACACTGCCCACCCGAGAAAAGTCCTTGCTCAGCTTCATACGGACAATGCTGGGCTCTGCCTCGACGATGTTGGTAAAGGCCAGCTCGATGAAGCCCAATGGTGCGCCTACCTTGGAGTGCCTCAATCCTACGTCGGTCTTGGGTAAAGCTCAGATCCATCGCAAGGACTTCGTTGCCATTGATAAAGAGAAGTGAGCTGCTACCCAATCCGAACACTTCGGCGCCCAATGCTGTGCACCATCCAGAACAGCGGTGTGAGCTTGATCGAATGAACGAGGTCGTCTGGCCACTTGCCACAGCCAGTCCGCGGCCTGTATGGAGGCAAGGCTCTGCTGATAGGCGACAATCAGTCTGATTCCTAGGGCAACCTACCACGTTCATCAGCGTTGCGCCTAGCCGACCGGCGCAACCACAACTGACGGCGATGCTGCGCCGATGTGGCGGTCAGGCAGTACCTTCTAAGAAAAGAGTCAAGAGTCGTCATGGCCGTGCTGGCTGTTCGCGATGACTAGACATTTTCTGCCATAAAGTCCTCTTTGCTCCCTGGGCAAGTTGTGACTTTCGCGGAAAAGGCACCTCACAACGACCTTCTTGAAGTGACGTCCTGTACTGACGACGAAGACGACGACGACTGGTCAGCACAACTCACTTCCCGAGTGCAACAGTAAACATCTACTGGTTGACTATTGCGAGTCTTCCAGAAGCCTGCCTGAGCACACCCTTCAGCTCGGGCGAACTACCAGAGGATTGAGCATCAAGACCCCTTTTGGCGCGTCTGCTTTTATCATTGTCTTGCAATGCCTGCCCAACGAGAACCAGCTGGGGATAGTGGTCGCGTGGACGATTTCAATTCGAGTTTGGAAAGGACTCGTCAGACACTGGACAGGAGTCGAGTCAATAGAGTTCGAACTCACGGCAGCCGGCAAGCACGCCGTCGTGGAGAAAGAGGATCTTCAAGCAGAGGCCAAGTGAACCTGACGTCGCCGTTCTCAAGGCTCCAATGCCAGAATGAAGGCGACCTCGCTGCGACGCAGTTGGACTCGAGCGCCACGCTTGGGTCGACCTCGCCACCATGCTTCCCGTCTTTCACTGACTCGATGATGGTTAACGTGGACCCCGAGGAAGACTTTGGAGTGTGAGTTGCTTTCACCAGACATACCTGTCGGAATGCATCAGGATGAAGAGCATCGGACTAACGCCGAGGACGTCATGAAAGCAGTTCGAGCGGGCCGTACGAGCGAGATCAGAATCAGGGTGAGAGCCGTCAATGGCCAAGCACTGTCCACGAAACTCCTCAAGTCCTCGATGTAGGCCAAGCATCATATGTCATCGGCCATAGCGAGGTGACACTGGATTGGTGGGTCTACAACCAGCAGTCGCCTTGGGACCCTCTAGTCATGCAGCACAAAGGTCCGCGGAAGGGTCTGGACGCCAGGTATCTCCAGCTGCGGGACATGATCGAGAGCTACCAGACATTGCCCTGAGACTCTAGAGATGGCGGGCGGCTATGCAGTATTTATTGTTTTCGACCCGGTGGTCTGCACATAGAGTGACTATCATTGTATGGAGATGGTTCCCTTACCTTTCTGGCATGTGAGACCTTGTTGTTAGCTTAGAATTCAATCTAGATGACCTGATGCCTGGATGTTGATATGCTTGGCTTATGAGGAATGGCACTAAACACTCGTAGCGTTCAACTGCAGTATAAGTCAAGGGCGTGACGGCCGTCGTTGAGAACAAAGTCGTGCTGGATGAGCATGAAGGCATCGTGGACCGGGTGGTTGCAGGAACTCGATTGTGACTCGATGCTCTCTGCTAGTGCTCCCAGGTAGGGAGCGTAACTAGCAACTGGAGGCGACTCGTCTTCAGCGGCGCGGGCAGGAAGGAGCGTCATGTTGAGCAGATGCCGATGGCCGGATTGGCCAATCACGAGCCCTTGCAGCTCCCGGGTGCGGGCCCCTGTCGTTCGAGCTTCTAGCGGAGCACCACCACTCACACACAACATTCGATCTTTCAGCATCACCATTGCCATCACCACCTCCACCTCGACGACCAACCACAGTTACCCCCGACTGACCACATCCACAACACCGTCACGATGGCCTCCTTCATTGCCCGCCGCGCCTTCACCTCCTCCGCCCGCCGCTTCGCCTCCGGCCCCGATGCGGGCCTCAAGGCTGAGACCAAGCGCAACCCTGAGCTCGCCGTGCGTCATATCCCTTCCTTTCGCCCATGTCGCAGCAGCGGACAGCTCCCCCTCCAGGACCTCGAACCCGAGCGCACGGCTCTGCGTAGTACCAACAGCACTTACTGACACCCCTCACTCATAGATCCTCGGCGGCGTGATGGTCCTCGCTCTCGGCGGTGCCGGTCTCTACTTCGGTTAGTCTACGCTCTGCGCCTCTCATTCCAGCAAAGCCAAGCCACACCACGACCATGGACAAAACAGCATACCCCAACCCATCGCCACAGGCCCTTGCGAATTTTAAATTGACCCCTAAGGCTACAAACGGATTGCTGATCTTTTGTGCTCCTTGCCAATCAGGCTCCTCCCCTACAAAGTCCACCTCCGAGGCCAGCGTCGGCATCGCCAAGGAGGGCATGCCCTGGGAGACTGGCGCGACCGAGGGCAAGTACCGCTACCACCCCGGCGGCGACGCGAACCAGGACCCCCGCGACGCCCCCAGCGCTGTCAACGTCGTCGTCATTCCCGACGTCAACCTCCCCAAGGTGAGCAACAAGAAGCCCAAGAAGGAGGCCCCGGATAGCGAGAGAGACATGGCAACGTGCCAGTTGTTCCAGACTGCATCCTGGCTGACACGCATAATTCCCATACATAGCACCTGCACGACAAGTACAACAAGTGGGGCAAGGACGGCTACTAGACACCATCCGCCGTCTCTTTGTTTCCACAATGTCCCAGAAAGTGTTGGTATGGCGGGGTGGACGTTGCTCAGATGACAGAGGGCTAGAGTGCGCTGCTCTGGAAGGACGATTGGAGGTATATACGAGGGACAAGGCTGCCTCCTCGAGGATGGAAATTCCGAGGATCCGAGTCACCTGTCCACAATCAGAATCAAGCATATTCCCTCTGTTAGCCCGTCTCGCTCGTTGTTGTGGCCTCCTCGAAAGTTCTGGACAATATCGGACCACCAAACCTGTTCGCCCGGATCCTGTCCGTCTGGCTTGTTATGCAACGTGGTCATACAAACGCAGCTGCTTCTAGAAGGCTGTCCTAATCATGCCCTCATGACGGACCATCTCAATGCCGCCTGCTCGGCATTTGCCGAGAGACAAGCATGGACAAATCCCATTCTCAGGTTCAAAGTACGCGCGATTTTTGGGTTTGACAAGGAGCGTTTTTTTTGTCTACTGCTCTATACCAACCCTCTGTGCATTTGGCTCGAAACAATTGACACCATACCTCATTACCAAAGTCACCCTATCCCTATGCGACCGACGCCACGACCATGGCTGCCACATTTTCTTCCTCGCTCCGTACTGTGATCTTTGTGGTGACGCCAGACTTTGAAGAGTACGCCATCCTTACGCTTGCAATGACCCTGCCACCGTTGACAGTCTTGCCCAAAAGTTTCAGCTGGTGTGTCGTTTGGTTTACGGGCACGTCTGTACCCTCCAAAGCTTGTAGCGAGAGAGCCTTGGCAAGTTGTTCGGTAGCGTCTGTTACCATGTTTAGTCTGCGGTATTCTTACAATGGATGAGACAAGACGGATGGAACCTACCGGCAATGCTGTTCATGCTCGACAATTGCAGAGTTTCTGAGGCCTCCTCACCAGCGGCACCAATTGACTCCCAAAGGTGGTTGAAGTTACCAGCGTAGACAGGGATCACGTAGTCGCTGCCAGCAAGGTCGAAATCACCGACCTCATACTCGTCGTCGTAGCCGCTCTCCTCAGGCTCGTTGGTCGTGGGGTCAATTTCCTTGCTCGTGAACTTGAGAATGTTCGAAAAGGGGCTGGTCGGCAACGACGCCTCGCCGTTGAGCTTCTTGAAGGCGACATAGACCTTGCCAGGCTCGTTCGTCGCGAGCCTGTCTGCCGGAATGATGAATGCCTCCTCAAGCTCCTCCTCCTCGGCGGGTGTAGCCATGACTGAGACGTTCTCCAACACCGTAGCGTCCAAGGTGTTCTTAATCTCGTACTGGAACAGGATGTGCTCCTTGAAAATATGCTTGACCACTGTGACAACGTATTCAGTCTCGGCCTCAGTCAGCTCAACAACTGGCGACGATTTCAGCACACTGCCAAACTCCTTAATTTCGGGAATAGCCATGAGCTCCTCGGCGACCTTGGCGGCGGCGGCGGCACTCGATGCTTGAGCGTCAGCGCCACTTGCGGCAGTCTTGGTCGGGCCGGTCTTTGGCGGCTTGAGCGAAGGCGTGCTCGCGGTAAGCTTTTTGGTGCGATCCTCGGCATCTGCTTGCTCCCGAGTAACGACAGGGATCTTGCTGATATCGAACGGCGTCTCGAAGCCAGACTTGTCGTCTGAAGTGACATACATGACGAGCTGGTGCTCAAAGTACGGCAACAAGAACATGTTGTCTGCAGTAATATGTTAGTTTGAGTACACGGCCTTCGGGATTTCTCCGTTTCAGGAACGTACCATTCTTGATGAACTTGTCGCCCATGTCGTCCTCCTCGTGCATAAGTCTCAAGTTGAGGGCAGCACGATCGCGAACCTCATCATCAACATCATCCAGGCACCTTGTGAGCAGGACGTCGACGCTGCGCTTGACCTCAGGATCCTTTTGACCAACACCGAATTTAGCAAGCGCGGTGACAGCGGCGGCTCTGACGATGGCATTCTCGAGTACGACTCGGTTGTAGATGTAGCGAATGTACTTGGTTGGCTGAGAGGTCTTGGGGCCTTCCAGACCAAGCAAGTGGAGAATGCGCACAGCGAGCTTAGTGAACTCGCAGTCCTCGATAAATTCGCAGAGGTGCGCGAGCGCCTCCTCCTTGGAATCAGGCACGAACTTGATGAGGTCAAACATGCTTTCAACAACCGCACGCTTGAAGTCGTAGCCACCCTCATCGCGTAAGATGCCGGAGAGGAAGGTCAGCATGCCAGCCTGCTTGCTCGGGAACTTGAGGCAAAGCGTGCGAATGGCCTCCACGATGGTGATTTTGAACTCGTCGGTGATCTCAGACATGAAGCTGGAGATTTGTTTCATCAGGCGGTCTACGCTAGCCTCGTTGCCAGTCTTGAGCAGGGTCGTGATGGCAAATGTAGCGATGGACCGGTTGCTGTTGGAGATGAGAGCCTCGATATCAGGGTTGCAGACGCTGACGGCCTGAGGCTTGAATGAAGCGAAGCTGTGGAGGATACGCAGGGCCGCGAACTTGGTGACGGCACGAGGGGAGGAGAGGAAGAGCTGCAGGACGTGGACGGCTTGAGTGACCTCGGCATCCGTAACATCCCGCATGTCGCAGATTGCCTTGCAGGCCTCAAAGTTGACCATCTCACTCTTGTGCCTCAACCATCCGTCGAGGAGTTGCATCATAGGCTTCCGCAGGGACGGGTCGTCCTCGGCCAATTGAGCAGCAAGTCGAACAAGCATGACAATCGCTGCAGGGCTCTTGACAGCCCCCGGAGCCCCAAATTGCTGGACCATCTTGACGAGAGCCATGCGATCGTGCGACCTCATCAGATACAAGAGACCGATGGCGTGATACTGTGTCATGGTGGAATTGTTGACAGGGAGGGAGCTGCTCGAAGACGAAAAGCCGAGAGAGAAGCCGCCAGATGACTTGGTCGAGGCTGCTGCCTCCTGGGTCTCGGACTGCCACCTTCGGACCACATCCTTGGCAATAGGAAGGAAGTGGTAGGACGACACGAGGGCCGCCGAAGAGACGGACGGGTTCTTGTCAACAATGGCCGTCTTCATGACACGTTCGATCGATTGTATCGTTTGAGCCTATGGCAAGGGGTATAACATTCGGTCAGCTGTCCCCATCCGTCGAACCAACCGGATAGCAGTTTTGGTTACTCACGTCCATGATGCGGCAGAGAGCGCGGATGGCGTTCGGGCGGTAGATAGCCTCGGTGCTGCCACCAGTGTCCTTCATGATGGTGCTTGTAACCATAATGATATCCTCAGCGGAGTGGGCCAACTCCTTGATGACAAGGTGGACCATTTGGCGAAGGCTAGCATCTTTGTTCTGGAAGAGCTTCGAAATGCCGAAGAATAGAGTTGTAGCTTCGTTTGTGGGGAAAGACTCGCCGGTGTAGAGGAGGAGGGCGATCTTGGTGAGGAGGATGCGACATCTTCGCGGTTGGATCGGGGAGCTGTTGAAGAGACGGGCTGCATGTAAAGAGCGGGAGTTAGTGGCGGTGTTCACATGGATGGCGCCAATTGATCATTCCCGTAGCAGCAGCGGAACTGGCAGGCTGGGTAGAGCAGGCGCTGAATGTGGTTTGCCGCCACCATGTGCTGTTGTTGAATGGTGCTGTTGGGTGCGAGGGTGATCTGGAGAAGGGGTCTAGACGGACCTTCCTGGAAGACTTGGGTGCGGTCGACCTTGACCAGACCGAGGTCCGCGTCCTCATCTTTCTTGCCGTAGCTCATGGCGGGCGAGGCGGCGGCGGTGATGTATGGGCCCGGCGGCGAGTGGCGGAACGGGAGCGCGTGTTGGACGTTGAGGGTGTCGCCAGCCTGGAATCTGGTCAGGGACGGTCAAGTCGCTATGTGTTCACCTGTGGTGGTGCACCTCCTGGTTTCTGTGGATCATGCTAGGTGGCCGCTCAGTGGTGGGCTGGCGCAGAGCACGCTACGTCGCCCACAATGGGTGGGCAGGAGCGATGTTGTCCACTTTGGAGCTCCCGCCCTTGTCAAACAGCGACCCCACCAAGCTCAGGGCCAAAGGGGTCTCTCCCCTGCCTGCCTGTTGACAATTGTGAGGGACTGCCCAGGTAAAGTATCCATGGATGGCTTCCGAGACAGCTGAATTCTGACAATGCCACGGCATTGATTGAAAAAATCCAAATCAAACGTCAAAGGACCAAACAGTCGGCCAGAAGCTGGACGAGCGTTGACCAGAAAGCCCTGATCCCCATGGTTCTGTTAGGCCCCCCTCACTCCCTTCCAGATTGTGACCCTGACCCAATGCCATGTGACGAAAAGCATGCACTTGAAGCTAATCAATACTCAACATGCACATCAGCACGACATCAACCCAGACATCTAATCACAACTGCTGGCCACAGCTGTCTAGTACATTCTGCCAACTTATACATTAACCTGCTTGTATGATAGCTGGGTTTCTACACCGTAGGAGCAATGAGGCCTGCAAAGCTGCGACACCATCTCGTTTCCCAGACTGTCGCGCAACAACCCCCTCGGAAATTCTGCATATTCGGCTCTGAGAGACTAGTGACCGCGGGGAGCAGTCGTGGCAAGCTGCATGACATTCTCCAGATATCCTGCAGTCCCGCCATATCTTGCTACGAGGCCGTTCAGATCTATCTCCTTGGCCGGGGACGTCCGCGTCCTGCCTATTAGCCCAGTGTTCCTCGTGCTCGGGATTCGGAGCATCTCCTTCTCTATGACCCAACCACACTCCGTGCCGATCGACGTCACCCAGTCGACAAGAGACGAGTACGCCGAGGGCGATTTCCCCTGGCCCTTTGGAGGCGGAGCTCGAAATTTGGCCCCCGACAATGCGTGACTGCAGCATGGTATCATGAGAAACGGGCAATTGGATATTGCCGCAAGGATCGGCGTCCACGGTGTCAGTTCGTCGGCGTGGTTCGAGATGATGAACGTGCCTTCCGGGAAGCGACCATCGTGAAGGATGCCATCAGTTCCCTGCTGCATGGGCAAGTCGCTTTCTTGCTCAGGGCCGGAGTTCTCTGCAGTCGGTTCCCCGCCGTCACCGATGATACAAGGGAGGAGCACTCGTTGTTGCAAAACAGGCTGGCCAGCAATGATCTCTGTCTCCTTTGCCCGGTCTTGATAATTGTCCCAGGACTTGCGCATTCGTGCATCGAAACCCCAGCCCGCATAGCCTTCCTGTCGCAAAATGTAAACGAGAAGGCCATTTCCGCAGCCGATATCCACGAAGCCAGGAAAGGGCGATGTCCCGTAAATCTGAGCCCAAAGCTTTATCAAGAAAGCTGCGATGCTCAAGTCTTCAAAGACGTGCTTGTCCGGGTCCGTCACTTCGGCCCAGCTGTCAATCAATGCGCGGGCGTACTTTTCTTTGAGCCTAGCATACGTGTTCTGGACGGTGGTCTGGGGCACAATCGTGTCGTGTTGTACACGCTTGACATAACCGGCCAACGTTCCAAGTCCGTGCTTGTGTAGAGTCGACAACAGATGATAGGCAGTCCTCCCGAGCTTGGCATCACCCTCATAGTCGTCAAAGAAGTTGTAGTGGATGGATATCCGGCCTGTTTCCGTGGAAGAATTCCATTCGTGGTGAAAAGCTAAAGCTTTGACTCGCGGATGGTAGAAAGGCATGTCTGCGGGATTGTCAATGTGCGGCTTGTACACAACCAAAGACTTTATTTCTTCGCTTGAGCTAAGCCGGCGGTAGCTCAAGCATGTTTGATCCATGGGCTGATCTCTCTTCGTGTTCCTGGGGATCAGCTTCCTGATCAGGGTGTTCTCAATGGCGTAGTCCTGGAAATGTACCGTCCGGGGTCGCAGGTGCTCACTCCCGTCATGTTCCTTGGCGCCCTCGGGGCCACTGGCTTCCAATAATATGTCTGCACGGAACAGCCATGATGAGTTCAGATTGGGATTTCGGATGAGGTTTCTCATGACTTGGAAAAAGACCTTGTCGTCGAAAGGGCAATCGTGCTCATACAGAGGCACCCAGGCTTCTCCCGAAACGTCCTCTAGTGAGCTTGGAGAGCCAGGCGGCAACTCTGTTGGATTGAACGCAACCATGCTTGCTCTCAACTCAGGCAAGAATGAAACAATGGGCTGAAGGACGTGTCGTTGTTCTATTATAATATGGCCATCTTTGACAGTGGGCTTCGCTCCATGGCAAAATGCTCACGACTTCGATGTGGGGCTGCGCAAGGCTCTGGACAATAGTTGCTAACTTGCTGGTGTCCCCTGAACGCAGGTGAGGTTCCCGCGCAGCAGAACTGAGTCTCGACACCAGAAGAGGCATCCAGGGATCGATCCTGCATGATACTGCAACCTTCGCGAGTCTGAGTAGCACGTGAAGGTCATTCGGCCGTGCTTAAGTAAGGTGTCAGACTCATCCAACTCCGAAAGTTTATCGAGAGAGCAGGAAAATGGGACGGGCGCGTAAGACGTGAGTGGCCGAGACTCAACTCGAGCGAGCCCAGGAGACGGCACATCAAAGGTACGTGATTGCGGTTTAGCAGGGCGGGCCAGATACATTGTTCTTCACTGTGTTGACCAGTGTAAAAAAGTACCTTCCGCCAGCCATGACTCACATCCATGTATCTCTGCAATAGTCGTGCACGGACCTTTGGGAGAGGAAGTGACTAGAAGAGACAGCTGCGTGCAAGGCCAGGCTCAGGGCTCTGGCGGAGGACTCCCAGCCGAGCTAGCCAAGCCTTTGCGGCTGCCGGCCGCTCACTGGCCGCCTGCTTGCCCTTGCCCCTCCACCGCGCCTCTTTGTGGCCACCCCTCAGTGCGTTCATCCTCTTCTCCCTTTTCCTCCATCCGACATCACCAGCCCCAAGCATCACCAACACAACAACCCGCCCGCCGCGTCCACCCACGACACACTCCCTCACCGCCGCAAGCCCACCGAAGCGAGACAACTCCCACAGTCGTCGGTCGCACTCCTCCCTGGCCCTTCACCAAGAACCCTTTTCCCCCAAGTCCCCCGCAAACTCGAGTTTATGTCAATCGAAAACCTCAAGTCGTACGGTAAGCAACACCCTTCTTCGAGCCACGCGGCCCCAGCCATGCCTCTGTCCAAGATCTTCAGACGCCGCGACCTCTGTCGATTTTTTCACAGCAGCAGTGTCGCATGCGCCGCGGCATGCCGGCTCTTTACTCGGAGCACCATCACCAAGTTGCGAAATCTAGGTTGGAGTCTCCGATTACTGACGCCCATATTTTCTCCAGACCCCTTCGCCGAAGCCGACGAAGACACAGGCGAGGCCAAGCAGACTCAGGATTACATCCATATCCGTATTCAGCGTTCGTCTTACCCGACATTACTCGCGTGCCGCATTCCGGCACAAAGGTTCCCCCTTGTTTCGACCGGCAAAGACTAACCAGAAAATGCAGAGCGCAATGGCCGTAAGACCTTGACTACAGTCCAAGGACTGCCCAAGAAGTTCGACCAGAAGAAGATCCTCAAGGTCATCAAGAAGAAGTTTGGTGGGTCTCACCGCCCTTCCACCCATCACATCGAGGTGTTCTCGTGACTAACCGAAGAAACAGCTTGCAATGGCACCATCGTGACAGACACCACCATGGGTGAGGTCATCCAGCTGCAGGGCGACCAGCGCAAAGATGTGCAGGAATTCCTCGTAGACAAGAAGGAGGGTCTCGAGCTCGATCCCAAGACGATCAAAGTCCACGGTTTCTAAGCTGGCTGTGTCCAAGCAACGACCGACAACCACTCGCCCATGCGGCGCCCTCTGGTGCCAGCCGAATATCACGCCCTGACGACAGCCCACCTTCAGAGCAGTGCCCGGCGATGCGGGACGGCACTGTAGATAAGTCGATGAACATGGTCGGTCACTAGGGCGGTGGTCCGTGAGGAGCTTGGTTGGAAATGGTCTGGACATGATACCCCTTGTTTGCCGTCAGTCGTAGGATTGTCAAGTAGTTATGCAGGACCAGGCTGCGACACGTGATGTGCCAGTCTCCGATACAATTGTCAATATACCGTGGCTGTATTTGAAGTAGTAGCTTGCGCGTGACAGTGCTCATCATGTGGAATTGTTACTCAACGAAGGGGGAAAGCCCTACTCTTAAAGACTGACAAGACTGATCAGCGGGAGCCACGCTGAGACTTTCGTCGTTGTGACATCATTGTGCCGCGGTGTTGGCTGGCTTTGTCACCGCACCAAGATCTTGCACGCGACACACGTGAAACCCCATCACCTTCTTCAAGAGCTATTCACACTAATTCATCAAGACAACCACTTCGAACAACTTCATAAATATATTCCAGACAGGCATGTTCTCAAGCGCGCTGTCGTTTCCAAAATCAAGTCCCAAGCTTTGCAGCTATCCTGTCCTCCCACGTGACCCCCAGAATCTTGACCAGCAGACTACCTAACACCTCTGTAGCGCGCCTCGTCGCTGCGAGGAGTGGGATATCCGGATAGTCATCGCGTGGCCGGGTCAGGTGGCTATGCCCGAGGAGAGCGAACATGCTAATGAGGCTCGAGATACTGAAGACGCGAATGCTGAGCCTGGTCTCCTTGCGGATGCTAATCTTGCGCTGTGTAATTGCATAGCACGCCGTAAGGGCGGCTGAGATGCCAATCCATGCTGGCAGGAGCATGCAGGGCGATTTGGAGGCCCCAGTGAGGTAAATTGCGGATGACGTGAGGTAGGTGAAGATGCAGTCGATTGTGAAAAGGCGAACAATAGTGGCTTCCGGGGTATAGTTGAGCAGCCAGCGGGACATGAGGCAGTCGGTGAAGAAGAACGAGAGGTAGGCAGAGGCCCAGCACTATTGAATATCAAGCAGGTCAGCCCTAAGCTCTTGGGTTCTACTTGGAGCCTACGAGGCGGCATTCGTACCCAAACGAAGACGAGTGAGGTCTCAACCAGACGCAGAGAAGCGCCCGCATCAGCGCGTAAGTCGGCCAGCGTCGGCGCCGAGGGGTCAGAGAAGTCGACGAGCTCCGTGATGAGGAAACGCAGCGCTATGCGCGCCCCCCACCATAGCGACGGGCCGATCGTCAGGAGGCGGCAGGCAGATAGGAGGGGATGCCATCGTCGGGGCACGCCAAGTGCGGCGGCCACACGGGGTTTCAGAAACGAGATGCCGACGGGAGCTCCGTCATGGCTGCTCTGGAACGAGTTGCCCGTCGAGGCGGCTGCTTGATCGTGGGTGGCGGTAGTGTCTGCTTGCAGAGTTGGAAGGGTCGTTGTTGAGGAGGGGTGTGCAGGGCCTACAGCAGCGGCGTAGGCGCCGGTGGTGTGAGCGGTGGCAGTGGCATTTGGCGCTGCTGTCGCGGCCTGCTTTGCCATCGAGAGGCCGTAGAAAGCCCCCGGAATGCCCTCAATGTCCAGCACGAGAGCAGAATCGGGCGTTGGTGTAGCTGCGAGGGTCGAGTGGGCTAGCTGTCAGTGGACCACTTGGCGGAGTGTTGATGGGTCGTTGGTGGTGGAGGCCCAGACTAGAGTAGAGATAACCCCTGGAACCAGGGAAGGGCGAGGTGGGCAGTCTGGAGCAGATGAGAGCATGGTCAACCGGGGCCTGACAGAGGAGCCAACGACAGGACCTGGACATGGGGACAGAGCCAATGAGGCAGGTGAGGGCAGGGCGTCCTGGTATCGCCTGGTGTTGCATCGTCGACGGGTTCCCAGGTTGGCCGAAGTATTTCAGAGTCCAATGTTCCAGCCCCAAGTCAAAAGGGATCAAGACTATTAACAGACTGAGTCGGGCGCACCTGCCGCACCTGTAGGTCTTGCCCTGCTCCTGCCTGGCAAAAAATAAGATAACCAGAGGCACCCGAATTTGCACAAGCATGCTCAATTAAGAGAGGGCAAGCACTGTACATGCCCTCCACTTATCATCCTGGATTTGGCAAAGGGAAAGCAGAGCCAAGTCTGCAGCTTTTGCCCAAGCACGATTGAGCACTCGTGAATAGTCTAGCCTGCCCAGATGGGTGCGAGGGGATTGGGGGGGGCCAAAATCAGGTACAGGCCCCGCCCTCCCTTCTGACCTGCGATTCAATTGGACAGTCCAACCAGCCAGGCTCTGGAAACTTTCTGACGATGCGGCTCAGTGGTTGCACGCAGCCATTTCGATATCCTCAGACTCCAGCGCCGTCCCTCCGCTCGACATAAACCACCTTCGACTGGCCTCGTGGTTGCGCAACCGTGAGCCATGGCCGAGCTCGTCCGCCTCTCGCGCCCCTGGCTCCTGGCCTCCATTCGGGCGCAAACCTTCCCGGTAGCGCCAGTGGTTGCCCGCGGCTTCAGCAGCACGTCGAACCACGACAGGCAGACCGGGCCTACTCGGTCGAGCCGCCAGAAGATGCCCACATTACGGCAGCCATCCTTCCTCCTTCCAAGTCAGTATAGATCGATAGGCTCAGCCGAAACCGCTCTGCTGCTGTGTTCCTGCTGACCAGCCTTGATTCTCGGATAGGTACCCTCGTCACTCCTCCGCTGAGCAAGTTCCCTAGGACGCCCAAGGAATTCGCCGGCTTTGTCTACTACATTTTTAAGGCGAGGCTGCAGGCAGTGGGCGCGAATATAGGGGCCAAGATCATGTCCATGCCAAGAACATTGCTTAGCCGCCCCAAGCTGAAGCTCGGCCGGTCCCAGGCGGTACCGACTGGCAAAGCTCTCCACGTCCAGATGTCCGAGGCTGTAGCTGCCGGTGATGCCGAAACGATCCGCCGCATCTGCTTGCCCGAGCTCGCCGATAGTCTTGTCGCATCGATGCAAACCCGGCCCAGGGGCATCCGCTACGCATGGCAGCTGGTCAAGTACAACAGCACAGTCTCGTACCCGCGACTCGCCGACTTCCGGGCCGTCACCATGCCATTGCCCGGGAGCACCCAGACCCAGATCGTCAGGCAGGCTGTTGTCAGCATCGCCAGCACGCAGAGAATCGGTCGCTACGACGACACCAAGGGGGGCACCCTGGTTCCGGGCAGCGAAAGAACACAGGACCTTGTTGAGCACCTTGTCTTGCAGTCCAACGTCAGCATGCAGACCTGGGTAGCAGAGCCGTGGAAGATCTGGGGCACAATTAATGAGTCCACATATCAGGACTCATTGGACATCGAGGCCGGCACCAAGCTTCTGTACAAGAGACAGGCCAAGGGCGTGTAAACTTCGTCTCGGCCGACCACTCAGTGGCCTGCCGACGCAACATCAACCTGGAGCATGGGCGGAATTATCCCGACCAGCGCTGGTGGCAAGACAGACACCGAGCGCAGTGTACATATATGTATATGTGTCAACTTGTAATACCACAATTGTATAGAAGGCAAAACGATCGCGGACGCGGGTAGTCGAGGGAGCAGAAATCCAGCAGCTCACATGAGGGCGTGAGGCAGGATGATGCACAAATACAGGCCTCGAGGGGGTTAAACCCCAAATTCCGGCAAAAGTCATGTCAAGTAAAGCCGCGCGGAGCAGAGGATGATACAAAGAGCAGAACCTCCACAAAAACAAACAGCACAAGTGATAACTCGATCATTACAGACTGGACCGATTCTCGAATGTGGTAGCTGAATGTTTCATGTTTAAGCACTCATCCCCCAAGAAAAAAAATGTACAGGATGGAAACGCATGCGCCAACACCACCCTATCACCGCCTAAAGTCAAATCTCAGAAAAGCAACCCAGGTGTCCAGGCCCTACTCTCCTACCCTCACTCATCATTCTCGGATTTCTCGTTGCCTTCCGGCGCGGAATCTGCTGCCTCTGGCGCGGGGGCATTCTCACCGCCAGCGGCGGAAGCATCTGCAGTGTCGACGGCGTCCGCCGCGCCTGGCCCGTCCTCCACTTTCGTGACTCCGTCAGCAGTAGTAGCAGCAGCAGCAGCAGGAGCAGGAGCGCTGTCATCGACGGGCGCCGAATCAGGAGCTGTCACAGCCTCGGAAGCGGACGGTTCATTGACTGGCGGCGTCAGTGCCGGCAGCGCAGCAAGAGGTAGCGTGGGAGTCGCTGCCTTATCCTGGGCACTGTCCTGCTCCATTATTGGAGATCCGGATGGTGCCCCTGTGTCGGTTGTGTTCTCAACAGTCGACTCAATGGCAGCAGACGCCGAAACCGAGTCACTGCCCAGCGCGGCCTCGAGACCGCTGTACAGGTCTGGTGTCTGCGGCTCTGTGCCAGGCGCAGACTTTACGGCGTCCGCGGTAGCCTCGGCGGAAGAAGCTGCAGCCTGCTCATCGACTGGCAGTGGCGTAGCGGCAGTGTCCGCCAGGACTGGGGTAGATGTCGTCGGTGCCTCGTCCTCCGTCTTAATGTCTTTCGCCTCCACGGCGGCCACGGCGCTTGAAATATCGGGGATTTCTGGGCTCGCAGTGGAGACACCGCCAATAGCTGGCGTGGGCACAGGCTCGGGGCCCTTGCTTTCGACGGCAGCTTCGGCGATGATATCCACTGGCGAGATATCTGCTTTCTCATCCTTGGGCTCTGTGAGTTCTTCCACTTTCAGTGTTGATGATGGGGGTTCAGGGAGGGTAGCTGTTGTAGCATCGCCTTGTTTTTCATCTGTATCAATCATCATTGCGTCTGGATGTGGAGCTTCGGGCTGCCCAGATGGTTCTGGCTCACCCTCTGTCGGCTCCTGTGGCACATCTGTCATTTCCTTGTCGACGCTCTGCTCTAGAATCGTCTCTGATGTGGTTGTCGCAATTGGTTCTGACGCTTGCGGGTTCTCAGCTGGGGCAGCAGGCTGTTGGGGCTCTACAGATTCGACAACCCCAGGTACAGCATCTTCCGAGTTCGTTGTTGGCCTTGGCTCGTTCCCGTTTGAACCCAGCTGGCCCAAAGACGGTGACTGAGCGCTGAGAGCTTCTTTCAAGGGGCTGCCCTCTTTAGGGGTGGGGTCGGCTATTGACGTCGTCGGCATGGAGCTCAAGGCAGGCGCTGCCGTTGATAAAGACTGGTCTTCTGAAGCTGGGATATCCATAGGCATCGGCGCTAGCTCGCCTTGCACTGATCCATCAGTGGCTTTCGTCTCGGGCTGACCTGGTTGTTTCTCTTCGACGGCGGGAGTCTCGTCACCCTCTTGGTTGTCTCCTTCCTCGTCATCGTCGTCTTCATCGTCGTCTCCCTCGTCACCTTCCTCGCCGTCGTCGTCGTCGGCCATTTCGCTATCCTTGACCTCACCATCTACGCCCTCCTGCTTGACGCCCTGCTTACCGTTAGCGAGTCGCTCCCATATCAAGGTTGCAAGGTTGAAACTTACTTCTAATGTGCTGCCATCTGCCGCGACTCCACCAGCTGCGAGACCTGCGCCAGCCGCAGCGCCTGGAGCGAGTGGCAATTGCAGCTTCTTCTTGCGCCCTCTGCCAGGGCCTTTGGATTTCCTCTTGGGTGGGGGAGGTCGGCGTCTGACTGGCGTTGCCGCGGCGGCTGGTTCGATCCCCGTAGACACACCGCTCGGCGCAGGCACCACAGTTGTGGAGATGATCTCGCCATCTACCGCCACGCCCTCACTGAGCGTAACCTCCTGTGTGTATGGATTACCTGCGGCATCGACGCGGCGAACAGTGGCTTTCGTGACCGTCGGCCCAGACGCGGCGACAGCCGGTAAGCTGGAGGACAGCGTGACGGTATTCTTCCTCCTTTTGGCAAGGTGCGAGATCGTGGCGCCTTCGGCGGTCCGCGGAATTTGCTTCCACACCTTGATTTGAAACCCCTTCTCGGCAGAGTCCTCTTCGCCGTCCTTCTTCTCCTGTTTCTCTACCGCGGTATTCTCTGGTTCACCATCGTCCTCGTCGGCAGGGGCAGGTCTCTTGTATAGGCGTCCCGAGCGCGCCGCGCGCAGAAGTTCCTGTGTGTGTTGCGGGAGCAGATTCGAATCCTTAGGCATGCCGTGTAGGAGCTCGACGTCCCAGATGTCGTTCTTCTGCACCGTCTCGACAGCTGGTGGTGGTGCGATCTTAGTCCACTCCTGTCGCCATTGCCTTACGGGCAGACCTAAAACAAAGGATCAGTTATGGCGCGCCGCCTTGTGTGTGTGTGTGTGTGTTGTGTTGGGATTGGGCGATGGCGTGGGGAAAAGCGTACCCTCGAAATCATCGTGCTCGACATAGCCGGTGCGATTGCTCCTGCGCGTCTGCGTCGCCGTACGGAACTAGATGGACGGTAAGTTTGGGGACTGCCCTCAGTCGCGTTGTTAAGGACCGAAAGAGGTTGACTCACGTTGGGAGCCATTACGGCGTGATTCGGTGCGGCGCAGCCCTGAGGTGCGGTCTCCAAGTCCAATTGATGCTCAGCAGGGCGCGTCTATCGTATGCTGATCCAACAGAGTTGGCCGCGGCCGGGGATGTTCTCTTTTAGGGGTTGCGATTTAGTTGTATTAGATCGGTGGTTGTGACGGCTGGCCTCGGCGCAAAGCGCTTGTGGTAGTGATGTTGCAGGTGCGCCGGTCGCGATGCGCGTTCGCATGCAGCTCCACTGCCACTGTGGTGGTTTGGCGCTGGCGGATAAGCAGCACTCCCGGGTAGGCAGGCGGGGACTTACGCCCCTGCGAGCCTCTCGCCATCAACCACGCGCAACCAGTCAGTCCCTCAGGATTTATTTACAACTTGAAGGTTGTACCGAATACACGCATATTCTGAGCCAGCGTGTTTCAATATCATGTACTATGTAGATGCTCCCTCTGGTGCTCTGAGCATAGTGCCATTCTCGGCTTCGCCTGGTGGAATGAATGGTCGAAATGCTGTCCATTTACGCCGATGGTAGATACGATTGTTCATGCGACACTTCATCACAATATCGTGGTTCTGCCAAACACAAACAGGCTCCACAAACAAGAAGTAATTACGGATTTGTCGGTCATGTTCGACTTCTTAATATGCTTGGCCTCCAGAGATTATGACCACAGATTTTGACCACTAGCCGTTTTCCAGCACATCGCAATCTTTATTCACAGAGATCGGTGAGAGTAGTGTATTGATACAATATTTGTATTACAGCCTGACACAATCAGGAAATCCCTCTGAACGAGTCGAGAATTCCTCTAGTCCCAACTAGCAGCAGAAACATCAATAGTTAGTAACATTGCAGCACGGGGACAGGGCTGGTGACAGCCATGAAACGTGGAAGATCCTGCAGGAAGAACTTACCCAGTGTCCTTCTGCCTTGTGATCTCTCCTGACTTGCCAGTCTCCTTGCCCTGTACATCCAAGAATGAGTCAACTGTCAACACGTGCTGAGTGGTACAATCGCAGCTACAGGCTGTATACTGCAACCATAGGTCGAGACCTGCTTGAACGTACCTGCATGCCTCCCTCCACGACTAACCGGTCAATCTGGAAGAATTGGCCGATGGTTGTTTGCCGCTGAAAGATCGTCCAAGAGTCAGCGACATGTTTTCCCTCCATTCCCGTTACGCACGGCTGCATTTGTCTTTCATGACATCTCTGCCCAGCTGCGCATCTGCTCGCAGCTTCATGCGCTCTAACACCCTCCACCCTGACAGAGTGTGGCTGCCGTACCTGGATGATCTGGAGTTCTTTCAAGCCCTTTTGTATCAGGTCCTGGATCTGCCGGGGGTCTTCGACGTGCTGGTTTTCGCGGTAGGCGTCTCTCGTCCGCCTCTGGGCGTACTCTTTGAAGTTGTAGGACTGGAACTGGGCACCGGAGCGGAGAAGTTGCCGATACTGCGAGATAAAAAACGAGGGCCGAATCTGTCAGTACGTGATCGGTTCCATGTCATGAGTGTTTATGCAAGCTCGGGGTGCAGCATCTTGTGCCGTTGTCGACTGGGGAAAAGCGTTGCAGCAGGGTATGTATTCAGCAGGCATGTTACAGCGACATTTTGCAACGTCCGTGGCAACGTGGGCGGCCCTGCTTGGGTCCCTGAGATCTGCGGAATGGTCGGCCCTAGAGCAGGTAGGGAGCTGCTCACCAGCGATCGAGCCTGCTGGGGCAGGTCGCCCTTGAGGGCCGAGACGATTGACATGGCCGGAAGTTGCGGCTCTCGGACGCTGAGTGCTCGTGCGGATCGAGATGTCGTCGTGGCGTGCTGGTTTGTTGTGCCTGTCAAGTGTGTGGTTGCGGGCGCGGAGGCGAGTTGGTACTGCTTTGCCGTGAAGGTGATGAGGCGTTCCAAAAAGTCGAAGAATCGGGGATGATGCAACTCCGGCGGGTTCAAAGCTGCTCGTGCGGGCGGGCTGCTTGGTCCGAGTGGAGCCCGGGCATCCTCCAGTGCCGAGCATGCTCGGGCCCGGCTGGTCACGACGGTTTTTATGTCCGACTCTTTGCCCGGACATAGCTCGCTCTTGGACCAAGGTAATTGAACAGTCCTTTACTCATCACTTCTCAGCAAAGGAATTAAGCTTTTATGCGGCTGCACAGTGAATGAGGGTCAGGAACAAGAGTTGTTTCTGGTGATGTCAGGTTCGAACCACCAAGCCTTTGGTTTCGGAGCTTAGACACCTTCAGTTCCATGGCAGCGGCAGTGTTTCTTATGACACAGTCGCCCCCATTTTACTACTATACTCAGCGAGCGCATCGTCCAGCGTGATGAAGTGCTCCTCAATCTTAAGCGCCCGGTATCTTCTCTCATCCGAAGACTCAAACTCCAGCATGCCTCTATCATTGACCTGTCTCATGGCCCGTTCCCGTTCTGGCAGGTGAACTTGCTCTCGGTGCCGCTGGAAGTTAGTCTCGTAGCAACGCGGCGAGCAGAACACCGAAGCTGATGTTTTGATGTCGTGAACGCACTCCTTGCAAAAAACGAGCACTCGGTTGTCCTGGTCCATATCGGTGTCTTCGTCCGTAATGCTGACACAATCGTGGCGAGCTGCGCACTCGTGTATGTTCGAGACATGTTCATCCTGCCGCGTGTTAGCCCGAAGTCGCACTCATCGATTTGTCATGACACCTACAAATCCTTGAGCCCGGCACTGTTCCGAGCACCAGACCACAAGCTTGACATCTCGTGACTCGTGAGCTTTGAGAACCTGGCACACCGGACACGCCTCGAAGCCTTGGGGATCGATAGGCTTTGAGCACGCAGCACATGGTGGCAGCTCCTGTGCCTGTTCCACTAAAGCGGCCGAGGCGGCGGCGGCGGCAGCAGCTCGGACCTTTTCCTGGCGGACCTTATCCCGCCGGGACTGTGCCAGCTGGTGCGCAGCCTTTGCCCTGCGGAGTTCTTCGAGTTGCTTGCGTAGCCTCCTGCGCTCCTCCTGCTCGACGCGCGACGCCTGTCGGTCTCGCAGTAATGTCTCGAGTACCTCGCCAGTGGGAGTACCGCCACGAATAAGCTTGACGTACTTCTCCGCCTTGCTAGTCTCGGCGCCGTTCGTTTCCGTATGAAAGACGGCGTCTGTGTAGACGCCCGCCTGCTCGCCAGGCGTTGATGCCGCTTCTATCCGACCCAGGAACTCCTTGAAGATTTTCTCGTTGCTCTGGTCTGGCTGTTCGGGGGAGAAGACGCTCCGAAGTTCGGCCACTAGCTGTTCGATAGGCGTCTCTCGATCCGATAGCTTGCTTTGCAGGTCTCGGGCTTCGGCTGGCGACTCGATAGCGGAAGAGAGGCCCAGACCAGCGGCCTTGTCGCGGAACCACTCCTCCTTCTCCTTGCGTATGCGCTGGTCGATGGGGCTGAAGTCTGGGGCCTGGTTCTGGGTGCTTTGCGCCTTGGTGAGAAGACCATCAAGCTCCTGCAGGAATGCCCCACGTCCAGAAAACCACTCAGGTGATGATGGCTTAAGGTACAGGTCTCTCAGGCGGTTGACCAGTTTGGGCCAGCACTCGGCGCACTCGAGCGCGTGGGCTTTGTCGTGATCTTTGGCGCATGCCTGCTTGATGGCTGCAACGTCTGTCGCACATCGCGCCTGATCTTTCTGCAGTGCAATCACCTCTTTCCATGGCTCAGCAAGGGCCATAGCTGCAGTAGCCAGCTGCGGTACCGGCAGCGCACAGCAGAGGAATAGCTTGCTTTGAGGGTTCGTGTCGAAGGCCGGGCCTGATACTTGGCAATGCGCCGGATGTTCTGAGGGACTAAACCGCGTCAGAGAAGTCGTGGCGAAAGGGCAGAGGTTCGATTTCAAGATTGCGGCTCCGCGCCTGCCTTGAGGCTTGCACAGGTATGCCCAAATCGCGGCCGGATCGTGAAGTTGAAGTCGTTTTGTTAGGGTGGATTTTGGAGAAGGACCTGGCGTCTTGGGCCGCAAGCCGAGACCAGGGGTCCCGCGAACCGGGGGTCCATAGCCCCCAGGCACCGTGCGTTGCGCTAGCATCGCCTGCCAACCACCTGAGCGCGCGCGATCATCTCTGCGGAGGTGTGTATCCTTCAGGCAAGCCAGACATTTTTGACACACGCCTAAATTACGTAGACAGCATTCGCTACCTGCGACAACCTCTGTCGCTCATCTCAACTACAGATTCCACAACGCCATGGTACGTATCATTCGCCCTTTTGTTCACCTAGTGCTTCACGCCCAGTGCTGACCACCTTCGACCCAAACCATAGGCCGACAAACTCCGCACCCAGCAGGAACTCGAGCGCCTCCAGGCCAAGTACATCGGCACGGGTCATCCCGACACGACCTCGTGGGAGTGGAAGACCAACATTCACCGCGACACGTATAGCAGCATTGTCGGCCACCCGCCGCAGCTCGCCTACATGGCGCTTGCGCTCAACGAGCCTGCCGCAAAGCTCCGCGCCCAGCTGTTGCGCAAGATGATCCAGCCTGCCGGCCCCCCGCCGCCGAGGGAGGGCGACGAGCCTGCCTTGCTCGCTGCCGCCCTTGCTGCACAGCAGTCTTCTGGGCGTGGAGCCTGATTGATAGCCTAGAGGTCAGAGGTCAGGAGGGATTGTGCTGCCCAGCTTCAGGGCTCGGCACCGATTCTGGACGACATCTGCTTGGCACAGAAATCGGCGGCATGTCATGGAATCATCAGGGCTGGCATCGAACACAGCTCGGCCGAGAAACGCTCCCACGCTCAGCACAGCGTGCTAACGAGATCCGTATTCTCTGCCAAACGGCCACTTGTGGTGGTGAATCTAGCAAGACTATGCGAGAGTGCCGGCACGGGTCCAGTCGCGGGCATCGGGTGATGTGTTGGGGATGAGTCGAGATGGAGGAGAATAACCAGTGTGTGGTGGCAAGGTCCTTTGATCACGGATGATCCTGCCCCAGTGGATGTCAACTAGGGAAGACCCGGTCGCAATGTTGGCAAGAGAAGAGCCAGGCGGGCTGAGTGGTCCATCAGCTTCGTCAGTCGGCTTCATCGATGCAAAATTCGGAATCAAGCTTAGCATTACCGATGCCTGACGTTGAATGCAGCACGAAACCACAGCACGTTTCGAGATTTTCATGTCAGTTCCAGCCATATCGCCAAGTTACCCCTTCGTGACTACGACCGCAGATTTAGCTCAATATAGAAGTTCCATCTTGCGATGCTACCATAATCAATCTCGCCTACTGCTGCTGTCTGCTTGCTCAACGGCAGCAGCATTCTGCAGACCGAGACTCTTGTGCAGCTTCTTGTCAAAGTCATCGGGTACCTGGCCGTATACCTGCCTCACGAATGTGGCGATGCTCTGTGGCGGCACCTCGACTCTTCCACGCGGACCGACTGCCCAACTGATCATGTCATCGCCATCGGTCGCCCGCTCTACAGTCTTGTCCAAATAGCCGTGTTTGACCATCCTCTGGAGCACATTTTCCGTCGAGTCGATAGGTAGATTTTGGCCCGCATTCAGCCGAGTGAGATATCGCTTGAGCTTGCTGTCGCTAAGTTCGCCGCCGCTCAGTGTGATAACGGAGATGATGAGTGTGTAGAAGGCAACGTATGTGGCTTCATCGTGGGCGCTAGGCGCCCTGGCTGGGTCCACGATGGTTTGGGCACGATATGGAGCTGGCAGGGTCGAGACGAGGATGTAGGTTCCAGTTGAAGTTGACGCCGATGTGCCGCCCTGTGTGGCAGCTTTTCTCGCTGTCGCTTCTACAGAACGGCATCTTCGTTAGCGCAACTGTCTTCAAGGCTCTTGGGAGAGTGGTCATACTTTGCCGCTCTTTGAGTGTTCGCTTTTCTTTGGCTGGCAGCTCTGTCATTTCCATGCCAAACACATGCCGTAGCTGGGCCTGGGCTCCATCAAAGATCCGCTTGAAGGCTCGACTGTTGTTACCAAGGACTAGAAGACGTCATGTCCAAGTCAGCCAGGGTGCAGTAAAATATTCCTTATTGAAGTCGGGTACCGCTGACCCTTTTCGCGGATCCCGTCACGCCTGATTGGCAAGCGAGCATACTCGCATGCAAGAGCATAACGCACGAGCTTCTTTACGAGCTGGTCGTCTGCAGTGTCGTCGGCAAAGGAGCCGTCCATGGGCACATCGGCATCGTCCCCGCTGTCATCCGCGGCGGGACGGTGTCGAGATGTAGAAGCTGGGCCTCTGCTATTGTCATCGTCGTCATCGTCATCCACCCGCGACCTGATATTGCTTCGCCGGCGACCTGAGGACTGTGCTGGTGCCATGGTAGGTTGAGGATAGTGAGAAGAGCTGGAGGCACTTGGGCCGAGAATCGTCATTCATGCCGGTGGTGCACGGGGAGACGCGACGAGGGGCTCTAGACGCGTTTAGTGCTGCTTATCGACCCCACGATAAGGGATTCTGCGGACGCCCCGGGTGCTGCCCCGGCGCTGGAGGGTGCTGTCAGGTCCCTCAGAAAAAAAGTAGCTACAGGGCTAGAGCTGTAAGTCGTTGGATTGCGACAACGACGGACGCCTCAACTCGAGTTCGCAAACGATTCAACGCTGGTGGCTGCCACTCCAACAGCGATGCTCCGGCGCCTGGCTCAACCGAGAGCCGAAATATGTCTGCGGTGTTCGTTTCGCCTCTTTCAGCACAATCTACGGCCCTTGTCGCATTTCCCAGCACGACAGTTCACTCCCAACGAGAATGCAGCAAGCGAAGGACCGTCGTCTACGGACGGTGCTCCTTCTCAAGACAATGCAGATCCGACAAGGCATCCCCGGACGTTCTACAAACCCAAGCAAAGACGGAGGCGAGCTGGTAACCGGGTTTTGACAGAGGACAGCGCAACGCTAGGCACTGAGATGCTTGGCAAGCCTGCCCGGGCAATCGTCTTGCGTGATGGCGGCCTCTACGTCCGGACCGACAAAACTGAGGAATTCGAGGCCGAGCCGAGTCCAGAGCTCCCAAATCTGGAGGCCTTGCTGGAGAGCCAGCAGTCAGACCCCACGACCGAAGACGTACGAGCGAACATCGAAAGTCTCAAGCCGGTTCATGAGCGTCAGCTGTCCGAGAGGGACTTTCGCAAATTACAGCAGACACTCATAGATGGCTTCACTACGCCGCAGTTGCAAGGCTATCTGCAGTGGCGTGCTGATAAGCCCCTGCACAAGACGTCTTCGGAGCGCATGGCTATGCGGCTTCCGTGGGTCAAGTCAATGACTCCTTGGACACCATTAAGCCAAGGTTCGGAAACAGTACTTCCAGGCGATGCCCCCATACCAGGCTATATGCCGGCCACAGCAAGTCCGAAAGAGAGGGTAGCGATTCGGATTTTGCATGAGTGTTGGGGCTTGACCATTAATGAGCTTGCCATGGTTTTGGGAGAGGTGCGGGTCAGGGTTCGATCGGCGGAATTTGTTCTGCTCATGCGTGAGTTTCCACATGATATTCTGAGACTGAGACTGGTCTTCAACCACCAAAATGCGTCTGCTACGCTGTGGGTCATTTGCTCCTTAACGACACTGCTGACTGTGGTCCCTGTCCAGGTGGTACACAGCGCTTCATGAACGAATTGGGCAAGCAGTGGCTCGAGCCAGGGGAAAGAATCGAGTCAATACGGAGTAGCTGTACGCTGCGCTTCGTTGTCAAGAAGCCAAAGGCCGATATAATCATCGCTGAACTAGACAAGACGCTCAATTGCATTGAGAGCAAGGCTATCCCGCTCAGCCTCTTCACGCCAACGCCTCTGGACGAGGGTGTAATAGAAGAACTCGGTCGAATCACCAACACACACATTCGCAACAGCCAAACCGGAAGACGTGTAAGTGGACATCCGTCTAAACCACCAGTACTTTTTGTAACACGGAGCGCTGCATCGAGACTCTGTATACCAATGTTTCTGCGCCGTATACACTAGTTATATACATGCTTTATTGACCAAGTCTTATATAGATTCACATCACATGGCTAGAAGTACGCAAGAAGGGCCAAAAAGCCGCTCTTGAGGATTTGCGCCATGTGGTCTTCAGACTACTACTTACGGCCCTGAGGCCTGCTCATGCAAATGCCTTCCTTTTTTCAGACCTGCCTCCCGAAAGTCGCGGCGGTCTCGTGGCAGATAGAATCAACTCGAGCAAATGGGGCTGGAGGGACAGAATGTCGACTTGGGAACGATTTGTTGTACCTGTACAGTCATCCGAAGCGGCGGAAGCACGTGTCGAGCTCCCATCATTTACAGTTGAGAAATTAGCCCATGCACCGAAGGATATTCGACTGCACAACTCTTCAGCTTTTGGCGACAGCCAGAATCCAGGAAAGGACGGCTATCCTGTCCAACCAGTCAGCTGGGGGAAAACTGTTCAGACGACGACTGTCGTCCACTATGGCCATGTTTTGCACGCCCGGTCAGCAGCAGCAGAGCTGAATCAGCTCCCTTCGGCCACCGTGGCTGAGCTTAGCGATGCTGGCCTCCCACGCATATTCTCACCGGTATCACCACACCCGACACGACTTGCCGAACTCGAGGCTCAGTCTCAGGAAGACGACGAGCCAAAAACAGGGATGTATCCCGCGCATTCGACTATCCTCATACGATTCCAGCCTTCGCCTCGCGTTGCTTCTGCAGCCGCAGACGAGTATGCTCTCGAGGGCGATAAAAAGGCTCAGCTGCTTCTTGACGAGCACGGGAATCCATTGAAAGGCAAGAAGAAGATCAAGAACGCACTTCGCGAGATCAAATCAGAGAAGAAAAAAGAGAAGAAACGGGCCGGTCCTGTTTCCAAGGATAGCTGGCCCATGGCTGAGGCGCCACCAGCGCCGATTCTTGAGTTGCGGCTTACCATTGAGGACACTAAAGTCTTGGGAATCCAGAGCTTGCGTGCCATCAAACACAAGACCGTGTCCGATGTCATGCTGCCAGGCTCGCTTATTGATATGCGCGTCACGCAGACTCAGTATGTCGAGCTCGAAGGGCAGAAGGATGATATCGCGGCATGGCAACCGCTCGCCGACTTCCTTGGCAATGCTCGCATCGAGCTCGACCGGGGAAAGGTCGACATGGCCTCGCGACAAAGGTTCCCCATCCCTCGACATCTGTTTTCCACTGAGGAATTGGCTGGCGATCCGAACGAGCTTGTCAGCACCCAGTACGAGTTTGTTGGTCTGGAGCTTCATCGCGCGGTCTCCATGCCCTATGAGGGCTTCAAGATGACTTACACGTCCATCGAGGCTGGTCAGGGCGGAGGCCGCCGAGCCGAATTTAGTGTTGAGGAGGCGACAACAGCGTCGCCTTCGACAGACACACCTATGGCTGAAGCCTCGCAGTCAGAGGAATATGCTAGCGACGAGACTGTCCTCGAGACAGAACTTGACGTGGATCCTGCTAAGGAAAGCGCCACGGCCGAGCAGGCCTCGACGACCACGGAGCCTCCCTCAAGGCCCACGAGAAAGAACTTCCTTGAGACCTGCTATGCGTTGGCTCGCGACGAGTCTATGTGGGCTGGATATCCAAGTGACTCCAAAGAGTGGTAACAACCCCCCACGTCATTTCCACACATCACAGATTCGACATTTGTCGACCGCATAGACGCGCTGCGAGACAACTGTGATGGGGAGAAAAATATCTGTATTCATACTTGTACAACCTCAATTGTTCGGTTTGTTTCCTATTATTCATGTACAGGCCGCATTAAGTAGCATCACCATGCCACCATGATCTAGACCGATAACCTGCATTGTAACACCAGCGTCACCACCACCACGAATAAAAATTATAGCATTGTTGTTCCTCTTTTGAGGTTTATTTTGTCTTTTACTATACTATCACCACCGTGACAAAACTGAATTCCCTTTCAAAGTCTCTAATACGACTAACTGGGAGGGCGTGACTATGGTCATGGGTCGGGGTTTCGTCATTCAGAAGTTCGACGTAAGGGGCGAATTGTTGCCATCTGCAGTGTCAATGTTGGAGGCGGATTCGGTGCTCCAGAACAGCGAATCGCACATATCGACATGTGGGACTGGCGTTATTACAGCATCATGTTCAGAGACGCAGCATCCAGCAGGGACACGTAAATAAATTCTTTCCTTGTACTGATCAAACTGCAGTTAAGGTCTGGATTTGAGACTGGTTGTCATAATGAAGTTGTCGGGTGTTGGGGTGGTGAAACGTGGCTCAGCTCGGCCGCGGCGCCGTCACACCCCAAAACGAGGGAGTGGGTGGGAGAGGCACTGTACTGTACTTGTGTCCGTTGTTAACACAAGCAACAAATATACCTTAGCCACGGACACAACGCAGTACCAAGGATCATCACAGCGGGCGCAGGAACAGTATAAGCACGAGCAAGAGCCCTCATGTCAATTTCACATGTTCAGTCACGGGGAGGAAAAGGGAAAAAGGCACAGTAATCAAAGTGGGTCAGACGTCTCGGTCTATTTTTGACTCTATCTCACTTTTCACACAAAGGGAAAAATTTTGTTCATAGCTGAGCCGTGATCCATCCTCCAGCGATGTGCGTGCTCGACCAAAGTCGTCATACAGACATTCTTCGTCAACTACCAAAGAAAAATCATCATCTCATAGTAGTCGTGTCGTGAAGTGGTACGCAAGGTACCGGAGCTGGTGAAGAGAGAAACAGTTGATTAAACTGTTTACTTCTTGCCAAGCTTCTTCTCAGCAGACTTGGTCTTCTTGCCGGCATCCTGGGACTTGTCGACGGCCTTGATGACACCGACAGCGACGGTCTGTCTCATGTCACGGACGGCGAAACGGCCCAAGGGAGGGTAGTCGGTGAAAGCCTCAACGCACATGGGCTTGGAGGGAGTCATCTTGACGATGGCAGCATCACCAGACTTGATGAACTTGGGGCTGGTCTCGGTAGCCTTACCAGTACGGCGATCGATCTTCTCGAGGAGCTCGGTGAACTTGCAGGCAATGTGGGCAGTGTGGCAGTCGAGAACGGGGGCGTAACCAGCACCGACCTGGCCGGGGTGGTTCAGGACGATGACCTGGGCGGTGAAGGTGTTGGCGCCCAACGGGGGGTCGTTCTTGGTGTCACCGGCGACGTTGCCACGACGAATGTCCTTGACGGAGACGTTCTTGACGTTGAAGCCGACGTTGTCACCGGGGAAAGCCTCGGGGAGAGACTCGTGGTGCATCTCGACGGACTTGACTTCAGTGGTGACACCAGCGGGGGCGAAGGTGACGACCATGCCGGGCTTGATGGTACCGGTCTCGATACGGCCGACGGGCACCGTGCCAATACCACCGATCTTGTAAACATCCTGGAGGGGAAGACGGAGGGGCTTGTCGGAGGGACGCTTGGGGGTCTCGATGGAGTCGATGGCCTCAAGGAGGGTCTTGCCGGAGTACTTGTTGCCACCGATCTCCTTCTCCCAGCCCTTGTACCAGGGGCAGTTGGGGGAGGGCTCAAGCATGTTGTCGCCGTTGAAGCCAGAGATGGGGACGAAAGCGACCTGCTTGGGGTTGTAGCCGACCTTCTTGATGAAGGAAGAGGTCTCCTTGATGATCTCCTGGAAACGAGACTCGGACCACTTGGTGGTGTCCATCTTGTTGATGGCAACGATGAGCTGCTTGACACCGAGGGTGTAGGCGAGCAGAGCGTGCTCACGAGTCTGGCCATCCTTGGAGATACCAGCCTCGAACTCACCAGTACCGGCGGCAATGATGAGAATGGCGCAGTCGGCCTGGGAAGTACCAGTGATCATGTTCTTGATGAAATCACGGTGACCGGGAGCGTCTATGGATGGTCGTTAGCATCACATCATCAAAGCGATCATGAATGGAGTGGATGAGCTTACCAATGACGGTGACATAGTACTTGGGAGTCTCGAACTTCCAGAGGGCAATGTCGATGGTGATACCACGCTCACGCTCGGCCTTGAGCTTGTCAAGAACCCACGCATACTTGAAGGAACCCTTGCCGAGCTCGGCAGCTTCCTATTGTCGAACGGGTCAGTGATGATGTTCTTATGTGAGACATGGGTGAGTGGTGGGGTACGGCTGAGTCCGTCTTTGATTGGTGCAACTAATTGCTGCAACAACAAAAAAGTTCTGTGGGTTGCCGCGCAAGGCGGGGTAGATGTGCCTGTGAAAACGGAATGGCGACTAACCTTCTCGAACTTCTCAATGGTACGCTTGTCGATACCACCGCACTTGTAGATCAAGTGACCAGTGGTGGTGGACTTGCCGGAATCGACGTGGCCGATAACGACGACGTTGATGTGCGCCTTGTCGCTCTTACTATTGCGAGGAAGATGTATGTCAGCTTGTGTTTGGAAAAGAGCAGCACAAGCCTGACAGGTTGATGACCGTCGTGCCTATGGCAGTGGTTGTGGAACGTACCCCATGGTTGCGGTATTGAAGTCTAGTGACTAGGTCTTGATGTGGTTTTGATAATGTGACTAGATGGCAAGACGCATGTTAGCAGCCGTCGAGAAGAACCGGATGATGAATGTTGATGGAAGATGGGCAATAAAACGAAGCCCCCATCTTGGGCGATGGGTGGCGAGGTGATGAGATCGTGAGAAGGCCCGGATCCGTCGCAATCAGTACGAGGACGAGCAGCCTGTTGAAAGCTGTGTCGAGGTGCTGGCCACGACGGAGACGGACGTGAAGCGTCGTGATTGACGACGATGGAGAGGGTACTCACAGTTGGCAGATGGTATTGCAGTTAATACTCGGTATGCCGGACAAGGAGAGAAGAGGTCGAAAGTCAAGACGAAAGGAAAGGCTGGTGGGAGGGAGGTTTTATGGCTTTTCCGTCGCCGTTCGGGTGCGGGGCTCTCTGGCGTGGGTGGTGCGGCCGGCGCTTGCTGTCCTCAGGTATCAAGGCGGCCTGACTGGACCTCGCCGACCCCTCCTTTTCGCCGCACCCCGTCTCTTCTGCGCCAGCTTCACGCCGCCGGCTGCACCACTTTTTTTTTTTTTTTTTCTCTCTCGCGCGCACACGAAATCGGGTTCGCACCCCACCTTGAATGGCCCGTGCACAGTCCGCCCAGAGGCTGCAGCTAACCCCTCCTTCCAAAATTTTGTGCAGTGGTGGGGCAACGACCGACCAGGCCTCAAGCAGTTGACACAACAACAGACGCGCCTGCAAGGTCTCACCCGTGAGAGCGGATTGGAGCAGACTTTGATATCGCTGCCTTGGCAGGATCCGAGTCAGTCGTCTGTCCGACATGCTTGATGAAAGATGTTTCAGTGCCTGCTGCTATCTGCCTCGTAGCGCCAAGGATGGACATGCCACGAACAATCACGGTGCGCCAGGCCAGGCTTGCGAGAGAATACCCGCCCGCCGTCACGAAAGCCTCGTCGCATTGCCACTCGCGACATGGCTCGACATGGCCGCTCGGGCAGAATGAGCGGTCTCCCCCAGGGGTGTCTGCAGGCTGCCCATGGGTCTTGCTGCACGTTGCCCCTCGCCCCTCCCTGCCCGGTCCAGGTCACTGTCTGTCTGTCTCGCCCCTCCTCACGTCACATCTACCTGCCCCTCCAAACCAGGTGGGCGAGGATGCTCCTCTGCCCGCCCGTCTGGCGCCTGATTTGACCGCATCCCTGCAACCACCAATACATACCACTCTTGTTGGATTGATATGCCCACCAATTTGCGGGAGGAAGCAAAAAACGACACAAACCCCTTCTCGTTCACGCTCTATTGTGCTGTTTGACTCTGTTGAGGCTCTCATGCAAATATAGTCCCCCTCGTCAGGGGGCGCTCTGAGGCTGCAAGGTAAACATGTCATTTGCGCCCCCTCTTGGTGGGTGCCCGACCATCTACAACCGGCCTGATCTCACATCTGGCACGTTCGCCCAAGGCGTCTGAGACCCATCTTGATACACCTTTGGCTCCGGTTTTAGACTCCAGCCAGCATCCTGGCTCACGACGGGCTACCCACAGGAGAAGAGAGCCTGGCCCCGGGTCCCGTTCGTTGTCATGACAGTACACCAGTTGGGGCCCAGAATAATCCGGCCCAACCACCCCACCGACGCGAACGCGTCGCGCCACCTGCAAACCCTCCCTTCTTCAAAACCACCATTTCGAGCGCATTTTGAGGTTATCATGGATGATTTTGTTGCTGGAGTGTGCGCCGATAGGCTGCCGAAGCAGGATTTCACTCCTAAGAAGAAAGCAGCTATCTGCGCCGCCCATTTCGCAGGTGTAACGCACCGCCGCATTGCCGAGCTTACGCGGGCCTCCAAGTCAACAATCACCCGCATTATCTCGGACTGGAAAAACAACGGCAACCTAGCCAAATCGCCTCGGAATGGTCGCAATGGATTCACAAATGCCCAGAGAAGGCGCGTACTAACTATCGTCAAACGCAAGCGAAAAGCGACGTGGCCAGAGATCATACAAGCCATGCCCTTCCAGATCTCCAAGACATCTATAAAGCGCATCATTCACGAAGCTAAGCTACGTAAGTGGAAAGCTCAGAAGAGGATTCCGCTATCTAAAGAAGCACGAAGAGCTAGGCTTGCATTTGCAAGAGAGTGGCTACCAAAAGTCGACGAATTGCAGGAGGTACGTGTAATTGAAGTTGGTGGGATTATCCTGACTTGATCTAGGTGATTTTCACGGATGAGTCGTCCTGCCAGAACTCCACGAACGCACCCGCGCAATGGGTATTCCGCTTCCCAAGCGAGAAATGGGACGACCAGTTCGTTAACCTTAAATCGCACGTTAAGGCGAACCTATCCATTATGGTTTGGGGTGCCATATACCTGAAGAACGGCGTGGGGTGCCGGTCAGAGTTGGTGATAATGCAGCGCGAACCGCAGCCAGATCCTAACAAGCGAAAGAAGGGCTATACGGCCTGGAGTTATCAGAAGGCATTACGCGATGGCTTCATCCCAATATACGACGATTGGCAGGTATTTCAGCAGGATAATGCAGCAATTCATTGCGCAGAGAGTACTATGGATTGGCTCGCCGTCAGGGGCATTGCGGTACTACCAGACTGGCCAGCACACTCGCCAGATCTCAACCCAATTGAGCACATTTGGGCCTCAATGAAGCGCCAGCTAGTAAAACTGTTTCCAAACATTATGGCCCTCAAAAGAAACGACGGTGATACCTCCCAATTTGAGGAGTGTTTGAAGTCGGCGTGGGCAGCAGTGCCGGAACGGCTGATCACAAAGGTCCTCACTACAATGGACCGTCGCCTTCGCGCAGTGGCCCGTGCGCGCGGAGGATACACCAAATATTGAAGCCGCCATCGCCAGCTTCAAAATGCAATAATTACTACTCGATTCTGACCTCGTTTGACGGTTCTGTGGCCTTTTGTCGTGTGCAAGTACTGTGCAGCCAATTTTGGTGGGGGGGCTTGGGCCGGATTAATTTGGACCTGATCAGTAGATTCTTTTGCTTGGCACACACCACCATCCAGTTTTGTCATGCAATTGGGCCTGCGGGACGGCAGTCTAGCTCTGGCGTGACCCCTGTCCGAATGCTTGTGATGCTCTCTGTTCGTGAGCGCGAGGAACCGTACCATCCTCCCCTTCTCCACAGGCAAGAATCGCCCGACTTCCCGTGATCAGCTTCTTCTCCCGGCCAACAAGCGGGTCAAGTGGCGGTCCAGGGCATCTCAGAACGACCCTCGTGAGGAGGCCGAGGAAGAAGGGACTGAGGGGAGAAAAAAGCCCACGTCATGCGGCGACACTACTGTACTGCCCAGATCGTCCCCACTGTAACCGCCTATGAGTGAAGGTGAAATCTCGCTTCGAGCCGATGCTGATCGTCCGTTCCAGGGTCGCCACTTCAGTATGAAGGGACTGAGGTGAAGCACTACTATTGCAGGGCGGTTCCTCACTCGGACCTCTGAACATCTCGGCAACACGGTCACTGTGAACGCATCGTTGAGCCGCGAGGCATGACACGATACTCGTTTTTCCACCTGCACAGCATTGCACGTCGTATCCACATGTACAGATCATTGAGTGCGACCCGCGAGCCACTGTCGAAGCCCAACATGATGACCTAACATGATATCACCGATCCCTTCCCATCCCGGAACGTATGCCCTCTGCGTGCGTAAAGAAAGAGAGAACCCTTTATTGCCAAATAAAACGAAACATGTGTTTCATTGCCTTGAGACAATCGGTAACTTCTTACGGACCAAGTCAGTCAGGTCATCTCGAACATGACTGAAGCAAAAATAAACACCTTGTTTGACCAGCAATCTCACATTTGGACATCCCGCGAGCGACTCCCTGAAGATCTTTGTGAAACAATCATGGCTCGCATTACAGCATTAAACTATTCCAAAGCTTGCTAAGAATGAACGACCACAGCGCACCGTGCATCCTACCCGAGACCACATTGAACAAAATCGTCACGTTGAAGAAAATATCGCCAACACCCAATTCAACGCCTTTACCCGAACAGCAAACCTAGAGATCGGGATCAATCGTGTTGATAACTTGTCCGTCGTCATCAATGTCAGCTTCGCAACGAGATGGGTTCCGTCCAGCATTCCTCACTGCATCGCGCTCCTTCTTGGACAGCGCCACTTTGTCGAATAGCGCCGGCAGCGGCTGGTCCGTGGAGAGGTAGACAACCTTGAGATTTCGCGCCTTGTCCCGACACGCCTGCTGGTCGCGGGATGTTTCGAAGCCGCCTTCTTCCGCTATCATGCTCCAACTACACTCGTACTTGCGGATGAGCTCGACAAGGATCTCCTCGTCCCGGACTGACCACGGGATCCGGCGCCGCTGTTCGCTTTTGGCGGCAACGGCTCGACGGTTCAGTCGGGCCAGGGTTCTGAGATCCTCCATCTGGCTGGCTGTCGGAGGAACCGAACTAGTCGTCGAGGCTTGTGTAGGGTTCACATAGGTGCGAGCTGTGCCTGAGGGCGCTGGGGGTGAGCGAGGCTTTGGAAGAACACGGTTCGCTGGCTGCGTCGACTGCATTGTCGCCAGTCGTCTGCTCTGGTTGACTGGCGCTGTTCTTTGTTCGAAGTCGTCGTCATCTTCTTCCTCCTGGAAGGGGTCATCGTCAACCGTGTCAAGTATCGCTGCATCCTCGCGGGCGGCATCGGATGCCACTGACGGTGAGCCTGGCACCACTGAAGGCTCTCTGGCCGGCGATGATGCGACGGCTTGGCTCCCCAGAAGGTCTTCCACGTTGAGATTCCGGACGCCTTCCTGCAACCGAATCTGCTTCCGCAGTGGCGATGCTGCAGCAGCATTCATACTTGTTGCATTGCTTGGAGCAGGCTTTTCAATAGTGGCGGTACCATCAAAGTAGCTGCCACTAAACAGAGTATCATGTCAACAATGCTCGCCAAGGTGTGGGCGGTAATGCGACTCACTTGCTGGGGCCGTCCAATTCAGGGTACACGACCGGTGGCATGTCAACATCAGAGCTGGAGTCATCCTCCAGCTCATCGTCATCCATGTTCTCCACATTCTGAGCCTCCTTCTCAGGGTGCAGTGTTGAGTCTACAGAGCCCTTTGCCAAAGCGTGAGTGTGGTAAGTAGCTAAAGCCCAAGACCGCAGCTCTTCCAGGAGAGGCTTTCTTGGACAGAGGCCTTCCAACGAGCTCTGCACGGCTTGTGTGGTCCGCCCATTTAGGACTTGCTCAAGCAAGGTTTGCATACTTGTCTGGTACGTTTCGTTCAGGCTCTCACTGTCCGACGGTTGCAGTCCGAGGAGAGCCTTGTACGGTCCGCGGGATAGTCGCTGCCGTGCGGCCGCCAGGGCGGTATACTCCTCGCCGCAGAATATTCTCGTGGCCAGCAATATCGGCTTCTCGCCTGCTTGAAGCTTGGCGGCAAAATGATGACAACGAATCCGAAAAGCCAGATCGAGTGCTCGGGACTGGTCGACTTCCTGGGCAAAGTGCGCTGGAAAAACATTGTCCAGATGCTCGAAAAAGTTACCCTCGTAGGGACTCTCGATGTAGAGGTGGTCGAAGATGTCCTTGAGCAGGCTGGCCGTGTTTGACCGGAAAGCTGTTTCCTGTGGAGAGACTTGCGCGTTTTGTGTCACTTCCATTGAATTGTCCCAGGGCGGTGCGAATGTATCGAGGTATTCGTCCTCACCCAGTTTGCGGAGGAGTGACTTGTGGACATCATCCTGATGACCAAGGCGCTTGCGTTGGCGATTTGTGGGCTCCTCGCTCCCTATATCTTGATGTATCTTGTACACCTCATCACATGCCTGAACTAGCATTGGGAATAGTGCATGGTAATCATCAAGCATGTCCTGGTCTACTGGAGGGTTCTGACTCTGAGAAGCCAGTGCGATGGTGTCAACAACAGAATCTGCCATGGGGTGACTTAGCAGCACAATCGACACGAGAAATAGACGACGCAAAAAAACGAGAGCTTATGTACCGTTGTCATCGGCCTCATCGTAGCCAATATCGGCAGAGCTCTTAACATGGTCGACACTAGGACTGCGGCGCGGCTGTTGTTGTGTCCGACGAGTACCCCGACGAGCGATAGGATGACGCGCTTGTGCTGAGAGCAGGCTCGACCGCTGAGACAAGCCAATCTCTTCGTCGAGTGATGCTGTCTGACGCGTCGTCCGTCGAGTCTGGCGACTCATGTTGTTTTTGTTTGACCTGGATACTTGGAACCAAGAAGCCTCCAGGGCAGGCACTTATTGGACGAGGTGTGGATGAGGATTGGGAGGCCGGGAAGATTGACGCGGGTCGCGAAACGGAGTCCCTGGCGTTTGTTTATCTCAAAACTGATTACGTAATGGATCCAGACTACATGGTACTGACAGCGAATTCCTGCTGCCAACGCGGTACTCTGGTGATCCACTATCTGAGCTTAGCTAATTCGAGACGGTAGATGACCGTAAGCCTGACCGCAGCCCTGACCGTAACCCTAACCGTAACCCAAAGAATCCTCACATCGCAACCCTACCTTTCTACGGACAGCGGGACCTGTTGCCTGCACGCTGGGGTACCTCGCCGTTCACAACGCTGTTCAACGGCTCATGGGTCGTGAGATGAAACTCGGCCAGCATTGCTTACTGGGGGCATCGCGTCTGAAGTTTACAAATTCATGATATTGGCCAATTTCTTGAACATCTTCAGGTACTGTAAGTACTTAAAATTCCTAGACAGGTAAACCCTCCAAGCCCACTTCAAGTAGAAGCGCCAATTGAGCCTGATCAGTCCAGGTGTCCCTGACAAGACTGCGCGTTCCGGCGTCTTCTATCTCCTTTACTATGGTAGTATTGCTCGATGTTCTGCCATGCTAATTCTGCATCGAGATGTACGAGATCGTCGCCTCTTCTGTCGTGCACAGTACTGGGATTGGTAGCGTAATTTCGAGCTGCCAACATGATGGGGATTGAATCACGCCCATTGCATCCCAAACACAGTCAAGTTCTCGCTGACCAATCGTGTCGAGTGCCCAATCTCGTAGAAAAATGCATGATCGAAGCAGGAATGTGGCGATGCTGGACCGAGCAAGGGCCTTGTCTGTCATGCGAATGAGAATGCAAATCGTTGACTTAATCCACTGGCTCCCTGGACTGGTTGGGGCCAGGGACCCTGTAGACCGCATAGACACGTTGCTCCCTCTTTCGCGTGGCCCTAGTCTCAGCTATCCACAATTGAGCCAGGCCTCTGGAAACGTCACAGTCCCGTTGCCGGCTCATCCCTTAATTATCTACAAACACCAACAACTCTTTCTTTACTGTCGCGGTCGAGTTCCACGTGCGCTCGGTTCATCTCGACCAGAAACACTAATTGTGCCGGCTACACTCGCTGCCTCGAGCCACTTTGGCCTCTCACAAGATCCGCCCGAGCCCGAGCCCGAGCCCTTACCACACCCCCTTTCGCAAGCTTCGCGCTGCTCTGGCGAGTTCACAAACGTGCCGTCTCCCCAACACCGAGCAACAACGATCATCGGCGCGCCAACATGAAGCCCAGAGCTCAAGCGAAGCACTTGCTGCTGCTCTTGCTACCGACCATCGTCCTTGCGTCTGCAGAGCTGGACGCGCGGCTGTCTGACAAATCCTCTGTGGACGCTCCTGCCAAGAAGATCGCTCCTGTTGATGGCAAGGATGGCATGCCTCACAATGGACCCTGGGTATCGACCGGTAGGACCGATGACTCGACAGCCTCCGACGCAGCGGACTCGATCAATCCGAAGGGGAAGCCCATGAAAATGAACGGCATCGAGATTCCCCAGACGAACGATGGCGTAATGGACGACCCGACTCGGGTACCGCCCAAGAAGGGCACCACAGGCACCGAAGGCGGCGTTTCCGAGAAGGAGAAGATCCGCAAGGCGCAAGAAGGCAAGACGGGAGAGCGAGTCGAGAAGGTTCCGGAAACGCCGAAGGAAGACCCTCGGCTCTCCTCTGTCAAGGACAAGACAGTGGGCGATGCAGACTCCTCGCAGACTGCTGATGAGATCGCCGGCCTCGAGGTAAGCACCTGATGTCCTGGACGTTGGCCCGCAGACGTGCGTGTACTGAACATGACATTCCACAACGCAGAAGCCCCTGAATCTCCCCGATAAAGTAGGCGACGAGCCACATCCAATCCCCGACTCGGCCAACAAACAGCACTTGAACGTTGGCAAAGGCAGCTCCGGCTCCTCACATACGAAAGCGCCTGCCGGCACGGAAGATGCCGATGGCATCATCCAGCCATTCCACTCCTTCGTCTTGTCCCTCACCATGATTCTCGTTTCGGAAATTGGCGACAAGACTTTCCTGGTTGCCTGTCTCATGGCTATGAAGCACGACCGCATGGTTGTCTTTACTGCCGCCTTCGGAGCACTCTTCGTCATGACTGTATTGTCTGCAGTGCTAGGCCACAGCGTGCCGGCACTGATCTCCAAGCGCGTGACGGCATTTCTGGCCGCTGGCTTGTTTTTCGTCTTTGGCGCCAAGCTGCTGCGAGAGGGTCTTGAGATGGATCCAAACGAGGGAGTCTCGGGTGAGATGCAGGAGGTTGAGATGGAGCTGGCAGAAAAGGAGCAGGAGGCTCTCAAACATGGCGGTCGTCAGTCCTCGGCATCGGCTTATGCTCTCGAGGGTGGCATGAGTCGCCACAGCCGCAAGTCGCGCTCCCAGTCACGTTTCCCCTCGCCGCCACGCAGCCCATCGACCTCGCCGGCTCGGAGTCCATCGCCTAGAGGCGGCATGCTCGGAGGCGTCGGCAGCGGCCTGTCCAACCTATTCTCACTTCTCCTCAGCCCTGCGTGGGTACAGACATTCGTAATGACATTCTTGGGCGAGTGGGGTGATCGCAGCCAGATTGCTACCATTGCCATGGCTGCCGGGCAGGACTACTGGTGGGTAACTCTTGGCGCGCTGGTCGGACACAGCATATGCACCGGCGCTGCTGTCATTGGCGGCAGAGCAATTGCTGGCAGGGTGAGCCTCAAGAAGGGTAGGTTGAGCTCTTTTACTTGGTTGGGTCGAAGCATTGTGGCAGTCAGAAGCTAACTCCTGCATCAATAGTGACAATGGGCGGTGCCATTGCGTTCCTGGTCTTTGGCTTCATCTATGGATTCGAAGCACTGTACGCATGAGTGCGCGATTGGGCAAAGCAGCGCTGCTATGGTTGTAAACCATGAGTTGGCAGCCTACGTCTCTCTTCTACGACTTATTTTCGAAGAACATATCCGACTTATAATAATTGGACCGTCCGGGAGCACCAGCGTGCTTTGCATTCAGGCGTCATTGATCGTTTCACGACTGGGCTAGGGATAAAATGGGACACTTGAGGTTGCTCGATTACAGAAATGGAAGTTTGGGTCATCAACACGGCGCAGGACGAACTGCCGAGGTAGACAGGTGACGATGAGGGTTGCCAAGTGCAACGGTAATCCACGACCGGCTAGAACACATTGATGGACTTTTAACAATGGTGTACGATTATAAAATTGTTGAAACATATCTGAGAGATTCTCAATACTTCCCTGATACTTGCTTCTTGGCCATGCATTGCGAGCCGTGGCTTGCAACCTAAAGTCACAAGCACCTGGTCATGGGTGGTGTGTAAGTGCCAGTTTGCCACATGTTGCGTCCACCAATGACAACTCACCGGGTATTTAGGGAGACTAGAAGCTACAGCATGTCAAAGAGCACGCAGCCGGCTATTTGATGAATTCTGTGGTGGTTGAGCACACGGGTGCGGGCTACTGGCATTATATCTGACATCTGGCGTTTCCACCCAGACGATGTGCTACTCTTGATTCCAGCTTGGACTGAGCTGAAAGGCCGGCCTCCACGTCTTCGAGCAGTCGTAGGGTAAGGTTCCAGGAGATGCAGCTTTCTCTTGCCATATCCTTTTGAGGCACTTCAAGCCAATTTCACAAGTCAGAGACACTGGCCTGTCCCTCGAAGCTCGTGAAAGAACCCCGCATGAACCCCCCCGGGAGTAGCTACACCGAACACAGTGAACAACACCCCCGCGCGATAGCCCCCCCCTGTAGCACTCACAGCTTCCCACACTCATGCTTGCCTTTTGGGCTTTACTCATGGGCACACACCATCAAGTCTTGTAAACAAATACTGTGACGCTAGCTCCTGTCATGATCTCTTGTGGGCGAAATGGGCAGAGATAGCTAGTAGTGCCAAAGATCTGACGGAAGCCCCGTCTCATCTCCCCGAGTTCTGTGCCAGGCTGCTGCTGCGGTCGATCCGCGGCTAAGGCAGGGCACACCTAGTGACCCGTCTGGGCGTCATCGTGCTTCTCCAACAGACAGACCGACAGGTTACAATGCGGCTTGCGCCGCGTGTGGTATGTGTGTGTGTGTGCCCGTGTAATTAGTAAACCTTTCTCCCGCCCCCGCAGACGACGACGACGGGGTTCCGGCGGATCCTTGCTGGGACTTTATCCATTCCTTGCCGTGTGTTCCTTGATCTTTGGCACATTCTCTCAGACTAAGTAATTAGTTGGGGTTCGCTTCGGTTTGTAACTCTCCTAAGAGCATCGCAAGGAGAGCTTGTCGACACCGCAAAAGAGACCATATTGTCTGATCTTGGAACCAGGTAAGGTTGGAACATTCGACCTTCCCTTCGGAGCATTCACACATCCGGCCTCACCGTTAGGTTTCGGGATCCCCATACGCCCACACTACGACGACTCTGGCTCTGAACTTGTTCTAACCTCGACACTTCCCGATCAGCAGCCAAAGACCGCATAACCTCCCGCAGCCGGCCGTAAAGCCCCCAGCACAAAAGGAACCACAGAAGAAAGCCGCAGGAAAACAGAAAACAGAAAAAGAAATGTGGGCGAAGCCAGCATCGCCAAGCACCTCGGAGACGAGGGGCGGCTCCCCGCCGCAGAGCCCGGCGGCGCAACACGCGCGCCGGGACTCGGCGGCCGTGCGGAACCCCGGGAGGCGGTTCGCGCAGATTGTCAGGCTCAAGCCGCAGCACATTGACGAGTACGAGAAGGCGCACGCCGCGGTGTGGCCCGAGGTGCTGCAGCAGATCAAGGCCTGCAACATCCAGGACTGTAGGTGGTGGTTGATGTTGCTCCGCCATTGTTTTCGATGTCTTTATTTCACTACCAGCACCACCTCAATTCGTAATCTTTCATGCAGCAGGCTGACATATTCCCCCCTCTTTCCCTTTTTCTATATAGACAGCATCTCTCACGACAAAGACTCGGGCATCTTGTTTGCGAGCTTCAAGTACGTCGGCTACGACTTTGTGGGGGACATGGAGAAGATGCGCGAGAACCCCAAGGTGCGCGAGTGGTGGCAGATGACGGACGGATGGCAGGAGGTGAGTTTTTTTCTGTCTATATTTTGCTTGCCGGACTGTTTCTCGCACCTCAAATCCATGGTTGCGTCTCGTTATTCCGTACCTGAGGAACGGAGACTGACATTTCGATCCCCCCCGCCTTTCAGAGTCTTGTGCCCGGTGCCAAGAGCAGCGAGTCTGGAAGTCCGCCATGGTGGAAGGAGATCAAGGAAGTGTTTTACATGCCTTGACCAGCGGCGGAGTTATTTCTGTGCTTGGTCGGATGCTGGGCACGGAAGGGCTCCGATCAGAAGAACCTGTGATGCGGTTGGGCAAGTCCAGCTTGGTGTGGTTCGTCAAGCTGGTGGCAAAGATGCCATTTTCACAAATCTTTGATACATATAATGATACATGATACATGATTACTGCGATGATAGATCGTCGTATAGTACAGCTGGCCAAGATTTAGGATTATTCTAGCCATCCCAGAGGAGCTTGTTTTTTCTTTGAACATCATTTCCAAAGGTCGGGGCAGTGCTACCTCCAGCTGCCAAACAGCCCACCTAGAAGGCCGCCGAGCCCACCGCTGCCAGCACCACCACCGCGATCGCCATGCCTCGCCGCCTCGGTCCGGATCCACTGCTCGAGGAAAGCGCGGTCGCTCAGCTTCCTCGCGTCCATGACCTTGGTCTGGACCTGGGCCTCGCCCGCGTCGAAGCTGAGCAGCGTCGGGATCGAGGTGATCATGTAGGTCTGGGCGGTGCCGTCGGCCATGATGTCGGGCGAGTCGTACTCGACGGCGCAGAAGCCAACGCCACCCTCCTGCTCGCCGACGCCGGCCTCGACAATCGACTGGACCAGCGGCGAGACCACCTTGCAGGTCGAGCACCAGTGCGCGGTCCAGAGCGTGATGAGCGGCTGCCGGGACGACGAGGAGAGGAGCTGGTATGTGTGGAGTTCTTCGAGGCGGCGGACGCTGTTGTGATGGCACGTTTTTGGTCCTGATCAGCATTGGGCTACTCGGATTGATTGAGCGTTGCGCGACAGGTGAGCTTACGGCGTGTAGACGCGGTTCTTGGCCTTTGTCGGGGCCGTGGTCGAGAATGGCCGGCTGGTTCGAGGAGCTGCACGCGCCACGCGCAGCGCAGGCGCAAGGTCGGCCCTTGGTCGGAGGGGAAGCTTCGGAGGCATGGCGGCTCGCGGGGAAACAAATAAAAGTTGCGCTCGAGGAAAGGATTATCGTGGTTGAACAACGGCCAAAGAATCCCATGTGAGAAGGGCCAATGCATTGGACTTTGAGCTTGCTGGGTGGATGCACGTCATCGCCAAGCCCCCCAGGCAGGCCGCTCCCGCCAAGGGTCCAGCTGAGGGGGAAACTCCCGAGAGACGGGAGCACCAATGCCTTCGTGATTCTATCTATGGCGAGATTTTATACCATCGCCAATTATCCAGGTTTCAATCTTCGTACCTATGCTCTCTGTCACTGTAAAAAGTGCCAGTTGAGCGCATAGATCACTGTCATTCCGGGACGTGCTGAACACTTATTTGTTCACGACCGTGCTTGTTCTACCATTTCCCTGGTAAAGCCCACCATGAAAAGCACCACAAATATGCCGTAGTGACGAGGCATTCCATCTATAATGCCATCTTAGAGTCTGCAACCAAAAGATGCGTTCCCGTCGAGAGCTGCCTGAAGCGGGCCAGGCTTTCCCTTGCAAGAGCACGCCGTGTAAGTCAGCTCCCTCGACATGGGCCCCACTAGAAATAAAATGCCCCTCTACTGCAAAGTTGGATGTCCACGTCCAGGAATACTCGGAACCAGTTTCTTTATACACGCAGAGCTACATTCGCACGGGCGACAATCTTTTGACTCGGCAGAAGAAATATCTGCCAGGTGAACAACGTTTCTCAAAGCTTCCAGAGACGAAATAAACGACGCCGAGGAAGGAGGAGGACCTCTCAGATGGCCACACGCATCCCCCATCTCCTGGAGCCGTACCTCTGCCTCCCGCCAGAATCTTCTCTGACGCTGCTCACGGGCGTCCTGGGCGCCTCGACAAACTGGCTGGTCCTGCGGTACCTCTACTCGTTGCTCGCAAATACACCACACACCAACCTGCACAGTCATGGGCCCTCATCATCATCAGACCCCACAGGGTCCGGCACGGAGCCTGTCAGAGTGGTTTTCCTGAGCTTCCTGCGTGACTACGCGTTCTGGAAGGACAATGCCGCGAGGCTGGGCATAGACCTCGACAGCGCCTCCGCCAAGGCCAGGTTCGTCTACGTCGACGGCCTGACGAACTTGTTCTCGGGTGGTGATGGTGGTGCGGCTGCTGCTGCTGCTGCTTCAAGCTCCTTGTCAGCACCGCTAGGAAGAATCTCGGGCTCAGGGTCTGCCCGACTGACGCTGAACGAGCCGACAGCTGCGGCGTTGAGAGATGTCCTGGAACTCGCGGTGGGGCAAAGGCCGCAGCCCACAACCTCGCGGCCGGCTGCCGGTGGTGGTGATGGCGGCGGTGATGCTGTGGCAGGACCTGCACAAGTCAAGACGGTCCTGGTGGTTGATCAGATGGATCTGCTTGTTGCGGCGTCCGGGGACGCGAGTTTGCAGAGTGGCTTGGCAGACGCCCTTCTGGATATTCGCGAGGTAAGCCAGGTGTGCCTGAATGACAACCTGACATGTGTGAAATCACGTGCATGCACTTTACATCAGGACCGGTTGCTCATTGATAGACTACATTACGAGTGCGCACGCTAACAGTGTCATTGGATGCTATGCAGAAGGTATATTCCACCATCATCACTCTTTCGGCCGACGAACCGCTCATCCAGGCCCAGAACACGCCCCTGGAGAAGAGGCACGCTTCCCTCGTATTGTCTACAGCCCACACCGCCGATCTCGTCATCAGCGTCCGGCTGCTCGACACCGGTTCAGCTAGGGATGTCAGTGGCGTGCTGAGGGTCACGGCAGGTGGCAGCGGAGGCGGAGATGCTGGGGAACCGGAACCAGATGAGCGGGAGTTGTTGTATCATATTGGAGGGGATGGGGCGGCGCGGGTGTTTGAGCGTGGGCAGTAGTGTCACGTTCGAGTTGATGTGTGACTGACAAGATAATGTCACAATACCCCTGCGCGGTTTGGATGAATTTCTGGCTTGGCTCCATGACACGGGAAAATAGACGTAGCAATGACATGAAGCCAGCTAAGCAAAGTGAAACCTGGGCCCCTAACGGATGGTATATCGTATCGGCATGTAACGTTGAACAGGACACAGTGAGACAACGCCGTGCTCGCGCCACTCATCCCCAGGAAAAACATGATCACATTCACGTCGCAGCCATGGCTCGGGGAAAAGAAGTTGTTCGTCGTTTTTTTGTTCGTGACGCAATGCCAATTTTTTGTCCTTTTTTTCGTTTTGGGAAAGGTAACTGGCTACCGTATTGTGTAGTAGGTTCCGAGTTCCCGAGAACTCAGCGATGCCGCAAAATCCATGGTAAACCAGTCCAAATGCAGAAACACCCGTTTCCCCTTAAAGCCCTTGCTACCGTTTTTTTCGCCCGTCAACGTCGTCAATAACAGTTATCCGCGCGAAGTGTCGTCTATTTCCCCGACTGCTTGTGCTTTGTTCGTCATCCCCAGTTCACATGTCGTCCTCTCCCAAAAATTTACAGAGCCTGGTTGGTGGCAGGGCCCCTGGAGTTCTTGGGGACACCGGTCTGGAAGCCGTTCTTGAACTTGCGGGAGACGGTGCTGAGGTACCGCATGCGGCCGGTACCGGTGGTCTTTCTGCGCTTGGCCTTCTCGGACCAGTTGTCTGTCAAGATGTTAGTTGCTGGGCTGGGATGTGTTGTCGAGACGCGTCCCAGCTTGCCAAGTTGGCTGGCTAGAGGAGTTGCGGGATCGTGGTTGCGACCCAAGGATATGAACGTACACTTCCGGGTCTTGGCGGCAGGGTAACCGCACGAAGCGCAAGTGTGCTTCTGGACGTGGAGAGAGCGGCGACCTGTTTCCGACATTTCATCAGCCTGTTGTTCCCATCTTCCCACAATCATCAGGGGAGGACCGCGAGGATGAATGCTGAGGGCCGCGTTGCTGGATGGCAGAGGACATCATGTTTCGAGCTGTTGAGAGCATGCCGTGTGTTGTCCGAAATGTACAGAGGCAGGTCGATGATGCTCGCTCGTGGTGATTTCATGACGTCTCAGAATCTCTCTCCACCCGCGATTCGGCCCTGGCACATTCATCTTCGGTTCTCCCCCTGGCGGCTGCTATTGAGTGCGACTAACCGCAACGACGGCACAGAGTGTGCGTCTTGTTGTGGCGCTTTCCGAAGCTGGAAGTTCCCTTGGCTGTTCATCGTGCATTCAGTCAGCATTCCGGTGTTGATCGCGTGGTGTGTCCATTCGGGCTCGGGTGGCAGGCGGGATTGGCATCGAGGAGTACGCACTCATTTTGGCGGCAAGACTGTGTGAGAGGCGGACGGGTTAGTATCGTCGGTCGAGTCGTCGGGGTTGGCGGCGGTCGTCGTACCTTCAACGTAGTCTCTGGGTGGGATCTGAGATTGGGTGGTGGTGCTTTTACCAAGGGCGCGAGTCCTGCAGCGAATCCGCAATTTCCTGGCCCTCTTCCGGAATATCGACTGGCACACGCTCTTAATTTTTTTTTCGTGCTGAGCCGAGCGGGCAAGGGCTGGCCGGAGATTTGCCGGGTGGGCCCGCCTGCTGACTCACCGGCTTCGGCTTGTGCATTGAGCTGGTGGATGCGATTAGGGCCTCTTGGAAGCTCGGATTCGTTGATATCCACCAAGCGGGCTTATCTCAATACAGAGGCGTAGATAAACCCCTTCTTATCTTGTTAGTGCCGGAGCCCCTCCTTCGTCATCCGCCTCGAGTGCTCAGAGCTTCGTGAGCATGTGGCCGGGTCTGCAGGACAGATAGTAATTACGTCCTCAGCGCATGGGCATGAGCATGACCTGTAGCTTAGCTGTACTTTGCAATTTACCAAGGGTACCTTTCCAACCACCAGTGCAGTGTTTCATACCACGCTTGCCTCATGTGGGCGTTTGGTTGTACCTGAGTTGCTTCGAGATTGACAACCTGGAGCTAGAACCCCTCCTCCACGATGACAAAGCGTAATCGCCAGAGGCAGCAGCATCGAAAGTGTCCAGAGGCGGCTCTAAGCAGCCTGTTGCCCGCCGTCTCTAGAGGAAAAGCACGCTTGACTGCCTGCCTGGCTGATTTGCCGTCGTGCATGAAGGCTGCCTTGACGTCCGTGCTGTTGTCAGTCCAGAGCCTGGCCATGTGACCCATCCAGTCAAGCATGTGCATGTGCCTGCATCGCTGGAGCTCCCGGCGTGTGACAGGCTCCAATCGGAGCTTCCCTTGTCACCACCATCCACTCTGCTGCCTCAGGACTTGACAAGGCTCTACCTAAGTCTTCCAAGGGCCGCTTTCGTCATTCTCAACCTTGTCCATATCAACCCGTCCATCACATACACGCATCACAAACTGCTGCACTTGCCAGGACATCATCGCACATAAACACTCCGAAAGTCTTCCAACCCACAGAGCCTGCGCAACCTGTTGTTATCGGTGGCTCCGCCCAGCCCTTGACTTGCCAACATGAACCTCCTCTACTCAACCGTCAATACGATCAGGGACAAGTACACGCCCGTCAGCCACACATCAACATTCCGAAAGACCGGCCAGATCACACCCGAAGAGTTCCTAGCAGCTGGCGACTATCTCGTCTTCAAGTTCCCCACCTGGTCGTGGGCCGATGCTGAGTCCGAAGCGAAGCGCGTCAACTACCTCCCGCCCGGCAAGCAGTTTCTCGTCACTCGCAATGTTCCGTGCAACCGCCGGCTCGATGCCGACTTTGCCGGCGATGCGGGCCACGAAGAAGCCGTAGTCGGCGATGGCGACGACTTCAAATCCAAGGGCGACGCAGACGAAGATGGATGGTTGCGAACCGGCGGCCTGAGCAGCTCGCAGCCGCTCAAGGCCAAAGACGTCCGGACAGTCGACGATTCAGGCAAGGTTGAGGACACTCTGGACGACGATGACGAGATCCCGGACATGGAGGACGAAGATGATGATGAGGCCATCATTCACGACACAGACGCTCACAAGCGCACTGGGTAAGCTTTTGCCCACCTTTAATGGTGCTGGACGGCCATTCTCGCTCGCTGGGTTTGGCAGTACAAGAACCCGTCGTGCAACAGCTTGACTGACTTGCGGCCTCATAGTGCCCGGAGAACTTATACCCTGTACATCATGTACTCACCCTACTACCGCACACCTCGCCTATATCTGTCTGGGTACGCAGGGGGTCAACCGCTAGCTCCTCAGCTCATGATGGAGGACATTGTAGGCGACTACAAGGACAAGACCGTCACTCTCGAGGACTTTCCCTTCTTCGCCACCAACGTCAAGATGGCCAGCGTCCACCCGTGCAAGCACGCCTCGGTGATGAAGACATTACTAGACCGCGCGGACGCCGCCCTCAAGATCCGCAGGGACAAGATGAAGTCGGGAAAGCTGGTCGGTCAGGACGCCGGCATGGAGGGCCTCGTCGACGAGATCAACAAGCTCGACGTCAAGAGCGCCGAGGCGGCGGCAGAGAACGCTACCGATGACTGGGAAGAGGTCGAAGCCGAGGACCAGGAGGTCGCCATCCGCGTAGATCAATATCTGGTTGTGTTCCTCAAGGTAAGCCAGAAGTCGACAGCATTTTCTTCTGCTCTTTCTCAGCGCTTCGCACAAAACAAGATCTTCGACAGAGTCCTGGACTTGCTAACACGACGTACTTTCAGTTCATGGCCAGTGTTACACCAGGCATCGAGCACGACTTTACGATGGGCGTCTAAGTACATTTTGACATTCTTACGACTAAGCGAAGAGCACAATATCAGGGGATAGGAGGATTGACTACTTTTTTTTCCACCCTCTCTCGTGGTTCCATTAGATGCATTCAGCTTGAGACTTGGCGTTTCTGCGTATTGATTCCTCTCCTTTGAGCAATGGACAAATTTCAGAGGGCGTTCTCTTTTTCAATCATGGGGGGTTTTTTTCTTCTTCGAGCCATAGTCTTTGACAGAATTCAATTTTCCAGCCGAAGAATCATTCTAGACAGCTGGCTAGTCTAGCACCAAAGATGATGAGAGCTCCAGATAGATGGCGGCGCCGTGACTTGCTGAAATGCGCACACCGCACGAGATATCCTATCCCGCTTGGGGCCTGCAGCGTAGCGTCGACCATGCCACGGGAATGACCAGGCATGCGCTCGTCAAAGTCACGTATCATTGGAAACCGAGAAAGCATTTGTCAAAACGACTTTCGATAAAGATAGGGCAGCACTGAAGTGCCTATTTTCCTCATGATATAATACTAAAAAAACAGAACAGAACCCGGGTATTTGCAAACAACAAGACACATTTTCTTCGACTCATCAAGCCGTTTGAGAGACAGAACACCAAGAACAGATTATAGCTCCTCCATCTCGAGGGTTTCCTTTTTCCACTTTCCGCCTGTTTCCGCCTCTCTGGACAAAATCAAAGATCCCCCGATTTCCCTGAATCGGTAGACCGCGGCCTCCGCAGAAGCAACTCGTCCGACGAATCATCGCTTTTCGTATAGTTGCTGTTGTTGTTGTTGCTGTCGTTGGGAGTGTAACGAGGCAGGTCCCAAACACGGGTCGCCTAGACCTGCTTGGCAATCGCCTCGTTATCCGGAATGCTTCCACGCTTGGGAGTGCCGCTGGCCGAAGCAGAAACGGGCGCGGCCTCGGTCGATCCGGCAACGCGCTTCTCGACGTCCTCGGAAGCAGACGCAGACTCGTCCACGGGGAGGGCGTCCTCGCGCCAGAAGTCCTTCTTGCCACGGGCCAGGCGCTTGGTCCAGCCGGGCAGGAGGCCGCCGGGAACGCGCCAGGTCCAGTGGTCCTTGAGGTCCTTGTCCTTGGGCACGATGCGGCCGCCGGACGCCTTCTCAATCACCCACACCAGCGAATTGATGACGATGTACATGCAGATGCCGCCGATAAGACCGTCGGCAATGGAGTAGGTGAAGGGCATGAGAATGATGGTGACGAACGCGGGCACGGCGTCACCAATGTATCGCCAGTTGACGTCGACGACGGCCTTCATCATCATGGAGCCGACAAGGATCAGGACGCAACCGGTAGCCCAGGGCGGGATCGAGGCGAAGATGGGCGCGAAGAAGATGGAGATGAAGAAGCAAATGCCGGTAACGATCGAGGTCAGACCAGTCTTGCCGCCCTCGCCAATACCAGCACCGGACTCGACATATGCGGTGACGGGGGGGCAGCCGAGCAGGGCGCCGATCGAGATGCTGATGGCGTCGACCATGTAGGCGATGGAAGAACCCTCAAAGTCCTCGGTGACGGGGTCCATAACGCCGGCGAAGCGGGCCATCGAGTACAGCGTGCCGGTACAGTCGAGAATGTCGACGTAGAGGAAGGTGATGAGGGCGAGGCCGAACTGGCCGCCGTACTCGGAAATGTTCCACTCCTGGACGTTGAGGGTGCGGCCGATCTGGTGGAAGTCGACAACCTTGCGGAAGAAGTCGAAGCGGTCGTCGCCGAGGGTCGTGTAGGGGAAGTAGGTGGCAGTGGTAGTACGGGGCCACGAGATGATGCTGACGAGCGCGATACCAGCAATGATGGCGCCCTTGACACGGTACATCATGAGCATGACGGTGAGGACACCACCACAGAAGATGCCGATCCAGAGCTGCGGGTTCCGCATCTTCTGGCTGTCCGGGCACAAGCCGGTTTCAGGATCCATGGTGCCGGGGGGGCAGCCGGCAAGGACGAGGGGTGTCGAGGTCGCGCCCTGAATCAAGCCGATACCCTCGCTGTAGGTGAGACCGATGATGGTGAGGAAGAGGCCGATACCGACACCAGTCGCCATCTTGATCGAGTGAGGGATGGCACGGGCGAGCCACTGGCGCATACCGAAGAGTGCGAGCGCGAAGAAGATCCAGCCCTCGACGAAGATGGCAGTCAGGGCGACTTGGTAGGGGACGAGGCCGGTACCGTGGAAACCGACGACCGTGTAAGCGAAGTAGGCGTTGAGACCCATACCGGGGGCGAGACCGACAGGCCTGGAGCACGGCAGATACGTGTTAGTCTACATTGGATTTTTCTTTCCCGAGAGCCCAAATGGGGGTCGAACGACTCTGGACTTACAAGTTGGCAAGGAGGCCCATGAAGAAGGTGCTGAGGGAGGAGATGGCGGCCGTGGCAGTGACGAGATCACGCTTGACCTCGGCAGCGCAAAGGAGGTATTCCTCGTTGACGGCGCAGATGGGGTCGTCGGCCCCGCCATTGCAGACACAGGTGCCGCCCGTGTCGGCAACGATGGACGAGTTGACGGCAATAATGTAAGCCATGGCGAAGAAGGTGACGAGACCGGCGCGGATCTCGGTGGTGAAGTTTGAGCCCTTGCGCTCCTTGGTCTATCCGTCGCGACAAGCAATTGTGAGTTTTTATTTTCTCTGCCTTGCTCTTGCTGGCATCAACTTACAGCGCCCGAGCCCTCAAGCTTGAACCATCTGCCCACTACGCTCCGGGCGACCTTGTCGTTGAGAGTTTGCGCCCACGCCATGGTGAGTTGCTGTGGGGGGAGAGGGGGGTTGCGGTTCTTGGTGTAACCCGGGGTGGCTGCTCCGTGAGAGGCGCAAGACACCAGATGCTGCTGGCTTCAGGAAGCGTGACAAGGCACGAGAGACAGGCAACGCGAGGATCCGAGCAAGCACATTTGCCGCAAAGAGGCAGGGCACTCCGAGCCCTAAATAAAAAAAAGAGCTCCGGCTGGCTGGCCCTGGGGGCGAATTCCCTGCCGGCAGCCAAGAGTGGGGATGGAAATCGGGGCAGCCGAGAAAGCGTTGCCGGGCCTCGCGTGGGATGCCTTCCAACCTACAGTCAGATGGGCGACCCTGGCAAAGGCAGGCACATAGCGGCGACCAGCCGGCGACGATTCTGGGCGTCTCCACCTCGCGTGGCCCAGGTGTGGATAGCGGAACTCTGCTGTGGTCTCTGCAGCCAACACCACGCTCGTCTGTTATCTACAGTGGACTTTTGCAATATCCGCAACGAATTGTTTCGACACAGAAGCCGGCGACGATCAGCCACCGGGCCAAACCCTCCTCTCCTGCGCTTCGCGGATCCTGTCCTGTCCTCTCTCGAGCCAGCTCATGTTCTCCAGAGCCACCTGGGCAGGCAGGAGCGACTTCTCGGCCATCCTCACTACGCTGCCATCCACCGACAACACACAACAACCTTGAACGCGAACGATGATGCTCCCTTGCCCAGAGCAGCACATGCACGCATGCAGGTGCTCATGGGGAATCCTTGCGGCGCCGTGGCATCACGTCGTTGACACGATTCGAATGGTCACCCGTTTGGGAATCCACCTCCGCCAGCCGCCGGCAATAGCGCTCAGCGATGATCCTTATCAGCACTGCCATCAAAGAAAGGGAAAAAAACCCTGGCGTGTAGGCGGGCCGGCCTCACTAGCCTCAGACATGGGGTGCTTTGCGTCTCGCCCGGCACTCTGGGCTGGAACATGACTGGTGCAGGCGCGCCTGGGCCCGAGGCCCGGAGAGCCCACTCGCTAGCCCGCGACACTCTCGGTCCAATCCACGCGTCGCTTATCTCCCGTCTCCGCTGACCGAGCCATTCGCATTCGACGCCGCTATCGTCGCAGGCCAGCCTCGCCAGCCTGCCCACGCTACTCAATTGGAGACAGTCTTCAGCTCGAGCATGTGTTGCGCGGGAGCTGCAGAAGCCTGCATCCCTAGCGTTGCGGGATGGTCTTGGGGGCCAGCCATGCCGCAATCTTGTTTCCATCTCGAGGCCGGAGCCGCCCACTTTTCAAACCCGGAGATGCCCACTTCTCAGCAGACGCTCTCCGGGTGGCTTGACGTATCATCGACCCCGGGCCTCCCCAGGTTCACGGCCACGGGGCGCCGGACATGGGCGCTGCAACAGGCAGGTGTCCGACCTGCGAGACCCTGGAAATACGTCTCTGGCACAGGGATATCCGGCATCTTCGAGAGCCCTGAGTCGTGCTCTGTGGCGCCGTGGTTCAGCATTGTCAGCACAGGCCCTGAGCATAACTTGGCACAATCAAGAACCACCACCTACCGACAGACGAACCAGGCGATGCATCGGCTCCGTGCATTTCTCCATGGGCGCCAACCGAAAGTGCTTACATTCTGCATTGGCTTGTTCTGCTGCGACCCTTGCAACGAATTACCCCTGAGGCCAGCTTCCCTGGCCACGGCGCCTATGTCTTACAGGGAGCCTTGACAATTGATCAGCCCACATCCAGATCTTACTTGCATGCCAACACACCCAATGCCTATGCCGTCCCTAATCTCACATGGTAGCTGTATCTGGTCGCAAGTCGCCGCCAGCTCTCATGCCATTGACATCACTGATACCGGCGGTCTCCGCTCTCCTGGCTTCAATTCAGGCGCTCTTCCGCGCGGCACAGCACGCGGCTCTGTGTGCAGACTACTGCATCTCTTGACAGAAAACCCCGGGCTTCCTGTACACACGTACACAAGGTCCTGGCCTGTGGTTCGGCGGGCGAGCCCGCCCGCTCGTTAGTGTGACGGAGTGCAGCGATCAGCTTGGCGCAAAACAGACCCAGGGGCGGTCCGTCACACAACTTGCTCTGTGCTAGTGCCGACGTGCAGGAGCTCAGCTGCCCATTGGCCACAGCCCTATGAAAACGGAAATGTTACACCAGGGCCTACACGTTACGCACATGACTGCATGTTTTCCAAGCGGTGATGGCCAGCGGTGGTCGCACGCTGCAGAAGCACGTCTGCTCGTATCTTTCATGTTCATGCAATCGAACTTGTACGCCAAGTGCGCTCTTTTGTGTTGGAATGCTCTTGTGCCGCATAGATGCGCAGCGAGGCTCTTGGCTGTTCTCGTGCCTGCCGCCAATCCGGCTGCACGACCTCGCCCAGTGAAAGCAGCCTTGTCTGCCGGACAAAGACAGTCCGAAAGTAGCACAGGCTCCTGATGTTGCCTTGAGCACTTTTCCAGAACGCTTATGCGCTCTTGGGCCACCAGAACCCCGGTATCACGCACCACCACGCACGGCACCCTAAATACTCACCGCCTGGATCCAATGTGGAAGTCAACATTCTGAGAAATCCCGACTGTTTTACGTGAAGGATGCGTTGGCAGCGTACAGCAGGTGCGTGCCCTCCGCTTGCAAAGTAGTGGCAGAGCTTCATGACGGGGTGGATTTGCAAGGCAGTTCCTTGTAAGAGTTTCACAGATTGAACGTTGACCTGCCTAAGGCTTTATAGCATTTTCCCAGTTTGTTGCGTACCCGTATAGAGATTGGAGGCAATTTACAGACCGATTTCTAACAAAAACATGCGCGATGACACAACAGCAAGGAACCCAAGAGATACGTAGACGCGCACATCAGGCTTGATCTTGGTGGTGCTGGGAGAGCCTGTGGCTTGTCAAGACGCCGATTTTCTTTGTCCTCGCTCCCTCTACGCGGTACTCTGTTGTAAGAAACCATCTCTAATTTCAAGATGGAACAAGTCACAACCCGAGCGTGCTGTGGAGCACCTACGTCTTGTGCCTCTCTCAGCTTGGCCCGGCTATGGCATACCTGTGAGGGAGATATTCCCAACCAGGTTGTCATTCCGGAGCCAATGCAGGATGGTGGCTGATGTCTTTACAGAACTTGGTCACGCAGGCCGGCTGTCCGGGCTTTAAACATTAATTGTCATGAGTTTCCGTCCCAGCATATTTGCCGTTGACGTCTGAAAGTGCACTGTTAGCGAAAATTAAGCTGCGCATTCTCTTTTTAGATATGACGATTAATCTCTTGCCAGTCCTGTGCAGACTCTGTTGGTCTTGGCTACCATGTTCGCAGTTGCGCTCGTATTCTGGTAGGAGCCCCGGCCTCGCCGTGGGATCGGCAGTGCCAAGGCAACCCTGGCTGACACTGCTTTTGCTGACCTTGTCAGCATGGCCACAGTCATGATATAATGACAGTGAGCACCTTTGCCTCACGTCCTCTGCACCATGACAATATCCACCAGCGCCGGAATGGTGTAAGTCATGGTGAACAAAGGCCCGTCCAAGGGCTGTCACACATGCAAGCGGCGCCGTGTCAAGTGCGATGAGGGCCGGCCAAGCTGCGCCGCGTGTATTCGCCTGGGTCTCGCCTGCGGGGGCTACGAGATCCGCCCGCCGCGCATCCGCTTCGCTGCACTGAAGACCGGGCCCGGGCCCGGGTCCAGGTCTAGCAGTCCGCAGACCCGCGAGCGAGCCTCCGGGCCGGCGTCGTCCGGCCGTCCGGCTTTTGCGGCATCAGGCAGCAAGGACAACGGAGTCGTTGTACCCGCCTGCCGCCAGACCCAACACCGAAAAGAGCAACCGCAGACCCGGTCGCAGTCGCCTTCGACCTCGCCTTCAGCATCGCCATCATCACACCACACACCAGACCCGCCGGCCCGTGATGTCGCCCTGGGCTTCCTGGTGCAGTACTTTGCCACCTATGGACGACACACAACCACGGCGCGCGGGTTCTGGGAGTCGGTCCCGCTCATGCTGCGTTCTGAGAGCTGCACCTCGCCCGCGACCGTGGCCATCACCGCCGTAGCCATGAGCATGCTGCACCTGTGGAAGGGCAACGCCGCTGCCTTTACGGCGCCCAACCCTGCTCTAGGAAAGGCACTTGCACGGCTGCAGTCTGCCCTCTCTCTGCAGCATCACCGCGTCGACTTGTCGTCGTCGTCTTCGTCGTCGTCGTCAAGGTACTCTGCCGTCCTGGCGTCACTTGCGCTGCAATTCTACGACGACATGCTCGGCCAGTATGATCGCGCGAGGCCGCTGACCATGGTCCATCACAAGGGCGCCGTCGGGTTGTTGCTGGCCTCTACCGCCAGGTCGACAACAACAACAACAAATCGCAGAGGCGGTGTGGCGATCGAGACCGAGGTGCAGGATAGGACCCTGAGGGCCCGGTTGCTGAAGAACATGCTGCACCTGGAGATCATATATGGCCTCAGGACCGGATCTGCCATTTCGCCACGCCTCACGGAGCTGCTAGCTTGGCATGACGGCGGTGATGCCAAGCATCATTCCGGGTACGGGTCAGACGTGGACCACAAGCCGGCAGATCAGCTAGACCGCATGGGTCTCGAGGTCGTCAATCTCAACCATCTTTTCTGCTCCGGTCTCGAAGACTACAGCCTAGAGCAAGTTGCAGACCTGGACAGGAGGCTGTCGGCGTGGCCATCCCAGATCCCCAGATGCTGGCACCCCATTGTCGTTGCCGTGAATGACGAGCCATCCACCAGCACAATTCCCGTTCCGAGTCTGGTGCAGACCTACAGCGCCCTGGGGAGTTATCAGGTCTATCCGTCCGTCCAGCTCGCCAGCATCTGGAACATCTGGCGTCTCGAGAGGCTGGTCCTACTGCGAATGAAAGTAGCAGCAGCAGCCAAGTCCACGGTGCCTCTACTCGGCAGCATTCATCACGAGGAGGCACCCCATTGCAACCGTTTTGCCTCAACCACTGGCACTTCCACTTCCACTGCTGCTCCCCCCCTGCTCGATGATGTCCCCACGCTGAGGCACCAAGTCCAACACATGGTTGACGAGATATGTCAGTCCGTGCCCTTCCACCTGGGCAATCGCTGGAAACGGGGCTCGCTGGCCGATTTCGCCGACAAGACCATCATGCAGCCGAGCTACCGTGACTTCGCTATCCCCACGCATGCTCCTCCTCCTCTTCCTCGCATCCCGCCGCCGCCTACATCGTCTTCGCCGTCGCCGTCGTCAGGAGGAAGCCATGGGCCAGGAGAGCAGCACGACTCGCTCCTGACGTCCTCCTCCTCGGCCGAGGCGCAAACGGGTCACATCATCGCCCAGGGCCCGTGGCATATGCGGAGGACTCTAGGGCTGCTGCTGGGCATGTTGTTCAGGCAGCGCGATGGCGGCGAGCTGGTCGCGTGCCTGAGGGAGGGACAGGTCGCGTGGATGAGAGAGCAGTTCGTTCGGACTGGGGTTCTGCTGGGTATTGATTAGATTTCTGAAGTGTTTTAGATGTCTGCAAGGGCAATGATGTTGAGAATATGGCGATTTTTGTGGCGTATTATACTAGGGCTTCTTGTTGGGGACAACAAAGCTGTCAAAAACAAGCCACAAAACGAAGTGTATGACCAAGATCTCATGGTGGCAAGATAGAAGATGCTGGACCACCCCGCGCCTGTGAGCATACTGATATGGTGGCTGCTGCCACGAGAACGTTTTGCCTTTGTCTTCACCAGATTGTCAAGAATCGATGTAGCTTTTGTTTGGTTGACGTATAGTTATGTATATACATATACGTATGAATCCTTTCCCGCTACTCGCTCGTGCTTCCCCGACTTTGTGTTGATCTTCCGCTTGCCGCCCCTCCACAGCCATCTGACAATGGCAACAAGTACAAATTACATCCACAGTTGAGATCTACTGCTTACTTCTTTTCGACGTCAACATCGACATCACGGCTCTCTCGCTTGCTGGGTCTCTATCTCCGCCCCTATCCCAGCTCCCGCCTGCTTGCTTTTTGTCATCTGCGCAACCAGATCCGCAAACTTCATCCCCTGCTCCCGGGCAATGCCGTCAACCTTGGCCGCCCCTTCTTGGATATCCCGCCTCGCCGTCGTCAACCTACTGGCAAGGAGATCCCTCATATCCCCACCTGCGGCCGCGGCGGCCCCGCCAACACCGTGGCCACCAGTATTCCTGCTACCAAAGCTGACCTTGCCGCTGCCGTCGCCGCCGATCGCGCCGACCTTTGCGGCCAGACTCCTGCCCGCCTCGACAATCATGCAGTCGTCCGCGGCCCACTTCTCCACCTCCTTTGCGCCGAGGAGGCGGGTGAGGTAAGTCTTGGACCTCTCCTTGTGCTTCTGGGACCGGATGCGCTTGATCTCGGCCGAGAAGGCGCGGTCGTAGATCGACTCGCCGTGGAGGTCCTCAAAGTCGATGCCGGTGGGCGAATCCGACACGAACTGCTGCTGCTGCGCCGAGGCATCGCCATGAATGAGAGTTTCGTGCCCGTCGTCAAGGTCGGTGTGTATGCCCAGCCCAGGAGGCGGCCACTTGGGTTGATGTGGAGTCCGGACACTGGTGTCTGTTCCAGCTGCGGCGGGTGGTAGAGACAGGGCAGCTTGGCTTGCACCCTCTTGTGAGGCGAGGAACGCCCGCCGTTGTCTGACAAGCTCGGCGGCTTCCTCTGCGACCGTCTTACCACCCGACGTCGTGTTGTCATTAAGGTTGTTATTGTTATCGCTTGGTGTTGATAATGACAATGGAGACAGTAGCTGAGGAGTCGGCAGGACGCCAGACGCCAGGCTCTTCATCTTCTCCACCCCTGGTAGTACGATCCTGCTGGGGAGACCTAGGGAGCTAAATGTTCGCGAGGTTGTTGGCTCTGGGGTAGAGGCTTTGCTTTTGGAGATGAGGCACTTGAACCGGTGAATAGCCCGCATCTGGAGATGACGTTAGGATCGGGTCGGTTGCACCTCGAAAATTCCAATACACGTACAACGTAGAACATGTGGCTCATCTTACGGGTGAAGGCGTGATTCACCTCCATCTCGTCTGGGGCCTCGATAAGAGTGGCGCAGTTCTCCTCTTTGCTGAGCAACGGGTCGCTGCCTTCGTTTGTGACCCAAGGGTGTTCCTGCCGGGGTGATCCGAAGTCAGTGAAGCACCACTAAAGGGACCAAAATCGCTGCTTACCCGAAGTTCTGTCATTGTTATCCTGGTGTCTGGGTCCTTGTTTAGAACTTTGGACATCAAGTCTGCGAAGAGGGGCCCTTCATCTGATGGTATTGGGACCTCGTCGTTACGTATTGCTTCATACATCTCCAGCACGCCTGGCTTGTTGAATGGCAGCTTGCCGTATCTGAGGCAGTACAGCGAGACTCCCATGGACCAGATATCTGCCGCTGTGCCAGAGACATCGCCGTGTCTTGCGACACATAGCTCTGGAGGGAGGAACGCCGGGGAGCCTGCGGACTTCTTGGTCACCATTAGATCAGGCTTCTCAAACATTTCTGATACACCAAAGTCGACAATCTTGAGGCAGTCGTCAGCTGCCAGGAGAAGATTGTCTGGCTTGATGTCGCGATGGACCACTCCTTGCGCATGTACTAGATTGGCAAGGTATCGGTCAGCTTTGGCGCCGATGTCTTCGCATCTTTGCTTTGTATCAGACTTCACTCACGATACTCTATGCCCAGAATCAGGTCGCGGAACCATGTCCTGCACATATCTTCACTGTACGGCTCAGCATCCTCGTCGAGCCCGACTTTCATGACGACGCCCTTGTGGCACATTTCGAGGACCATGTACAGAGAGTCCTCTTCTGGATCATCCAGCACTTCGATCAGGGCCACCAGGTTCGGGTGGTTCAGCTTCTTCATGATGGCAGTCTCCTCCCGGATGAGGTACAGGGCATCTTTGATCTCGGCCGCCTTTTGCGACTGGAATTGTCGGCGCTGGGCCATGAGGCGACCTGGGCCCGGCCCAGCACTACCACCAGCAGTCATGTCTGGACGCCTCAGGATGTTTGACTGGATGCGTTTCCGGAGCCGTGTTTTGGAAAACTCCTTGACCGCCTTGAGAAAGCCATTGCGGTGTCAGTAGCCACTAAATGTCCGTGGGAATATCTGGACCACCAGCCACCGATGCTTACATATTCCTGGCCAAACTGGTCGGTCGCGAGGTGTACAGCACCGTAAGACCCGCGGCCAATCTCCTGGCGGATGACATATTGGTTTATGCGGTGCTGGGTGCCCTCTGTCTCGTCACTAGTATACTGCGTTCTGGCATTAAGGGTTTCCTGTGTGGTCTCGCATTAACCATCTGCCCACGGGCGGATATGTTCTGGTGCCAACTCGTCGCTCTGCTGACCTTGATCTCACGATGTTGTGAGGGGGTACGCTTATGCTGCCTCAGGGGGCTCTGATACTGGGGACCTGGAGGTGCCGACCTTTGATCACGGCGTTAGAACCACGTTTGTGCAGGCCATTGAGAGGACGGTCGCATTGGCTTACAGGTGAGGAGCCAGGGGTGGCCGCTCGAAGCCAGGGCTCACGGTGGCATCGTCGTGGACGGCAATGCGGGGAGAGGGCATGCTGTGGAAGCTCCATTGCCGGGCCTCTGTGCCAGCCAGCGGCGGGCTGGGCGTCCCGGGCGACGATGCGGCCTGCATGGCTGTCCCAGAGTGACGATCACGACGCTCTTTGAGGGTGCGCGGCGAAGCAACTGTAAGTCGTGGGTCAGGGCCAAGGCTGGGCAGGGCAGATGCTCAAGCTGTTTCGCATGTGAGGACGCCAGGCACGTCGAGGTGGGGTTCGCGCGAAGCTGTGGGAAGGCGCACCCGAAGGTCAAGGACGCACGGACAAAAGAGTGCGAATAGGAAGGGAGGAAAGAGAGGAAGCTGTCTCTGCCACGGCTCAGCGGCAAGAATGCAGCCCACGAAGCTGTCCGGAGGAGTCATCCATCATATACCGAGAGGATGGAGACCAGGATGGAGAGAGAGAGGCAGTCAGCCCAACCCATCAGCCCTAGCTCTAGACTGCCCTGAGGCCGCCTTGGGTTGGCACCCACCTCAGGTGCACGGGTACCGGCTTGTCCCTGGGCCTATCGACGGCACTGCAGCTGGTGGCCAAAAGCTTTAATAACCCAGGGCAAAGCCAATCCCATGAGCACTAATATCAGATGCCGCGACTGCTGGTGCGGGAGACCCCCCGCGCGGGGCCGTCGAAACCCCTGGGGGCCCTGGAATGGCGCGCTGGCGTCAGGACCCCCAGCTACAACCCTTGGAACTCCATGGACGCAGCTTCCTGATAGATGTCCACACCGTTGTTCCCTCTCTACACCCAACCCCAGCAACACTCATTCCCTGATAGCATCTCACAACACCACACGGCAGCCCCGAGCCACAGTATACGGGTCACACGACAAACTCACCTCCTCAACCACTATCGCCTACTCTCCTCCGCCCCCTTCCAGGATACCCCCTGCCGCCAGGATGCCCGTCCAGATCTACTCCTTCTACATCTTCGACCGCCACACAGAGTGCGTCTACAGCAAGCTCTGGCTCGGCCAGCCCGCCGGCTCCGGTCCTCTCCAGGCCGCCGCTGCCGCCTCCACTCCTGCCGCCCGTAACCGCGCCTCCGACGACGCAAAGCTCATCTTCGGCACCGTCTTCAGCTTGCGCAACATGGCCCGCAAGCTGGGCGGCGACGACGACGCCTTCATCTCCTACCGCACCGCCACCTACAAGCTCCACTACTACGAGACCCCGACAAACCTGCGCTTCGTCCTCCTGACCGAGCCGGGAGCGCTCAGCATGCGCAATGTCCTCCACCAGATCTACATCAACCTTTGGGTCGAGTATGGTAGGTCAAACTCTCCAAAATCCCTGGAGACAAGCAGAGACCTGCTAGGGCGGGGGGTTCTATGTGATGCTTTGAGCAGTCCTTGCTGACAAGTGTACCTTGGGTCGTAGTCGTCAAGAACCCCCTCTCGCCCGTCGAGCACAAGGGCGGCGCCGGCGTGCGCAACGAGTTGTTCGAGCTCGGCCTGGACAAGTTCATCCGTGGCATGATGTGAAAGGAACCCCGCGAATGAGCAGCAGCATGATCCCACTCAACTCTTATAGACGCCGGGATGTTGTGGTTTTGCGTCCTGGTAGACATGCCCTTTACATGTGCTTTCTCGAGGCATGCGACACAAGTGGTTGTTGCCAATGTTCCGAGCTCGACCGTGCCAGATGAGCACTCAACCACACGTGTCCACTGCCTTCCCCGCGGTCGAGGCACACCACGGGCCTTCGAGACGATTTGAGAACTCCGAAACTGCAGGACTCTGAGCTACATCTGTCACGCAGTCCATCTTTCATATGGCCCAGCTCTGCAAAAAGCAGTCAGCTGCGGCCATACTAATCGCTCATGGAAGTCGAATGGTAAATGGGTATGGCTTGCCACACGCACCGACCTCATCTCGAGGGCAAACGCCTCACAAGCCACTGAGCAGCAGGTCTCTAAAGAAACGGGACATGGGGTGAATTCCACGGCAGGAAGCTCGGGCGTTAAGATGCCGCCATCTCAGCCATGAGTCGAACAGAAACTGACCCAGGCCCCCACACCCATACATCGCGCGGGTTTCAGAGCCGTGGAGGACGCATTGGCGATTCACGAAATGGGGCAACCCTGGTAGAGCCTCAAGCCGGAACTTATGTCGCGGAGCGCTGGGTTCAGTGAGAGCAGCTGTCCTCGCGACAGATTGACTACAGCGACAACGTAATGTCGTAGCTGCTTCGTTCTTGCTCGGCCCTTTTTGGGGCTATAGTACAACAAATTATGAGCAGGCAAGCTCACCACGACGACCACTTCCTCTGCAAGGAACCAACAATACTAAAGAGCTCGTGATAAAAATCAAAAACCAAATCCACCCCCCATCCTCGCTATGACTACAAGGGCTTTTCATATGTGAACATGTTCATTGCTTGCGTCATATGTCCTCTTGTGATCGTGATCGTTCATCAATTATATGTATATGGCTTTGTCTTTAATCCGCTTCATATATATTACACATGGCATGCCAGTCCCAGGGACAGGGAGGTCACTGCCTCGTCGCGGCTTCCGCCTTCTCCCACGCGCTCTCAAACGACGAGGATGCCGCCATCGGGTGATCAACCATTACAATACTCTCTTCGACACCACTCGCCTGCTGCTGCTGCTGTGCTGATGATGATGCTGGGGTAAACCCGGCCTTCAGCGGCGTCGAGGCAGCAGTAGCGCTGGCCACGCCCTCGGCGGCGCCGTCTAGGCCACCGTCCGCGGCAATCTCGTTCTCCCAGTTGCTGCTGTACACGACTGCCGCGAACGCCTCGAGGTCGCGCACCGTCTCCATGGCCTGCAGGTACTCGTTGGGCATGCCGTTGCCGATGCTGTGTGCCTGGCGCGTCAGGACCGACAAGATCTTGGGCAGCAGGACCACGCGCGAGTCGCTCTGAAGCTCGAATTCCGGGATTGGCGTGGCGGCCGGCATGTCGTAGGCCCCTGGGAGAACCTTGTTGTGCAGCAGCACAGAGAAGCCAGCGTCAAGGAGCAGACCCAGGACGTGGTGGAAGGGAGGCGACTCGATCAGGTCGGATGTTTCATCTACAAGGCGCCTGAGTGACGACGCGGATGGCGAAGGCAGTGGTGGCGAGCCGGTCTGAGTGTCTGCCGTGGCGCTGTCGCCCAGTACGCCGGACTCGCGCAATACAAAGTCTTCAAGAGTGGTTGGTGGTAGCAGGAAGCGCAACCACCTTGACCCGTTTCCGTCAAACTTGGGGCCACCTTCCATCTTCTTGCGCACCTCGATTGTGAGCTGAGCAAAGTTGTCGAAGCTGAGGAGATCTCGGGGGCTAAGGTGGCCAAACACCTCCCTGACCGCCTCTTCCACGCGCTCGCGAATGTCGATCCAGCCACGGTTAAGCAGCCACCAGCTGAAAGTCAAGTATTTGCGGTTGACCTCAAAATCGCTTCCATACACTTGATCGATGTTGTCGTCGTCGTTATTCTCCAAGCTGATGGTAGATTGGTTAGTTCCAGTGGCGAGCGAGACAACGCTTGAAAGGTAACTTCGGCGGCCCAGCAGGTTCAATTGGAGTCTTGTGAGCATGGTAAGAAGCGCAAGTGTGTAGATGAGAGTAAAGGAACGAGTTATCGCTGCAGTGCAAATGGTCAGCCTGCGTACATCGGTCATTTCTCGTTGTGTTGTAAACACCAATTGACTTACAGCTTATGGTCAGATCGTCCCAAAGCTGCCTCTTGGACTTTTTCTTCTGACCTGGAGGAGCCAGCGTCGCTGCGGATGGAGCTGGAGCTGGAACTGCAGTGGCTGGGCGACTCTCCTGCTCGCCCTCTACTGCAGGCGCTACAGCCGCCGAGGTTTCTGTCTCTGCTGGCGGGGGCACAGACGTCTGACTGGCATGGAGTACGCTCTCACTCTGGCCACTAAGGTTGCTCCGGCTCTCGTCTTCAGTGATGGTTGTGTCGGCGATACTGGGAGGGGCGGCGTTCGGGTCGCCACTGCGCACGCCCTTGGCGCCCTTCATTTGTTGTATCTCCAGTGTGATCTTTTCAGTGTTCATACTCTCGAGGATGTTGGCTGTCGCTGTTGGTAACAAGGCCAGGACTGTGAATGTGCAGTCTTCCTGGTTCTGCTCGAACCTGCGCCGCAAACTAGGAGCATCACACGTCAGCATCGGGGCCCGAAGTAAGTGAGCATGTATTCCCCCACGCTCGACCATGAGCTTCCGAGATGTGAAAGGATTGGCCTACTTCTCCTTGGCTATGCGGTCGCTGCTCATGCGCTCGCGGGCATCATTGATCTTGCCGAGGACGTATTGTGTGGCTACATAGCCTGCGCCAATGACACCGACACCGATGGCGATGGGCGTCCGGTTGCGACGCAGCCATTGCCTCGTCGCCGTCAACATGGCGGCGCCGTATGTGTATGACGTGCTCGCTGGAAAGCAATCTGGGGGCTGGCTGGACCAAAGGAGGCCACTTGCGCGAGGGGCGAGCGGCGAGAGGGTTCCGGGGTGGGTTGATTTGTGTCGAGTCGAGACCCAACAGAGAGTCGCAACGAAGCTGCCAGTGGGTTAAGCAGTGACGGCAGTCTGTAGACCAAGTTGCTGCGGTTGGGTGATGGCACTGTTGGGCCGGGTCGATGGAGGTTGGGAGCAGCTGAGTGGTGATGCAGAGACATGCGCTGGCCCCAGAATGTCGAGGCGCGCGTCGGACCCCGGGCTGGCGTCTGTAGCCTCGGCCTCGGCAGGGACTGGGGGAATGCACGATTGATGGGCGGAGCTGCAATTGCCGTGTCCAGCTAAGCACCAGGGGGGGGGCGCTGTGCCGGGTAGGCCTACTTGCATCGAGGTACCTAAGCCCGTGCACTGATAGGTACGGTACTCCGTACAGGCGACTCCCTCCCAACGGACCGTCACATGTGCAAACTGATGGCCCGCCCCACTTGCACTTCCACAGCGCTAGAATCCCCTGCAAGCAGCCTCAACAGCTCCAGCAAGCAGCCTTGTCGTGCGGGCATGGAGGGGCCGCTACCGGCGGCGCTGCCTGCGACGTCAACTGACCCCAAACCATGGATGGCGTCAGTGGCCATTGTTCTCGTCCACCTCTCGCAACAACATGTAGAGACAGACACACACCCACGACCCCACGCACCCTCAAGCAGCCATGGAGCAGCAGGCGCCGCAGGAGTTCATCCTCGAGGCCTTCGCAGACCCTTCTTCCGTCCGTGATGTCGTCAGAGGTAGGCAGACATCCAGGCAGACCCTGCTCTTGGCCGCGCCGCGGGGCACTCGCCGAAGATGCTAACGCCGCCGGGCTCTCTCACACCAGGCATTCTTCACACAATCTTCTTCCACCGCTTCTTCCCCTCGCTCAGCCCAAACGCGCGCGAGGTCCTCGACCTCTCGCTGCCCTATGTCGAAGATGCAGAGCTCGACACAATGATCGAGAAGCGCGCCGGCGAGCTCTCGCGCGACCTCGACGCAACCCGCACAACCCACCCTTCCTCCACAACCCCGACGTCCTCGTCCTCGCGGCCCGGCAGCAGCAGCAACAGCGATCGCAACCACCACTACCGCACCCAGACACACCCCGCAGCCATCGTGCCCTCGTCCTCCTCCTCCTTTTCATCAGCAAATCCTGCCGCCGCCGCCGCTGGCATAACTGGGACATCAGGAAACGCCCCCGGATCGACCCCGACCGGCGGCGGGCGCGGCACCATGAGCGTCTCCTTCTTCGAGAAGAAGCGCCGGAAAGCGTGGTACATGCGGGCCGCGGGTGACGAGGAGGTCTGCTGGGAGCGCTGGACGATCAAGGTGACGGTCGCCGAGCCGCGCACCGACGGCGAGCGCGCAAAGGTCCGCAAGGCAATGGAGCACACCCTCCTCACAGCCGTCATGAAGATTGTGACCTGCGTCAACACGCACAGGGACCACATCCCCCCCATCACCACGTCCGAGGCCAACCCGTTCCCCTATCAGATCACAGTGAACCAGAAGGATGCTGGCTGGGCGACCAGGATGGGTATATACTGAGCCCATCCCGCACAAACTGGCGTACGTGCCTTGTCGTACATGGATTATTATTTTTCAGCGATGGGTCAGTGATTTGTGCGTAGTTCAGTGGCGTTGGCGTTGTGCTATTGGCGTTTTATCATATTTTTCCCCCATACTTTTCATAGACGAGCTATCAGATCCCCATAAAGCCAGACGAGGCGCATATTTTTCTCGAAATGACACCCAATCAACCAGCTCAAAATAAGAACAATATGAATAGCAACCGTGAAATGCAGCATAAAATGCAGTTGGAATTGGAAAGCATCTATAAAAAAATAAAAAGGGCCTAGACAACAAGTTCCGTGTTTGATGGAATATTCGTTGGCCGTGGGCTGATAAACACTGTAGTGTAAATCTTAGTGCCGTCATCTCAACGATTCCAGGCCGTTACTGCAGCACTCTCAAAAAAGAATATGCTCGGGACCAAGGCTATGTTCCAAAACCCACAAGACCACGTCAGACATCAAACACTCCAACAGCAACGGACGCAATAATATTGAAGGAGATCGGTCCCGCCTGGTGATCTGGCTCTCCAGACAACGAAGCCGAGTTCAACGGGGCGGAACGCTTTCGCCTCTCAATGTCCAGACTGAGCGCGGGTCCGAAGACAAGACTCGACTGCTGCGGAATCGCGGTAAAGTCGGGTATATCATTGATGACCTCGCAGTTGCAGCACCAGATGGCCAGTAGGACAGGTCTGCCCTACGCTCACCGACTAAGAAAAGACCTGTGATTCAATTCACTGGCACGACAAGAAGGAACGAGCCAGAAAAACTGGCAGCCACCGTGATGCAAGAATTCTCAAGCGGTTTGATAGAAAGCAGCGCTCTAAATACAGTTTCTGTGTGGTGCTACCGTGAAAAACAATTGGCCACCCATTATCCCGTAGGATTAACTCCGTTTCTGTCCAGGGCTTGCCAAATGCTGATATCCGTAAAAAGACAAAAACCAGTTCCACAATTGCGCGTTTCCAGCCAATAAGGCTTTACATGTATCCAGGGCAAAACCCAAAACCCAAGTCAAATGCCCGACATAACGAAAACTCCGTGTCACACCGTTCTGCAACCGCAGACCCCAAGCTTTACTCGGATCGATAGCAGATCTCTCAGCCCAACATGCCTGCAGCTCCGGTGCATGTTTTACTTGCTCAGGCAAACAAGTAGATGTTGCGGTGGTGGCATGTGCTGTAGGGCGTCCGCAAATCAATGTACGTTGCGCTCTTATAACGCTCAACAATAGACAAGAAAGCCCGGAGGCAGAAGTAATGCGGTATATCTTTTGTTCATCCGCAGTTCTCGTGAGTCTGAACCGCTCATTATGATTGGACAGTATTTATGTCCTTGTTCGTCATCATTCGTATCGTTCATCATGTGTAGTGGTAGGAGGAGCTGGTGGGTCATGATGTTGTCGAAGGCGACGCGAAGTTTTGAGATGACACCCTCAGAAGGCCGAAGTATAACTGCGGCCAAAGGCAGGTTTCGATGAAGGCCCCGCGGCAGACTGGTTGCTGCCAATTTTCTCGAACCCCTGCAATATGTCCAGAGCGCCGTCATCCGGATCATCTTCGAAGAGCTGAGTGCAGATGTCCTCGATACCTGTCCATTGCCCTTTTGACGTGGGCGCGGCCTTGGCTGCTGTCGGAGACTGCAGGAATGCCTTCATGGGAGACGACAGGCCTTCGAACGCCTTGCTTGGCGTTTCAAAGTCGAGGCCCAAGGGCGGTGTGGGTGCCTTCAGGAACGGGGCTGAGGTGATGGCCTTGTTCGATGCTGATTTGGTAATTTCTCCCAACGCGTCCGCAGAGGTAGTCCGCTCAATCCGTGCTCTTTTCACAGGTCGCTTGACAGGCGAGCCGGTAGTGTCAACCGCCGAGAAGAAGTTGTCGAAAGCGGCATCATCGAAAATGTCAAAGTCGACAGGGTCGGCCATGAAGTCATTGACGCTGAAGAGGGAGTCGTCCAGTCGGAATGCAGGACTCCACGGCAGATCTTCAGACATATTACTGACACGGCGCAGGGGCGAATTCAGCATGTGGTTGACCTTGTCGCGGTGCAGACGCAGGTTGGTGTTCGGCGAAACAGATGCGGGAGGCTTCAGGGGCTTCTTGAACTTGACAGCCGGAGTCAGCGGAGGCAGCATCTGGCCGATACCGTCGTTTTGCTGGCGTAACGGCGATGATGATGGCGGCGCGCCGCCATGGGAACGTCCACGAGTAGGGCTGTCGTAGGAAGATGCTCGAAGTCTGGCTATCTCCTCCTCAGCGCGTCCGCCTGCCCGGGAACGCTTGCTCCTAGGTCGATCGGCTTCGGAAGTGAGCAAGCGACCAGCCTGGTTGGAACGCATCACAGACGAGTCCAACGACGAGATGTAGCCACTATCGTCTAGAGATGCGTCCATTGAGGCGTACTTCCTCTTGTGCTTGCGAGATTGAGACGACCACGGTCCTCTCGAGACTGGCGGCGGAGTATTGCTCCTTGGCTCCATATGCCTTGGAATTGGTGGTGAAGAATGCATGATGGCGGGCAGAGGAGAGTAGCTGCTATCGTTGGGGAGGTCATGCTCTTGTTGCTTAATGGTGTGATCCTCGGGAGCCGCATTGTCGGACATGGGGATTGTAGCATCGGATGAGACCTCCGGTGCTGGTAGAGGTGCGGCTTGTAGGGAAAGCCCGTTGTGAGATTGTAGCGATTGCATGGGTAGCACTGGCGGTAAAGAAGGGAGACCGGCCTGGTAGACGGTGTGCTCGACCTGCGCAGGCTCCAATCGACTGGCCACCGACATCACAGGAACGTTCTCCGCCCCCGTTGCAGCTTTCTTAGTGGTCTTCTCTTTCGTGAATTGAAGCTCCATGCCTGGCTCGATCACCCAGTAGTTGCCCTTTCCTGGATCATCCTTTGGTCGTTCCTGCTTGACGAAAGCTTTATTCAAGCTAAGGTTGTGGCGGATGCTATTCTGCCAACCAGCGTCGTCTGCCTTGTAGAATGAATATGAGTCTGAGATCCACTTGTATATCTGTGCTAGTGTCAGGCGCCGTTGAGGCGCGCGCAGTATCGCCATGCCGATGAGCTGAGCATAACTATGGTTGGGTTTGGTTCCGTCGTCTGCGAGCATCGGCATGGTCTCGAGACTGAATCCATCCTCTACTTTGGTCTTCTTCGCTGGCCTGGAATCCTTGATAGGGGCTGCTTCCATGAGGCCGCGCTTGGCAGGGACTTTCGGATAGAAGTTCTCGAGATTGACGTTGAAGGTGGGCGGAGCCGGGTAAAGAGTCGGCTGCATGTTCTCCTTGCCGAAGTTCACAGTGGACTCCATGCTTGGCTTCTGCGCCACGGTCTTGAATCTTGACATGAGAGGTTGCTTCTTTGGCAGCGAATCTGTTGAACCCCGAACCCCTTCGCTTGGGGGGAAGATTGATACTGAATTCAGTTTGTTGCTTTGTGACTGTCCAAGGGGGGCAAGAGGCATTGTTCTTGGTTGTCCGTTGGGTTTGTAAGGCGAACCGGCCTGCTTCTGAAACCCATTCGGCGGTTGAAAGAGCGCATTGGCATCTGTGCTAGAGAGTGCTCGGCGTGGTGATGTTGGCTTTCCTACTGACGGCATCGGCGCTCTGCTGATCGAAGGTGTGGGATGGTTGGCGAAATCGTCCTGAAAGATGTGAAGCGGCTCGCTATTGGCCGCGAGGCGTGTTGGTTTGGCCATCGTGGCCAGTGTGAACGGTGTACGTGCTAATGAGCTGTTGTGTGTCCTATCGGAGAGTGCCCACAAGTATCTGAAAGGTCGGTCAGCGCTGCAGGCTGGAGCAGTGGAAGTCGATGCCTTGTCGTGGAGCGTTATGTTGCGGTGTAGCGATGCAGCGGTGGGAAAGCGTAGGGTGACCCGGTCCGAGTCTTGAGTGAATGCATAAAGATCGGGGAAGGCCCGGCGATGCACTCACACTTTGTCAGGCTCTTTAGATTTGATTAGGAGTGGAGCCGCCGAAGCAAGGGTTGACCGTGTGGCGCGTTATGCTCTTTGTCAAGAGGTCTGAGACAGTCTGGCTGGATTGGATGAGCTAGGCTGACGAGGTTCTGACGGTCTGGATCAGAGTCTCTCTGTCATCGATGATTTTCGAGGACCGCGGGTGGGCGAGAACAGCCAGGTGCCGGGCGGGTGCTCGTGTCGAGGTCTCAGATTCTGGTGCCTGTGCGTCCGTTTTGCGCGCAGTGTCCAATAGTCACGGCAGGTGAGGAAGCGGTGAGGTGTATTATTTAGCGGCGCGAAAGTGACAAGATGTCGGATTGTGCGTGTTGGCGGGAAAGTCGTGAGTCCTGCTGGCTGAAAGAGGTCGATGTTGGAGAGGAGAGAGAGTTTGGGGTGCCGAGGAGTGCGTGCAGCGTGAAGATGTGCGGAGGTGAGCGGATCGACCGACTGGGAACGAAACAAGGAATGGAGGGTTGCAGCTTGGGGGTCATTCACGGGCAGGCACACTCCCAAGCTTCCAAGCTGGGCGTCAGAGTGTGGAAGTGGTGCGTGGATGTGGGCTGCCGCAGCCAGTAGATGAGCGCAGAGAGATGGGTGTGCAGGAGACGAAACGTTCGCGGACACGGCAAGAGGCGCGCTCTGCAGGTCTGGACTGGCAGGGGTTGGCCGCCGAGAAGGAGACCCGCCAGCTCAGCAGATCCAAGCGCCGCCACGATTGGCCGGCAAGTCCGCAGGCTGACACGTAATGACCAGGTCTGTGTCGAAAAGAAAGGCGCTTGCAAGGTTATGGGTGGACAAATGGATCCAAGCACTGGCGGGGAGAGAGGGGCCGTGGAGGAGGAGGGCCTCGCGCATGGGCGAGCACGAGTCGACTGCCGGTAAATTGTCAAGCTCTCTGGGGCTCGCGCAGCAAATCTGTCGCTTTGAAGCAAGGGCGACAAAGGTGGGTTCTGGAGGTCGAGGCAGCGCCTTCTCCTATGTCCGCTTGCGACAGGGCAAGCAAGTGACGTCTTGCTGGTGGTTGTGTCGTTGACAAGGGTTTAAGCAGGGAGTTGATGTGAGGAAGAGGAGGAGTTCGTGTGAGAAGCCGAGCGGGGGCTTCTGTTAGTGATGATCTTTGTCGCAGCAAGAGGGGGTGCTTGCACGGGTCATTAGCATCAACAGCTTGCCGATGCTCTTGTGCTCGAGTTCAATGTCTTGCCTGGCGTGTAAGCCAAACCTGTGTGAGCCAGCGAGCCTGGTGCCACCATCCGGCTGAGGGCATACGTGCGGTGGTCTGCGAGAGGTGATGTTGCACTTGACGCGCCGGCTGTGCCTGAAGACGCGTCCTGGCGCGTCACTTTGTTTATCCCAGGTAGCTCTCTGATTGGCTGATAAGACGGGACTGCCTCGCCATGATTGGTCACCTCAGACGCTAAAGCACGTCTGTATGCAGGTGCAACACCTAAAAAGTCACCTCAGGCGCATTTTACTCCCGCTCAGCTGCCGACTATCGCGCCACTTGCAGCTCTTCTGGCGTCTGGCTTCCGAGATGCGCGTGCATGTCCTGGGTCGCGATGTTGACTGCTGTTGTGGTTGGCACTTCCACATTCAACGAGACAGCTCGCTTTGAATTGCGTGCTAGCATGGAGGCGGCCCCGATCAGCCCATGGGTGCGAACGACGCCCACTCCCCTGAATTTGCCTAGTACAAAGTGAAAGTGGTCCGTTGGGTAGCGTAGTCCACGTTCGCATTCTCCGAGATCACTTGGATCAGCACAAAATGGTGGGTGTTGATCCTGGAGAAGGATCTCGATCGAACGAGTCGGCGTTTTTTCGTTCAATCGCGTCATCTCCATCCCAGGCAGCCGCGGATATCCAGCCAAGAATGCCAGTGTTGTCGATTCACGCTAGTCAAGATGCTCTCAATCTGGTCGTCCGTTCTGTGACTCGCTGGGCACAGCTGCTCAGAGTGCCCACGACCAATCTTCGTAAGTTCATCCAAGCAGACTGCTAGAGGGCATCGACCATCGTCGCGCGGCAAGTCACCCACAGTCCTGCCTCGCATGAGATTGCCTGATCCACGCGGGATCATCAATGCCAAAGTCTTCTGGATGTGACGTTGGGAAGCCATGTTCGGGAAGCACGATCTCGACGATCGTATGACATCACCAAGCCAAGGACTCGAGCTTGCCCGGGATCTCTCGACGACGCCAACCCAAAAGTCCCGGTTCCAGGTCGTTGATGGGAAGTTGTAACCACTTCGAGTTTGGCTTGCACTCGTCGGATCTCGTACCCTTGTCCTTGTGCCTGACCCCTGCTGGCCACTTAAGTTTTGGCTCGTCCCTGGCTCGCCTCGTCTCGTCTCTTGGGCTGGTCTCCGTTCTTGGGCCTCGTTTGTGGTATGAACCGTGCTGCCTATGCCCGACCCGTCTTGCCCCTCCCCATTATCGGCTTTCTGTCGAGACCATGCTTCGGGACGGGTACAGTAAATGCTAAACCTTGTGTTCGTCTCATTTCCGGATGTCAATGCACAGAACTGACAACTCATCGTGACTCCTCCGCGGATCCACTTGCCGGCCATGGGATGGTTGGTTCTGGACCAGGGGTTCGTGCCCGAAGTCTGTGAGCGCCGCTGGCTCTGCCTTCCTTGATGATTCTAGCGTTACTTCTCCTGAAGGCCAACGTGGATGCAGCCTCGTTCCTGTTCAGATTGAGCATCGGCCTGAGAGGCTCAAATGCCCCAGTCATGGCTGTTCGTCTGGAACATTCTGCTGGATCTTCTGCTTGAATCACTTCTCAGGAGCGTCTCCTTAACAGTTCCAGATGCTGCGGGACCCGCGACACCGCAGGCCGGCATTCAACGACGACTGTACCATAGTATGCTGAGCAAGCCGCTTTTGCACTTGGCAATCCTTTATAGTTCAGCTTCGCCGTGAGGTTTTCGGGTGTTTCACGAGGGGAAATGATTTGGAAGACTAAATTTCTTTTGTGCCTCGGCGGCTTCCGACAAATTGGAAGACGGAGCTTCTGCGCCAACGAGGCGGAGCCTGCTCCGTTTTCTCACAAGTCCTCCCGCTCGTTGAGCCTTTATTCCACGAAAGGATGCCGCTATCAGGAGCCAAGGGAGAGAGCGGCACCTCCAGTCAGCCATTGTGGTTCAAGTTTCTCACGGGGGAAGCCTTTTCCGTCAAGCTCGCGTGCCGAGCACGCATGCCCGCATTGTATGACTTTGTCATCCAGCACAGAGGCTCTCGCGAGTGGATGTCTCGCAACCGTGGCGCTGGGCAAGCAAGTGTGCTGAGCGTGCGAACTGCTGCTGCCAACCGCCTCGCGCAGCCGCATTCAACGATTGAATGCTCCGGCCGCACAGACGGCACATGCTCTGGCAATCCTGCTCGTTGAAGACTGGATTTCGGCATGAGCCGACCACCAGACGTGCCAATGTCTGTGCCCCGGTAGGATCACGAACCACACTGAGAGCGTCTGAGCGCCGGCGGTACAATGTGCATTGTCCAATTCCTGGAATGACGTATGAGCCCGCTTTGCGAGACTGGCGGTAGGAATTCCGTTCATGCGCGCCAACGATCTCTACAGAGATTTTCTGATCATGCGACTGACACGATCTCGACTGCAGGGCTCGGTGCTTTGGCTTTGGGCCGTGATCAAGCCATAGGGATGTCTGGCAGCCTGAGACAATCCATTCACGCAGGGCGCTTTCAGCGGGAAGAAAGCCCCACATTCCTTCCAAGCACCCCGCCTCACAATAATCAGTCACGCCAGGCAGGTGAGCTTGATAGCTCCACAAGCATGAGCATGTGCTCGACAGCCTCGCATCGCTAAGCGTATGTCACGTCTGCTCGGTCACCGATTCGACCTGGCCAGCCAGGAGAAGAGACGACCGACTGTTCAACGACCGCCCGGCGCAGCGAGACACCGCCGCCTTCTGCAATGATGCCGGACTGGCGAGACGACTATCTTACCTCGCTGCAGGAAGCGGAGAGGAACAGTGCTGTGAACAAAGATCTCGTCGATGCTTGTTAGTAAGCCTGGTAGCTTTGTGATGTTGAGCCCGAATTAAGTCAACATGTCAACGACTCGGCTCATCATGCGTTGCCCCGATCAAACACCCGTGCCATGTCTCTTTGTTACCCGTGGCATCGAGCTGACCTGATGTCATCAAAGGCTCCCAGCTGGCTGATCGAGTTGCTGTACTCGAGGCGGAAAAGGCGGTTCTGCTGCAAAGACAGCAGCAAACAGCCCAGGCACTACAGGAACCGCAACCAGGCACTTTCACATCAGCCTTCAGAGCCGCAACGCGCTCACCATGGCAACAATCCGACAACAGGAGCGGCACGCCGCCTCCGCCTCTGCCTGCGTCATCGTCATCATCTGCATCAGCCGCAACTGGTGGTGACATCACGGGTGGCGGCGGCGGCGGCGGCGGGGACGCAGCAGCACAGACAAGGCTACAGCTTGCTGAGGCCTTGCGGTCTAGGGGCCAGCTGCAGACCAAGCTGCGCGCGGCCGAGGACGAGCTCAGGAAGCTGCGGAGCTCAACCCAGGTTGCGGCCAAGCAGATCCACGATCTCAAGACGGAACGCAACTCGTTGCAAAGCAAGCTGCGGGATCGGAATGAGGAGCTCGATGCCAAGACCAAGGCTTTCCTGGTATGTTCATGGCCCTCTTTTCGGGCGTTCCCCCTAGATCACTGTGCCGGCGATGTCACGAGGCATGACAGCATTCAAGCCCCTCATGTCGCATGATCAATATGGCTTTCTGAAGCACAGAGCCAGTCCAAAGCCAGATTGCCCCCCTTCCCCGCGATTCTTGATCTTTCTGACGTTTCACCCCTTGGGAATAGGACGTGCAAGACGAAAACTTGGCGCTCAACCTAGAAATTGCCAGCCAGGACAAGCGCATGGCCGCTGTCAAAGCCGAGAACAAGCAGCTCATCGAGCGCTGGATGAAGCGCGTCGGCGAGGAGGCAGACGCCATGAACCTTGCCAACGAGCCCTCTGGTACGAGCAGAAGGCGATGATGAGTGCGGGAGTGACGGGTTTTTGACAACACTTTGAAGGCATTCCAAGAACTGAAGGCTGCAACGCAACCGAAGATTGAGCATCCAAACATTGCCGCGCTTTACGTTCCAAGGAGTCGGTCCTGTCTATGGTCCGAAGTATGCTCGCGCACATGGAGGCCCAAAGTTTATGTCAACCGTAAAAGAATGAGACGCGCCGAGTCTGTTGCGAGGCTAAGCTATGCAAGGTATGTGTTCTTTATATTTATTTACAAGAAATGCCCGGTCCGGCTTGCCCATTCCACTTCTTTCTCATCGGGAATAGGCACCGGTCGGTCTATACAAAAAGTGGTATCGTTGCAACAAAAGGCCCCATGGGCCGCGTAAGGCACTCTCCATCACGTACAAAAGAGCACGTCTCTTGGCGACAGATTGCCTTCCGCGGCAATCTGCACAGCTGTGTCTTTACTTCTTTGTCGATACAAAGTAGTCGCCACCAGCAGCACCCCAGCTCACCCAGCCCTCGTGGTAACGGAACTGCTCGACTTCCAAGATGTTGTTGGCAACACTGTTGGCGGCCGCCTTGTTGTCGTGTACAAAATTCTTAAGAGAGATGATTTTGCAACCAGGCTTGAGATCGAGGAACATGCTAACCAGGTGATCATTCAAGGTCGAGGTGAAAGCCTTGTTGTTGACCAGCACAACATCTGCCTTCTTGAGTACTTGAGGCACCTTCTCGCTCTTGGTGAAGTCACCTCTCTCGAGTGAGACTCGACCTGGCGCAATGCCCCAGAGTAGGCAACGGTTGCGGAACTCGCGCTCCTGCTCCTCGGCGAGGTCGCAAGCATTCTCCATCATCTCAAAGCCGTAGCTGCTGCAGCCAACTTCAAGAGCAGCCTGGAGGACGACATTGCCTACACCCGAGCCGAGATCGACAAAGATTTGGTCGGATGTCATCTGGGCCTGCTCGACGAGGATCCTGTGCACGAAATCGTGCATGAGCTCGCCATAGACATTGTCGCTGCCCATGGTGTATTTCTTGAGGTTGTCGACTTTTGGTGCGACTATCCGGTCGTAGACTTGGGTGAGGATGAACGTGACGAGACTCGGTGGGAGGTGATGGAGTTGGTCGAGGTTCTTCGCGATGGTACCATTTTTGACAAGATCGAGGAGCCGGGCATTATATCCCTTCACGGCCGCCTTGAAGTCTGCAACGTTGCCAAAATTGTCGCTGGAGGAGCGCTCGAGCTGTCGATGAAAGCCGCCGTTCAGATCAATAAACGGAGTTGCGTCGGCTCCCGTGACGTATGTATGCCCAACGTGCTGAACCACCTCAATGATATCCTTGACAGAGTTGAGATAATCTTTTCTCCACACAAGCTCATACTTTTCAGGTTTCGAATTCGACGGGTACTGCAGCTCAACCGCGACCTCGTCCTCCTTTGCGCCAAAGATGGGGGGGCAGTTGTTCTTGGTCGAGGCGACATCGGCGCCGTGGACTATGCGCGGCTCCCTAACCTCGTCGCCAAATGCTTTCTTGTGCCGTAACTTCCGATTTACATCGGTTTTCAGCCCATTCGCTCGCAAGCGCTTGTTGTGATGTACGCTGCTAAAGGGGTCGTCGTCCTCGGCGCCGTCGTCGCTCGAATCGTCGTCGAATGCTGGCGAATCTCTTGGCGTGCTTATTATAGCCTTGCGCTTCCGAGAGCGCTCATCGGCCGAGGACGGGTAAGGCGAGCCGCTCTTGGAGCGCGCATAGCCGTTCGGCGGGGGCGCAAGGGATCGCCTGGCGGCGCCATTTGTAGGCGAGGAGGACGACGAGATTGCGCGGCGGGAGAGGTGCGTGATGCGACCGTTGGCCGAGGACTTTGCAGCGGGCGTGGACGCCGCGGAAGAGGTTGTGGAGGTGGCAGGGCGCGGCTTGGGCTTCTGCTGCACGACCACCTTTTCGCGCCGGATGGCCGTGGGCGCGGCCTTGACCTTGGCGTTTGCGCCGCCAAAGATGCCCATGGCTTGTGCTGCTGCGTGTAGCCGTGGCAGGGATGGAAAGCCGCAGGACGAGCGAGGAACTGGTGGGCGCGAAAAAGGGCGACGGGCACGAGCTGGCGGCGGAGTTGGGTGATCAAAGGGTCGTGTGCGGGTGGGTAAGGCGTGAACCCTGGAGTACTGCTACCTCGAGGCTCGAACAATGTCGCCGCCCCAGTGGCGTCGGGGCAGCACCACTGTCCAAGTATCGGGTACGAGCGCCGGGGAAGTTCTGGGTGGGCCCGGCTGGGTCTTCGTTCTCCCTGGTGGGATGTTTCTGGAACAAAGAGGCCCGTGGCCAAGCGAATAGTGCGGGGGATGACGCACGTGTGCAGCAGCACCAGACGATCCAGGTTGGGAGAGAACAATGCAAGCAGAGGACAGAAAAGCACCAGACGCGAAAGTTTTGTCGCTCTGAGTCTATGTACAGGCACGAGGGGCCAGGAAAACACATGGCCATGCGACAGCCGCAATCGCAGGTCATGAGGCCAGGTGCTGGCTTTCCAAGGCACGGGAAGGCCAGACCCCGCAGGGAAGGTGATGGAAGGTACGCGGCACAGAGACGATCGGTGCCTTGGAAACGCTCCAGTCTGAGAAAGTCCTAGACGCCACTTAGCAAGCCACCGTGGTTGTCCAGCCATGGCTTCAAGGAGGAACCATCAGTCCAAGGCGTCGGCGGGCTGAAGCGTACCTGGACGAAGGTGACAAAGGAAGCTGGCGAATCATGCATCGCCAACGAAACCCCGTATGCAGGAGTGGCAGGTCCAGCGGCTCAGGGGACTGCAGTAGTCTTATGCCAATCTAGCAAAGAAGTGAGCTAGGCTAGTGCAAGAAGTTAAGGCTGAGGATCAGTGTTGCGCAAGAGTGAGGATAAGGACGCGTCAACGACTGAACACAAAGGTGCACCCAGGACCTAGACAGCCAAGCATTTGCATGGAAGACGGTTATGGTTGCGCGTGCCTTGGGGCTTGCGCACGTGGGTGGGCCAGCAAACATCGTGGCCAAGCTGCTGTGCAAGGCACCTGGGCAGTCCTGCCTGTCCTCCCCAACCCTCAACCAACCAGACCTCCTTGCACTCGAAGCTGAATCCCCAAAGCACAAACTACACCCTCCATCTTATCGCAGGCTCGACACGACGCCAGTGGCCAGCACTGGCGATCTTATCTCCATGTGGTACCTCGCCCGCCCGAAGCGAGGACCGAGGGCATGGGCTCGGCTCGTACCCTCCGCTTCTGACCTCTGTCCGTCGTGACCCTTTCACGTGGTTGGCTTTCGCAGCAACGAGTAGACGTCCACGGCAAGCCCGAAAGACTTTGAGACACCGGACCGATTCCGCTCGGGGACACAGGTGTTAGGAATCCCGGCTCCTGGATCCATCGCCGCGGTGGATCATCAACGAGCTGTGATGCCCTGGTTGTTCAGCGGCAGCCCTATTGGACGGATCAAGTCGAATGCGTCAGGCAGAGCACAGTGAGAGATGATAGGCCGTCCATGGCAAGCAGCAATACATGGGCAGGATGGCCTGTCAGATTCTGGGCGGGTCTCGACTTTGCAGTCCCAATTTGCCAAGTTTACTCAATCAGGCAAGCAGGCAGCCGAAGCATTGCTCTGAAGAGACACAGCGCCGCTGTTCCCCACACAACCTTTCAGGTCCCGCCTCGCGGTGCGATAGCGAGACCGAAAGCTCGAGGAGATGGTATACCCATCATGTGGCACTGCCAGAAGCCAAGCCGTCAGAAATATCCTGTCTTCAAATCAAGATGCTGATATGTGAGTTTGGCTAGGAAGGTGTGGCAACTTGAGCAGTCTGTCTGGACCGGCTCAGTACTTCCTCAATAGGGCGATCCGCCGATCAGTCCGCCTAGCAAATCAGACCATTGCTAAACAGACTGCCTCGAGATAGGGCTGTAGACAGCACGGCTGACGGTGGGGCGTTGGAAAGCTGGTTGATGGCAACAGGAAACTTGGGATTCCACCCCTGTAGCTCTTGCCATTGCCCCTGCATCCCGCCTGGAAAGGTCCCGGGTCGGCGCGGGTCGGCGGTCCCATCTCTGCCAGTGCGCCCATCATCTCACATCGTGGGGATCCATATGGCCCACGGAGAGGGTCAGAATGACCTGCATGTACAGTTCTGCAGGCGGCAATTTGGCCTGATGGCACGACAACCCGGTTTCCCGCTCGCCAGGGCAGAAGAGCTTGAAGGCTCTGGACATGGGCTTGAGACCGATCCTCTTCCGTTACCGGAAACGACGTGGTTATATCCGCTGCAGGGGCTCGTGATGGCAACCCGGCGCGCTGAACGAAAGCGAATCTGACATGCCGGAGCATGATATAAGAGGCGGTGTCTCCCGCACATACCTACATCACCTGTGTAGCAACATCACACACGACTTACCTGGCCACTCTGTCTAGTTCACTGTTCTCGGCCGCATTCCTTGGTCGACAAGCCACCATGAAGATCACTAGTCTTGTTTTGAGCTCTCTGAGCGTCCTTCCACTGGCGTCGGCGCTGCCCGCCACGAGGAGACAAGCCAGTTGCACAGCAGCCAACGCCATCCAGAGGAAAGAGTACTCGGATCTCACCACGGACGAGAAGCTCGCCTTCATCAGCGCCGTCAAGTGTGTACAGAGCCTTCCTTCTCGCTTCGCACCAGGCGAGATACCTGCCTCGGAGAATTTGTTTGACGACTTTACTGCCGTTCACATCGACCTGTCGCTGTCGATCCACCTTTCCGGCACCTTCCTGTCATGGCATCGCGAGTATCTTCGCCTGCTCGAGACTGTCATGCATGAGCAATGCGGTTATCCGGCTGGCCTTGGTATCCCATACTGGCAGTGGACCAAGTATAGTGCCGCCACCCTGGAGCTCAGCCCGATCTTTGATGGCAGCGAGACGTCTCTCGGCAGCAATGGCAGCCCGGACCCCAATGGCAAGCCATACGAGCTGACTCCAGGAGTCTTCGTCCCGCACGGCACGGGAGGTCTCTGCGTCGAAAGAGGACCTTTCGCGAACACTACCGTTCGTTTTGGGCCATATCCGAACTCGGCTATCTTGACAGGCCTCCCAGCCAACTGGACGCAGCCAAACCCGCGATGCCTGACACGCGACATCAACCCTACCATCATTGGGGGATTCCTCAATGCAGCTCGCATCGCCCAGCTTCAGGCCTCGGAGAACATTGCCGTGTTCCAGGAGCGTCTGACGCCCAACACGGCTACTGCCAGTGGTGGCCTCGGCGCCCATCGCTCCGGACACATTGCCATCGGAATGCCGATGATGGACTTTTTTGCCAGTCCGCAAGATGTGAGTCACCTCGCTCAGTGTATGTGTTCCCAAGACACTTGACAGTAACTAATCTCAAAATATCTGCGCGCACAGATCGTCTTCTTCCTTCACCACGCAGAAGTGGACCGCCAGTGGTCCATGTGGCAGGACGCGGACGAGTCGCGCCGCTTCAGCTACAATGGCACCAGCACGGTGCTCAATCCTGTCGGGGTCACCCCTGAGGTGTCCAACTCGACCGTCATCACTTTTGGCGTGTTGGGCGACGACATGACGCTCGAGGAGGTGGCCTACATCAACCAGGGCCGGTACTGCTACCAGTATGTGTAGGTAGATAAAAGAATCCGCATGTAATTTACGACATGCAGTAGGAGAATGGAATAATGAAGAAGCCAATTACTATAATCATTCGAGTAATTCCGACAAGTTACACATCACATATGTCCCATTACTCCTTGCGATTGGTGGCGCCAGTCATCACCCACTGCGGAGGATGAATATTGTTTGCTGCGAGCCATGTCATGACGCAAGGCCAGGACATGCCAGGGGTGCAAGGATACCGATTGGGACACGTGCAGAATGCTGGCTGCATGCAGTTCGGGCCTAGTGATAATGTATTGAATTATGATATACTCTGAAATGCACTGCCCGAGCCTGAATACAGGGGCAGGCCTCGGCTGGCCTTGCTTGGACACACCCAGGCAGGATCTATTCATACCCACAGGCCACTTCTCCTTTGTCTATAGACACAAAAGCTATGCCCGTCGCGATGTATCACTAAGATGCCTCGACGGCAACACGGCTTGCCGTGACATCGAGCTTCTGAGGCTTGCCAGGCGCAGCGTCTACGGAGGACGGCACGCCGGCCGCCCGCTCAGCATCTGCCTTGGCATCCTGGCTGCTGCCGCCCTCTGCCTCGGTGCCAAACTCCTCGCGGCCGCTGGCAAAGACCTTGTCAAAGTCGAACTCGCCCCAGTGGATGATGGGCATGAGCCCCGCAAACTTCCAGACGCCGTCGACCTTGCGGTACCAGTGGGTGTTTGTGCTGTGGGCGTGGCCCTTGACGGCGACGCCCCGGGACCGGTCGGCGTCGAGGTAGCGCTGGTGCGGGACGCGCACCTGGTGCACGCCGACGACCTCGGTGTCGGACACCTTCTCCCACTTGGTCCCGCCGATGAAGTGCTGCGTCATGAGCAGCGGGTCGCCGAGGACCTGGGGCGACGAGATCATCTCGAGGAACTCGGCGGCGGGCATGGCGGGCCAGAGCTTGTCGAGGAAGGAGCGGTAGTCGATCTGCAGAACAAGAGAGAGTTAGAGGGTGTTTTATTGTGTGAGTTTCTGTTGATGGAATGTGGTGGGGGCAGAGACTAAATCGGAATGAAGGTTAAACAAAGACTTACACGAAGAGTCGGGGCGATGCATTTGGAGAGGCGCTCCCAGTCCTTTGTGTCGTAGCTGTCGGCCCACTCGACCAGGCAGGTGGTGAGGCCGAGGTAGTCGTCAAAGGTAATGTTTCCGTTCACCATTTTGAGCGTTCTGGTCCTGTAGCTACGTGGCGGTTTTGGTTGGTGAGAGAGCGAGAAAGGTTGGCTCGTGAGGTCGGAGAGTGTATGCCGCTGGCTGTCACGGTGGAATAGCTGTTCCTAGGGATGGTTGTGATTCTGGGAATATGAAGGCGGGTCTACATCGCAGGGTCTGGTCCGGTCGACGGGGGGTTTATATCTCGGCCAGGCTCCAAACGAGCGAGGCGAAGCGGTTTCGCCTTCAGTCCATTGAACTGAGCGAGGTGAGCAGGTTCGGACCCCCGGATTGTGGCATGCATGGCAAACCACCTTGCCAGCTGATGCACCACCCATGGCGTTTGGGCGGTCTGGGATTGCATGTTCGCATGCCAAGGTCCCGTGTCCAGGCCAGGTGGAGAGATACCAAGACACAGGAGACGGGGCTCGTTACACCGGTGCACTGCTCGGGCCGGCCGGGAGATAGTCGGTTGCAGCCCATGCTTGTTTGGCGCGGGGTGTTGTTGGTTGGTTGGCTGGTTGTTGGACATGACGGCCAAGTGCGTCCCTGCGGGCGGGCAATTGCTCTCCCCCACGTGTCGTCCATGTGTTGCCTGGGCGTCGTGGGATGACAGCAGATCCAGCAGCAAGGCATAGCAAGGCATGGCCCGTCTTGGCCCGCTGGCCAGGCACAGCAGGACCTAATCACCGGAACTTCCCCACGGACATCCGCGGCCGATGACGGTGGGTGGCGGGCGGGAGGCCGGCACTGGTGGGCCACGGGACGATCCCCGGGACCGAACCAACCCGAAGAGATTACCGTGAGACACCGGAAGATGGACTAGCTCGATTGAGAACAGCCGCCCACTACAGAATGAGAGCCGGGGCCATCAATCAATAGCGATATAAAAAGGAAAGAAGGACCAAGAAATAAGACACATCCGACAAAGCAGTGTTTCTCTTGAAACACGGCTGCACTTGGACACAGGCAGCTCAGAGCAAACATGTCGCAAGAGGCTTCTTGCACCAAGCAGGCAAGGGCAATCCGGCCCTCAGGAACAGGTCCTGTTTGTCCCGCTCTTTGCTGGCCCCCACGGAAGCCTTCCGCGTGCTTCTCAAACTCACTTCTGAGTCTTTGTCCCGCAACGTGAAACATTGCTTGCTCGTTTCACTGGTGGGTGACCACGTCTTTGCCAGCCTACCAGTGGACTCTTGTTACTCACACGGGCTGGTTACGTAATTGCCCAAGAATCAATCAACGCCTGCCATCCTCGTATGGTCGTGCGGCGCTTTGGAGTGCAGGGTCCCCATACGCTAAGCCTAATCCAGGGCATGACAGCGACGTGCATGCCTCCCAGCAACACCACCCCCGAGATTGCAGCAACTTGAGAACTGCTCTGTCAGCATATCGTCCACTCAACCGACGCTTCACCACCACGCTTCAATGTGACGGCCTTCACGCACGTCCTCCGTGTCCAACAGCCATCGCAGGCAGCAATGTTGATCGGCCGGTGCCAAGCTTCCTTGCGTGCGTAATGCCGCGGGCGGTGCATCTTCCAGACTGTCCCTCCGAGACTGATATCTGGAGGCCCTCGTGCTATGCTGGAGCTCTTCATGATTCTCGTCGTCGTGTCCAAATTCATCGCGGGCGAAGCTGCCCAGAGCCAAGAAGATTACACTACTGCATGACCCGACAGGCTTAGTTCCAGTCGATCCTCAACATGGGCTATCACGGTGTGCTGAGCAAAGGCTGTCAGCGGTGTCGCCGCCGCAAGGTCAAGGTCTGGTGCCGCTTCCCCTGTGTGGCGTGCTCGCTGTGCTCGCCCAAAGTGCCGGGACTGACTTACTAACGTACTTGGCCAATAGTGTGACCAGAGCAAGCCGGCCTGCAGACGCTGCGAGAAACTTGGCGTGCCTTGTTCTGGTTACCGCGATCTGCTCGAGGCTCAGTTCATCGACGAGTCGCCCCGCGTTGTACGTAAGGCCACGGCGCGGGCCGGTCCGCCGGATCAAGCGCCGATGGATGTTGGCTGCAGCAAGGCAATCACGCCGGGGCCCGAGAGTGCGGCATCTGATCATGCTTCAACAGCAGTGCGGTTGCAGATTGAGGACTGGTTTCGTCTCTTCCCCAACTCAGAAGCTGGCCTGCGATACCCGTCTCTGGGCGGTCCCATGAATGTGCTCTGTGCCAATTTCTTCCTGGCGCACTATGCGCCAACTGCACCGGTCTTGTCTGACCACAGCTATGACTGGCTGATCCAGGCATACTGGGACACCGGCAACGATCTAGTGAGGCTGGCCACAGATGCAGTGTCTTTTGCGGCGCTCTCCAACAAGTTCTTCGCCCCAGACATGAAACCTCGATCCAGGCAGCTCTATGGCCAAGCGCTGGCGCGCCTCAATACAATGCTGGAGGATCCCGTGCAAGCAGTGCGGGATGACACGCTGATGTGCGTCGTTCTTCTGGGACTATACGAGGTAAGTCCCCATGTGGGCCGACCCAGTGCCGGAATCAAGGCCATTGTCATTGATGGTTTTCCACAGCGCGTCAATCTCATGAGTTGGGATGACTATCGACGATGGTCTGCACATATGGAAGGCGCTGCCATGCTGCTCAAGCTTCGCGGGACAGAGCAGTTCAGTCGTGCTGCTGGGAGGCAGCTTTATATTCACCTCCGTTCTCAAATTGTGAGTTGCACTCATCGGCCGGGTTTCATTGGTCTCCTACATCGCGGCAACCTTTTGCACCCGCATGCTAACTATTCTGATGCCAGATTCACAATTGTATGATGCAACACACAGCGGTCCCCGATTCCTTGAAAGACACAAGCAATTTCTTCCAACCCAGTGACCATTGGCCAGTCACGTACGATACCCGTCCCGGCTCTCTCGGCCAGATAAGTTTTCAAATTGTCAATCTACGAGCCGCAGTCAGTGCCAGGACGCTCACCGATCCCGAGGAAATCCTGGAGGCTGCGCTTGGGGCGGAGAGGACCCTTGAACGGTGGACACTTCACGCGCCGCAAGGCTGGAGCCACGGATCCTTCACCCCGTCCGCCGCAGATATGATACAGCCCGGAGATGGCATCCAGGAGGAGAATGCGGCCACCAGCATGTCGGAACACACATACGCAAATGTGGGCGTGGCGCAGGTATGGAACAACTGGCGAGCCTTGCGCATCATCGCCCACCAAATCGTGATTTACCATGGTCCATCCCCTCTACGTGCGGACTGTGCCACTTCTGCAGAGGCCGACGAGCGCTACGCGCAGCTGGAAGAACACTCTGCGTACATCATTCGCCAGATGTCTACCGACGTGCTGGCGGCTGCGCCGGCTGTATCGGATACTCCACGAGCCGGGTCTCTGGTGTGGCCACTGTTCCTCATCGCCCAAGAGCCGCTGAACCCAGTACACGTGCGGAACCAGGCTGTCCGAGTGCTCCGGCAGGTCAACAACACTCTGGGGTACAGGATTGCCTCACTCATGGCAGACACTGCCGAGGAGACCTTCATTGGTGACATGATCGGTGGACTCCCTGTCCCACATACACCTTTCCAAGCTCTGCTGCTGAGTGGCTGATGGGGGTTGTCCGATCATAGAACTAGAGAGTTTAGGGCGTCGTCCGACTCACCAATGCCACGAGATATGGTGTAACACAAATGATTTACACCACAGTAAGAACGGGGTCTGCGGCGCAGGGACCTGTACAACAAAGAAGACACCATGAAGTGACTGAATAACAATGATTAGATCAGACATACGCCATCAGGCGGTGATATAGAAGCAGGAATAGAACTGTCCAAACATATTTTATTATTCTAATAATTGTCGAGTTGCTCAGTATGACACGATAGCTTGTATGATATGCGAAGAACATCAAGCTGGGGGGGAGGCTGGTCTATGGCGAGTCGCAGCATCTCTGGAGTGAGTCATCATCATTTCTCATTCATCATCGTGAATGGGCGGTGGTTTCGAGGACACACAGCCGGAGAAAAGGAGAAGAAGAAGAAAAGCTGCTCCACGCCTCTGGTTTCGAGCTCGCAACGACCCGCCACGTCATTTTCTATCAGCCAGCGGCGGCCGTTTGTATAGGGAGTCTGAACAAACACCTGAGGGCACGACACAGGATTACCCCCGGGAACTCTGCTTGGCCGCGACCATCCTCGGATGCATGCTTTGTCTTCTTGCCACTATAGCAGTAGAATTCCTGGCTGTCTTTGAGTGTACGGGTTTTGCCCCTTTATTTTCACCTACCAGGGGAGAAACAGATACACACACACACACACAAAACACTCTAGCCGTGTCAGGATTTGCAGCAGGCATGAAGGGGAGGGATGCCGGAAACCTGCACGTGTGCTTAAAGACAGCAGGCTGCATGCTAATGATCTCGGTCCACGACTATGATTTCGTGCCTTGTCCCCTGGGCCGGAGGCGCGTGCGACGTTGATGCGTTGGTCCGGTCCAGTAAGTCACACGCATGGTCGAGGTATTGTTTGGCAGCGGCAGAAGTGCCGGCTGCCTCCGCTGCAGGTCGTCGTCAACTGATTGCGCACGGAGCCTGGAGTGCTCGAGGATGGAAAGCAACTTGTTCGACATGCCGTCTGCCTAGTCCACGCCAGCACAGGACATCGACTCGGTGCTCTTTGCCTCGGCACGGCGACGCCAGTACACGTGGCCATCGATATCTCGTCGCTGGCCAGCGTCGAAGTCTCTACTAGTGGAGAATCTGAGGAGGCGAAGGCAACCATATCAATCAAGGAGTCGGACAAGATCGGCCGTTGTCGCGAGGCGAACATTGCAGCAGAGGTGGGTGTGTGTGCATACGAGGCCGGCCGGGTTGCTTGTGGCATGGACCGGAGAAGCCTTCATTCAGCGTGACAGCTGAGGCGCAGCAGTGCACTAGAGTGAGTGAGTGCACTGTGTGTGTGCTGTGCTGGCACCAAGAGCCCGCCAGTAGCCGCCGCTGTGCGGGAGGGATGTGTGGGTGGGTGCGTGGGGTTGTGCTGTATCTGCCGAGATTTTCCTGTTTTTTCTGGCCTTGACCTTGCCGCTCGCCGCCTCACCTTCCCCAGATCTTCAGGGTCCAGTGGCTAATAATACTCGTCCGCGCATGCATATGTGCACAGCCTCAGGAGACTGGCATGGGAAACGGGATCCGATATTCTGCTGGTCAAATGCAGCATTGCCCGTGCCTGGCGTAAAGGGCTGCACTAGCAGGGACGGCATCGTTTGCGCATGCATCGCCACACCCCATGGGCGACTTCGCTGCTGTTACCTGCGTCCAGCACGAGCTGTGCCGCTGAAGGAGACGACTTGCGAGTGACAGCATGCCATGCACAACTAGCGTGGATACGAACAGCGCCCTGGGCCTCACGAGGATGCCAAAGCGGTGAAGACGAAGTCGTTCGGGCGGGCCAGAGACAAATATTGAGGCAGCCCATGACACGGCCAGCGCGCATCTGCACGCACCGCTCGCCACCGCAACTCGTGCGTCCTTAGCAAGTGGCCATAATGAATGGCAGAGGCACTCAGTCGGGGCAGGCCGAGGTGTTCCCCACATTTGTGCCAACCGGCACCACTCATGGCCCGCCCTGGCAGTGGACATTTTGTGCACCAAAACCATCCGTGACAATGGGCTTTGTTGTCCCCTTGCAAGGGTAAGGTGGCGTGGCGAGGCGTGGCGGAGCCAAGCCCAAGGAATGCCGGAGCCGACCGGACCACGAATCGAGCATCAAGCTTCTAAAGCTTCTTCCCGTAAGGTGTGCAGCAAAGACTGAACCCGCTTGCCCAAGATTGCAGACCGCCATTTTTCGCGTTACGCAACCTGCTACCGAGTTGTGGGCGAGCAGACTATGGCGTCACTCGGAGGGGGCGGCGGTGGAAGGCACTGAGGATCAAGGCATCCACAAGCGTGGCTCACGTGTGTAGCCACTGCCGTCCCGGCAGCCGTTGCGCCGGATACACTTGGCTGCTGGCAGACCATGTTAGGGTTGGTAGCATGGACATGGAAGCCTTGCAAGAGCGCCGATCAACATGACTCTTGCGCCTGCGGGGAGACAGAGCGCATCGAGCAATATCTCAATCCGACCGCTACAATGGCCCAATCCGAAGCAAGCTTGCTTCTGGCTCTGCCTGCAAGCACCATCGATCTCGCGCCTTGATGTGCCGCCTCTTTCAGGATGTGAGAATGCGTCAACCCCTCTTTCGTATCGACACTGTTGATCCCAGCTCCCGATGTGCCTGTCGACCAGATCCGAAATTTGCGAAGCTTACCAGGGTACAAATGGCTGCCCTTAGTCGCAGGTTGGCAGTCCGCCTTGCCGAGGCTGTCTGCCTTGCCAACATCCTGGTGGTGAGGGTTCACACTGTTCTGGGGGCTGCCCGCTGTACCGACCAGAACAAGTCCATGATTGGCGAGTCGGGGGCTCGAGACGGCTACAGTGTCATGACGAGGCTTGTTCAAGAGTCGGATCGCCACTACACCGTGCACTGTAGTCGCAGTTCGGCCTGGGATGTGATGCCTGTTATCGAAGCTGTCGTGCTGATTGATGGTTGTTCGATGTTGGGACCAGACTACCCACTGTAACGACGAGACTGGTAAGATAGCCCAGGGACCGTGAGGTGCACCAATAACACTGATGCGCAAGGGCAAGCGGTCATGCTTTTCGTACACTCCACCACAACGACCCAGGCGTGCCGGGCTTGATTTTCGAAAAGCCCAATCAGGTAATGTGAAGAAAGACCCCTGTCTGCGCCGGGTGTCACATGGACGAGCCGTCGCCTCTGCTCACGTGGAGAGTTTTCTCAAACACGGACCAGACACAATCATGGAATTCGAGCAGTTGTGACGTTCAATAGTCGGAGATGGGGGAGCAATGCCACTGGCGACTGGTTTCTTCTGGCTGCAGGCATTGCGCAGATCATTGTCAAGTGACACCTATCATCCTCTTGTCATGTGACATCGCTGGGTAACCAGGGTGCGACTGACGCATGTCCGATATTGTGCGAAAATCGAGCATCAAGGAACTTTGAGATGCTTCCGCAACGCGTTGCATGGCCCTCAAACATTCATGGTTCAGCACATGAGATGATTCTTGGAAGATAATCACAAAGCCAGGCACACAGCTGATACCCTGTCGATCAAGCCTCTTGGTCTCTGAACCAGGTTGCGCTTCGAGCGGCAGGTCTAGCCGGATAAACCATATACCAGCCGCTGGTCACTAGTCTTGCGTTTCTTCGCGTTGCATGCGATAGACATGAGCCGCCTGCATGCCGAGCAGTCAATCTCGAGGTCGATGGCGGGGTTAGCTCGCTCGGGGGCGTTTTTGCGTTGCAGGGAATGACAAGAGCTTACGACAACCCTGTAGGCGATGATCAACATTGTCCTTACCATGAACATGGCATGGTCAGGGGTGTGCCTAGTGAGATAGGTCAGAGTCAAAATGGCCGGCCTGGTCCTTTCTCTGGACGCTTTTCTCATCGCAGAAAATTGCGGACCAATGAAGAGTGCGTAAACGAAGAAATCGCTCGAGTCTGGGGTTCGTTTTACTACAAGGAGGCGGCGCCATGCGCTCTGCTGGAGCAGGCCTTGGCTTTTGCCTTGGCTCCGGGACGCGCCCGTTCCTGTAAAGTGGTTCGATATGGGGATAGTGGAGATCGACAGTCACGTCAGGAGACGTCTCCTGGATTGTTGTGCCAATTAATGACGATGTGCGGCGACAAGGTGGTTGATGACACGACCTCGTTGGAGCCGTGCCGGCAGTATTTCTGGGAGTATTGGATCATAGCTGGTGATGCTGAGTGGCCTCATGTCAGTTGCTTACAACAAAGATATCCGTGCTGGAGGGAACGGCACTCATCACACGCCTATGGAGCAAAACTGCTTGAGGTTGTTGGAACTTGTCCCCTGGCATCAGTGCAGCATGTCGGACCTCCTTCCAAGGTACCAAACAGTCCAGATGGGAAGAGCGACCAGGACGAGGGTGTAAGTCGGATGGGACCTGCAGGGATGTGTATTTTGAGCCAATGAAAATTCGCGCTGTCCATGACCCACCCGTCCACACCCGTTCTGGCACCGGCCCTCGGTGGCTGTCCAATCAGACCGCCAAAGAGCCTCCCGACGAGAGCACCCTTCCCATGGCGCCCGCCACTAGCAGGGGTTACAGGCTCGACATTGGCCATCTACTGGTTGTCGTTCAACGACGACAACCTCGTCCGTCCTCCTCCATCCTCCTCCCATCGACACCACAAGCCCGCCGGAGTAGCCCAGCCCGTCTTCGCCCGTCTCGTCATGACCACGGTCTTCCCTGTCTGTTCGCGTCGTAGTCGTCGGCCCATGCCGCGTCGTTTCAGTCGCAAAGTCCGAGCACCTCGTCAAGGACTGTCTGTCATTCCCGTCTGGCGGCACCGGTCCCGCCCTCACCCGTCGTCAGTAGTGCCTCGAACGATACAAAGGAGGGTCGCAGACATCTGCCAGTCCCTTGCCGCACGCTTGTAAGCGCCGCCTGAGCCATGACCCGACTGGACGGCGGGCCCTTCGACATGCGCTACACTCGAGTCGGCCCTGTTCGTCTTGCGCCATGCGCGGCTAGGGTAGGACTCTCACTCAGCCAGGACACCATGATCGCCACAAGCTTCTTGCCAAATCTCGCGTTTCACAGCTAGACCCCAACCCTCCATCTACAGAGACGTTGCCGTTCGTGCGTCAAGAAGCGCCGGCTCGGGTTAGACGTCCGCACAACTCTGTCAAGTGCTTCCTCGCCATGGCTGTCATCAAGCCTTGGACACCGTGTTCTTCCAGGCGCACCCAGCATCTACAAAGGAGCAGCCAGGATGCAGCAGTTGACCGCAGGTATACACCGTACTCTTAATCTCACATACTGTCAGCTCACCTGGGCTGGCCGTTTCTGGCAATCGGCCACATCAAGTTTCAGCCCCCGTTCGTCTGCTGTTTGATTGAAGCCAATTTCGACTTTCCAGGGGCCGTTCCTGGAGAGCGAATCGGCTCCGCACTACAGGGAGTTCTAGAGCCGCATAAACTCCTGGCCTGCTGCTAGGTTCTTGGTACTGCAGGCCCGAAGTTGCCTGCATGTGAGCGACAAGGCCAAGTGGCCAACGCCAGGCACGCTACTGGCCTGACTTCCCACGCAGGCTGTTTGATCTTCCCTCCCACGGCCGGGGCTTTCAAAGGTGCATACATATGCCGAAGGAAGTGACTTGCAGTTTGCAGCGATGTCGCAGAGCAGAGGGGGGTTGCACCAGCAGAAACATCCCTGGGGTGGATGGGCACCCCAATGACGACGATTCGTGCTTGAACCAATGGCTACTGCCTGTCGTTTTATGGCTGGTTTGGAGGTCAGCGGACCTGCAAAAGACACCCTGGCTGGGTTGCTCGGCGCGCAAGCGAGCTCTCCCTGCCGGGGGATACACGAGGAACCAGATCACGAAACAGCCTGCTTGTGTCCCAGATGGCCTGATGGTGTGGAGACGAGACACAACCTCCATCTGATCACCACCATATGCGATCTCGAGTCTGTAGGCCCCAGTGCGCACAAATGCGCCTCTGGGCATTAATACGTGGACGAAACCCTGCTTGTTTGGGGCACGTCAGGAGTAGCAAGCCTCCTGAATGGCAAGCAAGACATATGCGGGCGCTACTCTCCCAGTTCACGCCAAAATCCACACAATAAGCATACGTTCCGAGGATTCAGCTGGCGAGCGACTGTACCGGCCATGCGGCTACGATGTGCCAAATGGGCCGATCATGTGAGTCGTAACCAGGCCGTAGTGGAGGACCATTCGCGACCAACCAAATGCCACGAAGGTTGCCACGACAATTCATGGTCGACCAGCGCAGCCGCATGCATGCCTATATGCAACGCGACAGCCGGCGTCAGTGAAGCATCGGAGGAAAGTGATATGCGTTTATGGCATGTGAGCGTGTTTCACGAGCAACAGAGGATCGATCTGCGGCTGGGCGATAGCTGGGACATCCTTGGGCACGGGACGGCGAGCACACAATGATGATCGCCGGCAAGCTCCAGCCAGGCTTGTGAAGGGGGGGGGACCATTTCCCGCGGCCGAGACCTGAAAAAATAATGGCACGGGGGATTCTGGTCACATTGTCATCTGCATGCATGGGGAAGCAGCACCAGAATAACTCGCCCTCGGCTGGCGGGCACCGTCTGTGCGTCAGAGAGCACCAAAGCTGCCTGTGGTTCAAATCGTGGGCCTGGCCCGCCACCACCGCGCCCCCTCGACTCAGAGAAGCACAGGCCACAGGCGTGGACGGAGGGTGCAGCAGCGCCGCTGGAGTCGAGTTCAGCTCGGGTTGTTTGCGACTAAGCATGTCATTCGTCGCTGTCGGGGCCGGTTCCAAGGTTCCTGGAGGTCTGCATATGCAGGCCGCAACACAGCCCACTCGGCGCGAGCCAAGCAGCCGTCGCCAGATACTGCGGCATGGGGCGATCACGGAGCAGCCGTTGCAGCGCAGGCATACCTACTCGGTACCGTAGCACCAGACGCGGTCGCAAAGCTGCATGCGCACGCTTACGCAGTCTGGCTTCACTGGATGCGATGCTGTTGGCTGTCATCTTGAGAGAGGGGCCGGGATATGGCAGCCTGCTGAATGTTTGGTCAGCGTCGCAGCGCCAGATCCGTCCCTTCCCCCCGTACTTGTCTTGTGAACAAGATTTCTGTGTCTGCGGATGGTGATCAGGATGGAGTGTCGAGCGCTGGCTGGGCTTGGGGCTCACGGGAGGGTTCCGTACGTGGTTGCAAAAAGGCCTTTTTCCCACGCCCGACGGCTACTGCGGGACAGTGGATCGCCGCACAAAATGCTCACGGGGCTGGTTCTGCATGCACGCCCCGCGCAAGGATGGCGGAAGGAGCCCTGCGTCGCTGAGGTGGTGAGGGGCGTGTGCAAATGCAATCCCAGCGGTGGGCGGCCACCCAGCCAGCCCAGTGAACCCACTGTCGTGGGAGGCGGCTTTAGGGAGTGGCAGGCCGCTAAATACAGTAGGCTGCTCTTGCCCCGGACGGCTGGGGGCCTTTGACGCCCACTTTGGCAGTCGAGCAAGGAACCCGCCCTACCTTACTTAACACCCCACCACCCTCCCTCACAGTCACTCACCCTCCTCTTCTCTTCCCCACGACTCCTTCGTCCTACATTCTCTTCTTCTCGGATTGCGGCTGTTCAGGTGTGCAAGCAAACCACCGCCCATCTCTCGTCAATATCCCCAGTTGGGTCCCGCCTAGCTCCGCCATCTTTCCTTCCCTTTCTTTATATTTTCCAGCCTTGGCCCACCCCGGTCGAAATAGCGCATGTCAGACAACCACAACCAGGCTCGCTCCACCACCCACACTCTCACAATCAACTACACAAAGATTATATAACCCGAGTCGGCCTCCGGTTCAGCATCTCACCAGTTACTCAGCGCACACGCACACGGTCCAGCTCCTCTCATCACCATGCCTGCTCAGCTTCTCCCGGCTTCCGCCGCGGCCTTTGCTCCTCGTGCCGCATCAGTCAACGTCGTCCTTGGATCAAAAGTGGAACCATGGTTAACGCAGGCCCTCAAGCGCATCAACAAGGTTAAGCGGCCGCTCAACAGCGTTCCTCAGCACCAGCGCTGCCTCACAGAACACCTCTCCAACGAGAAGGCCATCTGGACGCTTGCCTCGTTGATGCTCGCCAAGTCTCCCGAGGCAGAACTGCGCCAAGACGAAAACCCCCTGGTCGAGGCCCTCTTCAACTATCAGCTAGTCCACCTCGAGGCCTACATTGTGCACGTCGACATGGTCCTGAGGAATGAGGTCGCTTACAAGCTCACTCCGGATACCATCGAGTCCCTCATCGAGCACCACAAGGACGTCTACTGTGTTGACAGCAAGGCTGCCACCTACGACTGGCCCGAGAAGGAGCAGCAGGCCAAGAAGCTGCACGAGGATTTCGTACAGGCCATCAACAAGTTTGTGTTCAGGACACACGTCTCTGCTCTCGAGGGCCTCGAGGAGGAAGGTGCCGGTGAGCTGCTTTGTGGAAAGAGCGAGGAGGTCAAGACCGCCGTCTTGGCACTCATGAACAAGCCCCTCCTCCCTCCTCCTCCCAAGGTCGTCGATGTCATCCGCCAGCCACCTTTGCTGCCCAGTTCACCCGTTGGCAGCATCTGGTCGCAATCAACACCCTCGCCAGTCCTGAGCGCGCCCGTTGATGCCTGGCGGATATTGCCTTCGAGCACCGGAGTCACGACCTCGGCTGACCAGACACCGATCTGGGCCTCCATGTCCATGCACGAGATGCAGTTGCCGTCACCTCCGTCGCCGTTCAGCCAGCCTTTCTCCACAGCCGGCATGTTTTACAGCTCGCCGATGGTGTCTGCCCCCATCCCGACGCTCCCCTTGCCCAGCATGCTGGCACCGCAATGCGGCATCAGCACTGGCTTTGGTGGTTTCGGCTGGGACCGGTACCAGGAGTATGCTGTAACCATGTGACAGCCACCGCAAGCAGTTGCGCGTCACCAGAAATCTGGTGATGAGTGAGCCAGCCATTCCAACCCGCATCAAGGTTATGGCATTGCGACTGTGGCAAGGCGTCCGTGGAATCCGAGTTTTCATGCGGGGCTCCCCATTTCCTGGACACTAAACAGGCATCACGGCCTCGTCCTCTCCGGTTATAATCTGCCATTTCCTTGTGTACTTTTCCTTGTTCATTGTCTAGCGAGCGAGCGTCTGCTTTCATTTCCCGGGGGTCTCAAACATCAATACCACACACCGCCAGCTCGGTCGAACAGCCTCTCTCAACTCTTTCGTCATTGGTTTCCGGCTGGGCGGTTAGCATTTGATTGCATTTGAAGCCGGGCAGGCTCTCGAACCTTGAGGCTGGGCTCCATTTCCTTTTTCCGTCTTTTTCCTTGGGTCGAAAACAAAAGAGGTATACGCAGCAATGCACCATCATCACCACTCCCGGCATAGAACCGGGTCAGTATTTTCTGGATATCCCACCCAATTTTCCTTCGTTCGGCATCCGGCATACGACGACTTTCTTCTTCGATAATTCCCTCCAAGCCAGGATAATTCACCGCGCGCATCATAACGAATAGTCGCCGGTTTGCACCTTCACTCAACCGCCCCTTCTCTCACCAAAGATCTTGGCACCACATTATTAATTGTCTGACGAATCAACGAACACACCCATTACGAATAATCCTATCACGCCTGATGACGACTTTTACGACACGAACAGAACTCCCCGCGCGACTTGATGTCGCCAACTCTCTTCGAAACACAAAAGCCGATCAAGCTCTTATGGGACATTCACCGGGCATTAATTGGCGGACTGGCTTCGCCACTTGCTCTTATGGGTCGATTCTATCTGTGATCATGGCCACGCTAAGCATTTGACATGCTGCTTGTGCCTGCAATCACCGACAAACCAAGACTGTCCCCTTGTGGCTTGTGTAGGGGCATGATGGCTCGCAGCTACCAGCTAGCATGCAAGCATCTCCTTCACACGAGCGACAATGGGCAAGGTGAAGCGTGATGGTGCAGAAGGCATCTGGAGGAATTGAAATCAAGCTGGGCATGCGCTTTACAGGCGCACTCTGCAGCGCAGAGTATATGCGGAGTCATAATATTGTCGCGTCCATCTCCTACGGGCTTCGAAGAACGAGTCAGCCTCTCTGTGCTCTTCTGGGGAAGACTGACGCTTGCTTCCATGGCATTCTCAGTACTCCATTGGGACCGCTAGCCGGCCCGTGGATTGCTGCTTTGTTCCATGGCCTGCAACTCGGTCAGTCTTCTCAAGATTTCAGCGCAGAGGAGAGCTGTAGCCTCGGAGCAACGTAAAGAATGGACCGTAGCTCATCCCACTACAGCCGGGGCCGAACTCCAAGGAAAGCAGGTCGCTCTGCGGGGTTGGGCCCGGGCGGGCCTCCTGGATCCCGCTGCGCGGGTGTCCAAGCCGATAACAAAACCGGAGGCATGGGATGCTGGGAAAGCTCTGGTGTATAAGCACGGGCCTGCGTCCTGGAGGTGCAGCCTGGCACACCAGAGCTTTCATAATCATTGAGACTGCTTAGCAATCAGGCAAACAAACAGTAAAATTGATCAACATCGTGTTGAGACTGAAATGGCTTGGTCCACCTTGTGATTGTGAAAGACTTGTGGCTGTAATGTTTTGTGCGGTGGGCAAGCATGGCACCGATGCGACCGCGAATTGTGTCGAACAAAGACTTATGTACTCAGAGAAACTGGCGTGCCAACATGAAGCCGTGGCATGCTTGAATGGCGTATTTTTGTAAATATTATGCGCAATACGAGGCTGATGTGCATTTGCTTCAAAAATTCAAACATATCTGACATCTCTAGTGCGGTGAATAACCCCGCATTCTATCCATCCATCCTGATCAAACCATCTACCTCGCCATCTTTTCCTGGCATGCTTCCATCAAACTCTGACGGTGCCTTTCTCATCATCTTCCCTTTCCTCCTTATTTCCGTGTCCGCATTTCTGTCCTCATTGATCCGCAAGGATCCCCCTGGCGATCCAGTCCGCGATAGCCATGACCGTGATCATGGGATTCACGCCGCTCGCCGAGGGGAACACGCTGGCGTCGGCGACGTACAGGCCCTCGGTGTCCCACACTTGACCCTTGTTGTTGACGACGCCTCCCTCGGGGCTGGAGGACATCCGGCACGTGCCCATCTGGTGGGCCGATGCATGTTGGGCGCGGGGAGGGCTGTTGTTCGCGGTGCCGAGGACGCGGAGCCAGGCCTGGAAGGCCGGGTCGTCGTCGCCCAGCGGGTCTTGGTTGCCATCGACATTTTCCTCGTCGTCGGCAGGTGAACTCTCCCTGTTCCCCCTGCTGCTGCTGCTGCTCGGCTCCGAGCGGCGCTTGAAGCTCGGCACGCCGGGGACGGCCGGCCAGATCTCGACAGCGCCCTGCGCATAGCACAGCTTGGCGAGCGCGACCAGGCCCGCGAGGGTGTGCGCGCGGTCAAAGTCGGAGATGGCGTAGTCGACGACGGGCCTGCCGTCGTGCGGGTCCGGGAACACACTGCCTGTGTCGCGATCCCGGGCGATCGAGATGTACGCGTTCATCGCGCGGAACTTGAGGGCGTCCGTCTTCCACTGCAGCGCCGAGTGCCAGGGGAGGTTGAAGAGGACCATGTGTGGCTGTTCAGAAATGAACCCGGGGGGCGTTAGGGTATATCTTGCGTGAGAGAAAAAAGAATGGAATGAAACGGGATTGAAAATGGGGGTGGTGATGATGATGATGATGATGATGATGATGTGTCAAGTGGACGAAGGAAGTCAAGAGGAGAGGGAGCTGCTTACCAGCATGGACGAGGCTTCGAGCTTCACGCCGTGGCCGTGGCCGTCGAGGTTCTCAAAGTCTGACACTACGGATGTGAGGATGCCGCCTGGAAATGATTGGACTGGTCAGCCATCATGTTTATTGTGAGTCATGTAGTTGTTTGGACTGTAACTCCAGTGACTTACCCTCCCATCCCTTCACGTCCTCGGGGAAAGCAGCAGTCAGGTTTCCACAAGGATGAATGTGTAAGTTCTTGCCGATGTGAGGGTTCTTTCAAACTGGAAGTTAGCTTTGGCTCCGGACAAAATCAACAAAAGTCGCGCGGCGACGCCATACCTTCAAGCCACTCCTCATCAGCAGCAGCGGGCTGTTCAGCGAGCCCGAGGCCACAATGACCTTCTTCGCCTCGATCCGGACAGTCCTTTGCACCCGCTCGCTAGCCGGTGAATGCACAAACCCGTTCTTGTCCCTCGCCGTCCATCGACCGACAACGCCGATCGCCCTTCTCTTCTTCTTTTCGTGGCCACTTCCACCCTCGTTGTCTTCGTTGTCCTCATCCTCATCGTCCTCCTCATCATCATCATCAGCAAACAACACCTCAGACACACTCAGACCTTCGATGAACTGAGCCCCAGCCTTCTGCGCCGCGGGCAACCAGTTCACCGCAGGGCCCTGCTTCTCGCCAGAGCCACAGCCCAGACTGCACCTGCCGCAGTAATGCTCGTTGCCGCCCGTGTTCTGCGGACACGCCTTGGCATGCCACCCGAGCTTCTCCGCCCCGTCGAGCAGCACGCGGTTCCCGTGGTTCTGGCGCACATGCTCGTCGCTCACGCCCATGGTCTCGCACACGCGGTCGATCGACTCCTGGAACGCCGGCGTGTCGAAGAACGCGAGCCCCCCGCCCGGCTCGCCCGCCCACTCGCGCCGCACAAAGTCCTGCGGCGCCAGGCTCGCGCTCCAGTTGACGGTCCCGCCGCCGCCCCAGCAGCTGCCCGCGAGCAGCGACGTGGCGCCGTTGGTCGCCTGCAGGGAACCCCCGGCCTCGTAGAGCAGCTGCTGCCCGGCCTCGCCGGCCATGGGGAGGTGCGACGGCGGGAAGTAATAGCCCTTGTCGACGACGACGACCTTGTGGCCGGCCTCGGCGAGGACCTTGGCCGCCACGCCGCCGCCGCAGCCGGAGCCGACGATGACAATGTCCGTCTTGATGACGGCTGGTTCCTCGTCGTCGTTGTCGTGGCTGGTGCTGGTGGCGGTGGGAGGGAACTGCAGGAAACGGTAGTCCACCTCGGATCCTGGAATGTAGTCGTCCACGTGGTCCGTGTAGGCGCTGAGCTTGTGGAACAGAGGGTCCGTAGGCGCCCAGCTGACCCTCGCGAGAGTGCAGAATGTCTTGGCCAGCAGCGGCCAGACGGGCGTCCACGCGTTTTGCCACGACTTGATGATGGCCTCACGGGTGTCGAGGCCCTGCTGGTGCAGAGGCGTCCAGTAGCCTGTCGCGAGGAGGCTGCCAGTCCGGCGGCTGTCATGGTTCTCCATCAGTCAGTCAGTCAGTCCGTCAACGAGCGAATACGTCCTTCTTCGCCTGGTCCGCCTTTCACGGTGATGTTGGCACCAGTTACGGGCAAAACTCACGTCATGAGGTCGAGTGCTCCGCCGAGCCGCTTGCGGACGGATTTGGGAGTCTGCCCCACGATCCGCCGGAGCTGCTTGTGGAAGCGCGGGTTGTCGAGCGGCCGCGCCGCGAGGAACTCCTTGAACTGGTCATACGTGGGCGGGCGCTTGAGCGTGGCGACGAGGTCGTCGTAGGCATCTGTGCACTGCTCCTCGGTGACGACAAGCTGCTTGTGCGTGTCGTTGGCGGTGAGTGCAGAGCCAGGGTCACTGTTGCCGTCCGAGGCCACCACAATCGCCGGGACGACGGCGTCGATGAGAGACTCGAGAACCTCCCACTGCAGATCTGTGAAGTAGTCGCCGGGCTCGGGCTCGGCTGCTTGGACGGGAATGGGGGCCTTGGCCAGAGGCGCGGTGATGGCGGCCATCGTTGATGCCTTGAGGTGGTGGTGGTTGTTGAGCGAAGAACGCACGGTCAAGGCAGTCAGGTTGATATCAAGTTTGCGCTTCGAGCTCTAGGAGGATATCTTGGTCAAGACTGCGCGCGCTGCGTGGATGGAAAGGAGAATGAATGACCATGCCAGGAAGGCTCCAAAGGGAAAGGCCTCAAATGACTGAGTCCTCGGGGCAAAAGATATTCAAGGTTGCGCTCAAGGATGAGGTCGACGCAAGCAAGACCGAGGGAGGCTTTTCGGCAGCGCCAAGTTGTCGCCAACCACGCGGAAGCAAGGGGCGCGGAGATATCGGGAGCGTAGTAGCCCACTGTATGCCTCTGCATTCAGAACCTCGTGGTTCAGGACCCAATCGCATCTGAAGCTGCTGTCTTGTCCAGCCGTCGAAAGCAAACATTGCCTCCAGGAGGTCGTTGCGACCTGTCACATTATTGGCTGTGGCGAGGCACACGAGCGGGGCGGGGCGGGTGGAGCAGGATGCGGGATGCGATTCCGGGACCAGGCAGGCACCTTGGGGCGGCCACGCGAGGAGCGTCGCCAGCCGGGGAGATAGGCGGATTAGATAAGACTCGGCAGCAAAACTGAAGATGCCTGTCGCACGCCCAAGGACATGTCCCAATCTTGAAGGTTTGAGTTGGTTCGTCTCCAGGGCCTTGTCCGTGGTCAAATCACGGCCGTCCTTGCTTGGTTCAAGATCCCACTCAGGCTAGCACCATTCTCATTGTGTGTCCCTAGCGTATTGGCGACTTGGCACGGGTTGGTGATCATGCTGGAATTTACTTAAGTACTGCAGCTCAGAGGACGCCTTAAACCACACGATGACATGGCTTCAGAGATGTCGTATGCTTCACATCGGCCACTGGTGCACTGCGTCATGCAGCGGCCGTGCTGTGCACTTCTTGCTTGCAGCAAAGTTGCCCAAGAGTTCAACATTCCAGATTGGCCCCATGAGATCATCTGACTTCGCGTGCTCGACAGCGAAACAAAGATGACTATGCGGCGGCGCGCGTCGACATGCACTCCCAGTTTTTGAGGTCAGCGTTTACGAGCAGACGACCTCTGCCAGTCCAGCGACAAGCCACAACTTCTCTTCATGTCAATCACCAAGCCCCACCCACGATCAGACGCACGAAGATTGCATGACCAACCATCAGGACCCTACCGTAGCCAGAGAGACACCAAATCAAGCAGCCAATATTATTGTCCCGGTCTCTGGTTGCGGTCGTCGTCGTCGTCGTCGTCGTTGTCGTCGGAAGCTCCAGCCAGGAGCTGCAGTAGCGTACAGTATTGAAGCTGCTTTTGCAGGTGGTGGCGGGAGTCTAGAAGCTCTAGTTTCACATGCCAAAACCCAAGCCACCAGCCGGACCCTGAGCCCCGCACTTTTTCCGCTAGGGCGAAAAGCACATGGGGAACAAACCGACACAAGAGGTACCCTTGTACCCTCGAGCCGAATTTGTTGGGGATGACATGACGATGCCATTACCCTCTTTTTTTTTAATGTTTTTTCCTTGTCCCTTTTCGATGCCACACCTCCGACGGGTTCGGAGAAAACGCGGGGCAAGGGATCAAGGACAACAAGGGGAACGTCTGGCACGGGTTGGAATCTGGGCGGGCTTGGGCAGCATGACAACGGTATGGCATGGTGCGTGCCCGCCGAGGTGATGATGACTTCTTGAAAAATTACAGCAGTGTGAATGTTCCAACATCCGCATTGGCGCAATCGCGCACTGCTCGTCATCTCGTCGCTCTGCAGCCTTGGACGTTTCCCGCAGACCAGACTTATGCGTGTTTGAGCTAGGAGTCGCAAGCCCCTCTCTCCAAGGATGTTGCGTCTGACACAACAGGGATTCCCAAGTCGACTCACATGTCAGAAACCGGTATGCTTGCGATGCTCGCAAGGTGTGGGACTCGGTGACGGGACCCGTGCTCAATTAATTAAAGTACTGATGTGGGAAGTCCAAGGTGAAGCCTGAACTGGGTCGCAACAATCTCAATTGCGACGATGGGGGACCCCCGCATTTCCCGCGGGCGCCGTACACCGACAGTGGTGACCGCATTGAGACCGAGCACCAGCCTGGACATCCAACTGCTGCTCGTCGTGGTCTTAGTCCAGAACTATTGTGGTGACAAGTGAAATTGGCAAATTTTGAAATGATTGTCTGCCCGATGCATGATGTGTTCCTTTTTGGGCATGTCCCGAGAGCACGTGGGCGGGCCACGCGGGCTTCTAGAAGGCAGTCAGCTCATCGACAGGCGCAAACTTTAGTCAGCCCGATCTTTGTTTAGTGAGCGGCGCTGAGACCACGGAGTTTTTGGGCAGCACCCGCAACACATAGTAAGACTCCGGCCCTCGTGGATGTCTTAGTAAAATGATGGAACATCATCAACGACCAATTGTTCCAGATTGAGATCACGACGACAACCGATGCGCACGAGTCTCTCGCTCGGGTTGGTGTGTGAGTGTATGTATGTGTAAATATGGAAACAAGCCACACCTCGCGTCGCACAAATGCACGTGAGCTTAACCGTGGTGGAAAGTTTGATGCAGGAGCCGCGGCTACCAGTGGCTGTGGCTGCTGCTGCTGCACCCCGCGTGTTAGTCAGGAACCACACTTATTACTCTGCGCAAGCAGCAGGCTCTGCAGGCAGGCGACTTGCGAAGGTGCCGGCTCCGGCCACATGCTGTGTAACAACAAGTCTTGTCTTGTAAGCAGCCCATCCGAGAGACCATCCATGATACTTGCGGACGGGCGCGACGGAGCGGCTACGAGCGATGGCGCTGCCGTGCAGATCTGGGTCTCAGGCTTGGCTTCCATTCAACAAATGCTGGGTTTGGTGGAGCCCAGGCGGCACCATGCCTGTCGTGAGGCGACACCACACGTGCAATGGTCGCCAGCCCTGTGGAAAGGATACCCGTTTTCACATGTGAAGAGCAGCAGTGGTGGGGGGACGACGGGCTCCGTGTAAGTCCCGACATCGATGTCGCGATGGTGTATCATGCCCGGAATGGGCTTGCAGGCAACTGTCTGGGCCAGGGACGGACGGGGTTCCATTGTGCTGGACCCTGTGCCGTCCGTCCAGGGGGTACTCTGTGAGCCCGAAGACTAGTCGCCGCGCCAGGCCTCCATTGCCGCCGTGATTTGCGAGCTGTTGGAGATGATGCCCAGTCAGGCAAAGGAGACACAGCAAGAGCGACTGGAGTTTCATGCCCTCCATTTGACATCAGTGGAGCGAGGCAGTTGCCAAAAGGGCACAGCGCCCGAGGGCAGCAGCCAATGAGGCACGGGGGCGGGCAGGCGGAGCCCATAGCAGCGGGTCGGGAGCAGGGATGGCCACGCAGGCAAGGGCCGTTTTGTTGAGGACGACGACTCTGCGCCGGGCCCGGCACAAACCAACGTCGTCCACCGTCACAGCAGCCTGGAAGCGTCCTGCCGGCACATCCAGCAATTACTACGACCTCTCCGTCCGCGCTCCCATGTGTGCGCTGGCCGGGCCACCTGCGATCCGGGTCCACTCCCCTCCCGCCGCCGCCGCCGCCACCCCAGGCCTGCGACCACCATGTCGCAACACAAGGCTCTCCGCCGGGCCTGGCTTGGCTGCCGAGGAGCGGCAAACGTGAAGCTGGGCTGGGCCACACACACACACATATAATATTCGCCCCGGCTCCTCACCAACCCGTCGGCTCTGCGCTGCTACACTCTTGTTGCTTGGTTCCTTGACAAGACAAGACACATACAACTCGTCATCGTCGTTGTCGCCGTCAACTCTTGTTGCCCGTGATACACCACCCTCTGTCACCACCGTCACCACCGTCACCTCATCCACAATGGCGCACCCATATCTCTTCACCACCCCGGCGGACGCCTCCCTCTTCCAGCTGCCTCCGCCGGCCGACCCGATGCCAATCCCGCCGCCCAGCCACAACGTCCCCTTTACTATCCCTGACGCCTGGTTCACGGCCGCCCTCGACCCAAAGGTGCCCCTCACCATCGCCGCTGTGTACGCCGTCACGGCCAAGGCTCTGAACGCCTACAACAAGTCCACCAACAAGCGGCCCTGGGCCATCAGCAAGACCCGTGCCTTCCGCGCCTTTGTCGTCGCCCACAACATCTTCCTTGCCGTCTACTCGGCCTGGACCTGGTACGGAACCCTCCATGTCCTTCGCCGCAGCATCGTCAGCCCCACCGGCCCGAACGGCTGGGCTGGGACCATGGACTCCTTCTGCAAGTTCCACGGCACCGCCGGCCTCGGCAACGACATCTCATACAACCAGGCCACAGGCATCTGGGAGTCCGCCACTGGGACCTCTCTTCTTGACGCCAATGGTGTTCCCAGCCGTGACGTCTCGGGCCGCCTCTGGAACGAAGGCCTCGCTTTCTACGGCTGGATCTTCTACCTGAGCAAGTTCTACGAGGTCCTCGACACCCTCATCATCCTCGCCAAGGGCAAGTTCAGCTCGACTCTCCAGACCTACCACCACGCTGGTGCCATGATGGCCATGTGGGCTGGCATCCGCTACATGTCCGCTCCCATCTGGATGTTTGTCTTCTTCAACTCCTTTGTCCACTCGCTCATGGTAAAGCACATTCTGCACACTACTTATCTGGTCACCACAATTTGCTAACCCACCATCTCAGTACACCTACTACACCGTCACGGCCTTCAACGTCAAGGTGCCCCAGGTCATCAAGCGCTCCCTCACCACTCTGCAGATTTCGCAGTTCGTGATTGGTGTCTTCTGGGCCACTGCTCACTCCTTCATCTCCTATACTGCGCCGGTCCAGGTCCCCGTCGCCAAGCCCGCCGCCTCTCCTGCTGCTGGCACCTCTGGCACTGCTGTCGAGTACGAGACTCAGTGGCGCGACACCGCCTGCGTTACTGGCGCCGGCTCCACCTTTGCCATTTGGGTCAACGTCATCTACTTGCTGCCTCTGACCTACCTGTTCGTCTCCTTCTTCATTGCTAGCTACGTCCGCCGCTCCAACCGCGCCGCCGTCCAGAAGAAGGCCGACCAGGATGTCAGCAGCCGCAGCAAGAGCACCGTCGAGATTGCCGAGCGCGCCGGCCGCGATGCCGCCCGTAACCTCGAGCGCGAGGTGTACCGCGAGTCCGGCAGCCCTGCTCTGACCGACAGCGACTCGGACGCCAACAAGAAGGGCGCTTCCACCAAGAAGGCTCCCAAGGCCAAGGCTAGCAAGAAGATTTAGATAAACATCTCCGCTTCTTGTTTTTGATGACGACTTGCAGAGCTCTCTCCAATCAATCTGGTGGTTATTATACTTGATCCCGACCATCAAAACGTCATCGTGTATCAATCCATAGTACGATCCTTCCAATTCGGGTTGAAGCCATCCCAGCATATAGCCGGCGTTATTTGCGACTTCTTCCAGGGACGTTTCAGTCTATGCTAAAATTTTCCTTTTATCATCTGCATCATGCTGGCAGCAAGCTCAATCATGGAGTGGCGCCAACAGAATCATTTTCCACGGCGCAAAGGGGCGTAAGGGACTGGCTTGAGTTACACCTTATCTAGCGGTGTTTTTTGCGATCTAGGTTGGATAGCTGGCTGCCGGGGTTTTCTGGTAACCCTGGCGAGAAAGACCTATTATCAACACTTGAAATGAAAAATTATGAGCAAACACATGAAGTTGATGAAAGGTGCCAAAGTCTGGGCAGAAATGATAGAATAAGGTGGTTTCGAGAGAAGGGCTCTATACCGCGTGGTAGACACCCCATGTGATCTTCATTAGGGGACATGCATGTATGATGTTGAACTGAGCCCTTATGTACCCAGAGCCAGGTCCCGTTGAGCAGCACGACCACGATGGAAGCTAACATCTTGGGTCTTTATATGCAGTAGATCTCACATACATACCACACGGTGCATGCCATAAGTGAGTGCTAACTGACTGACATCGACAACAGGACCAATGATGACTAGGTTTTCTCAACTCGGTGCTCTCCTTGGCCATGATACCCATCCCTTGGACTCGCAACGTTTCACGGACTTGTAGCTCTCGAGATTTTAATTCAAGCTTCACTTTGTTTTTTTACGGGTATATTTTTCTTTGTTGGGGGGAGGGGGGGTTTTGGGAGAAGGAGGAGGAGGTGGAGGGACTAGCATTTGTACTCGGTCTGGGATCTGTAAGCCTGCGGGGTTCTTTTCCCTTCACTGCGCGCGCAGCACATGCCTCTGCCTCTGCCGCTGCTGCTGCATCCTCCTACTGCTAAAACTTCATCACAGTGGAAGACCGTAGTAACCACAAAACCCCTTCCCCGCGTCTACATGTCATATGCCAGAACCCAAACCCCCGGGTCTCAGTTTTGATCTCTACATGGAAAGAAAACAGGAGAAAGACCCTGCGAATGCGAGTTGTCAAAGGCGGGTATATCCTAGGCAGAAGATGGGCGAAGGGAAAAAGAAAAAAGAAAGAAAAAAGGCAGGTTGGACATGGCTAATGTCGATTCTCAATCCTCCAAACCCCAACATTCGGGTTTGTCCAGTGGGCCAATGCGGGAACGAACGTCCTTGGTTGTGGTGTCACGAACATGGTTCAGTGTTCGGTACTGAGCTTTGGTATGACTGACAGCCATTGCCACCTAAGTTCGCAAACTAGGGTGTGCACGGATCTTGAGAGATGATCTTCAGCGGGGTGATATAAGACGTGAGGCATGTGATCCAGATCAAATTGAACGCTCAGCTCGACTTTATTGAGAATTGACAGATTGAAGCAAGTTTCTATCTGGTTTTAGATACCCGTAACTCCTAGGCGCCGCATCCTGCCCAAATTATCAAAATGTCTAGTATATCTATAAGATCAAAACCACCAAGTGTAAAACAAAACTTCGCCTCGCTTGCTCAGGTCTGTTTAGAAACAGACTTTTCGTGCGCTGGAAAGTGGGCATCGGCTAAAACGAAAACTTGCAAAGCTCATGGCAACGTCTATAAGCTCCCGTAAACTCCAGTCAGATGAATAAGGGTGTCGGTGCCTGTTGAGATAGGTCCAGGCACCGGGGTATCATTAAGATCTTTGGCGAAAGGTAGTACACCTTTCTATGCAAAAACGCCAAGCTTGGAGTAAAGTCCAGCAGAATATTATGGCGGCAGTACTGGCACGTGCGCAAGGTAGGGTCGACAGTCATAGCAGTACCGCTTAGAAAGTGCTCCAGTTCCAGTCGCGAGGAACGCTCATGGCGACTTCGGCACGGGCTTTTGGCGTTGGGCCTCCCTTCATGCCGACAGGACTAGCAAAAAGCGGGCTGGTTGGTGCCGTCGCAGCGCCGTGCCCATGAATGACAGAGGACTCCTCGCTGGATGCCTGACTGTTGGTCCGGCTGCGCCAAGCCTTGAAACCAGAGTAGCAGTGGAAGCAGGCACGGCTCGCGGTGCCACGCGGGTTGTAGTTGGCATCCTGGTCAAGCGGCACGTCGAAATTGGAGTGTGAATCGCAAAAGATGTTGCCACACTTGCGGCAGTGATGCCGCCTGGTAAAGTAGTTGAAATGGCGCATGCAGGCAGGCTCATCGCAGATGGTCGCCTCTGTGTCGTGCTGTTGGGGGGACAAGTCAGTACAAGTGAGATCAGCTGCTAGTGCCGTAATCTTCAGCTTACCTTCCAGTGCTCACGCGTGGGCGCTGCCGTAGGCTTCGGGAAAGCATCAAGGTTGAAATCCTCATCCTCGTCATCATCAGGCAAGCATTTGCCGCTGTCGTTGGTCTGGCGACGGGTAATCCGCCCAAAAGCCCCGAGCCCGCTCAGGGTGAGGAAGCTGCTGTTGTTTGACGGGGTGGGCGAGCCATTGTCGTCGTCGGCTTTGCGCTGGGCTGCCCTGGACGAGTATTCATTTGGTCTCAGGACAGCGGGCATGTACATCGGCCGTGTGCGTTGAGCATGGTGCGACATGGGAGACGTTGCCGTGGGCGAGCCGTTGTTGGAGGTGTTGAGGGGCGAGACTTGTTGTGAGGAGCGGTCTGCCTGCTGGGGACGGACAGGAGAGTCCGAGTTCGTCCTCCGCGGCTGCTGTCGTTGTTGGAGCTGCTGCTGCGGCTGCGGTCTAAACTCATGATGGTGATAGAAGGGAGCCTTTTGCTGCAGAGGGTCGGGCAGCGTTGGCATTATGAAGTCGGCAGCCATCGTGTCGTGGGTGTTGGGCGTGGGAGGTGAGGTCTCGTGACGAGAGGCGCAGGGCGGGCAGGTGGTGCGGAAGTCTGCGATAGGCGTGACCAGCGAGGGTGCGGTAGCGAAGAGCGTGGTCGTCGAGAGCCGTAGTCTGGGAGACGGGGCTTAAGCCGCTGAAGAAGGGCAGCAGAAGAGGTGGGAGAGGAGGCGACGAAGAGCGAGTCGTGAGAGTGGGATCTGGATTATGTTCCAGTGGAGAGCAGTCGCATGGGCGTGCGGATGCGCCGTTACGTACATGGCATGGCAGGCCCAGTGGGCAGCAGCGGCGGCGGGCAGCATCAGCAGCCAGCCAGGCGCGACCAGGCCAAGGAAAGCGACCGAGTGCCATCCCAAGGATCCGCTAGCAGCCAGAGCTGGTGGGGTACAGGCGGCCTGGACGACTCGCACGTCGCGAGGGTGCCCGGCACCTATGCCTCTCGGCCACATAATCCACGGCGCACCATTGGCTCTGCGCACCATGCCGGGATCCATCGCTTTCCCATCTGGGCCAGGCGCGGTGTCCACCACCGCCCCACTGCACTGGCTGGTTGCGCTGGGGACCCACTTATGCGATGCCTGCTCCAGGGTCCTCCGACGGCCGCCTCCAGCCGGCCCACTCGACGTCTCTGTCCTGTCTTCCAAGGTTGTCTTTCTCCAGTCTCCAGTCTCTCGTCTCCAGTCTCCAACCCTCTCCAGTGGGCTCTGCCAGAGCATGTATGTTACCGATGCAGGCGCCGCCGCACAGACACTCTTCCCTGCTCCATCCTGCTGCCAGCTCGTTCTTCGCCTCCTGCCTCGTGTCGCGTGCCCGCCTTCTGCCACTCCACTGCCAACTGCCTTTTGTCAGAGACGGAACGCGGAATGGTGGTCAACCATGGCGGGCGCTTCCCCAACGCCCTTTCCGTCAAGGTGCGGTGTCCCCATGCAAGCCAACGGAGGCTGCCACAGCTTTTCGTGTCTCAGCGGCACAGCACCCATCGGGGGTGGAAGCATCCCTGCATCGCATGTCGGTTGGGTGTGTGGTGTGCGCCGCCCAGCCATGATGTGCAGCTCAGCCGAAGCACACCGACTGCCTTCAAGCCGCCAGTCCCGTCAATTGGCAAGTCAAATCGTGCAACAATGCGGACCAACTGCCGTCACCACTGAGCTAGTACATTCAGGACCAGGCACCAAGCTCTGCCAGCCGATTCGAAAGCATATGTCCTCGAAGGCTTGATCGGAGCACTCCTGTGCCGTATCCACCCTTCAACCGCCCGCCGTGGGGTCTTTTGCATATGCCCAGCCTCTTTCCTCTGGGAGACGACATGCTGGGACCGAGCAGGGATTCTGCTGCTGCAGCCGCCCATGCTCTAGCGGGGTATTTGCAGCGTGCGTGCCTTCGTCATATTGGCGGGCAGTAAGCTCCCTTTGATGCGTGCCATCATTCCAGACCCGAATGCATGGCCAAGCATTTCAAGAGCAGTTGGCGATGGACGGGCCCAGAAGCCCTGTGTTCTTTTTCTCATATCGGTTTCATTCGCACGGCTTGACATGCCTGCGCGTGCCAACTATGCCGTCTTGCGTTGTCGATGCGACCACGGGACGATTGGCGACGTTTGCAGAAATGTGCGGCCTTCAAGACCTCGGTCGCAATGACGACAATGAGCAACCTTGGCTGGTAATGAGCAACCCTCCTAGCGCGATCAAATCGGCCAGTGAGGCAGTGATTGCCAGAATCATCCTAACTCGGGGGATCTTGAAGGCGATGATAGACGGCTAGGACGGGACGAGTCAGTCTTCTACAGCAATCCCTGGAGTTGTCGAGTGCCTCAGCATCCACACTTTGGACAAGGGCTGCCAATCACACCAATTCAAACGCTTCTGTGTTCCTAAAAGATCTGCCGCTACTCGAAACCCCGGCTGCCCCATCAAGCGACAGGTAGAGCGTGCAGCTGAGCCAGCACGAGAGTTCGGACTTGCATCTCGATCCCCTCCATCCGAGTAGCTCCTGTACGTCAGAATGCTTCGTCGCTCAAAGCACCAAATGTAGCAAATTGCCAAAGCGGACGAAGAGACTGCTTCAACTCTGACCTCATAACGACATCTTGAAGGCTCACTTCACACACCTCGTCGTGAGACTATTGCAGCGATCGACCGATGGGCTATTCAGCATCGCGATGGTTTTGACGCGCATGCTCATAGGGCTCGAGACACGCTTGTTCAAAGCACAGAACCTTGGAAAACCAGGTACGTGGGCTTGCCATAGGCCTGAGCATATCTGCCAGACCCAGCTATTCAGCCCACCTTTGGAGGCACACCTTTGGAGGCATTTCGAATTTGGAGACACGACAAGCTCGAGCTGGGGCCGATCCCGCATCGGACAAGATAGAACAGACAAATGCAGACTCTTGTCCCCGCCAACAGGATCATCACCAACCTAGAGGGGAACCAAGACCCAAGGCCCAGAAGATGGGTCATGATTGGTGGACCCGATGGTGATCACGCATGCACCCTTATCTTCTGTGGAGTTGTGATTGGCTGCTGCGTTGATGCAGTCTCGTCGCCAGGAGCATGTCTGGCAAAGGTACACTGCCGAGCACTGCTTCGTGTGGAGGACAAGAAGTCGACTCCAGGACCTGGAGATCATGGTTGGTGTCATCTGGCCCTGCCTGCCAACTACCGGTGACTTTGCCGTGAACCGAGCGACGTGCCTGCGGCGAGAAGTACATGTAACTGCTCCGGAAGGAGTCGGCAAAGTGCCAATCAAATGCTCCTCGGAGATGTCGGCTAGCAACAGCCCTGGGCGGCAGCGGAAAGCAACGCGCTCGCGAGAGAGGCTGCCCCACCAGCAAAGAGCCGATGGCCCGGGGGACAGAGCCACAGACTCAGAACAAAGGTTGAACCAACACCGTCGTGCCGCTTGTTACGTCTCTGTTCCATCTCGACAGCTTGCAACGCGCCGAGCTGAGTCTGAGGTTGTTGTGGCCTGGTGGGTTGGGTCTCACGCATTATGGTGGGATCCGCAGAGGCGAGAAGCGGGACTTGCAAGCAAGCTGTCACAAAATGCAGTCAGGCCCTTCTCGAAACGGCCCAGGGCTGCTTATCATGGCGAGCTGATTGGGCAGAAAGGAGGAGGCGGCCATGCAGAGCTTGAGAGAGGCTAATGTGGCTAGCCAGAATTAGCATGCATTGGCTCCCGCCGCAGTGGGCCGCTGCCTTGCAGGGGCCATGGGCATGGGCATGGGCATGGGCCTGGGGACTCGGGGTTGGGCAGCACAGCCTGACGCACATCGGCACTCGCAGGCATGGGATGGATAGGCACTCTGTTGCGTGGCCCTGTGTGAGGCAAGAAAGTCTTCGGGCCTGCCGACACTGCCAGCGGACGGCGGCCGACGTCAATACTGGAACACGGCCACGCTACTTGCATTCGCCCCTCGGGAGGGCATGGCCCGCATCTCCAAATACGTCGGTACCTCCCTAAAGGCACAGCGCCTGGCAGGGCAATAGAGAACTGTCCTCTGCTCATTCGTCCCGGCGGCGGCTGGTGTGCAGTTGAGTCCTGTCCTCGCGCTACATCGTTGTTGTTATTGTTGTTGCGTGCTGTGGAGCATGGCCTATGCCCCTCCAAAGATGAGATTTGGAACAAGAGAAAGTCGGCGCATTACCCCAGCTGAGGGCGCCAATTCTTCAGCATGAGCGCGTCGATTATTCCTCAGCTCCTTAGCCCACCTCCCGCAACGACCTGCCCCATTCTGCAGCCGGCCTGCCCTGGGCCTTTTCTACGTAGTCGGCCCTGCCGCGTTGCTCTTACGTGATGGCCCGGCCTTTCTTCACATGGCATTTCTAGCGCCCGACGATACCCACGCCGCTATGCCAAACGCGCCGCTCGCTCGCCCGGCCTTCCCTGAGTTGCCGACCGACCGCGGGCGGCCTTTTCTCAACAACTGTCAGCCTGTCCCTCAGCAACGCTCGGCAACAATGACTGAGGGCCTGTCCCTGTCCCCTCGAGTCCAAAAGGACGCGGCCGGAGCTCCGTTCCTTCGATCGGCTCCTTCTAGAACTGCGACTATGCTGCATTCCGCAGACCGAGGCCGCCTACGCCTGACACGGATAGGGCCGACCATCACATAGCCGCAACTACGCGCGCCTTCCGCTACGCTGCGTAACGAGCAGAAGCCTCTCCTTGTTGCCGGACCCGGTCCATGAGCATACTGGGCCAGGCGCTGCTGTACCGTACAACACGGGCCCTTGAACAACACGTAACGTGGACCACACAAGCCAACTCCACCACCGCCGCGCCAAGCATCGTGAAGTGGACCCAGCAGCAAAAGCGGAGGCAAAAAGGGAGGCGTGACACTCGACGTGCATATTGAACGAGGGGTTCCAGACCTGGGCCCCCCGCCGTTGCATTTCGACGGCAGACTGCTCATCTCGTTTCCCTCGTCTCCCAGACTCCAGCGCGTACGCGAGTGTGAGCTCGTAGATCTCGTCTCTGGTCCCACTCACGACGCGCGGAGGGCGGAGGGCGAAACGGTGGCAGCGGAATTGGCCCGGCTGTGTACTCTCAACAGCCTTGACAATCTCCTGAAAGCTTCCGCGGCCGTGGATCTTCATTTCGAGATGCGCATGCAGTTGCCAGCCACGCTAACTGAGGCAGTTGTTCACTTGTCCACCTTCATTCCAGAGGTCAGGTGGACTGGAGCGTATGTTCCGCTGACTGGACCCCTGGTTTTGCTGTCGGAGCTTCCTCCGCTGGACCGATCTCTCTCCAATCTCCACTCGGTCTCAGGCGAAAACCTCCCATCACGGAGGCCGCCTCGCTCGGGGTAGTCGTGGCGACGAGAGGCCACGCACCCGTAGGCTCAGATATGCAAAACACGCACTGGGCCTTGCAACGACGAACAGTATCGTCGCTCTCTCTCTCTTGTGCAAAGTCCCCTGAAATGATACCCTCGTCTTTAATGGAGACCAGAATTTGAACTTGGTTTGGAGCTTTTTTATATATTTTATGTTGTTGTTGTTGTTGTTGCCAAGCTTGGTGTCTTGAACGGCTGGCTCGCTCGCCTTCCTCGCGCAACAATACAGGTCACTGTGTCTGTGGACCACACCGTCTCCATCCATGGCACGTGAAAAGAGGACGATAATTCAGCTTCTTCCCCTTGGCTCTCTGACTGTATATGCTGTGGCGAGAGTTTGTCGACAACAGTTTGCATGCATGCATTTGCACACGACAACGAGAGAGAGAGAGAGAGAGAGAGTGTGTGTGTGGGAGCTCCCTGGGCTTTTTGTGTAAGAAAAGCCGACTTTGTCCGATGGGCTGGGTTCGGCAAACGAATAACTCGACATGAATCCCTCAGCTGGGCGAAGGGGAGGCATTCGCCGCTCTATTGTCTTGTAGGTTCAGATATCACTGAGGTTTATGAGAAAGCCAGCGGCTTATTTGTTTTTGATCTGCAGACGGCACTTGTAAACCGGTTGGTCAAGTATGTATGTGTCATCATCATGCAGGAGCTCGATATTTCTCGAGTCATGGTCAAGACAAAACTCTCCTAAAGCCGATTTTATTTCTTGGTGCTTACACAAGCATACAGCCTGAGTATATGATGCAATAATCCAGTTTCATTCCTCGCCAACTCGCGAGGGTTGTCCTCCGACTTCACCCTCAACCCAAGCCCCGCTTTTGCCGCCTTCTTTAAGCACGACACGGAGACCCTCTATCCGCATCCCCTTATCCACGGCCTTGCACATGTCGTACACGGTCAGCGCGGCCACCGACGCCGCAGTGAGAGCCTCCATCTCCACGCCCGTCTTGCCCTCGCATCCGACCGTGGCTTGGATGTCGATGCTCCCGTACCTGCTCTCGGAGATGTTGTTGCTGCTGCTGCTAGCACTGCCATCGCCCTCGCCCTCGGTCTCGCCGTGGTCGTTGACGACAAGATCCACGGCGACCTTTGTGATGGCGATCGGGTGGCACAGCGGGATCAGGTCGGCCGTGCGCTTGGACGCCATGATCCCCGCCACGCGGGCCACGCCCAGCACGTCACCCTTCTTGTTCTGGTTGTCCCGGATCAGCCGGGTGGCCGTCTCGTTGGTGAAGACGACGCGGCACCGGGCCTTGGCGACGCGCCGAGTGGGCTGCTTGTCGGCGATCGAAACCATGTGTGCTGAGCCGCTGGCCGAGACGTGCGTGAGCTTCGGCCCTCCGGCCGGTGGCGACGATGCGCGGGGCTTATTGCTACTGTTGTTGTTGCTGCTGCTGCTGCTGTCCTCGTTGTGTAAAGGCCTTGTCGTTGAAAAGAGGCGGGCGAGGCGTTGTGAGGACCGGGAGTTGTTGATGTGGCTCAAAGGGAGGGCCATTGAGCGGGAGTTGTGGCCCTTTGGTAGCCATGATGGAGAGAATGCGTTTATTGTCAGTGGCTCTTGGTGATTATGAAGGCTTTGTGTTGATTGTCTTTGTGATTGTCGATGCCATGCTGGCAGCACAGACTGGGGATCTGCTGTGAATGCATTCAGTCGGGAATTCCTGTGGCTCCGGATTGCGAGCACGCGCGGTGCCCTGTTCCGAGAACCCTTCCGGACGAACAAATAACGTCATTGCATAATGATGACGCTTCCATGCCGGCGAATGGCCCTCGGAGCCACTATGGCCGCCAAAATGACCAGCATGCAACGCGTCACGCGGCAAAGCTGTGCCAAGCGGAGCGCGAGGGAGATAGGGTGGGAATCTTCACCCACCTATCAGGATCATGGGCCGGTTCTTCATGTGCTCAAGCTCGCCGATGCCCGCATGCTTCTCCTTCTTCCGCTTCACTGCGAGACCAATCGTCTCAAGCAGCTTTGCTTCGCTGGATGCCAGCTTGTCCAGGACAGGCTGGCCAAGGAGACCCTGCGCCCTGTCCCGCTCGCTCGCTTTCATGGCCTCGTATATGATTTCGTCGATGGGCTCTCCACCATTCGACTCCCTCAAAATGTCCCTCAGCGACACCTCGGCGTTGCCAAACAAGCACACCTTGAGGTTGCCGTCAGTCGTGATCCGAAGGCGGTTACATGTCCCGCAGAAGTTGTGCGTCATGCTTGTGATGAAGCCTATGCGGCCCTCAAAACCCGGGATCTTCCACGTCTTGCTCGTGTCGTTCTTGTGGTCGACGACTTTTTGCAATGTGGGATGCTCCGCGCGGATCAGCTCGAGCATCTCGTCGTAGCTGAACATCTTGCCCTTGTTCCACTTGTTGCCGTCAAAGGGCATGTACTCGATGAATCGGACCTCGACGTTGTTCTCGCGGGTCATCTCGATGAACGGCAGGATCTCGCGGTCATTGACGCCACGCATCACGACGCAGTTGATCTTGAGCCGGATGCCCGCGCCGTGCTTGTTCAGCTCGTGGACCCTGTCGATGCTCTTCATGACCGCGTCGAAGCCCTTGCGCCGCGTCATGATCTGGAACTGCCACGGGTCCAGGGTGTCGAGGCTCAGATTAACTCCAGTCAGGCCGGCCTCAACCATGGACTCGAGCTTGCGGTGGAGCGCAATGCCGTTGGTGGTCAAGCACAATTCGCGCAGGCCCCGAGACCGGAGGGCGCCGAGCTGGTGCATCAGGGGCAGGATGTCAGGCCTGACTGTGGGCTCGCCGCCGGTGAGGCGGATCTTGTTGACGCCCTGGGACACGAAGACGGACGAGAGCATCACGATCTCTGGGGTGGTGAGCAGCTCGCGGGGGGGCGAGAGGGGCACGCCCTCCTCGGGCATGCAGTAGACACATCGCAGGTTGCAGCGCTCGGTCAGCGAGATGCGGAGGTAGTCGTGCTGCCGGTTGTAGTTGTCCGTGAGGAAGTCTGAGAACGGCCGGGCTGTGCGCAGGCGCTCGCGGCGCGGCCGGGACACGGACAGGTCTGGCACGGCCGCAGGCACCGAGGCCAGGTCACCGGGCTCTGTGATGGGCGCGGCGCACGATGTGCCCAGGAAGCTTCGCAGTGAGGGCAATCTGCGAGAGAGGCCCTGAGTGGCCACGGGCCTCGCAAAGGCCCTGCTGGCGCTGATGGACATTGTGACGGGAGCTCGAACGGCCTCGACGTGCTAGCACTTGGAAGATGGGAGGGGCAGGTTCACAAGATCGCCGCCCGAGACATGGTCATAGAGCCTGGCGACAACAACGGGGACGTCGAAGGATAGTGGGGATATGCGAAGCTGCCGGCGTGAGACTGAGATCCAGATGGTAAGCTAAGGAGGAGGTGAGTTGAGCACAGGATCGCACCATTTGTTTGGAAGGCGCAGTAATGAGTTCTCTCCTCTCTTTAAGTTGCCACAATTCAGCTGATGCAAGCATGAAGTTTGGCCCCCCGAAAGCAGCCGCGCAATCCGGCGGCTGCCGTGCGGGACCCACGTTACGAGGAGGGGTAGCCCCGGCCGCGGCGTCGCTGACTGAGCCGTCCGCAGTTGCCCCGGCCCGCCGGCTGTCGTTGTTGGGATCCGGCACGGCAGGCGCGACAGTGCACCACTCACTGCAGGGCCAAAAGACGCGCGACGCGCTTTCCCAAGTGTACCTTACTCAGGGCAAAAGCCTTAGCAATCCCACCCCAGGCGGCCAGTAGGCACAGATCCGGAGGGTCCTCCGATGTGCTTCTTCGGATCAACCCAGTGGATCAGTCACCAGCCGGTTTGGATTCAAACCAAGTCTTCTCGCGACGTGTGCGCCACAACCAAACACGACGCCCAGAAAGGGCACGATGTTGTACTCGAGAGTCTTGAAAGGTACCCGCACTCCACTTCCCAGCTACCTCGGGCGCTTGTTCCGACACGTTGCATGTCTAATGCAGATATGCAGGCTCTCCTCATTGTCTTCCTAGTCCCGATGGCAACTCCATCGCGGCGCTCCTCGCCTCCGCCATCGCCATAAGAGAGGTGCAGACATTACAAGTCACCAACACCATCAAGTTGCCTGCCGGCCTGTCTGGGGGCGTTGTGGCATTCTCATGGGCTCCTTCAGCCACGAGAATACTTGTTGCCGTGGTTGACCAGGTGCACGTCTTTTCAACCATCCCCGGCGACAGTTATCACGCGGTCATTCGACTGGCCACGTCGAGTGTTGCAAAGCCGACATTGGTCACGTTCGGAGCCGCCGATGACGAGGTCCTTGTTTTCTCCACGCATGGAATCAAGCTCTCCATCTTCAACTTGTCATCTTCGACGACAATAGAGATAGCAAACCCAAAGTTCTACACGGCACCCGCAGCGGCTCGTGGGCACTGCATTCGACCCAAGAGCAATCACTTGGCCTTGCTGACTCGCAATGCAGGCAAGGATATGATCAGCATTCATCCCCCCCGGTCCCGAGAGCTCATGAGGTCCTGGACGGTAGAGACCATTGATGCGCAAGGCCTAACGTGGACCCCCGATGGCAACTGGCTCCTAGTCTGGGAATCTGCAGCTCACGGTCATAGGCTGCTATACTACACTCCAGATGGACACCTATTCAATGAATGGCACGGGCCAAAGCCTGGACCTGGAGACGTTGATTTGCATCTAGGTGCTGGCATCGGGCACCTTAAGCTGGGTGCTGTTGGCGAGCTCATCGCCATTTCGGACAGCTCTCGAGCAGTCACAGTCTTGAGCACATCCACCATGGCCGAGAAAGCCAGGCTCACGCATACGGACGATATTCGCCCTTCAGAGACGCTGCAAGTCTGGCAAGAGCAATCAGTCACACAGACAGAGCAAGCCGGGCCAATATTTGCAAAGGCAACTCAGACAGTCGCCCCTCCCGGCGGCTCTGTTTCTGGATCGTCTGACGCCAAGTCTGGATGCAATCTCATAGCTTTCGATTGCTCGTGCACGCTCCTAGTCACACGCTTGGCCGCTGCACCCAGCACGTTGTGGATATGGGACATTCCCAATGCAGAGCTCCGGGCGGTTCTGGTATATCACTCTGATGTGGTGCAAGTCCAGTGGCACCCAACACAGGCGGAATTGTTATTGATACGTTGCGAAGCGGCTGCATTGGGCACGATATTCGTCTGGGATCCCCTCAGTCAAGGTCCTCGTACTCTTGGCATTGAATCTCGCCTGAAGCTTCGCAAGATCACTGGGAAATTACAAGTCAGGTGGCTCGATCGAGCAGATGAATTGGCATCTGTTTTCTATGCCGACGACTCGTCCTTTGGCTTGTGCCTACTGGCAGACAACGACTCTGATTTGGCTGAGTGGTTTCCGCAGGGTCAAGAAGATCAGGACTCATTTCTGTCTCTGGCTGGTTCAGATAGACGAAACGGCACTGCTTCACTGCTTGAAGACTTCGACGACGATCATAGCGACATGGAGGACACATTCCACTTCAAGAGAACATAATAACCTACTCGAGCCGATGGTGGAATATGCTCTCGTTCCAGGGTCCCCGTATCGTGGTACATGAGCCACAGGCTGGATATGCACAAACTCATGCTTATACGTTAACTGCATATCGCTGCGGTGAAATCGTGGCGAGTCCGACATTCGGCGGACCCAAACACGATGAAAATGCCAAGCTGCAAGTCTGCTTGATTGCGGGCCTCCATGGCTCCGTAATGATTAGGTCACCCTTCAGCTGCCGGTAAGCCTCGACTTGAGCGCTTGAGACATAACTGGACGCCAAGTTCTGCGAGTCTTAACAGTGACTGCTCAAAGGCATGAGTTGTGATGCAGGTCGACCAACTCCGCGTACAGGCGATAAATGCACCGCTGTATGCATACCTTAGGTAGCCAAGCGAAAGCCGGGCAACGGCTCACAGAAAGCCTTGCACAGCGCCAATGCATGGGAAGGGTGTAGAGGTCCTGCATTCAGTCAGCTGCAGGATACCCGGTACCCGGTCACGCCATGCGGCAGGTAGTGCGGATATGGACCCTGTCTCGCAATGCAGGGAATGGCACATTCCCGTCTTAGTGGAGCTCACCCAGCACGACTCGATAGACCACGACTGTACAGCTGCGCACCCGGCGTCAATCTAGACCAGCATAGGTTGGCACTGGCCCCCAATCCGAGAGGCCACGGCTACAATGCCATCATGACCCAAGCGCGTACCGCACCTATGGACCCAGATGACCTTGGGAGATCTATCCATGATCGAGGGCGACCCGGTCAAATCGTGTTCGGGAACCGGCAGCCCTGCAATACAACGTCAGCACCAGCTGCCGCAGCAGGGGTTTGTTACCAAGACCGAGTGCGTCAAGAGAGCCTGGGCCCGCTCAAGGTTATCTCGCGACTTCAACGTGGCGGGTGTCTTAGACAAGGCCACGAGGCGCCAGCGTTGATTCGATCCGTTCGTCAACGGCTGTATCCACGCAAGTAACGTGAGAGGGATGGCTCGTCATTGTCAGTCAGAGCTGACACTATAGAACGCTGTTTTGCGGAGAGGGGAGCACTTTCTGAAATCATGCATCCCCGAGAATTCTTCATGGCCATCTTTAATAGTGAGCATGGTACCAGACCGTTCTTTGACGTGAGTCTTGATCGGGTGGCCATACCAGACTCCCCAGGGTCACGGAACCAGCCCTGCTCTAGGCTTAGTAGGAGTCACGGCTCTGATGTGATGTATCATTGGCTGCCGTCATGCAGATTGGCCTTGACGAGGATCATTTTCAGCCGCCCGCTACGGAAGAAGACTGGCCGGGACTGGAGGTGCAGGGGTGCAAGGAGTCCTCATACAGCGAGCTTCTTGTTCGCGTATACAAATTGTCCTGCCGCACAGCACTTTTTGACCCGACCCAGACTCCAATACGAAGTGCACAACATCGAAATATTCTGATCGCCTGACTAGTACAACATAAAGGCCACAAATGCCACCGAGCGCCAACAGTGTCTTGAATCAGACCTCAGGAACGCTCGCGCTGCGCTGTTCGTAATGTCACTCCCACGACAAACCCCTATCAATGGGACCTATCAGAAACGGGTTCCGCCTGGAAGTCAAACGAATCTGTACCACATTCTACTTTCAAATGTGAGTCATGAAGCAACACCGCACACATTCCATCGCATCAAGCATTACGTGCAGCTGTTGACCGTGTTTCACAGCTCCCCTGGCAAACTTCATGGCAACAACTCAAAGACCACGTGAGAGGAGTTTGTCCAGTTGAGAGAGTCGAAGTATTCAATGAGAGCACCACCGGCTGGGTTAGCGTCCGGGGTCGCGACAACTTCGAGGCAGCATTTAGTAGTTTCTTGTGCCTCGTCACTGCTTTCCTGTGCACATGCTAACAAAACCGGGTGTACAAGACTTACTCAACGGCGGCATCTTTAATGGTCGACCGCTGTTCGCCGATGGCAAGAACGCAACCGCTCCAGTAATGATCAAAGAGCCTGTCGAGGCCACCACGCAGGCACACAGGCATGCACCCTCAGAATCAAAGCAGACACGTCGATCATCACCAGCCTCGTCCCGCTATCAGGATGCTGCACCAGCAGTCATGCCGCCATTAACCCCTGTTCCAGACCAAGTACAATTTTCCTCATGGCCCCACGCCATACAGTTTGCACACACTAACCTCGCGACAGTGGTTTTTCATGAGTCCGTCTTGTGCTGTGGCCCCCCCAACGAGCGACTTCCCGTCGCATTCAAGCATGCAGGATACAATTTACGGCTATGGAAGCCCACCAGGATTCCAACCAGTGTTGGACAAGGCTGGCAGCAGACATCGGAGCACACAACATGCCTGGCCGGTGAGAATATCAGACCATCCCACAGATTCGTATTATGTCCCAATCCAACAATCACAACCTGCTTTGCACTCGAAGCTCAACCGGCAGCTCGGGTACGAGGCAGAGTTGCCTGCAAGCGACCACAGCGCCGTGCCAGACCTCATCCATCAGTATCCTGCGGGGCATAGGGTCATCATCCGTCACATCGCCCCCCACGTTACATATGGCGAATTCGATCACCTCTTGCGCCACAAGATTGGCCGTGATGTCGATAGTATTGTTCAGCTGGAGCTACCCATCTCAGAAAGTTATGATTCTAACAGCGGCTATGCTGTGGCGACCTTCCACAGCGAGGGAGCTGCCGTCCGGGCAGTCAGGAAGTTCCATGGTGCCAAGTTCGAGAACAGACTATTGAAAGCTGAGCTTGTGATCGAAGGTGTTGCACAAAACAACAGCCAGCGGTCAATGGGTTCGCGCAAGCCCGCGCGAGGGGACAAGGAGAAGACCCGCCTGACAAGCGCCCACAACGAGAACAACAGCTATAACAAGAAGACTCGATCCTCCCCGAAATCCGGAATCATCATTGCGAATGGATCCTCATCAACTCGGAGCACACATCAAAAGCTATAAACAATCCATAAGACCGGCTGCACACAGCACGCGGGAATGAGAGATGAACTTTTTCGGTACTTAGGGCCCCTCATTTGTTATGCGGACGCCTCAACTTCTGAATAATCCAGGGATTAGGTCTCAAAGCATGGATCCTCGACTATGGTCTCGTAGCAAATCATATTCCCCCCCGTCACCTACCATGCCGTGATGATCGACTTAACTGCACCCTTTGTGAGGCGCAACACAATGATATCACGCGCACGCACACACACACGTGTCCTCTCTTGTATGTCTTCTGTTCCCCCTGAGGCCCTTGTGTAAGTCAGATCATACTTCCTGAGCACTGGCGGCTTGCGGTTCACTAGAGCCCAAAAGTTCCTGTGCAGGCGTTCGCCTGACAGGAGAAGGATTGAGCGCCGAGCCAGAACCATAACATGACGTGTCAGATACTGCGCAAACGGACGCGGGCCTGACCTTGCAGGGGAGGGAGGCTCGATACCCCGGAATTGACATGAAGAGACAATAGCTGCCAACCCAAATTGGGACCTAGTGGAGCAACACATGCAGGCAAGATCCCCCGGAGCAAGGATGTTGGAATCGACTTGGCCACGCCACTCAAGGAGTGGCTCTATCTGCCTGCGAGTATGGTTTGGACAACCCTGTAGGTGCAGGCGGAAAAGCAAAGAACAAGCATGGTTTTCTACAGTAGCCAAGTTCTCCGGTCCGTAAGTCGACCAGTCTCCAATTTTCACTCTACTTCTATCACGGGTTTCTTGCTAGTGCCGTCTTCCATTCTCATCTCTATGGTCAAGCTGGCGGAAACAGCTCCGAACTATTGCTGTGCACCGGGGGCACAGCCGATCCAGGATGAAATAGCCAAGGCAATTCTCCAGCGGTCAGAAACATGAAGCTGTGTAACGCCCGAAACGTCCTGGCCACCCGGCAAATGCTCCATGCATCCCCGGAGACCTCTCGCCCATTCGGTTACGACACCCGCTGCACATTGGCATGAGACCTACAGCTGAACGTGCTCCATACGGCTGCTTCCGCTCCCAAGCCTCCTGTACACACCAGGAAGAGAAGGTGTGTTGGACAGGCCGGTGAGAATCTCCCGACTTTTTTTTTTTTTTTTTTTTGATCTCCCCCGTTGACTCTGCGGCTGCTTGCCATTGCATGCAAGAGGAAGTGAGCTGCAATCCAGGATCAGTAAGTGCCTTAGCACGTAACAAGTGTCTCTTGTGTCTCTGCGCCTTCTTTCGCTGCCACGACCGTGGACGACATTCTTCCCCGGTCGACCCTTGGAAACGTACTGAGCCGGGGGCCCCGTGTCGTGAACATGGGATCTGGTTGGAAACCATCCAAGCCCGAGTAACTAAATTGATGCCTGATTTGACAGACAAGTGGCTGCCTTCAAAATGGCAACAAGTATACCAGCTGGCTGCGGTACGCGACCATTGGCCGCGCCAGTTGGGAATAGCGTGGCGTGCTGCGAGACGGCCTTTCAGCTGGCGAATCCTATCCGGCGATGCCCGTCGCCTCTTCAGATGGAAACCTTGCGACTTCCTACAACTCTGGCCGTAGTTGGATGGCCTCGGACAGAACGATATTCGGGTGCTTTTCAACATGGGCGGCAACAACAGAGGAGACGGCCCGAGAATGGCTTGACCTACTGACGGATAGCCGTGTACCGAAACGGGAAAACTCTTCGGGCATGACGCATGGCTGCCGGATGTCTGCAGAATGTTGGTCAACACAAGAGAGTATCGTCGCTATTTTTCCTGGTAGCACTATTGTGCGCATCTGCTGCAAATGGACAAACGTTGCGAGCCCCAATCATCTCAACAGGACCAGACCTGCACACGTCTCTGCCAAGATGGCAGGCATTTCATCATGGATACTCGCAGGCTGTCTTCGTGGTGGTTGGGGGCAAGGGCGTCGCGCGATGCATAGACCGAGACCCCCCCCTGAATGCTGCATCTCCACGCTCTTCCGCGAACCGGGATGGGCTGGACTGGCATGCAGTGCCGGAGACTTCGTGCACATCGGGGGCCGAGAGCGGCATCGTTTTGCGGACCAGGCCATTCAGCGAACTCCCCGCATCCTATGCAGCCCAGCTCGACGAACATGAACAGCTGACTGCCTTCGTTTGGCACCAGCCCCCATCTGTGGCCTTGTCACGTCAGCCTTCGGCTGATTCCGTCGCTCGGGAGTGGAGGGGGGCGCGGCAACAGCCGCCTTTCTGCGGCTCCTTGTCACCGGATCGCCTCGCCTCGAGATATAGTGGTGAGCCTGCGGCGCCAAATAACTGGAGTCTCACCATGCCATGCCATGCCAAGGTGCAAAGTCCCTATCCCAAACCTCGACATGCCACCACGTTGCCATGATAGGGCCTGTTTCAAGGCCCCTTGTGCAGGATGCATGTCTCTTGTCGTGGCTCTGCTTGATGAGGCTCCTCCCTCCAGCGTCGCATGCGTCTACCGGTGAGAAGAAGCGACCAGCCTCCTACTACTATACGTGGCTTCTGAGACTCGGGCCCCTGGGAGATTGCAGGCGCGCCGGGGGTGACTTGACCGCTGTGCATATCATTGCCTGCTGCTGCTGCCGCCGCCGGGGCGTCCGCGTGACGGACAGATGAGGCTGACCGAGGGCGTCACAGGTTTTGGGACTTTGCAAGCATGGCGGCTGCATCTTGCGGCATATGCCGGAGAGAGAGAGAGACACACACACAACACGGTGCCTGCGTCTATCATGCATATAATTGTGGCGTTCCGATGTTCTGAGGCACATGTATCAAGAGATATTGGGCTGCCGGAGAGCTGCAGAGAGCCGCTGTCACAAGGGGTGGCCAGGGGAGAGCTGCCGTTGCTGCCGCCCGCCGCCCATGCTTGTCTTTTTCGTTATACCAATCTTCTGCGGGATGTGTGCTCCGGTTAGACGGGCACCAGCAGCAGGGGCGGCCGTTGTGAACAGCGGACGTTGTTGTATTGCCCCCCCCCCCCCCCCCCACCTCCCTCTTTCCCTCGCCTCCATGTCTGTCATCACAGGACAGACACATGTCACAACAGGAACACGGCCTGGACAGTGACGTGGATCCTAAAAAGGGGGGAAACGGACACACATATGCAGGTCTTGCTTGAAGATTACATATCTTACAGTCCCGGCCTTGATTTACTTGGCACACGTTGCTGCAGAGTATCGGATCAACACCTGGATCTGGTAAACTCCTGACCACATGGCATGGGCGTTCTGCACTCGATATCACTTCTCTCTCTCGCGGGGGGCGTACGCGTAGGGTCCCTCCCTCGATGCTTGGGCTTTGCGCAAAGGAAAGTCCCGGGAAAAAAGTTCCCGAACGAAAAGTTCCGAACTAAATATATTGGAAGGCGGGGGGGGGGGGGGGGGGGGGTCAGTCTACCAACTACCAAGGCAGGGAGGGGGTATACTTTGTTGTTTGTGCCGATAAGAACGACGACGTCGTCGTCGTCCCACAAAGTTGGTCATGGTTGCTCGCCTTTTTACAGCAGTAGTGAACGTGGAAGGGTTTTTCTTTTCTGCAATGGCCCGGCAAAGTGCATGTCCGCCCAAGGAATATCGACTTAGTTTGCATATCCATTAATGCAAATGCTGAGGAACGTCTCATGTCAGGTCTGAGCACATAGGTCGGGGTGGTGGCAGATGATGTTCTTTTGGCTTGTAAGCTTCAGACTGGTTTCTTGTCCACTGTCTATTCGAAGCTGCATGGCGCTGCAGCATTACTGTTGAACGGTGCTCAATCGTCAAAATTTCGTTATTGCTATTGAGGACTGATTGTTGAATAAGTCTTCGCAATGTTTGCTATTTAGAACTTTTGAGCGTTCAAAGTGACTGGTTAGAGCATTATCAAGAGAATGCAGCTTCCTACAACGTGCCTGCAACTAATGGTGTTACAAGTATGTTCTCTTGTCCGTTATACACGAGATAGCGGAGGTCATATTTATTTCAACTCCCAGAAGTGCCGTCTTTGTCTGCCTTTTCCGGGTTTCCCCCAAGATAGATATCATGCTGCTCCGGTACGAGACTCATGACTTGATTGTCTCGTTGTCAGACAGACATGGTGTTCCACCTATTTCATGGTTATCGAATCAGTCTATTGAACAGTAGCAATCGCCATGGCCTGTGCTGGAACACGTACAAACCCACAATATATACAGACATATTTTCAGGAACTCGTACAAACCAGAAACGTGATATGTGCAACTAAGATAAGGTCTGGGCCCAGGCTGAATGAATATAAATCCCATTGCCACAGAGACAACATGATTGTATTGTCGTGGCTCTGGTGATAAGCAGTAAGAGCCGGGGAAGCAACAGCATCACTAACAAGGTCAGAAATCCAGAAAATCAGTCCAGACACAAAACTTGCAGCCATTAGCCGAAGAGGCAGACTCTAGTCGTCGCCCTGGACTTGAGTTAACTTGGGTCTTGCCTATCCAGCTGCACTCTCCAACACTACTCCAGAGCTCACGAGTTTGCGGGGCTCGCCGCCACAAATCACTTTGGTGCGCCCACGTAGTCGCTTGCATCACAAGCTGAAATGGTATCTGGAACACACGCCTATGCGCATGTCGCAATCAACGATTACATGGTGAGGATGGCCAAGAGGCGACATCGCAATGCCCCTTCTAAGCTGCTATGAGCTTCCCAAGAGAGGCGCTCAGCTGACATGCCCTTTCCAGCTCCCACAGACTTACCCCTCAATTACCAACTCGAGCAGGATGAGCAATCAGCTGTCATGCCCATCTTGCACACGCCTCGCCACCATTCCTTTCCTGCCCAGCTCACGAAATGTGAAGCAGAAGAGCTGCCAGCCCTTTGCTCCTGCCATGGGGGCATGACCCGTGCAATCAAAGAGACTCCAGCGCAGACACTTCCCTCCCTCGAGGTAGAGCCGCGAAGCCATGGACGCAAGGCCCCGCGCAGACTCAGCGATATGCCTGCCAGCAGCAGCAGCAGCAGCAGCCGCCGCCGCTGCAGAGGGCTTCTTTGCGCGGCAGGGGCTCCCCGTCTCGGCACGGGAGCAGTGCGACGAGTTCGCCCGGTCTCTCTGCCGGAGCCAATTCCCCAGCCTTGGCCGGATCCGTCCCGCGGCCTCTTAGGGATATTGTTCTTATACACTGTTCCTCAGCGACACTCCCGCTGCTCGGACCAGTATCCAGGACAGCAACGAGCCTGGGCGTCATCTCACAGAGGCTCGCGATGCCGACCACGATGCAGATCATGGGGATGGTGGCATGGTCATCCAGTTCCGCCCGCGGGCCCATGCCATAGACACCGAGGTGGCCGCCGTAGCCTGCTCTGTTTACGGACGACTAGCACCAAGGACGCAGAAGATTGGCGAGCTCGGCGAGCTCGAGCTTGTCGTGTACGCGCTCCACCGGATCATTGGTGTTTCATTGCTGGACTCTCGGATCACCGCCGGTGCGCCGCCGCCGCCATCCTCAACGGGAGTCTCGTCTCTTGCACCACCGCAACGAGATGCGCAACTTTTGGTTGACCAGCCGCAGGGCTCGGCGCAGAGAGAACGGCTGGTGCGAGACTTTGCCCGCTTCCACGCCACGGGCTTCAAGGACGCCATCGCCACTTCCACAACGACGAGTGAGACGACAAAGTCGACGACGAAAGCGCCTCCGCGGCGTGGTCTCGTGGGAGCCTCGCTCCGCTCCCGCTTGCAGACGATGCATGCCTCCCTCCCGCAGCGGCTCAAGCCCTTCGTCGTCTCCGCGCTGGACAGTCTCGAGGCCATCGAGTCCGCGCTGCCCTGGGTGCTCACCCACGGCGACCTCCTGCCCGCGAACATCATGGTCGACCCGGCGACCGGCGCGCTGGCGGGGCTCATAGACTGGGCCGAGGCAGAGCACCTCCCGTTCGGCGTGGGCATGTACGGGCTCGAGGAACTTCTCGGCGAGCAGCAGGTACAAGGACAGGAGCAGCAGCAGGAGCAAGCCATCGAGGACCAACAACAAGGAGACGGCACGAGATGCGGGGGAGACGCGGCAACGAAGATGAAGAAGGAGGAGAAGAAGACGAAGACGGAGACGAGGAGATTCATATACTGCCCAGACGCCCGGCGCCTGCGGAGGATGTTCTGGGATGAGCTCACCCTTCTCTGCCCCGAGCTCGTGGCCGACGAGACGCAGGAGGGGCAGAAACAGATGCCGCTGCTGCCGCTCGTCAAGAAAGCACAGGACCTGGGCGTGCTGCTCTGGCACGGCATCGCCTTTGACGACGGCGCCCTGGACCGCGGCTGCGCAGAGGGCAGGGACGACGAGGAGATTGCCAAGCTCGATGCCTTCTTCTTCTTCATCCCCCCCTCCTCCTCCTTGCCTTCTCCCTCTATCGCAGAACCCCCATCAGCCTCTCCAACATCGCCATCACTTACTTCTTCCCCATCCTCGTCACCGTCAGCTGCCGTGCTAGCGGGACGGCGCCGCGCAGGCGCAGAAGAGCAGGGCGCAGCGGCGGTCCCGTTTCCGAGTAACGCAACTAGATATCCCGACGCGCATGGGGCCTTGCGCAGGCTGCTGGGACGGTCTCTGAGGCTTTGGCGGTCCATGAGATTTACATCGCCAGCTGGTGGTGGGTCGTGATGACAACTCTAAGAGGGATTTCCACTTCCCCAGTTGGTTCCTCTTTTGGCACGTAGTAGTCATCGTCGAGAATAGCTGCCGATCGTGTGGGCTTCAGATACTACGCACGAGAAACGCCCGCATGTTGGAGAAGGATGGAAGAAGAGTCTTTTTATCGTGTCAAGCTGCGCTTTAGCACAAAAGCAAGCCTCACACGTTTGGAAACTCTTCACTATCATGACGCACCGGGAGCCGCAAGGGAGTACTGAGTAAGTTATATTCTTCAACGAGAACGCCCATCATAATGCTCTTTGTCCAAATATAAACCGTCGACTGCCCGTTCTGTCGTGCAAGGACTCAAAAGGAGAACCTTTGAAAAAGTAATGATTAGAAGATTAGTTCAGGGTCGCGTTTATCCTATCTCAAGGACCTCACAGAGGGGTATGCTGGTGGAATCATGACCAACACCGCCCATTCGATGCCATCTTGAGTGTAAAATTACATTATTCGAGGGTGGAATACCACCCAGCAGTACAGAAAAGCATGCCACTTGCACTCAAGAAGACTTGGTGGCCGCCGTTGGCTTTTCAGCTTCAGCCTTGAGAGCGTTCTCGGCGTTGACGCGAGATCTCTCGTATTTCAAAGTCGTATCGCCCTTCCACATTGTACCCAGAATCCGGTCCCAAAAGGTGAAGTATGGTTGCGCGAAATTCGTCTTGATGCCCCAGCTTTGGTGGTGGATGTCGTGGTAGGCAGCGTTGTTGCCAGAGATGTGCTGGAGGGGGTCCCATGGAAGTGCGTATCCGCAGTGGTCGTCGACAGTCTTCATCGACGAGAAGGCGAAGAACAGCATACCCTGTCTTGAGGTCATGAAAGAAAGCTTATAGGCCAGACCGGCCCCGACGGTGTCAAGCAAGAAGCCCTCAACAGGGTGGTTGTACAAAGCACCGTATGCGTAAGGGACGTAGAGACGGTGGTGTCGAGAGTGCAGGGTAGCTGCGTGAGGTGTCAGAATTCTGTCATTCGCTCCGGAACGGTCAATTGAACACTTACTGTACAGCCACCTGTTCATGTGCATGGCTCTGTGGAGGAAGTACTGCCAGGTATCGAGGAAAACAGTGGCCGCGAGGAATTGGAGGCCAGGAATCACTACGTTGTAGATGACCTTTGCGACGAACAGCTCCCAGGCCGCGAAAGCCGGGACAGATGTAGTGCCGTTAGTAGCAGCCAAGGAGGTTGTCAAGAACGGATAGTGTCCACCTGCAAGCACTCCAGCGAGCAGAGGATGAGAACCGGCCATGTTCTTGGACAGAGCAGTGGCGTTGAGGCCGAGAAAGCCTAGCAGTGATGGCAACGCGCGCTGGGCTAGCCGGATGCGAGTCGCCCATACAGCCACGTCGTACTCCTCCGTGCCGGTCATCTGCGGCGGATCAGTCAAGCCCAGGATGACGGACACGACAGCCTGCAGGATCTGCTGGAAGATGACATCGCGAAGCACCTCGTACCGGGTGACGCGGTTCCGTTGTGTAATCTCGGCAGGCGTGTGCAGACGATACTGAGGCCAGAAATCGTAGGTGTCGACGATGTGGAAGAAGATGGAAACTACCCAATATGAGACGGTGGGCGCAAGGGTCAAGAGGTACAGATCCGGGAGGAATGACAGTACGTCGTCGCGCACGACAGCTGTATATGTCGGTAGAGGCGGCAAGTCGTAGGTCGACGTCGAGTTCATCGCCATTGCCGCCATGACTGGCGTGGTTGCGACGGCTGCGGACTTGGGTTGTGATGAGATGTTCGTTGCACTGATAACAACTTTGGGGCTGGACGAAGGTCAATGTGCCGGCCGGCCCGGGTGGAGGCGGTCGTGGTCCAAATCAGGAGGTTTGGTAGATTGCGGTGGAAGTAGGGGAGTGGTGAAGCGCGTCGGCTGGGCGCTGGAATGCTGCTGGGGGTCCGCTTAGAGTCAAGATCGAAAGGAGAGGTCGAAGTTGGCTGTAGGGCTGGAGAGAACGTGTAGGAGGAGCAATGCAGGTCGTGATTGAGAAGGAGCGAGGAGAAGAAGACTGGACCACGCTGGTTCGGGGGTTTGTGTCCGTGATGAAGAGCAAGCAGCCGGGCGAGCAGGCAGAAGGACTTGATCAGGGGAGAAAGCGGGCGGGATCGCTGGAGATCAGACCCTGCTTGAGACTGAGGCAGATGACATGCTAGACTCGAAAACGCTGGCGAGCTGTGACGGCCCCGAAGTCCGGTCGCGTGTTGCCGCTGCTCAAACGGGCCCGGGTGGCGCGACACTTCTAATGCCGCGCCTACCTGGCACCCGTCCGTGCCAGGGGGGCTGTCGCGAGGTACCTGTCTAGGCAGGGAGATAGGGTGGGACTTTGATCATGAGCCAGCATCGCAGTCTCTTGCACATAAAAGCAGGCAGCGCGCAGGTACTCTATAGCTCGGGCTTCAAGATCTGTACTTGATGCACAGTCCCGCCCCAGAGCCCAACTCCCGCTGTGATTTGTCACTTGCCCCCTTTTCCCAATCTCGCTACCCGGATGGTCCGGTCTTACGATTCTACAGATGAATGGGACTAGTACGGTGCTGTGTAGTGTATTTTTGTTTTCGGGGACTGTTCTCGAGTCTGTCACCTAGTCATGGACGCCATGGCCCCTGAGTCTTGGTCTGGAGATGTAGAGGTAGGATGACAATCGCACGATACAATCGAGCACCTGCTGTTCGGTGGCACTGGGCGTGGGTGAGTAATAGACGAGGGACCGCCTGTCTGTGGCCCAAGAAGACCCTTTTTGCCACTGCGTGGGTTGAGGTGCAATCTGCCATGGCCGGAGCTAATGCATAACAAGATCTGCATGTACCAAGACGGCCTTCCGAACGGTCGCGGGCCCAGCCCAGTCCATCCGCAGGAACATGAACAACAAAACAACTAGCAGCATGGTAAGCGCCATCGGCCCCGTTCCGCAGTCAATGACATAAGTGGACTCGTGTAGAGCAAGGCTGCCCCTGTCGTTCCTGGCCAGCTGGATGTGTGGTATGCTGGGGAAGCTCATTTCATGCAGAGAAGCGCTGCATAACAGAGCCCAGACGGCGAGAACAGGCGTGCACACGATAATGCCTGTTTTCCTCCGGACCAGAGCTGATCAAGGCTCAGAGAGCGCAACATGCGAAGCTCACAATGCCGTGACGAAAGACGAGGGTAGCGGTGGTATGGATGATTGGGTCACAGCCCGTGCCTGCCACCACAAGCATGTCCTATCAATATCTTGCTCGGGATCTACCAGTCGTCTCTCGGGCAGTCTCGAAGGCGAATTTCAGGAAGGCGGCATTTCGAAGAGACGACGTTGGCGTCTCACGAATCGAGTTGCTGTGGAAGTGGGGATGGAGAGCTGGATGGACCCTTATTCCGGGTTTTCGTGGGCTCCAGGGCTGCTGGCTACTGAAATCAAGCCCCGATCCAGGTGTAAGCCAAGGTCGGCTCAAACCCATCTGACTTGGTTTCTTGACATGCCATCACATAGATTCGTCTCTGTTCGGTCGTAGCTGGTCTCTGCGAGTGTAGAAGACTTGCTCTCTCGGTGGTCCACAGGAGCGATACTGTGCATATCTTCATGCCAGGTTGAGACCAGCACAAGGCATTTGTCCGTGTTCTGGCCAGATTCGAGACTGCTGGTGTGTAGCTGGAGCAAGTGGTGGTGCATGAGTACAGACGACACTTTGGCGAGGCAAGGCAAGAAAAGAGCTGGAGCCCAGTCCCACGCCCGCCTGTCGTGTTAGTTGACTGGCTCGACTGACAGCTCTCAGCAAGCATGTGGACAGCAACGATCTCATGGCAGGGACCCCGCCCCGTCCAGGCTGGAAGCCCACTTTGGCGGGGACGTAAAATTTAGCACAGCGAATGAGGGGCAGCCGCCCGCCCTCGCTCTGCCCTCTGCTCTGGCTACGGCGTGCCTTTGGGAAAATATCAACAGCCTGCCCAGGTGCACTTTGTTCCTTCCATCCCGCCTCACGTCCTACCCACTTCTCCCATTCTCATCGAGCAATCGTGATACTTCGAACAATACCGCCACCATGATTATCTACAAGGTACGCTTCTCTCCTGGTAGCTTGGATCTCTCGCAGACGGCAGCACAAGCAGCAGCAGCATGTTTCGCGATCGTCTCAGCAACCCCGCTTTGCTAACTCGTGATTGTTCTGTTCTATTAGGATGCCGTTCTCGAGGTGCTGGGCAACACTGGCGATGAGCTCATCTCCGACTCGTTCGACGTCAAGGAGGTTGACGGCGTCGCGTACGAGGCTGACTGCGCCATGATCGAGATTGGTGCCGTTGATGTCGGTACGTAGTCCCAACAAGCCGGGCTGCACATCGAGAGTGCTTTGGCGGGGGAGAATGTCCAACTGACCTGAAACCAACACATCACACAGACACTGGTGCCAACGCTTCCGCCGAGGAGGCTGAGGAGGGTGTCGAGGACTCTGCCGAGAAGGTCAACAACATTGTCCACTCCTTCCGCCTCCAGCCCACCAGCTTCGACAAGAAGAGCTACCTGGTCTACCTCAAGGAGTACATGGGCAACGTCAAGAAGGCCCTTGCCGCCAAGGGCGCTACCGAGGAGGAGGTCAAGGACTTCCAGTCCAAGGCCAACGCCTTCGCCAAGAAGATCATCGCCAACTTCAAGGACTACGAGTTCTACATTGGCGAGAGCATGAACCCCGACGGAATGTACGTGTTGACTCTACCTGTGGGCATGGAGATGCGCGACCCCCCACATTGGATCACTTGCCATACCTTGCGTCGAATGAGTACTAACATGCACAAACAGGGTTGTTCTCCTCAACTACCGTGAGGACGGCGTCACCCCTTACGTGACCCTGTGGAAGCACGGTCTTACCGAGATGAAGGTTTAAGCCCCCTTGGTGGATGCGACAGGAAGGATTTGAAAGAAGATACCACGAAGCCCATGATCAATGCCACAGTCCCCTTTGTATCGTGCGGAGGCCCGAGGGGAAAAAAAGTAAAACTATCTACCGCCATTTCTTACGATGCGTGGAGAGCATTCATACCGTTTCGACCCCATTGTGCAGCAGCAAAACCCTTGCCAGGGAAGTTCTGGCTAGATCCAAAGTCTATTCAGCCATCAAATGAAAAGCAAAGGATGATGATGATCTGATTATGCTGCGATGTTTATGCAGGTTCTTGTTCAGTGGGTATCGGCTTGACTCAAACTGCATCAAAAGGTAGGTCTAGTTGCTAATGGAATTGGAGGAGGCGGTCCTCCTGAATCTCCGTCAGCCGCACTTGTGCTAGACAGACCTGGTTTCTTTTTTGGCGGCGGAGGAGCAGCCTTCTTCTTCGCCGCCAGAGCAGCACCGCTAAAGGATGCGGCGGCACCCGCCATGCTGGTCGGCCCCGTGTTGTAGGCGACACCCCCTCCAGCACCGCCGCCAAACCTCTGACTGACCGAGTTCGCCGTCTTAAGCCCGGAAGCGACCTGCGCCCCGTGGCGCTCACGGAAGTTGTTGGCCGTGCCTGCGGCCGCCTTAGCATCCGCCAACGACACTGATGATGGGTCCTTGTTGAACTGCGATACCGTGCGCAGGGCTGCCTGTTTCTGCGCCCATGTTGTGCCACCGCCTGCTGATGCTGGTGGGGGTGGTGTATCTGCTGCTGCTGTTGTGTTTGCCGTCGTTCTGCTGCCACCGCCGCCGATGCCGAAACCGGGGACTGAGATTCCTGCTGCGCCGAGCCGGTTCGCTGCCGAGCCGTTGATGTAACCCCCAGAACTCGCCGTTGCCGAGGCGGCCACAGGGGTACGCGCGGGTGATACTGGCGGGGAGGCCGGCGAGGCCGGCGAGGCTGTTGAACCTGGTCTCCGCGGCGGCAATCGCGGAGGAAGAGACGGTGGTGGTCCAGCCATTCTCCCCGCACCTGGTGCTGCTCCTGCTGGTGACTGCGTGCTGGTGCGAGCCGGTGAAACCGGAGAAGTCGGTGTGCGCGACGTGTGGCCAGGTCCGAGTGGGCCTGTGCCTGGAGCACGACCATCCGCGCCGTCCCTGCGTGCCGGCGGCGGCGGCAAGTGTGAAGTCGAGAGGCCGGAGCTGTCGATCTTGAAGGGCTTGGGTGGTGGTCTGGGCTGCTCCTCCTCCTGTACTGGGCTCGGGGAGTAGTTGGCCCGTCCTCCCGATACATCTCCTGCTACCGATGATGAGGACGGGGCTGGTAGAGCCGGCGGTTGCCGCGACTGGTATGCTGAAGCTGTTGAGGTCGGGACAACTTGGCCACCTGCGGCGACGTGCTTGGGAGGCGGGCCAAACGAGTTTGGATCCTTGAGTGAGGCAATAGGCATAGCAGCGCCGCGGCTCTCTGAGGACGACGAGGCTGAGCCGCCGAGAGGCCGACTAAGCAGGCCATTCTGTCAAAATATTCAGTACACCAAGACAACCGTGAAAAGCGATACAAGAAGGAACAGCGCCAAGAGGACTTGCAAGGTGATGACATGAAGGGACCTTGGGGGACAGAAAAGCAAACAAGGACCTACCACACGGCCACGGACGCCGCCCCCTGAAGAGCTGGAGCTGGAGCTGGAGCTCGACTTCTCTGGGCGCCAGCCATTCTTGGCGATGTTCTTGAACCTTTCCGACATGACCTGGGGCGTCGAGCTAGACGATGCCGTGTTATCGCGCAGAGCTTGTCGCACAGGGAAGAGACAGAGGCCGTGACTCGTGGGGTGCTTGGTGGATGGAGGCCGCTGGCGCTCGGTGCCAGTGCCGTCACTGGTGGGGGCGGCTGCAGCTGGCTGGGACCCTTGCGAGCAGGGGCAGGCACGATGATTGACAGACAGAAAACCGGCCGGACCATGGTCGGCAGATGCTCACTCGGGGCAGATGTCTTCCACTGCTCTCCACGTGCAAGTGGCATCCTGCTCGACAAACATTCAAGAGAATGTCTTGACGGGCATGAGCGAGCAGCCAATGCGCATCATCCCTGAGCAGAAAGCAATGGGCGTTTGTAGCCTGGGTTGTGGTGACAGTTTATTTTAGGACTGCCGATTGGTTACCTGGCGGGTCGGCCCAGCGCCCCTCCAAATATTGACTTTCAGACGTCCAGTCGCGTGTCGCGCCAGTCGCATAATTTGGCCTGCACTTTGCCAGACCACATCACGACCACAACCTCGCAATCCAGCGCCGCGAGCGCAGGCGCCACATGTCCCCTCAATTATCATGGCCGACACTGAGCTGCTCACCGAGCACTTTGGCTACCCTCCGGTCGTGAGTTGTCCTCATCACACCAGTGCGTGGTGGTGGCCAAGACTAACTGACCGCCGTACCCCCAGAGCCTGCTAGACGACATCATCAACAGCGTCAACATCCTCGCCGAGCGCGCCCTCAATAGCGTCGAACAGGGCCTCCTCAATGCGCCCCCCGCCAGCCTCGGCTTCAAGACCAGGCCACCGCCCAAGCACAACGCCGCCGACCCGTGGAACCCGGTCGAGGCGGCCAAGAACGAGATCGAGGCCGGCACCCACCAGCTCGAAACGCTCCTGTGCGCCAGTATAGACCGCAACCTCGACAAGTTTGAGCTCTTTGTCCTCCGCAACTTCCTCTGCGTCCAGCCCGTCGACATTCGCGACTGGATGCGCCTGAGCCACTACGAGGGCCTCGACTTCGTCAACGCCGCCGTGGCTGCAGACTCGGATGCGGCGCGACAAAAACAACCGCAGAATGCCTCGAGCGACGTGCCTACTCTGGCCAGCATCAATGAGCTACGCAGGAAACTGCGGGAAAGCATGCGACTGAACGCCCTCCTCACGGCCGAGCGCGAGCGCAACGCTCGCACGCTACAGAAGCTCCAACATTTGATCCTCGGCGGCAAGGTTCAGGTCAAGACGGAGGGCGGCGACGACAACAGCAACGACACATCAACGACCGTGCCGCAATCAGACATGGACGGTGCAGAGAAACATGGTCCCAGCCCGTTCGCATTCCTCCAGCAGAAGGGCACACTCTCTGCCGCGGGGGGCTCCACGCCGCTTGGCACGACGACAGCATTCACATTGTCCCAGCTCCAGGCTCTGCGCGCGCTGTCAGAATCCCTGCGCAATGTAACACCTGATCTCCTCGCACCCACTCCTCCCGAAGAGGACCATGAGGACGAGGGCGATGACGCGAGCCAGCGCAAACCGGGTCTCGACTTTGACGAGGAGAAACATCGAAGTAAGAGCTGGCGCCGCCAGCGCACAGAGTACGTCGAGCACGCGACGCGGCGGCACCTCGAGATCGTGCATGGGCTCGAGCTCGGGCGGCACGGCGAGGTGCGCGACGGCGAGTGGCAGGGCGAAGGACGGCAGCTGGCGCACGGCGAGGTTGAAGGGTTGGAAAAGGTCGCTGCTATTCTCGGCAGGGAGACCGCTTCATCATCATCATCTTCTTCTTCTTCAGCTAGGGCTGCTGCAGGCGGAGCTACACAGCAGGATGAGGACCAGCACGACACAGCCGCCGCGTTTTCAGCATTAACTACGAGGAGAGCAGGCTCCGCGGGGCCGCCCGCGGCGACGCCTGCGGCAAAGTCACGCATCAGCAAGTCCACCGCGACCACCCCCGCGACAGCGGCCAGGGCCTCTGCTGCGAGCCACCGGAAACCGCCAGCCAGCGCCTCCGCGTCTCTGAGGCGGACACCCGCGAGCGGCCGGAAAGCGACCACCACCACCACGCCGGGGCCTCGCAAAGTCGCGACGAAACCCGGTGATGGCGGCGACCATCGCGACGACAGGATGATGGTGGAAGAGCGGGACGAGGACGACGATGACGAGGAGGACCTGATGGACATGTCTTGAGGGGCCGCAAGTCTGCGCGGTTGTGTGCGTGACTACACGGCATAAGTCCTGAACATTGGCCCTCTTTGTCGTGGGACGCTGTTTTGTTGTTTTGCGGGTTCTCTATCGGTATCAAGGAGGGGGGGGGGGTATCCTGCTATTTAGGCGCAAAGGGTGGTCAGGCGTTTATAGTTGTTTCTGCTTATTTTTGTTTTCCGTTCCGAAAGTTTTGAAGAAGGAAACCTCAGCTTAGTATTTCTTCGCTCCTACTGACTGATCGGTCTTCCTGATCGATAATCCAAAGAAACGAGTTTTCCCAATCCCAATTTCAAGGAAGCACGATCTAGAATTCCTTCTCTTGCGCGTGAAATGTTGATTAATCCCCAGAGGAGGTGACTCTCCATCATCGTAAATATCAAACGAGGCAGACGTGAAGCACGCATTAGACGGGCCCCCCTTGCAATGACGAGGCAACGAGACTACAGAGTACCTGGCGTTTGAAAATGGTTATACGCTAGATTATCATGGTTTGGTTCTGATACAGTATTCTACAGTTGAGCTTCCGCCCGTATTTCCTCCTCAGAAAACGAGGCCATGTGACGAGCAGGGCGCGGGACGACACCTCTCTGCACAATCTTGCTCTCTTCCTCTACCGTCGCCGCAACCCGGGAAGTGGTGAGTCGAGCAGCCCCTCCTCGGCCGAGACATGCCAGAACGTGTGCTTCCAGTAGCTGTCCTCCTCGCTGCCCGGCGTGGTGGGCGGGTGCAGCTCCTCGTATTTCTGCTTGGTCGTGTTGGCGAGCCCGCGAGCCTCCTCACGCCTGTTTTGGGCGAGCAGCATGCGCAAAAGCTCGAGCTGCGTGCCAAGTGTCGTAAGATACCCGGCCGCACACAGCTTGTAGTAGATGTCGAGCGCCTTCAGCTCGCCGACCAGCGCATATCCCTTGATCAGGCGGTCGTAGAAGACGCGGTCCATGTCGTCGTAGTCGAGCAAGCGGCGGCGCTTGAGCAGCGACTCTACCGCAAAAAGATCCGGAGGCGACCGGCTGAAGTAGTGCTCGACAAGCATTGTGTAGATGTGCGGCGACAGCTCGTGACCTTCGCTCCACAAGTGGGCGAGGACGACCTTGACTGCCTCTTTGGCGCGATCGCCGCTGCGTAGGAGCAAGTAGATCATTTTGCCGTATGTCTGGAGGTTCGTCTCGAGCCCAGCAGCTTTCATCTGCGACAGAACCTTGTTCACCATCTCGATCTGCTCTTCTACCGAGTCCAAATCTGCCAGGCAGGCGTCGAGAATGACAGTGAAAGTGGCTGCGTCTGCTTTGATCCCGAGCGAGTCCATGGTCGCAAACAAGCGAGCCACATCTTCCTGCCTGTCTTGGCGGATCAGAGGCCTCAAGAGCGTGTTGAAAGTGAAGATATCCGGCTTAAGGCCCTGGCGTGAGGACCACTCGACCAATTTCTCTGCAAGTGGCAGCCGATTGGAACGAATGAGGCCGGCCAATGCGGCATTGACCGGCTCAATAGATGGCTTGACGACTTTTGAGGTGTCGCCTGCTGCCTCCGCGCTCTTGTAAGCTCGAGTCAAATCCTCTAGTGCTTGGATGGCGCCCTCGACATTGCCACAATCGATCAGACCGGAGACGTATGTCGTCCAGACGCCAATGTCTAGCGTCATCTTGGATGCTGCGAGCTTGCCCCATATGTTGGTCAAACCGTGCAGGTTTCTGGCCTTCCGGCATCCATCGAGCATGACATTCCAGGTCCGCAAGGTAGGCTTGAGTCCAACTTTACGCAGTGTGTTCCAACACTGCACGGCCTTGTCCGTATTGTTCAGCGCCATATATGTATTAATGAAGGAGTTGAAAAGATCCGGGTAGTTCTTAAGCTGGGCGGCACGATCTGCCGGAATGTCCTGCTCAGGCCCAACAAAGGCGTGCCACAGCTTATCCACCTCATGCGAGTTGCGCGATCCTGAACGCCGGCCATATGCTTGAGACAAGCGTGACCCAATGTGTGAGGGGTCGAAATAGGTCTTGCTAGGAGAGCTGCTTGGCTGCTTGCCCGCCCATTCCTTGGAATTGTCCACATCTGTAACGTTCTCGTCCAGATGTTGCTTGATGCTGGGCCATTCGTCAAGTACATACTTCTCCAGTCCCGGGAAAGTCGCTCGCATAAGGTTCTGGAGTGTCTCGTCTCTGACACGGACAACCGTGATGAGGCGAGCAATCTTATTCAAGAACCGAACGGCAGCCCGCCTTGCTGCGGGGTTGCTTCGGCGTGAATCGAGAAGCAGTGTGTACGTGGCGATGGCCAACGCTGCTGTCGAGGGTCCGAGGCTTTCAGGGGGATACTGGGGGAACACGCTGCAGAACGCTGCAGTAAATTTGTCCGACCTTGAATACCTCGGGACAGAAAACTTATCGAGTCTGGGGAACCAAAACCCATCCATCTCGCTGTCGTTGTCCAGATTGATGGGGAACTTTGGGAGCGACAGAACTTTCCAGCAGTCAACGAGGTCGGCCAGCATAACATCCCGCGAAGCCAAGTGGCTCTCGTAGTCCTCAATCGACATGTCTGGATTGGAGTCGACGAGGCTTTGCACCAACTTGCCGACGAGAGAGCACCACCGATGTGGCTTGAGATCCCCGAGATCGGCATATACGCGGAAGATGTCGGCGGCGCTAGGCAAGGTGGTCGAGGTGAGGTCGGCTTCCTTGGCAGCAATGGCTTTGTCTACCAGCTTGGACACGACGGTGTAGAAGATCTGGGGTATGTACGACTCGGACTCGCGGACCGTTGGATAAATATGGCCCTTGAGGAAGGCGAAGGCGTCTGTGAGTGGGGCGTCGCTGTCGACCATGTCCTGGAGCTTTGCTACGTCCTGGACCAGAGTGAGGTTGACGCCGCCGACTGGCTGTCCAGACTGCTTGCCTGCCTGGGGGGTTGCATTTCTTCTTGCATCGTGCGCGGTGACGATGTCTTGAAAGATGGCTTCTAGCCTGGCCGAGGTCTGTGGAGGCGGGGCAGCCTGTCTAACTGGTCGATCTGGCCGGGCAGTGTTGGCCTGTCTCTCACCAGAGCCCGGCGCAAGCACGCGCCTGACGGGATTGTGCGGACGACGCTGGTTCTGGTCCTGGTTCTGCCGGTCTCGGGGCTCGCGAGCTGCGGCCTGCGTGTTGCTGGCGGGTGAGGTCGTCGCGAAGCCGGCGGCGAGGCGGGGGGCCCATAGCTGCGGCTGGTGACGCTGGGAGGCGCTGGTGGCCGTGAGATTATGGCGGCATAGCAGGCAGACGTTGCGCGGGGTCTTCATGCCCGCAGCCGGCTTGTGCAGGAACGGCGGGAGTCGGCTCGTGGGTAGTGGCCGGGGGAGCTCGTCCTGGGTCCTCTGATGCTGCTGTTGTGCTGGTGTGTTTGGGCTCGTCGTGCTCGGGTCGAGGTGGCCAGTCGTTGCAGACGTTGTGATTGATGCGTTGTGAGAAATTGATGGAGTTTTGACAATCTGGAGTGCGCGCCCTGCAAGGACGGACCGAGTCCCGGTGGGGCCTACAGCTCTTAGCTTGACGGGTGTGTGTCCACTGTGGAAACACCACCAGCTCGGACGCTGGAAGGTGCGCCCGGCACCGGTGACACATGACAATCCCGAGCTCGGAATTGCTTCGATCCAGTGACATGGCGACCTGTACCAGTGTCACTCAGTACATGGCACGAAATACCTCGCCGTCTCGTGTTGAAATTGGCATTTCGATCATCATTATTTCTTACAAGCCTACTGGCACGCAGCTAGCGGGCCGCGGAGGGCATTGGTTGAGTTTACAGGGCTCCCAGGGCCCAATCGCGGCGCCGCGTTACGTCACGCCCGCCGTCTGATTTCCGAACAATGACCTCCTCCCTCTTCTTCAACTCAACAACACCATGTAATTGCTGCGACCTGCTCAACCCGCCACCTCATACTCTTCTAAATCCTCTTCCTCTGCCTTTATCGCATATGCCACTTTCTCCCTGGGCCTCCTGCTTTGCCTGATCTTTCAGCAATGACGACGCTGGTGCCCCGCCCGCCGTACACGGACGACGAGTTGCGGTCCCTGTACCCGGCCGGCCTCGAGCTCCAGCTTGTCCAGATCTTGATGCGCCATGGTGAGCGGACTCCTGTCCGGGCCCGCTTCCAGAACGCCGGTCTAGCGGCGTGAGTTGTGTCTATCCCTTTTATTTTCTTTCTCTGTTGCCGTACATGAGACTGACAATGCTCCCAGGTACTGGCCCTACTGCTCAGCGGCTCGGCAGCTCCAGAGTGTTGCCCTCGATCGCTCGACGGGCCAGTTCACCCCCCTCGAGTGGAAGCGCCGCATGGAGACCTTTGGCCCCAATGACGAGCCTGTACTCGCCAAGGGCCCCCGCGGCGAGCTCGACGGCATCTGCGAGATGGGCATGCTCACGGACCGGGGGCGAGTGACCACCTACGATCTCGGCTCCCGCCTGCGCCGGCTCTACGTCGACCAGCTCGGTTTCCTCCCGCCCAACATCAGCGATGCGGACAGCCTCTACCTGAGGGCTACACCCATCCCTCGAGCCCTAGAGTCCATGCAGGAGGCCTTCAGTGGTCTCTATCCTCGCCACACCCGCTCTCCCGACATGGCTCCTCCTTCCATCCTCACCCGCAACATTGCAGACGAGACGCTCTTTCCCAACGACTCGAGCTGTCGTCGTTTCGCGGCCCTTGCCCGCGCCTTTGCCAATCGTGCTGCCGAGCGTCACAACGACTCGGACGAGATGGCCTACCTCACCAAGATCTATGGCAAGTGGATGTCCTCAGACAAAGTTGCTGTCGATTCGCATCCCCGTCTCAATGGGCTCATGGACACGGTCAACTCGACCCTGGCACATGGTCCAGAGACGAAGCTGCCAAAGGCTTTTTACGACGCCAAAGCCATCGGCATTATGGAGAAGAGTAAGTTCTTTCACGATTGCTTATACCTTCACGTCATGGCCATAAGGCCAGACGAGATTTACTAAACTCTGAATAGTATCAAACGAGGAATGGTTTCAGGGCTACAAGGAAAGCCAAGAATACAGGGCGTTGGGTATTGGGGGCTTGCTGGGTGACGTGGTCAGCCGGATGGTCGGAAGTGCTGAGCGGTCGACTGCTGACGGAGCCTACGAGGTTGCGCAAGCCCTGGATGACAAGCGTATTCACGAGGGCAAAGGCGCGACGCCCATCAGATTCGGTCTGAGTGGGTGCCATGACACCACCCTCGCCGCCGTCCTCTCCAGCCTCGGCGCGTTCGAGACAGATCGATGGCCACCGTACACCAGCCACATTGCCATCGAAATGTTCCGTCAGAAGCAGCAGCAGCAGACTAAAAACCAAGACAGCGCGCCAACCACATTGCCTGCGATCCCACCAGCCAAAGACACCACTGTCGTGTCCAAGCCTGGCTTCCTATCCTCACTCTTCTCGTGGGGCGGCTCGGCCGCCGCGAAAGTGGTCCCTGGCACTCCGCCTCCGGGGATCGGGCGCAAGAAAACAGAGACTCTGACGGACAATGAGAAGAAGGAGCTTGAAGGCTACTACGTCCGGCTGCGCTACAACGACCAAGTCGTGACGATACCTGGATGCAAGGCGCCAGGCAAGCACTTTGCAGGCGACGAGAGCTTCTGCACACTGGTACGCCGATACTATCTACGCCATCCCCTCTCACTCTGCACCCGTCAGTCGTGACTAACCCAAACCCCGGTTCCATCAGGCCGAGTTCAAGGCCATTGTAGACAAGGTATGATGACCATTACTTCCCATCATTCCGCGCGGTCACACTGCACTGCAAGTGATGTTTGAGGGACCGACGACGGACTATGCTGACTTTTTCTTTTCTCACTCTACAAAGTTCACCCCAGACAACTGGAAATCCCAGTGCCTGGCCAACATCGACGCACCTGCATTCCCCGCAAAGCCCGAGCCGGCAGGGTATTCATCTTGAACTTCACTTCATCTCGGACCCAGTATCCTCTATCTCATAACATACCTGCGTACATACTGATCCTCCCTTGCTCTTTTGAGATATCTACTCGTCGCACATATTGCTCAAGATATAGTGTGTCACTAGCGCGGTGATGGGACTAGTTCCAGTCCGGCAAGTTGGCAAAATCATACGAGACGGCCCCAGCAATGTAGACATTCGGGTCAAGCAATGTATAAAATCATCTACGGCCTTGTTCAATACCAGTGAATATGCAGACAAAATTCGCGGACCCATTCGTGAGGGATACAGTTCCATGGTACTACTACCTTCGAGTGATTTGTGTGCTGGCTTGTGAGCTACGGTCATCTCCCCTTACCTTGCCAGGACAGTCCCACATCATGCGAGACTACACACGATCCCCTCAAGCGAAGCTCAAGCTCCTAGTCACGAGGCAAACAAGTGATTCAGAGCATGTTTCTTGATTTCATTGTATTTCATCTCTGCCGCCTATATCTGTCGAGATTCGAGCTTGGTCTCTTTACTGCTGCTCATATCCTGCCCATAGCCTCCTAATTAACTACTCGTTGTTTTTCTTTTTCTGTGCTGCTGATGGTGACTTCGCCTGGCGAGACTAGTCGAGGAAAAATGATCTCCAGGAAGTTTTGAGGCAAACATTGTACAGGAAATAATCGCGATCGTCGAAGGAAAAGTAGAACGCCAATCAAATCCAACGCATGAAATTACAAAGTATTAAGATTCCTCGAGCTAATCGCCACCTTTGACCGAAGGGGCGGAGTGATCACCTTAGTTGGCGACCTCTTCTTCAACCCAGCCATTCAGTCCACCCTGAATGGCCAGGCCGAATCCGGATCCAATGCCGCCGAAGCTGGACTGGTACTGGTGACCACGGCGCTCGCCATCAGGACCGGTACCGATAGCGCTGACCGGGCTGTTACTGCCGTTCTCGAAGCCAGGGGCGAAGGCAGGGAGACTGACAGCACGGTTGTGCGAACCGCGACCGTTGCCAGGAGCAAGCAGGCCGCCGATGGTGGTCGCACCAGAGACGGGGGCGTTCATCGAGAGTCCATTGGAAATGCTAGCAGACTGGCTGTGGCCCAGGCTGTGGCTCTGGGGTGGCACCTCCAAAGTGATCTCGTTGGGGGAAGATGAAGCAGTGCCGAACAGAGCGGCTTGCTGAGAAGCCAAGAGCTGGTGCTGCTGATGCTGCTGGTGCTGCGCTTGGTGAGCGACGTGGTTGAGATAAAGGGTCAGCGGGTTGCCGTTGGCAAACAGAGCGGCGTTGTTGATCGCCTGCGGGGACGTAGGGTTGGTCGGAGAGTTGCCGCTGCCATTGACCCCAGGAGGGGGCGAGGGAATGCTGTCCCTCGGAGACTGAGCCTGCTGTTGCTGAGGTTGTTGCTGCATCTGGCGAGGCTGGTTTCCACAGCGGTCCTTGCCGAAGTTGACCTTGAACTTCCGGTAATCATCCTTTCCGCGAATGGCTTCAATTGCTTTGATGGCGTTGGCAATGTTCGTGAAGTTGACAAAGGCGCAGCTCTTCTCACGGAGAGTGTTGACGAGCTCGATCTCACCAAACTCGGAGAAGTCTTGGCGGAGGCGCTCCTCAGTCCAAGTCTCATCGAGGTTGCCAATGTAGACATTGCGGGAAGCTCCGCCGCTGACAGCCAGGGCGATGGCCGGAGGAAGGGCACCAGAGTGCTTACCCCAGCCGATCTTGAGACGGCGGTTGTGGATCATCAGACCCTGCAGGTTGCTCAGGGCATAGAAAGAGGCAGCCGCCGTTGGGTCGATGAAAGTCACGAAGCAAATGTGCTTGTCAGGGATATAGCGGATGTGGTGAAGAAGTCCACCTCGGACAACGTTGCAGATCTCCTCGATGGTCGTTTCTGGATGAATGTTGCCCAGGTAAATGGTGCGGTTCCCGAGGTTGTTGATACCACCAGCGGTGGTAGCGACAGCGGCGGCAGCAACAGACTGCTGGGCGAGCGCGTTCGAGATGACGTCCCGGTCCTGGCCAGTCAGCATGTGAGCATAGCCCGGGGCGATGCCAAGGTATTGAGCAGCGTTTTGTTGCTGAGTCTTGGACACATAGGCACAGCGGTCCTTGCCGTAGTAGACGCGGCGAGGCGCCTGCCACTTGACCTCCTGGGGGAGCTGCTGAACAGCCTTCATGGCGTTGGCAATGGACAAGAAGTGGACGAATGCAATGTTCTTGTCACGGACAATCTTGATGGTGTCGATCGCGCCGAACTTGCCCAGGTCCTCGCGCAACTCCTCCTCGGTAATGTCCTCGGGCAAGTTGCCAAGATAGACATTGCGGGATGCACCAGATTGCTGTACAGCAAGAGCAACCGAGGTGGGCACCTGGGAAGGCTTGCCCCAACCAATCTTGACGTCCTGGCTCTTGATGCAAAGCTTCTTCAGAATTGCATCCGAGTGGAAGTGGGTTGCGGCGTTGGCGTCGAGGAACGAGATGAAGGCGCAGTTCTTGTCGGGCAGAAGACGGACAGACTCGATCTGTCCACTGCGGACATGGCCCAGGATCTCCTCAGCGGATGTGTCCGGGGGGATGTTACCCAGGTAGACAGTGCGGCTGGTCCCGGTGATGATCCCAGCGCCCATGGTAGGGGAAGTCGGCTGCATCTGAAGCTGAGCACCAACAGCACCATGGTAGTTGGTAGGCGACTGAGGCGCAAAGTACTGTGGCGCACCGTAGGTCGACGGCGAAACCACAGTAGGGTACGACTGGGAAGACATGGTCTGTTGGATCGGGCTGGAGATGCCATTCTGTTGCTGCTGGCTATTCTGCTGAGCCTGCTGGAAAGCGGCAATGCTCTGGAACTGAGGGCTACCGAAAGCAGCAGGAGTACCAGGCTGGAAGGGGCTTCCGAGCAGGAGCTGCGACGGGAGCAGAGGAGTAAACTGCATGTCAAAGCCAGTGCCAGGCGTGGTCATGTCATGGACGTTGGTTGGCGCGGACGCCTGGTTCATCTGGCCAGTATTGATCGAAGGAATGTTGTTGCCCCTGCGCGGGTGCCTGTCACCGAATCCAGTGATGTTGGAGGTGAAGGCGCCATGCGAGAAGCCCGTGTCGCTGTTCGACGGCTTCGAGGCGTGACCGAACCGAGCACCGTTGCCGGCGCCAGTCGGGCCGCCAGGAGCTCGCTGGTCCTGCATCCCGAGAAGATGGGGAGGGACAAGACTGTCCCTCGAGAGATGAGATAGGACCGCCGTTTTGAATGTAGAATTTCGCGCCCGTCAAAGAGGCACGAATGTCCCAAAATTGCGAGTACCTAGCACGCGTGCAGAAAAATGTATGCTTCGAGCAAACAAAATGTGCCAATATAGCGAGTTACAACAAAAGTGCTCGTGACTTCGGAGACGAGGCCGGGAACACTGTTGAGCTATTAGGTGATGCCGTCCACTCGAGCGGTAGTGAATCGAACAGCCAAAGGGGTATGGCGAATTGTGCGTGTGCAGAATAAGCGGTAATTGCGGGCTGGTGTATGTGCAGGATTGGAGCCGCGGGCCAATGGCTTTCTGGTCTCGCGTCAAGGGTCGATTAAGGGTCGGATCGCGTTCGGAGCAAGGTCGAGACGAGGCGGCGACAAGTGATCGGGAGGACAGCAAGAATGATTAAAGAAGGCTATTGGTCGAAAGAGCGAAGGCTGTATGAGAAGCACGAGGACACGGGCAGGCAAGGCGAGGCGAGGCGAGGCCAGACCTGAGGCGCTCGGGCGAGCAAGGTGTAAGAGGAGCGAAGTGAAGGACACTCGTCGGTTTGAGGGCACGACCAGAGAAAGAGGCCAATGACCGAAGGGAAATAAGAATGAGGGTGAAGAAAGGACGGGAGAGCGTGCTGGCGGGTCTCTGGCGAGAAATCGACAGGGACCTCTGCACGGATGGGACGCAAAAGGAGAGAACGAGCGGAGGTGGAGGAGAAGAAGGGAGATGGGCAGAGGCGCGGAAGCAGCAAGGCCCAGACGGGAGGTGGAAATCTGACCGTGGCTCAAGCTGGCGAGAGGTGGTGGTGGTGGGTGGTGAGAGAGCAGCCACGGCCACCTTCGCTGCCAGTCTGCCCTGGGAGCTTGCACTGTGCGTCGGCACCTCGCTCCGGCGCAAGGCCAAGGGAGGAATACGCATAACTGCAGACTTGGCTCCCTGCCACGGCGGCTTGACAGCTGGTCCAGAGCACTGTCTGCAGCACGGCTCCAAGGCGCGCTAACCTGGCAAGTTTAATGAGTTGGTCCCCAGTCCCGGCAGGGGCCAGACGACCTCCCCAATTTGCTCCTCCTGGGCGGATACCCCTATTCTCCTGAAGTGGCCCAGCACCACAGCAGCCAACAATCATTACACCACCAACGAGAGGACCCCGGATGCTGACAACGCTGGGGCTGTTTCCTCAAAAGGATCGAGCCATGGAGTCCAGTCACCCAATTTCAAAGACATTAATCACACACACCGCGGCTTTATGCTGCTTCGACCTTGACGATGCCCGTCTACCCATTCGCAAATAGGTGCTTGCCCCCCCTTCCCCTCGGGGGCCTAGAAGCAACGTGTGTGCATTGTGACACCAGACTGATGGGTCCCTTGCAAGGATTATGAGAAGCCCGTTGCTGCAACCAAAACTTCCACCTGTGGCCAGGCACCAGACCCTGGCGATCGACAGTTACATCTGGTCGCCGCAAGGTTAATACCGTCCGGTTCATCTGGCGCACGTGAGCGAGATGCCATTCTTCCACAATCAGATGGACCAACATACTTCCTCAGAGTGGAGTCCGATGTAGTTCCCCCCCACACGAAAGATGTCTTTGTTCCGTCTGGGATGGTAAATGATCACGCCCACGGGGATACGACAACACAGAATGAGGTCCGACCGCCAGAGGCTTTCAAGGCGTTGTGGAAGTATCTTGACCTTGACCGCTCTGTGGCGCAGAGCAAGCGTGACTGATGGTCATTGCCAGAAGCAGCTATTAATGCTGTGGCAAGCGGCGCAGACGAAATGAGCCGCGCCAACCCCTTGCTCCCGCAGAGCCTGCATCTCAGGCAGGGAGGCGCACCCAGCTGTACGACGATTGATGGACCCTGTTTCACGTGCGCGTCTCTACTGCCGAGCTCACGGAAGCGCCTGAAACTAACATAGCCGCGCACTGTGCATGGGGCTAGTTGACAGAGTGGACGATTGCCACGCAAGAGTTCCAGCGCGCTGCTGCGAATCTGTCGTTAAGCGCCGCGTGACGGGCCACAGACGGGTGGCCGTTCCGTTTGTCAACACAGCCGCCGTTGAGGAGCATTCCACCTCCCGCAGCGCCACGGGATGCCATGGCTTGTTTTATGCTTAAGCTTCACGGTAGCCACCAAGGGATCCCCAATCACAATCCACATGTCTCACTTTGGAAAGCTTGTAATGGCTTCAAGAGCTGTCCAGCATCTCGCTTGACACTTCTACCAAGACCCTTTGGATATAGTTCATAACGCTTCTCTTCCACGCTTCCCGGAATCCTGTCCAAATCAAGGCTTGCAACGACCCATGAAGCGAGGGTACAAGCAAGTCGTCCGGACAGTGTGTTGGTTGGCGATCCATGCCAAGAAGCGCTCAAGACCAAGGCCGTATCCACCGTGGGGAGAGGTACCGTACCTGCGGAGTTGCACCATCCATGTTAGTTTGCACTCCAGGCTCTCGCAACGTGATATTTGGACACTTCTCCAGAGCGATTGCACTTACTTGCGCTGGTCAGTATACCAGTAGTAGTCTTTGGAGTCGATGCCTTGCTTCTTGTAGGCCTCCAGCAGTTCGTCGTAGCCCTCCATTCTCATGCTGCCACCGACAATCTCGCCGACACCAGGCATCAGGCAGTCCACACTCTCAGTGACACGCAGGTCTTGAGGGTCCTTCTTCATGTAGAAGGCCTTGATCTCCACGGGGAAGTGGGTCAGGAAGATTGGGCGGTTGATAATGTCTGTCATTCGGCGCTCAGCGGCCTCGGCAATGTCGTCACCAAAGACATGGGGGTTGCCGTCCTCGTTGGGGATGGGAGGATCCTGGGCGTTGAGCCAGTCAATGGCCTCGGAGTACTTCATGCGCATGAAAGGTCTTGAGGGCTTGACAAAGGTGGGGTTGAGCTCCTTGATGTAGCCAGCAATCACGGGGTCGGCCAGGACATCGTCGATGACACGGCAGATGATCTCCTCCAAGTGCACCAGCAGGTCGTTGAAGTCGATAAAGTCCAGCTCGGCCTCAACGTGGGTGTACTCGGACAAGTGGCGACGAGTCAAGCTCTTCTCGGCGCGGAAGGACTTCTCGATACAGTAGACATCACCAAGGCTGGGCAGCACTGTCTCGAGGTAGAGCTGAGAAGACTGGGTAAGGTAGGCGGTCTCGTCGTAGTATGGCGCGCTGAAGAGGGTAGCGCCACCTTCGACCTGTGTCTGGACAAGCGCTGGTGGGGAGACCTTTGTGATCTGCATGTCGTCGTAGGCCTTCTGGAAGGCCCGTTCCGTGGCGGCTCGGATCTTCATGAGGGAGGAGGCGTTCTCGCCACGGAGGACCAGGTGCCTGTTGTCCAGCATCTGGGTATCCCACTGGTTCTGCTGGGCCGAGACCTTGTTGGTGATGGCATCCTCGTCGCTGGGCGAGGTGCCGAGGACCTGGTAGTAGTCGACATGGAGCTCACGACCGTCGGGAGCGCTCTGGCCCTCGAGGACCTTGCGCAGCTCACCATACATGGTCAAGGACGTGCCTTGGGCGAACAGCATGGCGTCGTAGTTCTTGGTGAGGTCGCCAGCCTGCAGCACACACTGGAGGTAGCCGTAGCCGTCGGCGAGCGTGATGAAAGTGGCCTGCTTCTGCTGGCGCAGTCTGTGGATTCTGCCAGAGACCTTGACGCGGGTGCCCTTCTTGTCGCCCTCGCCGAGCTCAATGTCCTTGCGTCCAATCTTGATCTTGACGGCCTCGGGGAGAGAGGTGTCCTGCTTGAGGACAATCTTCTTGGCCTCCTCGAGGTTCTGGAGGCGCTGCTTCTTCTGCTCCTCCTCGGCGGCCTGGGCCTGCTCCTGCTTGGCCAGCTTCTTCTTGTGCGCGGCGAGCGCGCTCTCGGCCTTCTTGACGGCACTCTTGGCGGGCTCCTTCCACAGCAGCCGGACTGAGGGGTCCTCACCCTCGGCGAGGGCACCCTTTACTGACGACCGGGTCTTGTAGGTGGGCGTGGCCTTGCCGTGGCTCTGGATGTAGGCGTAGGCGAGGGACTGGTAGGGCTTGAACTCGGTACCGTCCGCGGTGGTGTCGTCCTTGCCAGCATCGGTGTCGATGTAGACGACGTCGTCGCCCTTGAGCCGCTCGGCCAGTTCCTGAACGGCCGCCATGATTCTGGAGAGCAAAGAGGGCTTGTCGCAGTTGTGCTTGGGTCTAGGTTTCCGTCTGGCGGCGGCGGGTTTTGTGTGACGACGAGAGAAGAAGCGCCTCACAGTGACAGAGGCAATGCCAACAAGCGTATCAATGGGTGTGTGTAGAAGAGCTCCAGGCGTCTCGCTGTTTTCCCTGGCTGGTGGGGTGGTGCCTTCTTTTAGGGCGAGGCCCGGTGGTGGGGTCGAGATAGTTGATATTGGCGGTTCCTGGGAGGGGCAGGCAGGCACGCTGGCCGTCCCTAGAGCGGGACCCTGCAGCGCTGCCGTGATGCCCTGCCCTACTCCTGTCAGAGAGCTGACTCATTGGTGGTTTCGCAGCTGCGATTGCGGCGCCCCGAGATACAGCTCCGTGTCTCGAATTGGCACTGCAAGTGCGTTTCTACCTCCTCCAATCTCGGTCAAGATGCCCTCATTGTGAGGCGATACCCGGGCCATTTTAACAACGTCTCGTCCACGCCGGGTCTCTGCTCTCATCACGACGGAACTGAGGACGTGACTCATGGTCCTTGGAGCTACCGACCGCGCTGAGACAACAGCCTGGGGAAGAATGGCTGGAGCACACAAGCACAAGGGAGAGTCACACGGCCAGCCAGACAATAAGAACAGGCAGTCTGCCTTGTGACTCGATCAATTCTCCGTGTCTCACATTCCAACGTCACCCAGAGAACTTCAGGACGCAAGGATCAACGAACGATCAAATCACCGACGAGCCATGATGCGTCGAGCTTCTGATGTTGCGTCGATCGGACGGCCCAATGTGGACGTCTTATCAGCAAACCGACACGTTTGATTGGTTCAATTGCATTACACCGCTGCATCGTGGCCGGCCATGCTCGAGGGATCAAGCAACACAACGTTACGGGGAAATCCTGTTCGTCTTCCACTAATGCATTCCCACTGATCATAAAATAAAATAAAGGCTTCTCGATGAAGCTCATGCATGACGCATCCTCTTGCTCCCGCTCCATGCTTGACTATCGCCATTGCTTCCCCGAGTCCACCTCACAGCTCGTCCTTGACCACATCATCGCCCTCTGGCACCACCACCACCTTGGCCTTGTGGTAATCCGCAATGCCTCTCTTGACCATGCTGCTCAGCAACTCGTAAACCACCTGCGCCGCCGCGAGGGCCGTCTCCTCCCCGTTGTTCTGATATGCAGGCGCAACCTCGACGACGTCCGCGCCCACCAGGTTCAGGCCCTCAATGCCACGCAGCACGCGGATGAGCTCACGCGTAGTCCAGCCGCCAGGCTCTGGGGTACCCGTGCCGGGCGCGAACGCCGGGTCAAGCACGTCAATGTCAAGCGACAGGTAAACGGGGTCCTCGGTGCCGAGGGTGTCCATGATCCTCGCGACGACCCCCGCGGTGCCGATGTCGTCCATGTCGTCGGCGCTGATCCGCACCCAGCCCTGAGCGTCGTCGTCGGCATAGTCCCCTCCGTCGGTACCCGAGAGACGGGTCCGTATTCCCGCGTGCACGCTGGGCTTGCCAGACGCCGAGCTGCTGTTGGCCACAATCAGACCTTCCTGTCCCGCGAGCCAGAAGACGCTCCCGTGGTTGAAGTTGGCCTGCTCACTGCCCCAGGCATTGGGGTACTTTGCCGGGTGCCACGTGTCGAGGTGGGCGTCAAAGTGCAGCACCCGGACGGGCCCGCCATGGATCTTGTTGAGCGCGCGCAGCGCGGGGAAGGCGAGGCTGTGGTCGCCGCCAAGAGTGATGAGCTTAGGCTTGTGCACCACCGAGGCTGAGGAGACGTCGCGGGTGCCCAGCTCCTCGAATGCGACCGTCATCTGCTTGAGGGCAACGGCATTGTCCATCGGAGACACGGGAATGTCCCCACAGTCGATGATCTTGGCCCAGCTGAGGAACGGGTTGATGTTTGCTCTCGCATTGAAGCCCCGGTACGGGAGCTGCCGAGCAGAAGCTGCCCGGATGGCTCTGGGCCCGAAGCGTGCTCCTGCTTGCAATGTCAGTGTTTTGGCGTGCTTGTTTCGTTCTGATAAGGAGCTTCCTCGTGAAATATGCTCTGCGGGATCACTACTGGTCACTCACCGGGACGATAGCTCACAGCTGTATCGAACGGAGCACCGACAATGGCAATGTCAAACGGCTCCGTCGGTGTCGTGAGGCATTTGACATGTTTGAGATGCGCGAAAGTCGAGATGCCAGAGAACGACCACTGGATAGGCACACGGGTCAGCTCACGCATGCACAACAACTACAGCAGCAGAAGATAGGACTTTGCCAACAGCGAGGTCGGCCCAGTCACAAAAGCGGACGTGGCTTACATCGGTTCCCCATTTCCGCTCGAGCTCATCAATCTCCTGCTGCGTCCACTGGCGCACCTGGCGGCCATCGTGGTCGCCGTGAGCCCCCCCGCACGCCTGTGAGACTGCAGCACCATAGCCCAGGGCAAGGCAGAGCAGCTGCTGGATGGTGACCTTCATGTTTCGTGCGATCAAGCCCGAGGCACAGCGAATCGGGGTATATAGGTGCCTGCGTCAAAGCTGATAGGATTGGCAGCTCTGGTAGAAGGGTCGTCTGGTTGGGTATTTGGGCAAGGAAACAGCGCAACAGCCCCTGTTACGAACAACAGCTAGATAATTGAAGCAAAAGGTGTGAATGTCTTGGGACGCCTGCGGCATGGGACGAAAGAAGGCACTGGGGACTGATAAGTGAAGCTGGCCGAGCCAAGGATGACAAGCTAGAATGCCCGACTTAGGAAAGTCCACACGAAGAGCGAGCACCCCTCCTCGACCGGGCGGCGGCGTCCGCTCTGGAGGTTCAGGTACTGTACTGTAAGCCAAAATCACCACGTGCGAACCACTAAAGCCATTGCGGGGAAGCCATGGGAACCGGGTAAGCGAGCGTGCCTAATGGGTAACACCTCTTCTACAGTACATGGTATGACACGCCACGGCTTTGGCCATATTCCGGCTGTGCACACGCTCGGCCTGAGGCAAGCAAGCCGCGCTTGCCTCCCATCCAGCAGGGCAGCTCAACACCCTCAGGCTAGGGCACCGCCACGGAAAAGAGCCGAATGTCGAACAAGGACTATCGAAAAGCTGCCGTGTTCTCGCGGCGCGTAATCATCTGTCAACTCCCATACCCCGGGGGTTTTCCCGACTTCGCGGCTTGCGGCGAGTCAAGCAAACAAGCAAGCCCGCCCGCCCGCCCCGCACATACTCCCGGCCAGGCACAGATGAACCTCTGCCGTTTCCCATCGCCCAACCATGGGAGGAGGGCGACATCCACCGGCTCTGCCAGCCTACTTTTGCTATACGACGGGGCATGCAGACATTGCCTCCTTTGCTTTTTTTTCTGTTGTCAGGGTGGAAAACGTGGATGAGCTCTCTTCGCCGTGCGATTACAACGAGCAAAACTGCCGGCCGCCGCCCAGATAACGCTAGCGGCCAGTACCTCGCCGGCCTCGGCCTCGATCTGATTGGGCCAGAAACCCCACAACCACAGCGGCTCTGCCACGGAACCACAAACACCTCCAGGGCTGGGCCAGGTCGAGTTGCACGTGGCGCGCACGCCTGAGCGACATGGACATCTCGCAATGATGGACATCGGAATAGCTTAGTGATTTCGAGGGGCATGTGCGTAAATTTGAAATGTCCGTTGCCTGTCTGGCCATCGTACGACGCATGATTGGGTGAGGTAGGTGTTCATCAGCTGGCGACGCACGGGAGTGCAGGATTCCTCATTCTTGGTGACGGAAATGTGACCCGATCAATCAGAGATCTGTCTATGTCCGTGGACAGCAGATACTATTATAATGTATGCCTGCTGCTCACCTTGGACGTGATCCACAGACAAGCACAAGCGAGGGACAACGGCGGCGTAGTCAGGCACAGCGGGGCCTTGTTGTTTGCTGGACTGCAGGACTGACGTCAGAGTAGTCAACAGGCATCTTCTGTCACCACTTTAAGGTGAGCAACCACAAAGGAAAAGAAAAAACAACTAGTCCACACCCTTGCGCCGCGGAGAGTGCGTGCACATTGTGGCGACGAACATGGCCCGTTGCAAACCACACGAGTCGACCTGGGAGACTTGATCACGGACGAAAAGGGTATATAAAAGTTCTAAACCAGTAACCTGCCACTAGTTGCCTGCCAGCGATACTTCTCCGAGTAGTGCCATGGGATCTGCAGTTTCTTCTACAGGCCTCGGGTAAACTCGTTCGTGGCTGCAGCGGCATCGTAAACGTCGCGAGTCTTTACACAAGGCTCGGCCAAGCTCAAGCACCATCGATTGTGCGCGGGCAAGGCACTCGATGTACTGGCCGTGAAAAGGAACCGTCCTGACAGACCATTGCACGTCATCCGGTGTACTGTTGTGCCACAATGAGAAAGAATGCATGTCTTCAAGAAAAGGTATTGAAGTGCGGCAGGCTCCCTGGAAAATGTCTACGAGATCGCTGATAAGAAAATGCTGCCAGAACTGCAGAAGGGCGGTGCTGCGGAATGAGAAACCCCTGCGCCACACCCAGAGAAGTCGTCTGCACGCGACGCCCTTGCGTGCTCTGACAAGAAGAAAGTGATGAGAAGCCTGTGTACTCCGAAGCCCTACAATATCAAGCACTTGTGACTCTTCTTCTTGGGTGCGGGCGGCTCCAGCGCAGCGACAATGGCCTGCAACAATAGTCAGCATTGACGGACATCATTGTCCGGGGTCCGGGGCTCACACTCGACTCACCTCATCAAAAACATCCTTCAACTTGTACTGGGTCAGCGCACTGCACTCGACGTACTTGACGGCGCCGAGCTCTTTGGCCATCCGCTCGCCGTCTTCTTTCCTCACTGGTTGCATCTTCTGTTTTGCCAGCTTCTCCCGTACACTGGGATCGTCTCTCAGATCTGTCTGTGTGCCGACGATAAGGCAGGGGACGCCAGGGCAGTGGTGGTGAACCTCGGGGAACCACTTCTCGCGGACGTTTTCGAATGACGCAGGAGATGTGACACTGAAGCAGACCAGAAAGACATCGGTCTGGGGGTATGAGAGGGGTCGGAGTCGATCGTAATCTTCCTGTCCGGCAGTATCAAAGAGCCCAAGGGTATAAGGCTCGTCACCGATCCTATGTAGAGGGGGTTTGGGTCAGCCAGAAATGCTCAGGAGCTTCGTCGGCTTTCTAAATTCCCTCAACGTTTTGTCCTTGGTCCGTCTGAGACTTGGATGGCATCGCCGTCGCAGTGACAAGCTCTCCTAGGATAATCACAACCAGGGACTTACATGACAGTGACGGCGTAGTTGTCGAAGACGGTCGGGACATATTCGGACGGGAATTTGTTCGTTGTGTAGCTGATGAGCAAGCATGTCTTGCCAACAGCACCGTCGCCAACGACGACGCACCTAGGTAGAAAAGAATCACATGGTCAGCAGGTGCTTGGCAGGACGACAGATCCAGGCTCTGGTAGGAAGAAGTGGTCTCCGGTTGTGCGCATTGGCCGATCGCGAGCTCTGATTTGGACGTGAGAGCTTCTGACATGGGCGGCGGATAACCCCCGCCGACGTTCCATCGCCGACATGTGACCATCAACATGGCGAACCAGAGCCATGCATGGCAATGGCAGGCGGTCGCAGGAGTATCGAGTGTGGAGAGCCCGACGGAGCGTGGCTTGACGACTTACTTGATAGTAGCGACGACCATGATGATGTGGGGGAACGCCTCGGGCTTGGAGGCAGTACGAGGACAGCGATGACGAGGCGGCCAGAGGCGGTGGAGACAGGCGCCGAGTGTAGATGAGAGGCTGTCGGTGCGGACGCGACGATGAGGAAGTCGTGGAGATGGCGACGCAGACGAGAGACGATGTTACAGGTGACAGAATGGCGCGCGGCGCAGGCTGGCACACTGTACTCGGGAGGTTGAGAGAGATGGAGGTGGTGGTGGTTGTGGTGGTGGTGCCTTGGTCAGGGCCGAAGGTGGTAGTGGTGGAGGAGGACGTAGAGGAGAGGGAAGGCTGGCCTGGAGATGCTGCTGGGGCCTGCGCGGTGCTGGTACTGTGCAGAGCAGACAGGGCAGGGCCGGTCTGTGCTGCGCGTCTGGATGGGGGGGACGTGGAAGGAGGGTGCTTGGCTAGGGCCAGTCGAAAGTGTTGGCAGGTGGGCTTGGCTGGGGGGTTGGCCGTCCCGGGCTCAGTGGGCGGCGGTGCGGGCAGTACACAGTACAGGGGTCGCTGGCTTGGGGCGCGCAGTGGAAGCCCAGCAGAAGACGGAACGAATCTGTGGCGCAAAAGATACGGAAGCCGGCCATGTACAAGGGGAGTAGGTGTTTCGCTCCGACAGGTAGATAGAGACGAAGAGAAAAAGAGCCCAATGTTGGGAGGGAGCGGGAAAGGAAGGGCAAAAAGGTTGATTGGTGGTCGCCACTGGCTGGTCGTAACTCAAGACGGCGCAGTGGTCGCGGTTGTTTCAAAAAACTCTGTTGTCGGGCAGAGGCGAGAGAGAGAGTGTGTGCGTTTTGCTATCGTTCACCGTCAATAAAGCGTGTCCTGGGAGAATCTAGCCTGCCTACGCGTAGTATTCAGGACCTGCTGGACAATGGCACACGGGCAAGCAGTTGTCGAAACAGTAGCCCACGGAGGTACCCAGTTTGGCGGGGAGGCCATTCGTTCCATTGATGCTCCGAAACAATAGAAATAGACTCTTGTCCGGGTTGGCTCTGGGTCGCCAGCTGGCTGGCGCTTGAGGCCCTTACTGGATTCGACTGGGCCAGGAGCAGCCGCTGCACAGATGACGAATGGATGCCATTCCTCGTCCGCTCTTCCACACGCGCACGCACTCGCACAAGGGACATCATCATGCAGGGTCTGTGGTCCAACCCTCTGCAGCACTTGGGCGCGATGCTCTTCGGCCCGCCTGCAGCCGCCCGCCGTGACCAGCGAACCGATGACGAAGCCCCCGTCTCCTCCGCAAGAGCTCCAGTGATCGTGCCAGGCAGGAAGGCACCACACCACTACACGCTCAATGCTGGACCATGTAACCGACAAAGTCGCCCGGGGTGCGGCGTGCGGGCTATCGTAATTGGCAGGCTCGAGCGTTAGGGGTGATGCTGGGAAATGAAGGCTGGTGGGTGACCTCGACCGGGATGCCATGCCAAACAATAAACCCGAAATGATGGGGATGGGCGAGCCCTATCGCGCTTCGACGCTCAGAACTGGCGCATGCTGCACCGTAGACGGTGGACGTACCAGTCACTAGTTGCGTCCAAACGTCTTCGTGATCGTCCGTATCTTGTCATATGGGCTCTGCACATGTGCCGACACCCAGAAACCATTTTTGGCTCCCGCCCTGCTCTCGTTGGACGGTCTGTATCTCATTCGTTATGCAGAAGTGAAACGAGCTGCAGCTGAGGAGCTGCCCTCCACAGCTTCCTGCCAAAGAGTGAGATGGTGCGTGGTCATGCGTCCCGGCTAAGCCAGATTCTTGTTAGCGGTCGGAGCGTTCCATCGAGCCTGGACCATGCATTACGGGGGCCTGATGGAGGCTGTGGAACAGCTGGACTGGCCACGCTCCTCTTGGACTCAGCTAAAAAACCCCTGGCAAGCATCTGTAATTGTGAGGTCGACACGACACCCACGGGATCAGACAGGGTACGTTTTTGCCAAGGATGGTTGGGTTGAGGGACTCTGCTGCAAAACATCGATGGTGCCACAGGGGGAGCTCCTCTTTGACAAGCTGACAGGTACACCCCGTCCATCGCTCTGGGGTGCTCGACGACATGGTGCTGGCCTCGAGTAGCGACACGTCGGACCATGATATTGGGCGAGGCTGCCTTTCAGCTCACAATGCAGCCATATCGGACTGGGGTAGCAAGAAAAATGAATGGGGCCATTACGCTTTCGCTGAAGGTGGTTACAGTATGGCCACTGGCCGGCGTTCACGCACCTTTCGAAAGTTCCCTCCGCGCAGTAGTCTGCACTGAGGACAGGGCTGACATGCTGTGCGTGCGTTTGGCTCAGGGAGGCGAGCGCAAGACTCGAGCGTCCTGCAGATCGCCTTGTCGCTTAGCCAGGCTGAACGGTATGACAGGCTCTCGAGTCTCGCCGCAAGTGACCGTGTTGCACAGAGCGCCGTTGTGCAACTGCGCGGTAAGCAAACGGTGTCGACTCGACGACGCACATGCTAGGACTGCTGGAATGCGGTGTTGTGTCGTTGTGTCTGAGACAACCACAGGGAGAAGGTCAGTAGGCGGACCGTTTGACCAGATTGGTTTGGTTTACATGAGGTCAATAGCATGGTACACATGTCGTATCAGTTGAGCAGTGAAAGGCCAACAGAGATGGCGGAGCTGGAGTTTCATGTCCCCCACAGCCTTCGAGACCAAAGCTTGGGGCCCGTTCATCAGCTTCAGCCGAGATGGGAATAGGTTCGTGGCCAGCGGGAAATGGAGCCGCTCTCACCGCCATGCTGGACGGATCCCTCCCGTATTGCGTCTGGAGATCCGCTCGTGGAGCATGAGCACGAGCCACAGCCTGTGCGACGAGGTGTAGCAAGTGAAAGGAATGCCATATCAGAACCTGTCCAGGCCACAACTTCGATCCAGTGACTCCAGCCGGAGCTACCAATAAGATGCCGTCAAAGTGATGCGTGTGAGGACCACCAATGGAAGATACACTAGGAGCCAGGAGCAGCTGGGAATGCGCAATGAACAACTTGTCTCAAGAATGCCTCCTTGTGGCTTAGTGCGATGGAAACATCGCGAAGTGAAGACGCAAGATCGTGCATGATCTTTCCAAGGTTCCAGGTTTCGTCGATGGCTGGCCCATGGCGAGCTCCGTTACAGGGTAGCCTGCACGGCTTTGATTCCGCCGTCCAACGACTTACAGCCAGGCAGGCGCGAAACAAGCCAAGGCCAAGAATAATGTACTTACTACCTTGGCTTGAAACCACCTGAGCAACCACGAAAAGCCATCGCACATCGCTACGTTGGGCTTCGCCTGAACAACTCTGACAGGTCATCTTGGCAGTGGCCAGAACTTCTTTTTGATTAGCCCTTTTCCTCCTCGGCAGTAATGGCAGCAGTCCAACCGCTGCCCATCAGCACAGGCGGCGCGAGCCATGACGAGGCCATAGAGATGCTCCTTGAGCGATACTTGCACCTGCTCGATGAGTACACATCTCTCAGGTCAGAGCTCAGCAAGCTCCAGTCAGCAATGTACCAGCAGCTCGCGCGCGCCAATTTCGCCGCTGAGCGCGGGATCTGGTATGGGCAGGACTACTACGACGAGCGCATGCAAGCTTCGAGCACCGTCGTCGTCAGCGGGACTAGCTCGCCGCGATTCTCCGTCGTGCGCCGGACAAAAGCAGACACGAGGCAAAGCAAGACGGCAGGGTCGCCTGACTCATCAGCACTTGGCGGTGCTGCCGTGGGAGCTGGGTACAGTCGTGTCGGGGACGTGTCACATCCCACAGTCCCACCTCCCAATCATCAAACCGTAACAGTCGACTCTGCCACAGAGGGGCAGCATCGAGAGGCCATTCGGGAAGAGAATACATCGGTAGAGCACAATCGAGCGGTCTCTGCTGATTTGGAAGGGAGTGCAGACACCGAGGCGTCACCGGGAGCAGAGTCTGACCAAAAGGAGAAGGAGTCGCGACCGATGCCGGCTGATCCCATCCGCTGGTTCGGCCTCATGGCGCCGATGGCACTACGCCAGGCCCAGGCGTGCAGCAGCCGCGCCGTGAACGACATTGTGCCTAGGCTGGCAACGGTCTCGGTAGAGATGGCCGAGGTTGAGATTAAGGTTCGCAGGGCACGTAAGAGGCGCGCCAAGGCTGCTTCGTCTACCGCCAATTCCATCGCGGAAACATTTGTTACACCCAAAGAAGCCGTCGCGGCGCAATAGGTAGAAATTCTTTTTTGTAGGTGAAATACATATGAGAGAAATCACACAGCGAAGACAAAAGGGAGCGCTGGCGTGGCAATATGTTGCGAGCGGGGAGTCCGTTCAATGATGCTCGAATGCTATCATGTTCTGCGCAGGTATCATGTACTTGACAACATACTTTCGAGTCTAAGCCTGATCTTAAGAATGCTCAGTTGACCAACTGCTAAGCACGATGTCGTTTTGAACGATAAGTTACGACAATGAAGTTGCTTGCTAGGGTCTTGTTCAGCGGGTGAACCCATACGAGATAGCTAAAGTAGCTACAAGCAACTCGACATTGCGTTATAAGGAAGGCATCAAGGAATCATTGAAGGTCTCTCATCGACGATGTCATGCTGATCAGGACGTGAAGGTGATCTTAAGTCGAACAATCCTCGCGTAGGAAAGCCTAGGGAGGAACTCAAAGCTCGTTTGCGATATCAATAATCGTTAGGTTCATGCTCGGTCCATGTGAAGACATGTTTCCCATGCCTGGCTATCCCAAAGCTGACCTTTACTGATGTAACCGAGTCCCCCGTCGGTTCAATCGTGCACCTGAAGTTGATCATTGATAGCTCTCACGATAAGGCGATTGTTGTCGAGGAATGGGAGCCAGGCGTTAAACCCAGGATATTGAGGCCTTAATGGCTCGAACCAGCCGTTGAGACGTCCAGCCAGGTGTAGGTCATCGAGCTCCTCCAGCCACCTCACGTTGTGGCCTTTGACGCCTTCACCTTGTCTGAGGGCCTCAACAAGTGCCTTCGTCGCATGGGTGTAGCCATGGAAGATGAACGGCGGTGGTCTCAACGAGCTGGCTTTTGCGGTTCGAGAGCTTCGCAGAATGATAGAAGGACCTTCAGAGTAATGCGAATGACCCGCAACTGTGGCACGCGGCCACCCGAGGGGCAGGATATTTTGCTCTTCACATCGCCAGTGCAGACGGGAGGGCGTGGTGACCCTGAGTCCGAACGAGCACTCTCGCTCCGATGTGGTGGCCATCTGCTGCCTGTCGTTCTGAGCCGAACCCTCGCGCAGTGAAAGGTATACATATGCGGACGACCAGGCGATCATCACGGAGACACAGGTGTGCTTTCATCGGGCATGAGAAGGGACCAGATGGCCTGGTGCTGTCTCCCTGGCAGCACAAGCAGTTGAGAAAGAAGCACCGTGCAGTGGAAAGGAACGCAAGGCACTGCCCGCGCAGAGCAGAGAGTGAGTCAAATTATGTATAGATCAAAAGGGACGATTGAACCATTCGCAATGTCGCAGGTTTTGCCTCGAGTTGGTGTGGTGTGCGCTCACCCAAAACCAATATTTGGGACTTCTGCCTCCGTCCAGGACGCAGAGACATACCTTCAGCCGCTGCCGTGCGGCGTCTCGGTGCACTCATCTATTTACAGGCTATGCCAGGCACACTATACATGGGACTTTATTCTACAGACAAAAGGAAACCGGCCCGATCCCAAAACAGAACCTCACAGTTCTCATACACCAAATGATTCCTGCCGACATGTCGGTAGGCTGCAGGCTTCGCCTACTGGTGCTCAAGCATACGCAGCCCAGCCTGTGAAATGGTTAGCATTCTTGAAATATAGCAAGATCACAAAGCACGCAGCACGCAGCACGTACCAGAATACAGCACAGCAAGATTCTTGTCGTCGGTAGCCTGATTGATCAGCTCGTTGACGGTCGCCGTGACACTGAGCGTCTTGCTGAGCTTCTTGCGTACCACCTCGAGCGCGCGGTCCGCCTCGCTCGGCTCGTTGATCATCCCGGCGGCAGCCGCTCCTCCTCCTCCTCCTCCTCCTCCTCCTCCGTTCCTCCTGCTCTCCCCACGTGTTTCGATGACTGAATCCGCCACGTTGTTATTCTCGCCACCACCGTCAGCCTGGCGGGTGTCTTGCAGCTTCGCCATGCGCACAGGGCTGATGGACCAGCTGTACAGCGGATCGTATCTGAGCACGTCGAGAATCGTCATGATCGAGTATGACTCCTCGCGCAGCGCGTCAAGCGTGAACTCGCAGCAACGACGGAAGACCCCTTCGGTCTTGGTGATGCCCATGCCGTCCACAATGTCGCGTGTCAGGCGGAAAGGCACAAGCTCCGGGACGGGTAACACTCGACCCATCTCGAAAGCTACTCCTAGATCGATGTGAACCACCTCGCCGGTCTTGGAGTCAAGCAGGATGTTGTGCCCATGACGATCGCCCAAGCCAAGGACATGGCCTAGAATCGACACCGCCGCCGTGGTGCGCGTATATGCCGTGCGCTTGGCGTACCACTCGTCGGGATCGACAAAGTTCTCCATGAAGAAGTAGCGCATAACAGGGTGGAATCTTTCGGTAACCTTTTTGTACGTCGCCACGCGAACTTCGTTGGACTTGTTGGACACATTGTTAATCTCCTTGCGGCAGTGACTGCCCTTGAGATCCTTCGGGTAGTATCGCTCGTGTGCAGGCATGAGGTATTCGTGCAGCGGAATTGTGTTGGGAACGAACTCAATGATGCCCGAAGCCGAGGTCAACGGAAGTACCTTATACGTCCGAATGCCAAGGTTTCGCTGCTGCGTAGCCCTGTGCCTCTTCAGCACTGCGGAAACAGACGCGAATACCTGTTCCATGATGGCGTCTTGGCGGAGATCATCGTTGCCTCCTTTCACCAGCTGTTTGAACCTTCCTCCATTGCTTCCGACCGCTGTAATGATCTTCGGTGCGCTCACGCCTGAGGCGATGGACATGTGAGACTCCAGTTTGACTATGTATGGGACATGACTGTAGTCGCGACTTGGAGAGAGCTCGATGTGCGCTGTGGGTGGAGGGATCCGCCACTTGGCTAGGACCTGGCCAAGATTCTTTCCTGCAGTGGATTCAGAGATGGCGATTTTCTGACCAGCTTTATACCGGCTCGGATCCTTTTCCGCGGCAAGCCCGTGGTAGTACTTGCTCGTCTTGTCAATTGCCGCCCAGATCTTGGACGATGACTCAGTCTGCGCGAGCCGCCTGGCGATCTTATTGGTGGCTTCCTGTCGTGACACGGCGATTTCGTCTTTGGAATTGGTGCGAGCTCGTGCTCCAGACCAGATTTGGTACATGCCATGGTATGGATGGTCGACACATATGCGATACACCAGCTCGGTCAAGAGATTTTGGAACAAGTTGTCGTGGTCAAGCAGTCGGGAGGTGAGCTGATTCATAAGTGGCGCAAATTTCCGAGTCGGCACTTTGCCAATATACTTCCCGACTGCCTCGTTCGTCAACTGCTCGCCAGACCTTTCAAGCCACAGGGCACTGAATCGCAGTGCATCATCATTGTAAGCGTCCGATGCCATAAGTGACAGAAGGTAGCTCTCCAAGCTGCGCCTGACAAAATCCGCGCGGCTCTGCTCGACACGACGGAGCTCTTGCTCATCAAGCTCAAGCCACTGTCGGGCTTTGGCAAGATGATTCTGGTAGCGGTGTCTGACTTGCGAGTCCTTTGCGCTGGAGATTAACTCCTTGAGCTGGGCAACTTCATCATTCTTGCCCCGCCGCAAGCTCTGGAGTCGTGCCAGGTCTTCTAGCCCGTCCGGGTTTTGTAATTGCTCGTCACAAAACCGCGCAAATTGATGATATACTTTGCCCGCCTCGCGGCCATCGACCTGCCCTTTGAGCTCTCTCAACGCCGGCTGCAAGTAGTTCTTCTGGATTGTCTCGGGTTTCTCGAGTCGTGCAGTGGACATCTGATCGCCGATCTTGGCAAGCAGAGCCGGTCGACTCACAACAATGCTCTGCTTCTCGAGGGCCCGGTCTTCGTCCACTGCTTGGAGCATGCGGATAGACGGTATCATCTCCCCGTGGTCCCAAAGAGAACTGGCCATCTCGACCCGCGCGGCAGAGTCGAGAAAGAGCCCAAGCTCTTCGCTTGGCTTGACAAGATCTGCCATGGATACAGCGATATTTAAAGACTCCTGGGTTGCTTTGTGGTATCTGTATATCCCAGACGAGAGGATCATGGACTTGAACTCGGTAAGTCTTGTTTCTGCTTGCTGAAGTCCAGCAAGTCCCCTTAACTCAGCGGTTCGCGAAATCATACTCAAGGTGGTCTGACGACACGAGAGAATCTGGCCGACATCCTCATATCTAATTGATTAACAGTCAGCAAACATGTCCTGAAACTTCGGCAGCGTTTTAGGAGGTCATTATGTCAATGCACTACTCACCTGCCACTCTGCATCCATTGGGATCTATCCTCAAAGTCCTTGAGAAGCTTTTCTGCATTCCCCTGATCCTTCGTGTTCAGTGCATCATCAAGCTCAGTCAAGGCAGCAAGGACTCTGAGAGATTCGCGGACATCAATTGCTCGCAGGTTTTGTCGAGTAGCAATACGAACCGTCTCGCTGAGACTATTGTAAATAGCCCTTCTGGCTCCCGTGAGTCTGTCTGCTTGGTAGCATCCCTGGTAAGCTTTGTATAATGCAACGGATGGGTCCGTTGTGGATGCCGGAACAGGCAAATCCCACGACTCGAGCCTTCTTGCAGTGCTAAAGGTACTGGCGACTGTCACGCTCGACGAATCAAGGCTCGTCTGTGTCTGAAGAAGTGACTGGGCAATGCCGGGAAGTCCCACGTTATTAAGAATGCCAACCAACGATTGGCTGTCAGCTCTTGCAGCGGTGATGTTGTTGCGGAGGTTGCTATCAAATTGTGCTCCGCGGAATGCCAAACTTTTGCCCCCGTCGTTCTCATACTCGATGCGAGACAATACGCTGCCCAGATTAGATGCCTGAGATATGCCGTAGTAAGCATCGGGGTCGTCGATATTCTCGAAAATATCGAGAAGTAGATCAGTATCGCCCAGAGCGCGCGCAGCTGACGACCGACGAGATGTGCGCGATGGCTCCGAGCTTGCGATTTCAATGAAGAGTAGAGCTGTTTTGCTCATGCCACAGTTGGCGGCGGCAGCACTAGCTGCTGACAAGTCGATATCGAGCCACTGCGTGCGCCCCGCGATTGATGTCTCTCCCGGGATCTTCTGCGTGCGTAGATATAGGAGAGCATTCAGCAACACCCTCATGTTGTCCAGAGCAGCCGCCGAGTCTTGTTTGAGCCACGACTTTGCTGCTGCCGAGATCTTCTTACGTGCCGTATTGTGCTTGTCCTTTTCGTGCAACAAGACCAGATGAAGGACGAAAGGAAACGCTTGGAGAGCAAAACCTCGGATGTTGTGCAACAAGCCCGGTAAAGAGCTCAGCAGGATATTGCCAGGTACGGACATCGCTAACTGAACCGCAAGATCCTGGGACCAGCTGGAAGTTGCAAAGGCTTCCGCAGAATATAGATGGTCTTCAGGGACTACGGAAGTGGCCGGAATGTCAGAGGGCGGGCATCGGTATGGGTTCCAGTTCGATGCTGCTAATAGCTGTGGTGAAATGGCCCTTTGGCAGGCCGCGCTCAGCGCATGGTCGCCCTCACTGGCAGCTTCGGACACGACGATGCGAAGTGCAGCCTCTGCCATCCCAGCAGTTATGCTACTACTGTCCGTCGTATGAGACTGTGTGAGGTTCACCAGAGCCAACTCAGAGTCGAACTCATCAAACGTCAATCTGCCATAATGGGGGAGGTCGGACTCCTTGAGAATCCCGTCGTCAATGTGTCCGGAGGCTGCAAAACTCCGACCGATCACTCGGCCGGCCCAGGCCAGGAAGTCATCGCTGAGGACTGGGGCATGGCAACTGTCCCAGACAGCTTGCGAGATCTCCCTAGCAGTCAAATCATCCCCAATCACGTCGATATCAACAGACTCAGGAACTCTGAACTTCCCACAGAGAAGAGCCAAGGCGAGTTCCCGAGATGATTCGTTGAGCAGAGATGTGCGATTCGTCTTGTCGTGGAGAATTTCTAACAACAATCGACTCTCGTGCGTGTCTTTCTCTGCATTGCCAGAGGAGCGGATGTGTGCAGCGGACTGTGTAATAACCTTGAATGCGGCTCGTGATTGCTCAGTGTGAAGGATGGGCGACTCGTACTTGTCAAGGAAACGCTGGAGCCACACATGAAACTGCTGTGCCTTGCTCATGGTTGCTTTGAATTGGCTTTCTTGCGTGGTGCTTGACTGTGTGCTCTCGAGGAAAACCCGGAGCGAGGCAAGAATGGACAACGCATAACCTGCAAGGAATGATGGACATTGAGTGAGGCTGTCGGAACCCCTCTCTAGCATGTACTTGGTCAAGCCCAAAGCATCATCGGCTGACTCGGGTTCCACGATGAACGGTCGAATATAATGTAGCAACATCATCAATGGGTATGCACTCAGTGCGTGAGGGCCAGCCAGGCACACAAGCACCCGAACTTTCCGAAGAACTGCACATGCATGAAGTGGTCCGAGGGCGGGGTGTACGCTGACCAAAAGGCGTCTTGCGACTTTGACAACCAATGCGGGCGTCCAGAGTAAATGTGGCTCATACTCCGTACGGCTGCATAGGAGGGCAATCTCTCGGTTCAGATACTTTGCTCGATATGTTGGCTGTTGGTTGGCAGCCAGAACCACATCGGAGTGTCCACAGTCGCGAATCTCCGCCATTGCAGCCGCAGCGTAATTGAATTGCTCATCCTTGGACCAGGAACGCTCGATTGGGTCCTCTTGATCCATGAGGAAAAAGAACACGGCGAGAATGTCTGCGAAGTTGACATATATGTTTTCAAGGAACCTTTCACGGCCTAGTATCTTTCGGACTCGACTTTCTCCGCTCAAGCCATGTTGAGGCCGAGGTACACTGATATCATGTGCCATGCTGTATGCTATGATCTTGGAGAAGCTTCGCTGGAAGAGCTGGTCAACCGGAGCCTCGAGGGCGGCAGCAAATTCGGTGATTGCCTCATCCTGCCCTCGTATTATCATGACTGCCAGTATCTCGGCCTGAGCTCTCTTCAGCAGGTCCTCGCGGACATCAAAACTGAATATCTCGAAAGGAATGACGTCAAAGGTGTCGTTTTCAAGCCATGTATACAGGAGCTGCGGTGCGAAAAGGTCGAACAATTCTTGCGGGCTGCTGAGCTTCAGGTTCTTGGAAATGACCTCGAGGCAATGCGTCGCGTGTGGTTTAGACCTCGGGATGTTGCCTGGTGTTTCGAAAATATGGTATACACATCGGCGGAGCAGCGTAGGCCACGTCTTGGCCAGTTCCGACAGGACGTACAGCCGCAATGAGATACCCTCGAACGACGCTATATCGTTCGGGAGGCTGTCAAGAACATCGACGAAAACTTCATCGTGGACCTTTAGGACAAAACGTCCGAACAATGCCGGCAGCCTTTGACCGATATAAAATTTGACCGGAATGTTTGCGGAGCCCATGAGGTTCAGGAGGGATTTCGTCGTTGGCTCGAGCCCATTTTCTTCCAGAAACTTGTCATGCAGCTGTGTCAGACGAAGGAGCAAGCTTGCGAATCGCTTGTGTCCATCCGGCGACAATATGTTGTTTCCAAGGCCTCTGGTCAAGAAGAAGGTGTACAAGTCGCCCACTTGTAGAGCCATCTCGCCTTTACCTTCAGACCACATTGGCATGAGCCCTTGCATGACGTCTAGACATAAATCAAGCGCTACTTCGCAACCGGAATACGCCGAACGTCCAATCAGCATTCCAGCGCGTTCGATAATGGCACAAGCATCGTCTGGGTGGATGATCAAATCAGTCTCGACAATATCTTTGATCAAGTCGCGGCAAAGCAGCAACTGTTCGTCTGGGCAGGACAAAAGTTCCCCAAGGAATGTCGTCGGGATGAGCCCAATTTGATTCTTGTCTTCGTACAGCAGTTCCACGAAACGCAATCGTTGTGCCGTGTCCGCGAAAAATGCAGTAGAGCTTGCTGCGATGGCAGACTCCCGACGTGGCACCTCGACTTGTTTTGACTTCTTCCGCGACGCTCCTCGGTAATCATCGAAGTCGTCATCGACGTCCATCTCTGGCTCTGTATCTGCACCTAAGCTGCTGCTGGGCCCCTGTCGGATGGCCTTCGAAACATCCGCGAGCAGCCGATGGAGTTGCGACCAGGCATGCGGCAGCTTGCTGGTCTGTTCACTGAGTAGACTTGGAAGATAGCGCCGAACTAGGCTGAGGATACACTGGTGCAAGGACTCCAGGTCGGCGTTCATCGCAACATTGTCGAGAAGGCTGCTCAGGGTTGAGAAGATGCTCAGCTCCATGTCTTGCCATTGACGGCTTTGCTCTCCTACCAGATGTGGCAGGCACAGCGCCGCTGTGATCAGGCTACTTAGCGCGCTTTGCAGCTTTTCTCGAGTGATATACACAGCCGCATTCTTCTGCTCCCTTTGAGACGACCAGCTGCCACAGAGATCAAGGACCTCCTCGATCTTGGGATAGAGAAGTTCTGTCGCCAGTTTCCTGGTTGCTTGAGATGTGGAGGCACTCGCGGCATTTGATGAAGGTATGCTTGCTCGCTCTGCTGAAGGTGGTGAGGTTTGCGTCAGGTCTGCGCTACTGAGTAAGAGAATGTAACCCAGGATGTCGGCTCGGTCCTTGATAACGCTCAGTGTCTCCCCGATCGGCCCATGGTAAGTCTTGTATGCGCCAGGATTCTTGAAAGGCGTCAGGCCCGATGCAGCTGCCAGGAGATTGAAAAGGTCAAGAGGATTGCAGTGTCTTGAATAATTGGCAATGTAGGTCTCATCGGCTGAAGATCTTCAGTTAGTGAATGTGATAATATGATTATTAGTGTCACGCTTCTTACCTGGGTCCCACCTCAGGAACGCCCATCGTATGATACGTGTGCATGTGTTGTAACTCGAATTAGGAACTTGATGGTTCATCACTCGCAGTACGGTGGCCATGAGCATCAAGGTTGAGTCCAGCACGATTGCGGGCCCATTCGTCTCTGAGGTGTTCACAATGCTACCAAGGTCGCCGGCAATCTCGCGATACTCCAGGACATTATTCGTCATGACAGATGTGAGCAGAACGCTAGATGCACGACTGGTTGAACTCATGCCAACTACCCGGACCGCAAGTTGCCATGCTTGTCGCCAGAGATGGGACAAGGAAGAATGCAGTGCGTTGGCCTGATAGGAGAGGCTATATGAAGCAGACAAAACAGTCAGCAGGTGCTCGATGTGATCACTGAAAGGGACGCGCTTACCTCGCGCAGGATATCATTGCCCATGACGAGAATTTTGTGTCTTTGTGCCCGAGGAAATTCACGAGCAGAGAAAGCAGATCGTGGATCTCATCGGCACGGAGTGTTTCGCGCGATGCAAAGAACGACACTACTTGTAAGGCGACCTGCTGTATCAGTTTGTCCGGACTCTGCAGTCGTTGGCGTAAGCTGTTTGGGCCCCGAGTAGTTCGCTGCCGCTTTCGTGGTTGTTCATCAGTGTCGACCCTGTGAGATGAAGTGGCGGATTCTCGCCGCGTCAGAGCCTCCACCTGAGCGAGAACTTGTATGATTCCCCATTTGCTCTCGTGCTCAACACCAAATGGTTTTAATGCAAACCACCCATACGTGAATGGAGTGGCCGCGGAGACCGCAGTGTCATCGTAGAACACGAGGTGGTCGAGCTGAAGCTGCGTATTTGCATCTCTGTGTGAATACTCGTCCCACAAGACATCGGCCAGCTCGTCAACGTGTGCACATAGAGCTGATTCTGGAGACTGGCAAATCAGATACTCGAGATGTGGCTCAAGCTGCAGCATTAGACTGAGCATTTCGGTCCTAATGCTGTTGACAAGCGCGTCCTTATTTGAATCCTTTGCCCGCCACCAGAAGATGACAAGAGGTAAGACTTCCGCGGCTAGCGAGTTTGCCAGCTCGATATCGTCTGCCCCGATCTGTAACAGGACTTGATTTATGGTAGCGAATGCATAGAATTGCAGCTGGTTCATAGAAGAAGACTGGCCTTCGAGCAATCGAACTGCGGCGTACGATAGTGAGTGGCCGCGCTCCAGTAAGGGCGCATTTGGCGACTGTGAGAGGTAGAAAATGCATTTTGTCAAGGCGTCTGTAATCGTGTGAGTGGTACCACCAGTCTTGCCTCTGCCCAAGACCAGGGCTGACCTGCTGCTGGATGTCACCAGCGAGGCAGAGAAGCCGCCGGTTGGAGCTGGTGAGCTGCGTGCGGAAGCCGAGTCTCTATCAGGAGCTGGCTGATCTCGCTGAAGAAGTTGGGTGACAAAATCGACCGACGTGAACCACCCTTCGCCATCCAACTGAGCAAGCAATTCGACATTCGGGGGATGAGCCAGTAATGTCATAAGAGCCTTGACGTAGTCCGCAAAGAGCGGCACGACTTGGGTGCCATCAGGAGCTGGAAGAGTCTGTACAATGTGGTCAACGACCGACAGCAATGTCTTGCGTCTGAGCTTGCCTGACGAGATTTCCAAGACCAGTCGCAAGGCTTCGGCACAGTCCCGTAGCCTTCCAGCAGTTGAACTGTTTGATCTGCTTCTGTAATAGGCGTGCTTTTCGGACAATGCATATTGAAAGAGCGCCTCCGTGATGCTATGGTAGTCTTTGTCGACCAGTTTGTTGCTTGTCTGAATCAGTATTGCTCGCATGAGGGCACGGAGAGAACCTCGTCATTACTCACTAAACCGATGGGGGAGAGTTCTTGAGGATGTATAACAAGTCTGCGGGAGTCAGTGGGTGGCTTTGAAATGATCGACAACCGAGTTGGATCTCTGAACTGACTTTTCAATCCTGTCGCCCGTGATGTGCTACTCGAGCTACGGATGGCAGCTGCGAGGAGAGTGTCAGTCAGCCTGGGCCTCTGTGATGCTGGCAGTCGGGTTATGCCTGGTTCTTACCGATTGCACTGCCAATCGAGATTGGATGAGCCTCGCCCGACATCTTGCCAAGCAGGGCTGGCCATGAAGCCGACAATTCTTAAATCAAGCCAGTTCCAATCAGCGAAGACCCATCACGGTTCGTACAGACTAAGTGTTCCGGGCTCGAGTGTTGCAAACGAGCACAATCCGTGTATCTGGTCCCGGAAAGGCGCCGCTGACCAATCCTGAGCTGTGGTGGTCTTCGCTTCCGCAGTGCACAGTCGTTTGTCTCCGCCTCAAACGTTTACGATCACAGTCGCACAGAGAGATTAAAAGGAGCTCACGAGAAAGCCGGCCAGAGGCTTTGAGCCGATGCAGACGCGAAAAGGAGGGAATGCACGCGACACAGCTTGATGCAGGCCAGGTGCACGGAACTGGAGACTAGCTAACAGTCCATGGTGAGCGCGGCACCAACGAACGGGATTGACAAGGGTCCTGCTGGGCTTTGTGGTAGGCTGGACGACGGCAATTGTCTAACGACGGAGCAAAGTGCTAGAAAGTAGGCAGATTCAGCATTCTGCCGCACGCACTCGGCTTGTAAGGCGCATTCAAAGGCTTTGGAAGGATGACGACGAGGACCATGGCTTGTGAAACACTGCAGGCTGGCGAATTTGGGGGAATTCGCTTTGCAAAAGCACCAGCGCTCTTGTTGCAAGTCCAAGGCCCGACAGCCTTGCTGGACCCACGGGATGAAGCAGACCACACCCACAGCGCACAGCTCCCCGGCATTTGGCTACACCGCCTGCTGCATGTGGATTTTTATTGACTTTCCATCGCGACCAGGAACTGGAGCTTCTTGCCCGTCCGCGCAGTAGCTTTTGCGACAAACACTATTGCACCCATCACGCACACCGACCCGTCCCGACCGCGACGCCGAGCACGACTTTGACCTTTTCGACAGGGATTTCCCTCCGAGACCGAGCACATCCTTCTCTATCGGTCAGAAGGGTCACAGCTACGAGCGCGTCGGAGGCGCCGCCCTTTGCTTGCAGCACGACCATGCTATAGGATAGCGGAGCTTGCACTTCTTCACGATGGCCGAGGGAGGACTGTGGGAGGCCTTACAGGCTCTTCATAGAGATCTTGTGTTGGCTACCGAGACAAATAGGGAAGAAGGCGAGGAGCGGCGGCGGTATCCTCTGGGTCAGATCGTACAGGCGCCATTGCTCGACGAGCTCGCTGGTCGTTTTCGGACATTGCTCGACAAACCGTCACGCTCCCAAGGCAGTCGAGATGCGGTCCTGTCAGGTATGCCACACGCGTCAAGGCCGCGCTGGCAGACTAGGCAAATCACGCTAACAGGCTCCAACCAGGCAAACTCGTTCTATCCGAGACAGAATGGACATTGAACAAGGACTTCCAGGAGATCGCCCTCCAAGTCGCCGATGAGCTCGATTTGGACGAAAAACAGGCAGCCGCACTGGTCCTCGAGTCGGAAGAGTACGAAAAGGAGCTTGGGAGGTCAAGACAGGAGAGCGCCATTATTCGTTTTCATCAACAACGGCTTTATCTTCTCAGCTGCATGCGTCTTCTCCTTGACCTTACCAAAGGCGACGATCATGGCGACGACGACGACGAGATTACCAGCCAGCTCAGAGAATATGTCGACGCCAACATCCTCCGAGGGAGCACACAGGGCGCCGGGACAACTGGCAAGGCCACACGCTTCGTGCCTGCATGCATCACTGCCATGCGCGACATCAAGACTTGGTTGTCTAAGCTGGTTGAAAGGGCGGCAGGCGCTTCCGTCATTGGCTTCAACTCTGATTCCCAAAGTCTTGAGACGCACGAGTTTCAGCGTGTCAGTCTTGTACAGCAACATGAGCTTCTGTCTAGCATCCTCTGCTATGCAATTGAAAGAAGGAAAGCTAGCGAAGAGGACTTTTCCGACTTTGTCATCGCCTTGAGACGGGTGGACAAATATGACTTCTCACTGGGTAAGCACATCCATCAACGACTAAATCATTGCCGAGAGAGACCCCACTAACCCTTATGATAGTGCACCAAATGCCCATCCTTGGCACCTTCATCACGGTATTCGGTTCGACTGAAGGCAGTGGGTACGTCGAGCAGGCAAGAAAGCTCAACGACGTCGTTTGCGGTCCGCCCGATGACGCCGCCCGGCTCACCTACCTCGGCGCCGCGATTAGAGCGTGGTGGGTGGCAGAATACAGCGGATGGTATCTCGAAGATGCTCCTGGCTCTGTACTGGCAGGCGTCAATGTTGATGCTGGTAAGAAATCACTAAAGTCCCTGCTCCGCAAAGTCTATTGCTGACATTGCGACAGAGGATCGCGAACGATCAAAAATATTTACAGAAGCCCTCAGAGACGGGGCATTCGACTTTCTGCTTGCACTTGTTGCAGACGCCACAACCTCCGAATGGCAGGATCCCGCGCGTGCGCGCTTGTGTACCTGGCTGAGAAGTCGAACGCCTGCCTTGCCGCCAGACACTGTTCCTTTCTCCGACTTCCTCCAAAACCAGCTCAAAGTCAAACTTGACGCCTTCGTGGATGCCTTCATTTCCAATATGCCGGATGTTTTAAGACGACTGCGGTCTGAGGAGGACGAACAGCGGCAGATGCGACCGGTCCAGGAGCAGCCATTGGATCTTGAGCGCTTCTTGTTAATCATTGCCTATGCCTATGAAGCTCGGCCGGAGGCTGCCGAAGCGTTCTGGTCTGATCCAGACAGCAATCTGGCGGGCTTCCTCCACTGGGCGTCGCGGCGCGCCTCCACTCCTCTCATGACTGCCTTCTGTGAAATGCTGCAGTGCCTCTCGGAAGACCCCGAGTCAGCAACGGCTGCGCATAATTTCTTATTGGATGATGGCCACAATGCATCTGGCAAAATGAGACAGCCGCTTTCTCTCACATGGGCGCAGATCCTGAAAGAGCTGGAGTACTTCGTCAACAAGACCCGGGAGCAGCCTTTGGCTAGCCAAGCCACGACAGCACGCACAAACAAGATTGCTGCGGACCAGCTCGAGGTAGAACCCGAGACGGCGACCATGATCGAGTGCTACTTACGACTGATGGCGAAGCTTGCGAGCAACAGTGAAGATGCCAGGCTATTCCTCCATGGCCACCCAAAACTGACGGATTTGCTGTTGCAGCTCGTTTGCAGCATGTGCCAACACTCAACTAGGGCGTGCGCATTCAGGGCTTTGGGCTCTTTCATCAACCGCAAGACGTTGGCGGACAGCTATGCGATGTGGACCTCCCTGGAAGCCTGCCTCACTGGCGCCTTCATTCCCACATCGTCCGCAAGGCAACCCGGTACTGCAGGGGCCCTGCCTCCATCCTATTACATGGAGGCGCTGTTTCAAGAGATCAGCTCGTACGCTGACGAGGCCAGCTCCTTTGTCCAGCTCCTCACAACCTTGACAACGCTCCCTGAGGGATATGCTCCACTCAACGATGTACTCCCGTTCCCAGAAGACCTGGGTTCTTCGACACGGATTCACTCTGGCATCGAGCCTTACATCGACTTTGTTCTCGGCCATCTCTTCGCCGTGAAGGTCTCAGAGGCTACAGATACGATTCAGAAGAGGATTCTGCGCTTCGTCTGCCTCGACTTTGCGCTCACATGTGTTTCATCCTTCAACGAAGATCTGGTCGTCTTCGGCAGTCAGGCAAACATCGCCATCGATTCATCTGTGTCGACGAAGAACCTCGCCACTTTCGTCAGCCTGCATCCATTCTCTCGCGTCATGGAATGGATGTACGATAGCAGATTTATCAGAAGCCTCCTCGAAGTGATCAACCAGCCTGCAGCAGACATTGGCCGCGCGGAACCGAACTCGCCACTCATTCTCGGCGTGCTCCGTGCTGTTCAGCTGGTGTCGAAAGTACTAGACTTGCAAGCGACGTACCTCGATTTGGTACGACCCATCACCAAGCCGCAGAGCAAGCGCCAGAGCCATTCTCCCTACATGCCGACATCAAACGGTGCCTTCGCGTCGATTGAGGACGGGCTGCTTACAAGCCTGACTCTGGTGTCTGATCTTGGCGGCTATTGTGGAATTGGCCATCCAGAGCTGACCCTTGCCAGTCTCAAGCTCCTCGAGCGAATCTCGACGTCCGCGCGTATTGTCTCGGCGTGGGAGATGGACGCGTATGGCCAGCTCCGCCGCAATAGAGCTATCGTGGCTCTGGAGGAGTACGGAGCGGCAGACACGATTGCCGGCTCGTTCCAAAACGAGCTGAGCACGCCACTGGACTCGATCAGGCGCGCAGATGCGCCTGAGTACATGATCAAAGTCTATATTCTCGACTTCTTGTATACTTGCCTGCAAGCTAACCCTGACCGGCCCACCATTGCTCATCTTCTGCTCGGTTTCCATTGTGATGCCAGCTCACTCAGCATAGAGCCCGGCAGCCCGTTTGACGAACGGACGAGTTTCTTCCATTCGCTCCTGCCACTCCTGCTCGAATTGCCGTCTCGGGACGAGAATGGGGTATCGCAGCAGTGGATCATCAATCTCAAGTACAAAGTCATGCGGCTCTTCAAGATCTTATGGACTTCGCATCTGTCTGCGGGCCTTGTGCTCAGCGAGCTCCGAGAGAATGATTTTCTGCTGCACCTAATGCTCGATGGAATCATCGTGCAGCAAAGCACATCGTGGGACGGGCCTCAGGCCAGTGGTGTTGACTTCCTTCTCACCCCTGCTGCACAAGGCTACGTAGACTACCTCGCAATGCGAGCGATGGCCATGGACTACATGACGCGAGAGCTATGCAGCGTCTCGACGGGCCAGTCCCCCGCCCTCAAGCGACAATACTTCGACGCTCTTGGCGGCCAGGTCAAAATTGATGGGTCGAACGAGCTCATCCCAGTAGCATCAGTGTTTGAATTCCAAGATTCCCAGACACAGGAAGCAAACTTTGAAGTTGCTGCGCCCAAGCTGGTCTTCCACGAGGGTATCAATCTGAGCATATGCCTCGAAGCAAACGACGAGTCCGGGATGATTTTCAACATCAACAAAGTCCGAGAACTGCTCCTGCTGCGGAGGAACGAGTTGAGTTCCTCGGGACAGATGATATCGCAGGCCGACCTTGCGCCGATGGAAGTCGAGGAAGACTTCGTTGTTGAATTCGCGACGCAGACGAACACACGAACCCATATGGCTGCTTACAGCCTCGAGGTGCTGCGTGCATGGACGAGACTTCTCCTGGTCATGACGGACTCGAACGACTACAAGGGTGCCAACAAGACATCATTCATTCTGCAAACGCTGCAGGCCATCCTGCCAAATCTCGAACTGTACTCTACAGAGATGCCCGTGGCTGCGTTCGAGCTCGCCGAGCTTGCCAAAGTACTGGTGTTCAAGCTCGACTTCGCTGCTATGGCTTCGGCGGACCAGGATAGTCGCGCAATCGAGAGTCTGGTTAGCGACAAGCTCTTGCAGCTGCTGCAAGTCTGCCTCGGTGCCATCACCCGGTGGAGTGGGGATCCTGCCTTGCGCTCCATATACTACAGCATCTGTTACCGGTACCTGACAATGCTCATCGACCACGGCGAGAGCGCCGCCACGGCCCGCCGCAAGACAGCCAAGATGATTCGTCTCTTTGGCGACAAACTCGTGACCGTCATCTGCGATGATGCCTCGAGTGGCATTCCTGCCTGCCAAGCATCTGCTCTAATTCTCCTCGGCACACTGGTGAACCTTGGACAGCAGGAAGGCGATGCTTACGTGGTTGAGGCGCTTAACAAGCTTAATTTCATTGGAGTGCTCGTTGACTCGCTGCGGGAAGTGATGCAGGAGTGGGTGGAAATCAGTCAATCAGGTGCGCATCGAGGATCAAGCCCTCAAAAACATTCCAGGCCTGCAAATGCCCAATCAAATTGCTAACATTAACTCTTTGCTATTAACTAGGCAACTCTGAGCAGGAGCACTACCACAACGCCAAGCTTGCGCTGCTGTCACAGCTGTGCCAGACGCGGGATGGCGCCAAGTATGTCCTGCACGCTGGGCTGTTTCGCGCGATCGAGCAGTCGGGCTTGTTCGGAGTCGATCCGGAGCTGCAGGTGAGCTCTACGGACCCGCTGGCGCTGGAGCGGCATTACGCCTTGCTCGTCAAGGTTACGCGGGTGCTTGGCGCGGCGATCATCAGCAGAGCCTCGCATAATCTGCTGCAGGGACGGCGGTTCCTGACGGAGCACCGCATGCTCGTGATGCACGTGCTGAAGCGGTCTGTGGGCATCGGTTCCGGAGGCACGGGCCAGGCGGAGCGCAAGCTCGCTCAGCGTATCGACGAGCTCGCCGAGGCGCTCCTCCTGATTATCTCCGCCACCGAGTTCCTCGAGGTATGTCTTATCAAAGTATATTTCAGTTTTTTTCCCTCTCGTGACTGTCACGCAATGTGGCAGCCAGTGCCACGTCGCACGTCGAAAACTTCCCGGGAGCTTTGGGCGAGGCTAATGCAGATATGTGTCACTTAGTTCGAGGCTGGATCTCTGCCCGAGTCCAAGCCAGGAGCCGTGCCGGTCTTTCACTAATCAGCGATGCCCGGAAGTGCTCGTGCACCGCGCGAAAGGTATCCAGTCTTGCCGCGCTGGCCGTTCTCCCCCGTGGGGAGTGGCCTGTGCCGTGCGTCTTTGGAGGAGAAAACTACAGTACGCTAAATAGACATCTGGAGCAAATATGGAGAATCTGCCTTCTTGCCGTAACGATAGTTTCGGTTTGTGGTACTCTTCCCCGGATTCATCCGTAACTATGGCCAATCAGTCATCTAGATGCGGCTAAAAACCCCCGGTTCAACTGTATGTCCAGAGTCGTAATTATGTAAGAATGTAATAACTAGAACGCCTCGCCCTGCGATGGAGTGGATTCACGATTTGCGTGGCGCAGGCACGATAAGGGAAGACAGGGGGGCAGGGCAGGGACGCTAGACTCGATGCGATCACCGAATGGTATCAGACTGGCGGCACAAATTGTCAACGCCAGGCCCCCGGGCGTGTTGTCAGTGGTGCAAAGGACGAGAACTTGCAATCAAAATCAGCCGTGGCTGAGCATTTGCGATCCTGTCATGGCGTATTACGTGGAGATGTTTGCCTTTATGTACATCCAAGTGAGAAGCGCGTGCAGCTGCGCCACAACAGTCAGATCGGCTTGAGACTCTGTCTCGAACTCTGAGTCTACCGGCCGGAAGAGCTTGTTTGGTTCGGCAGGGGTGGCTGTGGTGACTGCTAGCGGCCCGAGAGTGCAGGAGCATGCATCCGAGCAATCTATTGTGAGCCGCTATACGCTGCTGGGTTGAGGACTGCCATGGAGTCAGATTCGGCCGAGCCTGCCTGCATCGCTCCGTGCTGTTGAGCGTACAAATAACGCTCGAACCGCCAACAGCCTGCCCGTGCCAGGCCCTGTCGCCAGCAGGTCAGGGTCCATCCAACGTTGCTGGAGAACCTGGCTGGGGAGAAAGTGGAGCTTGGAGCCTCCCCAGGAATTGGATCTGATCAGCAGCGAGCTGTTAGGTAAGAGTAAGCTAATAGCGCTGGCAATGCCATGCCAGTGTGGACATCACGATGCATCAAGCTCAACAACACCTGAGCGCGCGCAGAGATGACAGGATATGGAAGAGACCCCGCAAGGGCGTATAGCGGAACAAGTAGGCAGCGCGATGTTCCTCATCTTGCCGAGTCGTACTGCGTGCAGACAGACCACACGGCCCCGTATGGTGATGCAGGGATGGCCAACCAGTTCAGGGGCGGGCTGCTAGGCAATGATAAGTACGCTAAGTAGTGACAAGATACTCGGCACCATGGGCCCTGGTGCTGCTGTGTGCCCGGTGACGAAAATGGTCTTGTGGATGATCGTGCACTTTGGACAACCTTGGAAAGACTGACGGAGAGAACGCCTTGGCAGGCGGAGACCCCGTTGAGGCACAGATAAGGCCAGCAGACGTTAATGGCTTGACCCATGCGGCAGCGATGTGGATGGCGCACGCTGCCTTGCGCGGAGCGGCTGTCTGCCCTGCAAGCCATCCTCAGTCCGTGACCGAAGCCTTCTAGAAGCGAGACAAAAACCTTGTGCTTTGTGCGGGGGCCGCCACATGGCGGCGCCTCCATGAGCTAGGCGTGCAATCTCTCAATGGATTGTTTCGCGACAAGGCGGCACCGATTCGACGTGACGCGCTCACCTCTGCGGGCCAGAGCTGCCGAGATGCTCTCGTCTTCAAGAACCGCCCTGGGGTGCCGCACGGGTCGGCCAAGGTGACGGGACGCGCGATTCGAGTGCTGGCTGGGCAAGACGGATCGACGTGAGGAGCTGAATGTTGTGCAGGGCCAGTGGCGAGGTTGCACGGCGCGGCAGCGCTGCCGCCTCGAGTGAGTGGTGGGTTGTCAGACGGCGGGAGGAGAGTTGGAAGGAGCCGGAGCCTGGTTCACTCACTCACTGGGCTTGCTGAGGCACTCCACCGCGCGGCGCCGGCGCAGTGCAGGGGGTCCTGATAAGGATGGGCCAGATGGAGGCAGGCGCGACCTAGGAGGCTTGGCGCGGCCTGGGAGTGGCCGGGCGCGGCAGGTGTGCCAGTGCTTGGCAGCTCTTGTCCCCGTCAAGCCTGTCTTGACCAATCTTGAGTTGCCCACAGCCGTGGCCACTCGTCCTCCGAGGTATGTGCGCCCGCCTCTTGGCACACACTCCACCTCCCGCCCATCATCAATCACCCTCGCCTGCGATGCGAGGCACGCGAGCGCCCACCAGCCACCCCCCCGGCCAAGCCTGGCCCAGCACCCCCAGACTATGCGACCAGGGCCCCGCGAGTTCCCTCATGCGGCTGTTGCTGCCGCCCAGCGAGGGATCATCGTCCTGGCCATGCCCCTTCGAGAGCAATTTGGCCGAGGTGTGTCTTGGCCACGCCCGCCCTTCTCCTGCTATTAAAGCCCATCGTGGTCGCACTCTCCTCCTCCCCCGACCTGATGCCCGGCTCTCCCAGCCTCTTGTCGTTCTCGCTCCTCTGCCCTTCCCGTGTAGAGTGAACTGAGCTTGAGCCGTACCCTGCTCGCCTCCCGGTACCTCATCCAACCTAGGCATCTTGAGCACCAGCGCCTGTCTTGCGCCCATCCCTCCATCATGGACAACAGCGGCATGATCCACCGCACCGGGTCCTCGTCCCCCGACGCGGGTCATGGCTTCAACGAGAAGCATGGCGACTACGATGCTGAGACCACGTACGTCCGCGGCATCGAGACCTCGGCCGAGACTGCGCTCCACCGTGGTCTCAAGGCCCGCCACATCACCATGATTGCCATTGGTGGTGCTATCGGAACCGGTCTCATCATCGGTACCGGCAAGGCCCTCGCCCAGGCCGGTCCCGGTTCCATTCTCATCTCTTACTCCATCGTTGGTTTCATGGTCTTCCTCGTCATGGCTGCTCTCGGAGAGATGGCTGCTTGGCTCCCCATGTCTGCTGGTTTCACTGGTTACGCTTCCCGGTTCTGCGACCCTTCTCTCGGTTTCGCCCTTGGCTGGACGTGAGTACCACAGTTTTGAGCAAAATCCCATGCGGCGACGCGTTCCATATATACTGACTCTGGATGGCCTAGTTACTGGTGTAAATACATTATTGTCACGCCCAACCAGCTCACCGCCGCTGCTCTAGTCATCCAATTCTGGGTGCCGAGAAATGTGGTCAATCCTGGTGTCTTTATCACGATCTTCCTGATCTTGATCGTCACCATCAACTACTTCGGCATTCGCTTTTTTGGAGAATTCGAGTTCTGGCTCTCCAGTTTCAAGGTCATTGTCATTGTCGGCGTCATCCTGCTCTGCCTCTGCATTGCTACCGGTGCTGCTGATGGTGTTCCGAGAGGTTTCACCTACTGGAACGACCCTGGGTGAGTCACGAGGCCTCTCCTTGTTCTAAATTTGCGCGTGTGTGCGTTAGCTAACCACCTGTGGTCTTCCCCTTGCAGTGCATTCGTCGCGTACCCCCCCGGAGTCGGCAGCGGTGCTTCTGGCAGATTCGCCGGTCTCTGGTCGACCATGGTCACCGCGACCTTCGCCTACCTCGGTACTGAGCTCGTCGGTGTCACTGTCGGAGAGGCTCAGAACCCTCGCAAGACTGTTCCCCGCGCCATCAAGCTCACCTTCTACCGTATCGTCTTCTTCTACGTCATCAGCATCTTCCTGCTCGGCATGTGCGTCCCTTACAACTCGCCCAAGCTCGCCTTCGCCCTCAAGGCCACCACCGGTGCCAGCGCCTCGCCCTTTGTCGTCGCCTCGCAGCTTGCCAACATTGCCTACCTCGACCACATCCTGAACGCCTGCATTCTGGTTTTCGTTTTCTCGGCCGCCAACTCTGATCTGTACATTGCTAGCCGTACCCTCTATGGTCTTGCCTCTGACGGATCCGCCCCAGCCATCTTCCGCAAGACTGACAAGAAGGGTCTCCCCATCTACGCGCTCGGCGCATCCACTCTCTTTGCTCTGCTCGCCTACCTCAACGTGGCAGACGACTCAAAGGTGGTCTTTGGCTACTTTGTCAACCTCACCACCATCTTCGGTATTCTGTCCTGGATCTCCATCCTGGTCACCCACATCTGGTTCGTACGTGGTCGCCGTGCTCAGGGTCTGGCCGACTCGGACATGCCCTACACGGCCCCTCTGGGCATCTGGGGCTCCTACGGCGCTCTGTTCATGTGCGTCATTGTCGCCCTGACCAAGAACTACGACGTCTTCTTTGACTTCAGCCTCAAGACGAACCAAATCACTTTCGTCACTGCGTATATCGGCATTCCTGTCTACCTCATCCTCATTTTTGGCCACAAGCTCTGGACCAAGAGCAAGGGTGTCAAGCCCCATGAGATGGACTTCTATTCTGGCAAGGACATCATCGACCGTGAGGAGGCCGAGTTCCTTGCCCAGAAGGAGGCAAAGGCTGAGAAGAGCGCCGGAGGTTCCTTCTACAAGAAATGGATCTCGTGGCTGCTGTAAGGAGGGATTATTTCCAGGAATCGCGCAGCTCGGCATTACTGGGCTGCACAAAGCTGTCACTGAGTCTGCTTCATGTTTAAACGATGACGATGGAGAGAGCCAGCTTCGGCTGCTATGTTACCCGATATACCCGTAGAATATCTACTTTGAGAAGTTACAAGCGCATCAATACAGATCGTTTCTAGCCATGTTGGATGATTCATCCCCGGTTGCTGCCTGTGCAGTCGTGACTGCTACCGCTCAAAAAATACACAATGGGGTGCACTTGTTTGGCGCGCGACTCAAGATGGCCTGGATGTTGACAACAACTTGACGTAACGGGGTTCTTGGCCCGGTCTTGGCTTATCGGGGTCAGGGTGCGTGCCCACCCAAGGATAATTTGCTTGATCCAGGCTTGAGTCGTGCTTACCAGTGATACGTGCTCTGGGACATGCACTGCCTCGAAGCTTGGCCCATTCAAAGAAGTGCAGGGTTTTCTAACTGTCTTTCTTGTCATGCCGGGCGGGCTTGGATTTCTTCAGACTTGGCGCTCTAGAGGGAGGGACATATGCTCGCACTAGGTCGACTTTTTTACCTCTGCCGATCTGGGCTGGGCACACGCAACGTGGCTTGCTGATATTCATGTACTCTGGTATGTCGGGCCACACACTCACACACACGCCTTGTATGCCATGCGATTTAAGTTTTTTTTTATTTTCGGTTGGTTGCATCATCCTCGTCAACTTAATGCCCGTGCAATCGGGTCCTTGCCTTTGTGTCATTGCTGTTGTGGTTCTTGTCGGACAGGGATTTTGCTTTCCGGCCCCGACGACAGTCGGATCACACCACCACCACCACCACGGGAGTCGTTGGCAAGAAGATTGGGTTCGCGCTATTATAAAGGATTTACTTACATACATGTTGCCCCCCCCCTCCCCCGAGGCCTGCAACAGGTGCGTGTGGCGCTATTTTGTTTCCCCTTGGTGAGATCCTCTCTACGTGCTTTACGCAGTTAGACTAGTCCTGGTACTAAGAAGTGGGCGCGCCGCCGCGGTGCTGCAAGCCATGCCCATCTTTCCGAGTCTCGAATCTTTGCTTGGGGCAGCGGGGTGGGGCGGGGCCAGGGCGGGGCAGCAGGGGCAGGGTATGTCTCACTGATTCCTGACTTTATTCGAATGCGTAAGAGGGAAAAAAGGACTACCTACTCGAATCGGGGTTTGCGGGGGAGCAATAATGTTTAGATACGGAGTCCCGCCGATTTTCTGGGCCGGCGGTAAAAGGGGAGGGGTGTGGGTGTTATGGGGGTTCGAGCTTTTGCGATTTCGTCAGTGGGGGAAAGGGATTGAGCACGGACATTGTAAGTCAAGCATCGCATGTTTTTTTGTCTCTCTTGGTTTTGCTGTACCAACACGAAGGATAAGGGTGGGGATTCATGGCAGTATGTGTGGTGTGCGGCATGGGGCATAGAGGCCATGGTATGGGGGCAGAATGATGGCAACGAGAGGACAGCAAAGGAAAAAGACCGATACGGTGTGGCGTGATAGGCAACGGGCTCTGGGGTGCTTATTTCTTGGGTATTTCTTGGGTATTTCTTGGGCATTTCTTGGGCATTTCTTGGGTCGTTGGTCTGGGCCGTTCGATGGAAAAGCTGGCTTGTGATAGCAGTTCCTGCCGGGCGCTCTGGTTTTGTTCGGGTGTTGTTGCTCATGCCCTCAGTGACCAGGCTGATGCAATTACTCAGTCTCCATTGTTACCTGGTAGCGTATGCTATATATAAGTTTTGCGGCACTCAATGCTAATGCACTATGCACTGGCCCAGGATTCAATTTCGGAGAGTTGCCGAAACACAATGCTCTGGCGCCACTTTGCACGAGTCAAACGAGTCGCTGAGGACGACTGCAGCCAAACGTACAGGCTTTACTCCCCTTGTAGGTGCGGATTGGGTGCTGTAGCCCCAGGCTTACAGGACCATAACCGCCGCCACGGTGCTGCTCGTTGGTGGTGGTCACAGGTGTGTTGTTGCTGCTTGTTCGTGCAGGGTGTGGCTTGCTGGGCCTCTGGACCGACCCTTGGCAGCTTACGCCCGCCTGCCTTGTCAGGCAAGGCTTCGCATCACTTGACGACGCCTCGTCGTCGACGGTTGTATGTACCCCGACGGCAACGCCGGCCGGGCTGGTGTAGACACCTCGAGAGAGACAACTTGCATGTGGCTGGCCGGCCTGCTGCTCTTGCTTGTCACTGGCTGACGACAGCCGCATGCATGTTGACCAGGCACTTCTTCAGGCCTCGAGATAGGTAATTCTGATCCCACTCCAAAAAGAGGCGTGACCGGGGAGGGGGGTCTCCCCTGCCACTCGTGCCATTTACGGGACAGCTGCTGTCTTGTTGCAAACATCCCTGTTGTCGCTTTCCTTTGGTCTCCCCTTCAGGAAGATCGAGGAACGCTCCTGCACTGCACAGATCAAGAACCGCTCGCAATGGAGATGGGATGCCAATCTGGCTTCCCAAGACATGGCCAGACGCGTTTTTTGCACGTGTCTTCCCGAGAGGGTGCGCGGCAACCACCGGCTACAGAAGGCTAACACCCCAGGGACGGAGTGCGGGCCCCCTTTCGACGATTAGCCTAGCCTACCCGCTTTTCAAACCTAAGGTTTCCGCTGGTGCTAGCATTTACCCATACATGCCCAGTAGCTCCGTCCCTGAACCGGCCCTTTTCCTGTTTAGCTCACCTTGTTTAACTTTTTTCTTGTTGTTCTGGTGTCAGTGGATATATTCGCCAGGGGCTTGTGGGGCAAGACAACTAATTACAGTACCTTCAACCCCGGGGCCGGCTGAGGCTCTGCTGCGTAGATCTTGAGTCGATGGTGCGTTGCATGTGGGCTGCCATGTTTTCCAGTATGCCGGGACTTCGGGTGTTGCCGAGGCTGGACCAATTCCCGCTAGACAAATGACTGGATCCATATGCTGATAGGAATGAGTAATGGAATTCGTTTGTCTTTGACAGTACGAAACCTGTGTGTGTCTGCCTCTGGTGGGCACTGGTTAGGCACCTAGCATCGCGGGTCAGGAACTTGTTCGTTCATTTCCCTCGATATGTGAAACTGTAATTGTAATACTGATGACTATCGACATGGCATGCTCTAGCTTGCGCCAACCCTCTCTGGAGGGAGCTTCTGAATGCTTCACTGTGCATTAGGCGGCCAAAAAGTGGCTGCCGCATCTCTTATATACATGCCCCGTCCGTCTCGATGATTTCGGTCAATGACCAGGCCCAGACCGACCATCTCGGTATAGCGGGCGATCGCGGGCTTTGGATATTTTGCAAGGGGCTGGCGCTTGTCTCGCTTCCCTGCTTGTGGTGGTTCATGAAGCTGCTTTCTTGCCTTGTCTTTCCCGTCTGCTTTACCGTAGACATTCTCCGCAGTGGTGGTGCGTCCTGCTCTGTCGTGAACCTCGGTAAAGGTCCACGGTGATTTTCATCCACGTGGTGCTGTGGTGAAGGAGACCAGAACACCCGCGCACGAGTTGCCTCAACCGCGCGACGACGCAGATCCTGCGATAAGTCCGCCGCTGGTGGATGGCCCACCACACATTGAAATCTGGCCGCCACGTATTGGGAAATCGGGGTCTTCGTCAACCTCGATGAAAGTGTCCCGCTGTTTGCGAGACGATTACCGTTATTGCAAGCAAGTTCACTGCGCTAAAACAGGCTTGGGTTGGAAGAAGAGCATAAGGCACATGGAAATTCCGAAGATCCTTGCAAGAAATACAATGCACTCGAATCAATATCATCATTGCGCCCCCAGAAGCCAATGTGGTAGCTTTGTAGCCTCGCTTCTCAATGACTAGACGGCACAATGTCTCCGAGCCTGTACACAATGTGGACACAATAATATTGTGGCGACCAGCCTTGTCTTCGACTATGGACCTTCAAAACTGGTCTACATGCTATCAAGCAATTTGATCGCCTCAGCCAGTTCGGATGCAGAATGGCTGGCTGGAGCTATGGCGCTCTTGAGTCGCTCGGCAATGCCACGCACAGCCCTGCCAGAGTGCACGTATCTCCGCCGCATGCCCTCACTTGCGCCCTGCAGCAGCTTGGCAGCCATCCAAACCACATCGACGAGGAAATCGACCAGCTCCTGCTCCCGGAGCTTGGCAGGGTCATCTGGTGCATCGAATGCTGCGACGCCGGTGACCACGTCCATCCACTGTTCTGGGGTGCTCCTTTCCGTGTCCATCACCAAGTCTAGTACAAACACGATCCGGGTGCCGCGGATGCAGTCGCCAGGCAGCATGGTGCTCGCGTCCGATGCGCTGGAGAGCACGCCCAGCAGATCTTTCGTCAGCGTTGACCATCCGTTTTCCGACGCGAACGCCTCAATCCCATTCGCTGTCCGCAGGATGCCTTCCAGTGCTGTCAGGATCGGCAGGCGATAGTCCAGGCCTTGGGGGTTGGACTGCGTGGGGCCAGAGGTGCTGCTTTGATACAATTCCAACAACATGTCCATCAGTCCTGCGCCCTGCTCGCGCAGTGCGTCTCCATCGTCGTCGCGGAGCCACATGGCAATAGCTCGGATGGCCGACAGCGTCAACGGATCTGTAGTGGCGTTGTCGCCCTTCGAGTCCCATGCCAGGGTCATGTGTGAGCCCGAGGAGGTGTGCGCTTGTCCGGCACGGGCTTCACGATGCAGACCGTGTGCTCCCGCAACAGACGCATCCCAGCGATCTCTCAGGAACTCCATGGTGACCGAGATCGTCTCGGCAATGGACTTGCTGAGCTTGAGCATCAAGTCTGGCTCGAGGTTAAGTGCGTCGCTTGTTGAAGCTGCTGTACCGTCTTCTGGGCTATCCAACTTCTCCATCCAAGCGATCAGATGGCCGATGAAAGCAGTAAGGATGTCCAGGGCCGATGTCAACCTTCTTGAGACTTGAGCGTACTCTGGGTCGTTCAATTTATCCAACAATGAAGGCAAAGTTGCTCGGATGTCGACCAATACGAGGCTGATGAACAAGAACGAGAAGGGCTTGCCCGTGTCGGACGGCTCACCTCTGAACAAGAGATTCGGCATCGTCTCCGGGTACAGGAGTAATAGTGTGCCAGCACAATTCGTGTATGCTGAACGGCTTTGGGCAGACGGACGGTTCGTACTCAACTTGCGAATCAGCTTGACAACCGACTCGAGCCACGGAGGGTTTCGAGGTATGAGCTTGATGCCGAAGGAATCGTTAGCATGCGCGCTTGCAGCGAGCGACCAAGGGCGTAGGCTCAGGACTTACATCCAAGTCCAGGCTCGAAAGGAATGTAAGGAATTCGAGGAGGCTGGTGCCGTCAGTCCCGCGGAAAGCAGAGACAAGAGCCTGAATGCCCTGCTCGATATTAAGTCGAATCCGTGCTCGGTCGTGCAAGTCCTGCACTAAGGAAGGGCCTAGCTGCCACGACCACTGCAGAATAGGCAATACATGTTGATACTCAGGAGCGATCTCCAGTAAGGGAGAAATCTCGTCCAAGCCTAGCTGGGCGAAGATCGCGGCGCCCTCTGGGCTCGACACAAGGCTCAGCAAGGTCTCCAGGATAACCCCCGTCGTCTCCTTGGAGCTTGAGAGCAGAGACAAAAGTCAGCCAATAGCTTTTTAGTGAGTTTTTTTTGACGTGGCCACGGTACTCACCTGTATAATACTGCTGCAGTCAAGGCAGGTATCTTTTTGAGCAACCTCTCTTCTTTCCTCGCAGTCTCGGGCAGGAGAACAGTGAAAGTATGCAAGACGGCCACGGCCAAGTCAAGCATGTCCCTCGACTGAGACCCATCTTGGCCTGGCTGGGAGCCCGACTTCAAGAGGCGGCCAAGGAATTTGGGCGAGATGCAATCCCACAGCCCTTGGACGATGCCGTCATCTTTTTGCAGGTCGGGTGAGTGGTCCAGCACTGACTTGAGGAGCGCAAGGCCGACGAACCTTGACGTGTCGTCCTTTGACCGCAGCAGATTCTGAATCTGGGCTATCGAGGGCACAGCCTCGCCTCCTTGCTCTGTTCCCGGCGCGGCACTGGTAGCCGGCTCCATTGCCATTGGCGTGTCCTCGGCCATCTTGTCGTTGCACGAATCTGGCGATATTCGGCTGCTGCGCCCGGTAGCTGGTGGTGAGGGGCACACTTGCAGAGATGTGGAAGTTTGGAGATGTGTCGGCCCACTGAGCAGGTGAGACGCACTGGCAGGGCTCTGGAAACCTTTCTACTGGCAACTCATGACCGGGAGAACACCAATCCGTGAGCCATTTATACCTACAGCCAGAGCACGGAAATCTCATCAGCCATCGTCATTTTGATATCATACATGCAACTATTTAAAAATACCTACGGAGGTCAAAGTTGGCCAAGTCGAGCGTTGCGTCTGGGCTCACCTGCAGGGACCGACCCGAGAGCGTCACAGTGCCCCACTCAGAGCTGGCCCCTGGCAGGCGCGGATGGTTCCGCCCCCAGCTCTGGAGCTGCCATGCCTCCCACCTCGTTCAGTCACTCACATTTCAGAAGAGCAAGCCCGCAAGCTCCAGAACATCGCATCCGTCCAAAGGCAAAGGCGAGGATAGCCCGCAGACAGCCGCCTACAACCCGCGCCAAAGCCCCCAGCGAACGAGCCCTTTGGTTACGAGCAGGACCGATGCGGCACGGCGCTTTGGCGCATCAGGCCTCCTGAACCATGGCCGCTCAGAGCCGCGACTACTTCAACCGACAAGGCGCCGGCGCATCGTCATCTTCATCCTCCTCGTCGCGACCAGCAGATTCTTCTCTGCCAGACCCTGACGACCTCGCCGATCTGCTTGCCGATAACGACGCCAACGACGCCGTCTGGAGGGACGACCCCCTCGATGAAGAGCCCCCGGAAGCGCTGAGCTTCAAGCGGAAGCAGAAACAATCAGCCTTTTCAACGGCAACAAGGTTCCTCTCAAACCTGTCCTCCGATCGACAGGGCTCGCCGTCGAATCGAGGCGGTACTGGCAGCCCAGCGAGGTTCGCGCCGAGCTCTGGCGCAAGCGGTGCGGACACTCCGACAATTCTAGACCCAAAGGATGCTGGGCCTCTAGACTGGTACGTTGAGGGCCCAGGTCGCAGGGTCGGCTATGAAGATCTCACAGCCATCGACTGGATCTTCGAGTACACAAAGGAGCGACAGCGATTACGGGTCCTGTACTCGAGCGCGACAGGCATAATCGGATACTTTCAGCAGTTGCTCGACTCGAGCCAAATCTGGGTCATCCTGGTGCTCACAGGTATTGCTGTCGGTGCAATAGCTGCTGGTATAGACATTGTATCGGACTGGCTGGGAGACCTGAAGGGCGGTTACTGCTCGGCTTCAACTGATGGCGGGGCGTTCTACCTGAACAGGGCGTTCTGCTGCTGGGGATATGACCAGGGAGACAAATGTGTGGGATGGCGGCCATGGGCGGCGGCCCTAGGAGTCAGCAATGGAGCAGGGAAGTGGTTCATCGAGTATATCTTCTTTCTGTGCTTGTCGGTATGTTCAGCGCCCTGTTGCACGATTGTATCGCTTCCCGCTAACCTTTATGAAAGGTATCGTTCGCTGCCTGCGCTGCATTCTTGGTCAAGGAGTATGCCATGTACGCGAAGCACAGTGGAATCCCAGAGCTCAAGACTGTTCTGGGTGGCTTCATCATGCGCCGCTTCTTAGGGGGATGGACGCTTGTCACAAAGTCATTGGGTCTTGTAAGTTCTTTGTCGTCCCGACCTGAGAACGCAACACAAACTGATTGACCATAGTGCCTAGCAGTTGCATCCGGAATGTGGCTCGGCAAAGAAGGCCCTCTTGTCCACGTTGCATGCTGCTGCGCAAATGTGTTTATCAAACTGTTCCCCACCATCAATAACAACGAAGGTAGGTTTTCCCTATACTGAGCTCACTGGAATCCAACATCTGACATTCAGCAGCCCGCAAACGAGAGGTCTTGTCTGCAGCAGCCGCGTCGGGCATCTCAGTAGCATTTGGTGCTCCAATTGGCGGTGTGCTCTTTAGTCTGGAGCAGCTGTCCTACTACTTCCCGGACAAGACGATGTGGCAAAGTTTCGTGTGTGCCATGACCGCCGCTGTCGTGCTTCAAGCTATTGATCCATTCCGATCAGGCAAGCTCGTGCTGTATCAAGTCGAGTACAAGAACAGCTGGCATGCCTTTGAGCTTGTTCCATTTGCGATCCTGGGCATACTTGGGGGCATCTACGGCGGGCTGTTCATCAAGGCCAACATGTTCATTGCCAAGTGGAAGAAGGCTACACCTTTCATGCCGGGACCAATCGTCCAGGTTGTGCTCGTTGCCTTCCTGACGGCGCTCGTCAACTACCCGAATTTCTACATGCGGGCACAAACATCGGAGCTCGTGCCCTCACTGTTTGCCGATTGCGCTCTGGTACTCGACGACCAGTTTGGACTATGCAAGACTGGTGCAGCGACAGCAAGCACCATCGTCCTCCTGTTCTTCGCCGCCGGCATGGGCTTCTTCCTGGCCTCCATCACCTTCGGTCTCCAGCTCCCAGCAGGCATCATCCTCCCATCCATGGGAATCGGCGCTCTGACTGGACGTGCTGTTGGCATCATTGTCGAGATATGGCAGCAAAGTCACCCAGGCTTCTTCCCCTTTAGTACCTGCACTCCTGGGGTGACCTGCGTCACGCCTGGAGTCTACGCCATTATCGGGGCCGCTGCCACGCTGGCAGGTGTGACACGCATGACCGTGTCAATCGTCGTCATCACCTTTGAGCTTACAGGCGCCCTTACCTATGTCCTTCCGATCATGATCGCTGTCATGATTAGCAAATGGGTCGGAGACGCCTTCTCGCGGCGCGGCATCTACGAGTCGTGGATCCACTTCAACGCCTACCCTTTCCTCGACAGCAGCGATGAGGCCGGCGGCGCGCAGCACATCCCGGACGTGCCCGTGGGCCAGATCATGACGCGGATCGAGGACCTCATAGTCCTCACCGCGACCGGCCACACCATCGCCAGCCTCCGCGGCGTCCTCGAGTCCTGCGACTACCGTGGCTTCCCCGTCATCAGCGACCCGCGCGAGGCCATCCTGCTGGGGTACATCTCGCGCGCCGAGCTCGCGTACAACCTCTCTAGCGCGTCCCAGGCCCCGCGCTCCCTCCCGCCCGACGCCGAGGTGTTCTTCAGTCACCAGGTCCTGGCCGATCCGCAGACGACGCTGGACCTGCGGCCCTGGATGGACCAGACGCCGCTCACCCTGCCGAGCCGCAGCTCGCTCCACCTGGCCGTGAGCTACTTCCAGAAGCTCGGCGTGCGGTACGTGCTCTTCAGCGACCGCGGCGTGCTTCAGGGCCTGCTCACCAAGAAGGACTGCTGGTACGTGCTCAACGGCGCCGAGGAGACGCGGCGCACTGAGAACTCGTCCTCCTCGGCGGCGGCAGGAGGAGGAGGGGGGGGAGGCGGCGGTGGCGGGACAGCTGGACACGGCGTCATGGGCCTGCACAGCGGGCATCGCGGACAGCATGGTATCGCGTTTGGCGCCGAGGGCTTGGGTCTTCTCGGGGTCGACGAGAACGACAACGAGGATGAGGATGAGGATGATGTCGACAATGACAATGGTAGGGACAGTGCTGGCGGTAACGGGCGACGAGGTGGTAGGGGAGTTTTGATATAGAGAAGGCGTTTATATATATATATGTATATACAGAAGCCCATATCACTAGTTACCTCCTGCTCCAGGGACATCATTGTCAGAAGCCTGAAGGCGACGGGGTGTGTCTCGTTCGTACTTATGCCTGTTCACCCCCCTTGCGTGCAAGGAGTTATGGACGCACCATGATAAAGTCCGGTCGAAAGCACATGCCAAACTTATGGCTGCTGTTCTGGATGGAAGTATCTCAATGCTCTCTTTGAATATGCGCTCTCTACGCTGAAACGGACGCGCATCTAAGAATGCAACGCTTGCAGTACGCACGTTCCTCGTGAGGAAGTGCACCTTTATATACAAAAGTCCATTTCTGCCGACAAGCTTTGTACAAATCCGTACAGCACCTCGCAGGAGTCGGTTTCGACGACCTGACGGAATGGCATTATCACGGTAGAAATGCCATCTTAGTGATGAGTGTTCCCGTACGTCCTTTGCAACTCTGTCCATCAAGCTGTGGACTCTATCCACCAAGTCGTAGCTGCCCGGAGTTGCGAGGCCCCTCGCGATACCGCTTGCGCTCTCAGGCGACTATTGGTGGCTCCGCTGATCAATGCTAAGTATTCTTGACGATGCTGCTCCCTCAGCTGGCCCGCCAAAGGAGCCACGGAGACTTCTGGAGGAAGTGCTTCAAAATGGCGTAAATGAACTGTGATGGTCCCCAAATGGCCCTGAAGGTCATGGGTCTGGGAACATCTCGCAAAATCAGCGAGACGTGTCAATGTCTTCCTTTCGAGTGCACGTGATGAATGTGGTGGCTCTTTTGTGCACAGGACCCACCACAATCAGTGTGATAAGGGCAGCAGAATGTCGTCAAGCGCCCCTCAACCGGCTGGACGCTTGCCTTGCTTCCTTGTTGTCATGAGCTTGAGCTCGAGGTGGTAATATGTTTTGGAAGTTTTCGACGACTTTGCGTTCTTCATGTCCACTTTCGTTCGGCAGACTGGACATGTCTTCTTGTTGCTGTCTATGTGCAGAGCAGAATGCAAGCATTCCGAACAAAACAGGTGACCTTTACGCATAGAGTTAGCCCGAAGTGCTCGCCAACTTAATCATGCATCCGCAAGAGTACTTACCGCAATGCGTGACTGTGAGGGCAGTCACATCGTCCATGCAGATCACGCACTGAAACTTGCCCAGCTTCACCCTGTTGTCGACCTTGGGGGCTAAGAGCTCCTTGGGCACCTCGGTTGCATTTGACAAGTCGATACTTTCTTCTGCTGCGGCTGGAGGCTTCGTGGTGAAGAGGTCTGCCTCGATGTCATCTCCGAACGGGTCTGAATCTGCACCGTCTGGTCTTCTAGACTTTGTTGGTCGAGGCGTTGGAGGCTGTGATAAGGACGCGCGGCGTTTGCGTAACGAGCTCGATGTGCTTGAGGTGGCGCCTGTGGCAGGAGCTAGAGGCTGTCGTGGCAGAGAGGGCATCGGAAGCGACGTTGGGGCATCACGGATGACGGACAGGGCCTCATCGCTTTCGGGCTCCTCTTTTGTCAGGTCCACGACGCCGCCGCCAGCAGCCCGAGCGGCTCTAGAGGTTCTCCTCTGCGTTGGATATGGCATGCTGCCGTGGGTATCGTCGAGCGGCCTGGGCAGCTCGAAGGGGCGTGCCGTGTTGGTGGGAGGACGAGGCGATGGCGGTACCGAGAGAGGAGGGAGTGAGGGCGAAGAGAAGTCGGTGGTGGCGAGTGCTAAGAGATGGGGATCGTCGAGGTCGAAGTCGAGGTGTTGCCGCGGGGGCGTGCGCCAGGCAGCTGTGTGGGTGGAAGAAGGCAGGAAACGCGACGAGTTGGGTCGTTGGAAGGGCGGCATGTGTGCAGATGCGGCGGCAAGAGCGAGCGACTGACTGTGCCGTTGTCGTGGCTCCTGTGCTTGGCCGTAGTATGTACGGCGTGTGCTGCGTGCTGGCCTCGGCGAGGACTGCCGGGGCCGGTGGTGGGCGGTGTTGTGTGTGCCGTGGTGTCGTTGTTGAAGTGGTGCAAGAGAGTGAGCGGCTGCCGCACCCGCACTTGGGCTGAGCCAAGTACGTTAGTTGTGATGGTCCACTGATGGTGGTGATGCACTTTGGCGGCGGAGGCCCGCTTTCGCGGTGGCGGAATTGCAAGCGCCGTCCGTGGCTCAGGGCCTTGCCAGCTCACTGTGGGCATCTCTCATATGGGTTACTGGAGGTACACAGGTACCATGGTACCCTTACATTCATTACATCCATATCCATCCATGGATAAAATCACCTGTTGCACCAAACGCGCCACGCCACCAGGCAAACCGCGCTCCTGCGAAAGGCAGTGCATGCCGTCTGCTCAATAAGTCGACCTCTAAGTGCAAGTACAAGTACAATCACACGCACAAAATCAATCATCTTGTGGCATCTGTCATTCAAGGTCCGACGATTCCAGCCGTCCGCATCTCAGAAGCACAATGTACAAGGTTGCTCTGTAGGTGCCCAGGTGGGCACACTTGGAGAGGTTGCAGGTGGGGTGGGGCGTCAGGGACAAACAAGCGGAAAGAAAGCCAGCGATTGGCTGGCGGCGCCATCGCCCTCTGGCAGTCTGCTTATCCCCGAAGGCGCGCACGCCTCGACACCCGTCCAGTCATCCTCGCGCGCTTCCATCCCCTTGGTCTAGTGCAGGCTCGGGTCTGACTACCCCCGCCACTTTGAATGGTCTCGGTTGCATGCGCATAGGAACCTCATTGTTATCACCAGTCCCAGGGCAATGCTTCCCAGGTGACATCACAGCATCAAATGTCCCATCATTGCCGTGCTCTCCCCAGAGGTGACACTACTATGGGTAAACTGGGCCTGGTCATCGCAACATTCATGGCATCCCTTCTTTCAACAAGACACTCTCTGCACGACTATACAGGTGTGTAATCGTCTGCGCGGTCATTGAGGCGCTGACCGACATCAAATAACGCCTCCGCGGCATGAGGCAAAGCACAATTATCCTTCAGGCCTCAGCTTGGCCGGCTCTCTGGTCGTCCGCCTGTTGCATCTTCTGCTTCCGCCTCGCCAGGGTGGCAGCGAAAGACGCACTTACGATGAACCCAGCAACACCAAGACCTATACCCAGATACCACGCTGCGCGGTATCCCCTGAGAGTCTCACTTGGGTCATCATGACCCTCTGCGCCGTGGTCGAGATCATCAGTGCCCGAAGCCGTATGGGCGTGTGCTCGATGTACCCACGTCTCGATGGCCCCAGCGATGCCCAACGCCAGGCCGCCACTGTAGTTGACGACTGTCGTCACCAAGCTCGCGGCGATGCCCTGGTGGTCGGGGCCCACGAGATCCGACAGCATCAGCGTTGCTGCAGGGAAGCTGAGATCCATGCCCCAGGTGATGATAATGTTGCACAGAAACGTCTGCAGCCAATACGTCTGCTCAACCGGCGCGGTAGCGATCAGCACCGTGCCGACGGTGAATGCGAGCAGGGCAAACGTCATGACGAAAGCCGGGCCGACTCGCTGGATGATGAAGCCGGTGGTGAGGGCGGCCCAGATACCGCAGAGCAGAATGGGGCTGTGCCATGCCGTGGCCAGGAGCGGCGACGCCCCTCTGAGGACAGAGTAAAACTCCCACGTGTAGTAGATCCAGATGCCGAAGCAGGCCCAGCCACAAAACACTGCTGCCAAGACATAGATGACACCAGCGCTCATCGCTTCGCACGGGAGCAGCGGTTTCTTTGCATGTCTTTCGACGAACCCGAAAGTGAGCACCAGTAACACGCCGGCCACCAGTAGTATCAGGACATGGGGTTGATCCCATCCATCAAAGGTTCCGAGGTTGCATGCAGTGCTGAATAGTGCCAGGCCGACGATCCCGGTCATTGCCCCCAAGAGGTCGAGTTCGTACACCAGTTGCCACATACTGGTAACCGATGTCACCGAATTGTTTGTCGCTGGACTCTCCGGAATCACGAAATAGGCCACTAGAGCCACGAATGCCAGGAATGCTGCGAGGCCGATAAAAGCTGCGGGCAGCCAGACCATCGCAAGTAATGCGGCAAACAACGGCGACAATACGGCGGAAACTGGTGCCATGGCCCCAAAGATCGCAAAAACCATGGCCTTTTGTGGTCCAGGGACATAAGTCACCCCGAGCAGTGCGACGGCGTTGGGAATGCATAGGGCCGGTCCGATTCCTTGAAGAACTCTCGCCATGAGGAAGGCCATGTAGCGGTGTCGCGGCAGGTAGCTGCACAGTCCACATATCAACGTGAAGAATGCGAACCATAAGTTCCCGACGATCAAGAGCCACTTGTGGCCAAAGAAATCGCCAAGACGACCCGCGAAAAGTATCAAAGTCCCAGCGGATAGTCCGTAGGAAGCCATGAGCCAAGGCAGTTTGTCCTGTTCCACGCCTAGCGATTTTCCAATGTCGTGTACAATGGCAAGTGGGCCATTCAGACCAGAAACTGGAACGCAGCAACTATTAGAGACTGCCACGACGAATAAGGTAGCAATATAGTTAGACAGAACGTACTTGGTGTAAAATTGGCAGTCGCTATAACAAGGATAAAGATGACTTCGTGGCTCAGAGGCATGGGTGGGCCGAGGAAAACATGTGCGCGTGCAATCACATTAGGAGATTGCCTTTCTTTGCTCAGGGCGTCGCGGCTTTCTTCATTGTAGATGATGCTGTGAGCGCTGGCTGTTGACCGTGACTTGGCGGAGAGCTTGCAGTCAGCATCATCGGCTGGAAGCCCTGCCGCCAACAGAGCCCCCTCCCGTGTCGAGGCCAAGGTATTCATGACGAGGATTGAGGAGCACCTATCGTGCCTGCGTGTCGTACAAGCGTCAGCGCGAAAGATCACTATCGAGGGTCAGATCGAAAAGAGTCTGGCTGTAGGGGAGATGAAGCCGACGACTCTCTTTCCCCATGACGTATCCGCTTGCTTAACGTTCGACAAAAGGTCGACGGATGTGACAATCTTATGTGATGAATGGATGGCGAGAACAGTCTGCCTCATAGTGACACTGCCGACAAGACTTCAAGGCGCATGTCTCCACCTCGGGCATTCTTCGTGAGAGAGTCAAACAACGACGTCTGAGCGGCTGGTGTTTGGAACACTTGGTCAAGACATCGACACGTGTAGTCGTGTCCCTCAGTTTCTCATGCCCAAAGACAGCGCACAGACTAAAACTGGAGAGAGCCGCTCCTACGGACGTAAAACGGCGTGGGCAACCCAACAGGAGGCTTCGAAAAGGCTGTTTGAGGGGGTTCCGCGTCGCCGGGACATTGCCGCGGTCCAATGCCAATGCAGATGAACGGGTCAAAGTCGCGAGCGGACTTGCCACTGACCCATACAATTGGTACGGCAGCAACTCTGTGCACGGTAGCACATGCCGCCGTGAGATAGGATGAGAGTGTCTGCATCCGTCGAAGGTACCCAACAGCCAGCTGGCCGAGTTGGACTACTAATGCGGTAGTAGTCGTGGGGTGTAACAAGGCAGTAGTTGCGGTCCCTATGACGTGCCACAAAGGATCGCCGAGTCATACTCAATGCCGGGACCGATATTGGTGGTGCTTTCTTGTGCTGCATCGAGCTCACCAACGAGGGGGCTATCTGACATTTAGGGCAGTCATTTTCCAGTGGTACATGCAGCTTCCTTTCTACTGGCAAGCGATATGCGGGCACAGGAAGGCTGAGTTGAATCGGTGCCTTCACAAACACTAAGGCCTTCACGGCTTTAAGTATATGCTTGGTCCCGACAGCATCGATTTCGAGTACATTCGTCGGAACTTTGACACGGTGCTTGACGAGCAAGGTCAGAGCTCGCCGCTACATGAAAGCCTTGACTCGGTGCTTGAGCCGAAGTGCGAGGAGGAGAAGGAGCCAATCTTCTCAATCCCGGCTGCCCTGATAATCTTGTTGTATGGCTTCTAGAGGCACGTTCTATCGGCCGCAAAACGAACTTGATTCGGACCAGCGCCGGTAAGGTGCAGGATCTCGCATAATGCACAATGCCGAGACCTACCGCTCTAGATTCGGCACTTGGGACGCCATGGGTCAAGGTTCAGCCCCTGACAATTCACAGGCGGCTATTTGTTCCAATGCCAGACACAGTCCCGAGAGTAAGGCCCCCATGAACAGTGCCGCGGGAAGTCACCATTCTTGGGCTCCGGCGTGGTCAGAACACTGTGAGGGTAGCGAGTCTCGATACGGCAACCGGGCTGTGTGCGATGCGTGAGAATTGGCATCCTACCTAAGGAGCATTGGCGTGGTGTCCGTTATGGTACCTTTTGATTGCCGTGGTCATTCGTACCAGTGAGGTTGCATGACGGCAGTGTCACCAGGGGAGCCACGTGGTTCCTGAAGAATTCCAAGGACTTGCAGACGCTGGCAGGGGGATGATAATGACTATGCTGCTGATACAGAAGAAGTCTGCATGAGGACGAACAGCACGATATAGTGAGTGGGAAGGAAAAGGACATCCCGGCAGGCAGACGAGATCTTGCTTGTGCAGCCAAGGATGGGCTTCAAGCGTGGATGCATGACTAAGCCAAATGGCACTTGCCGTGCCCTGCATCATCGAAAATGGGACCCTCTTGCCATGTGGGAACGCGACTGGGGGGTCCGACTTGCATTGGCAGGGCGGGCGGGCTGGGACCCCGTTTGGAGCTGTCTGCCGGTCGCATCGACCTGAAGAACTTCAAGCAGTCAGCGCGCGCGCAGCCTCGACATGCGCGGGATCCCTCACGACCAACATTACCTGTAGCAGTCTCAGCGCATCTGGGCCGCGTCTTGGCTTCAACGTGACACACTCTGCGGAACTCGCACCATGTGCGCCGATCGCAGGTAGCAATGCTTCGACCTGTCCGGGGCCAGATCAGGGCCCTGCCAGCAAACAGCCTCGTGCGCCTCGCCAGGCCCCAACATCTTCAGCCATGCCCTCGGCAAACCTCTCGACCACCCGCTACAGTTTCCCCGGCACTTTTCCTTCGCTCGTCCCCGAGATGGCAGTCGACTGCGGCCGCGGTTGTGTCTCAGCCTCAAACAGATCGCAGCCCTTCCGCACCGCCGCACCTATCGAGCCTCGCGGTCCCTTCGGAACCTCGGTTCAGTGAGATTGGTGTCCAGCACCTGAGCTCTCATGTCTACAACCAAGTCTTTCCCGGCGGCAGCAAACCACCGCCACCAGAGTTGGTAGAGCTAGCCAAGGACCATCTGCGCCGCCATGATCTGCTAGGCAAGAACACGGACAACTCGCCCCCCATAGGCTTCGACCTTCCACCGCTACAGGGCAAGACCCTCGATGAGCACTTCTACAAGCTTGGAGTGGATTGCGCAGAGCCCTTTCTTTCTCATGCCAAACAGTTTGCCAGGGCGAATGCGCCCCCCAGGCCGAAGAAATGGATCAGGCAAAGTGGCTGGACCAAATACTACCAAGATGGTCGCACAGAAGCTGTCCCTGCGCCGGACGAGCAGATGCTCTGTTTCGATGTCGAAGTCATGTGGAAAGAAAGCTCTTTCGCCGTCATGGCGTGCGCCCTTGGTGCCGAGTCGTGGTATGCCTGGTTGTCTCCATGGCTGCTGGGCGAGTCCGACTCTGATAGACATTTAATACCTTTGGGCGACCCCTCCATCGACCGGGTCATCGTCGGTCACAATATTGGGTACGATCGCGCGCGCGTGTTGGAGGAATACAGCCTGCAACAAACACGCAACTCCTTCCTGGACACCATGTCGCTGCACGTCGCCGTAAATGGCATGTGCTCGCAACAAAGGCCGACATGGATGAAACATAAAAAAAGTAGAGAGATGCGAGATCGCATTGCCCAGGAGACTGATAGCGTCGAGTTGGAGAATCTCCTTGCTACCGTCAATGCACGAGAAGATGAAGAGGAGCTTTGGGTAGAGAGAAGCTCGGTCAACTCCTTACGGGACGTCGCGAAGTTTCATCTCAATGTAGCCATCGACAAGGCCGCCAGAGATGAGTTTGGCACGCTTGATCGTGCTGGCGTGCTCGGGAAACTCGACGAGCTTCTCGACTATTGCGCCGCCGATGTCGCAATAACTCACCGCGTCTACAAGATTGTTTTCCCAAACTTTCTCGAAGTCTGCCCACACCCGGTGAGCTTCGCTGCTCTGAGAAATCTTTCGTCTGTCATTCTTCCAGTCGACAGATCGTGGGACTCCTACATCGCGAATGCGGAAGCCACCTACCATCGTTTGTTGGACGCAGTTACCGAGCGTCTCGTCAAATTGAATGAAACGGCCCTTGAGATCAAGGATGACGAAAAGAAATGGAGCACCGATCCCTGGTTGAAACAGCTGGACTGGTCTGGCCAAGAGATCAAAATGGTGAAAGGAAAGAAGAAGGCAGACCCACCGAGACCTGCGGCGCGGCAGAAGAAACCCGGCATGCCGAAATGGTACAAAGACTTGTTCGCGAAGAATGACGCGCCGATCAACTTGACAGTCCGAACCAGAATCGCACCCCTTCTCCTTCGTCTCGCATGGGATGGGTATCCCCTCGTCTGGTCCGACAAATACGGCTGGACCTTCCGCGTGCCCAACTCTGACGCTGCCAAGTATGCGTCCACACAGCTCGTGCGCTGTGATCTCTCTGATGAGCCTATCGAATCTCTGCGCGACGACCGTGATGGTTTCTATATCAAACTCCCGCACAAGGATGGGCCTTCCGCACGATGCGCCAATCCCATGGCGAAAGGATACCAGTCTTACTTTGAGAAGGGTACTCTCTCCTCGGAGTATACTTACGCCAAAGAAGCACTGGATATGAACGCATCTTGTTCTTATTGGATCAGCGCGCGGGACCGAATCATGTCTCAGATGGTCGTGTACAACAATGAGAACACTGCTAACAAAGGCAAGGGAAAAAGAAAGAAGGAAGACGATCAAGGATTCATCTTGCCACAGGTCATCCCCATGGGCACTATCACAAGGAGAGCTGTTGAGAACACCTGGCTCACCGCGAGCAACGCCAAGAAGAACCGAGTCGGATCAGAACTCAAATCCATGGTTAAGGCGCCTCCGGGATATTCCTTCGTCGGCGCAGATGTGGATTCGGAAGAACTGTGGATTGCCAGCCTCGTTGGCGACGCAACTTTCAAGCTCCACGGGGGCAATGCCATTGGCTTCATGACACTAGAAGGCACGAAAGCCGCAGGCACCGACTTACATTCCCGGACTGCTTCCATCCTTGGCATTACGCGCAACGACGCCAAAGTCTTCAATTACGGCAGAATTTATGGCGCTGGTCTCAAGTTTGCTGCCACACTCTTACGGCAGTTCAACCCCAACTTGTCAGAGCAGGAAACCCTCGAGACTGCCGGCAAGCTTTACGCCAACACCAAGGGTACCAAGACCAACAGGAAGGCCCTATTCAAGAGGTCGTTCTGGCGTGGTGGCACAGAGTCCTTCGTGTTCAACAAGCTGGAAGAATTTGCAGAGCACGAGCGACCACGCACGCCGGTTCTTGGCGCCGGTATCACAGAAGCGCTCATGGGTCGCTATATCAGCAAAGGCGCATATCTGACATCGCGCATCAACTGGGCCATCCAGTCGTCTGGTGTTGATTATCTCCACCTACTGGTTGTGTCTATGGACTATCTAGCTCGGCGTTACAACATTGATGCTCGGCTGGCTATCACTGTGCACGACGAAATTCGGTACCTTGTCAAGGACCATGACAAATATCGCGCCGCCATGGCTTTACAGGTGGCAAACTTATGGACTCGGGCCATGTTTGCCCAGCAGGTCGGCATTGACGATCTCCCACAATCCTGTGCCTACTTCTCAGCCATCGACATTGACCATGTTCTCCGCAAAGAGGTGGATATGGACTGCATAACCCCAAGCCACACAACACCTATCCCCCCCGGTGAAAGTCTGGATATTGTTCAACTTCTCAACAAGGGCCAGCAGGCGTACTTGGACCCCTCGATTGTGCCCGCCAGATTTGCCCCCTCCCTCAACGACATCAAATACAAGCCCCGCACGAGCGTCATGGACACCATTGGGGGTGAAACCAACTTGGATGACTTGAGCTTTCTCAAAGCGCAAATCACGGATGACGAGAAAGAACTCCGCGACATTCTCAAGCAGCAGAAGAAGGTCGCTGGCGGAGACAGCAACAGCAGCAGTGGCTCGTCTGGCGGCAGCGGAGCACCAAGAGGCCGGCCTCGCAAGCTTCTGCCATACAGCTCGCAGGCCAAGCTGGTACCGCACATGTACGAGCCTTTTGAGCCCGCCAAATTCAGCAAGCCAAGCGGCCAATGGACGTTTGAGAGCATGCCGCCCAAGATGTGGGGTCCCCGTGGCACTTTCAAGTCTTCTGGCGGTGGAGCGAAGCTCTGAAATACTCACCACTTGCAACACCATACTTTGTGTTTTGCGTGTTGCGAACGACCCACGACCACCATAACTTTACACTTTCCTACGTCTCTCCACGGTTAACTTATAATGATTAGTTCTTGTATCAACATGACGAACATGTAGAATTCTAGGGTGCGGATTCATATGCTTGGTTATACATAACTTGTCGTCTCGGATGATGGGCGGAGTTCTGTAGGAACAGGCATGTACCAACAGGTGGCGGCTTTGATTATTTTGGAGGTGGCGCACAGGCTTACTGGCAGATGACATCTGCTCGCGGTCTTTGGGTATGGCTTTCCCCCCTTCGGGATGACGGCTAGATATTTGTACCCGTGTATCATATAGTCCCTGATGATACCCACGAAGAGTAGTGAGAAATGTACTGTTCTACAAGATGCGTATGCTTCGGCTTCTTCACGAGCCCTTCCTGTGTTGAGCCCGCAGCGCCACGACACGAAAAGGGTTTGTGGATTTCTTGAGTCCCGGCCAGAAGAAGGCACGACTTTTCACAGAGGCGAGAACTTTCATGTCACTGGGTATGGACAACGACCATATCTCAAGCGCAGATCCAGCAGGGACCACGCGGAAGCCGAGTTCTGTGAAACAAGTTGGACATTTGTCAAGACTATCGTCATCATAATCGTAGTCGTAACCGTCTTGATGACGGTTGGGGTATCAGAGACAAAGAGGAGAACAGTGATTCCGTACAAAACAAAACAAAAAACGACCAAGAAATGCATCAACAAAGAGCGGGAAATGGGCTCGTACAACAAGGCTGTGGTCATCGTGTGCCATGATGAAACAAGACAACAGGGACCTTCGGCTAGACCCCGTTACTGCGGTTCGCATCAGCCTGCGCTTTCCCATCAGCTTGGGGTGATTGCTCCCTGGACGAAGAGGCAAGGCTGATGAGAGTGGGAGCGCCTTCTCATCCAGCTCTTAAACTCAAGGAAATTTTGCCACTCAAAGGCGCCTACGTCGACATTTGGTGTCTTTCATGGCCGGACTCGAATTCGTACCGGGAGGAGGTGCGGCATACGCACGCTTCTGAGCTTGGTTCAAAGAAGCCGCAGGCTGACAGACACAGGCGTGACCGCGTTCTGATGCTGCAGCATGTCGCTGTCGTCATCATCTTTGCGGGCCTCCTCGTCCATCGCAGTGCCGCTGTAGTCGCCGCCGAGGCTGAGGAGATCCCCGCCGGTGCTGCGACCCAGAGTGACACTGCCGGTATTCCTGGGCGCGATAGCCGGTGCAGTCGAAATGGTAGTGCCCGGGGGGTTATTCTCCTTGTCTTCATCAGCGTCGTCGGGGATGCCAGCTGCGACGGCTTTGGCAAGCTCACTGCCGCTCTCGTTGGCCGCTGTACTGCAGTCGCCGACCGAGATGACCGGGCGGATGGTCATGGCTCTCTCGGCCGGAGACATGTTGACTGTGTCTCTGGTCTGGTGCTTGCTGAGGCCCAGGTTGTTGCTGCTCTGGGTGGAGGTTTCGGCGTTGCTGGTGCTGGTCTTGGCAGCATTTGTGGGAGTAGTCTTCGCGGCGCAAGCCTCGCAGCCACGATGCGGCAAAGGGAGGACTTGGCTGCTCGCCCGGCTTGGGACGTATTTGATCGTCGGACCACTGCTGTAGCGGTGGTCTAGGCAAGCTGTACCGTTCGTCGTATAGTGGCCTCCTTCGGTGGTCGAAGATGATGGATCCTCGAGAACAAAGAAACTCAAGTTGGACGGGGACTCAGTGAACTGTGACTGCGAGCTCATAGCCGTGGACGAGTGTGGCACTACGTTGCTCATAACATTGACATGTTTGTCAACTAGATGAACGTGCAGGGAGTGATTCGCAGTATCCGAGTTGCTGGATGGCTGACTGAGTTGACTGCAGCGAGGCTTGGAGATGAGACTGGACTGACGCTTAGGCGAAGGGATCTTGGTATACGGAACTACATGGGCTGGGATAGTGGACTTCTTATCTACCCAAGCTGTTGCCGTTTGTGGGTGCTGTGGCATTGAGATGGGTCGGTGAGAGGCTATCTGAGTGCTCTTTGGCACCGGAATATGTGATCGTCGTCGACAGTGACCCTTGTCGGAGCCATGTTCCTCGACAGTGCTGCCGTGCTCACGTGGGAGAACTGTGGGGGGAGGCGTCATGAGGCCTGAATCACACCGCAAGAGTTTGGTTAGCGTCCAACGGAAGAAAATGATAGGGTGTTGAGATGATTTACCTCCCGGTACAGTTTTGTGTATGTCGATGCTCTCGGTCGTCAGGCCCTGGCTCAGGCCACTACCTACGGAACGCAGGTTCTTGCTCGGAGTTGGCGGACTAGTTAGTGAGCGGCGAAGCAGACTCTTGTCGATATCCTTGCCAATGTTAGATTCCCGCTCGCGGGTTCCTTCATCGCGAACAGAGTTGTGCTTTGCCAGGTTCAGTGGAGCTGGAACAAGATCCGGATGCGTAGGCTTCCTGTTCATCAGGCTGGCGCCCGTAGGGCGGGAGAGCAGACCATTGTTCGACGATGAGGATGATAGTCCACTGAGACGCTGCGTCTCCTGCTGGTTTCCGTTTGCAGTAGGCGTATCGAACGGCGACGGGCGGTACATGCTGTCATCTTCCACTTCCTCGGCGATAGTGCTCGGCGGAACACCATAGCGCAGGTAAGCGAAGGACTCGGCAGAGTTAGTCGAACCAGAGCGCGAGCGAGGAATACTCTCGAGCCCTGGGGCAGAGTGAGGAATGGCGCCGTCTCCTCGGCTTGATTCACTGATAACCAGGTCACCCTCTCCCGTTGCGAGGTTGTTGGTGCTGGACATTGGGCGAGGTCCTTTGGGTCCAGCACGGTAGCCTGGTGCAGGCGTGGGCGTGTCCGGCGAAGGGAGCATGCGTGAGCTAGGAGGAGCCGTGGGAAGTGAATATCTCGGTGGCACGCCATTCTCGAGAGAAGTGTCCAACGAGCTTGCCCTGGCAAAACCTTTGGTGTTTACATCGTCAGCTTCTCGAAGAATATGGGACACGTGGTTCTGCGTAAAGCTTACCACCTGCTTCGCGAGATGATCCCGAGTGGTTGCTCCGTGCTGTGGCAAAGGCCATTCTGGCTTCCAGAGTACGCGAGAGCTTGCGCAAATCGTCCGCATTGGCCTCGACCTGTTGTGTCAAATCGGCCAGCTGCTGCTCGGCCTGTAATCGCTTGTCCCTGTTGTTCTGCTTATTGCGACGACTGTGCCACCAGCAATATCCACAAACTCCCAAGGCCAATGCCAGGACAGGTACGAGGGCGACCAGGACGATGAGCATGTCGTTGCTGTTCCCTGAAGCCATCTTGCCTGTCTGTTCCGTGGTCTTCAGGCAGCTCGACGCGTGTTGTATCTTGACGCGTGTGTGTGTTGAAGAGAGGGCCTGGGTGGTAGCGCACACCGCACGGCGTGCTCGTCGTCACCGTGGTGATGAGCGGACGGGTTTTCTTGCTGCCTCATCAGGCACGGTTGAGCGTGTCTTGCACATTGCGCCTACACACTGCCCTAGGCTTGGAGCAGAAAAAACCGTTGGTCCCGTTCGTGCTGTTCTCTTTGGGTTATTAGTTGGCCATTTGGCCATGCTAAAGAACCTGCCAGATTGCGAACAAACTTGTTTGATTAAGTGCTCAAGTAGTCTCAGCATCTTGTGCTCACCCAGCCCGTCCAGCCCCATGAGCTGGTGGTTCCCCATATCAGTGTTCTACAAATCCTACAGTATGGTTCGACAACAATATTACACACAGCCTTATATCTTGAGTTGCCGTCCACTTGAGACAAGCGTCGGCATTCCTTCAGGCTCTTGCACCCACGCCAGTATCCTGCGCCACACCATTTCGCCGTCGTGCTCGAGGTCCATAAGCTCCTGTAGCTTCGCCCATGCTTTCTCGTCTAGCGAATCGAAGCCAAACCATCTCAAGGAGTCGTGCATCCTCAGTTTAGCCGTCTCGGCATCCTTCTCCGGATGGCCTTGAAAGGAGAGGATCGTATTGTCGTCGTTAAGTAGACACTGATTCCCATGTGCTAATTGGACAAAACCTGGCGCAGCCTTCGAAACCTCACGACGGTGATGCTGCTGTAATCTGAAGGAACCCAGCACAGCAGATTCAAGGAAAAATTGGCTCCCCAACCCTGTTAGGTTGACAGTGGCGACACCCATCTAACCGATATAAGTCAACATGCAAGGCTAGGGGGCCAAGTTGGGACGCCAGACTTACCTCGGGAGGGGCTGCATCGACTATTTCACCCCCGAAGACTCTTGCAATGGTCTGATGACCCCACTGTGAGATATGAGATCAGTACAAGTTGTAGAGCACCCATGGCTGTCAGAAGCCACCAGCTGTGTCTACCACAATGGGGCTGTGGCCCACGCAACCGAGACGTGCACCGAGGAAGTCCAGAAGCTTCCCGCCACTATGCACCCCTGTAAACAGAAGTGACATTCATGGCGGTAGGGGTCTGTAGTCTCCATATGGAAATGTCTTACACAAATGCCAAGCAATTTCTTGCTCGGGTGCTCCAGACGGAGACGACGCACAAATGCATGTATCTCCAGGATCCATGGGTGGGACTTGCGCGGATCAACATTGCTGCCGCCGATTACTATCAGATCAAAGCATTCTGGATCTGGAAAGTCTCCCGGACGATTGGCGGGCTCAAAGAAGGCAAGCCTGGCATTTGGAGCGACTGCACCAATCGTGCGGCCATATGAGGCACGAATAGCGGGCAGGAACCGAGAGCGATATGAATTGAGGAGAACAGCTATCGAGATGTCGTCATCAAGAGGTTGCTTTGTGGCATGCATCTTGGAAAGCTGTGGCGGTGGGAAGCGAAGCTGAATGGTTGACGAGGCTGGTGCCGGATGCGTGGCGTGTCTGTTGAAGAGCACGCGAGCAAGCCGGGCTCCAGAAACGGCGACTGTCGTTGAGGACACTCTGCCGGACTGGAGGGGGCTTGCAAATATGCAGAGATGGTGTTGCCGAGGATATCGAGAATGCTTTGAGAGACGTGTTGGAAAAAAAGGAAAGAAAACATGCAGCTCCTCAGGTGGGTGGTGACGATTGAGCTGGGCAGCGTGGGTGGCCGGCAAGGGTGGAGCCAAAAGCGGTCTGTGGAACCTTGGGAAGCCCTGAAGCTCCTTCCCCGGCACGGAATGCGGGCGGCTCCAGGGCAGGGAGCAAACCGCTAGCGGACTGCTAACCATATCGGGACCTAGCGGGACCGGGGAAGCGTGGGTGCCTGTGCCAGGCTGGCCCTGCATCCACACTGACCATCCCATCCCAGCCGTCTGCTTGACAGCTCTTGCAAGGACCAGGCGTCTGGCTAATCAGGTGGGGATGTCCGGAGCCTCTTGTCGTTCTTCTGTCAAGAAGCAACGGAGGCTATCAGAAGATTCCAGTGCTACGACCACACTCTCATCCGGGGTTGTCCATAGTGCTTCATGCGCGGCTCGCAACCTGCAGCAGCATGGGCCAGCAAGTTGTGACAAGGTCCTCCGCTACAGAGTATGTACCTCCAGCTTTCCAGATCCACTACCTCACCATGCAGTCTGTGCTGGCTGAGCAGGGGGCCAATCCAGGCAGCTTGCCAGCCCCTCTCAGCATGGCAGTCTCCACGGACAAGCATACATCCCATGGCATGGCCCGGGCCGTGGCATGTGTCAGAAAGGCTGGTGCCGACTAGTCTCAACAACGTGCCTTGAAGGCGTGCTAGCGTAGCCCTTATGGCTCGCAGCCGACGCTGATACGTTGGCTTTGTGCCATTTCCAACCCTATCTCTGCCGATCTTGGTTGCCTCGATTCATTTGCACAAAGCTGACGTATTTCGGCATGGCATGCTTGCGCAGAGCTTCTGCCAGGTAAAGTAGCTGGCCGTGACATCACGCGTTTGCAGTCACTGCTCCTCTAATCGGGCAGGAAGATCGCCAGCGGGCCATCACACTATCTATCCTCAATGGTCAATGGTTCGCTCATGGTACTGCTGCTGGGACTCTTCGACTGACCGGGTTCGTGGGTCTCAACGCTCGTGTCTGCTGCTGGGAGCCGCGCACTCTCATGCACCGTACCAGGGGCAGCCCGGACGCCACGCTCTGGCCACCCAGCAGGGTGTGCATCAGCTTGCGTGGTGGTGTGCATGGCCACTCCCCCTCCCTCCCAGCCCGATAAAGCCATCGGTCGACATTGTGTGCCTGGCTCGGACTGGCGAGGGTGTTGAAGGTCGCCGCCTCGGACCGATTGAAGGTCCTGGTCTGCTCGGCCCACACACCTGTCATTTTCCATCCTTGACCCTGATCAGCCGCTGCAGACTCATCTTGGTAAACTCCCCACGACTCTGAGACTTTTCGATGTGGAAGCTGTGACGTACACACGTGCATGTGTGCATTGTTGAATGCCCCAGTGTCCTGAGCTACCTTCACCTGCTTCTCTGCCAGTCTGTTCTCCGGGCTCGCCTTATCAGTGGAAAATGAGACGGCTCAGCAACGCATGACTTCTGTTCGCCACGCCGTACAAGAATGCCGACTAATCGAGTGTATGCTTACTGCATAGGCCTTCTGGGCCGGACCGCTCCGCGCCTACGCTGTTGTGACAGGTCAATTTCCTACACAGCAGACGCATCTCTCGACCACGCACAGGGACGGCATGGCCAATCGGGTGGTTCTCCAGCAAGCATACACGGTTGCCCAGTAGAGAGCGCGCCTGACCCCGAAAGACGGTTCTCGTATGGACGTCCCGACAAGGCGTGACTTGGTAGACTTCACCACGCGTCAGCTCGTTGTCGTCCCTGCTCCAGGGGGGGTAAGGAACCTTTGTATGTCCAGATGCGATGGTTGCAAGGAAGCACTGCACGTAGGCGAGACCATGGGACTTCCATGCGTTTCTGCCACCAGCATGGCTCGGTTTTGCTGGGCCTGCAATCAACGATGCCGCGAGTGCCTTTTGTTTGAGAAGGTACGCAAACCCGGTCGAGGGTGCCGTAGATGAGTAAGCCATCGAATCCATCTGAATGCACAGTTTGATATGGTAATCAGCCTCGAGGGAGCGAGTTGGGGGCCACAAAGTCAGGCAAGCTCTTTGTTGTGTCTTGATGCATATACAAGATGTGTACACTACTTTCCCTATCTCGATACATGCAACAAGAAGAGGTATTCACAGCTCCCGGTCCCCCCTAGGAATGGCTCAGGAACCGTTTGCACCCTGCGAGCTACTAATTAAGCCAGTTTGTGATAGCATGCGATTCGTGATTGTGATCAACGTTAGATGTCTCAGCTCTTCACGAGCTGCTTTCGTGCAAGTTTCTGCAGCGCTTTGTTTCGCCACGGCAAGCATGCGATATGTGTGCCGGCGTACAACTCGTGTGCATGCATATCTTCGGACATCCTGGTTGACAAGATGGCAATATCGCGATATCAGGCAGCAAGCCACGTGCCTATGCTCCGATTGGCACTTCTCGCGCCATGAGAGACAAAGACGCCCTGGGGTGTACAAAGCCTGCGTCTGTTGGACCCTTTCCCTATTCTGGGACGCCAAAATATGGGCGCGCCGTTGGTGATGCAGAGCATCGGCCAACCAGCGGCGGGAGGCCCATCATCTCGGCTACGGAGCCGGCAACGGACACCACGCCCGAAAGAGACGACGGCTGTCTGGAAAATGACTCTTCGTTACCCAAACCAGACACTTACTCAAAGCTGTGGCCTTTTAATGCGGCTTGTGCGGGTGAGGGTCAAACGAAGAGGGTCTCTGGCGAATTGTGCAGATGCTTTGAAGCACCGCAACAGAACGGTCGCTGGAGTCCACACCTGGCACACGATTCCGGCCCTCAAGATCTGCCTCTGTCCAAACCGTTCATCTGGTGTTCAGCGCTGCAGAGTTACAGAGTCGGGGTTCCCAGTGGTGGGGTGTTCAAGACTCTCAGCCTCAATGAAGCTCTTTCAACTTGATCATTTGATGCATGTTAGTGGTCTGGACCCCCACCCTCGAGTAAGGTGCCTGAAGCCCTGTCTTCAGCAGTTAAAGCCCTCGCAAGACTGTCTTGACTTGGCGAGGCTGGGACGACGATCAGTCCCACCCTCTTGGCAGCCACCATCTGCACTGCCGACATGGGCTAATCGCGCCTACAACGTGCCATATCGTCAAGCATGGGCTGATGCCTGCACGTGTCGCGGCCATCGCCATGACTGATGGGTGGTCTTCATCGCTGTCAGAAATCACAGGCGATGTTGCCGCCAGATTAGCAGCCCCGCGGCTCAGATTCTGCATCTACACGGGGCACCATAGGCCGGGAGCACAGCCTGCATATCCGCCAAAGTGTGCTTGGTCACTCTGTGGACGCACGTTCGAGAAGGCATGGGATCAATCGCGATCAGGACGGCTTCCTTTCATGGGGAAACCCTGCTCCTGTGCTGACGCAGGTGATTAATAACCCGGAATATGAGATCTGCGATAGATCTAAGCGTGACGCCGGTGATATGTCTTCTGCACCAATATGGTGTCAACCGCCTTGTGCATATGAGTTGCAGGTGATATGGTCGTGAACAACATAGGGTCGAAATCATGGCAATATCAACCAGTTTCGTCGATATATCTACACAAATAGAAGACTGGATCCATGACTACTCTTGATGTTGATTGTATTGAAACCCACAAGCTTGCAAGCATCACAAACGCAGGGCCCTCCAGTGTCCCTACGCATCAGTTTGAGCTGAACGCCCTCGTTGGACTGGACGACGCCAATCATCATCACGCCTAAAAGTTCTTGCTCGTGTCTGTTGCTGGGACCGAGCTGACGGTTCCGAGCTCGTACAATAGCTCCCAACCTGGCGAGCTTCAACGACTCAGTCTCTCTCTCTCGGCACCGCCCTTCGGGTTGCAACGGCGGAGACTTGCACGAACGGTTCCTCGTCCTTCCGCCAGGCGCCACCCTGCAGGAAGCCCAGCACCGGGCAAAGGCACACGGGGAGGTCTGGGCTCAGGCTGCTCCGCGAGAAGCCAGCAGAACAGCCATAGCAATCAGCTAACCACGCCACGAGAACGAGGGTGACTGCGGCGTCAACGGCCGAGCGGCACTTGATTGTCTTGTGTTTTCCGGCAGTAAGACATCCCTCGTGCCCGAAATCACCGCATTCGAGCGCTTCGGAGGATACGTGAGGACTCTGCGGCTTCTTCATTGGAGGATCTGTGCCTGCAAGATCTCAGATCGAGACCAGAATAGGGGCAAGAGCGGGCGGTGAGGTCGCAACCTTGGAAGTTACGGCAACAGCGGGTCGCTCCTGCCAAAGACACGGCCAGCGGCCTCAGGTGCCCACGGCTCCCAGGCGCTCGGCAGCGAGAGGAGAGATATCGGGGCGCTCACAGCAGGGTCGACTCCGACTCTCATCGCGAATCGAAACCCTGGTTCCTCATTATAAAGCCGCGATGCTTCTCAAAACTTCCAAATCTCCTCTAGGCTGGAGCAAGCAGCAACTTCTAGACCAAGAATCACATACAAAGCAAGAGCAACACAACGACATAACCAGGCTCCTCCAAATCCATCGCCTCCCGGACAATTATCAGATACAACAGCCACCACACGACTCTACTGGACATCCCTTGATCTCAGCTCCTCATTGTCTCTCTTTGTGCTCACCAGCCATTTTCTGTGCGGACAGCCCGGAGCAGCTATTCCTCTCACGGCTTCCAGTCGCGCTAGACGTCACCATGGACATGCCCTCCTTCTTCTCCCCGTACGGCTCGGACTACCAGGGCGGCAGCAATTCTTTCTTCCAAGTATGCCCAAACCTTCCTCACGCGTATCAGTCGACTTTATTGATCCAGGCCGACTAATTCACAATATGCAGTACGAGCTCCCAGCCTGCGGTGATGGTAGCGTCTCCAGCGCAACTGACTTCTCGTCGTCGGATGTCCCTCCGTTGATGCCGCACTCCCCTTCATCCTCATGCACCTCCTCGGATTCTGGCTCGGGTTCTGTAAAGACCGAGGCCTCCCTGTTCACTGAAGACTTCGTCGACATGAGCCCTCCTCTCGAAGATACAAGCCTTCACAAGGATGCTACCGAGGACTGCACCAATAACACGCTCAATCATCAGCTCGGGCCTCAGCATCACGCACAACTCCCTTACTACAACGCCCCTTGGGATGCTGTTAATTCCCAGAAGATGCTGCTCGGCAATGAGCCCATTCTAAACACCGATATAAACGCTCCTGCGCTTCAGCATGCGCCCGCAATGACGGGGCCAGGTGTGTATGATATTGCCATGCAGCAACAGGGCAACTTCGGACGGATGGCTACCATGCCTGGTGCCATGCAGACATGGGATGTGATGGATTTCAGTGCCATGTCACAGCAGCAGCAGCAACAACAACGAATGTGGCCGGTGTTGACCTCGAGCATTGAGATGCCAACAGCTCTGCAGCCAGGACTACAGAGCAGCTTGCCTTACATGCCCACACTTTCGCACGGGCTGCCAATCAACACATCTCCCCCAACCTCTGCTCCCCACGGTACCTACCCGTATCATCATGGAGGAGAGCTGGACGGCGATTCGTGCCATTCCATCTATCCCGTACCTCCGAGCTTCGATTCACCGCCGCGCTCGGCATCAGTTGATCGATTCTGCGGCATTGACAGCTACCGTTCATTAAAACGGGAGCACCGCCCGCTCTTGGCTCGCCACATCCGCCACCGATCATCACCTCTACAGCGTCCTCGGAGCAGGATGGACGATGATCGGTACTACCCCAGCAAAAGCCCGTCCCGTGGCTACGCTCGCAGGTACTATAGCGAATCGTGTTCCCCTCGCTCATTCTCTGTTGAAGACTCAGACTTTGATGAGGAGACTGGCGAAATCGTAGTGGGAGGTGCCGAGCGAACAGCCAGGGATGAATTCTTGCTCAAGTATCGCAGCAAGGGCTGGACATACAAGCAGATCAGGGAGAGAGGCAACTTCGCCGAGGCAGAGTCAACGCTGCGGGGCAGATACCGGACATTAACCAAGGAAAAAGAGGCGCGTGTGAGGAAGCCTGAGTGGCACGCAAACGATGTAAGTGCTTCTGTGACGTCTACACAAGCTCGACGACACTCGGCGCTAACATCCCTATCCTACAGATCAAATTACTCAAGCGTGCTGTCAAGAAGCTCGGGAAGAGCGACAGCAAGGGAGACATCAAGAAGATCTCCTGGAAGCAGGTGGCTGAGTACATCTCTGAAAGTGGGGGTTCATACAGCTTCGGCTATGCTACTTGCCGCAAACGCTGGGATGAGCTCACTACCCGCAAAGAGGACGCCGACGGGTCCTAAGTTTTCATGAATTCCGGGCATTAAAGCCATACGACAGTCACGACATCATGAATCTTTCACACATCTTTGCTCCCATCTGGCTTCACCGGTCTCCCGTCACAATGGGACAACTTCAACAATCTCGGCATGGTTAGGCGCATGTAACGAACACGGATACTTAGCTTTGATTTCGGGGGACTAGATTTGCATTTTGTATCTTGAGAGCATGGAGTTTATAGTTCTCTTCAACTTAGCGATGGAGCATCTACTGGTATGTTGTGTATTGAGCTCAAGGATCAAAAGTATTTTATCTGAGCTGCTTCGCACCAAACTATATCCTTTAAAGTGAGAGTTCTCTTGTTGTGGGTATGGGACGCGCGTCCTGTGTCGGTATGCCAATCTTTTCGAGCACACTGAGCAGCAGGCCCGGATTTTTGCGCACCGCATCCCACTCGGCCTGACTCTTGACGAGCGCGGTGCCCGCAAGCACAGTGCCGTTGAGTTCAATCTTGCCAATGATGGGCCTGTCACCGCTGCCGTCGCCTGTACCACCTCTGGCGTCATCGTATATGACTGACCCCTCGGCGAGCCGCGGACACAAGGCCAGGACCGAACTCGTCATGGCGAGGTTGTAGCTGATCTGAGCTTCTTCCCCCGCTGCCGCTAGTGACTCTGCTGGTGACTCTGCTTGCCGAGGAGGAGGAGGAGGAGGAGGAAGCTTTTGAGTCTGCTGCGGCGGGGACTTGAACGCCTGCACCGCCGCACAGGCTCTGCGGTACAACTGTATATACGCGGCGTGTCTTTCCTGGGCGGACATCTGTGGTGTGATGGGAGTCGAGAATATCTCAAAGGGGCACCTTCTCCTCCTGCTTATTGTTGTTGCGCTCTCTTCTTCTTGCGCCGAGTCAGGGTGAAGGCTGTCGATGAGCGGTGTCCATTCATCACTTCCAGCTGGACCCTGGGGATCAGAGGAGGAAGATGAGGAAGCGGTCATGGAGGTGGGGGCGGAAGATGGTGGCAGCCCGACCTTCATGTTCTGTATGGGGAGGAGCTGCAAGTGCCGATGAGGCTGGCTTGCTCCGCTGAAGGGGCCGGAGTTGAAGAAGACAAAGAGGTCGCTGCCCCGTTCCTCCTCCTCGCCGCCTCCGCCATTGCCGCCGCCGCTGGTGACGGTGGCCTTGCGCTGGGCGGCGTCCTCGCGATAAGCGCGGATACACGCATACGCCGCCTCCAGGTCGTCCGCCTCGAGGAGGTGCGTCTGCGGCTTGAAGTCGTTGGTGATGAGGATGAAGTGGCCCGGCACGATGGCGAACTTGTTCAGCACCAAGGTGTGTGTCGCCGGCTGGGGGAGCCTGGCGATGAGCAGCGCCGGGTCGGGGTCTGCGAAAGGGTTGAATGGGGCGGCGGGCTTGTCCTTGGGTTGTTGTGGCTTGGTGTTTTTGGGCTTGGATGCTAGTGAAGGAGAGAAGCGGAGCTGGAAAGGCGGGATTGAGCCTGGCGTGAGGATGGCCACCTGGGTCTGGTAGTATGTCAGGTCGCCATTGGCGGCGGCGCGGGAGAAAGCTGTCCTGACGAGGCTGGGCAGGTTAGGCGGTGCCGTGATTCGGAGGGCGTCCGCCATAATGTGCTGCTGTGATGCGAAAGACCTGGACGTGGGTTACAAATTACAACGCTGATGGTTGCTTGGGCAGCCACCAAGCGTTGGCTCTCTATATAATTGCCAACCGCCAAGATTGATCTTATATGGCACAGACAGGGTTTTGCGGAGTTTCGAGATGGCACAGATTGGAGAGTTGGGGGATGTAGTTGTACATTACCCTGAGGGAACCAGACAAGCCGTGTAAGTCAACACGGCGATGGAAGCTTGTCGATGTACGTTGCCAGCAGTAAGAAATGACGTTTGTTGGCAGCAGCATGTCGGGCGGGCTGCAACGGTCAGCCAGCTGCAGCCAGCCGTGGAGGCTGCCGCACAATCCTGCGTTACGGTAGCAGCCTCAAACTACCTAGGTAAGCACTTAGGCGTGCCCAGCTAGAGATTCAGCACTGCCGCTAACAGCAACCATCAAAGTTCCCGGACGACCTTATTTGGACAAATCCCAAGTCAATGTCGCCCTACGACTGGCTGCGTTGAAAATGCCAAGAAGCTCGCAGCTTGCCGCTACGCTTCTTGAGCTCCGCATCATGGCGGCTGCTGCTGGAGACGTCGGCTTGAAGACATCCATTCTGTGGAACACCCCTGCGGTGCGAGTTGATTGGTGGCCGAAGCCTGGCCAGAGAAAATGATTGCAATATTGCTTCTCCAGCAACAAAGTAACAAGACGACATGTCACATAAGATCGGCAAAAGTGTTTCGAAACAATCTGCATGGGACGATGCTCTGGGGGGCAGTCCGTAATGACATGGGATCGACATCGACAGGCAACGGTTAGGGATGGAGTAGCCGGGGCAGTGGCAGTCTGTAGCGCCCAGTTGTGGCATCGCTCCAAACCATCCCACGCGACACACCGACCTGCACTGCGAATGGCGAATGTGATCGGCTCGTCCGAAGACGCACCAGCGAGACAGGCGATGAAGGGCGAACTGTGGAGCGTGGCCAGTGGCCGTCACGGCACGTCACGAATCAGCGCATATGTGCGTGACAGACTGGGCCCAGCGAGCAGCCCCCAACAGCACCAGTCATGCTCGAGCGAAGGGCCGACATCTTAAATCGGTGTTAATATGTCTGGAGCGTGGAGCTGTTTCAAGTTGCCAGGCTGAGCGGGGAAGCCCCTTCAGGTGCAGGAGGACAAGCTCCAAAGCAACACAAGGACGTGGGACCACCTTGGCCAGGCCTGTGCCGCCATTGCGCATACTATGGTAAAGAGGACTGAGTCGCTTGGGGGCCGCGCCGCCCAATGACTCCCGCACTGCCAGCTTAATGTTTCCTGCTTGGGCGCTCTGGGGGCCCTGCTGGCCAATGGGCTCGGCCGGACACGGTTTGTTCCTGCATTAGCCGCGCAACTGGAAACACACGGCCGAGCGACCCCTGCGTGCGCAAAGGAAAACGCCCGCGCACCCCGGCCATGAAACAAAGGCGATCTGGCCCACTCGCAGAAAATGATCTGCAGCTCCCAGTGGACACTCGATGCTACGCGAGGGCTGCTCTCGGCTGGCGCCACAGGCGTGCCGGTTGCCACATTCATGCGTTCCGTTTCGGCAGATGGTGGTGCAGGGTCAGTCGTTGGACGACAGAAGCCACATCTTGACGCCCACGCTGGCGGGACAAGCTGCTGGCGTGGCACCGTCGAGCTCGGCCTCGGACCGCCTCCGCTGGGCCGCTAGGGCGTCGCATCTTGGTTGCCCGGATGCACAGACTCGCCACCACCGCGGCTGGCCCTGGCAAGCCTGGCTCTGGTCGTTGTCAACATGGACAGTAGGCTGTCCGACGAGGCAGGCAAAGTAGAGGGTTGCAGTGTTGACGTTGTCGGGATGCCGCGAGCTGGCTGGCGCGAGGCGGTTCCTGGGCCGCACGCCACCCATTCCAGACATGTTGGAGCCGGCGCCCGCCGCACGTGGCGAGTGCAGCCTGCTGGCTCCATGTGCTTGCCGAGGGCATGCTGGTGGTCGGCCGGGAGGGCTGGGGGCATGCCTGGTGCCTGGCAGTGGCGGCGGGCTCCATCTGGATGGTATGTCTGGTGGGCGGCGTCTCTCTTCGTGTGAGCGCTGGTACGGTGGTGCGGTGGTGGTCATGATTGCAGGGTGAGAGCTCGGTTGGGGGTTCCGCCTCGAGACCGCCTCGCATGGAGGTCAAGACCTGCCACACGCACGCGCGAGGGCATCTGTGCCCAGCCATTGCCTGCGTCGTCGCACTTGCACCCGCTGCCCGCTGCCCACCACAGCCATTGGCCTTGCATCGCAGCACACGGTTGGGGGCGGCAAGGATGCCCACGCTGTGCATCCCCGGGCCCGGGAGGCGGATGCCAAGGACTGAGAATAGCCAGCCCGGCATCCCATAAGAAGAGATGGTGGCACCGCCAGGGGGATCCATACCTCAGATGCCTGTGCCCCTTGATCCCTGCCCCTGCAACCCTGCCTGCACTCGACCCATCAGGTGCTGCACTGCAACTCACGACCACCCGCTCCTGCCATCTGGACTTGATATAACTGCCTCCCACGCTCCTGGCCAGCCTCAGCCACGCTCTTGCCCTTCTCCTTGCCTGCCTACGCTATCCTTCGTCTGACTGTCAGTCATTCACCTTCCCTTCAGCGCCTCTTCACTTCTTACGCCGGTGGACCTTGACGGCCATCGACCTTTCTTTCTGCCATTTCCACGGCAACCACCATTCTACTCGACTTTTCGTACCTATCTGGCGCCGCCCCTCCAACAACAAAACCAACCATTCCCTCGATTGCCAGCTGCATCCTCTGCAAACACCTTGAGACGCTCACGCACTCTTCCTGGTTCTGCCCGACCTCGATATTTCCTTAGCAAGCCTCACTTCCTTGGACAACGATATCCCTACAGCGCAGGCACTCTTTTCCTCGCCTGATTCTTATCTTCTCGGATCGTCGAGTTTGCCTCGACCACCTTATCAGCAGAGCTGAGTTTGTCACATTTGACCGTTACGGCACGTGCGAATCGTTGATGTGAGTCGCCCCTGTTTGCCTGAACTCCATATGTCAATCCTAGGCGTTGTTTGTCATTGCCACTTCTTGTTTTCTCACCTTGGCATCACGTCATCGCCAATCGTTCGTACTTATCCTCTCCCTCTCTTGTCAAGACAATACCGTTGTCATGAACGACAGATATCGCTTTTCCCCGCCGTGTCTTCACTTATAAAACCGCCAGTGCCCCAGCACTGCCTCCACAAACACCGAGGCTTCCTTTTTACTAACTTGGTTGATACGCAGTTGCGACCTACTCTCCCTTCTTTCAATAGTCAAATATCCACCGTACGAGTGGCTGGCTCTACCCGTACCATGGGACTTTTGAAACTCGTCGCAGCCTCGCTGCTGGCCATTGGCCAAATCACCACTTCGGCATCTGCCATCCCTACCACGGAACTCGCAACCCGACAGGCCGCAGGCAGCAGTTACTGGTTCTCGAGCATCAAGAGACAGGGTGTTCCTGTCTACGCCGAGCAGGGCTACACTCTCTTTCGCAATGTCAAAGACTTTGGCGCTGTTGGCGATGGCGTGACGGACGACACGGCCGCCATCAACAAGGCAGTCCAGGCCGGCCCCGGCCGGTGTATCGATGAGTGCGACTCTCGCACCAACGCCCCTGCTCTTGTCTACTTCCCTCCCGGCACATACCTTGTTACCAAGCCCATCATCCAGACTTACTACACCCAGTTCGTCGGTGATGCGATCAACATCCCCGTCCTCAAGGCTGCTGCCTCCTTTGAGGGCATGGCTGTGATTGATGCCAACCCCTATTACCCTGACTCGCCCGTCGCCAAGAACTGGTACATCAACCAGAACAACTTCTTCCGCCAGATTCGCAACTTCGTAATTGACATCACTGCCGTCCCCATGCAGGCTGGCTGTGGTATTCACTGGCAGGTGTCTCAGGCCACCAGTCTGCAGAACATCGTCTTTGAGATGAATCCTGACACCAGCGAGAAGAACGGCCAAAAGGGTCTTTTCATTGAGAACGGCTCTGGCGGCTTCATGACCGACTTGACCTTCAACGGCGGTGGCACCGGCATCAATATCGGAAGCCAGCAGTTCACCCTGCGCAACATGACGTTCAACAACTGCGGCACTGCCGTCCACTTCATCTGGAACTGGCAGTTCCTCCTCCAGGACTTCAAGATCAACAACTGCCGTGTCGGTGTGGACATGACTGCCTTTGACATGAGCACCATCACGGTTGGTTCCGTCATCATGCAGGACACCGTCATCGCCAACACCCCGATTGGTGTCAAGACTCTGTACAAGGCTGAGAACGTCATGACCAACAACACTCTGATCATGGACAACGTCGACATGACGCAAGGAGTCCCCACTGCTATTCAGAACGCCAAGGACGAGACCGTGGTGCTTACAGGCAACCAGCACGTCGCCATGTTTGCACAAGGCAAGCAGTACTCCGGAACTGCTGGAAAGGCCATCCAGGGCGTGCAGAAGGCCATCACCAAGCCGCAAGGTCTCATGAGCGACGGCAAGGTCTTCACGCGCTCGAAGCCACAGTACGAAGGTGTGCCCGCCAGCCGTTTCGTCAGCGTCAAGGCTGCAGGAGCCAAGGGCGACGGTTCGAGCGATGACACACAGGCCATTCAGAAGATATTCGATGCCGCGAAAGAAGGCGATGTCATTTACTTTGATCATGGCGCTTACCTCATCATGGACACTGTCAAGGTTCCCAAGAACATCAAGATCACTGGTGAGATGTGGCCGTTGATTATGGCGACTGGTCCCAAGTTCGGAGACGAGACAAAGCCGATCCCCATGTTCCAGGTCGGCGAACCCGGTGACGTTGGCACTGTCGAGATGTCCGACCTGATTATCGAGACCAAGGGCCCGGCTCCCGGTGCTATCTTGATGCAATGGAACTTGGAGGGCACGAACCCTGGCGATGCTGGCCTCTGGGACGTCCATTTCCGTGTTGGCGGCACTTCTGGCACCGAGCTCCAGTCAGACAAGTGCAAGAAGACTCCCAAAGAGACCACTCAGCCCAACCCTGAGTGTGTTGGCTCCTTCATGATGTTGCACATCACCACGACTGCCTCGGTCTACATTGAGAATTGCTGGTTCTGGGTTGCTGACCACGAGCTGGACCTCACCGACTGGAGTCAGATCAACATTTACAACGGCCGCGGCGTGCTGATCGAATCCCAGAAGCCGGTTTGGCTTTGGGGCACAGCCTCTGAGCACAGCCAGCTGCACAACTATCAGGTCACCAATGCCAAGAACCTCTACATGGGTGTCATCCAGACTGAGACCGCTTACATGCAAGGCAACCCTGACGCGCTGGTTCCTTTCAAGGCCAACGACGGTTTCTTCGATCCCGACTTTGCCCAGATCTGTGCTGGCTCATCTTCGAGCCGCTGTGCTCGTACAATGGGTCTTCGCGTCACCAACTCGTCTGACATCTTCCTCTTTGGAGGAGGCTTGTACAGTTTCTTCGACAACTACGCACAGGAATGCGTGGACCAGAACAACTGTCAAGATGACATGATCAGCATCGAGAACTCGAGCGTGCATCTCTTTGGTGTCGCCACCAAGGCGTCTGTCAATATGATCACGCACAATGGCAAGACTGTCGCTCTCGACAAGGACAACCGCAACACCTTTTGTGCCGCTATTGCAGTATTTGAGACTTCCGATGGCCCTGCTGGCGGCGTTGACAGCGTACCCGGCACAGGACCCGGATCGAGCGGTCTGCCCAGCGAGGGCCCGACCCTGACTACCACGTCAACCCGGACTTCGACGATCGCGACCACGATCCATACAAGCACGGTCACGGGCGGCGGAGCTGGAGCTGGTGCTGGAGGTGGTGGTGCCGGCAGCCCCGCACCCACCTCGGTTGCTGCTACTCAGACGGGTCAATATGGACAGCCTGCTCCCAGTGGCTCAAGCGAGACTGCCGCTATTCCTGTTGCTTCCAGTGGCGGCGATGATTCTATCCCATCAGCATCGACAATCTTTCCTGCACCAGTCCCTGAACCCACCGACCAGGGAAACAGTAACGCGGGCGGCAACCCAGCCCCTCTACCGTCTCCCGTTCCAACCTCGCCGCCTGCCGCCAACAATGGGGGCGGCAGCGGCAGTGGAGGCGAGGTGGTTGTGACTGTGACCGAGACACTGACCGTCCCGGGCAACTGCGGAGCGTCACTGTGAGGAGCTGTGACGATCCCATCGACCCGAACGCAGACCACACGTACGACAACTCAGACCCACACGAAGACTGCTGAGCCAACATGTCGGGCATGCAAGCCATGCCAGTACGTGGTGACGGTGACGGCGTCGTGAGCGCAGTCCGATTACTTCGATTCTTATTTTGGCCCTAGTGGCATTATAGCATGGCAGTTGTGGTTTCCACACTTTTTCAGGACTCCTTTGTTGTACATATTTTAAATCATGGCGAGATATGGGTGATGGTGGTGTGAGTGGCTCCTTGACTTGGGGGATTTCAATCTTGGCGAGCACTGTCAACGTCTTGGAGCATGATTGAGACTGGTCTAGATGACACTATTGGGCCCGTAGACATAAATACCAAACATTGTGTACCAATCAAGCTGCCGACTAGGGGTGATTGTTGTGCTGTGAATACTCTGTTTGTTCAACGGAAGGGCACGAACTGGCGATGTGCCTGCGTAACCTGATCTTTAGCGAGTTGGCTTGGCCGTTGTCTTAGGTTGGAGCCTAGTGCGACAGGACAGATATGAACATGGCTGTGTGCTCCTGCCAGGGCTTCGTGGCCACAATGGACTTTTCGATTCTGGCATGTTCTGAGCATGGGCAACAACCAAATGTACCCAGGTAGGTACCTAGGAGTGGTGTATTGCAGCCTTGGCGATGAGACAGAGTGGCAACGATGGAGCTAACCGCATCTGGTCAGGGCCGCGGCCAGCACGGTGGGCCCAGAGACCAACGTCATCGGGTCGACATTGCCTCGCCCACTTTCTTTGTGTCTGTCCACCTCACGATAACCTCTCTTTGCCTTGACTCTCGGTCTTGCAACCACGAAATTCGCCTCAATGTTGCCATACTAAGCAGTGCGAGACCCGTCCTCTTTGCATTTGCCTGGCTTGTTCCTCCACGAGCACACCTTCCTACCTAGACACCAACTCTCGAAGACCCGATATCGAGCGGCCCTCTACACGTCTTCCTGTCCTCCATTCAAATGTCCGAAAAGTCACTCCGGTCACGTACCGTCAAGCCCGTTATTGACAACAACGGCCCCGCCACTGACGACAACATGTCCTCCAACGGCACCACCACGAACCCATCATCATCATCTTCATCACCAGCACCACCAGCACGAGCCTCGACCCCCGCGCGGCGGCGGCGCAACCCTCCGCACCTGCCGACGCCAACCGAGCTTCTCGCGCTGGGGATATACCCGGTGCTCCTCACCTTCGGGACCCTCTTCTCCGTGTTCAACCCGGAGGCCCGGGGCGCGCCGTACGACCCCTACGCGCAGTCGCACTTCCCCGGCACCGCGCCGAGCTACTTCGCCCGCAAGGACAACCTGCTCAACGTCCTGTTCGTCAAGAAAGGCTGGGCGTGGTTCACGGGCGCGTTCCTGGTGTTCCTGTTCACGCACCCCACGTACACGTCTTTGGCTTCCTCGGCAGAGACGGCGCTCCAGCGCAGGCTCAAGGCCGGGGTCCGCTACGCCCTGGTGACGGGGTGGTGGATCCTCGTGACGCAGTGGTGCTTCGGCCCCGCGCTCATCGACCGCGGGTTCCGCTACACGGGAGGCAAGTGCGAGGTCGCGCAGCTCGCCGTGCACGCGGGCGAGGCCGACACTGGCGACGCGCTGACGGCGGTCGCGTGCAAGGCCGCGGGCGGGCGGTGGAGCGGCGGGCACGACATCAGCGGCCATGTCTTCCTGCTCATGCTGGGGAGCTGGTTCCTCGTGCAGGAGGTCGGGTGGGTGATCCTGCGCGCGTCGGGCTCCGCGCCAGCGGCAGCAGGAGGGAGTGCGAGGACCACGGCGGGCAACGGGCTTGAGGAGAGGACAGTCGTGATGGCCGATGGCGCGGTCAAGGGCGCCAGTGTCGAGGCGGCCGCTGTGGATGGGCATCTGTCTTCCGCCAAGGAGGGCCAGCAGCCTCATCATGCCGGTCACGTCGGGCTCGGACTGGGCGGCAAGTTCGCCGCGGCCATCGTCGTGCTGAGCTACTGGATGCTCCTGATGACGGCGATCTATTTCCACACGTGGTTTGAAAAGGTAAGCCGCTCGCTCGTATATGTTTGCTTCATCCCGTTCCTCCTTTGCCGATGTGCATCCATCAGGAGCTTCCCCCCAATGAGTACAGGGCTCTCTCTACACCACCGAACGAATGCTGACCAACCTATCAATCTCTCTAGGTCACCGGCTTCCTGGTTGCCTTCGCCGGCATGTACAGCGTGTACATCCTGCCTCGCTTCGTCCCGCCGCTCCGCGGTATCGTGGGGATGCCCGGAATTTGAAGGGGTGGGCTGCGGCAACGGCAAGTGGCGGGTGTCGCCGACTCAAGGAATGACAAAAGTTTGCAGAGGTTGAGACTATTATGCTGGGGGGTTCTGGCGGAGCCACCAACGTAATGCTTGCATAGCAATCCGCCCCAAGACGCCTGGAGAGGTATGTTGGTGTATTCGCAGTAGAGCTTCGATAGGCCTGTGAAAGCGCCAGCCAAAGGTGGCAGAAATTCAACTCAATATATATATATATATCAAGAATGCCTGCAAAGCTTGGACAGTGGTTGCCATCACTCCGTAACAAAAAAGGCAGCAAGCAACTCGGTTTAACGTGAATATAATGAATAGTGGAACGACAACGCAGAATCTTCTCTGTGTCACTGCGTTCTATTCGCGACAGCACTCTGAATTAATCAGAATTTGCCATCCTCTAGTCGCTATGTATCAATACCTGCAGATGAGTCTATCTATGTTCCCTGCAAAATGTATCCCCTCTACATGAAAAGCATGAAGCAGCAAGCTGGTGGCTAGAAGACGAGTATCGAAACACAGAGGTGTCAAAGCAAGGAAAGAATCAATACAACGCCGTAGGCTATGTGGTTGGGAGAATGCAAGGTGTGGAGAATCACGGCCATTCTGCGCCGGAAAAGCAAATGCTGATATACAAGGAATCTCATCCTTGAGAACACCGACCATGCCGTCTCAAATAAAGCCAGCGTCATACACCGACTCGCGCTTGCGGGAGCTCTCGAGGCACTGGATGTCAGCAACATCTGCGCCGAAATCGAGAATCAGGATCTTGGGGTCTTGCCCAGTGCTCACGATGCGCCGGTAATCGCTCTTGGCGCTGAGGACCCAGCTGGCGTGCCGGCGTGGGAAGTCCGCAACCTGCTCGCCCGTCTCCATGTCAAACACCTTGATATCCGTGTCGTAGCTGCCGCTGACCAGGCGGCCGCTGATGCTGTCAATATGCAAACTGCGCACCAGGGACTCGTGGGCCTGGATCTCGCGGATGCACTCGCCCGTGTTGGCGTCCCAAATGCGGATGACCTTGTCACTACCTGCAGAGGCAATATACCTGCCGTCTTCAGAGAATTGACTGCAAGCGAGTCCCTTTGTGTGGCCCATGAACTCACGGACGACCTTGCCGCTGTCGAGGTTCCACAGCTTGACTCGAAAGTCTCCAGAACACGACACGATGGTATTGTCACGCAGCTGTACGGCGTTGACCGGTCCGGTGTGACCCGTGAGCTGCTTCACCAGCGCACCAGTAGCCCTGTCCCAGACGCAGATCGTGATGTCCTTGGAGCATGTAACAATGTGCTTGCGGTCAAATGCAAGGTCGAGAACAGCGGCAGTGTGGTGCTCCAGACGTCGGACAGGTCGGTATCCCGAACGGACATTGTAGACAATGCACGAGGAGTCCGAGGAGCCTGTGACAAGGATCTCGTCGTCGTACTGCAGGCAAAGGATGGATGCCTTGTGGTGAATGGGAAAGGACACAGTGACAGGAACGGATGGACAAGCCCGGTCATTGTCTTCGCTCGAAGCATAGTGGAGCGGTTTTCCATTGGGGTCAAAAAGTATTTGGGTTTGGTTGACGACCTCGGGCGGACCAATGATCAGGCGGCATTGCAACAGGTGCATGTCCCAAATCCGTATGGTTTTGTCTCTGGAGCCAGTGATGATTTTGTTCCTACAGCTCCTATTAGTCTGTGCGCTTCAGGTTCTTGGTAGGATGTGCATCAACTTACTCATCAAACTGCAGGCAGTAGATACTATCCAGATGCCCGTTCAGATAGGTAGCCTGAGGCTGTTTCTTTGTTGTCCATTGCTGCTCAAGCTCGTGTCGCGCCTTGTAGATCATGCGCCAGTCACTCCCTTGGCGGACGGGAGGGATGCCACAGCCCGTACCCGGCTGGGCATTGTGACCAGTAGCATAAGTCCGCGTCTTCTCACGCAGAAATGCTTCGCGCCAGATGTGCTGATCCGAGACGGTCTGATTCCACCGCCTCGAGACCCTGCCAACGGCACTCAACTGTGCGGCATCCAGACACGACAGGATCTGGACGACGAGCTCGGGCGGCAGGTGAGAGACAAAATCTATCCTAGGGATGCTGCAGTCCATCTCCGAGACCATGTCGACGTTCGATTCTGACGGGGTCAAGCTAATGCCAATGCCACTCTCCCCGTCGTTGTGCACACCTTCGATGTACGACCACCCATCCTGTCTTTGGCGCTCACTTAAAGCGAGGTACTCGTTCTGCATAGCTGCAGCCGCCTTGGCTGCTGCGCCAGTATTGGAGGGGATGATCGGAGGGGCGTTTCCATTGCCAGGTATCGGCAGATCGGGCACATACGATGATTCGAGCTGCGCGTAGACAGGATCGAGAGACGGCTGCCGGGACAGTATCCTTGAATGTCGGAAGGATGTGGCGGAGCGCAAGCGATTCCAGGTCGAGCTGCTGGTGCTGGGCTGGATCAGGTAGCCATCGACGGCCGGTTCAGAGCTGCGGCGGTCACGACGTTGCGCAAAGCCCTTCATGAGCGAGAGCGAAGCCCTCCTGATCCTTCCTTTGAAGGAGTGACTGGCGCTTCTGTGGTGTCCCTGATGATCGCTGTCGTCGGGGTAGTACAAATGGGCGGGCATCTCGGCCACCGCATCCTCGTCGACCATGACCACATCGCTGCCCTCAGAGCTGCTGGCGTTTCCAGGATCAAGCTGACTCCTGCTTACAGCATGCCAGGACATGCCGAACTGTGTAGGAAGTGCGGTGCTGGGTCGGGCCGTGGATGCGAAGTTGTTACGGGCGGAAGTGCCATCGTTGGCGGATGGTCGTCTCGTGCTCTGTGATGCGTGCAGCTGGTCGAAGGTTGCAGTCGCTGGGCGCGAAGGCCGATCGGGTGCAGAGGACATGGTGTCTGCGTGCAGTGCTACTAACGCAGCAAGGTGTCGGATGGACACGAGGTGGTCTTCAGTGAGTGCTGGCGAACGCGCTCCGAGTCTTTATCTGACGTGATGTGTGCGATGAGATGGGGCCTGCAAGGATGCCAGGCAGTGTTTGTATGCTGGCTGTGGAATGAGTGCGGAGCACGAGGGAAGTGTGATGAGGCAGAGAGTGCGACAAGCAGGTGGACGATGTTGTGCCTGGAGAAGACCCTTGGGGGGGTTGTTTGCGCGGCGTATCTCGTCTCGAAATGTCTGCTCTCGTCTTCCGTCTCGTCTCGCGTTGCCGTCGCGGGCGGGATGTGGTTTGCTCCCTGACCTCGGAGCAACGGCCGCAGGGGTTCTGCAACAAGCACTCGAACGCCTGCTCCCGGGGACGGACCAGTGCTGCTGGCGGGTGGCGTGGCGTCGTGCAGCGGCAGCCTGTGCCTGGAAAAGCAAGCAAGGGAGCACGGCGAAGAAGAAGGTTTCCCAACGCAAGGGATCGAGGCGGCCCAGTCACTCGGGTCGTCAGGCGAGACGTGATTCGCACAGACACTGGGCAAAAGTGCGACGCTGCGATGCGAGGTGACACGGCGAGGAGGGAGAAGGGGAAAAAACACGGTGATGCGGCATGCCAGACAAGACGCTGCAGCGATGCGGTGGCAGGCGCCGCCCCTGACCACCTCGAGGGATCTGGCCGCGGCAGGCGCGAGTTTTGGCACCGGACCGGCCGTCTTGACTCGGACAGGGGCGCCCACTGCGGTGCTCTGTGGCAGGACTCCAGCGCCCATGACGCACTGGGCCGGCGCTAGTCCGTCTCAACGGCAAGCACATGTGCAGAGCCTGCACGCAGCCGCTGGCAAGCGACGTTGGCGAGGGTTGGGTCGCCCGGTGCCGGGGCCTTAGCAAGGGCTCACCAAGCGGTGATTCCGTCACTGTGGATCTGGCCGTGGGCCGCCAGGTAGCAAAAGTATCGACCGTCCTGGGGCATGTGTCATGGAAATTGAATTGCAGGGCGATCTGTCAGTCAATGGCAAACGGACGGCCAAACCACATTATCGTGGCAAATGGAGGGCGCAGACAGTCATCTCGCACAATAGACACTGTAGAACATCAAATTTGGACCGTCTCGGAGCTTGGTGATGGCCAACCAACCTAATAATCACGGCCTGGGGGCTGGACCGTCCTGCTCTTCCGCAACATGCTGTTGCAAACGGGAATCTCTTGGCTGTGCATAATTGGACCTCTCATCTTTGTCTTGAAGGAGTTTGCCTTGAAGGAACTACTCAGAAAGCCTTGCCTGCACAGAAGTTGGCTAGCGCATCAAGAAAGGTAGCTTGGTGCCATTTGCCAATGGCTGAAGACCCTTCACATCTACAGATGCGAAAACCCGGTTGACAGCACATGTCAAACTTGCACTAGCTGAATGCCCTTGCAAGAACTCAATGGCACAAGTGGGTCTCCTGTCACTTTATACACTGGGGACTTATGTTTCACCAAGGACATGTCAACAACCTCCAGCCAGAGCAACAACAAGATCTTTGCAAAGAGCCGCGAATATGATGAATGCTTGAGTACTCGTCTCGGAAGAGTATCACACTGAAGTTTTTCTTTATGCATACGACGTCCACAAACAACCATCCACCCTGCACCACAACGCCGCCGCACCATGCTCCCACCAAACCCATGACTTTTTGACACTCCGGGTCCCAATTCACCTTCACAGCTTCTCCCCAGGCGACAAACCCTTTCTCAGCTCCAATCAAAACAGAATCCCATTTCTCGCGCAGTTTTACGCGCCAAAGGCCTTATCGTAGTCGACCATGCAGTAGCGGTACTTTACGGCGCCCGAGTTGTCGTGTAGGTCCTTGAGGGTCTTGCTGAGATTCTCCTCGCTGATGGGCACCTCGACGACCCACGAGTGCAGCTTCTTCTCGGCGGCGAGCTTGAACATGTCGAGCATCTCGCGCCGGCTGCCGAGGTGGGACGCGCCGATCAGGCACCCGCTCCCGTTGAGCTGCTGCGGGCTGATCTTGAGCGTCGAGTCCTCGGGCATGCCCACCGACACAAACTTGCCGTGCACGTCGAGCAGCGACAGGTAGGCCGCCAGGTCGAATCCTTCGCCAAAGTTGTTGCTCGTGCTGATGATGAGGTCAAACGTCATCTTGTGCGGCTCGTTCCAGCCCTTCTCCGACGTCGCCAGCAGGCCGGCCGCTCCCATCTTCTTGGCGTCCTCCTCCTTGCTGCGGGACCGCGAGATGACCCACGTCTCGGCACCCAGCGCCGCGCCGAACAGCACGCCAAAGTGGCCGAGACCGCCCAGGCCGACGATGCCGACCTTCTTGCCTGGTCCGGCGCCGTTCCTGACTAGAGGGCTGTACGATGTGATGCCGGCGCACAGCATGGGCGCGGCAATGTGGCTGGGGAGCTCATCGGGGATGGGGAAGACCCTGTGTGGTGCGGTGGGCGCCCATGTCAGCCATGATTGATCTCCCAAAAAGTCTCACCAAGGACATTTTTCTTAGTCCAAGTAGGATTGACTTACCAGTGCTCGTGAGTGCGGACGTGCGACGAGTAGCCGCCCTGGGAGATGATGCCGGGGTATTCTGGCCACTCGGCGCCGTACGTGTCGCGCTGGTGGGCGCAGTACGTCTCATTGTCGTTCTTGCACTGGCGGCACTCGAGGCAGGACCAGGACTGGGCGCCGACACCGACGCGCTGGCCCTCCTTGATGAGGGTGACCTTGGGCCCGACGCGCAGGGCACGGCCGACAATCTCGTGGCCGACCGAGAGGCCGTCGTTGAAGTGCTGCGAGCCCCAGCCGCCGTTGATGGTGTGCACGTCGCTCGAGCAGACGCCGCAGCACTCAATCTTGATCTCGACGTCGTAGTCGGCAAACGGCTTGGCGTCAAACTTTTGCTTGTGGAACGTCGTCCACGTCTCAGGCGACTTGACCTGGAAGCCGGTGAACTGGTCGTACTCGGGCATGGTTGGCGATGTGGTGCTTGGGTTATAGTGAGACTAGGTCAATTTCACAGGAAGAGCAAGATTGGTCGACAATCTTTGGGGTAACTGCGCGGAACAATGAGTAGTAGTAGGAGGAGAGAAAAAAAGAACTCAGACACAGGATCGTGGGCGAAGCCTCAAAAGCACGTGAGGGGTCACGTCGGGCATTCTCATAAGCATCGAGGCACGGGTGCCCCGCGTGCCCAGCCCTCTTCCTTTGTCCCTATCAGCAGCGTAGGACATCGTGGGGATCGGCGGAATTCACATCTCTCAGCTCGGATTCTACCAATAACAGCCGTTTCTGCCCGTCGGGTAAAAAAAAAAAAAGAAAGGGAATGGGGTATTAGCAAGCGCGTCCTCTCTCTCTCGCCCGATAGCGTTTGTGGGGGAGTCGGCGTTGACATCCAGCGATGGCCCGAAGTTGGCCCCGCAGGTATTCTTCCACCACTCAGATCTGGGGAAGTTGGGGCAGGAGGGGTTCCCCAGTGGTGGGGTTCCTCTTTCTCTTCTGAAGCCTTTCCCAGCGACTTGGTTGCACAATGTTCCATACTGTAGCAGGAAATGACGTGTGGTTCGGCGTCATATATATGTTTTATCAGACATCCTATCTCGGTTTGTACCCCGTATCACAGGGTTCTCCAAGCGATCCCAGCCACACGCTCTGGCCCGACTCGGCAATCCTCGCCGACAATTGAGTCGATGGATACAGGCATGGGCGGATCCTCTGGCACTTACCTCGCAAAAGGGAACCGGCAGTACGCCACGAACAAAACATACGAGATTGAGTGAGCGTTGCAGTCAGAGATGGAGCATTCTTCCCTGAAATCTCACGAGGTTGCTGTATCGTCGAGATTCGTATACCTCACAAGTAGTAGTGCGTTCGCATCGCAGTAGTCCTCACCCCCAAGGAAATGTCGTTGCAATCTTGACACTATGACGAAACGACGAGATCTAGAGACATAGCTACGACAAAAGAGCAGCGCCCCTTCCGGTTGACCCTCCCGCATCGAACAAAACACCAAGTCCTCAAGCTCTCTTCTTGCCCAGTACACCCGCTTTCTCTCCTCCTCCTCCTCCCAAGCCCACGCCCAGCAGGAAAGCAGACCTCATCGAAGCACCGGCATAGACGAACGGGACATTGCCCCAGTCAATCGCATTCCAGCCCAGCACGTCCCAGTACACCCGCCCGCCCAGCGCCCTGAGAGAATACAAGTGACCCAGGTCCGCGACGAGCAGCACGAACAGCACCGTCCGCCAGACGCGCAGGTCTCCCGTGGACCGCAGCACCAGGGCCTCGTTGAGCGTGAAGAGCAGGTACAGGTTCGCGAGCTGCGACATGACGACCGACGTGCCCAGGGGGATGCCGCCGCCGTCGGGTGATGATGTAGGTGACGAGGGCGCGTGCGTCATGGTCAGGTACGCCTCCTGGAAGAAGTGTGCGTAGACTGCGCCCACGAGCGCCGCCAGGGGCTCGATGACCAAGAAGAAGACCTGGTATGCGCGAGGCAGGACAAACGTGCCCGGCGCCGTGGTGGGCTTGGCCATGGTTGTTGGGCTGCCTGCGGCTGTGTCCTGCTGTTGGTTGTCGCTGCTGCAGGCAGTTGAGTCTGGCGAAAAGATCGGCCAAGGCACTCCGTAAGGTAGGGCTGTAATCTTCGTGAGCACGCCCCGGCGATGATGATATTCGTGTGGGCAGGATTGTGGAATATTATGGGGAGTTTGCAATCCTGGCACGAAGTGGTCCCAACTTTAGAATCGTGCAGCGTGCACTGCCACGGCTGTGCCGATCGGGCTGCTCACAACTCACCACTCACCCCTGTGAACCCACTGGGCCTTTTGAACACTGGGTCTCTGAGAAAGTGGTCCAGGCTGTCAAGTGGCTCCCAGACCATTGAACCACTTTACGAAGAGACGACATCGCTCACCTCAATCACCGTAGTAGGCATATTCTCCTCGCGCCCGTCCCTGCGAGCACATACCTAGGTAGTCCCTTGGCACGTACCACCGCTCCTCCTGGACTGGCGTGGGGCAGAACTTGCAGAGCGCCTGGAACGCGCCTGGAATCACAGGCGCAGCTTGCCGTTCTCTGCATCCTTGCTACTGCCGTAGACACGAGGATATTCAGGTCAAACGCCCCCCGACAAACCAAGCGGTAGCTCACGAGTTAGCTATTGTACACCATATGGTGCACCGGAGGCATGAGATGCAAATCCTATTATAGTGTTTGTGTGGGTCCCTAAAATATATCACATGGTAGGGTTCTTTTCTCTACGACAGCTCAGCTTCTTGTAGAACGTTACGTACAATGGTAAGCAGTATAGTCAAACGAACCACAATGCATCAATTATCCATCACAAGATCCCAAACTCCAGAAAATGCAATCCGTGGCGCCGTTCCATGCTGACGGGTATTTCCGCACCGGTGTCCACCCCTCTCGCTTTGTATGCAATTTGAAAGACAGAATGAGGGCAAAAGCACAGGTCACTGCAGTTTTCCAGTATCGAATTCATCTCAATAGTTGTGACTTGGTAGCTCCGAAACTGGCCCCGGCCGCTGGTATTCTGAAGCGTCCAGCTCCATGGCCGTGTATTGTGGCTCGCCGTATGCATGTGTCAACGGCCGAGCAGCAGAATATGGCAGCATCCCTGTCAGATCGGACGTGTTTCTGCTGTGCTGGGGGCTGGACGGATGGAACGACGAATCATAGGACCCGCTGATATGTGAGATGTTGCCGTACGTTTGTGATGAGGTCCGGTGCGGTGCCATGCCTGGGCTAACTGGGAAAGGGCTTGCGGCTGATACGGGCGACCCGTGGCTCCTGCTGTCTCGCAGTGTCTTTGTGTCCGCTGCAACATCGGAGTAGCGTTTGTTGTAGAAGGATCCAGGCGAGTATGGGGCGAAGCCTGGGCTTTGTGACGAGTATTGAGGTGCCGGAGATCCGCTCTCGCTACGAAGTCGCTCATGCTCAGGCCAGTCGCTGCCAGGGTACGTCCCGGAGTGCACTAACATCTGCGTTAGAACTTCGAATCCAATACCTAATGCAAATGGGGAGGGGCAACTTACAGGCAGCCAGGCCCCCAAATCCCCCATCACTGGTCGCGTCGTATAGCTTTGTAGCCTCATACTCCGTGTTCTTCGTGCTCTTCTCTTCCCGCCTCCGCCGAGCGAACCAGCCGCATCGATATGCGATGAACCCGACTATCAGAGCGATGAGCACTGCACCTCCAACGGCAGCACCGATGATGGCTCCTAGTGGCGGCCCGGAGCTTTGCTGTCCTGTTGATCCATGCGCGATGTCCAGGAACACTTGCGCATCGGCCTCGACGTCGCTCAGCTTGGCGGGCAGGAGGTCCCCCTGGGGACAGCCGTTGGATTGGCATGGATTTGTTCCGCCACAGCATCCCATGAACGGGGGCTGCATTTGGGAGCAGGTGAACCATGTTTGATTGCCGGATGGGGCTGCACAGCTTTGTGCGGGGATGTTGGCATAGGCATCAGAGGAAAAGCTCGATGTCTTGAGATGCTCGATGGGGCAGTCGCCAGTGCCATCTCCGCATGGGTCGATTGCGCAACAGCCGATAAAGCGTGTCACCGCCTTGTCGCAGATGTAGAACTTGCCTCCAGCCGGGCACGAAAGTCCCAGCGTCGTCGTCGACATCTTTGCTGGGGAGGGGGCCTGTATACAGAAGACTGGCCAATGCTTGGTTGATTAGAGCGCCTTGGTAAGTGAAATTGCTGACACTCTGATTATGATGTCGCGGGAATTGGTCCGTCCAAATCGAGCCGAGCCGGAAGTGCAAGTGGACAGAGACACTAAGTAGCCAGCAGGAGCAGGTAATGTAGGTGGGAAGAAGTCGAAGAATTAAGACACACTGCGAGTGCAGAGAAAGGGCACAGACTGGATGGACGAAGGGGCAGTGAGCATCGGATCTGACATTTGAGATGGGATGGTCAGATTGCATCAGCAGGGGCGGCTGTCAGATGGAGCCAGCATGTCCTGCCCAACATGGCCATGCCCAGCCGCGCTTGCCAGCCAGCCAGCATTAGTGTTGTTGTTGGTTGTCGAGGGTTGTGCCTGCGGATCCCCAACCGCTCGGCGGTGGCTGGTTGTCCGGGTGCATGTGTTGCTCGTTCATTTGTTCCGATGTTGTCAGGTTGGGATCTGCAGTCCCTCGGCACCGGCGAGCCCTCCCTCTCTCCCACTTTCTGCTTGCGTGCCAGATGCTGGTGTGACGGAGCTCGGATGGCGCACAGCTCACGCAGACCTCGAGACAAACAGAGCAGCTCTGCGCACCCGGAACCACAAAGCACTGGGAGCTTTCGCCTCGAGGCTCTTGAGAAGGTCCTGACGCAGTGACGGTGGCGTGCCCAAGGATGCTGCAGTGCGAGATTCGTAGGTGGCTGTGGACAGGGCGGTGGGGGCCACTAATAGCCTGGACAGGCTCCCAAACAGGAAACATCCCTCCTCAGTCCCCTGCCGTGGACCAAGCCTTCATCTATTTTTGGCCCCCCCCCCCCGGGCTACGCACAGGGAGGCTGACAGCCTTGGAAATCAACAGCCCAGCGCTGTGCTGCTCACCTGGGCATCCCGAAAGAGCCTCCGGCTCTCTGTAGCCGTGGTATGTTCGTCATTCTGCCACGTGCCGAGAACTATGTTAATACCTGGATAGTCATGCTCCACGAGCATATGGGCATTGTGTGGCTATCGTGACCTAGTTGCCAATTGCACCTAACCAGACGGCTTCACACATAAGAAGACCAGCACTTACGACATCAATCCGCATCCTGATCAATGGGCAGTATGTAATGATGGATTCCCCATGTCTGCAAACGCATTCAGCCCAGGATCTGTCGTTGCGGGGTTTCCCAGTGTGCCGAGTTCCAAATTTGAACATGAGGCTGAGTTAAGTCCCTGAATCTGCGACCAGTGCCGCTCCGCTGACAGGATCCGAGGGCCCAGCCTGCTATCGGGAGGCTGCGTCCGGGAATGTCGACCAGGCTTACAGAACTGACAGAATAAGATTGAGCAATCTGTGCAGATCCGCCGAGCGGCAAACTAGACATGTCTCTGACGTTCGTTCGTGAAGCACGGCTAAACTCAATCCATGGATCTTCTTGTAGTTTAGCTGAGCCTATGAATCTGACTTGAGCCGGAACATTCATCCGGATTGAGGTCTGCCCGGGTGGGCTAACCTGAGGCCAAAGTGGGTCTGTAACTCTTATCGATAGATAGCGCCAAAGTTTTGGGTTCGCGAAGGAGGACGATGAGGTGGTCCGAGCTTTCACACAAACCACCTGCATGGTTTTTTGTGTGGAATTGGCCAATTTTTGGGTCGGCGGGAGGGGGACCACCGAGGAAAATCGATCTGAACTGCGCTCTTGACTGGAGAACTTCCCCTGTGACCGACGACAACTCCGTTCACGACAACACCACAAGCCGCAACCATGTCTGCCTCTCTGAACAAGATCGCTGCCAACAGCCCTTCGCGGCAAAACCCCTCCGAGCTGGAGACGCAGATCGCCACTGCTCTCCACGACCTCGAGACCAACACTGCCGACCTCAAGGCCGCTCTCCGGCCTCTGCAGATCGTCTCTGCCCGTGAGGTGAGAATTACCCGGTGATTTTGCTGCATGCAACTTAGTCCGGCAGATCGAATCCGCTCCTTCGACTGCTACGACACTCCTTCCACTTGCGACCGCTTTTGTCGGTCCTGTTCCGCCGCGCGATTCAAAAAAAGACTCGTCTCGATCTCTGAGGCAATGATGCTCTGCGTCTCCGTCGAGGGGTGCCTCGATATACACCACGAGCAGAGAGACTCCTAGCAGATACCTCGCATGGATCACTGGGAGTCGATCGGCGTCGGTAGCATATGCGGGCACTCGTGTGTGTGTGTGTGCAAGGCGGAGAGGGCAAATGTCCTCTCTGGCAAAAATATACAATGGAATAGGACGGGAAGCGGTCCAAGGGACACACACTTTTTAAACGGTGGTGAACCTGGAGCTCGCCTGCTGACTTGTGGTCTTGGATTAGATCGAAGTTGGCCACGGCAAGAAGGCTATTGTCATCTTTGTCCCCGTCCCCTCCTTGGCCGGTTTCCACCGCGTCCAGCAGCGGTAAGCATATCCCTCCATTTGAACCATTCCCAAAAACCTGATCAAGCGATATCGAGACTGACACCCGTCCTCTAGCCTGACCCGCGAGCTCGAGAAGAAGTTCACTGACCGCCACGTCATCATCCTCGCCTCGCGCCGCATCCTGCCCCGCCCCAAGCGCTCTGCCCGTGCTCGCAACACCCAGAAGCAGCAGCGCCCCCGCTCGCGCACCCTGACTGCCGTCCACGACGCCATCCTCAGCGACCTCGTCTACCCCGTCGAGATTGTCGGCAAGCGCCTCCGCACCAAGGAGGACAACTCCAAGATCCTCAAGGTCATCCTCGACGAGAAGGAGCGTGGCGGCGTCGACTACAGACTCGACACCTACTCCGAGGTCTACCAGAGACTCACCGGCCGCCGTGTCGCTTTCGAGTTCCCCCAGACTACTGCTGAGTACTAGAGGGTGTATACCACGCTCTCTGGATGCGCGCGTAGACTTTGGGATTAAAAGCGGTTGGGGCCGTTGTCAAAAAGGACCCATCTAAAAAGAAAAAAAAGGAGAGCTTCAACTTGACAATGGCCTCAGGAGCATGTCTGAATAGGACGCTCCAAAAGCTGAGTTTGGACCTCTGCGGTCTCTTCTGGCACGGGAATGAGATAGTTTCCCGTTCGGGGGGGAGAAGCTCAGAGGGACTCAGTCATGACATTTGATGCATTATGGGAAATTCTCGGGTGGGCCAGTAAAAAGTAAAATATTTACAGGTACTATGGCATGGCGTCTACAGTTGATTAGCTTGTGGTTCAATGGCAAGCTTCGGGTCTCAAATTTCACAATCATCAATGTCTCACCTCCACGATATGTGTGTATCTTTGCACCTGTAGTTGCATGCTCGTGACTTCCCTCGTGTACGCCCTGTGTGGCTAGACTTGCGGGAAGCCGGGTGCTGTCCCACACTGGAGCATTTGGCCGTGCTGTTTCCTAAAAGAAAGACAACCCTTACGGGCAGCTGCTGGTACTAATCGTTGAACTCGGCAATGGTCAATTGAGCTTGTGCCCAAACCTCGCAGAAACTGATAAATATTCCATCTCATGCTTATGCTTTTGGGTATCCGCAAGGTATTCTATGATGCTCCGAAACAAATCTAGCCAGTCATGTCCGCGTCTCTATTTTTCCCATTCTCAAGCCTGCTCGATCCTGCCCAGACCAAGCACCGACCAATAAGCCAGCTCCTTCTTCTCCTTTGCATCTTTCTCCTTGCCAATGGCTGTGCCGACTTGGTCTTGAGACACCTCGCCCTCCCACTCGAGATGCACGAACAGGGGAATTTCCAAGATGTCCTCGTTCTCCTTGAGTGGACTGAGATCCGGCTCGGGGTCTCCGTCTTTGTGCAGAAGGGCAGGCGGCGGCTCATTGCGTAGAGACGCAGGCACCACCTCCACCACAATGCTGACCCAGTTCCGGCCGCGCTCCCATACCTTGCCCGCCTCGGCCTGCTGCATCCCGTCCTCACCCGGCTGGCGCCGTTGGCGCTCCTTGCTGCCGCCATCCTTAAGAACATCCTCCAGGTACATGTCGGTGTCTGTGTTGGCATCCAGCGAGAACTGCGGGCACAAGATCGTCACGCGTGATGCAAAACGTCCTGGCGTGACCGCTGGAGTAGCAAGCGTGACCTTGACGTCTTCAAAGATTGGGTTCTTAAAGGTGAGCAGGAACTGGACGGGGTTGAGTGGTTTCAGCAATGATGCAGCTGGAGCTGGAGGGCTGAGAGGTCGTATCGAGATGGAGGGGATGTAGTTGTTCGCCACAAGCCTGATTCGCCAGCGGGTGTTACCAACTTTCGATTCGGGCTTGCTGATGATGTGCCTGCAAACGGGGCACCGCTTGGATCGTTTCGAGCGGAGCAGGTATGGGATCGGCCAGAGCTCATCTGCAAACCGAGCGCCTTCTTCGACTTGCGCCTTGGCCTGCTCTATCGTGACACTCCCATCATAGCCCCCACTACGTAGTTTTGCTTGCGCAGCCGTCTCGTCGAGGTCACTCAACCGGAGACCCTCGGCAGGAGTGTCAGCCTCCCGCATCACCGGCGCCCGGCCCTTAGGCTTCAGGCCTCCAAGGTTGCCAGAGTAGATGTTCATTATACGAGACAGTGCGGCTGGTGAGCTATACCCGTATTCCCCAAGCCCTGCCACAGCGCCACCGGATGTTGACTCGGCTAGCTGGGACTGATAGAATGATTTCAATGTCGCGAACCGCGACTTAGTCGCATCGGGTACCGCGTCACTCTTGAGCGGCGACATATCGCCAACAGGACTACCATAGAGCTGTCTGTTCACGTCGTCGCCATTACGAAGTTTGGCAAGTTGTGCTGATATGCCCTGCGGCTTATCAAATTGGACGCCGATTTCTGTGGATGTCCAATGACAGTAGGAGCAGGTTAATATCCATGGCCCAGAAGTGGGCTGGGCGGCCGGGTTCTCTGCTTGAAGAAGGCCCGGATCAGGAGCGGTCTCAAGAGCCTGCACAGAAAGCGGCCCAATACAGATAGGACACTGAAAGCAGCTTCGGGTGCATCTACAAGGAAGAACGACGGGTCAGCAAGAGAGCGCTTGCTTAGCCAGACATGCGCATGATTCTTGCGGCACAGAGTCTTCCACGCACCGATTGCCTTCTGTCTTCAAACTGCTCGTGGCTACCTCGAACAGACAATTAGGGCAATAGATATTGACTAGCTCCTCAGCCACGCAGCGCGGGCATCGAATCTGCTGGCAAACGTCGCAGTACAGCAGATGTTCGAGGGGGAACAAGCTATAACCGGATCTTGGCGAACGTGGATCGAATGTGTTTTCGTCCGCATCATCATCGATATGGCCACCGTCCGTGGCGTTTTCGGCTTGGTCCTCGCCAGTATGTCCATTCCCGTTTGCATCATAGCAAGGGCATTGTATGTAGGTATATGGTGTGAAGGACGCCATCGTGGTGGCTTCTTCTACATGGCAGGTCGCGTAGTCGCTCTAATGCCGCAGAGCATCGGTGATCTCAGGGAGTTCAGAGCGGTTACAGGACATTCCGGTGTGTCGATTCAGGAGAGCCTTCGTCTTGCGCGTGTCGTTGTCGTCGATTAGAGCATGAGAGCCTGATGTCGGCGCCCGCTTGCTTGCTTGTGCCGCAGGTTAGCAGCGCCCAAGCGTTGAAACCCCTGAGCCTTATGTCAGGCAAAATTATGTAATCACACCAGAGTGGATCCAGTCTAGTGCAGCTCAGGGCAGTCGGGGGGAAGTTCAACCTGAGCGATTCCTCCTTCCGCCTTGTAAACCAATGCACGGTGGATTTTAAGTGCGGCCATTCCCCAGATGCGAGCTCTACCGTCGCGAAGAGCTATTGATTGTTACTAAAAAGCTGCTCGACCTCAATCTGTGGCGCTGAGCATGCACTCGACTCGACCGAGACAGGACTGGCAAATGCAGGTGCTCGAAGCCAGCGGAGCAAACCAGCCGCCCGTAATGCCACGATGAGCAGCAGCTACGAGTCCATCAACTGCTCGGATGATCTTATGCGAAGTGCAGGCCCCCAATCGCCATCGCTGTGCTCTGGCATTGCCTCGTCATGAGTACTTTAGCTAACTAGGCAGCCACCACGTTCCATCATGCTGTTGCGCACACACACAAACCACGTCGTGACGCGTCAGTGTCCATGCCGAGACCGAGTCTGCATCAGCACGTTGATGTCACGCATCGTCTTCTCTTCCACGGCCGGCATCTCCTGTGATATGTTCTCTTCTCCACGGGAGACCACAACCAGAGCCTTACTTGGCGTCACGGCACATGAGGCTTGGCGTCATAAGCTTCCAGGCTTGCCACCGTCTCTAACCACCAAGCAGAACGCCTGAGAAGCTCTAGCCTGAGGATTCCCACGCTTCCGACCCGCCAGGCTCTCTAGTTGCAGGACTTCGGCTGCGTGGCGGGACTCTCGCCAAACTCTAAAACTCTAGACTCTGCCCCTTCGTACTAGTCATCGCAAGACCCCGACCCGACCAAGCGGGTGTCGATCCCCCCATGATTCTCGAAGAAGTCCCCAGGCTGTCCTGGATGAGGAACACCCGCAGCCTCGGCGCGTTGTGAACATCGGTAGTCCGGCCTCAGTGACAAGCACAGACCCGCCCTGCCGTGTCACGACGATCTTCTGGTCAAGTCTATCCCTCTGAACTGTCCCCGCATTGGCGGATGAGGTCACTGGCATTGTTGGGTTTCCCCAACGGACACGGTCGAGAGCCTGAAGAAACCACAGTGGGCTGCTGTAGACACATTCGAGGAAAAGAACAAAAGGCCAAAAGGAGACAGAAATGGAGAGAGAGGCTAGAACCGCTGCCAAGCGCAATGGCCATGCTCAGCAGCACCCTGGGACTCCCCCCTGCCCTGCGGGGAGGTCTCGGTCCAGCCGGAATGTGGTCTGGGCCTGCAGGCTTCGGCATCATTCACAGCTGGGATGCACAATAAAAGGCAAAACACCATGGCATTGTCGCGGGAAAGACACCGGGGAGAACCAGGACCAACGGCCTCGGCCAGGCTGGTAGGAGCTGAGCAGGATCTTTGCGGATCGCTCACAGTGGTTGACCCCGACATCTACCTAGAGAGGGCACACCAGACCAGACCAGGCCAGGAGAGCGCTCAGCAAGATGACTGACTTTTGCATCGCATCGTCATCCGGGGAGCACTTGCCGGTCCACAAAGCACTTGTGCTCTTCGAAAGGCAAACCGTGCGGCACTGCAGCAGCATTTGCTACTTCGGTGCAAGGATCGCCATGCATAGACAATCCGAGGCAGTTGGCACATGTCGTGACACGGCTCCATCATTGTCAACACCGACGTCAGCGACAACCCCCGCCCCGTCTCCTCAACGTCGATGCGAAGATTGGACTTGGGCAGCATTGCTCCGCATCTCGGATGCCGCACATCTCTCTGAGACCAGAAGGGTCCCTCCAAACCCCCTCAGCCTGCCGACAGCACAGAGCGCATTAGCTGGCGTCTGCCCCGATCCCTCTGCTGCAGCTGGGCTTCGCCGTACTGTAATAGTGACGACCCTCGTCTCGTGGGCGACCTTAGCGCCTGAATCCGACACCCTCTGGCAGCGTCTCTCTCCACAGGAAGCGCAGTCTTCGTCTGCAGCCACGAACTCATGCGAGCATCGTCTTTTCGTCCGTTGCCTCATTGAGATCAGCGCAATTCTTCATGAGGCCGCGCCCGATCTTCCCGCACCACCCTGGCCACACATCGTCGTGTCTGGGCCATCGCCGACTGCACCAGCCCGCAACCCTTGCTGGCAAGGACCCCTGCCGGCGCAATGACTGGGACCCCAGGCCCCCACGGCCCAGAGCCACGGATGCGTCCCAGATCGAGAGCTGAACCCTGCTGCATGCACGCATGTGCGGTTCTCGCCGCCCCTCACCTTAGCAGATCATGTCGCTCAGCTCCGATGTCGACCGGCGCGGCGTACCCCAACTGAATGTCCGAGCGATACATCCCGGCTGCTGCCGTGCGGCAGGACTTGAGTCTCATACTTGTCGGCGTACCACGATCCATCTCCTGGGTGAATGCATGGTCCCGCGGATGCTCACCCGGGACGTGGCCAATGGCTGTCATTCTCGGTCGAGCCAAGATCGACACCATGGGTCATTGAGCCCCTGTCATGGGCTCATGGCAGCAGAAGTGACAGAATCGAGCATAACACACAAAGATGCACGCGGATCATTTGCCTCTTTCTGTGCACTAAGGACAATTGGTTGCGGAACACTGGGCGCTACTGTAAGTACTTTCAGGGTAATGCATGTGGAAAAGACCCGGAGGGGGGACCCTTCGCAATCTGGCTAGCGAGCTCAGCTCCCACTAGCCTTGCCATCCATGGTCATCCCTCGGAGAACCTCGCACGTCAGTGGGTGTGATAGGCGTCTTGGCTCCAGTGGCACGGTCATTGATAGACGTTCTGGCTGGCCTCTCCCTTGTCAAGCTGACGGTTGTTGGCTTGTAGCACTAGTGAACGCCTCGTCAAAACGACTAGGATCGCCCGTCGAACCATCGCCACGCCCAGGCACCGCACAGGGGCCTTTTCGCTCTTTTTCCCCAGCTATATTGTGCGAGCCCTGCCGGCTCGTTCGTGGCTGAATCGATCGTGGGGAGTTCTTGAAGTTTGCAACGAAGTTTGTTCCTCGCCCACAGACTAACACACCTTGGATGCTTGCTTGAGACAGTATGGCTGCTCGATCCTGCAGCCACAACCAGTAGAGCAGTCATCATCTCTGATTTTGCCGTCCAACAAGCTCTCATCTTGCAGCAATCGAGAAACCCTCTGCGTGCGCACTTGGTATCCGACGGGCATTCGAAGCTCATAACGTGCCGACCTGACCCTCTTTGCGATGGTGGAAGCACGGCTTCGTCGTCTCGCTGTTCCCCAGCGGTCGTCTTCAGCGACAGGCAGAATGTCGACTCGAGATTTTACTCTCTATACTGGTGTTTCGAACCGGAGTCGTGGCTGGAAGAGCAGGACCGTCTCAAAGATTGACGAAACGCCGCCAAATCCGTCGACCGCGGTCCTCCGATGGGACGGCGCATCACGATCCCACGAGCGATGGGACAGTCTCCGCAAGGTATGACAGGATTCACCAACAACATTCCAAGCTTCAAATCGTGCTGACGGAGTCAATTCTTTTCCAGGACCCCGAGCTATGGATTCGTAACGGCAATTGCCATGTACACCTTTATGAAAGGGGTCAAAGTCAGCGAGGTCCTGCCTTCAAACTTCCCTTCTCGTTACTACTTGAGGCCAGCTGCGAGCCTCTGATTCGTAGCTGCATTGGACATGATGAGCATGCCCAGCTTGCCAGCAGCCTCTACAGTACTAAGCAAGCACGCGATGAGGAGCGGGTCGATCTTTTCATCCCTGCACCACCGAATTCGGACAAGAATGCCGCCTTCAACTATCACCTGGCAACTCGCAACTTCTTCGCCTATCTCGTGCGGCGGTCTGTCGTGGGACCGAATCTCGGGAGCGCCCTAATCGACTTGCTACGTCGAATGTGCAAGTTCAGGGACTCGGACGCCGATAACCTCGAGGATTTGATGAGTTACATGGACGAGGAAGGTTATTTAGACTGCCAGAACCAGCCCTCGCATGCGGTTGCGATCCTGCGCTTCGCAGAAACATTCCAACACCGTAGCCTTTTCGTCGACGCGATGGCCCACTGCGCTGGCATGAGTGAAAACCTGCACTTGATCCCAGAATACCAAGTAAGTGGCCGCACTGCACGACTGTTCACAACACTCCACTAACACTGGATTACCTCCAGCTTCTTCCCTCGCGCATCCGGAAGCTTATCCATAGAGCCCGCACCGATATGGACGCAAAGCTCGTTCGCGCTGGGGCTGCGGTAAGCAGCTTCCTTCAGGACGAGCTATCCGAAGCGTACATCGGGCTGCCATCTGGCGCCAGAGCTCATCTCGAGAGGTTTCGCACCTTGCTGCATGGATTCTTTGCTTCCAAGTTTGGGTACTTTCCCCCCACTAGCAGCGAGTCCCGCACGAAGGTATTTCCTGCAGATGTCTTGCACTCGATGACCGTCGACTTCGATGCTCTATACAACTATCTTGTCGACGAGTCCTTCGACATGTCACGCAGCGGGTTCTTCACCGCGACGGGAGGTATCTGCGCCCTACAGAGTGTCCTGTCCTTCGACTCCCAGAATAGCTACCAGACACAGGCGAACCCTATGCCGCTGCTGCCAAGTCTCGAGCAGAGCGCCGATTCGCGGAGAACCTCTTGGTATCACCGTCCATTCAAGGTCAGCCCATCGACAACCAAAGCGTCCACATATGTCGCGCTTCTGAACGCGACAAACCATTTGAAGGCAAACGTTTTGAACAACAGCCTCGTCAGAGCATATCGTCGCTTCGAGGAAGACTCCATCATGTCCCCATTGAAGGCTGATGAGCAGGAAAACCTGAGCGCTATTGATGCTCGCAAGGTGCGCTGGATTCTCATCTATGCCATGAGTCAGACCCTACATCAGTATGGCCCGCCACAGGATGTCAAATGCGACGAGCCGCCCACGTACCATATTTGTATCACGACTACCGATCTGCTGCCATGGGAGGACGAACGCGCTCAAACAGCCTCGATGCAGAGTGGATTCTCGCTTACCCCGAGCACACCATCGCTCGTCGCAACCTCCGGCACAGATTCTGGCTTCACGGTATCACCGCTACCAGAGTCTCCTTACAGTGACCTTAAGCCAGACGTGGACTACTTTGCGATTGCGCATCGTGCTGGTGGTTCGACCAAGGGCGATTTGGAAGCTGCGGAGGATGGTTCGTCCAAAATTGCACCTGCGCAAAGGAGGTCGTCACGCACTACCCATATCCGGCGGTCTTTGATGAAGCTCACCACCAAAGGTTCCGAGATTTCTCAAAGGCCTCGTACCAGACGACCCAGCTACCACGAGATCGTCGTACATGGTTACGGGAATGGTACCAACGAAGTCAGCTATGAGAGCCCTGCCATTGGGATTTACGACAGCCAGAGTCCTCCACCTTTGGACGACGAGCATTCACGTGGCAGCCACTCTGTGGATGGACACAGCTCAGACGTCTCGAGTGACGACATGGGAGCATCGTCCGTGGAAGATAGCCCTGCCACTCCCGTGGATGACGAGGAGTGGCAAGCATTCAAGACGACCAGCAGCTTGGCTTGCAAGCGGTCAGCATCGGTGCCTTACCGCTCGGCAGCTGCCCGCCCCGGTGGCGAAACCAAGCGTGACGGACTGCCGCTCCCAGGGAACAAGTTCGAGCGGCGTTCCCAGAGTGTTCGTCACCTTGTGCCTGCACCACTCAACGTCCGGCGATCGCGGCCGGACGACGGCTTGACTCTGTACATGCCATCCCCGACAAGCCCAAAGTCCTGGGAAGACGTCCAGCGCAAAATGGAGCAGCAGGCTACCGCCGTCGTGGACTACAGCGACTGTGTCGTGCCGTTTGACGAGTGGGAGCAGTACAACGACCTCGGCGGGCTTACCGAGTGTAAGCCTGCCGCCGCACCATTTGCCACCGCGGCACGGGGGGCCATAAACAGGACATCGAGTCTGACCTGGCGTCCCCGCTCGAGCGTGGCATACTGAAGTTCACTCGCCGACGTCGCTGGCTGCCTGCCTGGGATGCGATATTCCACATTTTACCGATTGTACATGAGCTCAGCTCAGCTCTTTGAAGTCATGTACTTGGCTATTCGAGCCTCTCCAAGACCCACCGACGAGGGCCGTTCTTTCAATGCGTTCTCTTTTCTCCTTTCCCCTTTTCTATCTCGCACAAACCACATGATACCCACGGCGTAAATTGTCAATCGACAATGACATCGAACGACACTCATTTATTATACCCACATACCCATGATACCACCAATAACAGCAGCACCATTTTATTTCATCTTGCTTACCAGTTGCCTTGAAGAGACTGGGACAATCTCTTCCAGACTCTTGGTTTTTTTCTTCCTCCCCGTCTCTATACTTGATAGCCTGTCATTGGCACACACACACACACACACACACATTTACACACACGTTCTCACCATGATGGGGATGTAGAACCAAGCAGAGTCGGTCATCTTTTGTGCTTTTCTGTGCTTTTCTGTGCTTGTGAATCATACACGACTACCCCGCAACGGCTTTCCTTTATCGTTAATTCGTCATCATATGTTGTATTGTTAGTGTAAATCTACATTTGTACAATCGTCCTGTAACGCCCCCCCGGAACCAACTCGGGTCGTGGCTTATGACACCACCGGGAAAGACTCGACTGAATGCATAGGCCGCGCCGACACTCTGGCGTAAATGGATTGACGACCAACCCCCTGTGTGACGTTCTTGTGTATATGTGCAGCTCGTCTCATTTATGATGTACCCAATCAGGAGAAGGTGTTAGGGGATAGCCTCACACCACGGCATCAGATTTTGAATTCTTCTGGTGAGCGTCTGCTCAATGTCCGTCCCATGGCCGCTCGCCCCACGCCGGTGCAGGCAACACTGCCAACAGGAACGGCCCTCGACCTAAGCTGCCCGGGCAGGGCACGTGAAATCCTCCGAAACTAGTCGGACTTGATGGGGAGAGCCTCGGCGGATGCCATGGTCAGCCCCTCGACAATCTCCTGGCCGAGCACGTAGATGAGATATGTTGGCGCGACAAGCCAGGCGCCGCTGTTGTGCGTTGTGCTGTGGTTAGCAAGTATCCGACACTTGTCTCTTTGTGATATGTCTTGTTTTTGTGTGCTAGGGTAACACGACAACGGCGAAGGCAGAAGAGGGCAACTCACTTGGGGATGATCCAAAGGACGATGAGGTCGCGCAGGGCGTTGTGGCCAATGTTGTCGTAGCCGCTAAAGTACTCGCAGAGCCCTGAACCGGGGTGTGGCCAATGTCAGCGGACGAAGGTGTCCAGCGGAGCCATGAAGGGCAAGCCCCTGCCAAAAAATATTTCTTCAAGGTCATTCAGGTGTGTGATGAAACGTACAGTACAAAATCGTCTTGCTGAGCGTCATGACGAAGGCGCTGAAGGCGACCAGGACCGCCACGGCGGCAGGCTTCCCCACGAGGACGGCGGTCTTGTCGGCCTGGGCAGCAGCGCCGACCTTGGCGCTGCCGCCGGCGACAGAAGCTGCGGGGACGGCGCTGGTCCAGTAGATGTAGACGTATACGAGGTACATGGCGGTCTCTATGGCGTTGAGGGCGCCCTGGGCCCCTGTGAAGCCGACCTTTGCATTGAAGGCCTTCCAGCCGTAGACGTGGTCGACCTCGCCGTAGAGCTTGTAGGGGACGTACATGGGCCAGTGCCAGGCTCCGCCCTCCATGGTCCAGGGCCGGCCGAGGACGTAGATGGTGTCCCAGGTGACGAGGGGCAGGGAGATGGCGAACCACAGGAGGAGCATGCGCGAGGGGACATGGATCCAGGGACTCCGGCCGCCCGTGGCGCCGTTGGCGACGAGAGTCTTGGTGCCGGCTCTGGTGGTGACCATTTTTGTTTAGTCGAGGTGGAAAAGCAACGAGACTGGACAGGAAGCGCAGTGGGAGAGCCCGATCCTGAGGTTCGCGAGGCAGGACGGCGCAAAGGGAAGAACGGGAAGGAGAAGGGGGTGAGGTGAGGGGGGGGCCTAATCTGAGGTTGTATTAATTAGGCCAGAAATCTCCAAATCCTCGGCGCCTCAGTCGTGCCACTGTTGTAGTTGGCTTTTTGACAGGCGCTGGGGGTGGAGAGGGCGGGACAGGACAAGGATGATGCGAGCACTTGTCGAGGCTGTGGCGCCTCTTGGTGGCCACCGTGACCGAGAGTGCCGCATCATCGGGCAGGGCCATTGTGGCAAAGAGACTGCCTGCGAACTAGCCGAACGGCCTGCAAGGGGTGGAAGAGCACAGCACAGCATCATGTGCCGAATGAGGAAGAAGCCCTTGATGCCCCGGAAAGGGAGGGATCCGAGAGGCGTCCATGGCACTAACTAACCGCGTGGAAGCTGTTGCCCCACGATGCTATTTGTCACTGGTGGCTCAGGGGTTCCGGCCAATCGGCAGGCGCACGAGGACTCTGGGGATCAGTCACCCAAAGCACCTGCGGCAAGTCCCAGGCTTCTTGGAATTAGGCGCTTGGTCGTGGGCAATTAATTGCACGTCTTGGAAGAAAACAAGCCCATCGCATCCATGGCCCGCCCTGCTCCTGAGTCTGCTTGCCCGACGCTAGCCCCTGAATGAATGAAGTACCCAGGTGCCTCTCGTATATCCTGCAACGAACGGAGCATGTGTGCGTGTGTGTGTATCTGTGTGTGTGCGCGTTTGCGAGTGTCGTGTCTTGCCCAAAGGGGAAAGCGAGACTTGCCGCTCGGGTTCGCAACGGTATAGTTCCTAGTTTCTCACGTGTCAGCACCCGGTCGAGGCACCAGCAGATGATTTGGATTGACTTCTGGCGATGCGACACGCGCCGGTTCTTAATCAAGCATGCGCGGAACCCAGGCCACGCATTTGCACCCTCGCTGTGATGGCCGCAGCTCAGAAGCAGCCGTGCTCATCTGGAGGCAGGCACGCACGCACGCACGCACTCTGAAGGCACGGAAGGAGCAGCACTAACTACAGTAAGGTACCTTGCCCTGGGTACGTACCTGGGCACATTTGCAATCATTTCAAGGTTGTGTGGTTTCCTGGAGCACTTCTCACCTCCCAGTCGATCTAAGCCACTCCGCCCTCACATGATGGCAAGACAGGTCGACATGCGCAAGTCGTTGGGCCTCGTCTATTCGTCATACCTGATCCAGAAAATAAAACACAATTGATGCTGGGCACGATCACCATGCCCCTCCGAAAAGCCCCAATTTCACCTCCGTGCCATCAGCAACAGCAGCCTACGCCCTGCGACACTTGGTGATTGGCAAGCAACTCCCTTCGTGCTGTCGACATCTCCTTGTCATCGTCCACCGCCGCGACCTTCTTGCTCGGACCGTATCCGACCAATGTCACTTTGTAGTGACCAATATCTCCCCACCATCTTCACGCCAGGACTCGTCCCATGGCGCTCTCTGTCAGGATCTTGACATACCACTGGTGCAGCGTGACAATCTTGGCCGGCATCGAGTGCTTGAGGTCACTGCCTCGGGGGGGCTTGGGCGCGCTGCTGTTGAAGAGCGACGACTTGAAAGTGAATTCAACCTCCTGCGCTGCCTTGTCGATCCGCGCACCCAGCACAATGAGGCCGTCCGACTTCCTCAGCCCAGAGTCCATGGGTGAGCCGCCGCAGCGGATCCAGATCTCGTTGCGCTTCTTGTTGACAACCTCGAAGTGGTTCACGATGCGCAGTCCACGGTCAAACTTTGCCTGGGCGAGCTCCTTGATGTCCCAGAGGTTGTCATCAGTCTTGGGAGGCCGGTCGTACTTTTGCTGGTACTTGGTCTGAGGCCAGAATCCTAGTGGTGGCAGTCAGTACCTGTGCTCATGAGAGTAATGCACACAACATCCATGGATGCCACCACTCACCCCACCGGCCCCAGACGCCACGGCAGAACTCGAGGGTCAGGGCCTCCTCGCTGTTACGCAGCTCGGGCTTGATCTTGCTCAGGGGCACCCTCTTGATGACAACGTCCGACAGGGCCGGAGTGCCTCTGGGGTTGTACCAGCCGTACGTCCTATCCCGGAACATGGGGTCGTCCCGCGGCAGGTCCACGATCTGGCTGCTCGACAGGATGTAGGCCATGGTGCCTCCGACGCCGGCCGCGGACCCCACGCCGGTCCACAGGCCAGTCTTGAGCAGCGTCTTGAATACGCCCATCGTGACTCGCTGTCCAGGGTATCTGTGAGGAGTATGCAGAGTTGATCACTGTCTGTGTGTGCGCTGTAGTCTGGCTTGTTTTTGGTCACCGCTGGTAGTCAGACGGTCTCGGTTCTAGGGTGGTGGTGGTGGTAGATATGAGGAGGGCACCACATCGCGCCGCCCGGGGCAATTTGGTTGCTCCGCAGCCAGCCCCTGCTTTGCCGAAGCTGCCACCCCTCAACCGCCCGGCCTCGAAGTCGCTATCGCAGTCACACCCGAAGCGACATGTTCAACACGCCTCCTTGCCATGATTTGCACAGCAACAGAGGTCTTCCCTGCTGGCTTTTGAGCCACCAAGACTCGCGCAACGCAATCGTTCGCCTTGCGGCTGCCACTTCGCAATACCTCCCCAAGCGGTACAGCGAAGCGGTGCGCACAGTGCTCAAATTTCACGCATGTCAATCAACACCACCACATATGGTTGCAGCGAGATAAATTCATGCGCGTCGACGGCTTTGTGCGGTCCCCTCATCGGCAGAGAGCCTGGCTGCCTCATGCCAGGCACCAATGCACCCTCGTCTTGTCGGCAGTTGGTCACACTCGACGAGACATTCAGGACGTGATATATACATATGCGAACACCCACCACGGGCCGTGGCACACATCCAGAGCACGGCTGGATGAGCGTGGAGGCTTTGCAGCCACGGCCACAACGCAGAATGATGGGCACCTAGAGCTCGCTCCGGTTTTGAAGACGGGTTGGTCTAGCACGCAAATATGACCGACAGCAAGTGGGCGAGTCGAAATCGGTTGATTAATCGTGCATAGGTAAAAAGTGTGAAGAGGAAAGAAAAGAAAAAGCGAAGGAGCCGGCTAGTGCGCACCCGGCCTTCATGTACTCACAGTATTTTCACGCAGGCCCTGCGGCCCGCTGGCTGATTGTGTCCGATAAGGCCCAGTCAGTTAGTTTGCCCAGCAGCTCCGCCCTGATCACGTGTAGACGATCCACTCCAGCAGTGCCTTGCTAAATTCTGCACCTCGCCAGACTCAACGGCCGTCTTCCTTCCTCCTTCAACAAACATCATAGGCACAACCAACCTATGACCACACTGCGCGCCACGACGTGCAGCGTCACCTCAATGAGACAGACAAGCGAGGCAGCTTTCTGCGTCATGTCAGCATTGAGCTAGCGAACAGACGGCGACACTAGTGGCAGTGGCCTGGTTGATCTGACCCGACCAGCTTCCCACGCCATCAAGAGACGCGTCGCGAGATTGAGCTACAGCTTGTCGTCTTACTCAGAGGTACTAGTATATCGCTCTCTGCACAGGTAGATGCCGTAGCAGAAGCAAACTCATTCATTTTTTTTTTCTTCATCCCGCCCCCCCCCCCCATATACACAAGCACAAAACCCACGATATGCCTACCACCAGCGACTTCTCAATGCGCGGGTGGTCAACTTCATTATTTATCGTTCAATGTGGGAGAAAAAACCAGCGGTCTAGACAACCAGTCCATTCCACCCTGCTGCCGTAGATTGCTTTAGTGCGACAGCGGGACTAATAAGGACATACATATATACATGCTCTTTTCTTTGTTGGTGCTTTCTGTCATTCCTTTGCGCATCAGATTACCAACTTAAAAGTTCAGCCACCAGATATTGATATTCTGCATATGTGTTGTGGATGTGTGCATGCGCTGAAGTCTTATTGTATTGTTCCACCACTACCGAGTCGATACACTCGGCTTCGGGAAGGAAAGCGCATCGCCGTGTCACCCAGGCACGAGTGAGACAGGGAGAGAGGCCCTTGGCGTTATGTTCGTTTTACCTCTCTCTAGATCTCTGCTGGTCAGATGAGTGGAAACCCTATTTGAGGCAGATGCTGACGAATGTGGGCTCTGGCTCAGGCTCGCCAAATGGTCACGGAGTGGTTGCTCTTGACAGTCGCGTGGGAGGTTTTATCTGCCACTGGGCCAGCACCCGCGCGAGTCACGGAATCGTCACAAATACAGAAGAGCATGTACTCTCAATGTAAAGAATTATGGTACAGATCATTCGCATTGTCGTAAGAACCATGCCTGTCGTTATCGCTGCGTGTGCGCCCAACTCCCTCTTACTGAACCAAAGGTACAAAAGATCGCTTGCCCACCCTATCCTGGAGAATAATATAGCGCAGATCGTGATGTCTATAAATCCAAACGTCTGTGCGAAGCTGACAAAAAGAAAGTCAAGAGCGTCTCTCGTGCCGCAGGGAACAATGCTACGGGACTCAGTACTGCCCATCAAATAAGTACCTCTCATCCGTGAACGACAGGAGAAATCGTGCAATTAGGCGACCGGTGTAGTTCAGCGACACGTTGCGTGGGTATGGATGGGTCTCCTCATTGGGCAGGATGGGGTCCGCAACAAGGAAGTCAAGCTCGTGCCCTACAACAAACGACGGGATCAGTTAAGGATTTCAAGGTCTCGAGTCAGGTCAAGTGGCATTCGAGGACACTTACAGCCATCACCCTCGATGAAGTGCCGGAGCTCGGTCACCATCTCCATTGTTGGGGCGTCAATCTCGTCCTGCTGGGCGAAGCTGTCGTCGAGCAACGGATTGAAAGCTTTGGCGGTGATATCCTTGGTATGTGTCTGATAGATCTGGTGGAACTGGTACGCAAATTGCTTGAAAGGCAGGTTGTCGATCTCCTTGCACAAGTCTAGGGCAAACTCTCGTTTGAACTGGGGTTTCGACCTGTTGCGCATGTTGATCTCGTTCTGCGAGATGACAAAGGTGTCTGCGGCAGTCTCGACGGTCTCCATGAACAAGCAGAGAACCAAGAACGAGGCCATGCACGGCGCCCAGCCTTTGCGCGACTTCGGCTTCAATGTTTTTGAGAAGCTGTCGAACAGAGCCTGCATTTCCTTGAGAAGCATCTCATCGAGCATCGCCTTGACCTGCCTGTTCAGCACGCGGGCGGTGATGAATGGATTGTTTTGCGGCACCATATTCGTATGCTGCAGGTCGACAATGGTCTTGTTCGTCATGCAGAGCTGTCTCGTGAGGACGTAGTGCATTACGTGTATGGAGAGTGCTCTCTTGACCATAGGCGACTAAAGCTCGAGTTAGCATTCATGACTGAAAGGGACAGAGCGATCCAACTAACATTTGACTTCTGCGCATATTTTTGGACGATCTTGAGTATCCTTCGCGGGACATGTGTTGTGCGTATCGCATCAGTAACCTGTTCGGCGTACATTGGCTCAAAAGTCAAGTTGTGAATGTATTCCCGCGACCTCCGCTTGAGTTCTTCACGTTGCATGGAGTTGTCGGGGTTGACGCCGATCGGCACAGATCCCCGTGATTGAAGGTCGATCTGGTATGCACCTGGGTTCAAGTGCCAATGCTGTAGCACCTCGGCTGTTTTGGGCGTGAAAAAGCTCGCCGGTACAGTAAGCGTCGACTGGAAGTCCTTGCCTGAGAAGAACTCGACCGAGCAAGTCTGCTCCGCGCCACGTAACGTAAAGTCCTGGATATGATCGGCGAGGAATGCGTTCATCTGCTCCTTCTTAAAGTGACCACGGATGAAGTCGGGAAACAGGACGGGGAGGAAGTCGTGAAACTGCCAGCATACAATTTGGGGCACTTGGGTGGTGAGCTTCTTGCAGTTTTTGCAAGGGCGCTCTTTGTCGCACTTGACCTTCCGGCTGTGGCAGCAAAAGCATGCGCCTAACCTCCGAACCTGCAATGCATTCTCTTTTGTGTCGTTGGCAAGAGGTCCTTTGCGTCCTCGTTGCGTTGCCCGCATGGCCTCAAAACACTCAAAGGGATTGGGGCGCCCAGACTGCGCATTGATGAGCGTGGGCGTCATTATGACAAACTTGCTCGTCGGCTTGCTCTTTTCAATCTTGCCGCTCTTCGTCTTGCGTATTGGAGTTGGTGCCTTGCCGGACTCGGGCTTGACCTCGGACGGCCCTGGGCTGGAGCTGTGCGAATTAGGAGACGGGGTGAAATGTAGAGGCGACTGAGACAGGAACTCGGATCCGTCTGAGCTTGTGCCGCTGAAGTCCTCGACCTTGAGGTTGGTCGGGTCCCATGGCGGCACGTTGTTCTCTTCCCTGAACTGTTGTGGGATGTTCAGATCAAGAGGCTGCTGCTGCTGCTGTGGCTGGGAGGCCACTACGTCCAAGCTGGTGAAGTCCGTAAAGTCTGGGAAGTCGTTTTGCAGGTTGGCAAAGAGGTCCTGCTGCGCATGTTCGCCAAAGGCATGTGTGTTGAAGAATTCTTGCTCAAACACGAACTGCTGATCCATATTCAAACCATCCTGCTGCACCTCAGTGTCGAATGACGCCATGAACTGCGTGTCCATGCTCGCAGCTGCCGTCAGTGGCGACGGCGGCGGGTGCCTCTCTGGAAATGATGAATCGAGGACAGCCTTCTGCTGTTCACTGTCGAGATTGAGGGGTGACAATGCTGGCGGCGATGGCTGTGCAGGGTGGTTCTGGAAGTTGACCATGCCCCAGCTATGCATGCTGCCCGCGCCGGGACTGGAGCCCAGCCCGACTGATGACGGGGCACCTCCAGATTGCACATAGTCCCAATCAGAATCCGACTCGGCATGATGGAAGTGGTACCCAGAGGGTGAGGCTGATGACACGGAAGCCATGACCGATGAGAAACGGCTGTCTCACCAGAGTCGTGCTCGACGGCACCTGATTGCAAGATAGAGCTTAGGCAGGATATGATCCTACCTCGCGTCAGAAGCTGTGCCCTGCAACGAGGTTTGTGCCACGGTCGACCGCAAGCCTCTATTGAACAGAGGTCACGATTTCCGCACAGGGCACAGAATCGTGCAATGACTCGGCGGCGTCTCAGGTGTTTCCTCGTGTCCACCGTGGGGGCGACTCAAGTACCGTGCCGATTCGGCGTCTCCAGCCCTGTGCTGTATGATCCAGGGATTTTTGCTTCGAATCCCACAAGGTCGAGCCAGTGGGGGGGGAGTCCCGTCTCTGCAAGATAACTTGCAGAAGAAGTCTGTGTCGTTGAGAGCGGATGTTGTATGAATGAATGTCGAGTCGTTGTCGTCTCCCACGTCGGGCGGGACTTTGGGGGCAAACCCCTGCTGACAGGGTATGGGCTAAGCCTTATCGGGCGACCGACGGTCATGCCTTCCACGAAGCAGGCTGCGCCATGGGCTCAGCCCTGCGGCTGTGATTGGCTAGCCCGCCTCAGCCGTCCGGGGTACATTGCCGACAGCGGTCACAAGCGGACAAGTCCAAGTATCCTCAGGAACAGCGCTCGGTGTCAGAAAGGCGCCATTGCTTCATTGATCTCATCCTGAATGTTGCCTTTTCAGTCTGGCATCGCCTGCTCAGAAGCAAAGATATGTTCTTCTCCGTTCAACCAGGTAGTGCCATCACTCCCCAACGAGCCGTGGAACTGAGCATGGCATTGTCTTGGTGCAAGCAGGCTGCTGGTTTGCTGTTTGCTGGTTTGCACGCCAGTCGCGCGCTCGCAGCAATTTGATTTATTGCGATCGGGCTTTACATACTGTCTGTCCCGAATATATACGCAAGCTGCTGACGATACAACTCGGCAGGCAATGGCAATCTGCGTGAACCGTAAACCAGGGCCCCAAAGTTTCGTGGGACGCATGAGACCTTTGCGCAATTCTCTGCCACTTCACGACAACAAGTCCATGACGAACTCGTCTGTAGCGGGCAAGCTGCAGCAGATTTAGAAGACTCTTGGGGCACTCCTGAGTCGCCGAGAACCTCTCAGAGGAGTTTTGGGCTCTTCCAAGAAACGCATCGCTCATGTGAAGGAAGAATCCGTGGAAGCGGCCAAGTCGCAATCTCAAGAAAAGCGCCGGCATGATGCAAGCACCAGTCCACCCCAGTAGCATTTGAATTGTCACACACAAGCACGATCCGGGCAGGGCACAACAAGGATATTCCGTGACATGGAACACATTGGTGGTCCTGGAAGAGTGATAAAATGAAAATCCGAGGCGATTCCCAGGCTTTGGGGCACTGACATGGATGTAGCCGGCAGTGTGGAGGATCACCTTTTGACCAGAGTCATCCGAGCCATCTGGCTTTCCAAGGAATGAAGACGCGGCGATATGTGTACATGGGATCCGGCAGAGATGACCCAAAGGAAAATCAAAAAGCAGAAGCTCTCAGGAGAAAGAAAAATTCGTAACTCATGATAATCGTCGCTTGCGCGAAGTAAGCGCACCATCTTGTCTCAATCCTACCCATTAGGGCTACACGAGCCCGCGCTTGATCTCTTCGCATTCATTATCCGATACAAGCGATTGCCGAGACAACATGAGGCTCGCTTTTGTTTTCGATTTTATGCTTGGACGGCTCAACGAAAACGTGCAGACGCGATGGCACTTCTCTCTCGAATGAGAGACTCGGTTTTAACGTAAAGGTTATCCAGAAACTGCATTGCGGGCGCATCCTTGAGGATCTTGGCAACCTGGATGCCTGCGCTGATAAGTTGCAGAACCTGCATAACAAGCATGGCCACGTCAGCTCCATATACATCACACTATTGAGCGCCACTGAGGTCCAATAAGTCATCACTCACGTTGCGGTCGTCTTTGAGAGGCCGTGACTGGTGTTTCGCCGCGTGCCTCATTTCCATGGAGTTTTCCAGTATTGTGACAAACTGCTTGATTTGTCCGTTGTATAGAACCCTGGCAGGGATGCGTCGCTTTGTGGCAAGGCGCTTCAACAGATACACCCATTCTGTCCACTCTCGATCTTCTGGACGTTCGACCTATGTACTGGAGTCAGCTTTTTGTGGGCAAATAACAATTGGGATCGGTTGAGAACAGCTTACAGGTCTCATATCTTGAGTCAAGGGGATTGGGAACTGATACTTGGCCACAAAGTCGAATGCACACCGCGAAAGGCAGTCGTTGACCTGACTGAGGATATCGTCCTGCTCCTGCACCATGAGGTTCGTTGGTAGGTGCGGGAGCTCTCTTTCTTGCATCGCGACATAGTCCGGTGGTGGGCGAGCGAGGAATTGGTGTGGCCCATCGAATTCGTCTCGATTTGAAGGACGCCGTTGTGGTCGGCCCTTGACGCTTCCTTTGGTCCTCACTCCGCTTCCATCGAGTCCTCCACCACCATCTAGGCGGATGTCAGAAGTACTAGGTGAGGAGAATATGTCGTCGACTGAGTCTGTCGGAGACTGTCTTTCTTGTATATCCCAACCATGTGAGCTGGAACTGTGATATGAACCATAGGATCCCGAAGGTGGTCTTGAGGCGAGTGCTGATGAGGATGAGTATCTGTGTTCCGCACGCCTAGCCGAGATGCTGTTTCCAATGATCGTTGTCGTCGCCGGGCCATTATAGAGAGACCCTAATCCGCCCGAATGACTGCCGTTCCAGAAAATGGTATGTTTAGAACTATATCTACCGGTATGGGTGGAGGATCCTGCCATCAGGTCTTACCTAGCACGTCCAAAAACACCATCATGAAGCGCTGGAGAACAAGGCTGGTCGTGGTAGATGATGCTATGACGAAAGGTCAGCTTGGCTGTACTCCATCATGCCGAGAAGACCAGTCTGGTTTCGCACCTGCGTGACGGGTTCCAAGACCCCGCGGGCATGATCGCTGCCCCGTAGATCACTTCGTGTTGTGTCATTTTCATTGGTGTGGGGTTTGCTGATGAAGTCAGGTATGCCTGGCCCTTGGGACAGATCACAGGCTGTAGATGATCCGAGGCAGTATCTCTCGACTAAGGCGGCGGCCTCGTCAATCTCCACGCGCTCTTGAGTGGATGGCTGAGTTCGTATGGGCTCCAAACGGACAAACAGCAATACAAGAAGGAAATGCGGCTCCTCTCAGTCCTGGGGTCCTGTCCTGGATGAAATGTTCCTGTCCTGGGTTGCACCGGCTCGTGCCTCTTCCTGGGCGTTTATGTTCCTGGATCCTGGAATGTATCCGCTACGCTGGTTGGTAGCCTCGAATACTGACAGCTTTGAATAAAAAGCTCTGTTTTTGCACAAGCGAAAAGTCTCAGCTCCGCTTGGAACAAACTCTTGATGTAGCCGTGGTATACGTCTTTGTCTTCAACTCCGGATGTTTGTAAGACAAGTGCGCTGCTGAATTTAGGTCTATAGATCTCACAACGCACGTCTTTATATCAGGATGACCACTTTTGCCCCTTGGGCATAGTGCGACCGTCAGGCAAGGGAGCTAAACCGGAAAAGCATCATTCTGCCCAGCAGCATCGCAGGGAAGTCCCGGTGCCAACATGCTACGCCAGCCATCTGCCAGGATGGCAGTGCTGAGGACCACAACCCACGGCCTTGTCATGCCCAGAGCCAGTCATATTCGCTGCTTGACCTCGCACAAGCGGAACTCCAGGGCCAATTTCTGCTAATGATGTTCACACTTGGCACCTTGTCGAACCTAAATTTGTTCTTGTGCCGAGCATTATCCCAACTAGGACGAGCAACTAGGCTCGGCTGATTGTGTGTGGTTTTGCCATGCAGCACTGAGCATGGCCAGTTTGCTGGGAGGCGAGTCCCACTGGTGCCCGAAGCCAGGTGAGAGTTGCCGTCAGTCGCCAGATCCCGCAGCCTGATGGCGGGGGCACGATGATACTGCCTACTCCACCAACCTGAGAATGTTGATCATTTGTCTCTGGCAAAGACGTTCTGATGTGCTGAATTATGACGACGTGGAGAGCTTGCCAACTCATTCTGCTGACGGCTGATAGGCTGCGAGCTGGACGGACTGTACGGCAGTGCAAGGTTATTCCCTGCTTGAGAAGCGGTGACGAGCTGGCCGAGCTGTAACCAGCACGGTTGTGGAAGTCGTTGGGCATCAACGCCTCTGACAAGACTTTCCGGCCTGACCAGTTCAGCTGAGCGGCACGAAGGAAGTCCGATTTGCGATGCAACCCAGGGGATCAGCTTGAATCGGTGCAGAGCCACTCACTACTACTGGCTTATAACTTTCGGTAATTGACTTAAGCCCATTGACTGAAGCTCAAGCTTACCTGGAAGATCGATTTGCGTCTTTGGAGGGGGGGGGCGCTGCACAGCTGCACAACTGGCGATGTTGGACCGAGGCGTCCCGAGACGATTAAGGCTTTGCGGCGCCTTTGAGAATGGTGATTGGCGGCTTCTCATACGCAACTTCCAGCCATCTTCCTCTCACTCGTTAATTGCGTCTTCCTGGTTCATCCTATATTCTTGGAGCGAATATTGTTCCTGGCCACCCATGCCTTCTCTGTTTCAACCGGTGTGGGGGGGGGGGGGTTGAACACGGTCCTCGGGCCAATGTAGTCCGTTTCGTCGGCAGCGGCAGTGAACGCGAACTAAACTTCGTTGATTCAAGCAGAGACCTCGACGCAGCCGTTGACGAGCTCAGCACTCATCGTCAATGGGACGACGACCGAAGCTGAAAGTTTCACAGATCGAATGCGCTCATCATTATTGAGGGAGACACAAATTGATGTGCCGGAATTGATTTCCGAATGGCGTGTGCGACCAGCAATTAAACTACAGCCGAACACAACCACCTCCACTGCTTCCTTCCGAGTATGGCGGATGAGGCGTACGCAACTATGTATGGGCGGATAGGTCGCGCCATGCTCACTTCCGGGCCATGGCTTCCGCACAACTTGGAAAGTAGGGCGTTGCTGACTCGTGCGTTAAATAGTGATCAACCACCGGGCCGGGATCATCCTTCCAGGTGTGCCGCCTGTTACTGACGGCCGCGACAGCACCAAGGGTCATGTCCATGCCATGGTACACCAACCACCTGTTGCTTGCTGTTATCGCGCCCGTTCACTTCAAGGGCTTGAAATTGGATCATTTGGAGTTGTCGCGGTTGTCTATACTCGCCTGATGGCCAAGAAACGACCCGACCTGGCCGGGCGGAATCCGCTTGGCCCAGCCTGCGGCTGGTCTGGCGGTTGCTGCAGTGCTGTGTTGTCTCTGCAGGCGGCGGAAGGAGCCATGTCACGAGCATCATGCAGGACTGGCGGTCGATAGGGTGATGAAGGTCGACGTGGAACCACGAGAGCGCTTCCTGACGCAGTGCTGAAGCCGGTGGACGAGGCCTTCATGCAGGCGGGCCGAGGACAGCCTATGGCACGTGCAGGAGGAGGGCGGCCATGTCAGAGCTTGCTTGGTGACGGCCAATGTGACGGCCTGCGGTGGGCGGCCACGCGGACGCTGCTGCAGTGATGCTGCAGGGCGAGCAGGGATGCCAGAGGGACGGCGCGCGAAAGGAGGTTGGAAAGTTGGCAAGTGATTGAGCGAGCCGGGCAGGCTGTCGAGGGAGCGGGCCGTCCCCAGCGAATAGGCATGCGCGCAGTGGGGGCCCCTGAGCCAAGAAGCAACAAAACAGCGCAGCGCTTCCCGCGCATAGGCCGCATCGTGGCCGCTCCGTTGTCACATCACATCACACACCGCCAGCCCCCCCTTCTCGCAATCCTCGTCCTCCGGCCTGCCCAATGTCCGCACAACACAACAATAAAATGCTCTGGTCCCCCGTGAATGCCCAACTTCGCTCTTTCCCTCCTGAGTTTCAGCCCAAACACCCCAGCAATTCGTGCCCAACGACCCGATTCCCCATTCTTACTTGATCTTCGTTGCTCAGCGAACCTCGTCTCTAAATTCGCCTCCCTTGCGTCTCAACCTTTCTACACAGGCCCTTGCCACCCCAGAGATACCCAAGCTTTTCTCGCTCGCCCTGATCACAGCCGTTGTCAGTGAGCCTGCAGGAACCAGTTTTCCTATCTTCTGCTCAACAACAGTGTCGACAACTTGAAGCTCTTCAGCCCTGGAGGGTTGATTGAAGAGAGGACCAGTCTCTCGGATTTTGCCAGTTGCTTCCACGGATTTGATTGCCAGAGGTATCCATGACCACCATGGTTTCTCGTCAGGACAGCATGTCTGCCTTCACCCACTCTCTCGAGATGGATGATGTCCAGACACCCGCGAGGTATTTCTTTTTGCTCTGCTCTACTTCTGCCACCGGATTTTCCCTTTTTTTCTCTCATCTTGTGCGTCAAAAATCATGTACACATTTCCTTTCGTCACATGCTCCAACCAAGGATTTGCTCCGACAGGGCTCGAGTGAGTGCCCGTTTCCCCAGGATTACAGTTATTCGACCCAGGAACATTTCAACCAGGAAAGGAATCCCGCAAGGAAGGCCCAAGGATCCAGACAGGAGAAAATCAGCCGGAACAGAACCCAAGGACACTTTACAAGAGGCCTGCTCGCCTTTGGCAGCAGGGGGTTGATTGCCATGTGCACACAACTTGCCAAACCGGTCCCTCTGGATCAAATGAAAGACTTTTATCAGAGCTTTGCTCTTGACATGACCGTAAGTATCCCAAAAAGGACTTGACGACAAACTCCACGGGATCAACCTCAGATGGGCAACCAGACCCATGGACCAACATTGCTTTTCAAGATCGCAACTGCTTAGGCCCAGCGCTGCTGTGGCACATTGTCAATGGCTTTCACGCGGACTCCATGCTCTCGACACCTTTACGGATATCGCATTGAACCATCTCAGGCGAGATGCTTCCCTGGCTCTTATTTCGATATTCTTTTTCATGCGCAGCACCAGAATCCAGGCTGATAGGATGCACTCGCCGAGGATTTCATTTTTCTGCTTTCTACACAAGGATCTGGACCCATCATGCAAGGAGACACAGCCGGAGTCGAAACCAACAACACCAGCCTCAGTGGACCGCGAAGGTACCTATCTGCCGCTTGTCATAGCATCAGCATTTGAGCGGCTTTCAACACGGACGGATCTGAGCATCGTCACCAAAGGACTTCTTTCGAATTGGCCGTTTGATGACATCCAAGATTTCTGTTCAACCACAACAGTGATGCCAACAACCATGAATTGTCACGGAACGGACGACTACTTCAGGCCATTTTGCAGAGTAATCGACGTCAAGCGGATATGCCCGTTGCTTTCTACCACCTGGACCAAGCTCGACTACCGACAGATCGCATTGGCAGACCGCCATGGACTTATGGAATCCTTGTGACACGGAGCTGAGCTTTCTCACATGAACAGTTTGGTTTGTAACCCGAATCCTCAAATATTGATCTGGTGATCTCGGTTGCTAACCTCCACTGCAGGAACAAAGTTGTACCATTCTGATGATGCATATTTTGCTTGTTCTTGGCTATCAGCCTGTCGAGGGAGTGGTGAACAGCACACTAACGACTTCCCTTTCAGTGATTTCAGCTCATATTCCCAAGGAGCCATGATGGCACCTACAAGCGGACTCTTTTCTTTTCCCCAATCAGGACAAGCCGACTTCCAAAGCACAATGTGGGATACCACAGATGGAGCACAGACCTTCCAAGAAGAGGACTTCCAATACACATATGGCCACATTACACCCCGAGGACAGGACCAATCCGATGGCAAATGGTCACCCATTGAGCAGACGGCCACTGCTATCCCTGAGCCCATGCGGCGAGTTAGCTCGCGCAGCTCGGCCGGATCACACAAGCACAGGACTATGAAAGCCACAAAGCACAAGAGCCGGCCGAGACTCCTCTCCACGGTGTCTCAGAGCTCGCGCATCTTGGACTTTGATATCACAGGTAATGCATCCATGGATACATTCCTCCTGCCAGAAACGGATGCGCAGTCTGTCTCGTCGCAGATGTATTATCCGAATGTCCCCTTGGCTGTGGGCCTTCCCACGGATGGATTGGCCTTCTCGGCTGCCGGCATCTCGCCCAGCATGACACAGCACATTGATCCTGCTCACATGCAATTGCACTACGACGGTGCTCTTGCCGGGTCTCCTTCTGCTTCCTGGGGCTCCTCCCCGGTTGAGTCTCGCATCTCCTCCCCAGGAATTCCCGAGGATGCGTCTGCTTGGTCCCTCCCAATGGCCGCCTCGCCCTCGCAAACCAGCGACTCTTCCCCAATCATGGACAGCATCTCCCCAAGGTATGTTGACACTGGCGCCATGTCCATGCTGGAGATATCCTTGCCCCGATAACTAACCACGACAACGCGACTGTAGCTTGGACCGCCAGATGGGTCTCATGACCACGGACGATGTGAATGCAAACATCCTCAGCGAGGACATGTTCTCATTGCCTCCTGCCTTTTCCCGCCGATCCAGCGACGATGGCGAGTCTTCTGCTCGCAACCACCCCTTGTACAAGACTGCCTTCCCGGCTGCCGATGGCCTCTTCCACTGCCCTTGGGAGGGCCAGGCTTCTTGCAACCACAAGCCCGAGAAGCTCAAGTGCAACTACGAGTAAGTCACTCCTAGTCCGCACTACCTCTCCGTTTCTTGACTGACATCGACAACCCGCAGCAAATTTGTTGATTCGCACCTCAAGCCCTACCGCTGCAAGATCACCTCGTGCGAGAACGCCAGGTTCTCTTCCACGGCCTGCTTGCTTCGTCACGAGCGCGAGGCTCACGCCATGCATGGACACGGCGACAAGCCGTACCTGTGCACCTATGAGGGATGTGACCGTGCCGTGCCGGGCAATGGCTTTCCCCGGAACTGGAACCTCAAGGACCACATGAGACGCGTCCACAACGATAACGGCAGCTCCATGAGCATTCCCAGCGGATCCCCCGTTTCCTCTCAGGCAGCGTCCCAGGCTCACAAGGAGTCCAAGAGCCGCAAGAGAAAGAGCAAAGATGTCTCCGAGGCCGTATCTAGCAGCCGCAGGCAGTCCTCCCGTTCTGCGGAGGTTGCTGCGGCTCGTGCCGCAGAGCAGGCCATGGTCGAGGAGTGGCACCAGCATCGGAAGGCACTCGACGCCTATCTGACCGACTACTCATCCCCGGATGCCTTTGATATCTACGGAACCTTTTCCGATGCTCAGTCACACATGACTGCTATGGGCAAGATTACCCAGCAGCTTCACTCCAAGAAGGCCCGTGCCTCCATGGATGCCTACACCCGTCGCTCGTACGGGGAGCACTCTGGCTGAATGAAGCAAGCCGCTGGGGACTACTCATTTTTTCAAAACTTCCTTATCCACGGCTTCATTCAATCGCTATTGATGCGAACAGAGCAAGGTCCGGTTCCAGTCCGTCTCGGCTGATTGGCCCTAAAGGCCCATCAAAGGCCCCGGCTGGCCAGCAGTGGTCGTTGTTTCCTCATCTACCGATACATGGTAATGGTGGTGGTCATCGTGATGCGCATCGCTCCGAGCCCCATCAAGATTTGGGAACTTCGTGAGAACTCTTGGTCATGATGACCAGATTCTCGACCCTGCTGTGCGGGATATTCTGTCGTCGAGCTGCTGCGTCAAGCTCGAGTCGACGGTGGTTGCAATCTGCCCACCGCGTAAGCGCGACTTCGCGCCTTGTATAGCAAGATGGCCAGCACGCCATCGCCGCAGCTTAGTCTGCAGCAGTGTGTGCTCTTGTGGATGATCGAGTCAGCCGTGCTCAGTGCATGTTGCTATGAACGGACTCGTCTCTTTGGAGGAGAGCGAGGCGGGGATTTGTTGTTGTCGAACAACTCAGAGTTTTGTTGCTGGTATTTCATTGTTTTCTCATTTGGCCAAACACGGCCGGTTCTCCTGGTCATCACCAGTCTGCGTATCTTTTGTCCAAATCACTTAGTATACAATTATATAAACTACTTTACTTCGACGGCCTTGAACCAGCAAATGCATGTGCTTGCTCGCCCTCTATGCTACTTGTAGGTCCGTACGTGGCCAGGCCGCACGTAATCCTCCTTCACCCATGCCATCTAAGTGTGCAGTGACGGGTCTGACTTTACATCGTCGACATGGAGTGGTACCCGCCAACCCAGACCCGGAATCTTACAAGGATGAGGGACAAGGCTGGCTTTGGATTTGATGACATCCTTGATACGTCCTTTGTTCATAAATCATCATGTGCAAGAACGCCACCCGTTAGGTTTGGGAAGTGAGTGTTCGTAGCTGTTGGGCTCCAAGCAAGTCCTGTCCCCCCCAACATCCTCACTTGCAAGGCGGAGACCGTGTTTATGCCCGCTTGGGCTGGCGCTGGCCGGTTGAGAATGTGACGGAGAGGAGTGGCGGTGCGGCTGTGGCTGATGTACTGACCGCCACTCGACCGTCCACACACAAAAGTGGTGCTCGCTCCAAGAAAGTGTCAAAAATAAGAGTGGGGCAGGCGCCAGCCCGCCTGGCTGCCCGCTTCGAGCGGAACTTTTCTTCACAGTCGCCTCATCACGCCTAGCACTCTCTCTTCCCTTGAACCCCCAAACCCTTACGCAGTAATCCTCACCATTAGATTGATATCTACTGGAAGACTGTCAAGATGTCGAAGATCACAGTCGGTACGTTTTTGGCCACACCTGCTCTCCGCACTCACTGAATGCCCTGCTAACGCCTCGCCCTCTTCGACAGCCGGAGTGCGTACCAACGTGCAGGAGTTGCTCACCTACTCCAACGAGACCAAGAAGCGCAACTTCCTCGAGACCGTCGAGCTCCAGATCGGCCTCAAGAACTATGACCCTCAGCGTGACAAGCGTTTCTCTGGCACCATCCGCCTGCCCGCCGTGCCCCGCCCCAACATGGCCATCTGCATCCTGGGTGACCAGCACGATATCGACCGTGCCAAGCACGGCGGTGTCGACGCCATGTCCGCCGACGACCTGAAGAAGCTCAACAAGAACAAGAAGCTCATCAAGAAGCTCGCTCGCAAGTACGACGCCTTCGTCGCTTCCGAGACCTTGATCAAGCAGATTCCCCGTCTCTTGGGTCCTGGTCTTTCCAAGGGTAAGCAAGCACACCAACATTCCATCATCGTCTCGTTGGGACTGCCACTAATATTTTCATGCGTCTCTCCAGCCGGCAAGTTCCCCACTCCCGTCTCCCACGCCGACGACCTCACTGGCAAGATCACCGAGGTCAAGTCCACCATCAAGTTCCAGCTCAAGAAGGTTCTCTGCATGGGTGTCGCTGTCGGCAACGTCGGCATGGACCAGGAGGAGCTCATCGGCAACATCATGCTGGCCATCAACTACCTCGTCTCCCTCCTGAAGAAGGGCTGGCAGAACGTTGGTAGCTTGACCATCAAGGCCTCCATGTCTCCCCCCAAGCGTCTCTACTAAGCAGCTTCTGCGCTGTTCCGTGTATTGAGTCGGGAGGCATTCAGCGGAGGATGTAGATGTTTGGAATTGGGAGTGCTTCGTTGCACTAGGCAATAGGGCGACCTCTTGCCATAGCTCAAGTAGTCAGAACACCAAATATCGAACCTTCGTTGAAGCATGAACCAATATTCTTCGACCTTGCCGTACCGTGACTCGACGTGCAGCATGTTGCAATCGTGGAATCTCCATCGAGACCATCGTCTTCGTCTTGCAGTGGCCATCCTGAAATTGCACATAAAATGCTTCAGGACTCAAAACAGGCTTAGGACAGAGAACATTAGACAGTGCTACGACTTCATGCCAAGGCATCCTCAAACGACAGGAACGGCCGCCACACGGACAAGACCCTCTGACAAGCACAGTGAGCAGGCCCAATATTTCCCAATTCCACAGACCCTTGCAATACGTTGACACACTCTTAAAGATTTTTTGAACTGGCACTGTCAGGAGGAAAGAAGCACCCGCGGAGCTATGGCTGCGCAGTGGCTGGTCCCAAAAAACAGCACCAGGTGTATCCGCAAGAAAAAAGCCGGCAGAAAGCAGCGCTAGGCCCAAACAAGCACACCAGGCCCCCACCTGGAGCAGACCCTGCAGCGCGTGCGGTCTGGCTGGCCATAAATTCTCGCCGCAGCCGCTGGCCGCTTTCCTGTTTTCCTCTTCCCTTTCTTTCCTCATCATCAGTATGGGTTAATACTACATCGTCAAATGTTTTATTAATTACGTACTGGAGGCTCCGCTACGGCGGCTTGCTGAGGGTTATTCCGAAATTTCACATTTCATGCTCTACCATGAGTTTCCTTCCGTTCCCGGCCTCCTTGAGAAAATCTCAAGCAAACGCTCTTCCTAATCAGCCGCCGACTCCAGCTCTTCCAGGTTCGGGACTGTGGGGTGTTTCCTACATGCTTTCATGTCGCAGATAGATCTTTCATCACTCGCTGCTGTGAACTAGTACTCTCTGCTCGCTGTCGTGGACCAGCTGCGCGCGACAACCACGCTGTCGCACAGCTGGTATGTGAAATGCGCTTCTGGCGAGAGCCTTCTGACGCGTAACTGGCGTCTAAGCTGGATGTTGGCTTCACGGCACCGACGAAATTGATGCCGTGCTCGCAACACCCTGTACAAGTCGACAAAACATGACGCTCTCTCGATCACACGGTTGGCGAGGGTGGCCTCACGCCATCATCACCAGTGTCAACCAATGCACGATCTAGAGGCTGGTAGCTGTTGCATGAGCACAAAATGTCACGGCCGAATGTTAATTGTTCATTGTTGGCCGTATCTTCCAGCGCGCGTCACGCTCCCTGCGTCTCAGGATAGCCACTCGACGACAAAGTCCTTGAACTCGACCTTGAGCAACTCAGTCGTCCCGCTCGCCGGCCGGCAGATGAGCGGGCTGACCTCGAGTTTCCACTCCTTGCCCTCGCCCTCGCCCTCGTCTGCCAGGAACCAGCAGATCTCGCGCATCGGCTGCTTCTCCTTGACCTTGCCCTCCTCGTCGAGGATCAGCTGGTAGATCCAGATGCTCTTGCCATTCTCGTCGCCCTCGCGCACGACCTCGAGCGTCACGGTGCCGTCCGCAGACTTCCTGGCGAGCGGGCTGACGTGCCAGTCGGCAAACCGGTCGCAGCCCACCGCGCTGAGCTGGGGCACGCCCTGGTAGTACTCGATGCCCGTCTTGACCCAGCGCTCCGGAGACGAGCGCTGCTGGCCTGATCCGCCGGACGCGCGGTCCAGCGTGAGCAGGAGGCCAGCCTGGTCGTAGCGCTCGGTCCAGTCGGCCCAGAAGGTGATGCGGGCTGACTGGAAGTTCTTGAGCAGGCCCGGCTGGGTGCGGGAGATGGGGGCTGGGGGGGGTTGCGGGACAGGGTCAGCATATGATGCTTGAGCATTAAAAGCTGTTTCGGCGACGTGGATATCGTGAAATGCATAACTTGCCATTGAAGATGTCCTTGACCGGCGGCTTTCTCCAGATGTCGGTATTGGGCTGGGCCTCGAGGGTGAACGTGTTAGGCATCGTTGTGGATTGTGGTTATGGATGTTGCTTGGTTTACGTGAGGGTTCTAAGTATGACTGATTGTTGCTGCGCACGTTGCCTCCAGATGAGATAGTCGGAGGAAGAAGAGCTGGGCTGTAAGAGGTCTATATACTTCTTTGGCCCTCCAAGCTGCCAGCCCTAGAAGGAGCCCCCGAGAAGCCGTTCACATCCAGATAACCAAGCATCGTTTCAAAGCACGGAGTGACCGCCAACCGACCACAATGCATAGTGCACAAGGCTGACTGGTTCTGCAGCTCAGCAACAGCCGCAGCTCCGTGGTTTTGTCATCTCTTCACGTTACGCAAGAAACAACCAGCCGAAGAGCACCCGTCCAAGGGGACAACCTGCGAACACGAAGAGTTGTCATCGCCAACTCCCGGCCAGCCATACGGCAGCAACTCCGCCATTGGCGCTCTTTCCCCACTGACCTCCGCCGCCTGCCCGCCGACCCCGCAAATCACTGGCACACTCCAGCGCGCAGCGTGTACGTGCCAATCCAGTCCAACAACACTACATGTGAGCAATTACCCGATAATTCTCCCAGCCACGCCCGGGGGGTTCAGCTGAAAGCACAAGGGGGGAGGGAGAGAAGAGAAGAAGACAAGTGGCATAATAAGCGACCGCCTCGAGAACCAACTGATGGTGTAATCATTAACTCACATCATCCTTGCCAAGCCTCGTGGGCCGGGCATGGAACGACGGCCCTTGAGCTCCTGTGGTTTTGCCGACGTTTTACCTTTTCCCTTCCAGCCAGGTATGATTGGAACGTATAGACCTTTCAAGCCTGCCCTCCCTAGGTGGTCATTCCGGGTTACCTTGCATGAAGATGCATGCATGGTGTATCACGGCTCGTTCGAGAATGAACGAGGAACGACGGGGGCAGGGATCATTCGGATCCGGGCCTCTCGTTTCCGGCGCGGTGAGCCTCAGTGTGCCACCATCACCACCACCACCATGTGGTTCTGTGTGGATCAAAGTTGAAGAAGCCGGCTGGAATGGGGTTGACCAGCCCAGCCAGCGACCTTGCCCAGGCAGTCAGCCTACCCGCTCGCCGGCATTAGAGGGAGTTTTTGGGAACGTGGCAACTGATGTTTTCCCCAATTTGTCTCGATCACCGGAAATGTGACACATGCTCTAGAGTTAGAACGCTGCCCTTCTAGTAACGGTCGTGATGGATCATTTCCACGAGGTGGCTCAGAAGCGACCTCCGTGGAAGTGGATCTGGAACCGCCTCTCGACCATGCCGACCAATCTTGGACTTAGTGTTTCTTGATTTCAAAGGACAGATTTACAGCTTATAAATCATTGACTCGACGCGTGAAAATTTGCCCAACTTTCTCGCTTCGCGGTCTCGGACTCGTCGTCTGGAAGAGTCGGGATTTGTTTACAATTTCAACGAGGGGCTACTGATGATGTTTTCTTTCTTTACCAATATGCTTTCCCTGGAAGGCCAGTCAAGGCCAAAAGACCTTTGTTCTTTCCAACATGATGTGTAAAAGCAGATTTTCCAATTTCCTAGACGCCAACTCCCAAATCCAGAAGTATGCAAGTCAACCGATATCCTTCTCATGCAATATGGATTACACATCCACCCATCCACCGGATTAGTGCGCGTCCGAGTCGCCACGCGAGAGCAGAGGTCGTTGATCCCAGCGAGATTCGTCAATGTTGCTCTCCTCGTCCTCGAGCAACGTCTCCTCATCGTCCCCGTCGCTAGACGAGGTGTCCTCGCCGTAGATGAAGAACTGAATAAACACTCCCAGATCTAGCAGCAGCGTGCCAAAGCTGCCGGCGAGCCACGACGAGTTGACGAGCAGATACTTGCCGTACAGCTCCCCGGTCTCTCCGGGCCTGCAGTGGCGGTGGGCGCAGCGGGGCTCGTACGCCATGATGGACAGGACGTAGGTGAGGTTGCCCAGACACGCGAAGAGGAAAAAAAGAATGCTGACACCCTCTGTCGACTTGCGGCGCCAGTTCAGGAGCAGCTGCGGGATGCGCGAGCCCAGGTAGAGGGCCGCACAGAGCCAGCCAAACACTTGGCCCCAGAAGTCAAAGTGCAGCTCGTCCTCGGAAGGCGTGTGGGGCTTGTCATTGTCGTCATGGTGCCGGCTGAGCAGCCAGCCAGCAATGCCGGCAGCGCATACCATTGCAATCGCCGTCGTGTTCCACATGATGGCCTTGAGCCTTGTTGGTCTCGGTGGGGGCGTGGCGGGCTGCTCGTGCAGCATTGGGACGGCGGGACTCAGGTTGGACCAGTCGCTGCCTCTCCTTTCCCGGTGTGCTAGCGGGTTGCTGCCACCATTGAGCAGGGTCGTGGTCTCGCTCGGAGCGCTCGTGGTACGGATGACGGTCGGCTTTGGTGTAGGTGGGATGACCTCGTCCTTCAAGGTGAAGCCTCTGTAGGAGAAGACCTGCCCGAGCAGAACTATGTCTGCAAGGGTATAGTAGACGGCGAGGATGATCATGGTTGGGAGTACGCGCTGGAGCACGGAGCCGAGGACATTGAAGACATCACCGAGCAACCAGGTCATGAGAAAGTGGAGGGAGAGCCCGTCTGCGGAACCGCGGCGGAAGTTTTCGATGATCTGTGGCGAGAAGACAACCACCCATGCGGCTATGGAAATGGAACTGTATGTGCAGAATGCTGTTAGCTCTTGCTGGCCTTGCTGGTTAACTTGCTTCAGAGGAGAGATTTCATGGGGACGCACCCGCAGATGCCTGAGATGGCCTCGACGTCGAGGTTCAATGGTGCTGTCGGAGGCGCCATGGCGTGTTGCCCGGGCTGCGTCGAGGCAGCGGTTCTGTGTGCTCGAGTCGCAAGAGATCAGGCGGTTAAGATTACGACGAATCCGTCAATGGCTGTGGTGCAGTTGAGAGTAACTGAGCATTTGTCGCAGCCGTGGAGAAGAGACGAGAAAGCGATTTGAGCAAGGGTAGTAAAGGGCAGAGAAGCAATTGTCGTTGGCGCTTTGGGGAAAAACTAATCGTGAGCAGGTGATGCACGAGTCGCGAACGTTGGCGCCGGTTCGGCGGGCTGCATGGACCCGTGTGAAAATTGAGCATCCAGGCCGTCGATGACGCCAAAGGGTGGCCCCCATTTTGCGGGGAAGTCCCGCGGGCGGCCACTGAGACAGTGAGACAGGCCCTGGAGCAGGGAACCACGAACAGCGCCCTTGCAGATCGTCCAGGAGCCTCATGCATCACCCCAGCATGAACTCGCGAAGCTTGTTCCAGGTTTCATGGGTAGATTTGTTCAGATCGTCTGGGCTCGACGAAACGAAACATGTACTCCTCCGAATTGGATTTTCGGAGCCCAGCCTTCCCGGTCCGCGGAGATGGGATTCGCTTGGGTATTGCTCCTGCCTGTTGCATCGGCAATTCTTCAGACTCGCGTCCTGCAAGCATCAGCACAGCCAGCCTGATGGGTCATCTAGAGAATGCAGCCAATCGTTTCAGACATCATATAAGTCTAGATCCGTGACTGCATGATATCTAAGCGAGCAATTGGAACAACAGCAGAACACCTCTGATTCCCCCACGGCTTTGTCAGCACCGGCTCCACGACTCCACGCCCGGCATCGAGTTCGCCCTGTTGCCCGCACCCTCCTCAAGGGGTCGTCGTCTTGACGCAATCTTGCCGGATCTTTACTTCCTTTCTATTCAACTGTAGTTCTCTCGAGCTGCAGGCCTCCTCCGCCGCTGTCAACAAGTTGACAAGATAACCCCCCTTCACCCCTGACAGAGTAGTTTTACTCCTCTTCAAGTTATTGCACGCGATCCCCCGGCGCATCCCCCACATTCTGTACCGGCAGGACCGCACCCCGCCGCCCAAGCTTCCTCGATCATGACGGCAGCACCTCCAAATCTACCCGTGCTGCCCGACGACGACTCCATGTTGTCTCGCAAGTTTGGCCGCGAGGTCGCCAACTACTTCTCTGGCAGCCCTCTCAACAGGGTCTCGTTCCTCCGCAGCGACCATGACTTCCTCAACAAGGCCTTCGCGTACCCGTCGGCCTCGTTCCTGCTCATGAACGGGCTCGCGCCACTTGGCAAGGACCGGTCGACCTTGGCCTATGTCGGCAGAGATGACGTCCTCCCTCTGATCGGCCCCGAACCGTTCAAGCAGACCGAAGCAGAGCAGGTCCGCAACTTCAACTCGGCCATTGACAAGCCTGTCGTTCTGTTCCTCGGTTTGGACGAGAAGAACAAGGGCTTTACCTTTAAGGAGTTCGGTGGACATCCGTACTTTGCTGTAGATGTCACGCCCAGAGGCACTTACACCGAGAAAGCCGTTGGCATTGCCGAAGCTGTCCAGAAGAAAGGGGTTGACTTTATTGCTGGAGGTCGGCATATGAACCTGAGCGCCCCAGAGGGTATGTTCTAGCCGACAAGCACATAGGCATTACAGTTGGGCATGTATAGCTGACGATCAGGACAGCCGCGATATACGCACAAGCACGTGCCCTCTTCGACTGGAACGCTCGCAACCCATTCTGCGGTGGCTGCGGTCAGCGCACAATGTCTGTCAATGCGGGCACCAAGAGGGTTTGCCCGCCCACGGACCTCGCTGGTGTCCCTGAGGGCGGCGAGCCCCAGGCCCGTGGTGCATGCCCGACCCGCGCAGGCATCTCCAACCTGAGCTTTCCTCGGACAGACCCGACGGTCATCATGGCTGTCGTCTCAGCCGACGGTACCAAGATTCTGCTCGGCCGCCAGAGCCGCTGGCCCCCGAGCATGTTCAGCACACTTGCTGGCTTCCTCGAGCCCGGCGAGTCGATCGAAGAGGCGGTGCGGAGAGAGGTATGGGAAGAGTCTGGCGTCAAGGTCGGCCGCGTGGTGATCCACAGCTCCCAGCCCTGGCCGTACCCCGCAAACCTGATGATTGGTGCTGTCGGACAGGCAACACCAGATGGCGAGACAATCGACCTTGGGAACGATCCGGAGCTTGAGAAGGCCAAGTGGTTTACCTTTGACGAGGTCAGGGAAGGCCTTCAGAATGGCACTGCCGGGCTTGATGAGCCTGCGCCGAGCACGCTCAAGGAGGGTGGCATCAGGTTGCCTCCCCACACCGCGATCGCCAATCGTCTCATCGATGCCGTCATCAACGGATTCTTGAGCTTGAGTCCAAAGATTTGAGTTACAGCGCACAGCGACGGAGTGGTTTAGAGCTAGAACATTATATAAGAAGTATATACCGAAGCAGCTCGTCGTTTGAAAACTATGACTATCACGCGGTAGTTCTGACCCGTCTAAGTCAGCCAGTTACATCTGTGGCGTGTGATTCATGGCGGAATCGCAAAGCGTACCTTCTCTAAGGGTGACACTCAGAAGCAGGGGATGCATGTTTAAGTCGAGGCAGAGTCTGGCAAAGTCAAAGCGGAATATGATGGTACCAATAACGAACATGCAACAAAGTGAACAGAAACGTTTGTGAGTAGCGTCTGGATCGAGTCTGGCCCAGATTGAGCTCACCCGCCAAGCTGCCAGTTAGGTTAGGGCGATGGTTTTACCCCTGGCGGGAACGAACACCTAGCTCGATAGGGGCTCCCCACCACCACCACCACCAGAACACATGCCAACCACATTCAACAACGAGCTTCGACCTCTTATGTGCTAGAACGGACCGAGGACGGCAGAAGCAACCCTCGGGCGCCTGCAATCGGTTCGCCTTGCACATCATTGAGGCGGATATCGAACCCCCCCCCCCCAAATGCCCTGAAATCACGAACGCGAGCCAAGTCCTCGACACACCTCCAACTCACCCACTCACACTTGCGGGCGGGCCACGAAAGCTGCATTGCGCCCCCCCGAGTTTCGAGTTCCGCAACACTCACAAAAAAGACAAAACAAAATGGCAGCCGCGGCCCCCGACACGTCGACGCTCACGAGCTCCGAGCAGGTCTTCACCTCGCACACGCTGCCCCAGATCCGGGCGATCCACAAGGCGCTCCACGTCCAGATCGACGACAAGTCGGCGCGCCTGCGGACGCAGGTGGGCAACAGCTACCGGGAGCTGCTGGGCACGGCGGACACCATTGTCGCGATGCGGCACGAGATGCGCGACGCGCAGGAGATCCTGGGCGGGATGGGCGCCGTGTGCGGCCGGGCCGTGATCGGCGGCAAGGTCAAGAGCGTCAGCCGCTTCCGCGAGCGGAGGGACCAGGCGTCGGAGCTCGGCGTCGTCGCGAGGTGTCGCCTGCTCGAGGCCTGCGGGCTGACGGTAAACAGGCTCATGAAGAGAACGGGCGGCGCTGGGGATAATAACACCGTGTTGGCAGAGGCATCAGCTGGGGGCAGGACGGGGACGAGGGGTGGCAGGCTGGTGCTGGCTGCCAAGGTCCTTGTGCTGGGACGCCTGCTGGTCTCGAGCTTTGGTAGTGGCCACGACGACACGACACGAGCGGATGTCAAAGAGGCAATCGAGGCGGCCAAGAAGTCACTAGCCAGCCTGCGCCGCCGGCTGCTGAAGAGCATCGACCGGCTTTTGGAAAAGGTCGGCACCCCGACGAGCCGCGCCGAGATTCTCAACGCCATGTGCGCGTACAGCCTTGCTTCAAGCTCGGGGGCGAGGGATGTCATGTTCCACTTTCTCAATGTACGGGCCAAGGTTCTGGCATTCGAGTTCAATCTAGACGAGCATGACGCGCACAAGGGGTCGGAGAATGTGCTCAGGGGCCTCGATCTGTACACTGGAACATTACTAGACGTCCAGGCTCTGATCCCCAACAAGCTTTCCGAGGCGCTGGCAGCGCTCAAGAGAAACCCGTTGCTCTCGGACGATTCGCTTAAGCTTCTGGAGACTCTACGCCTGGATATCTACGAGAGGTGGTGCGGAGACGATATCCATCACTTCACCCCATTCATACAACACAACGACCTCGAGGGCAGCCAGGCCAGAGAAATGCTGCATGCCTGGGCGGGTAAAGGCGGCGAAACATTGTTGTCAGGCACCAAGGACACGCTCGAGCACACCTCTGAGTTCAAGGGCATCATTGACCTACGGACACGGGTTCTGCAGCACTGGATCAAGAATGGAGGCAAGGCGAAAGGTTTCGACCCGTCCGTTGTCCTGGGTGGGCTCCGAAAAGTCATCAATGAGCGGCTGCTTGCACTTCTTGACACCAAGGTCTCCAAGCTCCGGCTGGTGGGTTCAGAGGTCTCGGCCACGCTCGAGAGCTGGAAGACAGGGCAGACAGATCGCCAGCTTGAGCTCTGGGGCAGCGACCTTCTCGACATTGATGCCTCCGAAAACGCCAGCCACCTGACGCAAGCCGTCATCTCGCGACTGCACGGACGCAACGAGGCTGTTTCACGGGCAGTCACATCCTACCAGTCCTGGTTCCAGCTGATTGACGACGTGGGCGGGCTAGTCGAGCACCTCAAGAAACAGCGCTGGGACAACGACGTCGAGGAGATCGAGGACGAAGAGGTGATTGAGCAGCGGCAGAAGATGCTGAGCAAGGACGACCCGGAACAGCTGCACCAGCAGCTCGACTCGTCCCTGAGCGAAGGCTTCCGTGCCCTCGATGCGCACCTGTCCTCCCTGTGGCGGGCACAGAGCGATGGCGAGAGCAGCGGCTTCGTTGCAATGTACCTGCTCCGGATACTCCGCGACATCCGCGCCAGCCTGCCGGAGCTGGACGCGCTCAAGGACTTTGGCCTCGCCAACATCCCCGAGCTGCACGACAAGCTGGCGGGGTGTGTCGCCGGCTCGTCGATCGAGGCGTTCGCGGCCGCGACGCTGCCGAAGCGCAAGGTCGTCGGGCGCGCGCTGTGGGAGGGCAGCCCTCACGCCGCGCTGCCGGTCAACCCGTCGCCTGGTATCTTCAGGTTGCTGCGAGATCTGATGAAGTCTATGGGCGACGCGGGGCTGGACTTGTGGACGCCCGCTGCGGTGCGGGCGCTCAAACGCACGTTTGCGCAGCGGCTGGTCGTGGTTTGGCGCGAGGAACTGGCGTCAGCGGCCAAGACAAACGGTGTCGAGGAATGGGCACACGGACAGGACAGCAGTGTTGCCACAGCCACTCAGGACGGCGAAGGGCCAGATAAGGAGCCCCCGAATGACCCAGAAGACACGTCCGCGTCAGCCGAGGCCAGTCTCACGGAGGCCGCCGCGCCTGGCGACGCGGCTGCCGCCTCACCCCAGACGACGGAGAACGGCCTCAGCGAAGAGCTGCTGATCCAGTGGGTATACGATATCAAGTATCTCGAGCAGTGTCTCCGTGTAGACGGTGCTGGTAGTGCCGGTGGTGGTGGCCTGGCGGAGCTGGCCGATGAGGTAGCTGGTCGTGCTGGGTTGGATAATGAGGCGCAGAACAAGCTGAGCAAGGCTTCGGCGGAGTATTGGAAGCGGAGCAGCTTGCTGTTTGGGCTTTTGGCATGATGTTGTTGCTGCGGGAAGGATGGGTTGTACGGAATTTCAGGTGGTCGCTTGGAGAAGTGAGTCTAGGCGAGCCTAGCAGCAGCAGCAGCAGCAGCAGTAGCCATACGAGCAAATAGAGCAAGCACTTGAAGCACTATCCATCCAATCTAAGATCTGCTGGATGGCGATATGCAAGACCCATAAATGGTCTACTCCAACTTTTAGCTTTCCAGGATTCAACAATGGAGCGCCTGGACACATGATGATACACAAACAGCAGCAAGTTTCATAATATTTGTAGCCGGCTCGATAGGAATGGCGAGCGGAACAGGACCCCAAAAGAAATCTATCTACAGCTTGTGCCTCTTCTTGCCCGACGCAATGGCCGCAAACTCCTTTTGCGGGATGCCCTTGACGAAGCGGTCCAAGCCCGCAAAGACCTCCTGCACGTTCTGCTTGTCTAGGATGTCGCGCTCGGGCGCGCGGATGAGGGCCTTGATACCCGTGAGGCTTGAGCCGATAAGGTGGCTGCCCAGCCGGTCGTCGATCTCGCTGTACACATCCCGCAGGAAGTTTTCGGGCGGGAACACCTTGTTGACGTAGCCGACGGCGACGAGCTCGTCGCAGGGGATCCGCTTGCTCATGATGAGGGCCTCGTTGGCCTTGGCGATGCCCAGGCGCTGGACAAAGGCGTGCGAGGCGCCGCCCTCGGCGACCAGGCCGAGCGAGGTGAACGGGGTGAGGAGAAAGGTGCTCGGCACGGCGTAGACAAAGTCGGCGAAGCCCGTCAGGGCGGCGGAGAGGCCGACGGCAGGGCCGTTGAGGGCGACGACGAGGATCTTGGGGTGCGTGTAAAAGGCGCGCGCAATGTTGAGGTTGTTGGAGACGAAGCCGGAGAGGTAGGTCCGGTAGACTTCTGCGTTGGGCGGGGGAGCATTGGAACCGCCAAAGGAGCCGACGTCGGCGCCGCTGTTTTTGGGTTTGGGTTTGCTGTCAGTGAGGTCCTTGCCGCTGCACTCGGGGATATACGGATATATGTCTACGTGTGAGAGAAGGCGTGGAGAAGCGGGAGAAGGAAAGGCCAAGGAGCAGTGCATTGCAGTGACGGGGAAGGACATACGCGGAGAAGTAGCGGCCCTTGCCGGTGAGGACGGTGATATAGATGTCGTCGCGCTCGGCGATTTCTTTCATGGCTTTTGCGAGGGCGTAGTAGCCATCGCTGTTGAGGGCGTTGAGCTTCTTCTCATTGCTAATGGTGATGGTGGCGATGCGGCCAGAGTACGCGACTTGGATCACGTCGGCCATGGCTGCGGTTTTCGTTGACTTGTGGCAATTCAATCCCACAGAACAGGTCCAATGGTTGGGAAAGGAGCGTTGAGTGGGGAGAAGGGAAGGAGGAACAGCAGGACATTCAAGAAGCAGCCGTCAAGCGTCAGCCAAATGTGAGAGCCAGGGTCTGGTCTGGTGCCCATGTACTATGTAGTAAATCGATATCCGGCAGCCGGGGAAGCAGCAACGCGGAGAGAGTGTGGAGAGAAGGTGCGGCGGCATCCCCACCTCTCCACCTGGGCAGGAGCCGAGGCCCATCGGGTTTCTGGTCGCGCTCTCGTCGAGCCGGCAGCGGCCGCTAAGCCCCGAACCTGCTAGCGCCAGCAGTCGATCTGCATCAGGGTATCGTGCTTGTGTTTGCGCGTTGGGGTACATACTTCCTTTACGTACCTAACACAATTAGCAGTCCCCTCCCTCTCCCAACCAATTGCGGCCATCTCTCATACCTTTCCAAGGTCTGGATATGGTTGGCCCAGTCCCCAGACCATCTGAGCAACACCACGAGCAACGAGCAATTGGCGCCTCTGGGTTGTCCAGAGGACGTTTCGTCATGTTCCGGGCTTTCGATGGTGGGTAGCCCGGGCCCCTTTGAGAAAGTCACAGCATACTTCGAGATCTAGGGGTTGCACGTGGCTGCCCTGACATGGCGCCAGCAAGGAGCTGCGCCAAGCGATTGTGTGGCTGCCAAGCTGGGAATGTCTGGATCCAGCTGTGCTCGCATCGTGCGGCTCGGGCCGGGACATGCCTTTTCTTGAAGTTCGCCTTGAAGCCTCTGAGCACCGTCGAGCGATGCGTACCGGCAGTCCGTATCGCCAACAAGTGGAATCTTCTAACGACTGGGCAAGAGTGGGAGGATGGATGGGATAGGGACGCATTTACATCATGTTGCAGAACATCACACAAGTCTGGCGTCCGTTCAACACAACGCGGAGACTCGTCACGCCATGCTTGGGAACTACCGAGCCTGCCCAGGTGATGCAGAGACCAGCCCTGTTCCTCTGCCTCTCACATCAGGTCCCATACTGTACAGACAATTCATCCACGCCTTCGTCATTCTCCAGGACCCTTGCAGACGGCCATGCTTGGTCATCTCTGGTGGCTGGGAGCTTAGGCTACCTGAAGGGTCCAATCTCCCGCAGAGCCCCCGCCGCGTAGGGCGCGATCCACGCGACCCCTCTCTGCTGGCAGGTCAAGCCTTGCCCCATGCAGTAGGTTTTCCACATCCATCAGTGAGCCGCCATCACTGTCTGCCCGCACCCATCACATCGGCTTCATTTCCGGTCCCTGCTGCAAAACGTGGCTGTGCCCTCTGGGTCGGGAGCATTTTGCGCGCGCCGGCCACATACGGCAACCAGTCACACGACTGCGGCACCTCCCCTCCCATACATACATCAGGATACTTTGTTGTGTGGACTTGGAGCCACATAAGACTGGGCAGCCACCAGTCTCTCGTTGAAGCTGCTCAAGACGGGATCTGGCAGCAATTGCTCTTACTTCTGCTTATGCTTGCATGCTCGTGACCGCTCCGTGAGCTCCGCCTTCATCTCAGCAGACTGGCACACCCGCTTATCTCCTCAAGGACGCCCTCCTTCCACAGCGCCCTTTCTTCACTTTTCCCACCCCGGAATACCACACACACACACACATCCTCCTATACGAGCATGGCTTCACGACAGCTATGGCGGCAACCCATCTGTCGCCCGACGACCGCTCTGCGTCTCAACACCACCCGTAGATCTCTCGTCCGCCACCAGAGCTCCCAGAACAACAATGGCCAGCAAGCCAACCTCGCAAGCTGGTCCGTCCCGCTGGTCGCTGTCGCCGTCGGCGCCGGAGCTGCGTACTGGGTCATGAACCCTCCCGCCAACAGCAAGTTGCAGGCTTCTGCCGCTGCAATCAAGTCGGCCACCACGCAAGTGCCCAATCTCGACGCCTTGGGCGATTCGGACAAGATTGTCCACGCCAGGGCCGCAAGCGCCGACGACGTGACCCGCCAGCTCAACGAACACGCCTTCTCGTTCAGCAAGACCGGCGTCCCCGGGGTCCGTCGGTATGACGGCGCCCAGCTCGCATCAAACGCCCTGTGCGAAGACAAGTTCGTGCACGGCAAGTTCTCGAATCCCTTTGCGGCCCGGGACGGGAAACAGTCCGACAGCTGGATGGCGTGGGGTGTGTTCGACGGGCACGTCGGCTGGCAGATGGCCGATCTCCTCACCAGGCACCTGGTTCCTTATGTGCGCCGTGGCCTTCAAGGTATTGCTGGCAAGGGTGCGGAGCCCGGTGATGAGGCAATTGACGCAGCAATCAAATCGGGATTCGTAGAGCTCGATGACAAGCTGGTCAAGACGGCCGAAGCCACCATGGCAAGCGATGCTTCGCTGCCAGAAAAGCTGAGCCGCCTCGAGCCCAGCTATGCGGGCTCTTGCTCTCTACTGACGTTGTACGACCCCGTCACGAGGAAACTCCGCGTGGCATGTACCGGTGATAGCCGTGCTGTCCTAGGCCGCCAGACAGCTGATGGTCAGTGGGAGTGTGTCGAGCTCTCAGCGGACCAGACTGGATCGAACACGGACGAGGTTGCCAGGCTGAACGCTCAATTCCCTGGCGAGACCAACATGATCCAGGGCGGTCGGGTATGGGGCATCATGGTGTCTCGGGCCTTTGGCGATGGCATGTGGAAGTGGCCGATGGCCCTCAAGCAGAAGCTGCGGGACAACTACAACGCGACCACGGTGCCGTCCGGTGCCAAGGAGAAGGGATACACGACTGGCCCTTACCTGACTGCGGAACCAGTGATTACGACCACCGAGATTGCCAAGTCGCAGCCGACTTTTGTGATTGTGGCCAGCGACGGTCTCTGGGACAAGATGTCGAGCCAGGAGGCAGTGAATCTCGTTGGACAGTGGGTCAAGTGGCAAGCTGATGGTGCCTCGAAGCCCATCAAGCCCGACGTCTCGCGGCTGCCAAAGACTCCGCCGCTGTTGGGCCTCCAGTACGAGGTCCGGTATGACGAGCCAGCAACGGTGGTGCAGGACAGCAATGCTGCAGTGCACCTCATGCGCAACGGTCTCGGTGGCGCGCGGGAAGAGCTCACTCGTGCCATGTTGACATCTCGGTACCCGAATTCTCGCGAGATCCGTGACGACATCACAGTCCAGGTCGTCCTGTTTGACTAAAAAGCATTGGCTGCGGCAAGAGCTGCAGGTGTGGCCCGGCTGCTGGACGGCTTTGATTTTGCGTCTTTTGAAGTTGACTCGCCCCGTAGTCCCCGGGAGACAACGTTACATTCCTTTTCATACCAAGCTTTTGAGAGTTCATGTCCTTACCAAGGAGGACAGAAACCAGACTATTGATGTGGTCAGTGGGCAACAGTTCTGTATGTGGAGCTAAAAATAGCCCGGCTGCATGGGGATCCCTGTCCCCGGAACGAGCAATATACACACATTCGGCAATCATGTTGCAGGGAAGCTGCAGCGGGCATGGCATGGTAGCATCTCGGCCTTTGGTTTCCAATTGATGATTTGCATACTCGATAATCTCGCTAAGCACCCGCACGAAGCCTGCTTGATGGACTCGCCTATGAGTCTCCCGCGGAGATACATGTAGGATGCCAGAAATAGGTCCGGGCACTAGCTTAGGCTTGTCCAGGAAAAGGTTTGTGGCTGTTGGCAGTCTACCGGGATGGCGCCAGCCAGCTGCAGGACGCTGGACTGAGCCCAGGGGCATGCAGCCATTGATTGGACAGCACCACTCAATGTCAACGAATAGGTGACATGATATCCCGACAGAGGCTGGTCATGGCGACTCTCTGGGGAAGCGGGTGAGACGGAACCCGCAGAGGGAGCCTGGGGTGGTGCAGCATGTGCATACTGGGTGTGCATCATTGGGGGCGAGTCTCGTGAGACTGGCGGGTGAGAACTAGGTAACTTACTGATGATCTGCCGCGATCGTTCGCTTACACGAATAGGAGGGCAGGGCAGGGCAGCTAGCCTCATCCAGCAGGTGCCTTCCAACAAGTTACGTTATAAGACGGGCGGGTGCCGGCCATCTTTGGTACTGAGGCAACTCTGCCCCAGGGCGGGCAGGCCAATCTTGACTTATCCAGTCTTCAGGATCCCTCTCCTTTATCATTTGTTCATCCGCTCTGCACTTTCTTTCATTGCCTATCTTTTCTGGCTGGCAAAAAAAGAAAAGAAAAGAACCAGCCATGCTCCGTCAACTCACGGCCCTTGCAGCCCTTCTGGCCACGGCCAATGCCTGGCTCCCCGACGAGAGCCCCAAGGCACGCATGACATCTCGTGGCCTCGAGCTGGTCCCTGCAGCCGAGCAGGTCAATGCCACCGAGTTCGAGGAGGCCGCCATCGTCAACGCCCGCAATGGCAAACACCGCCGCTGGACACCCGGCCGCGTGCCCCTCCGCGGCGTCAACCTGGGCAGCTTGTTCGTGTACGAGCCGTGGCTCGCCGAGCCCGAGTGGAAAGACGCCAGCCGGATGGACTGCGGCGACTCAAAGTCCGAGTTTGACTGTGTGATCCGCCACGGCCAGACCAAGGCCAACCAGAAGTTCCAGCAGCACTGGCAGGACTTCATCCCCGAGTCCGAGTTCGACCTCATGGTCGCCGCGGGCATCAACACGGTCCGCATCCCCATCGGGTACTGGATGTACGATGCCATCATCGAGCCCAACAGCGAGCGCTTCCCCCGCGGCGGCCTGGAGCACCTGAAGCGCATCTGTGGCTATGCCAGCGACCGCGGCTTCTACATCTTTCTCGAGTGAGTCCTCCTTCTTCGCTTGTTTGCAGCACGTTCCCGGGGGGGTTCCAAAGGAATCTCTCGCAGTGACTGTATGCTGACTTTCGTCTTGTGCCAGGCTCCATGGCGCACCTGGCGCCCAGAAAGCCCAAGAGGCCTTCACTGGGCAATACGCCCCGACACCAGGCTTCTACAACGACTACAACTACGGCCGGGCCACCCAGTTCCTCTCGTGGCTGACCGAGGTCGTCCACCGCACAGGCGAGGGCAGCGACGACCGCATGCGCAACGTGGGCGCGATCGGCGTCGTCAACGAGCCCCTCAGCTGGGAGAACCAGGTCGACTCTCTCCGCCGCAAGTTCTACCCGGACGCCTACAACGCCATCCGCGCCAAGGAGTCGCAGCTGGGCATCCCGCGCAACGACGCCCTGCACGTCGGCTTCATGAACACCCTCTGGGGCTCCGGCAACCCCAAGGAGTTCCTTCCCTCGGGAGCCTTCAGCACCATCTTCGAGGACCACCGCTACGTCAAGTTCGACCCTTCGGTCCCCAAGACCCACGACGACTACATCCGCGACGCGTGCACCAACGACCGCAGCTCGCCCGGCGAGGATCCCACCGTCGTCACGGAGTGGAGCATCTCGCCCCCGGACGAGAACACGAGCTACTGGGACCGCAGCGACGCCAACAAGGCCTTCTTCCAGAAGTGGTTCCGCGCCGCCGTCATCGGGTACGAGCGCTTCACGCTCGGCTGGACCTTCTGGACGTGGAAGTACCAGTCCGACGACTGGCGCTGGTCGTACAAGGGTGCCCTGGACGCCGGGGTCATCCCGTGGGATCTCAACACCGTTGCCTCGTCGGGCGCTTGTAACGGCTACATCTGAGCAGTTGGCTGCGTCTGTGGTGGCGGTGGTGGTGGGGAGGCTTTGCTGGCGCTACAAGTGTGACATGCTCTTGTAAACGAATGTAGCATGGTTGTTCAAGAGCTCCAGCTCTGCTCTGCCCGTAGGCTTTGGGCCAGGCATCAGCCGCCATTGCAGATTCGCTCGTCGTTCAGTGTCTGTCCGTTGTTTCTAGTTCAGTTTGTATATACTTCGTACATATGACCGTTCGAAACCCGTTGCTTTCTGTCTGCTTCACCGTAAAACGTCTGTCTGTGCATCCTGGTCTGGCCAGGAGAGCTGCCCAAAAAACGAGCTCTTGTCGCAGTGAATGAATGGCTGGAAAGCCCACAGCTGCCTTGTTAAAAGGCCCGCAACTTTGTACTAATGGATCGAAGCCGCATGAGCTGGTCCTCCGTTCTTGACGACGCAGCCGGTCCCTGCTCCACACACTTTTGTAGTATCATATTTGAATGCTGTCGTTGTTGGGGTTGGGGGGGGGGGAACTACACAAATTCCAGTCGCCTGTGTGAGCTGCATGTCGTCTTCTGCCTCCCCTTACCCAGTGAAGTGCTCCCAAGAAGCCGACATCTGTCATCAATGTCTTATCACGGATGGAAACGAGACACATCATTATGCAGCAATTCTTCTAGACTTGTGGCGGTGAATTGTTCTGGATTTATATGTACGGCCCCTGGCCCGCTAGAAGCTGCTGCAACGGGGGGAGAGAGCCTCGGTGCCCCCAGAGCAAGCAAACAGAGGTTGAAAAGGTCGCCTTCGCTGAACTATATATATATATGTGTGTGTGTGTGTGCTTGTTTGTGCTTGAAATAAAAGAACACCCTCCTCTGTTTTCCAGCACCGCAGATATATGACGCAGCGAAGAGCAATGCTGATGACGCTTTGTTTCGGTGGTTTGACCGTGCAATGAGGTACTTTTGTTGCCTGTCCATGACCCGTGTCGTAACCATGTATCGTGATCATGCCGATGTCCAAAAGTTTGAGCTGTACAGGAGAAGAAGCAGATGTTTTCGAGTAGGTACAAGAAGAAGAAAGAAGAAAAACCCATTAGCAATAAAGCGAAAGACTATAAAGTTGATGTTGTAGACACAGTCACGGCCGTATGGACGGCCGTGCCCAGTACAGACAATCCTCGCTCGAATCAGGACTGTCTTGAGCGGACTTGGAGATCACGTGAATCTACCGAGTCCGCGCATGATTATGCTGAACTGACGTCGGCCATTCCGCTAAGGCTCCACAGCCTGGACAGCTAGCTCGCGAGGTGCGCCTTCTGGGGAAAGATTCTTCAAAGCACCATGGACAGAGGCATCGACGGTGCTGCTCCGGGTGCTAGGAGGTCCGCTACTCTGAGGACTGTTCTCCTCGGTGGTGAGTGATGGTGTCTCTGCTGCAGTACTGGCCTCGCCCTGTGGACCAGGGGTCGACGGCTTCGCTGGCTCGTCGGTAGAAAAAGGCACCTGAGCATTCTCGAGGAGTTTTTCGATCGCAGTAAGAGGGCGGCAGTTACCGCTCTTCTTCAGATTCGCGCACTGGATGCTAACTTCCTTGATAAAAGACTCCCGCTCGGGTCCATCAACGCACTCCAGAAGCCGTTCTGCATTTTCGCTCATTAGCATCCGCCCACTGGAAAGGAGAAAGCTTCTGTAACACTTACGAATTACGTAGTTGCCAAATTGGTCCCGAATCATGGACTGCAACAGGCTCGTGCCGTCAGGACCAATGGCAAGCAGTTGCCTCATGATGGTCTGCCGCTCCTCGGTGGTACCGTGCTCGATGCACTTCTCTACGACATTGGACGCGAACTTGTGCTTGCAGAGCGCCACCAAGTTGTCAATGACGAGGGTGATCATCTTGTTTCGATCCTCGGGGTTACCCTGGGCGATAATGTGTTGGGTGACATAATTGCCAAATTGATCGGTGATCAATACATTCGCATGGGCGTGCAGCTCGTCCATGAGCTCCTTGCGTTCCTCGTCTGTTCCGTACTCCAGCATGCGCTGGACAACGCGGCACCCGTAGTTGTGCGCTGAGAGCTGGTCAACCTGGCCACGGAAAGAGTCCAGGATGAAAGGAATGCACAAGCGGGGAACTAGCTTGATGACCATCTGCACAACATGGTTGCCGTTCTGGTCCTTGATCACCTGCATGATCTTCGGCTTGAGCTCGTCGACGATCTCAGCCTGCTGTTCAACAAGAACATGTTCAAGTGCCTGCCCAGCTCGGTTAGCAAGGTTGACCAATACTCGCAGGGGAGAAAAACAACCGCACTGACCTTCTGAACAACTCTGCAAGCGTACATCTGAGTCGACAGCTCCGGAACCTTGCCCTTCATCTGACTGGCCAAAATCTTCTTCTGTACCTGGTTGCCATGCTCGAAGAATTTCTGGATAACATAGTTGCCGAAAACGTCCTTCATGAGCTGCAGAGCATTGGGCTCAATCTCCTTGAAGACCATTTCCTTTTCGTCACTGTTGGCGGTCTGCAACTTTTCCTGAATGAAGCGAGAACCATGCTGATCGCCACTGAACTCGACAACGTAGCCTTGGATATCCTACAATACAGTCAGCTCTGGGCGAGGAATCAAAAGGGTGTGAAGGGGAACAAACCTTGAGTTCGTAGCGCTTGTTTGGCTTGCCAGCTCCACGGAACTCTTCGAGCAAGAGACTGCGCACGCCTCTGCCCGAGTCCATATCCCGGCTAGGACGAAATGGCGGCGGAACACCGCTCAGATATGGCGCAACGGGTACGTGGTATCCAGACGAAGCCAACTGGGCTCGATAATTCGGGTTGGCCATGTAAGGATCAAAAGGGTTGCCGTATTGCTGGGGATAGTACGGGGAGGGGTAGTAGGCAGATTGCGGAGGATACTGCCCGCCAAGCTGGGGTCGTTCGAAATCCTGAGGGACTCTCGAGTTGGACCTGTTCCAGGAGTCTTGGCGCGACGAGGCCGGCCCGTTGAAATGTCTAGGGCTATTCATGTGAGGCGCAAACGGGCTGCCAGAGGCCGAGCCACGGCCGCTGGAGCCTCGCTGCGATGGGAAATAGGATCCCCCGAAATCACCAAAGGTATCGCGCTGTCCATTTTGCGGATCGTTCTGCCATGGCTGTGAGCCGGGGTTGAACTGAAACGGCTGGCTGACGCCATTAGCTAGACTGGACGTGTTTGAGCTGTCCTCCAGAGTGAGCGCCCGGTTGAACGTCTCCTTGAGCTCTTTCTCGTTTACATCAGACCGAAAACCGCCGCCCATGGAGCGGGCAGCAGGCTGGAGGCCCGAGGGAATAGCGGATCGCGAGTTGTTGGAAGTGAAAGGATATGATCCATTGTCATTGTAGGACGCGGTGGCCAGTTGCACGTCAGCATCTGTCGACCGCGACGCGAGATTGCCCTGCCTTGTCGAACCGAGAGTAGGGAAGGAAGCATCGCCCGAGTTCCGCCGGTAGAATGGTGAGCTGTTTGAAGGGCCATACAACGCGGCGCTGCGTGTGTCATCTGCAGAGGATCCGAAAGCAGAAGAGAGGTCACGAGACCCTCGCATACCAGTGCGATGGCCCAAGCTGTTTCCATTCTGTCCGACAGCAGCGGTTCTTGGGAAGAATGGAGCGTCGTGCTTGTTGTCGCGAGCCACAGATGGCGAGGTGGTTCCCGAGGTGGACTGGCCCTGAGACGGAGGTCCCGGCTGGCTCCAGATCTGAGTCCTGCTTCCCCAGCCCACAGCCTCTGACTGCGGGTTCAACTGCGCACTACCAGAAGGGGCACTTGGGGACGCCTCGTCGGAACCTAGTTGCAAGTCAGTGACGTTGTTCAAAAAAGACGTGGCTCTAGGCATAGTATCTGCAAGCACACCTCTTGAATTGCTGTCCCGGGCAGCAGTGAGCGAGCCTCCAATCACACCGTTGCTATAGCCACTTCCCCAAATACCATTTGATTGCCATCGCGAGGAGCCAATCGGTTGGGACGGCCTGTCGCCGTTGGTATTAGAAGGCATTGCGTGGATGCGAAACGCCGGGTTGTGTATGGCTCAGGCAAGATAATTGTCGAGGAATAGAGCACTTTATGGGAGTCGATCGATATGTACGGTGGTTGTGTGAGGGGACAAAACAGTAATGGATACGGAAGCTGTGAGGGTTGATAGGTCAGCGCTGCTGGAGTCTTGCGACGTGAAGGTCTAGAGGATCAAGTGGAAGCGTTGTAGGTAATGATTGGTGCTTGAAGCGGCCAGTTTGAGAGTTTGGTGGATGGACGGCGGCGAAGTAGAGCACAAGGACTGCTTGTCACTGACCAGTCAAGCAAACGGTCTGTATGCGTACAGACGTCCCAGCAACCGTCAGCCAATATTTGTTGTGTGCAGGCAGGGCCGTGGGCTTGAGCCAAGCACAGTGGGACGATGGATGGCTGGCAGACACTGTTGGGCACTTGATGGAAGGTCCAAAGGCGGCCCTCGAGGAGTTGAGCGCCGTTGCCGAGCAAAATGGACGCGGGAGTTGGGGTCGTAGGGATGCGTGGTGTAGCGTTTGCGAGATCGGTACGGCGTGCTGGGCTACGACTGTGCGGCCAGCGGAGACAAGCTGGGGCGAGCGAGTGTAGCACACGGCGAGCAAGAATGGAAGCAGGCTTGGCGGTTTGTGCGGACGAGTGGCCAGGCTTTTGCGCAGCGGTGGATGCGCAAATAATCAAAAGCGAATGGCGCTACGAGTCCGCCGTTGAGGAGCCCCAGGTGAGGGAGTGGACGGCTGACGTTTAGGTATGTGGTTGGCAGGTCGCAATGTTGGATCACCAAGGTTGAGCAGCAGGAATTTGAGCAGGGACTTCTGGGGTCTAAGGTTTCGGCTTAGGCTGGGTGGTGGCCCCGGGCCAGGAGCAAGCAAAAATGCCAAGGCGTTGAGATAAGGCGGGAGGGGCACCTATCGACGCCTGCCAGCACCCACCAGCAGAGGTTGTGTCAGCGCTTGGAGCCAGAGACTCGCAGGACAAAAAGCAAATATTGAGAGACCGCCGACCACTTTTTTTTTTGCTGTTTCAATTGGCCGGCTGTGCTGAAAACACGCGGTCTTCGTGCGGGCAGACGGCCATGGATCTGCCGCGTGGTGCCAGGAGCTGGGTTGGGGCGGTTGACGCAGGACTCACCACGGTTTCTCGGCTGCTGGATGACAACGGCGTGGATCGGCTGAGCAAGTGCCAGAGGTTCCGCACTCGAATAAATGCGGCAGTTCACACAGTCGTGAAGCCGGATGCCAAAAACCGCCCAGGCGACGAGAGATGGGGCCACAGGGCAGGCTGGTGGACGGTTGTGCGTTAATGTTGACGACGAGCCCGCCGAGCAGCAACGTCACTCTGGCGGCCGGGGTCGGGACTTGGATGCAACAGGGGCCAGATTATTGGTGGTCAGGTTGGCGGTGCGCCAGGTATCAGCCCAGGTCGCAGTGGTGGACCGGCGAGACAGCCGCGCTTGTGTGCGTCTGGGGTGGTGGTTTCGAGGAGTGCTAAGCGTTTAGGCGCTGTTAGCTCCCAGCCGTGGCGGATCTCGAGCGTGCAAAACATCAAAGTATCCAAGAGATGGATGATCCTGGCTCAAGCATTGAAAGAACAAGAGCATGGCTGGCAGAGCGGTGAGAAGGCACCGGCGCACACTTCCTGGGAGGAGGGCTTTGCCCGGCCGCCGCATCTGCCAAGCTGAAGAAGCACGCACGATGCGTGCGGCAGGGCTGATGACCGGCAGGAGGGCTGGTCAAGACAGGGCAGAGCGTGCTGGGCGGCCCAGGTCGGGTGCAGTAGCTGGTTGAGGGCCACCAGCGGGCCCAGATCCGGGGCTTGGCCGTGCGCTGCTCCTCGGCGCCCTCCCTCCCCTGGCACGCAATGCCCATGGCATGGCGGGCGGAGTGAGTGGGGTAATCAACGCCCCAGCAGCTTGGAGCTCGTCTGCCGCTGGGCTGACGATAGTGGCAAAGCAGAAATGGACATTGCAGTGTGACGGCATGCGCAGATGCGAGGGGCTTGGCTTGCAAAGACTTGCGGAGGTGACAACTGATAAGGGTGACTTACCTGTCGAACCTGGTGGCTCGCCGTGCACAGGGAAGCCGCGGAGCGAGCTTGCAAATGAAGCGTAGGGATAAGAGTCGAGGCGCTCAATTATACACACCAATGTCCCATTCAAGAATCTGGGGTGGCCAAGGAGATCCCGGTCAGTCTGTGAGGCGGTCAGCGGTATGTGCCAGGAGCGAGGCACATTCTGGCAGATCGGTCCTTGGTTCCAACTGGGAGCCGTCACTTACCCCCCGAAGGTCAGTAGTAAGCCTCACAGCACGTTTCCCAGCAATTTTCGCAGCAATATGCAGGGTACACCACTCGTCAATTGAGGTGGCTTCTCGCAAGGGCGATTGGCGGCTCGGGTCAGTGAGGAAGACGTTTCTACGACTCAAGGCCCGCGGAGGTTGCGTGCTTGAAGTCAATGACGTGTCGTTGATATTCGATTTGTTGTTGTGAATTGCAAGATGGACCACTATAGCGGCAATCACGCCGTGGTCAGCCTCGTGAGAACCCGGCAATTCATGCATTTGCCCTGCTGTGATAACTTGCCTGGTTCCAAAGCACAGCTGTTGCGATATTTACGCGCTGATAACGATAGATCTCTTCCTGGTTGGCGTGTGTACATGTGCTGCTTATGTGGGTGATATCTCCTCGCACGCAACTCTGTATGGATGTATGTACCAAAATGCTGGGGTCGTCTGGTGTTTGTGTACCTTGTGGGCAAGAACAGGACAGATGATGATTAAAGCTTTCAGGGTAGAGATTAGCAACTTTTTGTATGTGCTGGCAGGTCGTATGTGCAGAGGTCAAGGGCGGTATGTGCTCGGCAGTAGGTCGGTCAGACTGGGATGTCGTTTACCGCAGGATACCACTTGAGAGGTCGCACCAGAAGGGCATGCGTGAAGGGGAGGGACAAGAGAGAGAGAAGGGGTGGACAAACGCGATGATCACTGCTGGAGGGACGGCAGGATGGTTTTGTACGACTGCCTGGCCCAATATGGGGCGGCAGGGTTGGTTGCCATTGCAGCACGCAGCCTTTGTCTCTGATGCTGCTCCCTTCAGTTCGCGAGAGATCCATGAGGCTCCCGGGACGACCTAATCGGGCCAAAGTGGACCGCCCGGGAAGCGTCGCTAGCCTCGACGGGAATTGAGGGGACACCAGCTGGGCCAAGGGATCCTCTGTCAGGGACACAAGGGAGCACTCTGAAGCTAGTGAGCGGCTAGCTGGCGGTTTGATTCAGAATACCTGGGTAGGCAGGCAAGTGGGTAGTCCGGTGGGCGGAAAAACCAAATCCTGCCTGCGGAAAAAGAAGGCAATTCAGTTGCCATGTATGGACTTCGGAGGAGGCCATTTTGCGGCCATGACACTTGAAGAACGTGATGGGGTGCGTCGTGTAGCGGTCTGGTACTGAGATGGGACGTCTCGGTGGCCATGCCCTATGTTTCCACGAAGACAAGAGTTTAGCGCGCTTGGTTGGACTTTCAATGCCCGTTCTGCCTGGTGTCTATATCCTCTTCGAGTCGGTTGAGTAAAGAAGCTCTGGGCTTCTCTTGAAGCCAATGACTTATGACGACTCTACCAAGCAACAACACAACAGGGAAACAACTCAACGGCACAGTGGCGATAGAGATAAGAGTCGGGACTCCCCCCAGTCTTTGTTATGCCTCGTCCTTTGTGGTTTTGTTTTCTATTTAATCCAAGCAATCCTCAGTATTCTCGCGGGATCCTGCAAATGTGAGCAACCAAAGCTGTCGCACAACAACGTTCGACATGTTTCGGGTTGGGCGGGATGGCAGATCGTCTGCTGCTCTTGTCGCGTGACACCACAGACACAGTCAGACCCTGCATTGCTTCGGAAAGCGAACGCCGTCGACGGCCGTAACAGTCGTCCGAGCCTTCTTGTCAAACCAGCAACGAAGCAAGCAGTATCTGGGACGATGCATTATGTGCTTGCTGCTGATGCCGCCTGACCGAGTCTTCTCGTCAATTCTAACCGAGACTCAAAGGGTCCCTGTGGGGTGCGGCTGCCGTCGTATCATTATTTTTGGGCGGCTCTAGCTTCCGCCATGTCTCACCAGCACAAACCAGCAGACCACGGGCGCTGCATATTGGTTATGGAGACCGCGCTCCTGTCAAGGTCAGTTGCTCCTTGCAGCAGCCACGGAATGTACCATCACTTCTTGTGGGTGACTTACGGACGACTTCACTCAGCTAGCCAAGTTTAAAGGTTGACTCTACTTGGAACCAGTACCGACACATGCCATGGGGAATCGACATTCGCGTTGACTGCTGCCACACTCGATCACTCTAAGTTGAATGGTACCAAACTACCAAAGGGCTTTGGAAGGTCATCGGGCAATATCTCACAACATACTGCCATGCTGAAGGATTCTACCTACAGTAAGGCGAGGGAGGTAGGCCAGACGACTTGGCTTACCATTTAGCGATATTTGGGATACAAATGCCGATAAGAAGTGCTCAGATCATCAAACATTAAACGGTTTCATCCTCCGTGGCGCAATTGGCTAGCGCGTCTGACTGTTATCGGTTCTCACCTCAGTTGAGTGAAGCATCGGAGCGATCAGGAGGTTGACAGTTCAAGCCTGTCCGGGGGAGCCATCCTTTTTGGCATTTTCTTTCATTTTTGCCAAATGCCCGGCCGCAGCAGAAACTGCCACTTTCACGCAATTGTTGCTCCTTGCACATATGTTGGCGGCGTACCACCATTCCACAGACGTGGCTCTTTTTTGGTCGAGGTGATTCACACCACTTTTGTGTGCACGCTTCGCTTTCGGCTATCGGTTCGCAGCTCAACCGAGATTCACGCTTACCGAGCTGCATGTCTGCAAGCTATCGTGCCAATCCAACGACGCCAGCGAATTCAACTCTTGACAGCGTCGGCACTTGCCTGCCAAGGTCTGCCTCATCATGCATGCCCTCCACGATCTCGCAGCCTCACTCCGATCATGGGCAGAGCACAAGGTGGGCACACCGAAATAGGCAAGACCGGGGCCGTGTGGCACGGACGGCCGCCGAGTCCAGGCCTCAGAAGACCGGAGTATGCCGGGGCTACCTGAGGCAACTTCAAAGAACCAGGTACGCATTGGTGGCAGGGTTGCCGTTGCTGACCTCACAAGGCCATCGAGTTTGCAGCGAGGTCTCACAAATGCGACAGCAGCGACAATCGCGGCCCCAGCACGCGAAGGCGAGCGTTTTTGGAAAAGCAAGCATGTCCACGAACGTATCGCGCAGACGCGCGCGCCTGTGACCAGTGGCTGCGGAGACAACACCCGTCGTGTGACCAAGTGAGCACACACGGAAACATCCTCATGCAGCGAGTGGCACGCCATGGACGTTGGCGCAGGAGGAGCAGTGGCGTGCGTGAGGAGGCCAGGATGGCTGGCCAGGGGCAGATGAAATGGCCCAACGGCGCATGCGGAGCGGGCCCTTGTTTGCGAGGGTATCGTGGCCAGTAATAGCTAGGGAGTTGGAGAGTCGTCAGTGTCACAACTTGGTATCGCCCGTTTCGAGACTGGCCGCCTGGTTCAATCGAGGCTGCTCGCTGTCTGGCCTTGGCTTCTTGTCGAGCTGTTCTGGCGTCGGCCCTGGTCCAGAGTCTGTGCTGCTGGTGATGAGAAGGGGAGAACAGGCGTTCCGACGATAAAGGACGCGACTCCCCCCACGACTGCAGGCTCGAGAGGGTGTGGCCAGGCGGCGGCGAATCAGAGAGCGGTGCCTGTCTGGGGACCCCTGCGCTAGCGCGGCGCGAGGAGGGTCCTGCCCAGAGCCTAGGACGGCGCTGCGAACCGCCCTGGTCCAATCCGCCAGGGACTGTGCACTGCCCTGTAAGCGCTGACCCGGGCGCAGAGCTGCTGGTCTCCCCTTTTGATCACCTTACTAGGGCCCGCCGCCGCCGTCGCCTCCTCTCTCCTCCTTCCCTTCCTTACGGTCTCTCATCGTCGCCCTCGTTGTCGTCCCGATCGTCGTCGCCCTCGTTCTTGGTCTGCAGAGCTTGTCTCTTGCCATACAGTCATTCTTTATCTGCTTCTCCGTGGTTGTCAGCTTCACTCTCTTAGTTGGCCCCGTTCCAGTCCCTCGTGGCACACGCACGTTCACTCTCTTTTTGACGACATCTCGACACAATAACGACATCCGGCCAGTCTCCTGCCGAAGAGCCAAGGATACCGTATGTCTCACTCCTCCGGCTATTCCCTTTGACTTATCCCTCCAGGACCGCTTTTGCTAACTGCCTGCCTGATGTCTCTTCCGCAGTTTCCGACCCGGTTAATACCCATCCCTTGGGACCCTCTCCGCATCACTTAATCCACCCAAAGTACGGCTCAAAGTTGCCCGGTCTTGTCTCAAAGCCTCCACCACACACCATGTCGACCTTCAGCAGCATGCTCGGCCGCCGCGACCTCAGCTTCGGCGAGTCGGACTCGACCCTCAACCTGATGATCGGCTTCCTTGCCATCGTCTTCTTTTCCCTCTGCCTCGCGTCCAGCCTCATCATGTTGCGCCGCATCAAGCTCCAGCGCCAGATGAATGTCGAGGACGGTCTCCCCAAGTACCAGGACCTCGACCATCAGCAGGGCCGCAACATCAACCGCCTCAATATCCACACCGCGGACGGCCGCTCCAGCATCCTTGTCCTCAACAACGGCCGCCCCATGCTCTCCGACCCCAGCTCCCCCCCTCACTCGCCCAGCAACGTCCCCGAGATCCACATCACCTTCCCCGACGAGCACGACGACCAGGGCCGCCAGCAGAACGGCCGTGTCGTCGTCGTCCGCGTCGGCGAGACCAGCATCGGCCTCGAGCCCTATAAGGAGGAGCAGCTCCCCGCCTACCAGAAGGAGAACGCCGGCGGGTTCTACTCGATCGACATGAACCAGATCGGCGGTCTCAAGGAGAAGGAGCGCACGCAGTTCTCTTAGGAGGCGCTGCCAACCGTCCTTCTTCTCTGTTTAATTCAAGCGCGGCGTCATCTTCCATCACATACGGGGCATTATCGATAATCAATCATATGGACGACAAATTAGAGGGCGTGGGTGATAGGTGTACATGTTCATGATTTTGATGTATCTATCCCTGCAACAGTCATATACCGAAAGGGGTTCGTTCGTTCTTTGGGAGTCGATGGAGGTTGCGGGAGGAGCTCGTAGCCCCAGCTGAAGAATCGCTCACAGTCCCTCAACTGCTTGATCGCAGTGTTCTGTGCTGCCAATCTTGTATATTCTAATTGTATATACTTAATTCAGTCACTTTGGAGCAAGGGTCGTATAAGCTTTTGTCTTCATAGCATGTATTTGCCTTTAGTGTTTTCGAGATCGTCAGCGTATGAATCTCTGCAGAGGAATGAACCGGTGGCTCTCGCTCGGACATTCTCTAATCGAAGACTATTTGGCCGTATCTAAACTATTGCCTGCATACTGCTAGAGCCACTTAAGCCCCTGCACCTCCCGAACCCTCTGTGCCTGTTAACATTCTCGATCGTTCCTTTGGTATCAGAAGTACCAGAGGTATCTGCGGCGACGGTGTAGCTGGGGTTCGTAGACCAAGAATATCGGGATGGCGCTGGTGGTGGGCGCCTTCGGCGCAGATAGCACCCTGTTAAGTTAAGCGATTTTCTGCAGTGGCGTCTCAAACAATAGTTACATTACAAACTGGAAGACTTCATGACCGACAGTCCTTGACTGATCTTGACAGTATCCGTGAGTATGTCTTGGTGGTTGAAGGTTGATGGCGACCCCCATTATTTACGTTCACATACAAGAACCCTGCCGAAGCGCACCAAATGCCAACAAACAACATATCAATCGATGATGCGGTGAAGTAGTATCCTTGTTGGCTCTTGCAGCCTTGTGATCACTGCCTTCGACAGCAGCAGTTACAAGGGAAGCCCTTGAGTGGATCGTTAATTCAAGTCTTTGCACTGCCTGGACTGCGAAGACCCTCTCGACCTTTTTGAACACCACTCTCCTCCCCACCAAACTGTTAGTTTTTTGACTTCCTCCCAGTCTTGCGACTGCAGTAGTAAACTGAATTAGGACCCAAGGTCGCTTTCCTCATTAAGGCGGGCATCTTGACATTGCGAGATCCCGTATCATAATGATGTACCACAGATATGTGGCCATACTCTGCTCGCGCACCTACAACCGACAGCCACCCCCGTGAGAAGCTACATGAACTGACATACAAGCCATAGTCTGTGTTGATCTGCGTGCTTAATTCGGATGCTGCTGTTCTCCTATCACTCGATTGCAACTGACGTAAGCGATTGTGTGATGTTTGACGCCACTTGCAAGTGGTTCATCACGTGCGGATGACGAAACCAGAACACAAAGGAATGAGCGAGAACCACGAATTGAAGCATCAAGGTCGTGAAGAACCATTTCTATGTATGGTCCATCTTCAAATCCCAGTCGCGTCTTTGCATTGAGAAAGTCCTCTAAGTGTGGTGTGCGCCCGAGGAGAGACCTACATAGCCGTTGGGGCGACGAGAGGCTTGCTCGTTTGCCTCTTGCTTGGACGATACAGAATTGGATATCTGGGAATCCTTTGTAAACAGTCCCCGCATTGCTATGGCCGAGTGATTTGTTGCACATCCATTTTCGTTGTCCATAAGCCGGCATCAATTACCCCTTCCACAAGCTCTTGGGTGGTCCTGTATTATGATATGAATTTGGCTGGCTGTGAAGAAGGATCTAACATGCGCAAGGTCAAAGATGAGTCAGTCACGCCCTGAGGCTCTGTATCGCAGCTGAGACCCCTGTCTACGCTACTTACCTTGAGCGTATGTAAGTGGTTGCGTGCAGGCAGAATAAGTGTCTGCCCACCACTCCGCCTGTGTACACTCACGCTTACTCTCCTTCAAACTCATGTGAGATCCATCAAAGTCACAAAAGTTCGACAAGTCCTGCTTGGCTGGCCATCAGTGACAAGATGGAAGACACTACAACCACTGGCGAACACAGACGGCACATCTCGCCGCCTCTCACGATCCAGACGCAAGTTGGATTTTCCATTTTTCACCTGCACATCACGCCTCCTCACCTGCCCACACGAACAGAATCGATTCGGGTGTGCGCCGACACTTGGCCCCGCAGTCTTTACAAGCTTGAGCAGCACTCTGAAGAGACAGATGGTAACAGAGACGTAAGTCTACCTCTCCAATGCAAGTCCACACTCCTCACGATCAACTCACCAACACAACCAAAGCCTGCACAATGGCTCGGGAAGAGAGCAGGTCGCACCGGCTCCTTTCCCTCCAACATCCGGCGCGCTTCTCTTCGCGCTGCTTGGCTCGTCTACCAGCCTCAAATCCGAATTCTTGGAGTTTATCGCGCAACCCAAGACGACCATCGCCAACGGGGGAGTGTCGCCGGTTCCACTAGATGAGTAGACCCGCCGGCCCAGTAGGACGTATTGGGACAGCCACGATCCTGACGTCGATGTCATGTTTGATAGTCAGTTAACCGAGCACAGCTATGCGACCGCCGATCCAATTTATCCAGCCAGAACAACACCGTGTACCAGCCAAACCGACCGGGACTGGCTCCTCGTCGCCAGCCAGCCAGCATGAACAGACAGGCTCGCATGGCTGTCACATCACACCGCAAAACAGCTTCCAGGCGCGACCTAGTTGGTTGCAAAAGACTATTAAACCTGCGGTTGAGGCTGCCCCCACCAGGCATCGAACCAGAGACTCAACAGGGCAAAAAGTGGAACTCACGACCCACTCAAGGGGTGGCGAGAGCCAATCAGATGCTGGCAAGCGGGTTCGAACCGCTGCGGCTTTCGCCAGCAGAGTTTATAGTGTCTAGTCAACTTTTGTTGTCAACTATAGCTTAAGTCTGCCACCTTAACCACTCGGTCATACCAGCTTAAATTGATCTCCTTATGTTAGTGACAGGGATTTTTTATTTGAGGCCATGAGCCCGCAACCATCTCGAGGCCAAGGGTGGCCGGCCTCTTCGCGACACGGAAGTATATATTATTGTTCCTGAAGCCGCAGAAGGACAAGAGGTGCTGTCGTGCTGGATATTGAGGGAGATACAGCGGAGAGAATTCCCTTCCAACATTCCTATTTGCGTCTGGCTGACAAGCTTCACTTACTAGTGTTGTGGCAGTCGCGGGAGACGTCGATTGCAGAGTTTGTGGGCAGCGACGTTGAAAGCCTGCGGTATTGCCAACCTCGCGAGATCCCGGGGCCAGAAAATGCAAGCTTGTCTTCCTCGTACCGGAGCTATATTGAACACCACGTTCATGATTCTGCTCGTTGCTAGTGGAATGGAAGAGTTCGCAATGACGAACGTTTTGGGTTTTCAGGGGGTGGAATGGAGCAAAACCACCGCAACGTTTTTCGAGCCCACTAATGTGAGCCCTATATTTGTGGCCAGTGGTACGCTAATTCCGTTAGATTGTAGCGCAAGATAGACCCCACAGGCTCATTCTTGGACCACCTACCATTGCATCCGTGTCGGTACCGGCATCCACAGCCTTGCGGTCGTTTCTCGTCATGACATTGAACTTCGAGAGAACTTTTGAACCAGCGGCATCTCTGCTTTCGCTAACAACGCTGTGCCTTGTACGTCTGAAACTCTGGGTCGTTGCATCTCTGGACCTCTGGACCTCTGGACCTCTGGACCTCGGAGCCTGTCGTTCGAGTATGGCATATGCGACCTGTAAGATCTCTATTCTTATAGCGCCCTTGGTAATTGACCGGCGAAGCTTCCTCGGCATCAGTGCTGCTTTCGATGCGACCATGCAAATACTCCGCAGCCATGCACTCTCGAAACTCAAAGACTCTCGAATTATGGACCTTGAGCTCCATGTTCGGCCCTGCTCAAGCTCCCGAGTTATCAGTTTCTGGTGGGGAGCGCAGTATCTTTCCGGTCCCTCGGCGCGCCAACAGCCTCTCTGAGCTGGGCAAGCGAGCTGACCTCAGCGGGGCACTGGAGCTCCATGCAAGGTCCCCACCACCAAAGGCCAGCATGACATGGGCCGGCCAGGGGACAAACACCCTGAGGAGCCGTTCGCCAAAGCAGCAAAAACCGACTCTTCTCCCGCGCACTTGCAGACCAGAGTCGGCTTCCAGCTTCGCTTCGCCCGAGAACACGCTCCTTGCCATGACCTGACCACTCGACACTTCTATAGACGCTACATATTTCTTTAATCAACCATTCAATGGCTACCCCGAGCTCGTAGGACAACCACCGACGCGACCACGACAACCGGCCCCTGAGCCCCTACCGACACTATGCCACCGAAAGCCGGGACCCCAGCCAAGGGCTCGAACGCGGAGTACCAGGCCATTGCCGCCCAGTGGGCAAAGGCAAAGAAGGCCAAGGAGGCAGAGGATGCAGCAAAGCAGCAACAGGCCGCGCAGCCGACTGGCGTGGAGGCTGAGCGCGCAGCACTCGAGCGCAAGAGGAAGGCGTCCTTTGAGGGCCGGGCGCTCTGGACGGTCGCGTTCTGGATCTGGATGCTCTGTATCCATGCCATTGGCATCCTGCTCTTCACCAGCGGCTTCCTCCTGACGCGTCTCGTCCTTGAGGAACGATCCGAGTGCGCCCGGCCGCCCAGCCAGCCACTTGGCAGCTGGCCCGGAGCGGGCACAGTCGAGGGCGGATGCTGGCATCCGCGAACCTTCCGCAAAGCCGTCGTCGTCATCATCGACGCCCTCCGCTACGACTTCACCATTCCTGTCGAAGACGCCTCCCAGGCCGAGATCTACCACAATGCTCTGCCCTTCCTCCACGAGACGGCGGTCACGTCGCCCCAGCACGCCGTCCTGCTTCCGTTCATCGCGGATCCGCCGACCTCGACCCTCCAGCGCCTCCGTGGCCTGACGACGGGCACGCTTCCCACCTTTATCGATATCGGCTCCAACTTTGCCGGCACGGCTGTCGAGGAAGACAACCTGTTGATGCAATTCCGAGAACAGGGACAGCGAATGGTTCATCTAGGCGACGATACATGGACTGCCTTGTTCCCAGACTATTTCGAGCCCAATATCAGCCGAGCCTACGACAGTCTGAACGTATGGGATCTCCACACTGTTGACAACGGGGTGATTGACCACATCTTTCCTTTGCTGAAGCCCGAGCAGAGCGGAAAGTGGGACGTCATGTTTGGCCACCTGCTTGGTGTTGACCATGCCGGACACCGCTACGGACCAAACCACGCGGCGATGAGATCCAAGCTCCAACAAATGGATGGTTTCGTGCGTGACCTTGCCAAGGCGATCGATGACGACACCTTGCTGGTGGTCATGGGAGATCATGGCATGGATGGCAAAGGCGATCACGGTGGTGAGAGTGACGATGAGGTCCAGGCTGCGCTGTGGATGTACTCGAAGAAGCCCGTATTCGGCCGGACCTCGGTCGAGCACAGCAAGCCACCGCCGAATGCCAAGGTCAGACCCGTCAACCAGATCGATCTGGTGCCTACTCTGGCTCTGCTTATGGGCATTCCCGTGCCCTACAACAACCTTGGTCGCCCCATCGAGGAGGCGTTCATAGGAGCCCAGGGTAAAGCGTGGGATAGGCTCGCTGCCGCCTCGAGTGTCGTCGCTTCCGGCATCCGGAGATACCAGGCTTCCTATTTTGAGGCCCGAGGCATTGAGCAGACGACGCAGACCGGCTCGCCAGCTGATTTGTTTGCGCAGGCCGAGAAGCTCGTGGCCGAGGGTGGCAAGACACCAAACTGGGATGCTCTTCATCGCGCGTTTACAAACTACCAGACCGAAACTCTATCCATCTGCAAGGACCTCTGGGCACGATTTGACGTTCCCAAGATGCTACTGGGTGTTGTTATCATGGCATTTGGTGTCGGGGTGTTGCTGCTCTACGTGTCCAGGGATGAGGACGAGGACTTTGCAATTCTCGACGACGTCGACCTCGACTCTGCCGAGAAGAGTTTGGAGCTGCAAGGCGCAGGCACAGATGTCGCTTCTGTCTCGTACAAGAGCGTCAACCGACACCTGGTCACGGCGGGAGGGATCAGTGGGGTTCTCGGTTTGTTGCTTGGATTTGCGGGTGTCTCATTCACCGGATCTCAAGACTGGGTCTTGGTTGCCGCTATCGCGGCGCTGTCCAGCATGGTCTCTGTGACAGTCAGGCTCCTTGGTATCGGCAAGAGCCTGCGCAATCTTCTGCCAAACACTTACTGGGGTTGGCTCGCCGTCGGGTTCACTTTGAGTCAGTCGATCGGTTTCGCCGCCAATTCCTACACGATCTGGGAGGACTCTATCTCCCTGTTCTTCCTCGCCACGTTTGGCTTCTCTGCCATGATTGCCGCGCTAAGACTGCCTACCCGGGGCGAGAGGACACTGGCCATCTACCATTCTGTTGTCTTCATAATCTTGTCGCGTGCTGCCTCCTTTTCCAAGCTGTGCAGAGAAGAGCAGATGCCATACTGCACGTCCACGTTCTATGCTTCCGCCAACTCGACCACGTCAGCCACTTGGCAACTCGCCATCCCCTTTGCTGTCATGCTCATCCTCCCGTCTGTGATCAGAGGCTACCTCATGCCCTCGCGTTCCTACGAGGGTCTTGCTCCAGCCTGGATCGGGTACATCTTCAGGGGCGGCTTGTTCCTGTCAGCCGTATACTGGACTCTGGACGCGGCAGAAAATGGAGACTGGTTCCCCTCGCTCGAGGAAGGTGCCCTGCAGAACATCAGGATCTTCATCGCGCAGGTCATCCTCGCGCTGACGCTTGTGGCCGGTTTCGTCGCCTTCGGATGGGCACCCCCAAGCATCTCGATCCGGACACATGCCAGCGGAGGCCGCACCGCGCAGGTGACGGTCCTAGGGTACGGCAATGTGCACGGCTCACGCTACCTCCTCCTGCCGATCAACATTTGCGGTGCGCTTGTACTCCTGACGAAGCCCATGGGCAGTGGCGCCATCGCCATCATGCTGTGGCAGGTCCTCTCGCTGCTCGACATCCTCGACATCCAGGGCATCACGGCGGAAGCCATCGGGCCAGTCGTCCTCGCCCTCCTCGGCAATTTCCACTTCTTCAAGACAGGCCACCAGGCCACGCTCTCGTCGATCCAGTGGGACACGGCGTTCATCCCGCTCACCACGATCCGCTACCCCTGGACCCCCATGGTCGTGGCGCTGAACACGTTTGCGGGGCCCGTCCTCGCCTGCGTGGCTGTTCCCCTGCTCGTCCTGTGGAAGACGGGCCCCAAGCGCAAGGGCGTCATCGAGAGCGCCAGCCGCGTGCTGGGCATCTTCATCGCGTACTACGCCGTCGAGACGCTGGCCACCATGGCCTGGGCGGGCCACCTCCGGCGCCACCTGATGCTGTACCGCGTCTTCAACCCGCGCTTCATGATGGCCGCCGCGGTGCTGCTGGTCGTGGACGTCGTGGGCATCGCGGTCGCGCTGCTGGGCGTGAGGACCAACATCCTTGCCGTCAGCGAGGTCTTTGGGTTCGCGGACTGAAGGTTTCGTTGCGATCCTCAATAATCTCGGGTTTCGGGCGATGAATTGGTCGGTCGGAGAGGTGTGTGTGTTTTGATGAAGCCATCGAAGTGAAGAGCTTGGCCTTTTCGAAAGGAAAAAAGAGAGAGAAAAGGAGATAAAAAAAGAAAGAGCTGTCGTCAGGGATAAAAGTCAAGGTGATCATGGCATTTCCCTTTTGTCTGTCATGTTGCACATTAGTTGCTGTACACATAGTCATTAGTCTCTCTTTGGAGACGAGCCAGCAGGATAGACTTTTGTGGTCCCCTTGGATCAATGCTTGCCACATATAGACACAATGCACACAAAGTATACTCAGGTACAGGAATCAGGAGAGCTTTACATTGACTGGCCCTTCGTTTGTTCTTGTTTTGTACTGTCTAAATCTATCTGATCACGTACATCACTGTTGTTCCCCGCTTCGGTCGCTTGTCCATATGCAACATTTTATTTGCATGGCGCAGATAGAGAATCCTCCTGCGGGCTACCGCGCTACGCGTTGTTCTTCCCCTTCAGTTTTGGCTGCAGCTGCTCCGAACAAGGAAGACTTAAGGCTGATTTGATGATTGATCACACATGTAGGAAATTAGCTAGAAATGCATACGCAAAACACAAAGTTCGTGTCGAGGCTGTGGCGCAGTGAAAAAGTGGCATGGTGTTGTTGCGTGCCGAGAAGTGCGCTGAATCGCCTCTGTGGGGGGGTATATGATGATGTGCTGCTGGCTCCGGATATATGTCGCATGTTTACAGGCTGAGGGAGGAATGGCATGGCGAGCCAATGTACAAGAAAGTTGTGACGCGCAAACCGCCATTTTCGAAACCCGGAAAACCCAAACGCCGATGCTAAACTTGGATAAAAGTCAAAAAATGCGCAACACCACCTACAGCCACCACGAAGTGGCCATGGCGAAGAGGGTGGTGAGCAGGCATAGCGTGGCAGGCCCTTGGCTCAACAAGGCACCGGCATCGTTCTTGTACGACAAGGGCTCAGGCAAGGTCTCGTTGACGTAGCCTGCTCCGCAGTGGCCGTTGCACAGCACCGAGGCATTGGTGTAGGTGGTGGCGATGGCGCTGTAGCGGTCCGCCGTGGCAGCCTGGTATATGCCCATTGTCTGCTTGGTGCAAGAATTGCACGCCGGCTTCTGCGTTGGCGGGTACGATATGTTGAGCGGCATGTAGTAGAGGTAGACGTTGCTGGCGAATGTCGTGTCTGTCACTGCATATGCGAAACAGTAGGCGGAGGTAGCCGCGTCTGTGAGACACGAAGCACTATACAGTGTCTTGTATGCGCGCATGGCCATATAAGCCTGGACGACTAGCGAGTTGCCCTTCTTGTAGTCATCGGCACAGCCATTGTCCGAAACGAGATCGCTCGCGAGCTTCTCAAAGTAAGGTGTGCACGTGTTGACGTCGGCGGCACAGGTCGCGTCGAGGACTCTCGTGATGCCGACAAACGACTTTTGCGCGTTGAAGAACGATTTCGAGCCTTGCAGCAGCAGCGAGAATGGGTAGCACGCCTTGAACGTCGGGTCGGCCAGGAACGCCTCGATGAACGCAGGACACGACCCGGAAAAGTTGGCGGCCAACGCGCCGTCAAAGGGGCTCGGCAAGGGGCTGTTGACAGCCGTGCTCGCTGGCGTTGTCGAGGACTGGCTGCTCGTCTTCGTTGCGGGCTTGGTGCTCGATGGCTTGGGCGTCACGGTCGGCGGTATTATTTCTATCGTCGACGTTACGTCTCCCGTCCGCCTCGCGAGCTCCGGGTACAGCTCGTGATGCTCGTCCTCAGACATGATTTGCCAGTGCCCATCAATGAATACAGGCAAGCCGTGGTCGATGAGGAGCTGTGGTTCAGCAGGCTGCGATGTGCTTTCGTCGTCTGGCATGGAAGCGGCGCCTGAAGGGGAGGCCAATGAGCAGAGTAGGAGGAGGCAGAGAATCATTGCCGAAAAGGTCGGGAGTTTGATTTGGGGCCGCTGGCCTGGGCCCGTTGGAGCTCCATCTCTGACAAGCAGGGGCATGTTGGCTGTTGTTTGTTTCCGCCCGCCCTGCAAGGATGCAGCACGCTTCCGCAGCGGCTAGCTGGTGTCTACCTGCACGATCGGCAGTGGTCAAAGGTATCTTGTTTCACTCTGATCGGACCATCCAAGATCGTGCGGTTCCTGCTACAGCACACGTCTGTGACCGTCGCGATGCTGCACGGCCGTCCACGCTCACAGGGCAGTGGAAGCTGTGCTTGTGCTCGTTCCTAGGTAGCGATGGAAGTAAGAGGTGGGCCGCAATCTCAGGACCCGGTTATTCCGACAATGCTTCGTCGCTGCACGATCGCACAGCAACAGCGAACCTCTTGTACGCTCTGGTGTTATAACTTCCAACCCCAAAACACACAGTATATTCCGGCGACTGTCTCTGTTGAACAGCGAATGAGACTGGCGGTTTGATCCAGTGAATCTTCGAATTTGAAAGTCGGCCGCGACTTGCCAACCGCGGTGGGAACCGGGAACGGGGATCTGCTGAGAGAGGGATCGTCGCTGAGATGGCGGGATCTGGCTGGCGGATCTGCGTGGGGGCTGCAGCGTGGTTCCCGAGACTGCACGACGGAGCCGGCTGGGCGATATGTAGGTGCGTGCCCTGTAAAGATCGTGACCTCTCGCGAAGGAGAAGCGGCGCTGGAGAGGGCAGTGTTTGGCGGCCGTGGTTGCAACGAGTGACTTTGGTGAGGAAGCAGTGCCCAGGCGTGGTTTTGAGGGAGAGCTGCCCTCTGTCAAGAGTGCCAGGCAGTTCTTTAAGGGGAGAGCGAGACCCGAGGGCAGTGCGCGTCCGCGTCCGCAGCAGCAAGCCAGCAAGCAAGCAAGGCCGGGCTCGTCCTGGCAAAGCCCCTGGGTGGGCCATGGCGGCGCCATGGATGCTGCTGGGCTTGCCAGAAGCGTGCGTGGTGGAGGAGGGGGAGGAGGATTGGATGGCAAGGCCAACGGCGACAGGCCCCTGGGCTAGCGTGCGTGGCCGGGCCCTGGCGCCACGCACGCAGCCAACAGGTGTGGTGAGTCGAGGCTCTTGCAGGCGCCTGTGTGAATGGCATCGCATGTCCAGAGTACAGAGTACATTACATGGCTGGCCGTTGCTGGGCGTTTGTTTGTCTCTGAAGAAAGACGTTTCGTGGCCAGAGAGAGTCTAGCCTCGAGTCTGGACTGCTGCTGGCACCTGCACTCCAGAGACACAGATGCAGGCACGTGAGACAGTCCTTGACAAAGACATGGAGCCACGCCACGCCTCACCCGCCAGCACGAAATTCTCCTTTGCAAGTCGTCGCCCGCAGCAGCTCGCAACAAGTTCCTCGACGAGCGTCGCCATGCCTTCGATGCTGCAGGGGCCAGGCCAGGCCAAGCCCCCCTTGCCGGGCCTGGATGGGCCGCTGGCGTCTATTGCCTGTGTTGTCAGGGCAGGGGTGAGTGCCCGTCCGTCGCAATCATGTACGCGTCTTGGAATCTTGCTCGTCTCTGACCGCCAGCCTAGAGATGCAATGGCGCCCAGTTGCTGCAGGTCAGCACGCCTCATCCGATTTACCATTCCTGGCCACAGATGCGCAAGTACACTAATGATAACTCCGTACGTTAGGGCAGTTCTGTAGGCCCTGAACATGTGGGGCCCCCTGCCCGCTACAACGCCACAATGCTGCCTCGGTCGGCTTCGCAATTTCAGCACGTCCGTCCTTGACGGGGCCCCCAAAGAGGACCGATCGGATCACCGGCGCACTTCTTCAACCTTGGCAGGCTTGCTCCATACGCGGACGTTGCAATGCTGCAGCCGGCCTTTTGCAGGACACGTACGATGCAGGCGGCATGGTTGCAACGCTGCAACCACCACCACCACCACAATAAAAGAATGCACCAGCTCATTCAAAAGACCCCGTATTGCATCTGACGGGTGGCGCCAATCAAGATCGTCAGCAGGCTCGTCGTGGACCGCCGACAAGATTGACGCAGGCCCAAGGACCAGTCACTGGTCAAAGACTGCACTCCCGTCGGCCCAGTGTTGAACTTGTCTTGCGCTCCTCTTCTTGAGCACTCTCCAGGTCTGTTCTCGAGCTCTGGTCAACATTGGCTCGCAATTGGCTCAACCCCACCAGCAAGCAAAGCCCACTCCGCCCGACAGGGATGCGATTTCCACTTTCTGCACCTCTAGCTACGCGCTTATGCAGGAACCAAATGCCAATAACCTGGCCAAGCACCACTTTGCTAAATTATTCCGCCGCGTAGAACGAGCATGCAAAGTGGTGTAATACGCCACTCTGCCAGATGCGAGGACCAGACAACAGTCAGGCTCTTCTCAAAAGAGATTCTTGGACCGACCCCGCCCAACACAGCCTTGCAAGACATATGAACACTTTTGGCTGGGCGGGCAAAGCACAAGCATCGCAAAATGCCCGCAACGACTCGGCCGAACCCCGTTCGAGCCGGGCGCACCCTTGAAGGCAAAAAATCAACCAAAACTTGATTCGACATGCCATGCACGGTAAGGAAACACCAACACGCAGAGCTGGGCAGACAACTCCCATGTGCTCGCCCCTGTCTCGCCCTGCCTGGTCTTTTGTACATACAGCCACGATCTCGAGCTGGCTGCCACGGGGGAGGGGAGAGTAGATGGGGGGACCCCACGGGAAAGGGTGCGCATTCCCCACTCTGCCTGCCTGATGGGATCATTCAAACTGGCCGCCACCGAAGCACAGAGGAAAGAGAAAAGCGCAATCTAATTCGCGTAATCAACTCACCAACTAGACAGATATTACTCAATCATCTCTCCCTCTCTAGCAAGATTTCCTGAATCCTGAATGGCAGCCAGGCCGGCCAAATTTGCAAACAAGCGTACCAACTTGAAATGGACGCCCCTCAGACGCCCCCTCAACCATGGAAGCGGAAACACTGCATCTTTGAGACCCGGCCACAGGCACCAGCGATGCGCGCTTCTGGACAAACCAAAAACGGAAGGGATACTGTACAAGGCGTTCAGAACGCCAAAACTCCCCAGAGACGCATAGCTAGCTTGGCGGCTTTTCAGGCCCCCCCCCTCTGCCTCTCTCTGTATCCTCGTAATACTCGACCCTGATGGGCGACTTCGTGAACAGCCACCCCTTCTTTTCGCGCGCCCCGGATCAAACAGTTTGTCACGCATTCGACCAAGTTCTTGTCCAGAATGCTCGACAGAGCTCGATAATGAGATTAATTACATAGATATATGTGTGTGTGCCTGTCCTGGTATAATGAAAACTCCCGAAAGGTATCAAGGATGTATCATGCGATGTATATGTGACGAGAAAAAACAAAAACAAAGAAAGAACCCAAAAGGGATGCTGGTCTGGGCGGTGAAATACCATGCCTCATCTATATAGGACGCCCCCCCCCCTACAGTGTGTAAAACAGAAAATCAGACGGAAACAAAAAAACAAAATCAGGCATGCTTCTCCAGGCTCTGCAGGTTCACGAGCTCCGCGTACCGGCCGTTCCGCCGCATGAGCTCCGAGTGCGTGCCCTCCTCGACCACGCGGCCCTGGTCAAACACGTAGATGACGTCGGCGCGCTGGATCGTGGACAGCCGGTGAGCCACGGCGATGGTGGTCCGGCCCTTGGCGGCCTGGTCGAGCGCCGCCTGCACGACGTGCTCCGACTCCGAGTCGAGCGCGCTCGTGGCCTCGTCGAGGAGCAGGATCTTGGGGTTGCGCACGAGCGCGCGGGCAATGGCGATGCGCTGCTTCTGGCCGCCCGACAGCAGGGCGCCCTTGGTGCCGACGATTGTGTTGAACCCTTCGGGGAGCGACATGATGAAGTCGTAGATGTTGGCCTCCTTGCAGGCGTCCGAGATTGCCTCGTCGGACACGTCCTCGCGCGAGCCGCCGAGCAGGATGTTCTCCTTGATCGAGCCCTGGTACAGTGTGGGCTCCTGGGAGACGAGGGCAATGTGCGACCGGTAGTCGTTGACGTTGAGGCTGCTAATTTCCTTGCCGTCAACGTACACGCCGCCGACGAGAGGGTCGTAGAAGCGCTCGAGCAGAGCAATTGTTGTGCTCTTGCCGCAGCCAGACGCGCCGACGAGCGCCACGTACTGGCCGGGTCGCACGGTCAGATCCAAGCCGCGCAGGACGGGCTGTTCGGGCCGAGTAGGATATCTGAAGTGGACGTCGCGGAACTCGATGGTGCCCTCGACGTGCTCGAGCCGCTCGCCATCCGTGGTCCATGTGTCGACGACGGGCTTGCGATCAAACAGCGTCTTGAGCTCGCCCGCCGCGTGATGGGCCTTACCCATGTCGGGAGCGAATGAGAAGATTGTGCCAGCCGACTGGGCGCCAAAGATGACGGCCATGAAGCAGACAAAGAACTGGAACATGTTGTACTCGCCCTTGGCAATCAAGCTGCCGCCGTACCAGAAGCCCAGAGCGAGGGCAAAGAAGATGAAAGACTGCGCGGCAGCATACAAGGTCGACGACTTGGCGACGGAGATGAGGCTGACCTTCTCCTGAGCCTCGATGGAGTTCCTGTACTGCGCCATGACATCGGCCTCGCGGGTGAGAGACGCGACAGTGCGGATGGCGGAGATGGCCTCGGAGGCGTAGCCGGCACTCCTTTCGTAGGCCTTCTTCGAGCGGCGCTGGAAGTGCGCAAGCATCCAGAAGCGGAAGAAGCCGCAGGCGAGCAGGACGGGAATAGTCGAAATACAGACGAGGGCGAGCTTCCAGCCAATGGCAATAGAAAGGACACATGCGGAGATAAGAGTGCTTAGCACCATGAGGATCGTACCCAGAGTGACACCGCTGAGACCGGCGACATGCGTGGTCTCAGTCGACAGGAAAGAGGTGAGGGCACCAGCGGTGTTCTCGTCCTTGTCGAAGAACGCAACATCCTGACGGAGCATGGAGCGGAACGCCCGGTCGCGGACGCGGTGGATGAGTTTCTCTGAGCACTTGGCGAATACTAGACCTTGCAGACCCTGGGCGATGAAGACCACGAATGCCAACATGACATACATGGCACTCCAGAAGTCACTCTCGTGCTTCATCTGGGCGCCCATTTCGGGAGTCAGGATTGGCATACCGAGGGCCTAGAGAAGGCTTTAGCATGATACGACAGCATCACATGAGAGGGATTTTTACAAACATACCGTGATCTGCTTGGCGAAGAAGACGGCTCCAACAGGGTTGGCACCACCGCAAATGATCGACAGGATCAGGCCGATGACCATCAGGTGCCATTCAGACTTATTGAAAGATGCAATGAGCTTGATCAGTGTCCACAGAGAGTACTTCTTCTCCTCCTCAGCCTTGCGGCCACTGAGCACTCTGCTCGACACAGACGCGTGGCTGGCGGAGCGGTCGAGCTTGGCACGGATGTCGTCATTGGGGTCCGCCATCATTGCAGCAGCGTCGTCGGCCTTCGAAGCCTTGCGGATGAGTTCCTCGTCCTTGTCGTCAATGGCCTTTTGTTCGTCCTCGGTCAGCTCAGCGACAGCAGCAAGCTGCTGAGCCTCGACTAGCTTGAAGTAAGCACCTCTGCGTTCGAGGAGCTCGTCATGGGTGCCCTGCTCCACAATCGAGCCGGCGGCCATGACGACAATATTATGAGCATCGCGGATGGTGGACAGGCGATGGGCAATGGTGATTGTAGTTCTGCCTTCGGCTGCATTCTCGAGAGCGGCCTGCACGACACCTTCGGACTTGGTATCGAGGGCACTCGTGGCCTCATCCAGGAGAAGAATTTTGGGGTCCGAGACGATGGCACGAGCAATGGAGACGCGCTGCTTTTGGCCGCCGCTGAGCAGGAAGCCGCGCTCGCCGACGTTGGTCTCGTATCCCTCGGGAAGTGCCGAGATGAAGTCGTGGGCATTGGCCATCTTGGCTGCCTCAATGATAAGCTCGCGCTGTGTCTCCTCGCTGGCGTGCTCGTGCTGTGTTCCAATCAGGCCGTGACGGATGTTGTTGAAGATGGTCGTGCCGAAAAGCGTGGGCTCCTGGCTGACCAGAGCAATCTGTTGACGCAGCCAGCGCAGGTTCAGGGTGCTGACATCGTGATCGTCGAGGTAGACCTTGCCACCAACGGGGTCGTAGAATCTCTCGACCAGTCCAACAATGGTACTCTTGCCGGATCCCGAAGCTCCGACAAGGGCGGTAGTCTTGCCTGCGGGGATGTTGAGGCTCACATCCTGCATGACGACAACCTCGGGGCGGGACGGGTAGATGTGCTTCACGTTCTCCAGTCTGATCGTGCCCACAATCTTTTCAAGCTTCAGGCCAGCCTCGGAGGTTGGGTCCAGGGGAGAAGGGCGGTCAATGGTGGTATAGATTTTGATCGCGGCAGCGACGGCGGTGCCGAAAGCCTGGATGTTGGGAGCGACGTTGCCGAGACTGAAGGCACCAATCATGACCGCCATGAGGATAGTGAGGATCTTCTGCAGCGAGGTAGTACCCTCGACAAGGTACTGACTGCCAACCCAGAACGACAGCGCATAGTTGAGATATAGGACCAGGAACATGCCAGAAACCATGAAGCCGATGCTGGTCTTGACGCGGAAGCCAAAGTGCTCCGCGCGGGTGAGGTGGGTGTCGTACTGCTTGGCCAGGCGGTCCTGGGTGCCAAAGGCAATTGCGTTGCGGATCGAGCTGAGAACCTCCTCGGCGACGGTGCCGCCCTTGGCGTAGGCCTCGATCGAACCCTTGTTGAACTTGATGATGAATCGAGAACCGATACCCATGTCGAGGAGAAGCGCCACGACCACGGAGAGCAGAATCAGGGTCAGCTTCCAGTAGACCACGAAGCCAATCACAAAGGCGGAAATGAAGGTGGAAACCGCGGTGAGCGTAAGGGCAACCTTTTCTGAGATGCCCTCCTGGATCAGGTTGGTGTCTGCGGTGATCCTAGTCGTGACCTCTCCGGCACCGAGCTTGTCAAAGAACCCAATGTTCTGGCGCATGCAGCTGTCGAGATAGTGCGAGCGGATCTTGCCACTGATATGCTCACCAGTGTAGATGAAGCCGACGGTTGAGACGTAGATGGTGATGAATTCTCCGACGGCCAGGTAGACGAAATACAGGACCATCTGTGTCATGGTGCCCATGAAGTCGTCATAGGTAGACTTGCCGGAGAAGTAGTCCTGGAAGATGCCCTGGAGGTTGCCAAAGATGACAGTCATGAGCGGCATGGCGGCACCGCCGACGATGGCGCAGAGGGCGCTGACAAGGATGATGAGGATGTCGTTGCGGGTCGCATAGCGGTAGAGCGCGCCGAGTCCGGCTTTTGTCTCCTCGATGGAGATCTGCCGCCTCAGGACGTCGGCCTCGTGAGAAGGCAGGTGGTGGAACGGGTCGACAGTGGCTGTCGACGGTGGCGAGACGACTTTTGTGTCGGCCTTTTCGAGGGCGGGGTCGGCATTTTTGTTGGCCTTGTTGGAGTCGGTCGACTCGCCACGGCTCGAGGCCTGCCGGGACAGCTCATGCTCGCGCGTCTTTTCAGAAGTGATCTCCTTGGACGCCGAAGACATGACGGGTGTGGGTTATGCGGAGGACCGCGTTTGTTGTCGGGTTGCACGCTCGGCGGGCGTGGGTCGCCCTGGGGTTAATAGTCGAGCCAAGCCTGGCTTCAAAGGTTGTCACGACAGCAAGCGAGGAAAGTGGTGTGGCCTGCGATATGGCGCTGTGGCTGCTGCGTGACGACACCAGGGCTTTGGACAGGGCAGAGTCTGGAGGATAATTAGAGCCAAGCCAAGACGGAGAAGGAAGGGGGAAAGAATGGAAATAAAACAGCCGAGCTGAGAGCTGTTGAAGCAGGAGAGGGACACCCCGGCCCACGCAAACACGGCACTATGGAGGAGCCTGCCCAGAGTAGGAAGTCCGGAGTCCAGTCGAGTACGGTGTTCGAGAAGGCCATCGGCCGGCCCAGCAGAGACGCTCGGGAAGGGCTAGTGGCCGAGCCTTGGGCGGGGGATGCCTGCTCCGTAGGGTCGAGTGGGCCGGGTAGGAAATCCGGTGGCTTGTGACTAAACAATCAAGAGCCGCCCACGACTGAATGAATCATACCATGCATGCGGTCATTGCAGCATCTCCGCCGCTGTGCGACTCCTTCGCCGTGGCCCCTAATGCAGTCATAATGCAGCACGCATGCGAATCCCGTCGGCCGTGCTGACCTGGCCCGGTTCGGGCGGCCCCTGTCGGCCACCAGGGAGAAAGGAGCATTGAGCCGCATCTGGGACTCGGGCAGAGCCACAGAGGGAGTGTGATGTTGCGCTGCGTGCAAAGTGCGGCCGAGTGCGAGCCCGATGTGCAGAGATCGGCCGGCCACCACCAACCGAGACGGACGGCCTACGGAGAGACGCCACTGCTTGCCTGGCTTTTCCAGGTTCCTCGTGGCTGCAACCTCGTCCAAGCGCGACCCACGCAGCCTCGGATTCGCATCCCCCAGATTGGGCAGGCCAGTCATCATACGGACTCACGGTTTGCGGACATCGGCACCAGCCCCAATCCCGCGCCGTCCCAGTCACACCGGACAACTCGCTCCCCAGGCAGTCCAGGCTCGTGTCTGCATATCAGATCAGGCAGGCGAGTTGGCTGGCGCACCACAGAACCCTGCCTGTTGGCATGCTCTCTCTAAAGGGGGCCATCCAGTCTGGGCCGTCCGCCCGTCCTAACCCTCTCGGGGCGGATTTAGGCATCGGGTTTTAAAGTGCTGATTGGCAGCCACAATTACCCAAGCGACTCTTCTGGCAGAGGGATGGAGTCGCCCGTTCCATACGAGCACCATGGGCTTGCGACTGGTTGGTGGTGCCTGTCGGCATTATGAGCTCAGGCTTGTTTGCTTCCGCCATGGCAGCACCCGTCAATCTTATCTCGTGCGAAACAGAACTAATTCGCTCCTGGGACTGATGAGAGCCAGGGCCCGTCTCCGGCGCACTGCTGGACATAGTCAAGGTCGCAGGCACCTGTGCCTACTACCATGGAAGACCCCAGGCGTTCTCGGGAGCTCGCATGGGATACGGACCCGAGGGCCCGTAAGCAGGCAAATCCCACGAGAGCTTAGCATTCTTGGCCCTGTGCGAAATCAGGACCATCCCAAGCCTCCGGCCCGGCTCAAGCCGGCCGCTCCACTGGCTGCGGGCATTGGTCAGAATTTCGTATCCGTGTCGTCAATGATCTGACATTTTGGCATGGCGGGAAAATATAAACGCCATGGCAAGGCGACTGCTGCTCTGGCGCTGTCTTTGGCTGTCACTGAGCGCGCATTCTCTGAATCACCCCCCTCTCTATATATCCGCGGTTATTTAGACGACACTGGGATCAAAGTAGTCCTCTCGGGTGTTTTACCTCAAGGTATCCCATGCGAGACAATCGATGCGCCACATCCCCCGGAGTGGGCCACGCGCTAGCCGGGAAACAGCAACCTGTGCGAAATAAGGGGGCCCGAATTTTCAGGTCCAGTAGGCGGGATGAAATTGGCTGGAGCTGACAGGGCCTGAGCGACAGAATGTGGATAGTCGATTCGACTGCCCATGCGGAGCTTTCGTTAAACAGAAGACAACAAGTCGACGATGCGTCTTCTTGAGCTCCATCCAGCGGCGGTCAGCCTATTGGTAGGAGGAGCCCCGCGACTCCTGCCTGCGACGAGACTTCCCTTGTGGACCGTGAGCACGACTTGGACTTTGCGATGCCTCCAAGATATTGCGCGGCATATCGCCTCGTGCCCCAGGAAGCCTCGAGACCTCTACAACATCAAGCCTGCGTATGCATCAGACCTGAGCAGCAGCTTGACTACCTCTTCTCTCAGATAGGCGCACAAGAACCGGCTCGAGAGTTGAATGTGCAGCACTCTGCGATTGTGGATCGATGTTGTGATGGACGAGTCAGGGAATTGCCGTTCAACGAATATCCCAAGTTTGTGTTCTGATTCTCTGCCACGTGGATTTCTGTTGGATCGGGTACTCTCGAGATAGTTCCAGGGTTGTGGATGCGTCTGAAAATGGCGAGGCGGGAAGCTGGGCGGCTGATGATGGCACGACAAGCAACACTGTTGATCTCTGGCCCCGCACTGCAGATGCCTGGAGCCAGGCATCAACGCAGCCCGCTCTCCAACAATCACAATCCTGTTGAAATCTTGGGAATTGTCAACGTGTCCATTGCGGCTGTAGCTTGCACCAGGCCTCGTCAACCCCCATCCGACACAACCACGAAGTAAAGCCAGCCCATCCAAACCGACTATTGCTGTCGAATCGCTCCGGCAGCGATTTGCGAGTGGCTCTACGGGCACCGACAACGGCACTTCCAGGGTCTTGCCCCAGACTAAAACGTCATCGCTCCCCTCCACCTTAATCGCAAGGACTCTCTCCCGATACATCACCGTCGACGCTCCTTGCTGCCACAACCATCAGGCTTCTTCTTGCCCCACGACACATCTCGAACCCTTCCACAAGCCTTTCCCCGGCTCAAACCGATCGTGTCCTTCAACAAACGCATCGAGAAGAGGGGAACCACAATGAAACCCAACCGCGACGCAATCCTCCTCAGCGATGTGCAGGTCCTCACCCTGCGCGGCAACGGCGCCCTCACCACGCACCGCCGCGTCCCCGCCGCGCCGCAGCTCAAGTGCGTCTCGGCCAGCGCCATCTGCGCGCTGCACGAGATCGACACGATGCGCTGCACCAACCAGGGCGCCGGCTACGACAGCGAGGACATCCAGTGGTCCTGCACCGCCTCCCTGCCCGCCGAGCTCAAGCTCGGCTCCACCGACGTCATCTGCGAGGGCTATTCCCGCGCCGACGACCCTTACGTGCTCAAGGGCAGCTGCGGCGTAGAGTACCGCCTCGCGCTCACCAAGCATGGGGAGGAGCGGTATCCGGATCTTGGCGGCGGCGGCTTCCTAGGTAAGGACGGCAGCGACCCGAGTGCGTGGTTGTTTGGCATCTTGTTCGTCGCCGTGGCACTGTGGATCATATACTCGGCTTGCACCGCACCACGGCCCAATGGCGGCCATCGCGTTGCCGGTGGCCGTCGTCCTCCGCGTGGAGGAGGAGGCGGCGGCGGAGGCGGTTGGGGTCCTGGCGGTGGTGGTGGTGGTGGCGGAGACGGTGATGCCTGGGACGACCCTCCCCCGCCGTATCCAGGGAGCAACAACAGCAAGACCAGCCGCACCGGGCAGCAGCAGGGCGGTGCCGGTGGCTGGCGGCCCGGGTTCTGGAGCGGCCTGCTCGGTGGTGCGGCGGCAGGCTACGCAGCGGGCAACCGGGGCAACAGGAACAATAACAACACTGGTGGCTGGGGAGGGTATAATCGCGACTACGGCACAAACTACGGCGGCGGCTGGGGAGGCTCGTCGACGTCCTCTTCGCGCTCAAACTCCGGATCTTCGTCACAAGCGTCAGGGCCGAGACATGAGAGTACTGGGTTCGGTGGGACGAGTCGTCGGTAGGATTGTCCTACAAATCGGACGTTTGAGTTTTCAAGGGTCGAAGTCGGCTTGGAAGTGCGGTTGGTGGTATATTATTCCAGTATTCTTTACCTTTACTTTGGTTGAGCCCCTTAACAACTGTGAACCTGCAGCAACCAAATAGCCTTGAAATGCAAGCACATACGACAAATTTGAACTCCCCAGACAATTCGTGTCTGTACAATCGGAGCATTATCACATCAGTCACTGTGTATATGACGACAAGAAACTGGTTTCCAAAGGTATCGCCTGTGCCAAGCGAAATTGCCGGGGCAGATCCATCGGGACCTGCCTCGCTGCGATATATTCAACTGCGACTGCGCTTCCGCCCTCGCTGTTTGTGCGGTGCGCGTTGCCGACTAGATCAGGAGCTCGTCCTGAGACAAGAACTCGGGCTCGCCGGCCCATTGATGCAAGCTATTATGTACACGATGAGACTCTTCTTACACAACACGGGGAGAGAGGCAGCTGTCGCGTGCCCCGTTGGTAGTACAAGTAATGTGTCCCGCTTCCGAATAGAACACCATCCCACTTTGTTTGGCCTGCTCATTCGCGTCTATAAATGTACGCTCATGGCGTCGCTCTTGTCGAAGGCCCTGCTGCAGGCTGGGCACTTGCGCATACGGTTACTGATCCGATCGTCAACGCAAGGCTTGCAGAATATGTGGCCGCAGGTGCGGAGCACGGTGTCCTTGAACCTATTGCGGCAAATCGAACAGGTGGCCAAGTTCTGCGATCATGTGTTAGTTCAAAACGACATATACAGGAGGGAGTCTGAAGTATGCTTACCCGAAGCATTTCTTCCTCCTCTGAAGAATTGCTCAGACTCTTGGCTTTCCACTTGTCTCGTTCTTTGCCTGCTGTCTCGAGGCGCACCTTGAGCTTCTCTACCTCGGCCTCTAGGTTCACCGTTCGCTCCCGCGCCATTGCCGTGGTTGAGTCCTTGGACCTGGCAAGACTGCTGAGCTCGCTGAGCTGCTGCCTGACCGCTTCGTACCGCCGTAAAGCGTCTGTACTGGAGATTTCTCTCTTCTTGTTCTCAGCCATGATGCTTGCATTGGTCTGCTTGAGGTCCGCCAATTGTTTGTCTAGGTTGGTGACCAGTGTCCGGTTCTGGATTTCAACTTCCTTCAGCTGGGTGATGATTTCAGAACTCTTGCCGTTTTGTATCCGGAGCTTCTTGATCAGTTCCTCCTTCTGGTCAGCGTCCTTGCGAGCGCCAAAGTACTTCTGATCGGCCTTGCTCTTTTCTGCAATAGCTACGGCCACTCGCTCCTCTTGCGCAGCAATGTCTGCTACCTTCTTGTGTGCCGCAGCTTGGAATTTCTTGACTGCCGCAGTCAGGGATGGCAGCTCGGTCTCTATCGATTCGTAGTCCTTGGCCAGCTTGTGGTATTTCACGCGAAGCTCGTCCAGGGATAGTGCATCGATATCCGACTGCCCAGTCATGTCGACATCCTCGCTGGACTGGAGACGGCTGACCTCGGCCTCGAGGGCTTTGATCCGTTCTTCCTTGGCGTTGACTAGACCCTCCATGTGTGCTGTGGCGGTCTTTTCTTGCGCCTTGACGGCTTTGAGTTGCGACAATTCGGCCATGGCCTCATCCCGAGCTGCGCGCACCCGCGCCAGAGTGGTATCCTCTTGCTGAAGTTGCTCCTCGAGCTCCGCAATCAAACGTTGGGCCTCGCTCTCGACTTGTTTCCGCCCAAGCTCGCGTTCCTTATTTAGGGTATCGTTCTTTGCTACCAGCACCTTGTTGCTCGACTCCAAGTGGTTTACTTGCTTGACGAGTTCTTCGTGTTGCACCTTGAACAGCTTGTAGACATCCGTACGAGAATAGTCTTCGTCTGTCAGGTTCGTCAGTCGCGCCTGCGCCGCCGTGAGCTCCTCTTGAAGTGTCTTGTTCCGCGCTAAGGCGGTCTCTAGCTGCTCCTTTTGTTTCGCCGAAACCGCTGTGGCCTCTTGGAGAGCTGATTGCAGGGCTGCGTGGTCACCAGTCTCCTCCTTGACCTCTGACCCATTTTCTTGTTCTGAAGGCGGCGGCTTTCCAGTGGCTTGAGCGATAGCACGGGCCTCGAGCCTCTGCACCTCCTTGCTTTTCGATCGATCCAGCTTGCGTTCTGCCTTCATATATCTTAACGTGGCCGTGTTGAGTTGGTCCGAAAGAGACTCTTTATCAGCATTCAGGCTGTCAAGCTTGACCAGAAAGCCCTTCTGCTTGGCCAGTAGCTGATTCACTTGCTTCTCCAGTGATGTGATGTTGGTCGTGGCTGAACCTTTGGATGTCGCAAGTCGTGACAGAAGCTTCTCGACCTTCTCTTTGATCTCTGAACCGCGGGCCTCAAGATGTGTTTGGAATTCATCTACTTCTCGAAACTGCGTGCTGGTGGAGAATTCTGCTTCTACAAAACTTGTCAGCTTCCTGCAGCGCAGACCGAGTACTTGGTGGAATGACAAACCTGCGTCGTCAGGTTCCGGTATCGCGCCTTTCGCCATCACACTAATCTCGTCGATAAGCTGGGCAGATGTTAGCTACGAGTGAAGCACATGGCAAGATCCTCTGAGCTTACCTGCAGCCACCATGCGTCGACTATCCGTAGGTGGTCGTCATGATGGGCGGCCTTCTTGGTCAGCTCGGCGAGCCTAGTTTCCAAAGTTGCTTTGTCGCGTTTGTACTCGAGCATTTGCCGGTATATCGCATCCTTTTGATAGTCCTGAACATGAATAGCACCATCAGCCGATCTGCACATGCTATTCAAAGTCGCTAATGTGTTCATGCACCCTGTCCAGTAATGATGCGCGCACATTGAACCAGGCGAGGGAGAGTCGGGATTTGGTGCGACAGGTTCGTGGCTCCAAGGCTCAACGCGCGACAGAGCCGGCGAGGAGCTGCTGGGTCCATGAGGTCGAAAAATGTCCAATCGACTTGGAATGAGGCAGCGCAGGCGCAGCGCACAGTAAGGGCCTCGGGGTCCAGGGGAATGCAGAAGAAAGTCTGGGTGGGTGACCTACCTCGACCCATGTTTCGTCCTTATTGTCTTCGTCCTTGACTTTACTACCGTTGACCTGTTGGCGCTTACTCGGCGGCGCGACGTCGTCCGCAGCACCAAGCGGCCGCTTCCTTTCTTCCATCTTGATGACGGGAGAAAGGGATGCAGTCGTTGGGGATGTGGAGAGCGGCATGGGCAAACCAGGGGCCGGCGCGGCGCAAGATACGGCAGGCGTGAGTGTTGTCGAGAGCAGGGTATCGTGACTGTCGATGAGTGAATGGGACAGGATGAGAAGGGATTGAGCGCAAGCAGGCAGCGTGACCAGCCCCGGATTTGGGGGGGAGCGAAGCGGCTTGAAGACGCGCGAGGCACAGAGGGAGGAGGACAAAATGCTGCGTGCCGTTTGCCTCGCGGCTTGAGGACGAAAGGCTGGCTGCCAGGCGCGGGCGAAAGGGGGCGTGGACAGACCGGCTCGACCGCGAGGCAGCGCTGCGGGATGGCGGAAGGGGAGGGATGAAGAGAGGCCGACAGGCGAAGAAAAGTTGAGTCGTTGGAGTGCCAGCAGAGAAGGAGAGAGCGAGCGACCTCTGGCCAGCCAGGACTAGGGCCGTGTCTGGTCTGGTGTGGCTCTGGCGGGCAGTCTTTGTCTCGAGAGAGAGAGCGCGGCGCAGGCTTGACCTTGGCTTGCCTGCCCTGCCCTGCCCTGCCTTTCAATCCTGCCACTGCTTGAGTCAATGTGTCCCGGGCTTGCAGGGGCGACTGGCGTTCCGTGGCGCGTTTCCATATTGGCAGCTGGCCGGCGGGGCACTCTGGTACACCCGGCAACTGGCAGCCTTATCTCATCCCTGCGCGGCGCGTGGTGGGGCGGCATGACCTAGAGATCCTCCAGAACATATACGAACGACAGAGCGGTGCTAGGTCAATCTATTTACGTACTTGGTTGAGAATGCACAAAGACGCCCGCCGAAGACATGCGGGGAGATCAATATCCCGTCCCGGGCAGCCCTGATCGTGACAGCCGGGCTGGAACACAATCCAGCTTCTTTCCATCGTTGAAGGGATGACTAAGCTGCTCCACCTCCTGCACGACGGCAAGGCATACCCTAGCGTGCATGCGCTTCTAGATCCTGGCACTTATGGGCCATCCCCCAGCCTCAACGCCGCACTTTCCAGGCAAACTTTCATCAACGAGCGACCCCTCGTCCAAGTCGCCAGAACAACGCTCGCCAAACACATTTGCGCCACCCGTCGACCATGAGCATCACCACAGCTTGATGTTAGCCGCCGCAAACAAGCCACAACAGATCTAGCAACTGTCTCGACACCAAAGCATGCTGTGCCGTCGCAGCCTATAAGTCGCCATGAGTTCCATGCTGAAGAAGACCGGCGGCCTTGCCTTCAAGCCGAAAGCCCTTAGCCGCCGCGGAGCGACTGGGTCGGCTGCGTCCACACAACCTCCGACTGCTGCGACTTCAACTGCAACCACCAGAGCGCCAACAACTGAGCCCCAGCAACCTACAGTTGAGGCACCTTCGCTGACACCGCCGGCCACGATCTCATCCAGTCATGACAGACCGTCTACGACGAAATCTAGTGTTGCTAGCGATGAACAGGCACCACCGACGTCCGATGCCCTCAATGTCCCCCTCCAACACCCGAACCAACGCAGCACTCCGTGGCTTCCCTAGCTCTAAATGCACCAACGAGCAGTACACCTCGAAGTATTGCACGACGACAAACTAAGTCTGCGCCGAGGACCGCAGAGGATGTCGAAACTGCAGCTCCAGCTACTGTATCTAGCGAGGGAGCTGGTGCTCTGTCTCGACCTGCTGGCGAAGGTCTGCAACCTACTCCACAGACAAGCCGCACTATCGCAGACACCCGGCCGACGCCAGATACTACCTCTGCAACGCCTTCCACAGAAGCAGCAGAGGCGACAGCATCGTCAAGTGCAACAGAAGTACAGGAGCCTTCAGCAGCAGCGTCAGCCCCAAGGAAAAAGAGAGCATATACTCGGCGGAAGCCACGAGCCGTGGGGGAGAATGGAGCTGGGGCCGCATCCACCGATGGGACAGCGCCACCACGAAAGCGTGCCCGGAGCCAAGGGCGTAAGCGGGCGACGACCGACGGTGAAGGCGCCACAGAAGGCAGCCAGGGCACCGACGGAGAAGCCAGAGCCACTCCCAAACCATCCAAGCGTCGAAGGCGCTCTCCTACACCTGATGACGCAGTCAACGTCAAGGTTGACCACACAGCTGTGAAAATGAGCGAGCTGACCAGGGATCTCGGTATCGGCGTACCTTTCAAACATGCCGAGGCAATAGCCGAGCGGGCCCGAGAGGCGCGGAATCGCGCAAGGCTACGAAAATTAGAAAAGGACAAGATACGGATGGGGCTGCTACCAGATCCGGGAGACGACATACACGGATCCCACAAGCGCGATGCAGATCAGAGCGTCTCCAAAAGCAGACTCGGCTCTAGTGCGCCGGAAGGCGGCAGTGGACAGGCACCGGAGGCGGCTGGACCGGGATATATTGTGGTAGACGGCCAGATCATCATCAACCAGCAATCATTGATGATCGACAACCACGCCTCGGCCGAGAACGACATCTCGAACATGAGGACAGTGGTAGAGGACGATTTCACACACTTGACGACTTCGGCGAGTTTCATGCGGGAGTCGCGAGTCATGGGCGCCAACTCGTGGACGGAAGAGGAGACGGAAAAGTTTTACAACTATCTGCAGATGTTTGGCACCGACTTTGAGACCATCAGCCACATGTTCCCCGGGAAGAACCGGCGCATGGTGAAGCTCAAGTTCAACCGTGAGGAGCGGCTGCGGCCGAACCGGATCAATGCGGCCGTCATGGCGCGCAACGACAAGGACGTCAACATTGACCTGGACCACTACAAGGAGAAGCGCACCAACTGGCAGGAGGCCGACGAGATCCTCAAGGAGCACGACGCCCTAGTCGCGGAGCACAATATTGAGGTGCAGCGCCTCAAGGCCGAGCGCAGGGCGCAGGGTCTCGCTGACGACGACGATGATGAGGACGATGTCAATGGTGGCGCACAAAGCAAGATTGTCGACAGCGACGCGACCACGACTAAGGGGGGAAGCACTGGTGGTGGTGCTACTGCTGCTGATGACGATGATGATGGGGAAGACCAGAACCAAGCAGGCCCCGACGAGCACAATGAGCAGAGCCACGAATTGCATGCATCATCAACGGCAATCGCTGCGGCGGCTGGCTGAGCTCCAACTCCACTACACCTGCTTTCCAGAGAAATAAAGAGGGACGTTCACCCAGACACATTGTCTCTCACACCCAGAGATGATCAAGATGAAGAACACAGGGCCTTTGCAGAGAGGATAGATGGCCCGATTAGCTTGTCACGGGAGCTAAGGCGAGAAACAAGATTATGAGGCGCAATGCTTGACATGCTTAGGCTTTTTTTACCTACATGCTTTTCAAATGATACCCCAATTTTCACACCACTCAATGCTTGCCGAGCCGTGAAAACAGTGCGCAGCTCAGTCTGCAACATCAGATGATCAAGCCGAAGTCGCCTCGTGTGCAGCGGTGGGACGGACAATTCTCAAAGGTTGTGAACAGATTCGTTATTCGGGGGGTTATCATATCGCCTGCGTGCCTTTCTTGCTCGGTCTGACCTTCCTTTCGACCTCCTCTCGCCACCTCCGAAACGGAGTTAGCTCATGCCTTATCGCTGGTCCTCAGTCTGCCCTTTTTCTCATGGTGGCCGTCATCCGGTATCCTTCAGACCCATGGTCATTGTGGCAAGGACTCAATCAAATCGCGCTCGGTATGTTGCAAAAAAGGGCTGGCCGTATGCTCGCACTTCAGTCACACCGTCAACGTGGACAGGACTACGTTGCAACTCCTAGTCTAACTGCTCGAGCAGTCGAGCTTTAGTTCTGCGAAGGCTCGTCATCGTCGGGCATATCAAACAAAAAGTTCGCAGCCAGCTCCTCGTTCTTATCGCAGGCGAAGTAAGCCTGAATAGCGGCGTCTCTGTCGAAGCCAAGTCGGCACAGCTGCTGCGTATTAGCATGGATATACTCTTTCTTCAGCGCAGCGTGTCCTAACTTACCCGCTCGATCGCATCGCGCTCCTCCTCAGTTACAGAGATAGCCTGTGCTCCTGGGGGCAAGGGCGCATCGTCATCAGCTTCTTCCCCTAATAGGTTGAGGAATTGCTCAGGGTTCTGTGTGATGAGCTGAGCGAGGTTCGGGTTGCCGGCTCCCAGTTGTTGCAGAATGGGCTCAAGCATTTGTGGTTGCTGCTGGACTACTTGACGGAGCTGCTGGAACTGAGGGTTATTCCTGAGGAAGTCGAGGTTTCCGAGGTCGCGAGTACCAGGCGCACCGCCAGCTCCAGGACTGGCAGGGTTCGCGCCTCCACGAGCTCCGCCACGCTGAGCAGCGAGATCGAACAAGTTGATGCCGCCATCACCCTCGGCATCACCACTGGCTGGGGCCGCAGAGGGAGCGGCCGGGGGAGGTGGGGGCACTTGCTGTGCAGCGCTCTGTGATTGTGACTGTTGGACATTCTCGGGGATTCCCTGGTGTGTGGAAGAGAAAGTTAGCACGGGTTTGCCCGATTAACACGCATGGCAGTTGCAGAATCTCATACAGTCAGAAGGTATTCAACGGCCCTGTCCACGTTGAAGAAAGCGGCCCTGAGGGCGGCATCAATCTGAGACCGCTCGAAACCCATGGCTAGCATTTCTGTAATAGCGCCTTCCCTCGCAGCGCCCATGGCCATGGAGCTGTCAGACTGCGCAGGCTCGGCCTGCGTAGCCGGCGCGGGCGTCGGCGTAGCCGGAACGGCGGCAGGGGCTGGGTTTGAAGCGGTTGCGGGAGCAGCTGGGGCAGCTGGTGTCGCGGCGACTGGCCTGGCGGGAGTCTGGGGAACGGCGCTCGAGGAAGCGGCGGCAGAAGTAGCAGGAGCAGCCTTAGGCTGTTGGTGGAGGGAGCGATTGTTAGCAAGCCCTTGGTCTCAGCTGGGTAGTCGAGGCCGCACGAACCTTGTTAACCATGCAGACTACGAAGCCCTTTTCCTCGATGTTGTACTTCTCAACGGTGTCCTCATCCTTGAGGATCTTGCCTGCGGTGGAGTGTCAGCGAAGCTGTGTATGAAAGCGAAGCGCGCTTGAGCTGTGACGCTGCCCGTACCAGAATAGATGAGCTTCTGGGCCTTGGGATCCCATCCTTTCTCCTCTGAGATCCGCTGCTTGACAGCCGAGACCTAGGAAATCGCTCTGTCAGAAAAGGGTATTGATACGGGACTGCTTGAGACTCTTTTGACAGGTCGTGCAGGAGAGCCGCCTCCCCAAGCCGCGGAACCGAGTCGCTCGGCGCAGATCCGGCGATCTCCGAAGATGGCAATACCCTCGAAAGTATTTGCACAGGACGGAAAGATGTGGGGGATGTCGCAGTACACGTCTTGAGCGGGAAGCGGGAAGAGGCGAGAGAAGAGGCTTGCAGGAGGATGCCTAGCCGAGACGGGCGTCCGCAGTGGTCGGAAAAGCCAGAGAGAAACGTACCAGATCGCTGGGCTCGATGTCAAGCGTAAACTTCTGCTGCTTGAGATCCTATGGTCCAGCAGAAATCCAAACGGTCAGCATGTCGGATACAAGAGTGGTCTGCGAGTGGGCACAACGTGACAACACAGCTGCTGGCGGCGCCATGTGGCTGGAGGCAGGGCGCCTCAGCAAGTGAGGATCTCAACTTGACCACGAGCGCCTAGCGACAGTGGTGACGACGATGCTTGTTGTGGCGAGGAGCGTCGGGCTCCGCAGGCCGAGCTGGAGTTGTGGAGGAGGAGGCCATACCTTGAACGTGACCTTCATGATGGGCAACCAGTCGCGCAACGATCCAGGAGGGAGATAGGTGAGGTCTGAGGTTGTGGAGGTGAGACTGGTTGCTTGGGAGTTGTGGATGTGTAAGTTGCTGATGGCGGCCGGGAGCTGTGTGTGGCGGGGTAGGTCAGTAGGTGCGCCTCGCGCTTTTGCAGTCAGTCAGTCGTCGCAGGTGATGACGGGGCCTGTAGGCAGCTGCGGGTGGTGGACGGGACTCTGCTGGTCTGGCGACAGAGGTGCTGCTGCTTTGCGGGTTTGCACTGGTGGTAGCTGTGGGCATTCAGAAGCGAACGGGACAAGAGGAGAGAGAGTGCGGCCGTCTGGTCTCCCTCGTCTGGAAACACACAGAGGCTTTGCTTCTCGTTGTTGCCTCAAGTCGCCGCCCGCTGCATTCACAGCCTTCCCAGGCTGCCCAGGCAGGCGGCGGTGATGCGCGTTCCCGCTTGTGGTGGCCCGCCCTGTCCATTTGCCTGCCTGCGCACTCGCAGCAGGCAAATCGTACAGTGGCCCCTCTGCGACCCACAAAAGAGCCGTTGCCTGCCCTGCCAGGCTAGGTCTCCTCCAACAAAACACCACCAAACACATGGACAGAGCCGGCACTGGTTCAAGTACTCAAGTAGCGTACACATGCATTTCCGACGTGTTCTACATGGACGCTTGCGTAAAGTATGTACAACACTCATGGCAAACCCTTGCCCACCCATCCATGCGTGCGCGCCTGTTTTTCCCATATTCACGCCCGCCCTTCGTGAAACATACTCCCAGCAACGCCAAGTTCACAGCAGCCCCCAGCAGGAGCGGCCGTCCCAAACAACAACAATAACAACAAAAATAGTACAAAATGGTATAACCAAATCCATGATCCCAAAGAAGGTGCCCCCCCCCCGGGCGCCCTCCATCTCTCACCCCTTTTTTCCTCTTCTCTGCTGTAAAATGCACCGCTCGCATCTAATGATGGAGAATCCGAAAGCCGGATTCACGAAATGCGCTCGAGGGGAAACGATATATAAAGTAAAAGTCTTCAACAAGAAACCGCCCGCGCTTAAATAGTCATTATCATTATTATTTTCAGTCCGCAGCTCATTGGCGGCTGCTCTCGTCCTTGGCAATCTCCTCTTTCAGCCGCCGGTTCTGGTACTCGTGCAGACTCGTCCTGCTGCCCGCGCTGAGCACCCAGGCAGGGATCGGAGGCACCATGTCGACCTCGCCTAGTGACTCAATCAGGGTAGACTCGTCGCCACTGATCGTCTTCCGTGTGAAGCTCTCAAAGCTCCCTTGGCGGCTGAGGTTGCGATGGGTGCCATTCAGACTGCTGCTCCGCATCCGCGACAATGACTTCTCGGTAATGATCTGGCCCGCATTCGGCGCCGCCACGACCATGGTGCCGGGGGTCGCCATCGGTGGGGACGGCGAGTCGCTTCGGAAGAGCGGGTGGATGTGTGCTTCATCGGGCTGCGTCGCGGCCGGAGATGACTGGGTCCGTGCGTTTGGGCTGTAGCTCCTACTTCTGCGCGGCATTGACGATCGACTCGGCTCGCTATCAAGGATGGTGCGCGGGCTGGACGCCCTGCTGGTCATTGGGCTGGCTGGGATCGTCTCAAGAAATCTTGGAGATGGCACAAGAGACGTGTCGACAGTCAGTAGGGCCGGAGGCGCCTCGATTGACGAAGTGTCCCACGAATCGAAGCTGTTTGGTCCGGGCTGGCCGGAGGCGCTTTCCAGGTCCGGATTGGCTGCGCTGTGCACAGATTTGAAGGATCTCGAGCTCCTCACTGACAGAAGCCGTGTCCGAGACGAAATAGGTCGCACAGCGTGGGAGATGGAGGTCCGGATAGAGCTGATGGTGCCGCTGCTGGAGCACGGGCGGCTATCCGCAGGCTGTGCCCAGAGGTTGGAGCGTGCTGCGACCGTCTTCGAATAGGGCACAGCCTTTACCCGCATGAGCATTTCGGGAGATCGAAAGCCATCCTCAGCAGAGTGGACAGAGCCAGAAGCGTCGGCAAGGCTGGCAGAGTGTCCCACGAAGAAAAGCCCAAGGGCACTGAGCTGCAAGATCAAAGTGAAACATAAGAGACAGGCGAGGGCGATCAGATAGCTTCTGGTGCTCAATGGCGAGCTTTCCTGCTCGGCACCACCGACCTCGCTCAGACAGACCAAGGCAGCGCCCGATGCTATTGCTGCCAGCAGCACTGCGCCCACTGCAGCCACACAGCATTTGTACTTGTGCGAGGCGACCGCCTGGCGGCAAATGCCTCGATATTGGCATGCGAATAGTGCGGAGAAGAGGGCGAGAACCAGCGACTCGCATACTGCGGCGATGGCAGCAGCGACGCCTACTTGCGTTACCGAAGATCGGAGGGCCTGGGCAAGAACGGCATACATGATGAATACAATCAAGGTCGCCAATACAGCGGCCATGAAGGAAACGGGAATCAGGGATCGTGACATTTTGGCGTGCATGTCGTGAAACATCAAGAGCGTAGGAAAATAGATGGTCTCAAGAGTAGTGTGTGGGCGATGTGTGGCTCCCAACCCTGCCCGATGAGCTGGTAGCCGATGCGAGAAACGACGTCGAGACCGGGTTGCAGTCTGAGGCTATCGTCCTCTGGGCTTTGGAGTAAGTAATGCGTTCTCGTGTGAGATGTGACCGTCGTTGTCAGTTGAGCTTGTATTCGCATGTAAGTCGTCGAAGGCGCAAATATGGAGCACTGGATAAGAACACAATCTGCTGCACTGCTGAAGAACGGTCGTAAACAAGGTGCTGGCCCTCCAAGCCGAGTCCGTCGAATCACCGAACTGTGCAGTAAGGAACTCGGTATTGTGAAGCAAATGGGGGAGAGGCCGGAAATGAACGTGTCGAGTTGCGAAATCTCGTATGATTCCCAACACAGGTGCTCGGTAGGGGGGAAAGTTGCACTAATAGGCCGTCTGTAACCCAGTTGAACAGCCCCGCCGACGGGAGCTTGGGGGACTAAAATGCAGGACGGAAGCTTAAAGAACGCGTACAAGAGAACCGTCGCGCGGAACAACAGCGAATGTCGTGCCGGTGATGATTATCATGCGGTGGCTCCAAAGGTCGAGGCCGGGGCACGGCGGCGCGGCTATTCCGGGGGCGACGCGAGGGACGGACTGGGGAGGCACCAACCCAGGCTATGCAGTCGCTCACCCAATAGCTGTGTCTCACCCCCTCGTTAGGCAACGTCACGATGATTTCGTGCAGTAGCCGTGGATGGCCAGCAGGGGTCCGGCCGGGACACGCTCAGCTGCGAAACAAAAATGAAAACTGTCGTCTGCCTTCGGTAATCTGCAGTAACTACTGCAGCGACAGGGGTACGCGACTTGTGCCACTCTCTAGCAAGTGGCCTGCGATGGCGCGCTTTCGTGCACGCCGGTGTAACTCTGCTCTGCCGACCGTGACTGGCTGGTTGGGACGCAACCAATAACCGTAGCTGTTGCGAGGCGTGGTAAATTGCGGTTATTGTCCTTGGCGATGTGGTCACTCCGACTTCCAGCCGACGAGACGCTTCCAGAAACGGTCCTTTGCTTGCTTGATCGATTGCTTGCTTGCTTGTTTTAGATGTTTGATTGTCGTTGGTGTTGAGGCCCGGCTCGTGGCTGATTGTCCAATGAGGAGTGCGTCAAGGCCCAGATCGACCAAGGATAGTGAGACCTGCCTGCACAAGGGACTATTGCAATTGGCTGTTGTGCCAGCAAATATGTCTTAGACGTCGATAAAATAGATCGTGGCTGTGGCGCTCGGGGCTTTGGTCTTGTTGTCAGAGTTGAATGTCCAGAGTGTGTTCTATGCTGGCTTGTCCCGGCACCCTTCAGATTGGCATGCAGGCGGTATTCAGTCGGGTGTTGACAGGCAGGGATGGCGAATGGCCAGTGTGTGTGCAACAAGGCAGTGCAAGGTGTGTCGATTTGAATGAGAGATATCCTGCGTGAATAAGCAAGCATGCGAGGCCTCTGCTTGGAGTTGCTGGTAAAGAGGGTGGTAAAGGAGGGTAGGGAGAGAATCAGAATAGGTAGTGGTGGTGACAAGCGAGTGTGGAGTGGTTCTTCAACGAGGAAGCTGACCAAACAAAACACAAACAAGAAGAAAAAAAAAAGTGAGGCTCGCAGCCACGAACAGAGGGAAGGACGAGCACCTGGTTGCTAGTGACTAAAGATGGGGAGGACAACTGGAACCACAAGGAAAAGTCCACAGCATTAGAGTATTTTCAAGACCAGCCATCCCGGCATCCGGACGAGGATCGCAGCCTGCTTGCCCCAGGCATGGAAAAATGGGAATGCTTGCGCCGGGCCCACCGACATGGGTCGTGATGAGGGAGGGGGTTTGGAAAATGCAAGTCGCTTGGTGGATAGCAGGCCCAGTCCGTAGCCGACGCCCCTTCCATCAGATGGAGGTCTGAGAGCAGTTGTTCCGGACCCCGAATGGCCAGATATAGGTCGCAATTGACAGACAGACGGCCGCCCAAAAAAAAAAAAAAAATATCTGGGCACTGTCGAGAACGAAGGGAGAAGCTCGCTCGGGCGCAATTCCGATGCGTCACTGGCTTGCAGTCCGGGTGCGACGCTGGTGAGTCGAGGAGGACCAGGATGCGCCGGCACTAGAAACGCATCGGCCTCGCAATCGAGCGCGGCCGGCTCCCGGGCGATGCTCAGACTCCCGGCCGGCCCCTGCCACGCCCTTCCTCGTGGGCCACGAAAGTGGGCATGGCCGCGTGGGAGGGTGCTGTTCCTGCATTACACGGGGCGCTAGCAATTGCAACGCTTACTACATGCGCCTAGCCCACTCTAGCAGACGGGGCTGACCCTGAGGGTGCTTGCCTTAACGGCGTGCTGTTATGGCTCTCGTCCTCGGACGGCTGTCAGCAGAATGCAGGCTCTGGCCATGCTGCGAGATTACTGCGTAGACACAGAGGGACTGAGCACGCATGACGCGATATCGAGAGTCCTACCTGGCCGAGCATGACTCCAAAGAGCGTCACGGCAGCCTGCCTCTGAGGATTCGTGTCACCCGTGCATCAGAGAAGCCCTTGGGAGATGCCACAGCGTCTGCACAGCATTAGCAGGTGCAGACCCCGCGCAGGCCTGGCAGTGTTTAGCATAAGGCGCGTGGCGTTTTGTGTGGCAGCTGACAATGACAGCTCACTGGTCAAGTGCTGCTCTCGGTGTGGGTGAAAAGGCCGGCAATCCATGGCTTCAGGGCTCTTGTCCAGAGTGTTGTTGTTTTTTTCCCTCCTTGCTCCTGTCGTGTCCTCCTTGCTAGCGAGGACGGACGCATGAAACGCATTAACACTGGCGATCCACTCTTGGCCGGAGCCACCGTGCTAGTGCTTTGGGCCTGGTGCGAGGCTCGCGAGGCTTCTGGAGGTGCGGGTTGCTGGAGGGAGACGTTGCTATTATGATGAGACGGCGGTTGCCATTGTTTTGGCAGGCTGAAGAAAACAGAGGCGCTGCCCTGCTTGCGATTGCCGCAAGATGTGGTCATTGTCGACCCTGAATACCGGGGATGGCTGCTTTTTTCGCGTGTAGAGGGCAGGCACCAGATGTTTCACGCAAGCAGGCCAACAAGCAAGCCAGGACTACGGTAGAAGAGCCCGGCGTATGCAGGTCGAGTCGCTAGTCGGGCCTGCGCGCGTGGCCATAAAGTTAGGGGACAATGGGCTTTGTCTCAGAGACAGGCGAGTCCCCCGTCGGCGTAGTTTGTGGTGGTGTGGACTGTGCGGGTGTCTCATCCGAGGCCCTTGGCAGTGGGACGGGCTGGGAGGCCGTCCGTCACAACGCACACTGGGCGGAGGAGTGGAGGAGTGCAGTGTCACAGCCGTAATGGGACCGTCCAGAGCTGATGTTGGCAACTTGGCTGCTTTGAGGCTGTCGAGACGACCAGAGCCGGACAATTAAGGTACAGGCCCTCCGGGGCAGGTCAATTCTTGACGCAAAAGGACCGGCTGGCCAGGATGTGCATCTTGGTCTGCGCCTTCCGCCGATTGATGGATGGACAGCAAGCTTCGTTGCTTTTCCTTGCCTCCTCCTCGTCAACCCATGAGCCGTCCAGCTGGGCCTCTTGCTTTTCTTCTCGTTTCTTTCACGCGCATTGCGTATCATCTTCATGCTCCACGCAGAGTCTTCAGGAGCTGCTCTGGCTGCCGGTGCTGCAAAATTCCGTCCACAGGTGACTGCTCGATTCCCCCGTCCCAGACCCCCGGGCTGGTTCGATCTGCAGACCCAAACTCTGAATATGCTCATACCCCAGCCCAGCGATTCGGGAGATGCGCGCTGCAAGGGGAATCCGGGCCACCCGGAAAGTCAACCTTCATCCCCGTCCTGCACGTTGCTTAGCCATCACATTGACGTTGTCGCCGTGCTCTCCCGCCCATGTTTGCGCGGCTGCTGGCCTCGAGGTCGCATCATTGCAACTGCTCCCGTGATGTCAGACGCCAGCGGCTGCTCTCATCATGGTGTGGTCGGCGAGCCAGAGGGGTGCGCAGGCGCCCCGTTCCAAATTGATTGCTCCGTAATTCTACCATGGTAATCGTGAGCGCAACAAAGGCTGCGTGGCCGTGGCCGTGGGTGGGGGGTGTGGTTGGCAGGCACCAGGAGCCGACATCATGGCCGAGACCCAGCCAGCGCAGAACACGAGCACAGTACAACTCGAAACTGGCCCTGATCTGCAGTGCTCCGCCTCCACCGGCCGGCCACAACTCAAGGCAGATGGCCGGCGGGGCCATGCTCGCTGCCGTTGAACAGCTGGTCGCGGCCTCACTTGTGGTGGTGGTGGTCGGCGTCGTCATCATGGCTCCTCTGCGGGCCACGGCAGGGCAAAGTTCCCGCAACTTACCATGGTACGACGACCACCAAGTCATTATTGCCATCGGCCACAGTCCCCCACGCTGTGCCCGGTGCCAGGATCTTGCGGGGACCACTTCTCAGAGCTGCTCGCAGACTTGTACAGAGGATGGGACAGCAATCGGCCAGAATCACCTCTTCCCAACGGAGACGGCACGGGACGAAAAGGGGAGTAGCATTTACCAGCTGGGGATCATTATCAGTGCACACAACCTCCTGCTGCGGCTCCAAACCTTCTGCAACGTCGTCGTCTGCCTACCATTGGCAAGAGGGGGAAAATGGCCACTGCTGCAGCGGCCTGAGCGCATGGTTCTCTCTCCCATGTCAAACGCTCTCGGACGGCAAACCAAACATAATCGGCACGCGCACGTAGGAATATGCTTTGAAGCGCTGTTTCATGCCTCTCCATCGCCAACAAACAGGCACGCATGGTTCGTGTGCTCGTCCCTCCCGCCGCCGTGGCTCGGATGCCAACCTAGGCCATCATCAACCAACCTCCTTGCATTGCATCATGCAGCGTTGGCTCTGACCACGCGGCATGGACCCTGATCGACGCCTGCGCATGGCCTCTGCACTAAATATTGCACCAATAATGAGCGAGCCGAGCACCAGCAGCTGTACTGTACAAGCGAGGTGGCTGCTCAGCCCTACATGATGCAATCTGTTGTTTTGGTTTTAGAGGGTAGAGTTAGGGTGAATCGAGCCCAGAGCGAGATCAGAATGACGTTCCTGCAGATACCGATGCCCCCAAGGTCGATGTCCCGGACCTTGCGGCTGAACACGCGCCCACGATATATCCGGCTTACGAGCCCTTCATCTTGTTCCGCTCCCACGGGCGTAGAGCACAGCCCATTATGACAAGAGACCATTGCTGCGCTGAGAACCCTTTATTGATGCAGGTCCACGCCATGTCATGGTCTGTGAGTCTTCTGATGCATGCCTTCCTACAGGCCAGCGCTATCGGGAGGGGGGGCTGTGGTGGAGAGTCGAGATTGACGCATATCTGCTCCGAGCCTGGCTGCGGATGACAGAAATTGAAGCCAACCAGTTGCAGGTAATAGTCGTGGCCATACTAGAATTGAGTTCAGGCAGGAGGGTGAAAGAAAACAACTACAATGAGCGTTGAAACTCACAACCTCCATAATGGCACGCTCGTCGAAAACGGGATATATTCCGACGTAGCTAAACCATCTGCGGCCTGGCTCGAATTTGCCGTAGCATTGCATTCTTGGTCGTGACTATGGCTTGGTTGATATTCCAGTATCCTGCGAACGTGATCCAGCTGCCTCGAAACGTCGTGCTGCGTACCGTCCTAGTATTCACGACGGGCGTCTTTGTGTTCTCTGTTCCAGTTTTAGTCAAAACGATCAGTCGAGCGTCTTGCCCGTCCGTAACAGAGAGTTGATCTCTCAGCAGAGATCGAGCTGGGTCAGCCAAACTTGTCAGAACGTCGGGGTGAGTATCAAAGTGTCTTATTTATCATACAGGTCTTCGTAATGTATACCTCAATTGCAAATAAAAGTATGCTTGTGTTGAAATAGAATATACGAATCAAATACACAACCATAAGACGCCGAAGACTTGGGATGCCGATGTTCAGATAATCAAGGTCAAGACATTCAATCAAACATGGGAAATCATCCCGACGAACCGCCTGCGATTGACGTCAACTCGTGACCCTTCCTCTTGTCGCTTTACAAAAAGAGGCTTAAGCAACCGCGTCAGAGGATTAATACAGGCGAGTCTACTGGCAATGCGCATCAAGTTCTGCTCACAATCTGAACGGTTAGCACTGGACAAAATTGCCCACACAACAAGTACTTGGTGCAACAAAAAGAACAGATTGTCAGAAGCATGCTAGTAGCAATTTGTGATGCAGACTCATTACACTATTGAGGTTCATCAACATCAGGAAAGGGCACGATGACACGGTCATGTCCCTGTACCTCGTGATGGAGTCAATTCGGCCTGGGATGAGACATTCGAACAAGATTGACATGCTTTGGTATGGGCATATTCTTCTGACACCGGTTTCTCTAATCAGTAGGAACCTGTATCCTGTAGGCTTCTACTACACGGTGCAGACGAGGGGTGCGACCTCTCATGTTCGAGGTAACCATCATATGCAGGGTTAAGGATTTCTATGTGAGAATGCACCAAGTGTGTCACACGGGCACCACGACGTGCTGCCTTGAATGCCCATCACGATGCCGATGTCTTGACTGCTATATTCAAATTGGACGTGACACCACAGGCGACCGATGCCAGCTCGACGTTGCAAGCTTTCTCTGTTTCTTTAGAGAACAGCGGAACTATTCAGATTGTTCGATAATTGTTTTCGGATGTGACAGAGGCACCGTAGACACCAGACGTATCAGACGCAAAATCGTCCGGATCATTCAATGCCAGTCTCTTGGAATGGCTGGTGAGAAGCTCCAGCCAGATGACCAGAACGAATATTGAAGGCCCAATAGATCAAGGAGGTAGTGTGGCGGCTGTGAGGCCATATCGGAATAGGCGTATTTGCAAACCGGAACCTCCGTGGCGTTTTGACCCTCTGTCATCAGTAATAATAATTTTGGCACTACACCGCGACTTACAAAGGCATGGCTGCTCGCCTTCGGCAGTGGTCGGAGGGTCGCCCGTCGGCTGCACGACCTGATGAGTGTTGCCAGCTGTGTCACCGCCACGACTGTCGCGCGTTGTCCGACGGGAGGTGTCGACGATATCGAGCTCCCAAGGTCATTATCCTCTGAGCTTGACCATATCGACCTTGTCAGGCTAGCCTCGCCTGGCTTATCACCAGCCCGTGCTGGACGGCGCCGGACATTGCCGCCCGAGTCATGCAGCTCTTTGACTGATGGCCGCAGGTAGGGACGCTGTCTGGGCCAGCAACAGCAATAGCCACGGCCGAGACGAGGCGATAAGCAACCCTGGGACCCTGGGGACTCTTGCAAAGTGGGCAGCCGATACCGGGCCAGGCAGGGCAGGCTACCGAAAGAGGCAGTCGGATGCGGGACTGGCCTCAGAGTTATGTCACCGCGTGTCACCTGCCGGACGACCAAGTGGGGAATCCCTGTGTGCCGGTACGGCTTGAGGCGGCTTGCAGCGCCAATGGCAGCCGTTGCCTGCTACCCCGCACACCCCCAATTGGATTCCAGCGCGCCTTCCACGCCTGTTCCTTCCTCGATCGTGCCTGCCGAGCCACGGCCCTGCCGCCGATAAGTGCTCTATTCGCCGCCGGCGAGATTGACCCAATCATCCTGGTCCCCTTCTGCTGCTGCTGCTGCTGCTGCTGCCCCGCGTGGCCCTGCCAGCCGTACAAGTAAAGCTTGACCTCCCGCCTCCTGTCTCCAGCGGTCAAAGCCTGTGAGCTTCCTGCAACCTTGCTCGCAGACAGCAATTCCCTAGTCCTCTTTCTCCCAGGCCTTGAAGCATCGTCCACAATGCCTGCTGCTTCTGCTGTCCTCCGCCGGGGGTCCGCCCTCCGCTCGCTGGCCCCGGCCGTCTCGAGACATCTGCCTCGGACTGCTGCCCGCCTCTCGTCGTCGTACCATGCCGGGGAGCCCGGCGCCCCCGTGCTCAAGACCGACTTCCCGGGCCCCAAGGCCAAGGAGGAGCTCGCCCGCCTGCACAATGTCTTTGACACGCGCAGCACCAACATGCTGGCCGACTACACCAAAAGCACGGGCAACTACATTGCCGATCCGGACGGAAACCTCTACCTCGATGTCTACGCCCAGATCGCCTCCATCCCCGTCGGCTACAACAACCCGACCTTGCGCAAGGCCGCCGAGAGCCCCGAGATGGTCAGCGCCCTCATCAACCGCCCCGCGCTGGGCAACTTCCCCTCCCACGACTGGGCCGAGATCCTCGAGACGGGCATCCTCAAGGTCGCCCCCAAGGGCCTCAACCAGGTCTTCACCGCCATGGCCGGGTCCGATGCCAACGAAACTGCCTACAAGGCCGCCTTCATGTGGCGCCGCCAGAAGGAGCGCGGAGGCCCCGCCGTCGAGTTCACCGAGGCCGAGCTCGAGTCCTCCATGAACAACCAGGCCCCAGGTGCCTCCCAGCTCTCCATCCTCTCCTTCAAGACCGGCTTCCACGGCCGCCTCTTTGGCTCCCTCTCCACAACCCGCTCCAAGCCCATCCACAAGATTGACATCCCGGCCTTTGACTGGCCGCAGGCCACCTTCCCGCTGCTCAAGTACCCTCTCGAGGAGCACGCCGAGGAGAATGCCAAGGCCGAGGCCGACGCTCTCGCCGAGGTCGAGGACCTCATCAAGAACTACCACATCCCGCCCTGCGCCGTCGTCGTCGAGCCCATCCAGTCCGAGGGCGGAGACAACCACGCCTCGCCCGAGTTCTTCCGCGGCCTCCGCGCTCTCACCAAGAAGCACGGCGTTCTCCTGATCGTGGACGAGGTCCAGACCGGTGTTGGCGCCACGGGCAAGTTCTGGGCCCACGACCACTGGAACCTTCAGGACCCCCCGGATATCGTCACCTTCAGCAAGAAGGCCCAGACTGCCGGCTACTACTTTGGCGACCCGGCCCTGCGGCCCAACAAGCCCTACCGTCAGTTCAACACCTGGATGGGTGACCCCGCCCGCGCCATCCTCTTCCGTGCCATCATCCAGGAGATTGAGCAGAACAACCTCGTCGAGAAGACGGCCAAGGTCGGCGACTACCTCTTCGGCAAGCTCGAGGCCCTTGCGGCCAAGTACCCGGGCCAATTTGAGAACCTGCGCGGAAAGGGTCAGGGCACCTTCATTGCCTTTGACAACCCGCACCGCGACCAGTTCCTACTCAAGGCCAAGAAGTTTGGCATCAACATCGGCGGCAGTGGCGCCTCGGCCGTCCGCCTTCGGCCCATGCTCATCTTTGAGGAGCGCCACGCAGACCTACTCCTCGAGGGCCTTGAGAAGATTGTCACAAGCTGGGAGAAGTGAAAGAAAATAAAAAAAAGTTAATGGAGCTTATGGACGTGCGGGAGGTTTCGAGGGTCCCAAGAGTGTGGAATCATAAAAGAAAGTCGAGGACCACCAGGCGTTTTATTGGACATTTGGAATATAGCGAGCTTGAATTACACATATTATCTACCAGCCCCCCATGGCGTGTGCCACATCTCCAGCTCTCTTTGTTTGCCAGTCGCTGTTGGGCATGAGTGGTGATTGATATTGTGCTCTGCTGTGGACTACATCGCATTGTAGATTACGCAAAAACATGGAGAATACGACCCTGTTGCAGTCGCTGTGGTTCGAATGGGCGTTTTCACCCCATGCCCCGGGCGGCAGCCATAATTGCTTCGATACCTCTGGAATGATGCCACCTTCATCTGCGAATTACGTTTTATATATCTCTTCGACTCTATTGTGATGCTTTGGGCCTCAGATTGCACGGTTCGGGCATCTGGATTGCAAGCACCAAGCGGTATTTAGGTTCCTTGTGCTCTCAGGTGGCGCAGCTGGTGTCCACCGTCCTCCTCACCATCATCGGCCTCGACTTGTTGTGACGATTGCATCGTAACGGCGGGGACAACTTCAGTGGCCCAGGATCCCTTGCTGACCTGCTGTGCCGTTCTGTTGCTGCGCTGCGGCAGGACCATCGGATGTCTCGTTGCCCTGGCCCTGTTCCCGCTCGAAGTCGCGCATGTTGAGCTCGTTCTCGCGCTCGAGCGCGGCTTCCTCCTCCGCCAGCTTCTGACGCTCAGCCTCTTCAGCGGCTTGCTGCTCGCCGCCCTCTCCCTCCAACGGCGGCGGGGGCGGGGGCGGAGGGCTTGGAGTCTCATTATCATCCACTCCATCTCCCTTCAGCCTCTTGATCGATGCTGGCTCCGAGGGCGTCACGGTGGCCGAGTCCAAAATATCTTCTTCCCCACGTTTCCGTTTCAGCTGGGAGCTGTCTGGAGTGGAACCAGCATCGTCGTCGTCGACCTTGTCTTCGTCATCTGTCATGATAACGTCCTCATCCTCCCTCCCAGCTTCGATCACATCAAGTGGTGCTGCGACACCATCTGCGGGGTTTGTTCCACCCTTGGCTGCGCGATCGGCCTTCTCCTTCTCGTGCGTATTGTACTTCTCTACAGCACGATCAAAGTAGTCCTTTACATACTTCTTCACCTTGGCCTTTTGCTTCTCGGAGATTGTTGTCGGATCTTCCACGCGCTTGTGTTTATAGTCAGACGCAACAAGTTTCTTGCTGATTTCCTTGGCAAACTTCTTGAGGTCGTCTTTTGGTAGCTTTCCGCGGAACTTGTCCATCACGTGCTTGACATGGGGAAAGAGCTGCATCATTGTCAGTCACGATATCTTGTGATCACAGTTCAGATGGCGTACCGTGTTTTCGTAGATCTTCATCTGCTTGTCTAGAGGCAATGAGCGCCACTTCTCCTTTTTCGTATGCTGCTCAGGCGTCGTCGTATGTTGCGGAGTGTGGGTTGCAGATCTTCGCGTGCTGCTAATGACATCCGTCTTCGTCAACGAGTCAATGATGTCCTGTATAGACTTCTGCTCCTGCTTAGGCCTGGTGAGCGCTGCAAGTTGTGGTTGTACATTCTTGGGCACTGGTGCCGGTGCTGTTGGCCTACGCCACGTTGGAGGACCGCCTTTATAGTAGTAGTAAGTCATGCCCTGCGGATTCATCGCAGAGAACCACCCGTGAGGTAAGGGAGGAGGCCGCCGGTGGGCTGGCCGTGGCTGGTTGAAGAATTGCATGTTTCTCTGCGGCACACTGCTCTTGGGTCCTTTTGGGGTATTATCGGGCAGTGGAGCCAAAGTTTTGTTGTTGGCTTCTTCGACCCTCATATTGCGACGTTCTTCATAAGCATTTACCGCCGCAGCAGGAGGATTGGCAGATGACAACGCATCCAGCTTCTTCCGTGGGATACGGTATGCGACCTCTAGTTTGCTCCACTCGCTGAGCAGTTGCGCCGCTCGTTCTGCCACATCAAGGTGTTCCGAGCTCGCCAAAGGCTCAATCGCTGCCTCAATCTTCGCATCAGAGATCTTGTTCTTCGTCAGGCGTGGTAGCGAATATAGGATATCGAGGATCTGCAGAACAACGTTGTGGTCGGCGATGAATGTGGTCAGGGCGGTCTTCAGAATCTGATAACCGTGCATCTGAACCACGCGATTTCGAACACGATCGTCTTCGCAGTTTTGGATCCGTTCGAGAAGCTTGACTGCGATCCATTTCTCCTTGCACTGCATGAGCGCAGCCATGACCTTTGTGACACCTTTCTCGTCAAGGCTTCGGGCTTGTACGCTGCTGACATATTCTTCATCATCTTCGTCAACCTTCTTCTTACGGGGCTTCTTCGCAACAGACGTGTCCCAGCCGTCGGTGTCTTCGATGCCCAGAGCCTCGATTGTGGCGTCAGGAAGCTTCGTTGCGCGCTGTGTCTGTGTCTTGCCACCAATGAAGCCTATGCAGTTGGGCTCCCCACAGTAGCATGGCTGAGGGTCAGCTCCATATCGGTCGACGTTGTAGTTGAAGACAAGCTCTTCTCCAGCCTGTATCTCCCGTCCAGCAAAGATGCCCATGCGGAGCTTGCTGCCTACTACCCATTTGTCCACGTAGCAATTCGGGTTGCATGAGTGATTGCAGAATCGACCCAGGTTGCCTTTCCGAGTCGCGTCCACAAACTCACTTCTCGTCAAAGACATGAAGTAGAAATGTTTGATCCCCTCTTGGTCATACTGGACCATGCGGCGCCGAAACGTCGGCTCGTTGATCACCTCGCCGATGTACTCGAAAATGAAGTCGTTTGCTTGCAGATCTGTTTCTGCTCGCAGCCCGAAGCCCTTCTTCTCAGTCTTGATGACAGCCACATTTGCGTATTCTTGTCGCTGAAATCGCTGATTCTGGCAGCCATCTCCGCAATTGCAGTCCTGATCCACACATTCCATCTTCGTCGCCCTGTTGATGCATTCAGAGTCTTCGCCACAAGCATAATTCACACCGTCTCCTACATCACGAAAGAGTCAGCATTAGACAAAAAACCGACAGGCCCCTCTGAATCCCAAGTCAAGGGCACAATGCAGTCTCGAAGTATAGCAGTACTTACGAAACTCTGGGGAGCAGTCACAATCCAGCGGGTCGTGCTCGGTCGCACCGAGCGATTTCGAGCCGTAGAGACAATCGGCGATGACTTGGAATTGTTGGCACGCGTCCTCCGTCGCGTCGGGAAGGTGATCGAAGAGAGCGGCCGGGCGAGGCGGTACCTTTGACGACCCTTTCCGTGTAGATTTCGGCCGGTGGGCGATGTCGGGTGTAGAGACAGTATCGCTGCCGGCTTTATGTTCGCTTGGGGACCTGCTCGGTGATCTGGACTGCTTGCTATGACCTGGTGTCGAGCCCGCGCTCTCAGCCTCGGCCTTGACCTGGGTGACTCCATTGCCAAGGTGGGCGTCGGCGCCCTTTTCGACCTTGATGCCGTCCTCCATGGCGAGAATAAGACGGAATGCGCCAAACGCTCTCCGACGGTGTTTGTAGAGAACACAGCGATTGGCAGTCGCGCCCAAGGGTTCGTGGAGGTCACGTCAACGCGCACGTGGGTCGGGGAGGTCGGCTTTACGAGGAGGGTTAAACGCGCGTGAACCACGTCAGGAGAGCTAGGAGCGCAAGGTCTGGCAGAGATGTAGTGCCTGTCGGGACGCTCGATCTAGCAAGGGAATGGCGGCTGTTGCAAAAGTAGGGTGAAAGGCAAGACCGGTGCGTGCTGCTAGGCGTCCCGCGTATGGGTTTGGCCGGTCGGAAGTGCCTGGGGCACCGCGCTCGTGATGGAGAAGTGCTGCAGGGTCGGGGTCGGCGGCGTCATTGCAGGCTTGAATCGCATGCCAGGAGCGGGCGCAAGGACACGCGCTTCGGCCGTGATCGGTTGAAATGGGGCGAGGTCAAGATGTGTGCATGGCTTCACGCAGCGCAGATCTGCTGGCGGTGTCGTCGACAGGCGAAACCGCGAGGTGCGCGTTGGAGGTCCGATCTGGGGAAAGAGGTCACTTCGAGTCTAAGCTGTTTGTGGCGACTGCTAATTGCAAGTGCTAGCTCGCGGAAGTCTGTCTGCTGGGAGGAGCTCTGAGCCGCGCTGGGCCAGAACTTTTTTTTTGCAGGGGCCTTGGAATTGATCTCGAGCTCCCACACACTTTCCGCGTGCGCGTCTCGTGAAAGTATTGTAGCGTCTTCGAGAAGAAAGCGAAACGAGTATCCTCCAAACCCGTCAAGCGTTGCGAGATCTGGCCGGTAGTTGCAGCAACTGTGTGGACCGCTCCATGCTGCCCAAGACTTGAATTGCTAGTCTTCAAGCATCTGCAACGAGCCTCAACCCCAAGCTGTACAAGCATCAGTGTATTCTGCTTTTCTTTTCGTTCCATGCCCTGATAAAGGGACACATTCATATTGCATGCGACATCTGAGGTGTATGGCAGTCACATCCAGCCGGTACTAGCTGTCCCTGTGCCGCCAGGATTAGCCTGTGCCATAACCTCAACGACAATGTGAGGCTTGATGAGCCCTGGTTCCTGGCTGGCAACGCGGCTGGGCACTGTCGTGTCCCGACCTGGCCTGCCAAACTCATCTTGGGCTTCCTCATCCGTAACCAGAGGCGAGGAGCTTGCATGGCCATGCTTCCGTGCAACAGCATCACCATCTACTCTGGGCAATGCCCGACGCTCCTGCATGGCGTCGCTGGCTCTGCATTCGGACGACCCACCCGTGCCTGTCACTCAGCTTCGCGATGCCACAGCCAACCTTGGAAACGATGTGGTTGCCCCCCACTCGAGTCCTCTGTCCTCTTCCGTCGCAAGCAGCTTGACACGACCTTGCAGCCGAGATCGCGGCTATTGTAACACGCAGACTAAGAATCCGAGAGCAAAAAAAGACATGGCGCAGCCAGTGTAGGATAGCAAAACTTGTGAAGCCTGGTAGCTTTAGGCTGGGCGTGCCTAACACGTCAGCGGCCAGCCTGTCCGATGGTGGGTCCCTATGGGAGGGTGCCAGCTCATTGTGCATGGAAACCTTGGACGGCGAGGGAGCCATTGAGTTGGGGTTCAAATGGCGGTATGAGGGTCGGCGCCAGGATACAAAAGAAAGGCGACGGCAGCCGCGAGGCCAGAAAAGTGACTGGGAGGATTGCTTGCTGCCATCACCAAAGACTATCACCAAAGAAGAGCATCGCCGTCGCTACTTCACGACTTGCCGACCTCACGGACGGGGATGCTCACCTCTCACCACCAACTGCCGCCGTCAGCCAGTGAGAGGTCGACCACCCCGACAATGCCGTAACGACCAGCCCTCGCGGAATTCTGGGGTGCCCACCTGGTCCAGATCTGACCATGTAACGAACGGGTGATCTGTGCTCTGGCTCGAGAACGGCCATGAGACTCTTTGGCGATGTGATTGGCGAGGGTTGTCGAGGACCCGACCAGTCAAGCAGCACCCAAGGTTGACGGCGACGACTGGCAGCGCAGCGGGCAGGGCGCCGGCAGCCAATCGAAGGGCGGAACAGAGCCCTGATACCAGCGGAGATCTTAGCGGCATATGCGACGCCATGCTTATTCTTACGTTGTCGTTGGCGGGACCACTATGCGCGACAGAGGGCGCCGACAGCCACGAGCGGGAGCCGGAAGCGGTGTGAGAAAATGGGAGTGATCTTTGTCAGACGCCGGGAGTTGCTCGACGAGCCAGAGGGATGCGATGCTGACGGGCGGTGGTGGATGACAATGGCCGCTCGAGGTGTGCGGGTGGCTCTTGTTTGGGTGGGGAGAGAGGACGGAGCGGGAGCACCCATTCGCCACGGCCGCTGCCCAGGATTGGGCTCGGGCAGCTGCACGATAGCCGTGGCTGCATGGCTGGGCCACCACACGACATCACCAGACCTGCCCGGCTGCTGCATGCAACAGCGTCCCGGTGCTAGGCGCATGCAGCACGGCAGATGACCAGATCGTCATGGCTCCCACTGCCAGAAGCAGGCCGGCCCGCCCGCCAGGCAAGACATGACCAGACGAGACAAGTCTCGCGCTCGCATGGCTGCCCGTCCCCAGGGCCGACTTTGGCGGCCACGAGCTCCAGCAACACCACCACCACCACTTGCGCAGCTCGGCGTGCGGTGCTCCCAGCCTGCAGACACGGCCCAGGCGGTGCTTCTGGGCTGCTGTGCTGCTCGTGCCGCCCAGGCGAGCGAGCTCAAACTAACTAGGCGTACCAACACTAAGTACCTTGGTAAATAGCGTACGCTACAAGGGACCCGCGGGAGCAAGGAAGAGAATGCCCGGCCAGCCAGGGTTCATTGCGCCGAAACAGCTGCCCGCTTCGAAACCAAACAACCTGGACGCCTCTTGGTGCAGCGTCTCGTCGAGAGTGGAATCCGACCACAGGCTGCCTCCTGCAGGCCAGGCCGCCCAAGGTTCAACTGACATAATCTCCGGAGCACCCAGCAGACCAGAGAGGAGCTCGCTGGACGCGACTTGCATGCTGCTAAAGTTGGTGGCCTCGAGCTATACGGCCTTAGTGGGAGGACCCCAGGACCCTGGCCTCTCCATCCAGACGCCTGCCCTTTGTGCGGCGCTCTAATCGGTGTAGTGCGCGCGCGCCGCCTGCGACACCCCGGTTTGGCTGCTTGCTTGCTTGCTTGCTTCGCCTCCTGCTTGCTCGCTCGCTCAGGCCCTGCCTGCCTGCCTGCTCCCGGCCATCGTGTTGCGTCTTGCTGCGGCGCTGAGCTCGCTTGTGTCCTGACATCAGCCTCTGTCTTGTTGGTGTTGTCATTGCCAGAGGCAACCACGCTCGTTAAGCACCACGACCAGCAGGTCCTTTGCAGACCAACATCGCGCGCCGCCCACAGCCAGCAACCACGGCGCGGCCTCGACCACAGCGACAGCGACGACTACCCTCGCCCCTCTTCCGCGTCCAAGCTCGCGCGTTGCCCCCTCCTTCGACTGCCACAGACCCCGTGCGCCAGTGTCTCGAGCAGACAGCGACTTTTGATATTGCTTGCCTTCGTTCAGAGCTCGATTTCCACAGCCTGCTACCTGCGGTCCGACCTTCAGTGCGCCAAACACTGCTCCCAGCTCGAGCGGTGGCTCCGGCTCGTACCATTCTGCCCCCAGCAACCACGCGGGCGCCGAGGCCGCTGTGTGAGCTCTCGAACTGCAACTGGCCTTTGTGGACGCCTTCGCGCACAATACTTATAATATCTGGCCCAGCCTCCTGTTTCGGCCAAGCTCAGTGTCAGGTATAAACTTTTTGGCCATGGACACCTCGTTTTCCGATGACGAGAAGGTATGCGCGGCAACTCTCAGGAATGCTGGCCCTGGTGGAACACTACTGACAGGTTTCTAGCGCTTTGTGCTTGGCGAGATGATCAAAGTCAGCAGTATAGACGTGCCGACTCTGGTAGAGTTTATCCGAGCCAACCAGCTCGAACCGAGGTGGTTGTCAATGCAGCTCCCTGGTGGTGAGAAGGCCCATCCTTGAAAAATAATACGTTGTTGATCCTTGATCTGACTTTTCCTAGGTCGAAACATGCATCAATGTATGGGTGCCGTTGACAACATGTTCCAAATCAAGTTTCCTCCGCCAGATCTCCCCGGTTACAAGCGGAGCACTCTCAGCGACATGGTCGATCCAGCACCAAAGAGACAGGCTGTCATGATGCCCTCGGAACAGCCGATGCCACCCGCCCGGATAATACAGCCACGGCCGGCTTCAAACAGCTTCATCTCCATGTCAGGCCCACCAATGTCTACGCCTTCAGCCGGGCCGTCATTGACAGCCACTGGAAAGAAACGAGGGCGGCCCTCGAAGGCCGATAAAGAGGCACAGGCTCGTGCCAATTACTCGAGATCTGTCGAGTACGCGGCCATCACGCCGGCACCGCCACCACCGGCCACGCTCAGATCTCCTCGTGAGTATGCAGCCTCGCCAGGCTACGAAGTGTCCAGCTACCCGGAGCAGAAGCTCAAGAAGCGCGAGCGCCAAGGCATGACGGGCAGCCCACAGCCTCAAGGCCCATCTTATGCGATGGCCTCTCCAGTCTCGACTGCCGGAACACCCAGAATGCTCCCTGAGCTCACGGACAAAGGACCAATCTCGCCCGAAGGACAGAAGTCGGTGCCTCCGGAAAAACGCTCGCCATCCGTGTTACCACAATTCATACATCATCATCACAGCTACCACCATGAGCGTCCGCCGGCACCACAGACACAATCTCAGCAACAGCACCAACAGCATCAGCATCAACATCCTCATGTGTCGCACCAAGAGGCGCCAGACTCTCGACCGCCATCGCAAGGACCAATGCCACCTCATACACAGCACCACCCGCCTGCGCGACCACCTGCAGTCTTTGACCCCATTTTCCCAGGTCGGGATCGATCACGAGCTGGGTCCGATCGGCCAACACCAGCTCCAGCTCCGGCAGCAGCCCCACCCATAACGAATAGGGGCTGATGAAAATCGGATTTGAACAGATTCACGGCGCAAGGGCGGGAGGGAAAATGGAAGCAGCGGAAGTAGGGACGGATATAAGCTGCTTTGCTAATGGGGAATTTATCGGTGGGCACTTGACAGGCACGGCATTACGGCGTTTTCTTGGGCTGCTTTTTTTCTACACAAACATTTTCTCAGCCACCACAAGTCGTCCCGGTCAAGGGACGGTGGCGTATCTACCTTGTAGATATATTTTCAGGCGCGGGCACAGCGGTCAGCATGGAAGAAGATTGCTGTGAAATAGACGGTGTGGAGTTCGGCATGCTACGGATTCTCTGACAATTGCGAGCAAATTCTTGCGTCAGCTCTGGAAACATGCAGCCAGTATATAGTGCTTGAAGATATGAGCTGCAGCCGCTACCTCGATGCGGGTATTAGTGAACAGCAAGAGCGCGCCGAGTATATTGGTAAATGTACATATAGGTATACACGTATGTCTACACAAAGGCCGACGGACACCTCAGAAGCCCTCATGGGACGAGATGTCTCAGCCGTAGTGAGCGATCTCTCCGGATCATGGCTAGGTACTAATGTCTGGACATGGCAGGCCACCAAAAATTGAGCAGCGGCCGCAGCCCGCAGAACTGTGGTTCGGATGACTTGCAGCTGCATCCCCAAAAGCCACACACACCTCGATTCGCCCTCGCCTCCTGCCGCAATATCACCGACCTGATGCTTGACCCGACTGGACCGTCGAGTCGTCCCGTGTTTGCCTTTAGCACGCAGGACCGCACCCTCATGCAGGACAAATCTTTACATTCTGCAGTATTTGTAGCTCGCTCCAATTTGATTTCTTTTTGGCAACCGATCGCTTCTGGGAAAACTTGTTTCAGCTGAAGCGGTTTCGACATATTTGGAGCTGCTGCTGCTGCTGTCCAAGCACGAGGAGCTCTGAACCCTTTTTTTGCATGGTTGATTGTCCGCTGCCTCACCGGAAGAAAGGGGCGTACCTGGCGACGTTGCACCAAGGTAGGGATAACAAGCGTCATGCACGTCATCTCCGGGATCATTGCGACGCTCAGCATCCTCCATTCGACCCGTTTCATCTGATTGTGGCTCTGGTCACCCAGCAGCGCCATGCTCGGTCCTGCAGGCATGTTCAATGAGTAGTGGATGAACCCGCTCGAGAACTCTGAACGAAAAGTTCAAGCTGTCAATCGTCGTCTGAGGAATCGTCCTCCTTGCCTCTAGGTCTCTTCTTCGTGCTCGATGGCGTGGCTGGCACTTCGTCCTTCCGAACAAACACGTAGCTCCTGGCGGGCCTGTCTTCGCCCTTCCAGGCGCTGTCGGTGACCTCGCCGGTCAGCTTGTTGCGCACGACGCCGAGGGTCCGCGCGTGGTGGTAGCCCGGGTACGCACGTGCCTGGAAGCGGAAGCTGCGCTGGACCTGCAGACCGCTGTGGCGAGCGAGATCTCGAATGTTCCAGAGCGTGTACGGCTCGCCCTCGAACAGAGTGACAATAATAGACCCGCCGGGCGCAAGGGATGGGGTGGCGCTCTTGAAGAAGCCCACGAGCATCTCTTGGTTGTAGCGGACCTGGCGGTTGACGTCTGTGCTCTTGCCCCCGACGTGCGGGAAGTTGAAGAGTATACGGTCCATGATCCCCGGGCCGCCGCCGCCCTTCTTGCTCTTGCCCTTGCTCTTGTCCGACGAGTCTGTACCTGCGGTGAACGGCTTCATGGCGGTCGCGTCGATGTTGTAGAGGACCCGGCTGCCTTCGGCCTCGATCTTGGCAATGTTGTCTGCGACATGAGGGTATTTGGAGACGAGCTCGTCAAAGTCTTTCTCCAGGACGGTGGCGGTGACATCGGCGCAAAAGTGGTGGTCGATGAGCGAGGTTGCAAAGCTGAGGTCGCCTTCGCCGACAAGAAGGATCTTGTGTTCGGGCTCAAAGGGGATTGTCGGCTCGAGATGCTGTTCCTGAGTCTTCTTTGCCGGCTGAGGCGCACTGGACTTTGTCGACGCCGACCCTTGTGTGTTGCTGTGCTGGCGCTTCCCTGCGGCTTTCGGGGCGGCGCGTTGTTGCGGCTTGCCGCCCTGCACCTTCCGGCGCTTTGCCATGTGCGATTGAAAGAACTTCCGCTAGCGGAAGTAGCTGGACAACGATGTGGCCACGGGGCTTGTGTGTCGCGATGCCGTGAAGAGCCCCGGATGTCGTCGCACTGCATAAGAGATCTACAGCTTCAGGGTACCGCTTGGGGGTTGGATTTTAAAGTGGAGACCACCTGGGCAGCCCTGCTCCTGCTGTCCTGGGAGATCGCGTGTAAGTCACAAAAAAACGTCCACGCGTGGTTCCGCCATCAGCATGGACCCCAACCCAGGTTTCATCAGGATCAGCAATGCGAGGCGAACAAAGCAACAGAGCCGCAATAGTGTTTTGGCGGTGAGCTTTGCATGGTTGACTGGATCTGGTTACCCAATGATGACGCGGAGGCCTTCGATGTGGATGTGCGTAGCAGCTGTACCTGGAGCTGTAGAAGTAAGCTGGAATACGCGTGCCCAGGTGGGTTCTCACTGAGGCCGTCCATGGGCCTGGCTGCCCAAGATGAGTAACTTGTTGAGGTACGTACCGGCAGTGGTGGGAAAGAATGTGGCCCACTTCCCGCACGCCGCAAGCTGCCCCCTTCCCATAATTGGTAAGAGAGGCTGGGCCCGCCCGTGGCTGGCCAATGGTCCCCGTAGCCAGGCACGATTTGTGGGACCACCCCTTTGGAGCAATCTCAATCCGCTCCTGGGAAACTCTTACACGCAGCTGTCTCAGCGTTGCATGCTCGCAGTGGAAATGTGGCATGCAAACGCGGATCCCATTCAGCGAGACCACAAGACCGACGGGCCTGACTGCATAGCCTCCTGACCATGGCTATACAGACAATGAGGAGGAGCATTATAGGAGAACAGGTGGACGACTCTGTGCTGCCCTTTGCTTACAAGTGTAGATGGGCCTGTAAGTCAAGCAACAGTAGATGGTCCTGTCGGCCAGTGCAGAGGCCAGCGTGAGACGACTTGAACTTCAGGATCGTCCCTGAGGCGGAAATGTTCTCTCGGCTCTGTAGCTCCCTTCAACCGCCCGCGGCATGATGCCGTGTTGGCCGTTGCAAGTAAGACAGTAGCATCGGCTACACAGCGTGAGCAATGAAGATACTCATGCAGACAAAACCACCGGGCGAAGGGCTCCGTACGCGGCCTGCCAAATGCCGCAAACATGTAAATATCCAGATCCAGAGGCTCATTGGGCCCATGTGATTCGTGAGGCTGTGTAATGGCGTTGGGATGCTTGGCTGCATGTCCTAACAACACCCGAGCTTTGGGTTCGCCGCCAAACGCCCGTACCGAGACCGGCAGGAGATATAGGCAGCTGATCACTTCAACCATAGCATTGTGACCGTTTGCCTGGGATGGTTATCGAACATGTTGCAGACAGTGGTGCAGCAGCCAAGGATGGGAGAAGGAGAAGCACGTGGCCGTCGTTAGATGGGAGGAAGGTGGAGGAGGCTGGTGATGCATCACCTACAGACCACGCGTGGTCCTCAAGCTGCCTCGAGAACCATGAATCTTGCAGGCTACTGTACAGCAGCGACGGCAGTTAGCAGGATGAAATGAAAATGGGCTGCCGTCGGCGCAGTGCAGCCCTCGATCTGACGGAGCATGCAATAATGATCGTGGAGGCACCTCAGTCAAACGAGGTTGCCAGGCTGGGGGTAGACCCGCCTAAAATCACGTGTTGCACGCAGTGATTGGCTGGGACGGGGGGTGGTCCCGTTTGGTCTGGACACGGGCAGTGCGGACAGCGCAGGGCCTGGCTGGAGCCACTCAGTCAGTCAGTCAGTCCCCTTTGCCTGGCGCAAATCTGACTGCCAAATCAACGACTCGCCAACACGCACTGCAGCACTTCTGGCCTGCCACCAGGGCGTTTTCTTCCATCAACGACGGCATCGCTTGTACTCTTGCTCTGCTCATCGCCAGGCGCTATTTCCATCTCGCCGCTCTCGGCCGCTTCTTGTTTCTTCTGGACGAGTGCGCCTGTCACGGGGCCGCGGCCAAGCTCCATCTCCTGTCTGTCCACCTACACGCACGAGCTGGCGCACAAAGAGCATGCAAACCCTCTCTGCTTCCCTTTCTCTCACATCATCGCCCATTACCCCAACCGCCTTTCCTTCATCCTCACGCCCCGCGTGGTCCTCCCCCGTCTCTTGAGGCAGTCCCTTCCTTCTTGAACGCACTTGTTTTTATTGGCCCCCATTACCCTGCCGTTCCATCACGCACGGCGCCCTGCACGCTTTTACATGTCTTCCACGCCTCCTTCCCGCTGAAGCCATGGATGAGGTCCCGTCCGCTGCTGCCTCACCGGCACCCAGTCCTGCCAAGGGCAGAGGCTCGGGACGAGGCAGAGGACGCGGAAGGGGAGGTTATGGCAGAGGCACTGGCCGCAAGACCAACACCGCCTCTACCGCGACTCACTTCAGCCGTGGCCGTGGCCGTGGCAGGGGTCGAGGCCGCATCAAGACATACACCGATTCGCGTGTCCAGGCTGCCTACGACCGCCAGCGCGAGCTGCGCGATCTCTACTCGGAAGTCGCCAGCGCAGTCAAGCCCGCGCTGGAGGAGCTCGCCGAGCAGACGCTCAAGGCCATCATTGAGGACCCTTCGTGTTACAGAGAGGTCGCAGAGTTCCGCGTCGTGCAGAAGGAGCTCGAGGCTCGGTACCATCAGGCCGTTCGCGCCGCCGATAGCCAGCTCAGCGCCAATCTCGCCATCCTCAAGAGCACTCACGAGCTCAATACCATCTTCACCCACGGGTCATACATTGTAAGTCGCCCGTCGTTCCATGTCGGCAACCACAGTCTTGCTGCTTTCCCCCACTTCCTCCTGACACGCCCTTTCTCTGTTTTCACCTCTGCCTTTCATCTCAGCCAATAGTCTGCGTCCACGCATGGCCGCCATCCATCGCTGGCTAAATCATCATTATACTGACCTGGCCCCGCAGAACTCGTTTGAGCGCGCTTCTGAAGACTTCTTTGATGGCGCGCTGAACCGCACCAGCATCCTCGCAGAGCTTCATCGTGAGGCAGCACCTTATAACGTAAGCACTCCTCTGGCCGCCTCGTGCCCTGCTGCTCGTCGTTCATTCGTCTGGCTCACACTTACTTTTAGACGGCCGAGCTCCGTTACAACTATGTAGAGGAGCCTGATGAGGTTGCCAAAGACCAAGGTCCCTATGTCTATTTCCGCAACGGCATCGAGATCCCCAATCCGAGCCTGCTGGATGACCACAAGAAGGCAGCCGCGAAAGCTGGGCCAGCCCGCAAGTTCCGTTTCGGACCTAAGCGCAAAGCTGAGGACCAAGCCGAGGGCGCCCCTGACCTCAAGAAGCCCAACATCAAGGGTGAGAATGGTGACGAGAGCGCTACACCGCGGGTGCGGCACATTGGCGGACTTCTCTCCGCATCGTCGGCCTTTGATGCAGAGCAAGACTCGAACGCACCCAGTCCCCCGGCACTCTACGATGGCCAATCTCCTTCGTCCGATCAGAAGTCGGATGAGTCCAAAAAGGACATGCCTGATCTGCCGAACGGGGCATCCGAACCTGACGCTCGAGGCGTGAGAACCGTGACTCGCAGGAGCCACAAGGCTAACAACCGTCTCATCATCCCTCCCCTGTTTGAGTTCGACGATGACATGATTGGATATCGGGACTCGACCAACGATTCGACCCGGAAAGCCACCCGAGCCACTCGGGGCCGTTTCCTCAACACTCCCAACTCTGGCACGTGGCACATTGATCAGACCATTGGCGGCGTCAACTGCCTTGATTACGAAGATGACGCGCTCGACCAGGAGCTGGTCAGGAAGCACAATCTTCACTCAAAGTATGGCATCTTCCTGCCTGACTCTAGAAATGACTCGGAGCCCCCAGAGGAACATGTCGACGGCACGCGGCCCGTGGTGGTCATCACCCCAGACGGATCAACGCTGCACGCATCACGTACCGTTCGTGCTATGATTATGGACCAAGCACTTGAGGCCGACGCGAAGAAGGACAAGATGTCTCACTTACTTGAAGCATTCTGCGTTGCCGAGGAAGTGGACCCGGACAGCATCGTGTCGGACGAGATGCGTGAGCGTGACCGCCAACTCCAGGAGCGGCTTGCGTCGGTCCCTCTCGACCTAGAGTCAAATACCGAGGAAGGCGTGACCACGCCGATGCCTACACAAGAGGAAGAAGACTTTGCCAGGGAGAGCATTGCGCAGCTCTTGCAAGCTAGCCATGTCGCCGAAGCCGAAAGGCCTGTACAGCCGCCGGCGCAGCGCTCCTCCCGCCCTTACGATGCTGTCAGAGACATCTTTGCTGCGTCTGAGCCAAGCCCCCCGGCGCAGATTGCCCGCTCGACTGAGTCTGAAGCATATCTGCTCCTTGGCTTATCGGAGCCTGCGGCGCCCGTGTATGCTGGAGAGTACCCGAATGAGCTGGCCCGGCCGCCAATCTCTGAGGCTGCAATGATCGACCCTCGTCTACTTGGCAGCATCAATCCACTCCTGCCAGCGCCCTCCAACGCTTTTCTGCAGACGGCCCTCAATCCCACGCCATCGTATGCCCCTATCGCTCCGGCTCCTCCCTCGAACCAGCCGTCGTCATCTCGGAATCCCTTTTCAAGCCAGAACAGCGCGAAGGGCAGCCCAGTCTTGCCGCCACTCCGGCCCGTCCGAAGAGACAAGGGCGCCGTGGCTATGGAGGTTCCTCCTCCGAGGCCGCCCTCGCGACCTCAGGAACATGGCTCGCCTTTGGGTATGATATATGGAAACTCGGGTGGTTACTATCCTCCTGCGCCCTCACGTGCGTACCATCACAGTTACAATATTCACGAGCCGCCTCCGTTGATGCCGATGCACATGCCGCCACAAGGCCATCACCTCAACGGACCAGTCATGATGCATTCGCAACCCCCAACCCTTGCACCTTACCCGGGTTTGTCTCCGTTATCTTCACACGCACAGCTTGCACCGATGCCTATTCAGATGATGACCGGCCCGCCACCTGGCCCACCGCCTCCGCCAATCATGATACCATCACCACCAGCGGGAGGCCATCGTCATCGGACCTCGCTCTCCTCCGCCAATGGAATGGCCTCACCTGTAGGAGGGCCTCAACCCGATCGTTCTGGCAAATACCGCAAGATCGCTGCTGCCCCGATTCCCCACAACCGGTATTCTCAGACTCCAGGGGGCGCCGAGTTGCGACTGGCGCATTATGACCACAAAGAAGCCATCAAGGACTATGCCGCCAACGCACCGCCTCCTCGGAGTGGTCCCACCACCATTCGCGGCTGGAATGTAAACAACGTCGCCAAAGGTCGAGGGAGCCGCGGCAGCTTGCGGAAGGAGGACTCTGAGAAAGAAGAGTCACCAAAATGATATCTGCATCCCAGCACGCGAGCCCAGATGGAGTATCAACTACACCGAGATCATCCAATGTTGGAAGACCTCGGGCTTCTGGCCATGGCGCCTAGTGTCACACAAGACCTATGAAACCATGTTGCCAGTATTTCCTACTACATTTCCGTTTCCTCCTTTCCTCTGTCATTGTCATTATTGATTTCAGCATAGCACAGCACCGGGTTGTACAAGATAGCATGCCACATATACGCACAGAGGCACCGTCTGATTTGGTCTCGTGTGGGGGGAACGAAGCAAAAGTTTGTCCAACCTTTCTATAACGCAGAGTGGCAAATGGCATCATCAAAAACGGCGTTCCAAGGTTGACGGGTTTCTTCCTCTTTCTGCTCTCGAGTTTTGCGACGCGCGTTTCGGTTTGTTTCCACCGTCGTCGTCAGAGACATCAAAGGTGGCATCGTCCCGGCTGGGGACTTATAATCTTTGGTGTAGTCCTAGTTGTTGAATCTGACGAATCAAGAATATCTCTTACTTGTTGCCGGCTCGATGTCGTTGTGCCCATGGGCTTGTTGTGAGCTGGGATTCTAGTCCGAATTCAGGGTCCCGGCAAGCCCTTGCTTGACATTGGCCGGAATAATGATTGGCCACCAGTCAAGTCAGTCACGGCCTTGATTGTCGTTCTAAGGCCCCATCAATGACCAATTTGCTCATCTCGGTTTCGGAAACGGGCCCCCTCGATCCGCATCCCACGGCAACAGACCTTGAGTTGTAACCCTATTATAGGTTCACGCCAGCGAGCACACATGCAGGCGGCGAGGAGGGAGGGTGGGAGTGTGGGTATTCCTTATTTGGGCCCCCGGGGTATACCTTTTTTAAGAAAGGGAAGATGCGTGTTAAGCCGCTGATGCCGCGGTGTGTGTGTGTGTGTATTTTCTCGTCTCCTCCGATACTTGCTTTGTTTCTGATTCTCCTAGTTGTCCTTCTCGTCATCCTGGGGCATCGATTTTCTTGTGCCTCCTGGTGGACATGTCTTGTGGCTTGCATGCAAGCTACGCGCTATCTTTCGTGAGTGCTCAAGATGGTGGTGGCGTGTATATATACATTTCACAGGAAAAGGGTTCCTCTTATGAGAGTGGGGATGCTCAAGCAGAAGTCATTTGTCATGCATATCCCAGGTATCTATAGTTTGTCACAAGATGCAACAAGGGGGGGGGTACCCTCCTGTAGCAGGGCTGTACGTGTGTCTGTCAATGGTACGAACGAGACACAGCCCGGGTTTGATATCACTCTCCATATTCAAAAGCGTGTTGGAACGGGGAGTACTTCCGCGGGGATAGAGCACGGGAGGTATTGTGCTGGGGGTTTCTCTTATTTCGGCAGCGGCAAACTTCTAAAGCTTTTCTTTTTTTTAATAGCTTCCAACGTTCTCCTTTCCGCTCCCGTGTAGATCAATCAAAAGGGAGGGGGGGCTTTCCCACCCCTTGCCCATTCCTCTGCCTTCCCAAGTGTGCTATATCCCCGGATCATAGGAAAAAAAAAGATCTGACCCCACACAGCAGTGATGAGGCGCGGACACACACCCACAACACTCTCTAGCTCAAGTTTAGTAGAAGCTTTCTACCATGGTGTCCTTCATGGTGCTGTTGATGTTGCCCGGGGCCTGGCCCTCGCCGAGCCTGAAGACGGACTCGATGACGCTGAGCTCTGTGGCGGTGGTGTCGAGGCCGGTAACGGCCATCCAGTCGTTGACGACCATGCCGGCGCCGACGAGCTGGCTGCCGCGGTTGACGGACCCCGCGACGAGGGGCACCTGGAGCAGGCTGGAGAGCTCGTCCTGGTCCTGGATGCTCGTCTTGGGATGTACGAGGCCGCCCTGGTTGCTGAGGGACATGTAGGTGCCGACGAGGACGTTGTCGGCAATGGTCTGGCGGAAGACCTCGACGCCGAGGACGTCGGCAATGATCTCCTCGGTCTCGCGCTCGAGGTCCGGGTGGATGAGGGCAATGTGGTCGTTGGCGACAATGACGTTTCCCAGGGCCGACAGGCGCTCTTCTATGCGCTGGATCTTGACCTCGTCTGGTAGCGAATTCCGCAGGTGCTGCAGCTCCTGGTCTGTTGTGGATGTGGGGACGAGGAGACCTTTGCGGTTTCTGCAAGGAGAAGAGGGAGATGAAGACTCGAGTGTCAGCCAATTTTTGTCCGCCTTGGTTCCTCTTGTCATTCTGACGCGCAGGGTCCGGCTTACCCTGACGTTAATCTGCCAATGATCCTCGTGCCGGCAATTGTTGTCCGCACAATGGGGATGACATCCTGCAACTCGGCCTCGAAGACACTGTAGAAGTTTTCGCTGGCGCCAACAGCTGTGAGGGCGTACGAGTTTGTAAGCGTCGAGAAGACGCCGACCCTGGGGAGGCACACGAGCACTAGGTCAGTATTCGCGTCTAGGAAGGAGGAGGAGGAGGAGGGGGTCCGAGACGGTGGGCAGGAGTGACATGGGGCGGGGTCGACATACTCGTTGGAGTTTTCAAAGGAGGCTCGGACCGCCATGACTGTTGGTGAGCTGGTTGTTGTTGAAAGGAGAAAGTGTATGTGTCTGCGTAGGATCGTGGGCGTTGCTGTTGTGGCGGGCGAGTTGTGGTTCGTGGTAGAGCTGCAGGTCGCACAGAGAAAGTCTGGGGTCAGAGTCTTCTCTCGCGCTCTCTCGTCGAGCTTGTGACGGCGACTTCCAGGCAGATGTGGGGTTGGGATGATGCAAAAAGCTGCTGGGCAAAGGTGGAGAGAGGGGCGGCCGCCGCCCAGCTAAATACTTGAGTACTTTCCCAGGTCCCTGGCTGGCCGTCCTCGAGCCCAGGCCCACGACAACAGGTCTGTCTGTGGGTGAAGCCATTTGGCATCATGCTCGACAGTTGCTAATCACCATAGGACGGTGACTCAAACAGCCCTGCCTGTGTGTGCATCGCCACCGTGGCCAGCGACTTCTTGCAATTCTTGAGTGGTCCCGCCGCCAGCCGCAAGCCCCAATTGGGCAGGACCCTGCGCCCGCAACACCCAAGCCCCGTCCCACTATGAATCATATCGCATCACGCCGGGCGGGCCCAAATGCAGTCGCCAAGCCATTCGCATCATCATTGGTGGGTTGACACTTTTTGACAGGACCTCTGTGTCCGAGGGCTCTAGACCGCGTCTTCTCAGATGGCCGGTGTTTTTTTTGCTACTCGTCTCTTCAATGGCCTGCTTTGCCTTCACACTAGCTAGAGGCATCAAGTTGACAGGCAGCCTCCACTGCCCAGGCGGCCTGGTGACGTGACTTACCAATCTTGCAGACGCTCGACTCCTCCTTCCGCGGCATGCGGGTAGATGGAGAGCAGGTTAGCAGCATACATCGTCCAGACTCGTAATTCAGACAACGTTCAATCCCCTTCTACGACTCACCGTGGTCATGACTTGGCATGACTGCGAGGAAAACACGGATGCCAGATCTAAAGACACAGAAGCATGGGGCCAGGTTGCCCAGTGCGCCATCTCAAAAGCCTAACGACAGATACAGCTCCAAGGCCGCACATTGCGAACCGCATACGGCAAAAGGTAGACACTGACTTCCCTCTATTTCATTGCTTGAAAAAGGGGGCCGTAGCATTACTCCCTGCCCGTAGCCATGTTCCACATCTCGGCTTCGTGCGCGCAAATGTCCTTCCTAGCAAGCCCAGGAAGCCCCTTTCTGCACCACTCGTCCATACTGGCCATGAGCCACTTGGGAAACCCCCACCAAGACAGCAAATGTCACCTGACCTCTATGGCAGGGAAATACCTCGGTCCCGCAAAGCCTTTGGCGACAACCGCCTGGATGTCAATGTTTCCCGTCGGGTCCTGATGCGGGCTCCACATCTTCAACAGGATAAACCTCCCGCACACAGGCGGGTCGAACGTAATGGTGCACTGGCTCTTGTTGCGCTCAATAAAGAATCGAGCGTTCGGCGCCAGCATTTCTCCTCCGACCGCTCGGACAGCTTCTTGCGTGGCAACTTGTGCCGCTTCTGCCGCCTCTGCGAGTGATGTGCTCAGTGAGCCTCTGCGTCGGCGTGGTCGGTCATCAGCTCGGCTCATATATTGATGAAGTCCGTCGTCATCGTCACTGCTTTCGCTTCCGGATTGCCCTAGCCCAAGACCATTCGCGCGGCGCGAACGCCACGAGCCAGCATGCCATTCATGTGCCGTATCTTCGTCCGCATCTTCGTCGCCGTATTCTATGTTGACGCCATGTGGTGATGTGATGTCTCGAAATTCTGGTGGAATCTGAGCGACTCGGACGTCCCGTTGATCCGCATCATCACGCCCAATCTCGTACAGGCGCCTCGCCCGCACCTGGGCATTCGTCATCGTTGTGCCATCGGCATTGTGGCGTACCGACAGTATAGGCAGGTGGCTGTGCAGACTGTCCCTCGGTGATGTTTTCAAGTCCGAATATTGGATTTGATATTGTGCTGTTCGCGCCAGGAGATGGTCTGAATGCATGGCTACAAAAACCATTCCCTCTTGAACACTGTGCGGAACAGATTAACAAGAGAGCACGGTAGAAGCCTGGCCGCACCAAAAGGGGGGCGAGGAAACTTGGAACTTACGGTGAAGTGTAATTAGACCGAGGGGCCTTGATCACCAACTCTTGAAGGGTGAATACAGTAGCCCCTTGATGCCGCAGCACGATGTTGCATCTGGAGCCTTCAGTGCAATAAACTGTTGGGTCGTTCTTGAGAATATTCTCCACAGCATATCGGCAGCCATCGTCGGAGTAGATACCACCATCGCAAGAGACGATCTCCATCGTCAACTGCCCAGGATCCACCTGACCATACCGGCCATATCTGAAACCCGCAAAGTTGGACGGTATCCTGTCGGTGTCAAGCTTGCGCCGCTTAGCCCGGCGATTACTTTCCGGCAGTTCTCCTGGGTGCTGGTGGTGGGACATGGCTGAGCTTGCGAATCCTGTGCTGCCATTTCTTGAGGTCTGTGTGTAATCATCGAGAAGCTCCTGTAGGTCCAGGTTGTCACTATACGGTTGTTCCGACAGCAGATCGTCCATCGCAAGCCGCGGGCGAGTTCGTGCCGAGGACCGCGCCGGGCGGCGCACGTCACGTTCGGGTTCGGTCAGCGAGCTTGCATCGTGACTGCCGCCTCTGTTCTGCCGCCCGAAGCGGCGCCTCTCCATAGCCCAATCTGACATTCGACTGCGACTGTAGCGGTGACCGGCGTTGTTCGTCTCGGACATGAAAGGAGAATAGCGAGGACCGGTCGTCGACCTCAGCGATGGCAATGACGCAGCAGATGGCGGAGTGAGCCAGGTGTCAAGATCACTGGTGAGTAACGAAGCTCGCGACGGCCTGTCTTCCACGGATGGGTTTGGGGGATCGGAACCCCCCCTCCGCGCACGATACGTGGAAATGCCAAGCGTGGGACGGATGCGGGCCGTGGTGGCATCTGCAATGTCTGCCTGATTCGAGGTGTAGCGCTGCTCTATCGCTCTATAAAGCTCCCCCGAGGGACTGATCTGGGCAGCTGAGGCGTGGTCGTCGAGAATCGAGCGGACAACCCGCTGGGCAGTCTGATATAGGCGAAGATCGTGGGCCGGTGCCTCGGAGCGACGGCCAGACTGGTGCAGTTAGCACACAGGATCCGAGACAGCATGGCGTGAGCGCTGCGGACGAACCATGAAGTAGCCAACAGTGACGACCCGAGTATACTGAACCGGTCTGGGGAACGGAGACCACGCAAGCGGCGAGGCGGTATGGCGGTATGGTAGGCGACGACAAAGAGGGGCAGGGTGGTCGTGCCTGGGCGGGTCCGCGGGCGGCGCACGTGGGACGCGCGAAGGATAGCACAGCAGGATGAGTCGCAGGAGGCTCGAGGGGTGCCTGATCTTCGAGATCCGGTTTGTTATTGTCCCTGGGCGGTGCAGGTCTAGATGTGCGTCTGCTGATGCTGATGCTGCGGGCGGGGGCCTCTTGAGGTTGAGGACGCTGGAGACGTGGGCGTGGAAGTGTCATGAAGTGGACAGCGACGCACACCTTGAGGGGAGTGCGTGCTATCAGTCAGGGCTCCTTGCGGGGGCCGCTGGAGGATGGGTGGAGCCAAGCCACTCTAGCCGGCCGCAAGGTGCTCCAGGTTAATGGTGAGTGTCACAAGCACTCACTCATCCATGCCCACCAGAGGCCATCTTGGAGAATGCCCGTCAACAGTGGCTCGCCAGGACGCAGCGCATATCACAGGAGATCCCGAGGAACATACACGATCCAGATCCAGCCCGAAGCCGGACTCGCGCATTACTATTTGTCTGCAACTCGTCGCGACCTCGGGACTTTGTGGTGCCTGGGGCTAGTCGCCCAACACGGCACTTGCACAAGTGACCACCACGAGCCATCAACAAGCCAACGCTAAGTTGCAGCCCGGTGGCCCGGATCCTCTGCGTGTCAAAATTGCACTTGTCCATCAAAGCAGAGACAGCAACCAGGCATACCTGCCAGCCTGGGAGCAGGCAATCCGGCGCGGCGCGACTGGTGTCTTACGGGCTCACCTCCAGGTCCCAAGGTTGTTGTCAGGTGGGCCCTTGTGCTCTCCAACCACCCTGGACACCTACCCGACCCGACTCACGACCCGTTCACGGACGTTGCCGCATTGCGTCACAACTCTGCATTCAACAACGTCGCCATCACCTCAAAGTCCCACGCTCTGTAGTCGAGCTCCGTCGAGCTCCAGCCATGGAGCAGGATCAGGACAAGCTGCCCGCGGGAGCGCCTGCGCAGCCGGCCACCTTGGGAGACCAGCCACCTCCAGTTCAGCAGCCCGTGGAGCCAGCACAACCACAGCCCTTCAGCCAGCCTGCCAACGCCGTCGCGCCAGAAGCCTCCGTGGACGCGTCAGCAACAGGAAATCCCGAAGTCACACTGCCCATCCAGACAGCAATGGCCACAAACGGGATGCTGCCTTTCGTACCGCAGGACATGGGCTTCTCCGTGGGCGGCGCGCCTGCGTTTCCTGGCGGCGCCGTGTTCCCGCCTACCAATATGATGCTGCCCAGTGACCCAATGGCACTGGCACTGAACGGCTCCAACGCACCAGTATCCATGGCCGACCAGAGCCTCAACCAGAATGGCACCACCATGAGTGCAGGTATGTTCTCCTGGCCGTCTTGACCCTTGACTCGGCAAAGAGTGAACACTAACAAGAGAACCAGATGAGATTGCCTTGTATGATCGCCAAATCCGACTCTGGGGCATGCAAGCACAAAAGAAGATCCAGGCCGCCAATATCCTGGTCATTACCGTGAAGGCGCTTGCCAACGAAATTGCAAAGAACCTTGTCCTCGCCGGCATCGCGTCTCTGACTCTACTGGATGATCAGCTTGTCACTGAGGCTGACCTCGGCGCCCAGTTTCTCCTGACAGCCGAAGACATTGGCCAGAACAGAGCTGTCGCTGCCAGTGCTCAGCTACAGAAGCTCAACCCGCGTGTCAAGGTCTACTCGGATCCCGCTGGTATCATGACCAAAGGCGCCTCGTACTTTTCAGAGTTTGACGTTGTCGTGGCGACGGATCTGAGCCCCACGACACTCGCCTTCATCAACACGGCGACCCGCCTGTACAATCGCCGATTCTATGCTGCTGGTTCTCACGGGCTGTACGGCTACGCCTTTTGCGACCTGATCGAGCATGATTATGTCCTGAAGAGGGACAAGGGGAATGTTGCCACAGCAGTTGGCCCAGAAACACGGTCACGGAGTGTGACAGACGTCAAGACCCAGAAAGAAGGCGACAAGACTATTGAGATGGTGGCGAAAAGAGAGCTGTACTCGACCTGGGATCTGGCGTCCGAGACCAGTGTCCTGCCTGTCGAGTACACCTCGTCCAAGCGGCGACTGAAAGCAGTTACACCTGTCATATCTTGCTTGCGTGCTCTCTGGGCGTTCCAGACTGTGAACGGGCGCAACCCAAGTGCTGCCAGACAGGATCTCGAGTTCTTTACCAAGACCGCCACGCAATGCCACTCGCTATTGTCGCTCCCGACCGAGACGCTTCGGTCAGAGATTTTGCGCAGCTTCCTGCAGAATATTGGCAGCGAGATTGCACCCGTCTCGGCCATTCTCGGCGGACAAGTCGCCCAGGACATCATCAACGTGCTTGGCCAGAGCCAGCAGCCGATCCAGAACATGGTCATATTCGACGGGAACAAGATGGAGGCCAATATGTACTCGCTGCACCCCGAGGGTCCGCTTGGCCGAGCACAACTCGAGCTGGCCGTCAACCCGATGATGATGCCGACAGTCGATCCGCAATTCGTGCCCATGGACCAACAAAGTGTCATGGCCCAGGCTGGTCTGTCAGACCCGAGCAGCAGCTCAATGGCACAACCTGGCATGCTCAATGTCGGCAACCCCCCAACGCAAGCGGGGCCCTCTGATGGCCAGGCAGAGACATAGCTCGGCATGCATACGGGTGTCAGAACCTAACAATGGAGTACAAGAGTTTTGGCGTTAATAGAGCTTTTTGTGCATTTGAGCAGGGAGAGAATCTGATGCAAGACTGGGTGGATTTCATCCTGCTGGATACACAGGAAATAGAGGCTTCCGAAAAGGAGAGATATATCCCAGACAGCCGGATAAGGCTCATTCGTTTCTGCACGGCTGCGGCCACAGCACCCCGCATGAAGGGTTCACGGACGAGTTGCAGGCAATAGTTCCTCAAATCCGACCCTCACAAAACGAATTATCATCAGACACGTGCTTTCCAGCCCAGGCAAAGAGGTAAACTGGCACGTGGCATGTCCCCATCGGTCGACCCAGCCGTCGCTTACATTGGATGAGAACAAAAAGTCCACGAGGGCGTGCTTCGTTAGTCCGTCCGTTTAGGTGCAATTGTGCTTGGCCTGCTGTTCTCGTCGGGCCCAAACCAACCTCGTCCTCGTCATAGGCCACTGTGCCGAGACGAGACCCAACATTGCCGCCACTGGGGGCCGTGGTTGGTTGGACAGGGCGACGTAATGAATGGCGCTTGTGACGGGGCGGGCAGACAGGGAGAGCCTACGAACCTTGGAAGCCGCCCTGGTCCTGTGAGTCGATGGGTCTTCCAAGGCCTGGTCGATGCTGAAGCCCCGCACGACTTTTGGTGGCAGAGGGCCTTACTGTGCTTCTCAAGAGGCACTTGCAGGCAGCCGCAGGGTCTCTAGCGCAGACAGGGGTTTGCGCAGCGTGCATTAGTTATCCTAGTGCAATGCGATGCGCGGCCTCCACTGGCTTCTTAGCCTTCCACGGTTGTTTACTGGGGGTTGGACAAGTAAACACACGACCAGCGGCCACACGGGAGCTTCACCACATTCCCTCTCTCTCACATCACCATCCTCTTTTCTGTCCCTCTTACTCTCGCGGCCTGCGACTTCTCAGACATCAACGTCAACTACACGTGGTCGACAGCCCCGCCGCGCCGCCTCGAAGCCACGAGTCAGACGTCTAGTCACCGCGCTAGGCTCAAGCTGCACTGTCGTTTGTCCACCACTCAAGCCAAAACGCTGCCTCGCTGCTGAAACATCACATTCCAAGGGTGCCGGCTGTCCCACACCTTTCCGCGAAACCCTCCGCTACGACCTGCAAATCCCACTTCCATCGGGGGTCGTCACCAACCTTAATCGCTGAATTATCACATCTGCGTGGTTCCTCGCTGGCTTGTGTCGACCAAGATTCCTCGGGGGGGCATCTCCGCTGTAGTAGACCCAGATAGGCTCTACACGGACCCGGCCACACCCAGCATTGCGGCAGGGTCTAGACTACCGAAGCTACCTGCGTCCACCCACCTGACACCACGCGACTACCACCATGCTTGACTCTCGCCCACACTCCCCTGGGCGAGCACATGCTTCCTCCCGTAGCTTCAGTAATTCGGAACTCTATCCTGCGTCCCTGCACCGAACCGACTCGCCCGCCCACTGTCGTCATGAATCTCCGATGACAGACGTCGACCTCAGTGAGCCATCTCCGTCAACGCCGCCGGCCGGCAAGACTCCTTTTCAGCACCAGCAAAACCACCCACAGCGCTCTCCTTTCGCAACACACAGTAGACAGCACTCGACACCCAACTTCCCGGTACCACAGTCTGCACCAAGGTCGCCATCACCGCTACGTTCTCATCTCAGCCTTCTGCCAGACGACATGCCCTTCACCGGCGACGGCCAGGGCCCTCGGCACCCAGAAGCGCAAAATGGGGGATTCGGCGGCTGGCTGCGTCGTGGCTCGACTCCCTCAGTAAAAGACGCGCCCAGATCGCCAGACACGACTCCCAGGTCGGTGCGCACCTCAACGATATCTATGGCCCCGACAAAGACGACGCCACAGTCCAAGCTCGGGCTTTTTGCCTCGTCTGTGAGCGCCTTTGCAAAGAACCTCGGCAACCAGGCCCCCACACAACACATTGATATTGACGATGAGCTGTACAACATGGACATCGAGGCAGCGCTGTTCCCTGCGGCCGCGTCGCCGACAGAGAGGGATACTTTCTCCCCGGCCGCCTACAAGAATCTTCAGACAAATGCCGTCGGCCTTTTGTTGAAGATGCAAAATGCTTATCGGGAGCGGACCGCTGCTCTTCAGGAGGTGCAGAACGAGCGTGATGCCGAGCGGGAGGAGCTTGAAGAAGCGCGACTACGAATCACATTGTTCAAGGGCCAGCTCCAAGAAGTGGCGAAGAGAGCGGCGGACCAGGAGCAACAGATGCAGGATCTGGTCAACGAGCTACGTGCGGAGAAGAAGGCCAGGCACGAAGAACGTCTTGCGCATGCCGCAAGCTCCGTTGCCAGCGAGGACCTCGGCATCGACGAGGAAGACCGTCGGCGATGGCGCGAGAGCAGTGGCACAGTCAAGAGTGACATCAGTGCGGAGACGGACGTCGAGAGCGGCAACGAGAACGAGAGCATCTTTTCGAGGAGCCGGAGCCCGACGGTGATCACGAGCATCACAGAGAGCGACTCCTCGTCACGACCCGCCACTCTGCACCCCCCTAAACTGCAGACGCGACAACTGACGACGCTGCAGAAGCTTGTCAAGAACATGACGGGGGATTCCGACATGACCAGCGTCAACGGATGCAGGAGGTGTAACGGTCAAGATTCGAGCGTGGCGTGGGACACGGTCAGTCTTCTCCGGGACGAGAACAAGGGCCTCAAGCACCGCGTCGCGCAGCTCGAGGTCGCAGTGGAGGGGGCGCTGGATCTGGTCAATGGGATAGCCGTGCGATAGCCGGCGCTGGGTGACTAGCTTCACCGCCTGTGGTCGAGGGTCGAGGAGCATTTTCGGGCGTTTGCACGTTGCATATTTCTTCTTGCACATATACCATCTTTTGTGTTCGGAGGCCATGTGGCCTCCACGGTAGATTTTAGAAATTTGGAAAAGGGTGTAGGCATCCGCATTGTATGTTGGCGTCCTGTGAAAGTTACAGCAAAATAGAAAGGTCTCATTTTTGGTCCCTGTCCACTTCAGTACACTTGACTATCAATGCTGTGTGCACGCAGCCCACAGAAGGGCTCGCTTTGTATCAAGTTGGCATGTGCCGAATATACGAATACTTCCTGCATATGGGTGGCCTTAGTGTGCTCGATGGAGAAACAGCACAAGCCACACATGATTCTAAAAGCCAGCACTTGCGCGAGTGTATCTCGTATTTGGGAAATGGGGGAAAACGAGAACGAGGCGGCACTAAGCGCGGAATTCATAGATGTCAAACGTCGACCACCACCACAAGAGTGATATTTTCATCTTCTTCATCTTCTTCGGTTCTTTGTGTCATTGGTTTACGAGTCTTTGTTTGTATACATCCTTCCTTCCTGATGGCCGTTTTCTTCGCTGCAAAAGAGGCCTACGTGGTTCCCAACGGGGCCTCCCTCACGGCTATCCCGGGTGTCGCCCTACAAATATGTACAAGTCTGCTCTCAGCGGTGCGGAAGATTCTCGGCTCCCCACACTTCATTGGGATGGCAGCAGCCTCCTCCCCAGAGATCCCGGCCGTCTAGCCCTTCCATCATGCTTTTCTTCTTCGTCTCTGAAAAGTCATGCTCGACAATGAGCTCGACCACATGATGGTTTAGCGACCCCGCAGACAAACTCCCTCTCGGTATCGACGTGGATTATCGTCCCCGCCTGCCCCCGACTAGTGGGCTGCTTCAGTGGTGCTCTTCGCCGTGGCCGTGGTGGTCGTCCTTGGCGGTGAGCTGCTCGTACGCGAGGTATCCGGCAAAGGCGACGGTCGCGATGCCGAGGCCGGGGAAGGCGCGGTTGAAGCGCTGCCACCGGGAGAACTGGCCGGTGTAACGCCAGGCCTCACTGTGTAACAGGACACAAAAATCGAATTGTCAGCATAGTCCCAATTATATCCTGGGGTATTTGCCAAGAGGGGGGCGGTTGTTGTAGTCGTGGTAGTGGTTGAAGATCTGCTCGATGCCGTGTGCGCAGCTGGGGAAAGGACAGGTCCGGGCTGACTCACGCTCTCTCCCAAGGGTCGTATCTGGGCTGGCCGGCCGAGGCGGCAAACTTGCTGACGTCGAAGCCGGTGATGTTGGGCTTGGTGCCCTTGTCGGCGCGCAGTATCCTGGTTGTGGGGGGTGATGAAAGTTAGTGATCTGGCTGGTGTTCTCTCTGCTGACCAATTGGTGGCGTTTCATGCCTCAAGACGCAGGCAGAGGGGACGTTCTGGAGAGCATACCTCGAGGGGTACATGGTGTTGGATGTGGTGGGCGGAATGCAGCAAAGACTGTAGTCCTGTGAGTCTGGTGGCTGGCGATGGGATGTCGTCGTGGATTCCAGATGCAATGACCGAGCATGCAGCTTGCGGCGTCGTGCAAGTGTGGAGACGGAGGGCGGGCGGGTAGGCCAATCACCAGTCTCCATTACCACATCATCGGCATGCGGGCACCTTGTCGCAGCTGTCGCGGAGCCTGGCAGCTGTGCAAGCAACTGGAGGGCAGCCCTAGGCTCAGGACCTTGTAGTCGAGTTGATCGTCAGGCACGATATGTCAAGGTGGCCCTCGTCTTAACGACGTTGGGAGACTCATGAGCCGGAGTGTCCTATATGTCACACCTGATTTGCTATCTGCAAGTCCACAATCACTAATTCTCGTGGCGGCTTCTACAAGCAGTAAACTCTGGCCTTTACGCCCACTTCGACGTCTTGGTACCTGAGACTGCAACCGTGTCCTGCGAGAGAGTACGGGCCCAGTTCTACCGTATCCTGTTCTCCTTTGTTAGCTACATAAGCTATGTTGTCGTCTACAGAGACGAGAATTGAGTCTGCTTGACGTTTTCTGCGCAAGTAGTGGCGAGGGCGACACGGAGGTGCAAAGCACTGTTGCATGCGTTTGACTAGAATAAGGTTTCCGTGCATTACTTAAGCTGCTGGGCAGGGCTGGATCGCAGCGCCCGGGGTACGTACCACCTGTGCAGTGCACCATCCCGCAATCCATCGCTCAGATCTGTGCAGGCGCGCGCGCTCAATCCTGAGCCAGCGATGCATCTGATCCATTCTTGCCCACCACTTCCTGTCCGCACACACGGTCACGACCCTCACCTACGACGCCAACAGCACCTCCGCAGCATTGCCTCTCGACCTTCCACAGACCCCGGCGGCTGGCGACACCGTCACTGTATCGCAGCATCGACAAATATCAACCGCTCCAGCCCCGCAGCCACGACGGTTCCCATCACAGCCCAGCGTTGCCCTCGAGCATCCCGATCAGCGAGCAGCTCGCCGTCACGCGGCGCCACCACATTCTCCTATCGTCCCCTCCATGAGGCCCAACGACGCCCGTCATCCCACAAATCTGACGCACACACACATATAGGACCCCCAATTCCCTGGGCGGTCTCGACACGATGCCTCCAGTCACGGGCTCCCGCTTCCAGAGCGGGCCAGTCCCAATGTATCACAACCAGTTCCCTTCGCATCCCTCACAGTCTCATTCCGCCAGCCACCAACCGCCCTCACTCGCAAACCCAGCCTACCTCACTGCGAATGCCCAGCTGAGCCCATTCGGAGGTGGTGGCTTGGCGTTGGGTGGTGGAATCGGTGCGGCAGGAGCCGCCTTCGGTGTGGGTGATCAGACCGGGTTTGCGAGCCATGCGGCCAGGTCCAGTTTCCAGCATGGAGCTCAGATGCAGCAACAGCAGCAACATCTGCACCAGCAATCACACAGCTTGGGCGGCGAGCGCGGACCACGAGCCGGCGGTGCAGGCAAGGCTCGGATCCGGGACGTATGGAAGCACAACCTGAACGAGGAAATGGCTGTGCTCATGGATCTGGTGCAGGACTATCCCTACATCGCTATGGTAAGGAAGAACCCTCCTGCTGCGGATGGGAGATGAAAGAATCGTCTTGCTAAACCGCGCGTTCCACTTAGGACACCGAATTCCCTGGAATTGTTGGTAGGCCCATGGGCAACTTCCGAGGAAAGAGCGATTACCACTATCAGTGTCTCCGGGTCAATGTGGATCTGCTCAAGGTTATACAGATTGGTATCAGCTTATTCAACGAGAAAGGCGAGACTCCGCCGGAGCGGCCACACCCCTCAGACGGCCACTCGCAGACCAAGAGGCATGGCGCTCCTGTGCCGTTGACCTGGCAGTTCAACTTCAAGTTCTCACTTCAAGACGACATGTTCAACCAGGCATCGATTGACTCATTAAAAGAGGCCGGCATCGACTTCAACGCGCTCGAGCGCGACGGCATCGAGCCAAATAAATTCGCCAGCCTCTTGATTCCTTCTGGTCTCGTCTGCTTTCCACAAATAAAGTGGCTGTCATTCCACGGCGGCTACGACTTTGGCTATCTGACAAAGCTGCTCAACGACGACAAGTTGCCAAAGGATGAGTTCGAGTTTGACAGCATCATGAAGAAGTGGTTCCCCTCGACTTACGATGTCAAACACCTCATGAAATACGCGGTCAAGCTCCATAACAGCGGCCTCGTTACACCCAACCCAGCCTCGACGGAAATCATGCAGAAATTCGAGCAAAAGTCTGGACTGGAAAGCATTGCGGAAGCGCTGAAGATTAAGAGGGTCGGCGCGGCACACCAAGCGGGCTCGGACAGCCTGCTCACGGGCAAGGTCTTCTTCCAACTCCGCGAGCGTATCTACAATGGCGAGATCCCTGACGACCATATCGGTAAGGTCTGGGGCCTTGGCTTCTCTGGTCTGGAGATGCCGATTGCGGCGATACACAATGCTGGTGTAGAGAACACACCCCCGTCGGGGATGAATGGCACGGCGAACGGCGGCCCGAGCACGCCGAACACGGCAAATGCTGGCCTGGCCAGTACGCCAGCAGCACAATCGCATAATACAAATGGCATGACGGGCATGGGACCGATGACGCCGGGCGGCGGCGGCGGCGTGTTTGGCCGCTTCGCTATGAGCTAGAAACCCTCGCTCCCGAACGCTCCAGCATCAAGCGAGCCGTGGACGTGGCCAGAGTCTCCATCCCACATCAGCCCCTATACCAATAGTTATATGTCTATACCACCATCAATGCTACACTCTGCACTTGTAACGATTAAAACGCAGCATCAGTTCCAGCAGGATGTCTGGCAGCGCAAGCAATATCAGAATGAAGACAAACCACATTGAGCCCGCCAATCATGCGAACCCGCTCTGGATATTGCCATTGCTCGATACAATCAATGTCCGTCGTCCCGAAGTTTCCGCACGCAAGCGCCCGCAATGCCACGCAAATCCTCTTCTTTGTAAAACCTCTGGCACAAATCCACAGCACTTGTATCCATGACAATCCAACCCCGAGACACAAACATCCACTTGCACCACGCGAGCGACAAGCTCGCGAGGGTGAAATACTCAACAACCAATCGTTGGCCCCATCGCCACCCAGTGTGCCCCAGAGGGACCAGACCATGGACGTGAAGGACGGCGAGGACAGCAAGGACAGCGACCACCATTTTCATAAACCGCACGCCTACTTTAGAAAGTACCTCTTCCTGGGCTGTCAGTGGTCACTTACCGTTTGGGAACATGTATCAGGCCAAGCAACACCGTCTTGGGCATTTGGCGGCTGACAGGAGCTCTCATGGTTTCTGGTTCCCAACCGTGTCTGCGGGTAATGCCATGTCCTGCATTCAAGTGCTTGTAGTATAACGTTTTGTTGTAACCTGTATATGTGCGGGATTCTGCGATGTTCGTGCGGCAGTTGACGAGGCAGATTTGTCGAAGAAACAGTTGGGCGTTTTTGTTTGTATGCTACCCTTTTTTTTTTGTCATGGCGGTTTGCCATAAGCTTTCCTGTTCCGTGCTTGCGGTGTAGGTTTGCGCTGCGGGGTCTTCCCTAAGGCGTTTCTCAAGGGAATCTGCTGCTCTGTTGTGGTTTCGTTGCGACTTGTTATGCTTTTTTTTTTGGCTTTGGAACCAGGGGGGATCTGTAACTAAACAAGTAGCGTCAAGGCGTGTACCTAAACCGGTGAGTGGACTGGAGGAGCGGGTTTCACGGGGCGAAGTCTCTCTCGCTGATATCCTTAGAAGGCGTTTTTGTAACGCGAATATGAAAGTTTTCCCGGCTTTCTTCTTCCAGCGAGACGTTTGATATTTGTGGCAGGGGGGATTGGGAAAGGGGCGGGAGGACGCGTTTCTGTCGTCATTACATTCCGAGAAGGATATGCTTGTAACCTCTCTGAGCGGGCCGAGCAAAACTTTTTGTGTGTCTAGTGCCTGGCGTGCGTGGATTATTGTATCATTGCGTCCTGCACAAATCAATCAGATCAATCTACATTGCCGAGGATAATGCACTTCTTGGTACAGACACGGTGCCGACTATCGTTTTGGCAATTCTGAAGACTGGGATAGTGGGCAGGGATGGTACCTTTCTACCTTTGGATGTGTTTGGCGGATCTATCGCTCATGTACGACCCGGAATAAAAAAATACAGTGGCATTTGAATGCTTAATCAACTGGACCTATGTACTTGCGTCTGCGCCTGCGTCTGCTGAAATTCGAACCTGGCTTGCGAGCCTCGAGAACAAGATGGGGGTGAGTCAGTTTGGGTAAATATATTTCTGATCTCTGCACTCCCTAACGCCAAAACAAAACGCCAGATTCTTCACCAAAAATTGGAGCCTCAGACAAGATACGGTAGGAAATTCTAGGAAAGGGGGAGACCTCTAGCGAAGGCGCGCACACAGTCAACGTTGTTGACTGGTAACACGACCCTGACGTAGCCCGAATCAAGTAATGTACACCTTCTTGAGCTTGTCGACATCAAACAACTCGCCCGTCCGGAGGTCCTTGATCTGAGTTTCCGGAAGGCCAGCCTTCCTCGCGTACTCCTCGAGCCTTGCTTTCCCATAGGCACGGTCGTTGGGAAGCAGCAGCAAGTCGTGCTCTACATGGCTCTTGCTGTGGAAAGCGTAGGGAACATTGCGGGCCAGCTCATTGAGCTCGGTGCTGCAGATTGGACAGACGCTCGTGGCGAGAGACAGGGAAGTGGCGTGGCTCGGCGGTGCGGCTGTCGACGCTGGGTGGTGTGTGCTGTGACATGCTGGTGTTTTCAGGGCAGACAATCCCGACGACAATGCGACGTGGAGAAGGGGCATCGAAGGTAGAGAGAGGAGGTTGTTGTGCGTTGTGGTGAAAAGGTCGGCAAGGGTCTTCCACCGGTCGTCTGAGTATAGGTCTGCGTATGCTCGTGGGGCGGAGGATGGGCTCACGGCCAGCATGCCGCATGCTCGTAGAACCTCCTTGCGATAAGTGTCCTTGTGCGGCATGAGATACTTGCGGGCATGGTTGAGGGCGTCGCTCGGCCGAGAGCGTGACCTGTTTCGAACGAGTTCGATATATTGTTGGTAGCGAAGCATAAATTCGAGATTGCTCTGTAGCACACAGTATCAGTATTATGTCCAGCAAAGATTTCGCACAGAGATGTCGCTGCCGTAGATGAGACTCACGTTGATCTTGCGCAGCTCTTTCTTGGTGTCACCTGCAGTACACCAGGCGAGAGCCTCCGTCACGCTCCTGTTCAACAGGCTCTTCCTGATCCTGCTCATCTGCTCAAACGTCTCGACATCGGCAAGGAGCTCGATGTTCTTCTCCTCGGCCAGAGCCCTGGCACTGCCGTTGTGGCCGTGGCGCAGAAGGTAGTCAACAAGCAGACGATCAAGACGGGTGCGGCTCCAGACATCGTACTTGACGTCCTCGACGCTGTGGATGCTGTAGAGCTCGGCAAGGTGACGGACTCGGGCCTCCTCGTGACGGTGTAGCCTCTGCTCCTCCTCGGAGAAGGCGAGGAGCTTGCGCTTGACGCCGCGCATGCGGGCGATCATGCTGTCGAGGCTGTTAAGGACATCCTGCTGCGAGGCGCGGCCGTTGACGCAGGCGGTGGCGGTGTCCTTGAGGGCGTTCTTGACGTGGGTGCCTTCCTTTTCAACCTCGTAGTGAGCGAGGCGGAGGTTCTTGCGGAGGAGCTCGTAAGGGAGGCGGAGGAGAGGCTGTTCGAGGAGAAGGTGGTTCTCGTGGTCGAGCTTTGGGGCAGTGTGGTCCGCCATGTTGAACGGCGGGACAGTCGGTGGTGGTGGTGGCGTTGTGTTGGATCATGCATGCAGAGGAGAGCATCGTCAGGCCCGACTGCGAGCGTTGACGTACCGGGACGTCGATCGGAGCTCTGCGGAGCTCAGCTTGCCAGGGTAGGCGCGGAGCCCCACCTGCACCTTCCCCAGAGGGTGCCCAACCGTCAGACCCCTGCACGACCTCCGAGGCTCCGGCTCCGGCTCAAGGCGTCAAGCCGGCCTCGGATGGCGAGTATCGGTTCAAGCTGATAAGACTCATTATGCGTGAGTCTACAGCAGCAGCAATGAACGTGCCCTGCACAGCGCAGCAGAGTTGTTCAATGGCCATGATGAACAGCGAGTCCACACATCAGCACAATAGTCAAGGGGAACCATCCTCAGACGAGAATGGAGCAGCTTATGACTGGGGGAAGGGAGGGGCGGGCAACTACAATAATCCCATACGGCCAACACGACTGCCTAAGGTGAGCACGTATCAACAAGACATTGCGATGGCTTTCGCTGGAAAAACCCTGTGCATGGTAATGGACGCAACGTACACTGGCTTCACCCTCATTCGTGGGGCTGGTCACCGTGCTGGGGTTGACAAGGCCGGGCTCAGAGCTTCAGAAGCGCACCCGGAATATACTTGAGAGCGTAGATAATCGGGCCACGGTACAGCCTCCCTTCAGAAAGGCGCGGAACCCCAAACACGACGATACTTTGCCTATTGTTTGCACCCTCCACGGCACTTGGTTGCGGCCCTGGCAAGCCACACCCGCGGCACAGAGAGCTAGATAAACATAAAGTACCTTAAGTACACTACCATAGGTACTTACTTCAGGTACTTAAGGTGCTTAGTTCATTAGCACGGAGTCATTCAGGCTCCCCCCGGATCCAGCCACCTCAAGATGTAAGCATGCCTGCGCATATGTGTTCACAACCAAGAACCAGCGGATGCACCACTTAGAAGCATCGACTACCGTCTCCAACAGTTCAGAGCGGCTGCCCCAGGACGGGATGGTGTGATGCGCATCGAGCTACCGTCATGTAATCAGCAGGGATGCGCAACCCTGTCTGCAGCATTCCCACAGACGGGCCAACCGGAACAGCCCCCTGACCACCAACAGGATGTGAACAGGACACTACGGCACTTCCTGCAGTCGTCCCGCCAGCCTCAGATTCCAGAACGGGCAGGGTGGTGAGTGTGTGGTGCGTGCTGATAACCCACAGCTTGAACAAGTCTTGTGACTTCTAGAGGTACTTACTCCATGGACATGGATTCCCCCGAGTCTAGCTCAAGAAGCGCTAGGCCTCGTAACGCCTGCTGAGGCTCAAGGACCACACATTCGCAAATCTCACCGGGGACAAGCATGGTTTATGGCCCTTGATGTGGCCGTGCTGCAGCCAAGGCCAATACATTGCCGGGAGCTGCGCAAGCGCTGGCGATCGGTGCACATAAACGCTATCTCCACGCCGAGTTCGTGTCGACTAGGCATCCAGGAATGGGCAAGGAGTTACGCTCTAGCCGCGATGGGCTGAGGGGTCGTCCTTTCATTGCTCTCCGACCATGCACTACTTGCTGATGCAGTTCTCGAAACTGTCTGTTGTGTCCAAGATGAGACATCAAGTGTAACCTCGATCCACTCCAGCTGGGGATGGGTCCCAACTTGCTGGACCTCGTGATCCGGTAGATGGAGGAGCAAGAGCGGGTTGCCGTGTGCTGCACCGCATGACCACCCATTGCGAGGCAAGGCTGGGGATGGGGACAACGCAGCCAGTCGTTCCATCATTGGTGTCTGGTCTGGAAGTGGAAGATGCCCATGGCGTGGGTGTGGTGGGGACGAGGAGACGGCTGTGGCGTCAAGACTCGAGAGCAATAGTTTGGAATGGAGGCACTGTGCGCAAGAGCCAGTCGGAGACGACGGCCACCCGTCCAGGGCACAGATACAGTGTTCTTCTGTATTGCTACTGTGTTCAAGGATCCGTAGATGTTGGAGGCGTGGGACCACGGCCGCCCCTCCCTCCACCAGCGGACCAAAAGCTGGGAGGCACCCAGGCCTGCAACCCACCTCGAGCCTGCCCTCTCAGCTGACCAACCCCGTCTGCTCCATCCCAAAAAACCCGTGACACTCCCGCCTTGTCGTCGTCTGTCGCGAGCGTCCCGTCCCGCGAATACAAGATCGCCTGCTGCCTTCCCGGAACCGACATCTTCGGATCTCGTCCTGATACTCGCTGCCAGATCGCTGGCCTGCTCCCGGTCCTTTTCCCGCGCGCCCTCCCTGCTCTTACCGGTCCACCGACGCGTCCTGGCCGCTCTGATATCCCGGGATCGACTTTGGCTCCGTACCCCGTGAACACGTGAACAGCCCGCCAGATCACCTGATCACATCGTGAGTATTGGCCCAACTCTACTATCGTCCACATCGTTCCCCGCAAGCTCCGTCCATCACGCCCTCCGTCACTGCGCGTTCCACCTATCACCGCTTTGCTGCGGCTCGGTGCACGCCGCATGTTCCCAATAGGCGTCGCATCTGCTCGCAATGCGCGCATGCGCGCACATCTCGTCGTCGCCAGTCATCAACACGCAAGCGCCCTGATGCTGCTGTTCTGGCCGGGCTGGAGACGTGCACCATTACGTCCAGCCACTGCTCTATAATCCCTTGCATTCATTGTGCCCTCTGCTGTCCATCTGGCCCATTGCCGCCCACAACTCGTGAAGTTCACATGGCGCAGTTCATGCACGGCCAGATCACGCTGCGAGTCTGCCACGCTCTACACGGACGGCTCAAAAGTCGCGAGCAAGCCGCCACAACCCACTGGCTCTCTACTTATCGCAAGGCGATGGTGCCACCGGCACGGGGCAGGCCAGATGCAACGCAACAGAACATGTCATGTCACTTTGACGTCTCCTGCGGCGTTCTGAGCTTGTGCCGAGCGGCACTCTGCGAATGCCATTGACGATGAAATAATACTGCAACCTTGAAAGGACACATTTGCTTCTTGACGAATATACGGAGGAGGATATGGATGCTGACCTTCATAGTCCTCGGTGAGGTCGATCTCGGCACAGAACCACTTTCACGCTGGTCGCTTGCACCAGAGCACCTATGATAGCGACAGTCGAGCCTCCGGCCGCACACCGTACCTACGACGTGATGGAAGCCCATAGCTATACCCAAGCAGAGTCACTGCTTGAGCCCCTAACACATATAAATCGAGAGCATCTCGTGGCTATGGCTGCCGATGCGGTCGCTGAGCACACAGACTTCACAAATTCAACACCTACGAGTCCCTCTCAGAAGAGGAAGCGAAGCGGTGCAGACTCCTCACCAGAATCCCGCCGGTCCAAACGCAGTGCTCCGAGCGCCGCGTTGAGCGCCACGGACCCAGCTTCTGCCGCGTACGTCGAGAGTGCCGTCGAGGCTGCTCAGGCAGCTGCACAGGCAGCCAACGTGAACGCCGACTTCAGCGCCCTTCAACAGGCCACTGTAGAGCATCCGGAATCTGCCGATTCTGCCAATGCATCAAGTACAGCAGCTGCGGCATTGGGAACCATGTATCCCTCGATTCACATACCACCGAGCACGGACGAGACGTTTGCTGCCCATCCTGACCCCGAGCCGGACCAGCATGCGGATCCCGCATTCAACGCAAACGAGATAATCCATGCCGATGGCCTACCGAGAAGCAATTCGAGTGCAGCATCGATATCCCAACCATCACCACAGAACGGCGCCAGGCCAAGCCACTCTCCTTACTCTGGTGGCCTCGTGCCCAAACCGGCCGTCGGCTCAGAGGAGTGGCACAAATTGCGGAAGGATAATCATAAAGAAGGTGAGCATGTCGGGATGACCAATCGCAATCCCCCAGAGGTAGTGTGTACTAACTCGTGCATTTCCAGTCGAGCGGAGGCGGCGAGAAACCATCAACGAGGGCATAAACGAGCTGGCCAAGATCGTCCCTGGCTGTGAGAAAAACAAGGGTTCCATCTTGCAGCGCGCAGTGGCCTACATCACGCAGCTGCGGGAGAACGAGGCTCAGAATCTCGAGAAGTGGACACTGGAGAAGCTGCTCACAGAACAGGCCATCGAGGAGCTTAGCTCATCCAACGACAAACTCAAGCAGGAGTGTGAGCGCGTCTACCGAGAGCTGGGCATCTGGAAACAGGTTGCCCAGAACGCCGGCCTACAGCCCCCACAGCATAAAGAGGACAACGCTAGCAACTAATACGTGGTAGTCGGAGAGCTGGCATGCCTGTGGTTTTCCTATTTGGCGGTTTGCGGTTGATTTTCGGTTACCATTATACCCCGGCACGCGTTTCAGCAACGGTTGCCATTAATGTTTGGAAGGTTCACGGACTGATTTGTTTTGGGAGTTGGTTTTGGGCGGAGCGCACGTCAAGTTGCGCGTGGTCATAAGATTCGGTCCAAGCATGACGGCAAGGAGGAGGCCTTGCTAGACTGGTCGGAATAGCATGACGCGTAGCTCAAGCCACCATGGACAATGAAGTCTCTTGAGGCACGGGCATAGGGTTCCACATATGTGCTGTGAACGCATCTCGACCGTGATATGCCGAGCCATCGTCAAGTCGACGTACATTGAACTCTCAGTGAGGGTGGTATGCATGCGACCCACACTGGATGGGCGGCTGCTGGGCTGGACAGGGCTCCACGCCGGGGCTTGCAGATGACTGCAGGATTGGGCTGCCGTTGCAGACAAGACGAGATTCATCCTGTGCCTCTGCCCTGGCCGGGCGGCCGGACTACACGTGTCCAGTCACACGAGCGAGCGTGAGCAGGCGGTGGCATGTCTCGGGCAGCAAGACTCAGACAGGGACTGCGGAAGGGGGCACAGAGAGGGAAGAAGAGCATTGGCTGCTGTTCTGGCAGAGGAAGTGGGGATCGCGAACGCGGCCCGCTCGACAAGGTCAGACATTGCCATTGCGGCTGCTGCCTGGCTACCTGGAAAATACATGGATGGAGTAGCCATGTTCTAGATGCAGGCGGGTGTAGCGTTGCGCAGGCGTGGATGATGAGACGACAAGAGATGCAACTGGTCACGGCCCTGGCCTGGCCTGGGCTAGCCGGTCCTCCCGTCACACCACCGCGCGATTCGTCACTTCCATTTTTTTTCTTTGGGCCCCTCGTGGCCTCCCCCTCCTCCCCACTCTTCCCACGACTTGCACAGTCTGTCTCCCAGTCCTCATTCCCACCACAACCACCATCGCCATTGCACAACCGCAAACCCCGTCTTCGCCAGTTCACGGCAAACCTCCGCAACCCGTCTTACCGCGTTGCTTGTTGCAGACAACAACAGGCTTCGTCCTTGAGACCCTTACGCTCCAGCACCCGCCACTCCCCGCACAAGCACATCATCGTGTCGGCCCTCGCCATTGTTCGCCTTCCTCTTCAACAGTCTCCGGACTCTGAACGACCCTCCCACATACTCGGCCAGATCACACTGCTGTTTATGTATCTTTACGACCAGTCCGCTGTGCTTAGACACCTCCCCCCATTGACGCTTCAGTCATTTCGCATACCGCGGAAACCTTCCAGTCCTAACATCAGTTCCATCGGTTGAACAACGTCGCGAGCATCTCGTCTTCGAGTTCATGCATTCCAACGCCCGTCATATTCCTATAGCTTCCTCTATGTTCTCCGAGAACCATCCTCTCTACTGACGCCCTGGCCCGCCTGTCCCATCACGCCCAAGCAAATCCCTCCGCCGCAGCCTATCCTGCCCAGCTCACTCTTGCCTGCTGAGCCCTCGTCCTCTACATACCAAGAGCCCGCCTCTCAATCTGCGCTAAAGCAGTCAGCCAGACCAGCACACGTACCACGCATATTCTGAGCCAGTCGGAAATCACCAATACCGCAATCATGGCTACCGTCAACGTTCGTCGCGATGTCACCGACGCCTTCTACCGTTACAAGATGGAGAAGCTCCAGACCAAGATCGAAGGCAAAGGCAACGGCATCAAGACCGTCGTCGTCAACCTTAGCAGCGTCGCTCAGTCTCTGGCCCGCCCTCCCAACTATGTCATCAAGTACTTCGGATTTGAGCTTGGTGCCCAGACCAACATGGACCCCGCCGATGACCGTTGGATCATCAACGGTGCCCATGATGCACCCAAGCTTCAAGACTACCTCGACGGCTTCATCAACAAGTTTGTTCTCTGCCGCAAGTGCAAGAACCCCGAGACCGACGTCAACATCAAAGACGGCACCATTATTCTCGACTGCAAGGCCTGTGGCCAGCGCACTGATGTCGACCTTCGCCACAAGCTGAGCGGCTTCATCATCAAGAACCAGCCCTCCAAGAAAGGTGGCAAGAAGGACAAGGCCGAGCGCAAGGCTGCTCGCAAGGCGAAGCAGCAGGCCCTCCAGAACGGCGGCAAGGAGAATGGTGACGGCAGCGGCGGCGACGAGGGTTCCGAGAACGGCTCCAACGAGAACGGCGGCAAGAACGATGACGACGAGGAAGAGGATGCTGGTAGCGACGACGAGTTCACTCGCAAGATCAATGCTGCGGCCCAGGAGATTGATGGCCCCACCGAGGTTAAGGATGACGAGTGGGCGGTTGACATGTCCGAGGAGGCCGTCAAGGCACGTCAGAGCCAGCTCCCTGGCGAGTTCCGCAAGAAGCTGGTTCTCGGCAGCGCCGGTGCTGAGGATGAGGATGAGGACGGCGAGGGAGGTGGCAACACTGTCTACGACACCCTTGGTGACTGGATCATTGAGGAAGCCAAGACCAAGGGGGGTGTCGACAATGTTGACGATGTCGACGTCTACGTCAAGGCAAAGGAACTGGGCATTGAGGGCAAGCACCGCACGCTCTTGGTTCTCGTCCAGACTTTGTTTGATCAGAACGTTGTTGCTCAGCTTCCCAAGCGTGCTGGCCTTCTCAAGCAGGTTTGTCAAGTCTCCACGATCAAATCCAAAAAACCCATTGAGAATAAAACCCCTAACATACTGAATGCAGGTCATCTCTTCGGAGCGTCACCAGAAGGCCCTCCTTGGCGGTATTGAGCGTCTGCTCGCCCACTTGGGCAAGGACGAGCCAGAGTTCCTTACTAGCGACAAGGTCGTCAAGATCCTTCACCAGGTCTATGACAAGGATCTTGCAGAGGAGGAGATCATCACCAAGTGGGGCACCAAGGGCAGTAAGAAGTACACTGACCCCGCGACCAACAAGAAGATCCGCACCGCCGCCAAGCCCTTCATCACCTGGCTTGAGGAGGCCGAGGAGGACGATTCGGATGACGAGTAGTTTGCTCTTCGTGCTGGATTCGCCCACTCATGAAATTGTTCATGTTCTTGCTCGATAACGGTTACGTCTGATTTGTACTCCTCACGCTCATGACTAGGAACGGACCATGAAGAATGTTTGTAAGGCATGGAAAAGTCATGCCTTCGGTCGTAGTCTACTCTCCACTCGTGTCATAGTCAATTCCAAATATGTTTATGCATACACTCCTATGCCTCTGATTGTAGGCTGATGGACTGCTTCATCTGCCCAGGTTGTCTGTCTGGCGTCTTGCCTGTAAGTCTGGCGAGTAAGGTCTAGCAGGTGGCTTATTTCGTGACCAGCTGGTCCTTGGTCCAGCCATCTGGTCCACTCTGAGGAACGGTTGTGTGTTAAATGTCGTCTGATGACTTCGCTTTGCAAATACCAATCTCGCGATCGGGAGACACGCGCAGAACGGGATGTAAAGCACGGGAAGTATACCATGCCTATTACATCTGTATCAGTCCAGCATTATGCCTTATTACGCTACAAATCCGACTGTGCCTACCAATGCTGAATACTCAGACCGGGCTGTCGAAAGGTCCGCCATGACTACCATGTGTCCGGAGCCTTCCCGGCATCTGCTGCACCGCTCTCCCAGAATCCTCCCGAACTTGAAGCAGCTTTTGGGTCTTGCCAATTTTGGCCTGTTTGTCCGCCAGTCTCGAATTCGCCATTCGTGCCGCTGGGTGGGTTCGCGGGGCTTGGCCAGCTCCCGGGTGTTGGGTTCGGGGACACCTGCATCTTCGAAGGACCGCCATCATGCATCGTCGTTCCTGCACCATAGCCGTCTCCATTGTTCATGGTAGCGTCGTTGTTATTATCCTTGGCCCAATCTGACCCGCCACTGCTAGCATTTTTCATATTGTCATTGCCCCAGTCAGGAGTACTGTGGCCATTGTTGTTCGTTGGACTTCCCCAACTCTCATTTGTTGAGGCCGGCATATTCGTAGGTCCTGAAGTGTCCCATGATGTTTCGTATGTTGGTTTCTGGGGGGTGCTGGCCATGGCAGCGTTAGGACTGTTCCTTGGCTGGCCTGCGGCGAAGTCGCTACCCATGACATTGCCATTGCTGTTCTGCGCTGTATGATGGCTGGGCATATTGTGGCTCTGTTTGCCAGCATTTGAGCTGCGCTGCAGACGGGCGCTGATCTCCTCGAGTTCCCGGGCCATCTGAGCTTCCATGTCATAATCCGTCCTCCCTTCTGGCTGGGTAGCATTGGGCCTGGGGTTTGGACTGTTTGTGTGACCGGGAACTGATGTACCTGAGGGGCCATTCGGAGCGGCACGGGCGTCTTGAACTCCCCGTGCCTGATGAGCGTTGCTTGACCCTGACTGAGTCGAGTTATAATATCCTGGATCAAACGACCCAGTTCTGAGATTAGTCCCACGTGGGTCTGCTGCGTGCGGACTTGACCATTGATTCCGAACTTGAGGTGATCCATACTGTTTTTGTGCCTCATCAAATATTCTTGCGTCATAAGTGAACTCTGGGGCGGCCTGAGAGCGGCGAGTTGACTGGATGTCTTCAGGTCTACCTGGAACAGTCGTGGTACCATACCCCTGGAACCATTGATTTCCACCTTCAGGCGGCAAGGATGGCATTGCCTGGGCCTGTGGAGGAGGATAGCCTTGGTAAGAAGGCTGTATATTCGGTAGGTGCTGCCCGTTGTTCTGCATGTAGATACTGCTGTTCGTAAGATTCTGCTGCTGGGGAATCGAGGCATAATTATTCGGGTTGCCACTTGGGTTACCACTAGCATTCCGGTAGAGACCTCCCGTCGCATTTCCATACACCGGTCCATGATAAACCCTCATGACGCGGTTCTGATTGTCGAAAAAAGCGTTGGGGCGTGGATCAGTGGGAGTCTCCATCGAGTGCTCAACATGAACAACGTTGGACCGCGGCGGCATCAACCAGTTCGGGTCGAAGGAGGCGGCTGCGTGTCCTGGCGGCTTCCCAGGGTCTTCCTGGCGGGATTCCTGGAGAGGCTCCTTCTTCTTTTTGGACTTTTCCTTCTCCTTCACCTTTTTCTTCTTCGCCTTTAGCAACTTCTGCATCAGCATTTCGATGACGGCTGCATCCTCCCCCTTGCTAGAGTCGGACTCTGGCGAAGCTGAAGTGCTTTTGTCCTTGGCTTTAGAGTTGCTCTTGCTCTTTCCCTTCTCTCCCGAGTCTCCACTTGCACTTGTGTCCGCATCTGTTCCATCTTTCGAGGTGCTGACTTCAGAATCGCTTGCATCTGTTGTCTCGTTTGAGGAGGCGGCGCTTTTCTTCTTATCCTTGTTCTGCTTCCCTTTTGACGTTCCACTTGCCGAGTCTGCGTCTTTTGCTTCCGTATCCTTCTTTTTCTTTTCTTCTTCTTTTTTCTTTTCTGCCTCCTTCTTCTCCGCGTCTTTTTTGGCGTCTTCCATTTTCTTTGCCTTGTCCGCCAGGAACTCTTTGTAGTCCTTGGCTTCCTGGTCCCGAGCCTTCTTCGCCTCCATGGCCTGGTTCCACTTGAAGAAGTTGTGGACGGTCTCCACATCGTCCGGGGCGTCCGTGTCTTCCTCGTCGTCTGAGAAACTGACCCTCTTCTTGTTCTTTCTCAGCCGGGACCGCTTGAGCGCTTTGTGTGCCCTGACACAGTTTCTACAGGGGCACTCTGGGTCGAACTCCTTGAGATGATCTTCGGGTGCGGAGGCTGACTCGGTGCCACTGGTCTCGACGTCCTTATCCGAGCTCATGGCGGCGTCCGAGGTGTCTGCGGACGATGCCGCGGACTGCTTGAGGGCCGACTTGAGGGCGGCTTCCTTCTCGGATTTCTTGGACTTGCTCTCGGTGGCAGTCTTGGCCTCGGCCTCGTTCACCTCTTTTTTCTTGCGCCTGGACTTGACAAAGAACTCGACCTCTTCGTCCTCATCTTCGGTCTCGTACTCGGCCACAATCCGTCGTCTGGGTCTGGCTCGGCCCTTACGCGGGATGTTGGCGCCTGCGATCCACTCGAGGGTGGAATGTGGCGGCATTGTGAGGAAATGGTGAGGGGTGAGCCGCAGGGGTCGATCAACACGAGTAAAGACTTCAGACCAGGACCAAGTTATCGGGCTACAGTCCCTATCTATCAAGCTTCAGTTCTGTATGGTCGCCGTCACCATCGTGGTCATGGAGGTGGCGGAAGCGCCTGAGTCCAACAGGCGTGTAATAGCGTCTAGACAGAAAAGCAAGCACTTCTGTAATCCGGCAAGCAGCGAAGACTTGAGTGACAGCTCAGAAGCGAAGGGCAATGCCAAAAATACAAGGACGGTAGGACGGCCAAGATGGGTGAGAATACGGTGTTGAGGTTTGTGAGTGTTTCCTCGTGCGAGGTGGGAGCGGACCGAAGCATTCAAGCCATGCCTGGTGGCTGCACCTGCCTTTCTATGCGGGCTTTCTGTCAAACATTTCTCCCCAGCAACCAACGACTGGCAGCACAACCACTGCCTAATCATCCAGCACTTATCCATCACAGCTTGGCCTTCTCCTTGAGCTCCATCTCCTTCCACCGCCGATTGATAGCAACATTATGCCAGTACGTCCACAACCCGGACGCGACCCCCAGCGGCGGCACCAGCAGACACAACCAGCTCCACCACGACGGACTGCCCTTGCGAATCTGCGCGATGGCCCGGTCAATCTCGGCCTTGAGCTGCTCGCGCGACCCGTCGTTCCAGACCACCACGCCCCGGCCCTCCCCGCGCGCCTCGCACCGCTTCGCCTTGAGCCGCACGTCCGCCTGGCTGAGCACGCGGTTCTGCGCGTCCTCGCGCGTGAGGTGCGGATCCCGCTCCATGAGCCGGCGCATCTGGACCTCCGGGTCCCGGACGGCGACGGTCACCACCACGCCGGACATGAGGTCGAACCCGCTCTCGAACAGCAGCGGCACGTCGAGCACGACGGCCCAGTGGCCCCTGAGGTAGCACCACAGCAGCGCCGTGTAGATCTCCTTGCGCACCGCCGGGTGGATGATGCCGTTGAGCACGCCACGCTCCTTTTTCCGCTCCTCGCTGTCCCCAAACACCCGCCTCCCCAGGGCCGGGCGGTTCAGAGGGCGGCCTTTCCCGTTCGGCCCGTGTTCCGGCATCGTCGAGGACGCTGGGACCAGCAGGTCTGGCGTCGTCGGGCCAAAGTACTTTACGATGGCCGAGTAGCCGGGCGTGCCGGGCTCGACGACCTTGCGCGCCAGGACATCGGCGTCGATGATGGGGAGCGAGTACGGTGGCGCTGTGAGGATGGAGGACACGGTGGATTTGCCGGTGGCTATGGAGCCCGTGAGCCCGATGAAGAGCATGGCTTGGGCGGCTGGCGGTGTTTGCCGAGCCTGATAAGACGTGACGGATATCTAGCGGATGCAGCGTGTGTGCGTGCGTGCTTTGTGTAACACAGAATTTGCGGTCTGCCCTTGGGGACTTTTTGCTGCTGGTGGTGTTCCCAGCCAGATTCCAGGTCAAAATGAGGCACCGAAATGATGATGAGGAAACGTCCCCCGTGATGCGTGCGCCGAGGTCCAGATTGGCCAGCGGAGAAGCTGCGCATCCATGTCCTGCCCCGGGGCCGGGGTGGGGCCGGCAGCACCATGCGTTCAAGATGCATGCATGTCACACAACGTCATTGGCTCGCGAGGCCGTTTCTGGCACTTCAAGACGGGCTGTTGCGGTGCTTGCTCAAAACACGATGGTATCTTTTGGAATTTGTTCTTATGCGATAAGAAAACGAAAAGCACAAACAACTCCTTTGCCCGCATCCTTTTTTACCAATTGACTTTCTATCCTTTCCACTCCCAGACCGTTTCCTGAGTCCTAAGCAAATCCAAAGTGTTTTCTACACATCCCCCACGGACATCGCTGCAGGGTTTTTATTTTTATTTTTAATTCCACGACTCCAGGTTCTTGAGAACACAGCCCTCACTGCCCGCCGCCCGCGGGATCAGCTTGCCTATCGTGTACACGGTCTCGCCGGCCGCCACGAACTGGTCCGCCACCTTCTGGGCGTCGGCGGCCGCCACGACGGCAATCATGCCGACGCCTGTGTTGAACGTCCGCGCGAGCTCGCTGGGCTGCACGTTGCCGGCAGTCTTGAGCCACTTGAACACGGGCGGGAGCTGCCAGGACGCAATGTCAATCTCGGCCGCCAGGCGGTCGGGCAGCATCCGCGGCACGTTCTCGCTCAGGCCGCCGCCAGTGATGTGTGCGAGACCCTTGAGATCGGCAAGGTTCTTGAGGATGGACTTGACGTAGATGCGTGTCGGGGTGAGCAGGGAGTCGCCGACTGTCTTGGAAGTGTCCCAGGGCGCGGTGCTGGCGTAGTCGAGCTGCTCGCGCGCCAGGATGCGGCGGACCAGAGAGAAGCCGTTCGAGTGCACGCCAGACGAGGCCAGGCCCAGCAGGACGTCGCCCTCAGTCATGACATCGTGCTTTGGCAGGCGGTTGCTGGGGATCATGACGCCGATCGCGGCGCCGGCGGCATCGTAATCGTCCTCCTTGTACATGCCCGGCATCTCGGCCGTCTCGCCACCGACAAGAGCGCAGCCAGCGTCGCGGCAACCGGCAGAGACGCTCTCCACAAAAGCGGCGGCCGTCTCGGGGTTGAGCTTGCTGCACCCAAAGTAGTCGAGGAACATGACAGGTTCGGCACCCTGAACGACCAGGTCGTTGACGTTCATGGCGACAAGATCAATGCCGACGGTCGTGTGGTTGTTGGTCGCCTGGGCAATCATGAGCTTGGTGCCGACACCATCGATGGCGCCGACCATGATGGGGGCGTCGGAGGCGTAGCCAGCCTTGGAAAGGTCGACCTCTCCGCCAAAGCCACCGATCTCGGCATCCGCACCGGCACGGGCTGTCGAGCGGACAGCCTTTCTGATACGCTCAACGAGCTGGTTGCCAGCATCAATGCTGACACCAGCCTGAGCGTACGTCAGGGCCTCCTTGGTAGCCTTGGTGGGCCGGAACGCGCGGTGTGCAATGTCTTTCCTGTAGTACATGCCCTTGAATTGGATGAGGTTGATACCCTCATAGGCCTTGTCCACTGCAGCTCTCAGGCTGCCCTCGGCAGTCGCGCTCGCAGCAATCACGCGACCGCCGGCGGTCACGAGTTTGCCGTCAGCGAGCTTGGTTCCAGCGTGAAAGATGTTGATGCCCTCCGGGGGGTTCGCAACAGTCATCTCGTCGCCCTTGGCGTACGACTCGGGATAGCCACCAGCCGAGGCCACGACAGTTGCACTGAACTTGTTGTCTACAGTGATGGGGATGGAGTCGAGGTATCCCTCGCTGCAAGCAACCATGATCTTGGCAAGATCAGTGTCCTTTGAAAGCAGGGGCAGGACGGTCTGTGTCTCGGGGTCGCCGCAACGCACGTTGTATTCGAGAACCTTGGGTCCTTCCGAGGTGATCATGAGACCTGTAAAAAGGACACCCTTGAACGGCATACCCTCTTTGCGGAAGCCGGCAAAAGTAGGGCCGATAATATCACGGTCGACCATGGCGATGAGCTCGGGAGTCGCAATGTTGGTCGGCGCATAGCATCCCATGCCTCCAGTGTTGAGACCGGTGTCTCCCTCGCCGATTCTCTTGTGGTCCTGCGCTGGAGGCAGTGACTTGAAGCTGTAACCGTCGCAGAAGGTGAGGATGCTGAGCTCATCGCCATTGAGGAACTCTTCAATGACCACCTCGTCCCCGGCGGACCCAAACTCCTTACCAACCATGATGCTCTCGAGAGCCTTTTGGGCCTCCTCTTTCGTCTCGGGGATGATGACACCCTTGCCAGCAGCCAGGCCGCTGGCCTTGATGACGACGTTGTGGCTGACACTGTCGAGGTACTGGCGAGCCTTCTCGTAGTCGGTAAAGTTCTCGTAGGCGGCCGTGGGGATGTTGTACTTTTTCATGAAGTCCTTGGACATGGTCTTGCTGCCCTCCATCTGGGCAGCCGCCTTCGAAGGCCCGAAGCTGTCAATGCCAGCCTGCTTGAAGAAGTCGACGGCGCCAGCCACAAGGGGCGCCTCCGGTCCGGGAACGACAAAGTTGACATTCTGCTCACGAGCAAGCTTCAGGAGACCCGGGAAGTCCTCGGCCGAGACAGAGCTGTTGTTGGTAGTCTTGGGGCAGGTCGCAGTACCGCCATTGCCCGGTACAGCAATGATGGACTCGACCAGCGGCGACTGGCTCAGCTTCCACGCGATTGCGTGTTCTCGGCCGCCATTGCCGATGAGGAGGATCCGCAGAGGCGATTGAAGACCCATTTTCGGTTTCTCTGTTTCTAGCTTGCTTGCCGTCCCGGAAGACGATTTGCAGGGGGGGGAAATGTTGGGTTTCTCGGTGTCGTGTCTCCCAAAGGAAGACATTTGCACGCAAGAATCTCTCGACTCGCTCTCAAGGCGAAAAAAAAGTTATGGTCACCCCTCCCCCGCGATCAGCGCCCCGCCACCAAAAGCGCCGATAACGCTAAGATATGCCCTGTGTCAACCGCCTCGTCGGGCAGGGGTCTTGCCTCCACATGGCATGGGTTCTCCAAAATTGCCCAGTCGCAGGGCTGCCATCCACGAACGAAGTATAACATGCAACTGGCTCATGTTCACGGGCTTTACCAATGTTTGTGACACCCCCGCGAGGATTCCGAGCACCACCGCCAGTGATGCTGAACTGGTCAATCTGAGAGACTTGCAAAACTTGAATAGTTCGTGTATAATCTATAATGTCAATTTCGCTCAAACAAATGTGAATGCTCCTCTACCTTGCATACAACCAGATGCAGGTTTTGCTCAATGGTCTATAGTTCGCCTACTTCGGCAGTGCCATATTCCTTACAGCCACCATACCAGGCTCGGCTTATGCATGAGCTCTCCGTCGTTGGTTTCGGTTCTTCAGCAGCAGTAGAAGTGGGCAATGAAGGCGGCGAAGTGATTGGTGGCGCGGAAGTGTCGCCGTTACCGGAGGTGGTCGTCACAACCGGGTCATTGCATCCCCACCACCCAGGAGTAAGACATGTGGTAGGAGTACTGGCTGGCGTCGATTTGCTGGTGTGGCTACGAGTAGTAGTGGTCGTCTCGTCCTTGCACCCAAACCACCCCGGCGTCTTGCATGTTGTGGATATGCTTGACGAGGATGTACTCGTCGTGGTGGTGACAGTGGTAGTGGTCTCATCCAGGCAGCCCCTACGGAAAACATCGTCAGCTCTGCAATAATGTTGGTGAGGGAACTTGTAATACTTACCACCAGCCAGGTGTCTGACAAGTCGCGGTGCGCGTTCTTGTCTTTGATGTGGTCGAACTAGTAGACGAAGTCGTCGAGTCTGTGCTATTGCTCTCGAACATCTTCCACTTGCCACAGTCTCTGCACTCGGGAGTGTAGTTGCATTCTGGCACAGTGTCGTAGACCTTGATGATGTCATTGATCACGGATCGGATCTTGTGTGTGCCAATGCCAACTCGCCACCCCTTGTCTGCGACCGTGTCGTATGTGCACTCATATCCGGCATGGCAGGATGATTCGAGTGCGTAGCCTGCATACGAACATGAAGCAGTTGCGCCATTGCATGTGCCAATATAGATGGGGTCCGCTGTGTGGCCGAAGTGGAAGGTGCCCGTGTACTCGCGTGTCTGGTGGTACAACGGGTCTGAGTGAGGCGCCACAGGGAGACCCAACCGTGAAGCGGCCATGGCTTCAGGCACTGCCTCAAAAGTGACGACGGGAAGACCGTATGTCAAGCCGAGGAGAGAGCTAACAGCACCGCCAAGAGAGTGCCCTGCAACCCAGATGTTGGCCTCGGGATACAACTCCGTCACGTTTGCATACAGCTCTCGAGCCGCCTGATAGTATCTGTTCTCGTCCTGTAGAGCTTGCCTCACACAGGTGTTGTTGCACTGATATGTGCCAGAGGCGCAATTACAGACTTGATGGTAAGTCCATTGCCCTTGTTGACCACAGCAGCAGCTGAAGAAGAGGTTGTCGTTGACCTTGTCGTTGGTCGTGGTGCCTTCGCCATCAAATACAGCCAGGGAAGTGCCCTTGAGGCCAATGACGATGGTCGAGTTAGTCTCGTCGCCCCAAATATGGCCGCGCAAGCCATCGCTCTCCCAGCCAAAGTCCTCAGTCCTGTTAAATGGCCGCCCGACTTCTTCCCAGTCAGGCATGCCGGGCTTCTCCACGTAGGCGTTGGCTGTGATGATGGCCATGGAGAGGATGGTATCCTTGTCCGTCACATCAGGACCAGAGACGTCCTCTATGGTCCAAGCTGCGGGAGAGCTGGCAAAGACAGAGCCCTGTTGCCGAGCCTGCGCTACGAGCGGATCAATGACGCTCGGCCGCCTGTCACGCATGCGCTCGATCTTGTGCGGCTTGCTCTTTGCCTTGAGCACAGAGACGCGCTCCGCCTGGTGGTCGTCTTCTTTCGAGAGCCATATTTCAGCCTCTGGTCCAGTGATATCCCGTCGTCGATGGAGATCTGGATGCTGGTGGGTACCGTGATGGAAGACGTGACGGAGAGTGAGTACATGCTCGCCCGTCTGCGGCGGCTCGGCTGGCAGGAGGGGCGAGAGTATGGGTGTGGCATCTGTGAAGAGCGGGTCGACCAGAGTCGCGACCGCCGGGGTCGAGGCCAGGAACGAGAGAAGGATCCTGGCCGTGACTTTTCCGACCGAGTGGCAGGCCAGAGGCGACTGGCGGCGGGTTGAGAACATGGCGAGATCGAGGGGCTTGGCGCTCAGTCGTCAAGGCCGGCTGGCGCCGCGTCCAGCGCGGGTGCGAGAGCAAGGCAGCAGGTCGGTGCACTGCAGATAACTGTACGATGCAGTGGTGATGGTTGTGGTTGCGAACTGTCAGACGTTGACTTGGGAGTGCTCAAGAACGAATCTGAAGCAGAAGGGAAATGGCGGTCGTGGGTGGTCGGTGGCGTTCGAGGCGGCCACTATCGTTGATGGGTGCTGGTCTGGCAGGCAACGGAGGTTGGGAAGGGCTTTGGCTGTCGGGGTTCCTGACGGCAGGCTTCGACTATGTCTGGAGCACTCGGGGGCTCGGCGGCAGGCGTGTTGGGGTAATGAGGTCGGGACTGCGGATGGCAGGTTGGCGTGGTTGTTGATGGCGGCAGTGGATGGAGGATGAATGACGGCACGGCGGCTGGGGCAACCGTCCAGGCAGCCAGCTCCATGCCCAGGTGGATGGGGACCCGACCCGGGGCCGCGATAACAGCCCCAGAGCAGGTTGGGGCAGATGACCTCGAATGGCCAGGGGTGGTGTGGGGACAGGAGCCCCCTTGAGCAGGTGCACCATGTCGTCGTACCTGACAGGGCAGGCAGCGCATGCACCCTACTATTACCCTCAGGTAGGTAACAGGCACATCTGCTGATGCTTTTGACTGTGCTGTCATTATCACGGTCTTCCAAGGTTGTTGAGCCCTTCCGAGGCTGCCTTTGTAGCTCCCACGTGATGGGTGTGAGGGACGCATCTCGTCTCTGCCCATGATGGACCAACCACGTACACAAGGGCCACTTGGCTTAGTAGATGAGTTGCATCCTGTTCGTCACCATATCCCTCTGCACTGACTTTGACTGGCCGCGCATTAGTTAGTTAGCTGGCGCGTGGATGCATGCATGGATGGCCCATACCAGGCCCCCGGGTGCGTAATCGACACAGCCCAAGTCTCGCCCACCTGCGCTCTAGCTCTACTGGGCGATGCTACTGTATGCCGCAACGCGCCTGGGTCCACCATGGGGCGGGTCGTCGTCACAGGTCGAGCTCGCCAAGCACCGCGAAAGCCATTATGGTCCGGCTCGTCTCACCTGCTCAAAACACAGACAAGATCCGAGTCGGAAGAATACATATCGACGATTAGACCTGTTCGCCATCGCAGCCCCGTGCACTTCATCTTGCAGCCGGACCCTATAACCATAAAGGTGGTCCAACGCGACTGGGTTGTCGTCAGACTGCTAGGCTCGCACACGCAAGACGACGAGGGGCACAAACGTAAGGTACATCCCTGAGCCGGGGTCCTGGCAGTGGACAGCTCTCGCGACTCCCTCGTTCAGGCTTCCAGACGGGTCGCAAGCTCACTACTTACACTACGCTTCCCTCCTGTTTACTTTTTCAACCATGGCGACGCAGCCGCAACCGACCAAGGGCACAGACACAGAACCACGCCCCTCGCAGCTTAGCAACCCGCAAAGCCAAAGCTCCCAAGCTCCTACGACCACAGATGGGTCCATGTCGGCTCCCGAATCGGCCTCAGTATCGCAAGCAGGCCCTACGGCGACACCGAAAAAGACCCCCAAGCAGGACACCTTCGAAAGCGGCGGCAATGATGACGATGACGACAACGACAATGTGGAGCTCTCTCGAGCTTCCATCGACATGGATGACATACCAATAGAGCTTGTCAGCAAGATAGACAAGTATGTCATGACCGCCCTGTGCCCTCCCCCCTTTGTGTTGCACGGCGTTCGCTTCACCTGGCGCAAGACCATGCTGACCCTGTCGCTTTAGCTTCATCGACTCGCTGTCTGCCAAGGTCCACCCCACGCCCCCCAATATGGACAACCTATCGAGGAAATTTCAAGACTTTTACGAGCTGGCTTCAGGGCTCATAGAAACACATATACGCAGCCTCGCAACGAGACAGAACAGAGAGAACGCTCCGGTACGGGCGACAACCCATAGGACGACGTCGGCCGCGAGCATATTAAGGGCGCGTGCCGCAGCATCACTTGGTGGCAAGGACAAGACGAAGCCGCCCGCAGCCCCAGAGCCGGAGCAGCAGATGGTCACGGCCGAAGAGTTGGCGGATCGAAAGAGGGCCAAGAAAGCCCTCGAGCAGAAAAAGGTGTTGCTGCAAGAGGGCGTAGAGCGAAGATTATGCGAGGGCATCTACGACAGGATATATCGGCACAGATCTACCCAGGACGAGGCGCAGGACGATAAGCTTCGATCCAAGACGGCTGCCCTCGCCCTCGTGGGCATCGGCCCTGTGGACCTGAGCATTGATCTCGGCGAGCTTGGTGACAACCCGGAGGATCTGCAGAAGAGAATAGGCGAGATACGGCAGCACCTCTCGCAGGCTCGCAAGGATCTTGTCACCATGCACGAAAAGCGATATCCCCTAGGCAAGCTGAACCATCTCAAGGCCGCGCATAAGAGCATTGTCGACACTCTGGCGCAGTTTCATCCTTCTTCGTCTGCAGACGAGATAATGCCAATGCTTATATACACTCTGATCACGATGCCCCCAGAGGCGCTCAACGTGATCAGCGACCTCCGATTTATACAGCGCTTTCGATGGGAGGAGAAGATAGAGGGAGAGGCGGCATACTGCTTGACCAATCTCGAAGCTGCCATAACGTTCCTCGAAAACGTAGACCTGGCCAGTCTGCGAGCCGACGAGACCGCGGCTGGCCCGCCAAAGAGTGAGACGCCGGGCGTCCTCGCAAGGACCGAGACCTTCCCGCCGGCATATACGCCAGGCATCTCTGCGAATGTCGCCAGCGCGGCGGCGGTGACGTCCGAGTCAGTCGACGGCTCAAAGCCTGTCTCGACGATACAGCGCCGGAGGCTGAGCAACCTGATCCAGACGCCAGCGACCGCGTTTGGCACCGCCAGTGACACTCTCTTCAACACGGCCGACCAAGGATTCAAGACGATCGGTAGCAGTCTTGGTGACAGCTACAAGTTCCTGCTTGGCAAACTGAGAGATACTTCAGCGAGCGGCCGCGAGCTGATCATGCCGCGAACGCTCGACGAGGCCAGGAAGCTCATCGGAACACCTCCGCCAGACGACGACGTGGCCGAGGAGGACCCGCGGGGAAGCCGCCGTCCTTCGGTGCGCGAAGACCGGGTCCTCTCGCTTGTGGGCGGCAAGAAGCCCGCCCGCGAGCACAGCCAAGAGAGCGTCCGGAGCGCCAGGAGCGTGAGCAGCTCCAAGAAGGTATTCTTTGCAGACGAGGGCAAGGAGAAGACGACTGCGCCTGCCGCTGCCGCGACCCCTCCGGTGGCCAGCAGCTCACCAGCAGCGGCGTCGAACCCGGCCTTGGTCGAGTCCATGCGGAATCTCGGCAACTCGCTCAACCCAATGAACCGTATCGCGAGCATGAGCATGATGCGCGGCTTCGGCCGGCCGGCCACGACTCCCGTGACACCACCAGTAAAAGACGCGCCCGCCACCACCGCCGCCGCCGCCGCCGCCGCCGCCGCCGCCGCAACCGCACCCACCACCGGTTCCAAAGCCGCGGATGGCGGCGATCTCGCCACAGTAAGTCCCCATTCTCACACACATTTTGTTCACCCATGGTACACCCTGCCCAAACCCCCGCTAACGCCGTATGTGTTTCTTCTTCTCCTCCCCCTTTTGTGCAGGCATTCCCGGACCTAGCAGCTGCCCTGCCGCCCAAAGACATACCAAAGATCAAGCCCCCGAACAAGCGGTTCATGGAGCTGCAGAACCCAGGCGAGATCAAGCTCGGCGAGGTCCTCGAGCTGCTCCGTGACTACAGGCGGCTCGCCGGCGCGCTCAAGGACATGGGAGCTTTCCAGGAGTGAATTTGTTGGGGGAGGGGGGGGGAGCGAGTGTTCACTGTGATGCGGGGGGCGTCCAGATGGAGCAGGTCATTCTCATCTACTTCGGGCCACCATCATCACCATCATTATCATCATCATCATTACTGTTGGCGTTCAAACTGGCTGGGTAAATAGAATTTGGTTCACATATATCACGGACAGAAAGCGACGAGAAGCACGCATGGTTCCTTTGCACAAAGGCGTCATTCTTTGTTCATGAGCTTTCGCGCCTGCCTCCTCGGTTATTATAGATTACACGAATGGGAAAGAAAGCGACATCTGTGCGTGGCATGTCTGCGACATTTCACCTTTGCATTCGCATCGTGCGTTCTCGCTATACTCACGGAACATATTGGCTCGAGCTGTGACTGGGAGTGGCAGGGGTATATTGATCTGTGTTATGTTTGTCTATCTTCAGAACCATGACTGTCTCTCTCGGAGTCATTCCCAGGAAGCGCCTAGGGACGTCGCTGTCCAGAGCGATTTTCGTGGTCCTGCGTATGTGTGCTACATCGGGAGCGGCATCTCTTTCCATCGCAATACAATAGGCGCCCCTTCCCGATGCATGGTACAAAAAGGAAATAGTAGTGGTGAGTATCTTTCGCGCCGGTGTTATGCAAGACTGTGGGTGGAAATAAAGGAAAATGAATAGGGAAAGGATTGCAGAACAGTGGCATAATCGTCTGCGGCCAAGTATTACAATGGGTATACTGTGCAATAACACTGCTCTTGGTCACCGTGGGAATGCCGGCTCAGTGGTGTCCGTTGACCTTCTTGGTTGGGCTGGACCGCCCGTTACTTAAGTCTTGCAGTGCTTCACCGCCACCCATGAGTTTTTCCATGAAGGAAATGTAATCGTACTGGGGCTGGCCACGGTCCTGCTGCATGTCCGGACCGCTGTGCGGCGGCACGATCTCAATGAGCTTTTCGATGACCTCATCAGGTACAAGGGAGTGACGGAGATCCATCTCGGTGACGTAAGGCTTGCCATCCGCCACTTCACGGAATGACTGAAACACTTGTTCGGCGGTGTTCTGGTCTTCCGTGACACTGACCATGAAGCGGATGAACTGCTCGAACGTGACGCGGTCCCGGCCATGCGAGGTCTCCTCGAAGTATTCATGCATCTCGTCTTCGCTGAAGACAAGACCGAGAGATGCAAGCGCGGCAGAGAACTCGAGCTCCGAGAGCGAGTTCGAGTCGTCCCGGTCGAAGTGACGGAAGACCGATTCAAACTCTTCCAACTGGATGGGAGTGAGGTTCGTCATGTCTCGTGCAACCATCTGGTTCTCGAGGAAGACGAGCTTCTTTTGTACTGACGACTTGACAAGGCCAAGCTCGTATGTGAGCTCGTCGTACGTGTACGTTGTGAAGTCGTTCTCCTCAATGTTGGCTTCTTGGCACTTTTCGTCTGTTGCCCGGATCTTCTCCAGGTAGGCATCAAGAGGTGGTAGATTGTCCCTAAGCCTGCGAACATGCAGGAGCTGATCCTCTACGTCGCCCTCAAGTCCAGAGATGGCCACTTGCATAGTGTTCAGCGCAAGGGCGAAATCATTTGCCTTGTCGGCAAAAGACTTGCGCAGAGCGTTTTTGATACTTGACAGGGAAGTTAGTCGAGCTCAATGTAAAAGCAGACATAGACTGGTGTACTCACTCTCTAATAGTCTCGTTGATCAGTTGGCCATGCTTCATCTCCGAACTTGTCAACGTCGACCACTCCCTTTCCAAGGTCTCCAGGCCGAGCTCGGCCGGGGGCTCGTATGCTCTGAGGCGGTAAGTGCCCAGCTTTGTCTTGATGTTGCCGAGCAGCGTCGCCAGCTCACTCTTCTCAGCGACCCATTCTCTCTTCTTGCCTCTCTTGTGTGTGGCGAACTCCGCGGCTTGTTGCTTGGCATCGGCATAAGTTCCTTCGAACTCCGCTTCGGACCAGCTATCGATCTGATCTCTGATTTGGGCCAGCAGAGCAGCCATTCTCCGCTCGTACGCGCTCTGCATTTCCCACGCGCCTTGCATGTTGTTCACGAATTTCTCCACACGCCTTCCAGCATTCTCAACCTTCTCCATTTGTGAGAAGGCATGGAACCAGTAAGCGATATATGTCATCAAACTTCGCTCATCGGGCTTGGCGACATCGCAGACGTCCTCCACATCGAGAAGATCCGGAATGCCAATCTCCTTGTGTGCGATATCGAAGGCGAGCTGCATGTTTCCTCGGTGGTCGCTCTTGTCCAGAGCATCGTAGTCGATGAGGTCTGGTCTGTGGATGTCAAGCAGCGCACAAAAAGCGAGGCCATCGTTCCAGCTGCTGCTGAAGTCGCGAACCTCGACCTCCTCGTAACATGCCGTCTTGCGTTGACACCAAAGAAGCAAGCCTTCCTTCGCAGTCATGCCCTCCTCGTTGATGTCGCTGATGGTGAAGCGCAAAATGAGCGTCCAGATGAGACCAAGGATGATCTTCCGGTTGCCGTCGACCACATCTTCGGCGCCAATGTTGGTCATCTGGATTCCCCTGGACTTGACGAATTGAAGTGCTGTGTTTGCATTCTCGAACTTCTGTACACGGAGCTTCGGTTTCGACGCATAGCGCCCCAGCGATTCTTGCGAAAGGCATTCGAGCAGGTGGATTAGGACGACCTAGCGAAGATAGCCGGTCAGTTTTTGCGTTGTGCAAAACTTGAACTCACCATTGGCTGATGTGAAGAGAACTTACACCATCACTCAGATCTTTTACAAGGTCCTTGACAACCACCTCCCTCTGCTGGATCTTTGTATTGAGCCTACGAGCTGTGTCAGTTGTGGTCCTTGACCCTGTGGCGCGGAGCCTGGGCATGCGACCTACCATTTTGTGAAGGTCTTCTCCTGAACGTTGATCCATTTGTGATCCATCTTTGTGAGATTCGAGCCCGGAGGCTGGTCGGCAGTGTTGGAGTCGTTTGATGAGACGGAGGAAGCAATTGATGGCCTTGGGCGGTGATCTGGTGGGGCGGGCGACTCCCTCTTGAAGGCCGAGGCGCTGGAGATTGTGGCAGCACGGTTTGTTCGGGCAGCATGCAGAGCTGGTTGGGAGCGGTTGACAAGAGCGCTGCAGGTCCTCCGCGATCTCGGCGACGCCTGTGAACGACGAGGCTGAGATGACGGAGACGGCGATGGGCAAGAAAACGAGGAAGGTCCCTGAGCGGAGCAGGGGGTCGAGGCCGCGGAAATTGACCCGCAGTCGGATGGGCGCAGGGAGGTGCGGGCGCTCCGGGGAGGGCTGCTGCAGGCCTCGGAGAAGGTTGTGGCGACGGAGACGCTGCTAAGGGCACGAGAGCGACGGTCAAAAGAGGACGATGTGGTGGTGACCACGGTTGTTGGTGTGGAGGGTGCTGAATCGGTGTTGTTGTCGTCGTCGTTGTCGTGCGACTTGAAATACTGCTGATCTGGTGGAGCGATGCTAGAGTCGGTATAGCGGTCGCTCAGGCTGCTGTCGCTGATGACCTCTGATGTAGTGGTGGTGCGCACAGATAGAACGGGCGCTGCAATTGCGGGTGTGCAGTCCTGAGCAGAGACGTGGAGAGACGTTGTCGAAGCCTGGCTGCGGGCAGGTTGGGCCACAATATTGTTGATGCCTGTCTCTGTGGTGTGGTGTTCTTCACCGGGATTTGGGATGGTGGTGCAGGTGCCTGGTTGACCTGGAGATGTGGCAGCAGGGGTGCCCGCAACCCCGCCATCCACGCCTTCCTTGGACGTCAGGCCCACCACCCCTGGAGCTGGAGCCTCGTCATTGTTGTTGACTTGCACCTGGCCGGCTCCATCCCCAAGGTTCAACCTGGCTACCGCTGTGCCCATCTCTGCCTCGTCGCCGCACGGCTTGATGAGCGACATGGCCAGCAGCTGGGCCATGGCCTCTTCTGCCAGCTCCTCATGGCTCTTGTGCTGGCTCTGCTGCTGCTGCTGTTGCTGCTGTTGCTGCTGTTGCTGCTGTTGCTGTTGGCTTGCAGGGTCTTCGGCAGTGGCGCCTTGCCCGCCCTTGAGCTTGTTCCACCAGGGCATGCTGCTGATCGACAGGGGCGTCGCTTGACAGATCGAGGCGCCGGCGCACGTATCGACAGGCTGAGTCCAACAGTGAAGACGGCAATGCCCAGCATCCACGTATTCTCTCGAGCGAAGGCCGACAAACAGGACCACCGGGGCACGCACTGCGGACTGCGAAATGGTTGCAGCGTATCGCTGGGATCCTCGCCGCTCGCTCGCACGCGTGGTGCATCACCGTTGCTTTATACCAGCCTGCTGGCGCTTCATCCAACGGCCCAGGGATCGCTCATTGCCCTCTCGCACCTTAGCACGTCGTCTCAGATAGGGTCCTCTTGCCATCTCTGGGCCCTTGTCATTCATGCCCGCGACCGACCATGCGAGTCCTCACGAGCAGCTGAGGACCGTCCTGGCTGTTCATTCGCTCCGCGAAACCGCCCTGCCTTCTCTCTGTGAAACATCGCTCGTTCGCCCTAGCGATACGCGCAATGCATATTGCCTGTGGAGTTCAGGCCAGGGAGGTATACAGTCAGCTCTTAATAGCATAACCACCGTTTCTGGTTGTGGCAGTGTCGCTCGACACTTTATGCACACCCCGGCACCAGGGTCTGAGACTCTGTTTCACTGTCCCCAAGCCATCGGACTGACAACAAATGGGGCGGGCTCGTTCCCCAGGTCCACATGCCGCTTACACGCCATTGTCCACTAAATCCTCCGAGCCACGCCTCCACCCCTCAACCTCTGACAACCATGCAGTCCAAAACATACTACCGCACATCCATCCGCCCTCGCAGTGTCGGCCATGTACCAAAAGTTTGCGATCACAGTCTGCTTCCATCGGGCAATGTCAAGTCCGACGGAATAAGCAAATAGGCAGACCACGAGACACGAAGCCTGCGAGGGAGCTGTGGGAGCCAGGACGCAGACTGCGAATAATAACAGGTGCAATACCAGCATCGGAATACATCCATGACAGACATTGCAACTGCGGGATTGTAGCAGAGGAATGTGCCCTCCGTGGTCGGCGACCCTAGCCGCCGCAGAGCTCCCAGACCCATCATTACGTGCCTATCACTGTTCCCTCCAAGGGTCAGGGTGATCATGCCACAGGCGCCTACAAATTCATGCAAAACCTGGTTGCTGATCATCAAGTGAGCAATTTATCTTGCTTGTCTCGTGTGTGTGGGACACTTTGTTCTACGGGCTGAGCCGATTTTGGTCTCAGGGCAGATATCCCATTGGTTCTGACACTTCGCAGAGCCTCTGTGATTCGTTTGGTTATGCCATCGTCGGTGGCCAGGAAGTCCAGATTCGTCCCGTCAGACATTAGCCGACTTCTTAACGCACATCCTATTGTGTCAGAACTTTCCAGGACTGATTCAAAGTCTCTGATCACGAGACAGGCGTTCAAGTGGACTGTGGAAGTGCCGGTGCACGTTTCATGCCTGAGTCGCGAATCCGTTGTCATACGATCAATACTTTGCGTCCTCCACAACTTCCTTATGCTGGATTTGATTGTGTATTTTCTTCCTTGTTCTTTTTTTGCTTCATATGCTGTATAAAATCTAGATGCTTTTCCTATATGTATTTGTACGGATTCATGATGCCGTTCTGATGATTCATTAGTCAAGGATCCAGAACAGGTAGGGTTATGAGGTCAAAATGGCCGACTTACCGGATCATAAAGGTTCTTGATCTGCTTCATCAGCTTGATCTTTGTCTCGCTCTGGCTGTAGCCAACGTAGTTCTTCTTGGCAATGCCCAAGCCGTGCTCGGCGCTGATGCTGCCGTTGACCTTGGACACCCACTCGTACACCCAGGGCTCGAGCAGCTTCTCGGCGCGCTCGTCGTACCGCCTCACCGCGACATTGAGGTGCAGGTTGGAGTCGCCCATGTGGCCGTACCCGACGACGTCCACAACGGGGTGCTCGTCCGACTCGCCCATGAGGCCGGACTCCTCAAACTTGGCCTTTGTCTCCTCGACGAGGCGGTACATGTCCTTGAGCGGGATCGAGAGGTCGTACTTGTAGACGCCGCCCCAGTGGCCGAGGCACTCGGGCACGCTCTCGCGCTGCGTCCACAGGGCCTTGATCTGGGTCTCGTCCTGCGCGACCACGCCGTCCGAGACAATCTCCTTGCCCATGACGTCCTCGAGGAAGCCCTCGAGCTTCTCGCTGTCGTGCTCCGCGTTGCTGCCGCTCGTCTCGATCAGGCAGTAGAACGGGTGCTCGCCGTCGAGCGGCCGCTTGAGGTCGGTCCGCACCGTGTGCACGAGGTTCTGCGACCGCGCGTCCATCATCTCAAACGCCGACAGGATCTCGCCGAGCTGCGCCTTGGCCTCGCGGAACGCCGACTGCATCTTCTCGTACGAGTCGACGCCCAGGAACGCGACGTTCTTGGCCGTCGCCCGCTGCGGGCAGTGGATCGAGATGGCCGTGATCATGCCAATGGTGCCCTCGCCGCCAATGAAGAGCTGCTTCAGGTCGTAGCCCGTGTTGTCCTTGCGCAGCGTGCTCAGGTCCCGGAGGATCGTGCCGTCGGGGAGGACCGCCTCGATGCCCAGCACCGTGCCGTGCAGGCTGCCGTACCGCAGCAGTCGCAGGCCGCCGGCGTTGGTGGCGACGTTGCCGCCAATGTGGCACGACCCTTTGGCGCCGAGGTCCAGTGGGAAGAGGTAGCCGCGCTCAGCGAGGTACTGGTCGGCGACCTCGAGCACGACTCCGGCATCGGCGACGAGGATGCCGCTGACGTCGTCAAAGGAGCGGATCTTGTTGAGGCGGCTGGTGTTGATGACGATCTCGTCAAACACGGGGACAGAGCCGCCCACGAGGCCCGTGTTGCCGCCCTGCGGCACTACGGCGAGCATGTTGTCGTTGCAGTACTTGAGGATCTTGCTGACCTCCTCCGTCGAGCCGGGCTTGAGCACGAGCCGGCAGTGGCCGCGGTACTTGCGCATCCAGTCGCCGTTGTAGGGCTCCATGTCGTCGGCGCTGACCTCGGCGTTGACCCCGTCAATCACGTACGAGTCCTTGCCCAGCACCTCCTTGAAGAACGCAACGTGCTCCGGCGTCAGGTCCGCGAACCGCGGGTCTCGCTTGATCGAGGGGTACTTGTCCGTCGTGTACGCCGCCCGCGCCGCCCGCGAGGTGCTCAGGCATCGTGGCGACTCGGCACTGCGCTGGGCCGGTTGCTGCTGCTGCTGCTGGGTGGCCGTGGCGGCGAGAGCTGGGCGCACAGCACAGCGCCGAACACCGGGAGCAGCAGCGGCAGCAGCAGATCGCCGCAGGGCGGGCACAATTCTTGATCTGGAAGCCATTATGGTTGTCGGGATGGCAGTGGCGGAAAAGCACTCGCCTGTCTCTCAACACAGAATATTTATCTGGTCACGGCGGACTGGTGCTACTGACCAAGAGTCGACTTATGTGTCCCCGTCGTCGGAGGGGATGGCGGGCCAATATCAATGAAATACTTTGACGCCGGGCGGCGATCGGAGCGTGGGTTCGTTTACAGGGTTCCCGAGGTCGGCCCCCCTGTAAACACTGCGTTAACGGGGTGCAGCCAGCGGCAAGCCAATCACTTGCCGTCCCGATCCCGTCTTGCTGGGCCACTTCCGAGCACAACCGATGGCGCAATACTTTGTGAGCGGCTTCTAAAAAGCTCAATGCACAAACCCGTAGATTGATGGAAAGCAAGCAAGTCTTACGACTCGGATGAGCCAAGTCGACTCCAAGCTCAGGGCCTGCGTATTGTGATTTCCTGATTAGATATGTCTCGTGTCTGGATAACCGTGGATGGATATGCGGAAGTGGACGCAATGGTCGGATCTCTCTAATTACCCGACGGCACGGAGCCGGGCGTTTGATACGGTTCATCCACGGTTTTTCCAGCGGTCGCGCGCCGTATGCGCTGATTAGATAAGCCACCCCTCGAGCTCCGCCCGAGCTCGAAATTTATGCCAATGACGGAGCCACACGCAGGACTGGGCACACATGCGCCCGCTGTTGGTGACGACTTCGAGCTTTGCCCATAACACGTCCACTGGACCGACAGCCTTCCCGGATCCTGCCTCCATCGCGTACACCTATCGCTCGTTTCAAAGCATCAACCCTCGCCACCAGCCACGAAAGCACAATCCACTCGCAGCAGTCACCATGGACGGCACCACGATCAACGACGCCGATCTCCAGCGGCTCAACGAGAAGGACAAGAGCGAGCTGCGCACGATCCTCAACAACGAGGCGCAAAAGTCGCGGGTGCAGAGCAGTATGTGAATTTCCCAATCCGCCAAAAAAAAAAAAATATCAAACCTCAGGTCCCTGTCGAGCGCTGTCTCCCAACGTCGAGCCGTCCACGACCTCGTGCGCGCCTGCCTACGTGCGCAAGCCGGCGATGCCTAGCCCAAACCGCCGAATATGTGCCTGAGCAGCAGCAGCAGAAACTTGGGACTTCATGGCGCAGTTCACTAACGCCCAATGGTTTTCTTACTTTGTAGCCGTCCACTCCCTCACCGATGTTTGCTTCACCAAGTGCATCACGGGGACCATCAAGAGCGGCAAGCTCGACCGAACAGAAGAGAGCTGCATGGCCAACTGCGCCGAGCGGTTCCTCGACGCGAGCAAGTTGACCATGTCCCACCTGCAGGGCATGCGGAACTAGACGACGGGGGAAACCTGTGAGCAGGTTCAAAGCATTGTAATATGGCAGAGGACATGGGTGGTGAGCAGCGGATGCAGGGCAATGCGTGTGATTTCGCAAGGGCGGTGCATACGAATGATTGAACTGAAGCTGGAGTCATCCCTCTTATGCGCCAGGTAAACCCCGAAGCACTCTCGAATTTAGGACCTTCACGACAGGATAGATTGTACCATCACTTGTAACAATATACAATACACACAATGGTCAAAGGAGCACGCCACATAGGTCCACTTTGTCGGAACGCGCAGCAAACGTAAAACATTTGAACCGTAGAGCACAAGTCACCATTTCTCGCAGCAAGAGTCTGAAGAAGGGGAGGCAAAATCTCAATTGCTTTTTCCATTGATCTCATAAGCCTAACCCAAAACGCCGTTGTCATGCATATCCGTCCGGCTCAATCGGTGCTTTTGCGCATTCCGAGAGCAACGTGACGACCGTAACCAGACCAATCCCAGGAACAACAAAGCCAAGCACTTAAACAAGGCTGAGCTTGGTGGCGGCAATGTCGAGGGCGTCAACATCGGCGGTCAGGCGGGCGTAGGCCTTCTTGGTGCCATCGGGGCTGAATAGGAACAGGTTAGCAGGGAGCTCCAGGCGCACTTTACTGGGGTCTTTCGCAACTTCGACTTACCGGATGAGGGTGTTGATCTTGACGGTGTCGATGCCATACAGCTTCTTGAGGGACTGCTTGATCTGGGCCTTGTTGGCCTTGATGTCGACAATGAAGACGAGGGTGTTGTTCTCCTCAATCTTCTTCATCGCACTCTCGGTGTTGAGAGGGTGGACGATGACCTTGTGCTCATCGAGGCGGACCTCGTGAGGGATCGACTTGCGGTGGTACTTGGGGGCGCGCGAGAGCTGGAGAGTCTTGGGGCGGTGGAAAGACGTGTTAAGTCTGACCTTGCGGGTCTTGTGGGAGTTGCCCTGTGGTGATGTATCAGTATCAAGAACGTCTCACAGTACACTTCCGGCGGACATGATCGCCAAAAACTTACACCCTTCAGCGCAGCCTTGGCGGCGGCGTTGGCCTGCTTGGTGCCCTTGGGCTTACCACCTGCGTTACGACATCATGCATCAGCAATCGCTCTTGCAAACACAAGAACTCGCAAAATCTGCTGCAGCTGATTGCATTCCAAGTCTTTCCGTCCAAACGAGAATCGAGGCTCAGGCGAGCGTGCCGCTTCGTCGTCGGGAGAAATTCATTGTTGCAGCAGTTGAGAGTGCTGGAATCGAGTCTATCAAGTACCTGTCTTAGTCTTGGGGGCCATTTTGTCGGTGTTGTTGGGCGTTGACTGTCGAAAAGTCCTGTTGTCGTCGGTCGTTGGGCGTGGAACAAGGAAAGTGCCAGGTGAGACGGCCAAATTTCTCGATAATCTTTTTTGGTGGGAAGTCGCAATCGGTGCGTTGATTAGGGCCGGTGGGGAATTTGCTCGGCTGGCAAGTTCAGTGCTTGCGGGCCACGCCGTGGCACATGCAGGTGGGGCCAAAGTGGCTCCCGCAGCTGGCAACCAGCCGTCGAGCTCATGTAGCTTTGGGGATCCACTGGGCTAGCTTTTGACATCGCTTTCGATATATCGTCAGGTCAAGTGACGCAGCGAGTATGGTGAGCGCTTGAGCAATGCCGGGTGTCTTTTGAAGAAACACAAGATGCACTTGCACTCGTCATGAGGACCAAAAAGAAACAGCCGGCTCGGAGCCTGGCCTCGACTCGCCCGCCCACCTTGAAGAAGCAGAAATCGATATCTCGAAAGGCCACCAAGTCTCTGATCAACTCCCTCCACCTTCTGCAAAAGAAGAAGGCGCAAGCCGTTGCCAAAGGGGACCTTGCTGCACAAGCTGCCATTGACGCCGAGATCACAGCCCTCGGTGGGCTGGAGAAGTATCAACAAGCCAGTCTTCAGGGCCAGCGTAATGATCGTGGAGGAGACAGTTCCCGCGTGCTCATGGAGTGGCTACAGCCGACCTCGGCAGCGCTCCAAGAACTTGGCAAAACCCGCCGCCTGCGTATGCTAGAAGTTGGAGCGTTGAGTGTCTCGAATGAGTGCTCAAAGAGCGGGCTGTTCGACGTCGAGCGGATTGATCTGTCCAGTCAGGGAGAGGGCATCTTGCAGCAAGACTTCATGGAACGGCCGTTACCGAAGAATCCCACGGGACTCTTTGACATCATAAGCCTCTCGCTGGTTCTTAACTTTGTCCCAGATGCCGCGGTCAGAGGACAAATGTTACGAAGGACCCTGAGCTTCTTGAGGGATCCCAATGACATTGAACCCCAGGAGTTGAGGTCCTCGTTTCCAAGCCTGTTCATGGTGCTCCCGGCACCTTGCGTCACAAACTCTCGCTATATGGACGAGGATCTGCTCAAGTCCATCATGACCAGCTTAGGGTACACGCAGACGCATCGCAAGCTTACGCAAAGGCTCGTGTACTATCTATGGACACGGAAACGACTGGTTCTAGAAAAGGGTGTGACATTCAAGAAAGCCGAACTTCGTTCCGGCGGTTCTCGCAACAACTTCTCAATCATTGTCCGAAATCCTTGAGCAATCTCGCGTGGGCGGCACAAGAGCACCGATCAACTACATCGACCCGCAGCCTTAAGGTATACTTGTTCGCACAGTCACAGAGCGACCTCCTCGTCAAGCACGACGCAATGATGGAGTAAGCACTTGGACAATGAAGATATGGTAGCTGTCTTCATAGGAAACGTCTACATCTTGCTGTCGACCTTGCCTCCAACCAGTCTCTCAGACAACTTCCACAAGCGTTCGGCTTTGATCTTGTCCCTCGCATGCCGAGCTGGCCGAGCTTTCTGACAGTCTGCAAGATACAGGGTGTCCGACTCTGGAGCAACTTGTTAGCAGTCAAGCAAGCGAAGTTTTCTATTTTCGAATGAATTTTATTCGATGGGCAATTGGCTCTCACCAGCAAGGCCAGGATCCAGAGCTGCCACGACCGTGGTCGCGCATCCCTGGTCAGTAGACTTGAAGAGCTCCTTTGGCATCTTCGTAACGGCCGCAGCCGCGGTTGCAGTCATGTCGCCCGCCAGGTTCGTCATGATGACTGTAGGCAATGCACGCAATTAGCAGTTGGCCAATGGAGCGGCAGCCGATATCAGCACGACGCTTGGAAATAGCGCTCGGCTTTCGTGGTGGTGGGCCCGACTTACTCCCAGGGTCAACAGCCAGGCATTGGATTCCGTCTGAGCACAAACGTTCCCGTAGCGACACAGTAAACAAGATGTTAGCCGTCTTGCTCGAAGCATACGCCATCCATCCGGCGAATCCATCCTTGACCTCGTAGAAATGCTCATCGAGACCTTTGCGAGGTTCCTCATCGGCTGGCAGCGATCGACCTCCATCAAAATTGTAGTCGCTGAACCGGAAAGGGCAGACGTAATGAGCACCACTGGACAGGGTCACGATACGAGTCGTGCCGCGTGTGGCCTGGTCCTTGGCCGCGTGTCTGAGTAGCGGTAGGAGCAGTTCCGTGAGGAGATATGGCCCGACGTGGTTGGTAGCGAAGGTGAGCTCCAGGCCGTTCGGAGCTGAACCCCTGGAGCTCAGACTGATGCCGGCATTGTTGATGAGCAAGTCCAAGCGGTCAGTCCTCTGGACGATCTGCGCTGCCCCGGCTCGGATCGAGTCCTGTGAGGCCAGGTCGAGGATGACGGTCTGTACCTCGACGCTCGGGAATCGGCTCTTGATGGTCGCGGCTATGATGTCGACCTTGGACGCTGTCCGCGATGCCAGGATTAGCAGCCTGGGGTTTGACGCAGCTAGTGCCAACGCAGTCGCTTCCCCGAGCGAGTTGGGGGATACTCCTGTAATGACAACTGTTCCACCCCCACACGCAATGTCAGATGACGGTCCACATTGAGTGATGATGAGCACGGAGCCACCAGCGGGGAAACATGACCCTGCCCGTGTCAAGCAGCGAGAAGGAGGTCCGTGGAAGTGAAATTGTTGGGGTTGTCTAGAAGCATCTCTGCCACTGTCGAGCAGGCCACACTCGAAGGTGCGATCACGGAGGCGGAGCTCCGTCAACGGAAGGGCAACCCTGACTGACATAGGCACGGGTCCGGCGGCCTATGCCGAACGGACATGTCGGGCGGGGTGGCGAGTTGAGACTGGACGAAGCATGGTCAAGACACATTTGGGTTTGACTTACTGTGCCGGCCTTCCACACAGTCCTTGAACAACCTCGTGACATCCGAACCTCGGGTGTTCTTGTCAAACGCCGGTGCGCTGGCGGCAGCCATGTTTCCCCCAGATGCTGGTTTCTTGCGTCTGGAAGTCCGGGGCGGCTGTCTCGGGTATGAGGTTGGGCAGGGCAGTGCACCACCACCTCATCCAAAGCAACGCGGCGCTTGGGACGGTTAGCCTCGTCCAATGGGACTACAAAAGACCGCGAGCCGCGTCCAGCACTGTGTCACGTCTCGGCCGCACAATCGAAGTGGAGGGACGCCTCGCCGTCTTGGCTTCTGCCCTTGCGTGGGGTTTTGTGTTTGCGGGGTGCGTTAGACTGACTGGCTGGTGGGCACAGGGTGTGGGTCCGTCGTGCCGCGTGTCTCGTGCGTCCGTGTGGAGGCGGGGCCGGCTGTGCGTGCTTGCTGCTTGCTGTCTGGGGAAGTTGGTGCGGGCCCAAGTCAAGTGTCTTGATGCTGCTGCTGCCGCCTCCTCCCCAACGACAGATCAAGCACAGAGACAGTGCTGTAGGTACGTCGTCACTTTGTCTCACCTGCGGGCGCCTTGCTGCGAAGGGCTGGTTGCCGCGGTGGTGGAGAAAGGTGTGTGTTCCCCGTCAGGACTGACACAGGACGGGAGGAACAAATCTGTTGGGGGAACAAAGACAGTAGATCAAATACAATGCAGGTCTTGGTGGTCACCCGGACAGCCGCCCGCCCTAGCGTGCGGCCCTGTCCTGCCCTGCCCTATGGGCGTGGTTCTCTGCTGGTTGCCGCGCCAAATCCCACCTCTTGTCGAACGATGTGAGAGTAGGGACTGCTGCAACCCGAGCTGCAGACGCTCGGGCGAAAACCACTTGAATGATTATTGATCGCGTGTCTTGTGTCAGGGCCGGGCGTGGGTCATGGCGACACACCAGACGAAGGGCCTCCCTTCGTCTTGGCTCCATTCTGTTTCTTTCTTTTCCCTTCCGATGCTGCGAACACAGCCACCAATCCACGCCTAGTTCCCCTTGGCATCGCAAAACGCGGGGGCGGAGACGGGGTTCGCTGCAGCAACCCGCGTTGCTTTTTTGGAACGGGATGATGCCAGGCTCAAGCCGATGGAGCGGGACGTCCCTCACGTGGTGTCAGAAATGTTGCAAGACCGCGAGAGCCCACCCTCCTTTGCTGCTGTTAATACCTCTCATTCAATTGGTTGGGTCTCACAGTTGTGCCATGTTGTCCAGGCCCTTTTGGGTCTTGGTCACGGTGAATTGAGTTTTATTGGTTCGATGACCAGGGGGGATCTCGATGTCGGCTCTCGGATTTTAAGTCTTCTCGTGTTTAGAAGAGAACCACCTCGAGCGCCATTGAGCTCGTCTTCGACAGCGTCTTTCATTCGCTCTGGACGGGCCTGGGGAGAGCATATCTACCCTTTACGATCTGATGACAAAAGGTGGCGTTGCCCTCCTGCGGCGTTCACCAGGCCACCTAAAATTGAGGAGGCAGCAGAGATCCATTAGTTTAGAATATTTCTTGGCTTATGGAAAATCAGCAGCAACGGAGATGTACTCGACACCCCCGCCCCCCGGGGGGTGATATAATATAGCAATGGCTAGGATAAGAGAGTGATCGACCCCTTTGACACGTCTGACAATCCCTCGGCTTGCCGGCCCCCCCCCCCCTTCAAGTCAGTTCGAGAACAGGCAGGTCGACGCTGATCAACGTCGCAGGACAAAGGACGGGCATGACTGTAAAAGGATTCAGCATGGTTTTAGAAAAGGGGGCTGTGTTGCAATGGGGTCATCAGAATTGTCAGAACAACGGGATCCAGGCCGACGGCCTGAGTGCGTCGAGGCCATCTGGCTCTATTTCATCTCTCGCTCGACGCTGTGCTTTCTCTGACCTGTGAACGTTCCGGCACAGGTAGTGAGCATGGGCGACTAAGTACTTACCTAGGTAGCTAGCTTGCCTGAACTATAGATGAAATAAGTTTGGAGCGGCTTCTTTTTGCAGACCAACGTGCGTTTTGGCTAATGATCCAGTCGGCTATTGGTGCCTCCCCCCGGAGTCATCCCCCCCCTGACTGGCCGGTCCTGTTCCGCCAAAAGTTGGGACTTGCCAGAATTGCGTGACCGAGGTGTCGTGTGTGGCCTTTTCTCGAATCGGCAAGCGGCAAGCGAAACGTGAGTTGGATTTCAAGGCGCAGGTTCTCAAGGAAATAATTACCTCAAAAAAAATGAGGTTGTCTCACTTGCAACAACGGCATTGTCTCGATGACACTGGAGAGGAGATCGGACACGGACTTGGACTGGTCCTCCTGGCCGATGGCTAGTCGATTGTAACTATGGAAGTGAGTAGTTCCGCACGTGCTGGTTAGTTTGATATCTTGTAACGACCGGCTTGACTGGCATTTGTCATGAACGAGTGACACAGCGGCCCTGATATTCACATGATTTTTAGTATTTGTCCAATCACTGTACACGGAGACCAAAATATCATAGTTGCACGAAAAAGGCCTGAACCAAGTATCCATATTCTAAGATTACTGATGCCTCCATATTGCAGTAACATTGAATCTCATCCATTGCCACTATTTTTCACGTGGTGCACGGAGTGCACAGCCGACGTTCTTTTGCACTGGATTATATTTTACAGTATCTGTGGTTTTCTCTATATGACAATCCTTCAGAAAAGCACCGCTGCGTGGTGGGCAGCCAAAGTCTTGTCGTCGAGAAGATCAAATGACTCTATCACAGGCAAGCGCTCAGTCACGTCCGGGGACAAGGCGGCGTTGCCAGGCCGCTGGACAACCTTGCTCTGCATACCGGCGCTGATGGCGGCATCCACCTCTTGGACGTTGTCGCTCAGAAAGAGCCACTCGGCCGCAGGGATTTCGGGATACTTGCTGGCAATCCTCTTGTAGCTGGTAGCTTCCTGCTTGAGGCCGGCATTGACCGTGTCGAACCAGTCCGAGATGAGAGGGCTGAGATCGGGGGGGCTGCTGCTTGTATGCTGGAACAGAAGCTTCTGGGCCGGGACGGAACCAGACGAGTAGATCATGACTTTAATGCCGTTGTCTGTCCATGACTTGAGCTTCGGTGCTACGTCCGGGAAGAGCGGCGCCCGGATCTCGCCGTTCGCGTATCCTCTCTGCCATAGATAGCCTTGGAGACTCTTGAGGTAGGAGATCTTGAGGTCTTGCGCCATGAGATCCTGGACATGCGCGAAGAGAGCGTCTTTCGAAGCTGCGTGCTCTGCCGGGAACGCTGCTCTATATGGGGCAAACTCGGGACTGTCCCATTGTGTGTCAAGAGTCTCGGGCAGGACTCTCAGAGCATATGGAAACTACGAGGACCGTCAGACCGGAACGGAAGAATACACCCGAGTGACCTTTGACACAAGCAAGGCTAGGCAACGTCTGAATATCTCCCGAGAGTCGACCGGGAGTCCACCACTTGGGAGAGCTCTGAGCGACAAGGCGGCACGGCGCCACTTGAGCCGGGTGCCTAGTACGGGATCGGCAACGGGCATAGAGCAGACATTAAGGGAAGCAACAGGGGCAAACACCAGACAGACACAGGCGATAGGACGGGCAAATCTTACCAGGACATCCTTGACGAACGAGATGGGACACACGGTGCCCTCTGTCAACACGGAGCGACGTCAGAACTGAGGATCATGGAACACAGCACGCGTGATCGCCAAGACACGGAGACAGTACAGTCAAAGCAGAGGTGGCAGGAGAGGAGGGCAAGAGACTCGGCAAATGCTGGGCTTCGTTCTTACCGATGTCGAGCAGAGCAACCTTGACAGATGGTGGTGTGGCCATCATGAACCCAGGACTTCTGAGCAGGCTTGTGAGCAGGCTGGTGGCTGGCTGGAAGGTGGTTTGTCAACTTTGTCAGCCTCGCACTTGCAATCAAGCGGTTCCCTTGGCTAGCTCAACTTCGCCGCCTGCCAGCCTTGGTTGACCAGCATAATGCTTCTCATGGCGAGCGGTGAGGAGGCCAACAAGGAAGAAAGAGGATGTCCAGCCTCACGAACCGTATCGAATTGCCGGGATAAAAAAAAAACCCCTCCCCAAGTGGTAGGGGGAAGCCGGAAGAAGATTTTTTTTTTTTGTTGGCCCTTTGACGCGCCGAGCGCAGCCAACCTCCTTGGTGGACGTGTCGAGATGGTAGTCGCCGGGTACGCGACGGAACTGGGGTGGTGCGTGTGCAGGCTGGATGGCTGGCTGGCTGACTGAGTGCTTGTGACGCTGTCAAGAAAGGTGTGGGTGGTTGAGAGAAGGCGGTGAGGTGTTCGCAGGTCCCCGTTGGCTGGAACCCCAGTCTTTTGGGCGTCTTAGGCGGCGGGTTCTATCACATCGCGCAGATGCTTGCATGGAGCAACAACCACAACTGCCATGGACAGCCTGCCATCACCATCGCATCACGCACGCAAGTGGACCTCGCATTGCCGCATGCTACCTCTGGCCATGCACCAGGGCCTCGCAGTTCATGCCTGAAGCCGTGCCCGGCTCGTTGCCATGCTGCCCTCGAGCCACGATGCTGTCACGTTGTCTCCAAACGGACGATACCAGTCCTCGCCGCTAGACAGGTCCAATCGACGTTGCAGACAGCCTTCATCGCTGCATCCGACATGGGCGCGAGCCATCCTGAGCTTACTAGGCAATGGAATTGATTCGAAGAGGGAAAGAACAAAAACAAAAAAGACAGCAGAGCTTTGACCAAACCCTCTCTTGGACGACATGGTCGCCCCCTTGCCCTAGATTGCCGTTCCCGTACAACCGGCTCGTCGGTCTGCAGGAATCGCGTCAACCCACCACGCAAAAGAAGGCTTGCGATGCTGGTCCCTGTTGCCAACCAACCTCGCCCAGCCTCTTTGGGGCTGGCGACCACGAGTTCGGGCGACCCTGGCGGCAGTGGGGATGGAGATGCAGTGGCCACCCGGCCCAGATGGGATGCCCGCCTTCCACAATCAGCTGGACCAGCTTGGGATGCCGTCGACTCCTGCCTGCTCAGGCCGGGGCATGGCTCAATTAACCCAGGGCTTCCGCCTGCATAGCGCTACTGCAGCCACGCAGGTCCGGCATGGTCACGGACGTCTTTTGGGCGTGGAGATGAACATGGTCGAGAGCGAGCTCACAAACAGGGCTGGGCTTGCAGCGAGCCAGGTCCTGACCGAACAGATCCGACGGATTCTTCTTGGTACTAAGAAAGTTCCCGGACGATTCTTGGATGCTGAGAAACCCGGCATAACAACTGACCACGATGCACACTAGCCCGACGCACAGCTGTGAAGTGATTGCAAGCTGCCGGGACCTGCCCTTTGACTATGGCTGTCCCTCTAGCATTTGAAGGGCAGACCAGAATGAATGGGAGAGCGATGATATCGGCCAGCGACTAGATCCCAGGGACCCACTTGCTTGACAGCATCAAAGCCAAGTCAGGTACAGGCTCCACAAGTCGTCATCACAAGCGGGCTTGGCTGGCTGGCTGTTCAGGCATTGCTGCATCCGCATCATGGCAAAGCCAGGAGGTATGTAGTCACGGGTTGACGATGATGCAAGCCAGTCCACAGCTGGGTACGGGGCGTTGCCATCGGATCCTCTCGGCATGCGTGCGCGCAGAGCGAGACTGCTCCACAGACATCAGGAGGACGGGGCATGTTGAGAGTCGTTCGACATTTCCAACCGGCCAGAAGAACGCTGTGTGACCAACAGCTACTCGCACCAGCGATTGTATCGCATGACGAGAAGCACCTTTCACGTGCATGGAGGCTTTCATGGGCATGCCATGTCTGGACTGAAGCCGCCGACTCCTGCGTCCGCAAAATCTCGCCTGCACTTGAGCAGCCATGTTCTTTGTGCGACACTCAATTCCGGCGTCGTGGATTGCTTACTTGGGGTTGCTGGGCATCCGTAGATGGGTGGAAGATGCCAGCCAAGAGACAGCCAATCCCCAAGGGTCGCTGTGAGACAAGAGAGACGTGCGTCGACTTTTCCTCCACGACAAGTGTAACTTGCCGTGGCATGGCCATGGCCTCCAGCATGGCTGCTGTCGAGTGTGTATGGATGCAGCTGAGACAACCTGTGGCAGCATTGCATATACACTTTGGGGGCACTTGGTCGTGACTGGTTGATTATCGCATCCCTGGATGGGCCAGTCTGCAGTACGTCGCAGAAGGACAGTCAATCACAAGGCGTGCTAGAACTTCCTTATCAAGTGGTCCATTTGATGTGCAGACGATCCGCCTCTCCCTCCAGCAGGCCGATACGATAGACCGCCGACCGAGGACGATCGGAGTCGCGATAGTATCCGCAAAAGATATCTTGGGGTCGGTCTTTCACGCCCGACTGCAGATTGCGTGATCGCCTTGCCTAGTTGTTAACACGTTGGGGCTCGGGATGAGGGTCACGATAATTAGTAAAGGTGCAGGAAGTACTCATGTCGCCTGACGGGGTGGAACGACAGTCAAGTCATGATCAGCGCGGCAGCATGATCACACGACGGAATGAACCCCTGGACGCGCATCGCCTGCAATGGTAGGATGTACTCCGTCGACAGATCGTCACAGCTTATCTGTCGTGCAACCTTTTTTCTCTCTCTTTTTTCTCGAAAGGGACATTGTTTGTGGTAGAAAGGCAATTTTCGGACAACACGTGCGTGGTTTGGACACCCAAGATCTTTTTTCACATCCCATCACAGGCCGCATGAAGAATGACTTGAGCAATGGACTGGATGATATCTTGAGCGCTCGAGATAGTCGAGCTGTGGAGTCTATTCGCCAAGCCGACACCCCGACAGAGATAACGTGCTCGGTGGCGGCGGGTGCTGACACCTAGTGGAAAAATCGTCAAAGCCACGAGCTAGCTAGCTAATTGAGTTTGCGACATGAAAGGGACCCCCGTTCTGGATTCCTCCCACGATTCGTCGGGACCGGAAGATGTGTGGAGGGTTCACGGTTTGGCAAGTCACTCAATCACTCACTCACTCACCCACTCACTGGGCGCGAATCGGTGGTGAACAGAGAGAGAGAGTGTGTGTGTGGTGTGGTGTGTTGTGCACTGGCTGGCTGGCGTCTGAGGGTCTCATCATCCGCGTCCAAGGACTGAAACCGTGCCGTGGGGATTCTGCAACACATGGCGTGCATGCGGATCGGGGGGTCTGAAAGTGTCAGGTCTCTCTCTCTCTGAGCACACACTGGTCTCAACAACCATACCATGGTACGCGAGCGATGATGGATCAGCAGCCACCCCGTGCGACCCCTTCAAGCTAACAAAGCTACCAGAGCACCGCTCCCGTCCATCCGTCCCCCCGCCTGAATTGGTGTGTCACCTTGCTCGGCTCGACTTTTCTCTGTTTTTGACAGGCAAGGGTACGCATGAACACAGGAGGCCCTGACCGTTGCTTTCCCTGCGGAAAGCCGCCGATCGAGGAACGGTTCCCATCCACGCCATGACCACCATGCGACCCCTTCCCCGGGAATGGCGCATGCATTGAGACAAGGGGACCAGGTTCGTCAACAACGATGAAGAGAAAGAAAACAAAATAGTTAATCACAATGGAGCGCAAAGTAAATAAATAAATAAACAACAAGCGCCGCCGCCCCAGGAATCCCCCCGCCCGAGAGATGCCAACTGAGATTGATGAGCGCTCGGTCTCGGCAGCGAGCATGAGGCGACGTTCACAGACGGAGGTTGCAATGCGTCCACAAGCCATGTCTGTCGCAGTGTCGACCTGCAGGAATTTTAAGATTGCAATACGGAGTGGTCAGACACAACAGCTCACTCGTGAGAGAGCTCCAATGTGAAGCCGAACAACATACACCTGCAGTACCTGGGGCAACGACACGCAAGAAGGTTGCGGGTACTCAAGATGCAGGTGTGCGTTGTGTATGCGCGACAAGTACCTCTCACCCCAAGCAATCCAAGCCACGTTGACAACCTGCCAGTCGTCCTGCGGTCCACGTTTGGAGAGGTACGGCAGCAGCCAGTGGGCGTGGTCCAAGACATGCAGCTGGATAGGAGTGCATACATGTGAGCGTCAACTGGCCCTCTCATTGGGCGGTGCCACCCCTGGCGGGACGGATAAATTACGATAACCTGGGGGCCGCGCCGCCTCTGCGCGCCAGCAGGCAAGCTTGGAGGAGCTCATCATTTGGAGACGTGAAACGGAAGCCGCTGGAAAGGATGCACGCTTGACGCTCACTGAAGCGCGTCTGATACAGCCCATTGGACGGTGATAATGAAGTGGCAGAGGCTAATCTCAGGCTACAGACGATGTGTGGTTGATGTTGCCCTCTGGCGGCGGGAGGCAAGGAGAGTAGGAGATTGGCCCGGACCGGACGGACTTCACTGGCAAGGTGGGAGTCGAGGGAGGGAGTGAATGCCCCAGAGTTCCGGCCGGAGAATGCAATGGGCACGGAGAGCGCCGGCCGATGTAGTGCTCCGTGTCCAGGCGGCGGCTTTGCCTCACACAGGGCCTAAACTAAACTCCCTTGAGGCAAGCGAGGTTGTCTGGATGGCATGCCAGAAGACTGTGATTACGTGACTGGCCAGGTCTTTTGTTGGGAGGGCCAAGGGGAAATGACGACGAACACGACGTGGTCATTTGCGACGACATGCCTCTCCCTCTCCACACTGTTGATTACAGCACAGCGGGCGCGAGGCATGGACCACGAGAAAAATGTGAATGAGCACGAGGACAAGAAACCGTCTGCGTGACTGATAGGCAGGCCTGGTAGGCAGACGAATTCGCAGGCGTGGCAAGGCGTTGGTGTTTCCACGAGCTTCTCTGGATGATCGCCAGCAGGGCCAGGCGAGCGTGGAAACAGGACACATGTCCGTAACATGGCGCTGCGCCCGGATGACTTGGTTTCCCGCCTTGTCCGCGAAAGAGAGAACGTGACGACGATAGTCGTGGGGCAAGCAGGCAGACAGGGCCCGGCAATCCCATGTTTCCAAGGTTCCACGCGGTAATCAATCTGGGAAAAGCAGGTACGAAGCAGGACTTGGACGGGGCCCGCTCCTCTGACCCACGGAGAGAACGGCAGGCAGGGCAGGCAGGAGCAATCACGGGTACCTCGAGAGCGAGTTTCGCAGGGCGCCTGCAGGCGTGGTCTGGTGCTGGGCTCGGGGGCGGGCGACTACCACGCGGGCAAGTAGAGGCGGTGAGGTGGCGAAGGTGGCCCCGGGCCGCATTCAGCAAGACCAGACGACACTACACACACTCGCGCGCTTGCCCCCGTGCCGCCCTGCCTGTCACCTCTGCCTGCCTGCCCACCCTAAGGTACGATAGTACACGGTGCAGGCCGGCCTAGCGCCACTGCTGCTGCATGAGGGCCACCAATGGCGGGGGCTGTGGTCAGGCGGTGTGTGGGGCATCTCCAAATTTGGGCGCCCGCGGCCATTCTTGGGAGAGCACCACTGGGCCGCTAGCCACAGGGTGCACCACCACTCAGGGCCGGCCGGGCCTCTGCCAATCTCCAGGGCTCCTGGCCAAATGTCTCCAACAGTCCTGGGTTGGGAGGTCCAGGCCGTGAGAATGAAGACACCAACACTGTGCCTCACCACCAAAGAGTGTGCTCTGCCCACCCTCTCCACGTCCTTCTAGACCGGATCAGCACTGTTAGGACAGGATGATATCACAAGTACTGACTTGGCTGCCACACCACGGAGAAGTGACCGCTACAGGACGCCCCGCCCTAACAGACCGGCCACGCAAGAGCCCCGAGAAACGCGTCAGAGACACAGTGCAAACCCAATCACGTCGAGAGTGCTGGCTATCACGACAGCAGCAGCGTCTGGCTGGATGCCCCGGCCATCGGAGGCGCAAGACTCACACGGTTCCCTATCGCGAGGCACGTTGTGACCTGGCGCTCGCTGCTGACGCCCGCCCACCCCCCCGGCCAGGCCCTGACACCCTGGTCTTGAAGTTACGTAGCTGCTTGTTCCTGCTTTGGCCTTGGCCCTTGGGGGACCTGCTCACGCCCACCCCCAGCCTGCTTCGAGCAAGTTCGCGCCGTCTCGCGCTCTGCTCAGCCCAGTGACCAGTGACCACTAGGTCAAGCGCCCTTGTTCACCCGCGCTTTGGCTTGCTGCTGCTGCTGCTGCTGCTGTGAGCTGCTGCCCCCTTCCCAAGCTTCCCCCCCAGTCCCTCTCGCTGCCCTCCCCCCAGTCCCGGTCGGCCCAGTCTCAGTCACCCATTCCATCCATATCCTGCGGCTTCTTCCAGTCCAGTCATCCTACCCTTCTTCTCTTCCGTCCCCGTCGCTCTCTGTTCCCCTTCTCGTCGAGTCCCATCTTCAGCCTGCTCCCGTGCTATCGTCAACTTCCACCGTCAAGAAGAGTGCAACAGAAGAGGCCTTCCAATTCTCCGTCTACTTCGCCCAGCTTTTCCAACCCACTGCCACAACCGCCAATTGTCTCCCTCGCCACTCTCTACCACTCACTTCCTTGCTCACTCGACCAGCAAACACGACAACCACCTCTCGCCCAAAGGTGACCCCCTTTCTCCAGACCGCCATCTCAGGACGACAATCACCCCTGCCTGCACGCAACGGGGCTTTTTGCTGTGTCGTGACAATTACAAGACTGCACGCTTCCCCAACCTCGTGGTCGGGCTGCCAGCCTTGAACCCCAACCAAGCCAGCTGCACCACTTCACAGGTTCGCCTCGCTGTGTGAACCGTGCTCACACCACGTCACGCCCGGACCCATCGAATACCGGATCCGCCATCTACGAGGCACTTCCCTGTCCGTCCCGACTGCTTGCCAGCACTGCGTTCTCGGTACAGATCGGCCCTGTTCCTGCGGCATCGTCTCGTCCACCTTGTTGTCGTCGACCCCCTCTTCTCGAGTGGGCTCTGCGACTTCATCCCCACCGCTACATAAGCTGATACACACCACTCCACGTGGCCGGCCAGTCTTCCGGACTCGGTCATATATCAGCCACCTTCTTCCTCAACCTCCTCAGCTATTAGCGGCCTTTCGACAAGCACCGTCGATCGGTTCACACTCTCCAACCACTCGATCCTCGAATGCCATCTCTTACCGAGACGGTCTTTTGTTGATCAATCGCACCCGCCACATATCGCCAGACTAAGAGGGATACCCGACGCCCTTTCAGTCTTCTTTCCACGCATCGTCATCATTCCCAGCGAACCACATCGATTTCTTGATACCGTTTCCATGTCGTTATAACGACTTCTCTAACACTCTCTCGGGACCCAAGGTCCGGCACCTATTCACGAACATTCAACCTACCTTTTTCACAATCTCATTTGTCGCACTACAATCCGGAAATACCCATATATGAGCCTCTGACACTGAACGACTTGGAGTTTTACCTGTTTGCAACCATCGCCGAAGCCACTTGTTCATACTGTACATTCTCGCAACCTGCTCCTCTCGACTCATGAAATTTCACATCGCCACCACATCTCTAGAAGTTCTTTTCACCAAAAGCTTCGATTCATTCAACTCAACACTCGCCACACCATCCGAGTATTAGCGCTATTGGATTGATTGTCCAATAACTGCTCGTGCACAACTCGCCGCTGGTTCCACGAACCACAACCCCTCTCGTCCCTTCTCTCGTCTCTCGCGAGACCACGTCATGGAATGCTTGAAGAACAACTTTCACAATGGAGTTGTACTCGGCGATAGGTTCCAGACCATCTCGCCCCTCAACCATGGCTCTTTTGGCATGGTCTTCTCGGCCCGCGATCTGCAGACCAACGAGATCGTAGCCGTCAAGTGCATGACCAAAAGGTCGGCCGTCGCAGATCCCAGCGTCGACTTGTTCTACGACGAGAAGTCAGAGGAGCTTTACTGCCACCGCCGTCTTGCTGCTCACCCCAACATTGTCAACTTGATCGACACTTTCGAAACCGATGCTCATCTCTACCTCGCACTCGAGTACTGTTCTCAGGGCGATCTGTACGAGGCCATCCGTAGAGGTTACGGGCCACTCGAGACCGAGCACGTTCGCCAGTTCATGCTAGAGCTCGTCGACGCTGTCTCGTACATGCACGAACAGGGCATCTACCACCGCGACATCAAGCCTGAGAACATTTTCCTGTCGCAGACCGGATCCATGAAGCTCGGTGATTTTGGCTTGGCCACGACCGACAAGTGGAGCTACGAGACCGCTGTTGGGAGCGACCGCTACATGTCGCCAGAGCAGTATGACTCTGCTGGCGCGGGATACTCGCCCGCCCAAGCTGACATCTGGGCCATTGGTGTCTGCCTGCTCAACATTCTCTTTTCCCGTAACCCCTTCACCACCCCGACCGAGTCCGACCCCTTGTTCCTCGACTTCTCGCGCGACAAGCAGTCTCTCTTCGACGTCTTCCCCTCGATGTCTCAAGACACGTACGAGGTCATTGTTCAGTTCATGAACGTTGACCCGACCAAGCGTTCCCTGGTTGGAGCGCGTGAGGCTCTCCTGCGCGTCGTCAGCTTCACCACTGACGATGAGGCCCTGGACGACTTCTGCACCGCTGAGCGGGCTGCCATCGCCACTGCCAACCGTGAGCCTCTGCGCACTCCTTCGATTCAGAGCCCGCTGGTCGATCAAGGCGCATTCCCGTGGACCAAGGCTCTTCATGCTGGTGCCAAGCCAATCCGTCAGCTCAGCGCCATACCCGATGACGAGAGCTACACCGAGGACCTGTTCCCCAAGTCGGAGAACACTTCGGATTGGTTCTCTGGGTCTGCGATGACTCCCTCCATCTCCTCGGTGCTCACCTCCAACCTGGCGGCCTCGATGCACTCCCTGTCCATCTCGAAACCGGTCAACGTTTCCACGCGGGCTGCGCCATCCCATGTATTGCCCATGGCCGGCTCTTTGCCCATCAACATGTCGAGACCGAGGCCCACTCTCAATGCCATGTCCATGGTCTTCGGCCGCCAGAAGGATGCAGTCTCCAAAAGCTGGTCGGACATGTGGGACGAGGACTTGGAGGAGGATGAGGAGGAGTCGGCTCGTCAGCTGCAGGCGCTCAAGGAGCTCAACTCGCGGACGTGGAGTCAGGAGAGCAAGACGGAGGACGTCGACACTGTGCTTGGATCCACGGCACAGACGCCAGTTCCTGCATCTGAGGCGGACTTCTCGCTTTCCTCTCCGGTCGTCGACACCTTTTCGAGTGACATCGACGGTGATATGGTGGCCGATGGCTTCTTCTTTGAGGAACAGCCCGTCGTCGTCGAGCAGCCCAAGTATTCGTCGTCTCGCTACTCGCCTCCGGCCAAGCGATCCGGCCTTGACAAGTGGGCCGAGCTTGGCGAGCGTCGCCGTGCCTTGCCTCGGTCTTTCGAGCCCAAGTCTGTGGAGCCAGCTCTGAAGACTCAACGCCAATTCGGGTACGACTTCAAGAGTTCGTTCGGCACTGGAATCGGTCTCTGGGATTCTACGAACCAACAACACTACAAGGGGAACCGGGACCGTGCCAAATCGCGTGGTGCCTGTCCCTGGAACCAAGGACGAGACTGGAACTGGCGTGAGAAGCGCCATGGTTTCGGCGACATTGAGTGGGTTGGCCATTGGCAAGAGTCTCACTAGATGAGGGCTCGCCGATGATGCCTTTTGTAGTTGGGCTGATTGCCCACAACTCTGCTTCTGGGGTTTGCTGCCATCTTTCTTTGCCCACATTCACAAAAACACTTTATTCGAAGCACATCTTGTTATACTCTATTAGGCCTATTATTGGAGGATCCACAGGGGACTAAGGCCGCTCAACCAGACTGACTTTCCCCTGAGCAAACTTTTTTGGATTACAACACTTTTTTTTTTTGGCATGGACAGCAAACCCACGGCATTGTTGATGGATCGATCTGGCTTCTAGCTCGCTTTCTCGGTATCTTACTTTTAGATTAGCCCCCCTTAAGAATACCAGAAGTTACCCACTCACTGGACTAGTGTCTGTTATGTTGGTGATTGTGCAGTGTCCGCCGGGCGACCTATCCGCCAGCGCTATATTCCCAATGTTGCTCATCAGGCCTTGATACCAAGTGACAGGGTCTATGTAAAGTTTCATTACTCTTGCGCTTGACAGCACTGGGTCTTGTCATGGGGAGCCTGACATTCTTGTTTGTATTGAATGACCTACGTGATTGTTCGGGTTTGGAAAGCACCCTGGCAGAGAGGGGCCGGTAGGATACCAGCACCACATTGTCAAGGGACTTCTTTGGTCGTCGTCATCGTCGTCGTCGTCGTCATGGATTGTAAACTCGACCATGTTAATGCTGTGGGTAAGGGGTAAGCTTGTTCCTTGTCAATTTTGAGCCGGGCCATGTTCGTTGATCATCAATCAACCAGTCAATCAATAATCAAGTGGTGGGAATAGTGTACTTCCTGTCGTGATGGGTGTTGCCGGGCAAGCCCTTTTTGGTCGTCGTCGTTCTTCTCGTTTCCTGGGTGCCAGGGTCTACCAACACCAACACCAACACCATTTGATACCCCTTACTTACTTGCTCTGGAATTCAGCACGAATCACAAGCAGAAATGAGGGAGGGAGGGATGAAGGGAGGGGTTTCTTGCAAGCCTCTGTCGTAACGAATTCACTTTGTCAAATGTTTGAACCCGATACGAGCGAACCTGGGTTAGAGGCAGATGCTTTTTTTTGGAGAACCAAACAAGTAAGCCCCAAGGCGAGTCCACATGATTCGAGCTCGCGAGATGGAGCATCCTTTTTAGGCTGGTCGTGCGACGTGGCGATTCGGTTTAACATGATATATAGACTTGAAAAGACAGTGTCAAAGTTAACAACAACAAGGCCTCACCCAATCGTCCATTCAGAGAATTCACTGCCATCATGATAGCGATGACTACAACCCCGCTCCCGCCGACGAAAACCACGCCATACAAGCGCTTGGATTGCTTAACCGTTGTCGTGGTTCGGACATGCGTGCGAAAATTATCCTATAGATTGCTATGCTGAAATATTGCTGGCCCACCAGGCGTAACTACCATCGAGCATCGTCATCCTATTCCATGGTAGAAAGACAAAATATCGTATGTATGCGTCAAAGCGATAACGCCAGTCCTCATGCTAATTCAGCGTTTTTTCAGTCGACCGTGAAATCAGACTTTTCATAATGCTGGTCCTCCTGCCGCTTCCTTACATCCCGCGTGCGCATTTCGAAGTCCTGCAAATGCTTCTCATACTGGTGACTCGTGTCATATCGGTCCTCTCTCACTCCGTCGCTCCAATGAGATCCTTGGGCAGGAATGCCCATACCGTGCCGACGATGGAGAGTGTCAGCGATGTCAGCATGACACACCACGTGAACAGCTTCTCGCGTGCCGACAACTCATGGCCAAAAAGTTTGAGATAAAAGGCCAGAGGCAGCCTGTGGGAGACGTTAGATAGAGGCACTGGCAAAGCGAAAGTCTTACAGGCAGGACCGCAGGGACTTACGTGACACAGATTGTAAAGCATAAGGCACTTCCCATGAAAGCCATAATCGAGTCGAATGCAGGGAATGCAATCGACACCGCGAGGAAGACACAAAGAACGCCGACACGGACCAAGGCCTTAAGGAGGCCACGAGCAGTGGCCGAGAGTCCAACCATGGAGGATTCACCAGCTACGTGCTGCTGGCGAAGGCCACAGACGACCTCAATGGTGGCGTTGATGGGCTGCGCATTCAGCGGGATCTTCGTCAGGGGGATAATGGCAATAACGATGACGAGGATGATGTTGAGAATATTGGGGTAACCTGTCGTGTCCAGGATGTTGGCTGTGATTTCGTCCCGAACGCCATCACCGAACATCACATAGCCAAGCACGGCCATGAGCGAATCGATACCAAACTGGATCAAGTGTCAGCCGTATGCCGGACGAGGTAGACGCCTGTGAGGAACATACCGTAAAGCCGAAGGTGTAGCTGACTGCTCGTGTGTACTTGTGAGGGTGACGCATGTCACGATAAATCTAGGTACTTTTAGTTCTCAAGCTCGAACAAAACTTGCAGAGAACGTATACGTACATTTGGAAAGACACCATGACCTCCCCATGGAGACATAAGCAAGCCAAGAGAGAGCGGAAGCGTCATCCAATTAGCAGGAAACAGGTATGTGGCGGCAGGCTCAATCAGAGAGCCAGGGCCTGTGGCTTTGAGTAAGCCGCACAGGATCACAATGATTACGACTACTCTGATGTTAGAACCGAAGCCACAAATCGCAAAGATTGCAAGCGAATAAGAACTTACTGCTCATGCAGCAAAGGATGCCGACGAAGCTCGTGAAGCTGAGGAGTGCCAGCGGCGCAAACTGCAGCGGTAGCAGCACCACAGTGCACAAAACTTTCCACTCCGTAACCGTCAAGGATCCAGGAAAGAGCAACACCAGCGAATCGGCAAATAGCACGATGAGAGCAACGCAAGCCGCGAGCAGCTCGAGGGTGAACAGGATGGATGTCATGATTCGAGCTTTGCTGCCAAACGAGATGTAGGCAATGTCGGAAAAGGTGATGATGGTGGGATCAAGATCCATACACTTGGCAAGGATGCCAGCCGTCCAGCTTGTCACGGCAGCGCAAAGTCCCAGCATGATCAAACCCGGCACCCAGCCGGCATACCGAAGGCCCATGGGCAGACTCAGCATGCCGACACCAATCAAGACGCTGTCTGATGTTAGAAGACCACTTTTGACCACCAAGAGCAAAACACGGCAACATACTTTGTAGAGTTGAGTACAGTCTGAGGTAAAGTCGACTGGCCCGAGACTGCCAGCACGATCTTGCCCTCCTGTTCGACTTCCCTGACGAGGATCGCGGGCCGCTCTCCATCTGGCATGCTGGCGCCAGACTCCTGCTGTTGACGCCAAAGCTCGCCAGCGCCGAGCATGGACCGGTGGCTTGCATCAGAATCGATGGTTCCGTAACTCTGAAAGGAGCCATAGCTGCCCACAATGTCTGGGGCGGCCAGGTGAGGGGGGATCTGGAAGATCGAGTTGCTCCTCATGGAACCAGACGGCGAGCTGTGTCGAAAGAGCTGGTCTCCGCTTCCCTGGCGCTTGCGTTCTCCGGAGGGCCCAAAGGGCGAATGAAACATTGGCTCGCCGTCATCCTCGGCCTCGGTAACAGCCGTCTCTGATGTGCTAGCCTCCAGGTGTTGACGCAGCAGAGAAGCTCTCGGGGTGGCCTCAATGTCTGTTCTGCCATATCGGTTCAGATCGGCCGTATGCGCAGGCTCCTGATCGGGGGCGAAGACGAACGAGGGCCGTTGTGGGATAACCTCGGGAAAGACGGCCGCACGCTGCCAGCTGCGGCCGAACGATCTGATGCTGTTGACGCCACCAATATCTGTAAGAGCCGCGAGACCTCGGGAAACAGACGATCTGCAAAGTTCTGTGGTTAGCGCCGCCCAGGCTTAAGCGCTGCCGGTAACTACTGTGCATTGTTGGCTTACCTGCGGCGCTGTCGCGTGTTGACCTCGGGATCGCGTTCTTGGGTTCCACGGTCGCCCAGGAGGGCCTGCTGCTCAAAGTGGACGCTTGCTGCCGAAGCACCACTGTCACTGCGGCCTGGAGAGGGCCTGCCCTCGTACTCGTCCCACGTCGTGGGCTGCCTGCCTGCCATTGCGCTCGACTTTGGCGGTCTCTGCTTGTGCAAGCAGTTTGGGACGGACAGGAGGGGAAGGCCGCTGCTCACGAGACCTCTGCGATATAAGACAAGGCCTTTCCAGTCAGGCGCACGACAAGGGACTGAGAAAGCCTGCAACGCGTGCTAAAACAAGTGGTGGAGTCGGGCAGGCAGGGTCTCCAGAGTATGGGGGCCACTAACTCAGCCCACGACCCGTAGTTCTATCGCGTGCCCACAAGCTCCCAACGCCAGCCGGAGATGAGGCGATTGGGCACGGGGATGTGTTGGTAGTCTGTCTTGCTTGGGCGTCGTGCCTGGTGATGCTGCCGCTCGTGTTCAGATCTGTTGAGCTGAACGAGCCGGAGGATATCGTGGTCACCAGGTGGCACAAAGGAGAATGATGGCGGTCGTGCTCGGCGCGGGGAGCTGTCGTCTAAAGAAGAGATGAGGGCGTCACGTTGCCCAGAGATAAAGCTCCTGGTCGAGCCAGGCTAGGGCACCCTGCCTGTCGGCTAGCGCTGGGGCTTAATCGTCGAGGGGAAGGGCGAGCAGGATCCATGATGGTAGAATTTTGCCCGAGTCAAGAGCCCCGGCCGGGGAAAGCCTACAGGAGGGGGGCCGCTACACGGAGCTGCAGCACCGGCCGCAACTTGTCGTCCGCGCGCCATCACAAGGCGAGCGTAATTGGAGACTCTTCTCTCTTGCGTCACCTCTGATATTCCAGACATCTGAGCCTCTCTGCATCTCATAGTTAACGCCCTGGACGTACCTATCGAAGGATCTGGAGGCTCCCAGTCCTCCTGCTTTCACCCGCCCTTATCAGCTCCCCACCTCCATGCAGGTGTGGTGGACAACCTGCCGTGATTGGGCGGCTGTGGCTGCATCTTGGGGCACCCTTGCTCAACGATCAAGTTCGAATTACGTCTTGGGATTTGGTATTTCATCCGTAGTCTCGCACGTCTTTGAGTTCCCAGTTGCCATTGACATTGACATTGCCAGATGTGTCAGCCAGACTTGTGCTGCTATTCCTGCGATAATCTGCGGTGCTTGATACTCCGGATGATTGGCTCTGCCCGCTGACAAGAACACGGCACCCGTGGCACGACCGCCCACGCCGTCCGTATCGACAATTGGCCGGGAGGCTCCGTGGCGGTGATGTCATCCTGCCTCAAAGCTACCACCTGCGCCTGCTCAGAACCCTGGCCTACACCTGCGTGATACCATGCACTCGACCTACGAGCCAAGCAGGCACTCGACGATCACCTGATACTTCCTCCCAAGTTCAAGGTTGCCATCAATTCCTTATACACGCGAAGTTTCCAGCAAAACCGGGACCGCATTGCTACCCCCCCCCCCGCCCAACCTAAAGGCTCGGGCAAGCAGGATTGGGAACCAGACCAGGGCACTAGCTGGAGATTTGCACGAGAGTACGATGCCGCCCAAAATCTGCTCTTCACAGCTTTGCGGCAAAGACCCAAAGCGTGGAATAGTCACAAGAACACGACACGGGCTCTGCCAGGCCAACACAGCTGGTATCCTTTGAAGCTAACATAGCAATGCCGATCTTCATGACGACGAGAAGCATGTCAAGAGCGTCCAGGATTGGCAAAACAAACACTCTGACCTTCTCGGGCCAGTTCATCCTCTCGCGACTTCTACTGGTCCGTCCAAGTCCCCTGGCATGCGTCAGAAGTTGCACCATACACCTTACGAGCACCCCAAGAGGCACATTGGCTTCATTGTGCAGTCAACAACAAGACGATCGAGCTCTGGGAATCACCAACAACGCGACTTGAACTCCTTCTTGGACCGCCCAAATCGGTGGCTTTGAACATGTCTGAGACTCCATAACCACCGAGGCTATCTGGAGAATGCGGGAGGCACTCGATTCAACAGTATGGGAACCTCGACAGCCGGGAACACAGGACAGCACGTGTTCTCCAGTTTGGGGCTGTTCCCACGCCGCCTTCCATGGTTCTGAGGCACATATACGATGGCACGGCTTGAACAACAACAAGCGCCCAGCGAGGAGCGACGATAAGCTGCCCCGCAGCCGGACGCACTCGCCGAGAGAGCGTTCCATGTGTTTTGGAGAGGAGTAAGATTGTCCCGGGCTGCACGTGCCGAACCTGGTAGGACGGGGCAGGTAGCTTCTACGAGGTGCTGGAAACGTTTGCTACGATGTCTTGCAATCGATTCCAGCCAAGGTTGACTGCCCAAGGGTACCCAAGTGCATGGACGGCTGCAGTTGGTTAAGTACGTGCCTGAGGCGGAGGGCTGCAAGAGGCTAGACTCTAGGCCCTGCCCTGGTGCGTGCTGCCACGGCTGCTGTCTGGCTGGCAGGTGAGGCAAGGCTGCAAGGCATTAACGTAGGTGGTGGGCAGGCTGCCAGCGCTTGCGCAATGCGTGCGTGCTGCCGCAGGTGGCACTCTTTGCTGAGACAGCTGCTGGCCCCACGCGGGAGTGATGACTGTGCTCTCGCCGCCACTCTGCTGCATCCACGAGCTTCGACTTTCGTCTCCGGCCTTGTACCTCCCACCGCAAGACCCGCTGTTAGTGCCTGACCAACCGCGGCGCGGCAAACCAGACATCTCGCCTTAGCAGCCCTGGCGCCCTGCTCAGGTACCATCCCCTGTCCGGACCCCGTTCCCTCTACCTGGCCGTTCCCTGCCGACCCGCACTCTACATCACCACGTCGAGCCAGCTGCCCCAGCACTCGGCTGCTCTCCCGCAAACAACAACATCTCTCCCATCCACCTCACCCCTCCACATCCACGATCTCGAGAGTCCACGCTTCTCCAGACTCGTCCCGCCGGAGGTGCTTTTGTGAAGTCGCTTTCGTTTTCCTCCACGACGGTTTCACCGCCATCGACTCGTAGTAGCTGTCTCCTCACAGCTTGCGAGACACTCCGTCATCATACCCACATCTGTCCGCATCACCACATCCCGCCCTTTACCACGCCATCACAATGTCGCCAGACTCGGATCACAAGAAGAAGGCTAACCTGACGTGAGCTGCCCGCCCGCCTGGAACCCGCCAGACTCTCCTCTCTGAACAAACATGCTAACATGCTGAATGCAGCGACGTGTCAGGTGCCGAGATCAAAGAAGTACGATTCCTGCCGCCTCGTCTACGCACCGCACACCGCATCTGGTACTGACTCGTTTTTTAGGAGAATGACACCTCAACCGCCATCCTCAAGAAGAAGAAGAAGCCCAACCAGCTGATGTGAGCATCTGTCCTCTCCAATCCTGTTGTCTGTGTAGTCTGCTAACCTCGTGACTGCCAGGGTCACCGATGCCGTCAACGATGACAACTCGGTTATCGCCCTGTCTAACAACGACATGGAGACTCTCCAGCTCTTCCGTGGCGACACCGTCCTTGTTCGCGGCAAGAAGAGAAAGGACACTGCTCTCATCGTTCTCGCCGACGACGACCTCGAGGACGGCCAGGCCAGAATCAACAGAGTAGTCCGCCACAACCTGCGGGTCAAGCACGGCGACATGATCACCGTTCACCCGTGCCCCGACATCAAATACGTAAGTATTCACCCGCGAACACACCCCGGGCCTTGTCGTTCAAGATACTGATGGCAATGTCAATGCAGGCCAAGCGTATTGCCGTCCTCCCGATCGCCGACACCGTTGAGGGTCTGACAGGCTCGCTCTTCGACGTCTTCCTTGCTCCATACTTCAGAGAGGCCTACCGCCCTGTCCGCCAGGGCGATCTCTTCATCGTAAGAGGTGGCATGCGGCAAGTCGAGTTCAAGGTTGTTGAGGTCGACCCCCCGGAGTACGGCATCGTGGCACAGGACACTGTCATCCACTGCGAGGGTGACCCTATCCAGCGCGAAGAGGAAGAGAACAATCTCAATGAGGTCGGCTACGACGATATCGGTGGCTGCCGCAAGCAGATGGCTCAAATTCGCGAGATGGTCGAGCTACCCCTCCGTCACCCCCAGCTCTTCAAGTCTATTGGCATCAAGCCTCCCCGCGGTGTCCTGCTCTTCGGACCCCCCGGTACTGGTAAGACGCTGATGGCCAGAGCTGTGGCGAACGAGACCGGCGCCTTCTTCTTCCTCATCAACGGTCCCGAAATCATGTCCAAGATGGCCGGTGAATCCGAGTCGAACCTCCGAAAGGCCTTTGAAGAGGCGGAGAAGAACTCTCCTGCAATTATTTTCATCGACGAGATCGATTCCATTGCCCCCAAGCGTGACAAGACCAACGGCGAGGTCGAGCGCCGTGTCGTATCTCAGCTGTTGACGCTCATGGATGGCATGAAGGCTCGATCCAACATCGTCGTTATGGCCGCCACCAACCGACCCAACTCTATCGACCCGGCCCTTCGTCGTTTCGGTCGTTTCGATCGCGAGGTCGATATCGGTGTCCCCGACCCTACCGGCCGTCTCGAGATTCTGCAGATTCACACCAAGAACATGAAGCTTGGAGACGATGTCGATTTGGAGCAGATCGCCGCTGAAACCCATGGTTACGTCGGTTCTGATGTCGCAGCTCTTTGCTCCGAGGCTGCCATGCAGCAGATTCGTGAGAAGATGGATTTGATCGATCTGGACGAGGACACCATCGATGCCGAGGTGCTCGACTCCCTCGGTGTCACCATGGAGAACTTCCGGTTTGCTCTCGGTGTCTCCAACCCGTCTGCCCTCCGCGAGGTCGCCGTTGTCGAGGTTCCCAACGTCCGCTGGGAGGATATCGGTGGTCTCAACGAGGTCAAGCAGGACCTCAAGGAGAACGTCCAGTACCCCGTCGATCACCCCGAGAAGTTCCTCAAGTTCGGCATGTCGCCGTCTCGTGGTGTCCTCTTCTACGGGCCTCCGGGTACCGGTAAGACAATGTTGGCCAAGGCTGTCGCCAACGAGTGTGCTGCCAACTTCATCTCTGTCAAGGGCCCTGAACTTCTCAGCATGTGGTTCGGTGAATCTGAAAGCAACATCAGAGACATTTTCGACAAGGCCCGTGCTGCGGCGCCCTGTGTTGTGTTCTTGGACGAGTTGGACTCCATTGCCAAGGCTCGTGGCGGCTCTGTCGGCGATGCTGGCGGTGCTTCTGACCGTGTTGTCAACCAGCTTCTGACCGGTAAGTTTAAAATCTGGCAGTATTTCATTGTTTGCGAATCGAAGCTAACTGATTGTGCAGAAATGGACGGCATGACATCAAAGAAGAACGTCTTCGTGATTGGTGCTACCAACAGACCTGAGCAGCTCGACCCGGCTCTTTGCCGTCCCGGTCGTCTCGACTCTCTCATTTACGTCCCGCTCCCTGATGAGGCCGGCCGTCACAGCATTCTGAAGGCGCAGCTCCGCAAGACCCCTGTGGCTGCGGACATTGACCTCGACTACATCGCATCCAAGACCCACGGCTTCTCTGGTGCCGATTTGGGCTTCATCACCCAGCGTGCTGTCAAAATTGCCATCAAGGAGTCCATCACCCTCGACATTGAGCGCCAGCGTGCTAGAGAGGCCGAGGGCGGCGACATGGATGTCGACGAGGATGTCGAGGATCCCGTTCCAGAACTGACCAAGCGTCACTTCGAGGAGGCTATGCAAATGGCTCGGAGATCCGTCTCTGATGTTGAGATCCGCCGGTACGAGGCTTTTGCCCAGCAGATGAAGAACACTGGCCCTGGTGCTTTCTTCAAGTTCCCGGATGCGACCACGGGTGGTTCGGGCGCGGATAACTTTGGCCAGGCCGGCGACGATGACGGGCTCTACGACTAAGCGTTGCTGCCGTTTCGACATGGCTCCTTCCAGAGGCGAGTAAGGCGTACCGTTTTTCGCTGACGGGTTGGAGGTAAATTCCGGTGTATTCTACAGGCTTGAGTTGCGGCACATGTGCTCGACAGGCAGAGCCTACAGTTTTGGCAGAAGAAGCCGAATGCCGGGGAACAATATCGTAGATAGTCAGCAGTTTCCGACGTACGCGTCCAGCTACATCGCTTCACGAAGATAAGAATAACGATAGATCATTCACTGAAACAAGGTGTCGAAATACTTTGTGCTCTGTATGTGACTTGCAAACGTCAACTCCGGGTTTATAGAGATTTGGTCTCGAAATAGGCTTGAGCGACTTGAGCTCGTTCACCCAAAGCATGTGAGCCCTCCAAGCCACTGACTACCACAACAAGACGGCGGATTTAAATGTAGGCAAAACCCGAATTATGAAATATCCATTACAACAGAAACGCCATGCTACGAAAGACTCAAAACATCACTAAACCGCAGGCGATCGGTGCTCTGCGATGAGGGAGACCAGAGCTTCTTGCCCTATTCCCTGTTCGGACCCATTTCCATATGCCCTCTTCACCCCTTGCCATGGTTGCTTATCGTCTCTGCATCGCTTCCTCAGCCAATTTTGCCCGGGCCGTCCAAGGAAGGGCGGCGATTGGTGCGGATTGGACCAAACTGCTGTCCGTCCGCCCCATGTCTAACGGACGAGCGACAGGAAGGACAAACCCACAGTGCGGTGCTCTGGTGACAGCCCGCGCTCTTCTTGTAGGGCTCAGCCGATCTGTCACGCACACGAGGAGTCGATGCGTAACAAAGACAATACTTGCCATCCCGATGAGACTTTATCATTCAGACACTCTTCCTGGTACTCTGATTCCTCTGTACTCTAAGTCCAAGATGCGAGGGCTGACCAGCCTGGACTGGGGCGTCGTTTGCGAGTTTTTTTGTGACCGTCGTACCATTGCTGCTTTGTGGGTTGGCAACATCTGCAGCTACGCCTGCCAATGCCAATGATTGCGCGTCGTTGGCGGACGTTGAGCTGGACCGCGTATGGCGCTGAGCCGGTGAGGATGGTGGCAGGTATGAAGAAGGCAAAAAAGGCCTGGGCGGGAACAGCCTGGGCAGGAGAGCAGCCCTCGGGATTAGAGTAGGCTCCTAGCCGCCACCACCCGAGGAGCTGCTGTTGTCAATCTCGCACACGGCCTCGAGACTCTCCCGCGTCACCTTGAGGACAGTCTCGACGACTGCGGCGGGCACGGCCAGGCTGTTACCTCCGTCCGATACTGTGCCGTTTGATGATGTGCCATTGACTCCCTTCTTGTCTGATGTGCCGTTCGCCGCTGATGTGGTCCCGTTCGAGGCCGAGGCGGAATCTGCATCGCCGCTGGTGCTGGTAGAGGAAGACGCGGCGGTGGCTGTCTCGTGACGGACGTCCTCGAGGACCCGCTTGATGAGGGCAGGGAAGGTGCTGACCTCGCCGTTGCGGAGGAGGGAGAGGGCGTGAGCTTGTATGGCAGTCGGCCAGTTGGCATTGTGGGAATCGAGGCTGTGGAGTAGACGTTCTTGTATCCTATGGGGGAAGAAAGGCTCTGGGTCAGCTTCTACGAGTGTATGGAGGGGCTCGCCTTGTAGCTGGACTGCCGCGAGTGACAGGAGGCGCTAGACGTACTTGGTAATGTGTCCCTCCCGGATGAGCAGCGTGTTGATCTGGGAGCGAAGGTCTGGGTCAAGGGTCGCCGGGGTGTAGTTGGCCGCCGAGGACGGGACCTTGACGGGTGTCGACGGTGGTTGCGACATGCTGGGCATCAGAGCTGTGGCGGCGCTGGCTCTGGGGGTGGCACGCGTCGAGAGGCGGGCTGCAAGAGTCGAGAGCGCTGCTGGGAGTTGTGCGCTGGCGGCCGTGACCGACTCGAGAGTAGGGTGTGGGCTGATGATTGCGCAAGGCTACGATCGGTGCTTGCAGAGCAGCACGAGGCTGAAGGCGTGATGAAAACGCGGTATAACTTAAGCTGTGGTGCCGGGGTCTGCTGATGGCCCGCCGGCATTACTGTACGTAGCCTGGGCCCGGTCCGGGTGCCCTTCTGTGGCAGGTGCAACCTCCACGGTGCCGCCCTGTCCCCACCCGCCCCGCGAGCGGCTCTGCGCGCCTTAAGGTTGCATGCAGGGGCCGTGGGCTTCCTGCCAAGGGCCGGTCCCCCATTTCCTCTCGCAGACCACCCGAGCAGCAATCGTCGACTCACACGCGGCGTCGCCTCCAGACTCCAAATCTCCATGAGCCATGTTGCTGATCCTTGTGTCCAGTTTCCCCATTCCCTAAAGCTTCCTGCTGGCGTGTGCGGCTCCGCTGCCTTGCTCGTGAAATCCTGGCACAGCAAGCCACACGCACAGCAATCAGGTGACCCCGGGCAGAAGAAGCAAGTTGCGCCATCAGGAGAGGCTGCAATAAGCTGACTGAGGCCCCACTGACTGACCACTGTACGGCGACACGAAAAAACAAACCCAGAAGAAAACAAAAGCGCAATGAGACGAAGAGGCGGACATGGGGCACACTTGGTCGCCATGACACTTGTGAGCTGTCCTCGACGGACTATTCCGTGCCAACGTGTCTATACGTGTATATGCAGGCCAACAGCAAGTTGCAGCATACCCAAAGATTGCCAGCAATGCCCGACACCACCACGGCCGTCGAGGGCCCTATCCGTAACAAAGCAGGTACCTCGTTGTATCACGCAGACGTTGCGCGTGGCGACTTTGCTGGTGGCGTGCCCGGAATTTGAGCAACAGCATCTCGTATCAGCATGTAGTGACCTACTGGGCGCCCTCGGACCGAGATGGCACTCTCTGGCAGACCAGCAGCCCAACAGCCATCAACAAGGTCGTCAGTACGGTCTCTGTTGTCGTCGACTTGCTCACTTAGTAGCTACGTGCACATATGCAGGCGACCCGCAAGGAGATTGGGGATTGCAATTGGAGCACATCCGGCCTCTGAGCTGTTGCGGATCTCCATAATGTGCGGGGTGGTCTCTGACTCCGTGATAGCTCCAACCATCATCTCGCCCACTCAATATCAGGAATCGGGGCGAGTTGGTCCCGACAGGCAACGGCCTCGTGCTTCGACCTCACCGATATGATGAACCTGCTCCATCCTCGGAGAGCCAATAACCCGGCTGCAACACGGTTGTCGCATACAACTTCTCCCACATCGACTTGGCTTGCATGATGCAGCTGTGATTATGCAAGCCATTCCGCATTTGCAATTCCAGTGGATACAGCTTACGTGCAGCAGGCCTACTGATGGGTGCCGGAAGCACGACAACGGGTAAGAGGCTGAAGCCACCGTGGTCGGGCTCGGATACGGAAATCAAGGGTAGGTCGCAATAAGGCCACTTTCCTTTGACCGACGTCGTAACAGCCCTCAGGCATCGATGCGGCGGTCCGCGGTCGCTCTCGGGAACCGTGAGAGCATCAAGTTTTACTTGACTGTGACATATGGACCCTACTGGAAGGGCGGCATGACAGCTCAGAATGGGGGCATCCAATCCCAGATGTCCCAGCTCGGGTGGGTGGGTGACGCCATTGTCAAAGCCCTCTCTCGCCCTACAGGTCGAACTGTTTGAACGAGACCGACATCCACTGTAATTATGCGGCAGCCTCTCCCATGGGCAGCATGCTGTCTTTGACCTTTGATAGTGTATCTTGGCGACTGGCCATGGACGAACTTGTCAGGTAGGCCCCGTAAAACGATTGAGCCTTGCAGTATCTATCGCTCCTGTTGGTCTGCGTGATTTGCCACCGTGGTCCGCTGACACCAAAATGCACGGATATAGTATCAAATGATAGAGAATCGGTAATTGTCGAGTATGAGTCCTTCATGCTGCCAGAGAAACCCTCGACAATTATCCTGAGCTCGAAACTCAGCTCGATTTATTAGGTAAATATATTGCTAATGACGATCTTTATGCTTCTGTATATCTATATATCACGGATATCATCCATCACTGACGCGCTGCTTCCGAGGAAGACAAAACCTTGACCTGAAGATCGTCGAAAAGAACTTGGTGTAAAACATGATGAACAGGACTAACGTGCAGATTAGTGGTGACTTAGCACCGGAATCAAAGGTAAGTGCCGCAGATTGTGACAGTGAAGCCCTTGCGAAGCGAAGTGAAGGGATGCTGTCCGTTGTTGCTTCCAGGATACTCAGTTGCTCCTTTAGTATGCCATCTTTGAGCCTTATCTCGTGGAGATCATGTAGTCGAGGAATAAGCAAGACGCAAGGGCCCTGCGTGCGGTCTCGCAGCATATGCGCGACTCCTGTGACGTGTGTTTTCTTGTTTGTGAAGCATGGACCACGATGGCTGCAACTTGGGGGTTGGGGTTGTGGAGTCGGTGTCTCTGAATAGGCAACCCATGAACATCGCTGCCATTTCATTGACAGCGCAACACGTAGCCTATACACCTACCTACTTTGAGTAGCCCAAGTACTTATGTAGTATGTGACTTTGCAAGCGACCACCTGGCGGCCTTGCGGAACCAGCCGCTTCGACTTTGCGTGTTCAAAAAATAGCACGCTTCAGCAGGGCGGCTTATCGTCGACGGCTGACCCGGGACCAGGACAACACGGGGTGACTGTTTTTAGACCTTGTTGCGGCAAACCTTCCCTTCGAGACTGTGACAGGCCGGGCTAGGCTGGCCGCGGCAGCCTCGCTTCTGCAACTTGACGTCGCCGACGGGGCTTCTGGAAGGCAAGCCCAACTGCCAAGGCCGGGACATGCATACAGTATAAGGTTTGCCCGTCCAACCAGGATACAACTCGTGGCGGGCCCGTGCCGAAAGCTGTACACCGCGGGAGGGAGGGCTATCTCTCCCGCTTTGCATATGGCCCAGCGTTGCAAGGTAGCTTGGCGGGCGACTTGACGCGTAAGGGCGGTGAGGGCGGACGCTGCTCAGAGAAGGTGGTGGTTGGTGTCTGAGTTGTGACGAAAGGCGAGAGAGAGTGTGTGCTCCTGGCCAAGCAAGGGCGACTCAACGGCCACGGATTGTGGGATTATGTGGTTCCTGGCTCACGGAACGTCCCCGGGCTTGGCTGCATGTCGTGTGTCTGTGCCCGCCAGACAGGACAGGGGACTCTCGTGGAGGACAGGGCCGACGATGGCGGCAGGACAGCCGGGTAGCACCTGGGCATCGGCGCAGATGGGATTCGTGACGGTGAGCGATTCTGGGCCTGACACGTCGCCCGGGGCGGCGAGCGAGTCAAGTTGCGCAGGGGAAGCGGAGGAGGAGGAGGACTGGGAGTGTGGTGGCGGGCAGCTCCCCGGCCAAGTGGCTGGGGATTGCAAGTCTTTGAGATGATTGAAGCGGCAACGCACGTCTTGTGTCCCAGCTCTACGCAGCTTGGCCGCGGCGGCGGCTGTGGTGGTGGTGGTGGTGGAGGTTCGATGGGGGTTGGGCGATGGACACGGCTCAGACACGGCCGGTGTAGTGTCTTGGTTGAGCACACAACGCCATGGCCGGCTGGCTCCAAACTCCCGTCTTCCGTGATGGTTCGGTGTGGCGGCCTGCCATCCGAGCCAATCCGTCGCCAATAACTAACTGCCAGCCCCTGCTCTCCAGTCAAGGACCATCACGATGCCTGGCTGTGTAGTTGCACCAGTCACGACAGGGTTGCACGCGGCCTCGACACCGTCAAACCCAGACTGCTCACCCGCGGCGATGATCTACGTGAGCAGACTCCTCCTCGGGCACCGGAATTGCCAATATATGGACACGTCGCTTGGCCCCCTCTAATTTAGCCATTCCTGTGCGGACACGCAATAATAGCTGACAGAAGCGTCGCCGGATGCCCATTCCCATCACAACCGCCCGAGCCCAGCGTTCGTCGGCTTGTGGCGGGCGAGCTTGCCATGGCCGCATCCGCCTGGGCTGGCTCGGTCTCGAACATTCGATTGGCACCCGGGAAGCCGACGTGGGAATCCGTATCTGGAGACGCAGACGGCAAAAGATCTACGGGTTTGCGCAGCACAAGTACGTACCTCTGTACTTGAGGTAGCAACAAGATTTTGGCGGGGAAGCTTCCAACCTCGTCAGAGAATGAATGCCATGTGCAGCCGACCAATGGCCCTTTTGCAGCGGGCAAGACTGCAGATGTCCTTACACTCTCAGCCAAGCACATCACGGACCATGTGCGCAGACCGGAACTCGTCATGAAACAGTATGGTCCTGATTCGTGTCTTACAGCAGACATCAACTGGCCACTCAGTGATGGTTGCCAACCTCTTGAACTGAACACGCAGAAACTGGTCTCTATGGCTCCTCAAGGCCAGCGACAATAAGGAGCCAACCAACGAGTTCCACCCCCCGATGTCGCTCACATCGCCTCCAGCCGTGGAGAGATGCTTGACCAGATGCTTGACCAGAACCTTGACACTCGCAGCACCAGGTTGCTATCGTGGAAACTCTGCTGCCGCTGACCTCGCAGGGAGGGACTTTGAGCGGTGAGAAACGGCTTCGAGCCGTTTGGCTTGCGGACCCAGGCAGGCCTGCAGATTGTGCAGTGCACTAATTGCCCGGCTACCAACTCCTCAAGCCCGTCAGACCTTCCTCCGGCCTCTTTCACCAATCAGATGAGACATATGCGTCCCTCGACCTGCTGGGCAGCCCCCGAGCGCAACCGTGTGCACATGGCCTACGTCTCGAATCCCCAGCACGCATGTTTGAGATTTCAGAACGCGATGACTTGGTTGCAGATCCCGCGGGCTTGCATTTTCATTAGTGAGCTCGCCCGTGACTTTGCTGACCCGGTCCCAGTCCGTGCCAAACCTCGTCCTAATGCCGCCTTTTCCAACGTCACTTTTTGCACATCAGCGCCACAGACATGTCGGGGGCTTCTGTGGCTGGCCAATGCTGGGCAATATTGTTGTGTCTCGAGGTTCGCTGTTGTCCGTCCGCATGCCTAAGCTTCAGGTCTTGATTGGGAATTCTTCGCATGGCCTTTAGGGGCAGCCATTCGTCTCTCCTCGCCTTTAGCTTATCATGGTCCACAAGCCCAATGCGCACAGCTGGAAGCAAGCACTATTGACGGCTGGCTGCCTACACTGGAAGCTCTGGTGCACGACGTGCCACGCGCTCGGGCAATCCATGCTGGGAAGAGAGTGGCAGCTGGGGTCCCGCGCAAAGGTCACGGCCGATGATCTATCGAGATGGGCTCTGAGCGCCAGCCTTGTCTTACCGAGGAGGGCGTGATGGAGGGGGACGACCATCGATGGTGTCCAGGTAGGGCATGCCTGATCGGCTCTCTCGATCTTTGGCTGCTCCCAGAGAGGAGACGAGGCCCCAGCTGTCAGCGCATTAGTTCGGAGCTTTTCCCAGGCTGGCGCCGTGCTATGTCCAGAAGCACACTGGCCCATTCCGACTCGAGCAAGCGGCGGCACTGCTGGTTGGCCCAGGGCGGCACATGGGAGCTGCATGAGAGTTCCCACCGCCATGGGTGAGCCCCCCTTGTCTTCCGCCCATCGCCGTGGATGCGGGCGAATATGCATGGCGATGTGGGTGTGTCGATGGGCCCTGGTCGACGCGCCTGGCCACGCCCACGACCATGGCCGCCGACGCACGAGACAAGACTGCTCGCGGCACAGAGGTACCCCCCTTGTACTGCGACAGCTGTGCACCTGCAGCAACCCACAGCGATTCGACAGGACCCCGACGCCTCAGAGTGAGCGGCGTGCCACTCCTCCATCTCTGGCGCCCTGTGCATGCGCCATCACAAAGACAGCGACCTCACCCCTCTTATTCCTTTCTCACTCCCGTGCGTTGGCTCAATGTTCCTCGTCATTTTTTCCTCTCTTCTCTCTCCCTCTCTCTCTCTCTCCCACCTTCGCTTGGCCCATCCTCTCTATATGCTCTCGCTTCCGCGCCGACTTTGATCACTTTGTCCGCCAACGCTGCCGTCGCCGCCGTGATCAGCAACACGGAGCCTTTGTGGTATCCTGCCCAGCTCGTTCAGTTCCTTGCCATTCACTCGCGTTCCACCCGCAGCCTTGCCTGTTTTCCTGCCCCGTGCCGATCATCTTCAACATTTCCGGTTCCTGGCGTAGTTGGACCAGGGCTACGACTGCTGGCTTGCTACATCATCTCAACCTGGGCTGCCTCGGTACGGCCCCTCCCAGCAGGCGCACCTATATCTGTAAGTCGCTCACAGCCGTTGTCAACGCCCATGCCATTGCCTTTATCCTCTCCTGAGAAGTGGCAGCCGCCTCCAAAAGCATAGTGTGGGAGCTCAGAGTGCACAATGACACCAGCCCCTGTACGGCAACCGGCCTGGGCTCTAGTGTATAGTAGCGGGCCTGGACAGGGCCCAGGCGAATGCACCTGTGCCACAACGCTGCTTGCCCGTCTTGTGCGAGGTGCGGCTACATTTCCCGGAGCTCCTGCTGCTTCTCTCGTTGTTTCCCAAAAGTCATGCTCTCACAGTGGGCGAGACAATGATTTTCCATCCCTTTTCCTTCGCGTTCTGCTCTCTTCTCCAAAGTGCCCCCCCATGACATAGCCTCCGCCTCATCCTCAGCGGCGTCTTACGTACCCCCAGATTCCACATGCAAAGGGCCTCCCTCGGGCCCTGACATCCACAGGGCGGGCTCCTGAGCATCGCCTCAGCTAGCTTCGAGTCAGGGTGTGGGCTTTTGCCACTAAACCGTCTGGTGACCGCAGGTTGACCCTGCCCCACCACTCACCTCCCGGGCCAGCATCTCACTAACTTGCCTTACCTCCAGGCCTCTCTCCTGGGCCTCCCAAAACAACCACCCGCCACTCCTCAGGCGGTCTTTTCGAACGGCCTCTTGCCGTACTCCTCTGTCGCTCCCTCGCACCCGGCTGCCTCCAGTCTTGGCTGCGATGATCAGCTGCGTGAGCCGCATCTAACCATAGAGGTAAACACCTGACCCTTGTCGCTCCTTGCCTCCTCGCGGTTCGACATGTTGTCACCCTATCCGAGCGGCTCTTTGCATGCTGTTACGCTCGCCGACAGAGCAGTCTTCTCTCAACACGCCTGCTCCGGGCTCCGTCCGCCTTGTTGACCGCCTCTCCCTCCATCTCTCTCGCTCTTTCTCTCTACCTCTTTTACTAACAGTGCTCGTGGTTCTCCCCAGCAGCAAAATGGCCGAGGTGGTTGATCCTCCCAGGGATTCCATTGAGCAACTCCGAGATACCCTCCAATACCTGTCTCCGCCTCTCCTCCTGGCAGCCTTCATATTGGTGGCTGCAGCCCACACGATTCGATCAGCCAACGCCAAAACAAGCGAAAAGGGAACGGAAGCGAAAGGCCCAGGTGGCAAACCTCTGCCCGTGAGCAAGAAGCGGACACGCCTAGTCGAAGACCCAGCGCATGCCCGCAAAACGAACCCGACCGTACAACGGCTTTTCCAATGGGCTAGTGCCGCCGTAACGGCAGACTTCGTGGCGGTTGGCGGTTCGATTGGTACACATGCTATCGTCGACAGGGCGACAACGGGGGAGCATGCATGGTGGTGCGGAGAGCCCAAGATTGTAAGTGCCAGTATCACCAGCTATCCTGCCAGGTTGATTAATATACGCCGGCAATTGGCGAACCCAGCTGACCATGATATCTGCAGGTTTACATCCTTGGCTCGAGCTTCCTGTGGGTATACTTCACGCTCTCGCTCTTTGATTGGGAAAACAGTCCGGTCACGATACACGCCGTTGTGTGGACCATTGCCCTAATCTTGGAAATTGTGATTTTTGTCTGTGACTTTTCAGTCCTCAGCGGGCCTCACAAGCTCATGATCGACCTGAAGACCAACAAATACAAGATCGTGACTGGGCCGGACGGGTACGATGTCATCGATCTCAGCTGTGCTGTCATCCGTATCGGGCTTCTCGTGAGCATGGTTCTTGTTTACACTGGGCTTGAGGTATATCACTGGCAGCATGTCCGTGCAAAACAACGCCGGTTCGACACGAACGAGACGACGCCATTACTACGCAACGGCAACGGAAACGCCCACCACTACTCCTCCAATGGCACCGCGGACATGGGAACGGACGGCGCATCCTCGCCAAGGAGCCACCAGGTCGTGGACGAGGAGGCCGGCTTCTATCGTCCAGAGAAGCTCCCAAACACGACCTGGTACGAGTACCTGCGCGGTTACTCCGTCTTCTTTCCATATATGTGGCCGAACAACAAGCCAAGCCTGCAAATCATTGTGGTTATCTGCTTTATTCTGCTGATTTTGCTCCGGGTCGTCAATATGGCGGTCCCATGGCAAGTCGGTGTTGTGACAAACGAGCTCTCAAGGCCATATGTCAATCCGGGCGAAGAGTGGAGCATGCCATGGCAACCCTTGGGCCTGCTGGTACTGTACCGGTTGCTACAAGGCCCTTCTGGTCTGCTTGGCTCTCTTCGTGCTTTGCTTTGGATTCCCGTCTCACAACACACTTACCAGGCCTTAATGACGTCGGCCTTTGAGCACGTCCACTCGCTCAGCTTGGACTTTCACCTGGGCAAGAGAACCGGTGAAGTCCTGTCTGCGCTCAACAAGGGCTCCTCAGTCAACTCCTTTCTCGAGCAAATCACCTTCCAGGTCTTTCCGATGCTCATCGATCTTGTCGTAGCCATCAGCTACTTCTACATCTTCTATGATGCCGTCTACGCGGTACTGGTCTCTGCCATTGTCTTTTATTATCTCTACCTCACAATCCGCATGGCCTCGAGAACGGCAGAGCAAAGGAGAGCAATGTCGAACCTTGACCGCGAGGAGGAAGCTGTCAAGAACGACTCCATCATATCCTACGAGACAGTCAAGTACTTCAACGCCGAGGCGTTCGAGTTTAAGCGCTATCGCGAGGCTGTACAAAACTTCCAGACGGCGGAAGCCAAGGTCACCTGGAGCATCAGCACGATGAACATCTGCCAGTCTATCGTGTTCATGACTGGGCTGCTTATCATCATGATGCTTGGCGCATACCAAGTTGTCCTAGGACAGCGAAAAGTGGGCGATTTTGTCACCCTCATGATGTATCTTCAGCAGCTGCAAGGGCCCCTCAACTTCTTCGGCACGTTCTACCGCACAGTCCAGCAGGCCATGATATCCGGAGAACGTCTTCTCGAGCTCTTCAAGCAGCAACCGTCCGTTGTTGACAAGATTGGCGCCACGAAAATAGAGTCTTGCGAGGGGCAGGTCGAGTTCAGCAAGGTTGGGTTTGCGTATGACCCGAGAAAGCCAGCCTTGCAGGACCTTTCCTTCATCTGCAAGCCCGGCACAACCACAGCGCTGGTCGGAGAGTCCGGGGGCGGCAAGTCGACTCTTTTCCGCCTCATGTACCGCTACTACAACTGCCAGCACGGCCAGATCAAGATCGACGACCACAACGTCAAGGATGTCACTATCGATTCTGTGCGGAGACACATTGGTGTCGTGCCTCAGGATACTATCCTATTCAACGATACTCTGATGTACAACCTCAAGTATGCCAACCAGGATGCCACCGACGAGGAGATATTCAAGGCTTGCCAGGCGGCCAGCATCCACGAGCGGATCATGAGTTTCCCCGACGGGTATCACACCAAGGTTGGCGAGCGCGGCCTGCGGCTTAGTGGCGGTGAGAAGCAGCGAGTAGCCATTGCCCGGACCTTGCTCAAGAAACCCAAGATCATCATGCTGGACGAAGCAACCTCGGCGCTGGACAGCCAGACGGAGCAAGAAATCCAATCTCGTCTGGCGAAGATTGGGCAGGGAAGGACAGTTCTGTTGATTGCGTAAGTGACACACCGCATGTCTGTGAATATACGGGCTTTTTGACACTGATACACATGAAAACAGGCATCGACTGTCGACCATTACGCATGCCGATCAGATCCTCGTGATTCACCAAGGCCGCATCATTGAGCGAGGCACGCACGAGAGCTTGCTTGCGGAAGGCAAGCAGTATGCTGACATGTGGAACCGACAAGTCAAGGCGGAGAGGGCCGCCGACGAGGCGAAATACAGCTTCCGAAGGCTCGACAAGCTCTCCCGCCGGGCACATCTGCCGCGGCCCGAATACCCTACACAGACGGAGACGCCGCCGCCGACTCACGAGGACACGAGCTCGTCTGACGAATCCTCGTGTCCCAAACCATTACGAAGTGACGAAAGTAAACCAGCCCAATAATTTGACTTGTACATAACACGGGCAAGGTCTTGTTTGGTTTTGTTTTTGTAACCCCATACAGCTTATCTCGGCGCCGGGGATGCTCTCTGTTGGAACATTCCATGGGGACATTTCGACGCCGGTGATGTTGCATTGCATCAAGCGGCGTTGGCAGGCGATACACAAAAGAGGCCACCCTCTGCACCATGAGGCGATGGACGCCTCTTAATACTTTGGCTTTCACCTGAATTTTTATAGGCGTGGATCTACGTTGTGGCCGGGAGGATGCCGGGGCGGGAATACTGCATGCCGAAAGTGGACGATGCGATGTTGATGAGACATGATGACGGCATTGGCGAGCGGTTGTATTTCTGGGGTCTTTTTGGTCCGGGCGCCAGCAAGTTTGCTTAGCATCGCAAAGAGTAGAGAGCGTTTTACTTGGCTGCTAGTGTCGTGTGACCCAGCACCTGGGAACTCGTATTACAGACAGGAGGAATGAGACAGAAGAAGACTGCCTGATTGCATGGCCCACACGTTATTGTTGTTTTTGTTGTCATCGCCCCTGTGGGTGAGAGCACGCAGAGCTTGAGGCGGATTGAGCCCGCCGAGGTACAATTTGGTTTGTGAGGGAGCGTGACAGCAGACGAGATTGAGTTTTGCAGATCTGAGGGTGCCTGCCTGGTGGGATGCGGCAGTGGTGGTGGTGCCACGTGCCAAAAGGTTTGGCGAGCGTGGGCAGGCAGGCAGGCAGGCTGCAGGGCGCTGCTGCAGTTGCAGTTGCAGGTGTGGGCGGCTCGATCAGGCAAGTCGACGCAGGGGTCCAGGGAAGAGGGTCCCCTGACTCAAAGCAGCGGCACGCTAACGAGAAAAGCTGGTCTGCCACGAGGATGCGATTTTTCCTTTTGGCCATCCGTGTTTGCCCTGCAGCAAATGTGCAACGCTGACTTGGCTTCCAGAATCAGATGGCTGCGAGCGTCAGCTCACTGGGAGGGATACGTGGTGTGTCCAATGGGGGTGTTGTCTTTCGTTCTTGATGCAACCACCACTGCTGGCCGTTCGTACTTGACAGCTGTCGTCATCACAACAGAACACAGCCCAAACAAAGTACATGGGACCTTTGACCGTCAGCCATCATTTACCGACGCTCTACAAGTCGCCTTGTGAATTGGCCCTGGCCTGGCCTGGCCTGCCTCCAGGGCGGCTGCTTGTTAGGCCCGGCAGTAGGGGACCAAGAAAAAAACCGGAACGCCCCCCCACGCCGCCACATACCCCTGTCGCAACCCACCACGGGCGGGCGTCAAGTCCGTCACGATAACCTCTCTTTTCTCCTTTCCCCCCTCGCCTTCCAGGTGCCAGCGGGTTCGCACTTGGTGTGTGCCCTTTGCGCTACCGGGCGCCCTCTGCTTTTTCTGTTCGCCCCTGGTCCGTTTCTTGTTCCCACCCCCGCGTTTTCTCGAACCCCCCCAGCCTGTCTACGCTACCCACTGCGACTCGTTTTTAACTTCGGCCTGCGTCTATCAGTGTCTATCTCCTGGGACATAGAGCGGGCTGTTCGCAGATTGCCATTGCAGCTAGACATAATCTTGCCCGTAGATTCGAAGGGGGCTCGACTTCTGTTACTCCTCGAACGACAGTGTGTCCACCGTCCTTGGGAAAAGTTCGATATTCCCCGGGGTTCTGGGGCTCCTCGCCGGTTTTTCCGTTCTTTGTAAGAGAAAAAATGGCTCGTCGCCAATCCGCCACCTCGGCCACGCTCACGGCTGATGGCTCAGCTTCGGGTGCTGGTGCCACTCCCTCCATCCGCGCACCCACAGCCAGCCTGCCCTCCCTGCGCAACCCGGACCGCCTGTCCGAGGCGGACGTGGCGGCAGCCATCGACGGGCTCGTCGCGCTGTACTGTCCGCTGTCGAGCGTGGTTGCCCTGAGCGACACGTCCGTCGTGGCGGCTTTCCTTCCGTCAGCAGGATCAGGATCAGGATCAGCAGGCCAGCCGAGCCACGCGCAGACGGTGTCAGAAACGCCCACGGGGACTCTCACACCCTCGGCATCGGCATCGGCGTCATTGACAGTCCCGGTGCTTGATTCTGGTTACGCCTCTGGTGTGGACGAGGACGACGACGAGGACGAAGGCAAAGATGGATGTGCTATGCGAGGCAGTGACAACGATGGCGCCAACGCGGCTCACCACCACCAGAACGGTCCGTCACTGGCTGCGCTGCGGGCAGACCACTTTGAGCGTGCCTTTGCCGAGCGGTGGCTGACGACATTCCTCGCCCGGTCCGAGGAGATTTACTTTTCCGATGATGATGATGAACGGGAAGGTTATCATGATGACAAGGTGGGTACCACCAGTACCGGCGACGACAAGCGGCAGCTGCTCGTCGACAAGGCGGCGTGTGTGCTCGCGTCGTTCCACAACGCGCTCGACGATGAGCAGGACGACGAAGGGGTGGTGCGGAACCTCAGCTTCCCCTTGTGGTCGCCTGGAGAAGCGTCTTCATCATCGTCCACGGGGAAAGAGACCGAGGACGCGGCCTCGACGACGACGACACCACCACCGGCAAGGACGATCCAGGTCCAGCTCAACGACGGCGCGCTCAGCTCGACAGACCACACCGATGTCGGCCTGCAGTCCTGGGGCGCGTCCATCGTCTTTTCGGAACTGCTGTGTGCCGCGCCACACCGCTTCGGCTTGATTCCCAACCGGTCAGCATACGGGACGCCCTCGCAGGACTCGAACGAGCTCGGAGGCGTCGGCAAGCAGGGTGTGGCAAGACTGCCACGACGGATCCTCGAGCTCGGTGCCGGTACGGGACTCGTCAGTCTCGTGCTGGGAAAGCTCCTGCCCGAACTCGGCGTGATGGACAACGACGACGACGACGATGACGACGACGACAACCGTGGCGAGGGCACCCTAGTCGTCGCAACCGACTACCATGCCGCAGTACTGGAGAACCTCGAGCGCAACATCACCACCAACTTCCCACCGTCCTCTTCATCTTCACCACCATCATCTTCTTCACCGCACACCACAGGGCCAGCGGGAAAGACGTCAACAAGAGTCACAGCCCACGCACTCGACTGGTCCGCGCCAGACCTCGCCACCCCGCCGCTCGACAGAGCCTTCGACCTGCTCGTCGCCACCGACGTCGTGTACGCCCCGCAGCACGCCATCTGGCTGCGCGACTGCGCGTCCCGCCTGCTCGCCTTCCCCTCGGGCCGGTTCTGGCTCATGGCGACGGTGCGCCGGGCCGGCAAGTTCGAGGGCATCAGCGACACGGTGCAGGCCGCCTTCGCCGTTCCGGATGGCCTTGGCCATCATCATCATCATCATCATCATCATCAGGATGGCACGAGCAGCACCACCACCAAGAAGGTGCTCCGGATCCTCGAGGAGCAGGCGCTCGACCGGCCCCGGGGCGTCGGGCACGGCGACGAGAGCGGGTACAAGCTGTTTAGAATCGGTTGGGCTTGAAAGAAGCACGCCGCGCGCGTGCAAATGAAGGGGGCCCGTCTCTGGTTACTCTGGGTACCTCTCCGCTCAAGTGTTCTTTCTTTCAAGGCTTTGGGGTGGTAGAGAGACTCTCACCATTTTTCTCCATCCTTCCTTTCCTCTGCACACATACACACACACATACACACACTTCATGACCTTGACGTTTTTTTTTTTTCCATCTTGTTCACAAGCTAGACAGGGCGCTTATTTAGAGGAGGAAAAGCGGGTAGACATAATCTTTTGTCCCCTTGGAGTTTTTGGTAGCGAGTATGAAGGGTGGGGCGACGACCGCGTTGAGATGGATTCCGGATGAATGAAAGAACGAGTATAGATTATAGAGAGAAACGACGAAAAGGAGCGAACTAGAATAGACCAGATTTAGAACAGACCATACCAGACTAGAGTAGAAGTAGATTTCGTTTCCCACGCAAACTTCTGGGCCAAGATTAGCTATGCATACTACAAGATATACAGGAGAGACAAGGAATACAAGAAACAAATTCATTGGCATCGCAGTCACCTGCCAACGTCCGCCAAAGCAGGAATCGGGTAGACAAGAACCATGGTGACGAATCTGACAATCTCAAGCTGCCACAAGATTATTACAACGACTGTACGTCCCCATCCGGGGCCCCCCCTAAAAATATATGTGTAGAAAGAATCCTCGGAATCTCGTTCCGCGTTGTTCTTTTGTTGTCCGCCTGCCCTGTTCCCCCTCTCCCCAATGCCCATGGTTTGCCCACCCTGCCCAGTCATCGCCTGTATGGTTTGCGCGGGCGAGTTTTCAGAAATGTAAACCCCACGCTGCCTGGCTGTCTTCACGTCGTAGACCGCCAACGCGTCAATCATCGTTCTCGTAATCATGTCCTGATCCCACCTTCCTGCAAACCCAGCCCAGCCCCGGGTCAATACTGTAACACAAGTCGAGTCCTGAAGGTCCACATGATTATGGCTCGACAACCTCGATCAAAACGCCTAGTGAGCGGCTGTAAATGTTGCACGTGAACGAAGGAAAGCCCGCCATTTACGCCGCTCCGCAATGATGTGTACTAAAAGATGGGGGTTCTGTCGACAGTGGCCCCGGGCCCAGTGACAGCTGCCACAAGAGTTGAACCAAGCACTTTGGTAGTCGACGTTTCTACCTCCCCTATAGGGTACGCTTGCGTGGTCACCTCAAAGAACTGCAAAGAGGTCACGGGCTGCCGGCCCAGATCTTTCTTCACAAACAGCATTGGCGAAACCTTGGGTGTACCACGGATGTGGGTGGCCAAGCGCACTGCTTGCATATCCAGGGCGGCACCGCAACCGATTCGCGTCCGCGTCTTTACTGGGCGGACTTGTTCTTGGTCGAGCCCGGCGCGGCACCGTTGGATGTCGCAGCCTTGGACGTGCCATTCACGAGTGGCGTAGACTCCTTCTCCTCGACCTCAGACTCCTCTGCCTCGGAACGATCATCATCGGCAGTCTTGTAGACGACGAAGCGGTAGGCGATACGGACGATGAAGAAGAGCCAGAAGAGATTGAGCGCTTGAAGGGATGCCAGCAGCGCGAAAGTGATGTAGAACGAGATCCAACACTTGTACTGCCCCGTCTCCCAGTTGACCTCGTACGGGCCGACAGTCTTGAACTCGGTGAAAAGAGAATAGATGATGCGCAGGTTGAGGAAGTGACGCAGGTAGATCCACGCACACATGAAGATGAAGAAGTAGGGTCCGACAAAAGCGTGGTCGATGTAGTTGAGCACCTTGGACGTCTATACAGGATAACCGCCATCAGTATACATAGCGAGCAAGGACAAACACCCAATCATAACAAACTTACGGCTAGGAAGAAGTCACTGATGTCGTGAGTGACGTAGACGGCAAGACCCATGTAGGTGAAATGGAAGCGGTAGCTGAGCCCGATCAGGGCAAGGCTGACAATGTGGTGGCCGACGAGCTCCTTGAAGTCCTTGCGACGCTCCTCGAGGCCGAGCAGCAGGACAATGGCCTGCTGGGCCCAGTACGCCGCCTGAAAGAGGTAGTAGAACTTGAACTCGGCGGCGTGCGTCTTGTGTGGAAAGTTCTCGTACATGCCGCGGGTGTTGAAGTACCAGACCGGGGTCTTGCTCATGACGTACATGCCAGCCGGTCCGAGGATGGCAAAGTAGATGGCCGTGTAGGCCTGCTCCATGAAGCGAGCCTGCTTGGCCCGGGAGCGGAGGCCGCAGTACTTGGCCAAGGGGCGGAGCAGCTCCTGCATGATGAACTCACGGGTAAAAGACAGCACTATGGTGTAGAAGGTGACAAAGGCGATATCCCAGAGACCCTTGCCATATTGTATGGGTGCCTCGGGGTCGGTGCCGGCCTCGCGGGGCAGCTTGTAGGAAAGGAAGATGAAGTGGTAGACGGGGTTCTCTTCTGTCGGGTTGACGGCAAAGAGGACGCCAAAGATGGCCAGCATCACGAGGGGGAGGACCCAGGTGTGCTTGAGGCAATAGTTTTTGCAGCGGCGGATCAGGGAGCGGGCCTTCCGCCGCTTGGAGCCCTTCTTGCCGGTGCCATCGCGCACCTCGGGGGCGGGCGTGACCTTCCTGCTGATGATGGCCGAGGTGCCCAGGCTAGGGGCACCCGTGTCGCCGGCGCGGATCTCACCACCGAGGCCGCTTGACTTTCTACGCCGGCGGGCATTGACTTGGTGCATCTCTGAGTGTAGCTGGTCGGCCGAAGGGTTGAAGGGCGGGAACGGGTCGGTCCCGGTGGACGAGGCCATCTTGGGCGGAAAGGGGCGTACAGGTCGAAGTGGAAATGCCCAGTCTGCGCAGCGACCGCGAGGAGGAGCTGCGCGCAGGTGGTGTGCGAGACGTTTGACCAGAGAGGGCGGTTCAGCAGAAGGTCTTGTCGCCGAGTTCGCCAACGTCGTCGTCGCAAGCTGTCGGCGCTTGTTTTTGCTTCTTGCTCGTGGTTGTCTCGTCCAGTGACGGGCTGTCCGCTGACAACGAGGTGTTGTTTCTTGGGGGGTCTTCTGGAGTGGCGGAGGTTGCCGCTGACGAGATGCCGCAGAGGGACAAATGCTACGTCAGAGATGGGATGCTCGCTGACAGGCAGGCAAGCTCTTTGTGCAGTGCAGCTCGCCTAGTTGGTCTGCTAGCAAGGGAGTGCGTGCAATCGAGAGGGTTGCGGCGAAGCTTAAGGGCTGCAGAGATCAGGGAACAGCCTGGCTTGAGTCCGAGTCAACCAATCGACAAAGAACCTTGGTTGCCGTCCGGGAGCATTAACAACGGAATTTCTGGCAGGCCCGCGTGCGGGAGCCAGGGGAAATGAGGTACGGCCGGGCTCGAGATGCTGCGGCGGGCCCACATGTCACTTTGCGCCCGCCGCCTGCCCACGAGGTACCTGCCTCCCTCGGCCTCCGTGGACTCCTTTGCCGCTCGATAGGGGTCCTGCCTCCCCACCTCCCCTGTCTTTTTCATCGTCCTGCGGGCCCAATACAGCGCGCCGATGGCCATGTCCAGCGCCGATCCATGTGTGCCGACCACCACCAGACACCAATAATACATTACAGTCGTAGGTGCCTGGAAGGAGCCCTGCAACGGCACGGGTGCTGGTGGTGGTGGATGATTCCTTGTCAAATCACAATTTTTGACCTTGCCGGCATGGCTTCAACAAACAAATACACCGAGTCCTTCAGAGCGAGCCTCACTTCGCGGCCCACGAGGATGGAAGCGCCCCAATGGTCATCAGACTGTCCGGTTCCGTGTGGTCCATCCCAAGTGCAAAATATTTCTCAATTCAGGAACGCCTATTCTGGGTATATTTTGGGGGTCCCCTCCACCTCAAAACGCCATGCCCTATGCACAACACTCAAAAAAGCAGCCGCTTTACCAGGGTTTTACAGAAAATAATCAAATGCCATGCTCACTCACGGTGGCGGTGGATGCTGCAAAGTCGTCCGCGGATGCCGGTAAGCATCGCTTATCGGCAGCTCGTCCCTCTGTGCCTCGTTGCTTGGTAACACGGGAAGGGACTCATACCGTACGACTGGTCTGCGGCTCGGAGTGGCCCCTCCTCGTGCGTTTCGGTCCTCGCTGGCCACAGGTGATCTAGGGACTGAGCTGCCTATCGACTCACCAGGCGTGGGGAAAGGCCGAGATGCAGTGCTCACGCTGAGGTTGCGTGGCGGAAGCGATGCCAGGGGGATGGAGGACGATGCGCTAGCCATGCCTCGTAAGGTCGGCGCCGGCACGGCCCGCGAGGAACCTTCCGCTCGTGCCTGCGCGTTAGCCTCCCCTTCTTCCTCCAGAAGCTGTGCCAGGGCAGCGCCAGGACGAGGTGGAGCCGGAATGACCGTGACTGGCAGGCTCTCAATGTCAGGGGTTCCGCGCATCCGCTCCATGACCTTTTCCGCGTGGTTCGCAGCAAAGTCTTCCCATCGCCCTCTGACATCCCACCGGCCTCCTGAGCCATCATGATTTCGTCGGTTCTGCGACTGCCGTGGCGTCGTGTGCGGCAGCACTTCTGCTGGTGGTCCCCGTGATGCAACCCGGAGTAGCCCTAAACGTCTCGGTGAGTACCAAGGAGATGAGCCAGATGGTCCCGGTTCGTCTGAGTCCATTTCCCCTGTGTTGAGTGGCGCAACATGATCATTGTTGGGCGGGCTCGGCGAGCTTTCTGAGCGTTCTGTGGTATTGATGCCAATGGGAGAACTGGCCGTGTCCCCTACCGAGAAGGGCTGGTCGTGGGGCGCGACACCAGATGATGTCTCTGTCAAAGGCTGGTAACGGACAGCGTACACCGTACTGTCGGCGCTGGCTGTGTCCGTCCGGCTTACAGGCGTAACCGCTGGAGCGGGCCGTGACGGCCAAAAAGGGGCATTGAGGAACCGGCCCTTGCTCGGCTTCGGCCGTGATGAAACGTTCCTTCCTTGCTGTGCTTCCGACGCAGTAACTTGGTGTCTTGGGCCGGCGATGTTGGCAGCACTCCTGTTCGCAATAGCTGACATGGCTGGCCATGTCCTGCTTGGCGTTGCTGACGGGGTCGAGAACGACGTACTGTTGCCCATGCCGCCTTCACCGCCGTCCCCTCCGGGCTTCGAACCTTTCCTGGAGGTCTTCTTACGGCGGTGCCATGAGTGAAGATCAGAAGGCGTGCTGTCCATCAATTCATCCCCATCAAACACCTCTCTGCCAAGAATGCCATCCTTCTTCTCCTCCCGCTCTAGCGCCTCGATTCGTTCTACCCATTCCCAAACAACGACACTGGCGGCCGCAGCACCAACCCACCGGACATATTCGCCCCACCCGGTGAAATCGGGTTTGGCAATGTCGAGTACAAAGAACACGACTGGCACGAGGAGAGAGAAGATCGACAGCACTGCCATCAGGCTGATATTCTTCATCAGCGGGTGGTAGAAGGCATATCGCTTTTTCATGAGTGCGTAATAAATCACCCAAGCTGCATAGAGTAGTCCCAGGGACAGCTGGAACAAGTAGCTGAGGGCGGCAACAGGTTCTGTAAAGTTCAGAGGTCGAGCGGCATAACCGATGCCAACGTATTTGAAACTGTTCAGCGCGCCGAAGACGATATCAAGCGTGATGAGTGAGAACGCGGTCCACTTGATGATTATCTTCTCACGCTGGCGGGGGAACAGACGGATCAAGGTCTGAGCCTGGGCTAGCCATAGGAAGGTATCTGACACCAGCTGGATGACCTTCAGCTGAACACCACCGAGGACTTCAGCTTGCAGCTCCGAGGCATCCTGCATACCTTGGCGGTACTGTCGTTCAGCGACACGGAACGTGTCGACGGTAGCAATAGTAAGAGATATGGTGACGGACAGAGCCGCTATTTTTTGCAGCCAAGGGCGGCCACCAATGCTGATTCCGTGGGACGGGCCGTTGGTGAAGCCGCGGCGCCCGAGGATGACGATACCGCCGTCCAAGAAGGAGCGCGGGACTATGAGCAACATGATGAAGAGCACGTAGGCCAGGACGGTCGTGGCGGCGAGCGCGTAGCATTGTGGGAATATAGATGCGTTAAACTCGTCGTGACCGATGATCTCTGTGTCTGACTCGGTGTTGCCGACTTGCATGGCTTCCGCAGAGGTAGAGACCGACAGCGCTGCCTCGGGAATGGCATCGCGTTGAAGTAGGCATTCTGGCTCAAAGACTGCGTCATAGGCAAGCACTGTCGGCTCAGCACCCCAGACGGAGAGGACGCCATGAGCAGGTAAGATGAGTGGAGTGCAAGCCGCCAGAACGCCTGCTGGGAAAGCAGGAGTGGCGGCTGCCACGGTCGTAGTGATGGCTGTGGCCATGTCGAGGTTCATGGCGAAGTTGTGACTGGTCGCCCCTGGGTGATATGAGCCGGGCAGGAAATGGCGATGACTCTACTACGATTGCAGCGCCATGGGACAGACGCGCCCCTCGACAGGTGGCGAGGAAAGGTGCAAATAGTGTTCGGCGTGAGGCGACAGGCTCTGCTGGGTTCAAAACGAATGCGTCCGAGGCGATGACGGTGTGACAATGCGCGGGATCGGGTATCGCGTGTACTACTGCTCGTGTGTCGCTGTGTCAAGGTTGTGGTCGAAGAGAGAGAGAGGGCACGTTGCCTTGTCGCGCGCGCTGGAGGGTGTGCGTGGTGAGATGTCTCGCGTTGATCAGTGTCGGTCTCCAGTGGTGACTTGTCGTCGTCGTCGTCGTCGCTGTCGTCGAGGATGGTCGTGATGACGCGTAAGGACGGTGCTGTTGCAGATTGCGGACCAAGTTGCTTGATTGAGGCTTGGAAGATTGGATTGGCAGGACAGGCGGGGATTTGAGGCTGGGCGCCGAGGGCACGAAGAAGCACGGCGGCTGGGCGCTTGGGGGGCGGCCCTCGAGAAGGGACTCGGGCAAGCCGGTCGAGGCTTGTGGCCCCAGACCCCAGAACACCACACTCCAAGCAAGGTAAGCCCCGTGCAAGTGCCCAAACAGACTGACGAGTAGGGGGGTTGCCCCCGCCCCCCCTTGACCCCATGCCCGCTGCTGAAGCCCTGTTCGGTTCCTGCCTGATAAGCAGCGTACAGTGCCTCCCCTGCCCCAGCTCGATCCCACTGCGCCGCGGGAACACCGCATTGATGCTGGGAAATGGCCAGGGGCACTGTGCCTCCAGGCCTGTTCAACACTGTCCCCATCAGAATTACAGGGTTGACATGCAACTGCTCCAGGGCCTGGGGGAGCGCCAACTGCTGGCTGCTGCTTGCCTCTGCTCATGTCCCCCAGCACCACCACTTCATGCCGCACATCCGGCCACATCCGCCCGTTCCCGCCGTCTCGAAGTCCTTATACCTAGCCTACGCCTGATTAAGAGTCCATCGCCATCCGAGGGAACGAGCTGGTGTTGGCCATCTGCTGTTGCTGACGTACAGAAGGGCTACTTGACGTCTCCCCAACGACGCACATAAGACATCCTGAGCGTCGTAGCATTGCAGCAGCCTGCGTGCCCCGATGTTGAATGCCCGCAGATTGACGAGACCTTGGGTGGTCGATGGTGCGACACAGAGCAGGCTCGCTCGACAACTAGGGAAATCCAGTCGGGGGCATCCGCCCAATCGGGCCACCACCGCACGAGATGACTGCAGAAGGCATGCACCCGAAGGGGGTCATCCGCATTGCTGGGTGTTCTACCATGTACGCTGTGCCTGGCGTGCGTGGTCCCGTGCCAGTTGAATGAGCGAAACGACGTACGCCCAGCTTCCTTCGCACTAGCCATCCAGCTCACCGGGCCTCGAACCTTCTGGGCTCGATCATAGGCGAGTCTCCTGCATACTCCGATGCCACCATCAGCCCACGCGGCGCGCTGGCAAACTCTAAAAGCCTACCTTTTGGTCGGGTACATTACTTTAGGTCGGCCTCGGTCGCAGGTCGGTTCAGCGTCGCCGGGGAGTCTCCGCACAGGCTCAGCGACGATTGTACCATTAGCTGTGAGCGGTAGGTGCCTTGGCTGGGAGTGATGAGCCTCATGACACCCGACATACTTTGCAGTGCGCGACCACGCTCGTCCTGAGCAGCGACCTCATGACAGTTTGATTGAGGCATCTAGGTAGACGTGTCGCCCATTTCACTGATGCCACATCATCCATTTGCGATGGGTGGTGTCGAGCGTCGATGACGCGCAAGCACGGGGGCTAGGGCACAGCGTGGGAAGAGAAAGCTTGCGTCTCTGTCATCTGCGCCAAGGCGAGCTATGTCTCTCTCTCTGTGTCTTGTCCCTTCCCGCACAAAGTCGCTCACCAGACTCGCTCCCGTCCCGTGGGAAATCCTGCTTCGCCAACCCTTGGCACAAAGCTTGGGCAAGGCTTGGACCCGCGGGCTTGGCAACGAAAACGACCAGACGGTCGGTCGTAATTGTCCAGAACTGGACCCGCGCGCACGGGCCGCCTGCATGGCGACATGCCCTTCACGTCCTGGTGTCAAAAACTGGACGGCCAGGGGGGGACTACTAGCGTCGCAGATCGCAGCAGCACGTTCTATCAATAGCATCGCCTATTAAATGGTCTCGAACACCACATGATGAAAGCGGAATGCATGGATGCTTGCATGGACTTACTGTTGTGCCGCCGTAGACAGTCGTCATGATGCAAGATCTCTCTTCCGCAGAGCAAGGTTCAAGCTGCCGACTACGATCTGACGAGGGAATAAGAATGTCGGCCCAACCAGAGTGAACCATAAATATGTGGTGGACTCGCACACACACTCACACAGATGGTATGCTTATTATATTTAAGCTTCTGAGACTTTCCCAAGTAGCTCTCCGGACCCATGAATGGAAGCGTCATGACATGACGAGTTAATAGAGGTGGAACGAGTTGAGACATAAAGTTAGCCCTTTCAAGATTGAGGATTGCACTGCAGCTTTGCCTCGCCCTCGAGTTGTCACCCGCTTCACACGAGCCGCTTCGGGACAATGGAAGATATTTGAGGCGTGCGAGGGTCCCTCTCGCACGGGGCTGTATACAAATAAGGAGCGCGGTAGCCATTGAGATGTAACAATCATTGTATGAGAACAGATTCGGCGTATGAAAAGGAAGAAAAAAGGAAAAAAAGAACGAGCGTTTGATCACAAAAAGTGAACCAAGCAACAACTATCGAAACTAAAAAGGTGAAAAGTACGAAATGATACACGTGGTCTTGACACGCGCCCTGAAACCCAAGCTTGCGAGAGTCTGTGCGAGGGTATTGCCATGGTCAAGCATCGAGGGCGGAAAGGTACGCAGCACATGTATATATCCAGTGAATAGGGTGACCGTGACCGATGCTCGAGGACGCGGGGTTTCACTTTGTCAAAACCTCTAAACCTGACAAGTATTGCTTCTCTGCATGCAATCCTACAAAATCATGAGCATATCTTCATAACCAAGTGGCATCAAGCCGTTGTGCGAGCATCGTACATTGGCACCTCTGGACTTGTGGACCTCTGAACATGGCACTCGAGCAGTCAGGGCATTGGCTCGCTAGTGTCCCGTGTCATGGGACAAGAAATCCACGACAGCATTTTCTGCTAGGACGCAATACGCGGTTATAATACCCTCGTAATAAACGAAACAAGGCGGGCCATACACCAGAATGTCCTGCGAGTCGGTACGTGGAGTGTTCAGGCTGATAACGTCACTTCACATACACAACACTACTAATATTGAAGTAACAATATACCAGTGAGAGTTATTGATACAGGTTCATCAGTGGCCTGAGAACAGCATTGTGCTATTCGCCTGTAGATACAGTCTCCTCAGGGACGGCGCGCGCTCTGTTCCACTTCAGCTGAGATCTGTGTTTATGACCAGATCGTCCTTGCTACGGATATGCATGACAATGGTGACACCTTCGATGCCCAGGTCTCCGTTCTCCAGTCTCACTGTTTGATCTGCCGAAGCAGCGGCCACCGATTGTCTCAGAGCAGTGCGGGACGAAAGCTCAGCTCTAAGTGAGCGTATTTCCGTAGCCAAGATGGAGTACTTTTCCCTCCACTCGCATGTATGCTCCCCCACAGCATGTGGTGTTGGCCGCTGAGCCTCAACATCCGAGACATGGGTGCTTGTGAACAATGGCAGCTCCCCAGGCTTTTCACCTTCTATCTCTGCAAGACTGGCCCGCAACCTCTCAAACCTGCCGCACACGTCCGCTTCAATGTCTGCGACAGGCCGCTCATATGTATTTGGTGTGCCTGGCGACTTGGCCTTTTCAAACCTCCTAGCGCCAGATCGGTCCTGCATGGCGCGTGAGGCTTCTGCACGTTGCTTCTCGAGAGAGGGCTGTGCCTTTCCCGCAGAGCCGTCTCCGACCTCATCTCGCCCCCGCTTGAGCGCACGGGTATGATTCGGGTAGACTTCGGTTCTTGTGCGAACTCTCTGTTCACCCTCAAAAGATCCTGGAACAGAGCTTGATACAGGCCACGTGCCAGCGTTGATGTACTTGTCGGTCTCTCGTGCGCCATGCAAAGAGCGAAACTGAGGTTCCTCCGCTTGTCCATGAACTTTTGAGTTACTAGCCTGATTGGACGAACTGCGAGCATTCTTGGCCATATCCTGGCCGATACCGCGGTCATAGGTTCCGATTGACCTCTTCGGAGTACCTCCAGTCTGGCTCTCTGAACGCAGCTGGTTTTGCGCGTTAGCTGCTTCTTTCTGTGGATTTTTTAGCCAGAGAGGGGGGCTTGACACCCGCAAACGTCGGCCTTCTGTCTGCTTGGCACGTGGCGACAGCTTCGGAAAGCCCTCTTTTTCGTTCCATCTGTCCCTGTCAACATTCGCCTGCTGGCCAAGAGCATCATTACTTGTGCTTGTACCAAATCCTCCGGGGCTCTGTGATCTGTGGTAGTGATTCTGTCCAGGATGAAGTGCGGAGATTGGATCCTCGACGTAGACAAATGAGCTGGTCTTGGCGATAGGCAACACTTCGGCTGGGGATTTAAGTAGTTTGGGACGCTCAAAAGCTGCGTGAGGCTGGTCGCTCGCTGTGTGACTGCTTTGATTGTTGATTGTTGAATCCTTCGCGCGATCTCTGACATAGCTCTGCGAATCTTGACCTACTGCGGCTGTCAAGTGTTCATGAATGTGGTGAAGGCCGTGGAACGAGACCGAGTGGTGGCGGTGCATGGTTCCTCGTGGCGGCGGCTGATGTTGATGAGCAGTTCCATAGGGATGTTCGTCTGTATCGTGGGCTGAGAGGAGGATGCTGAGGTGCCCGTACGACGGGGGACTGCTGTTGCTGGCGGATTTCTTTACCTGCTGAGGAAGACCCGGTCCATTTTCTTCATTCGGTCTTCTGCCTGCCTGCACTGTCGACGCCTCTTCGGTCGTATTGTCCCCTCTTTGCGTATCAGGTCGAGGCAACCAGTTCTTCGCATCAGTGACAGCATATTCACCACCTTCTGTGTCCACAGAACCATCCCGCGTGCTGCGGTCTGCTAGCAAGAAAGGGCTGCTTCTGACTAGGGATGACTTGATTGCTGCTTCGGATGCATATTTCGACGGGCTCCGCGGAGGCCCATGCACAGGGCGATTGAGCGCTTGCTCTCGAACTGATGTTTTGCCAATACCGCCCTGGTCGATACCTCGAGACGTATCCTCGATGCCGATTCTTCGATGCCGAGAGATCGAGTCAATGTGGCTAGGGCGGACGAATTGGGGGCCTTCTAATGGAATTGTCTGTCTGCCGTGGTGAGAGAAACGAGCATGAGCATGCATGTCCTGCTCGGTCACCTCGCAGAGACACATTTGACAGACATGGTGGCCACAAGAAGAGCATTTTCTTGGCGACCAAATTGGCGTCGAGCAGATATGGCAGATTCGACAAAATGTTGGCGGACTGGCGCTACCATTCGTGGGACTTTGCGCCGTTCCGTCATCTGATAACTAGCCAGATGGCCGCGATATACTGTATTGAGCATACAAGTCTCGAGCGGACTGCCGTTTCTTGGCTTCCGTGACAGGTGAGGACGAAGCCGACCCGATACGGGCCTGGTCGAGATTTGAATTCGAGAGGGACTCTCTGCTGGGTGCCATTGAAATCTCCTTGGCCCTGAGCTGGGAGGTCGATGATGCTTGAGCAACTCGTCTGGGGTCTGGACGCTGCGAACGGGGACTTGGCTCAGCCAAAGTCCCCATGCTCGTTTTCTTCATTTGATATACAGGTTTCACTCGACCAGACACTTCCTAGGCACAGTCCGGTGTGCTGATGTTGGCTGCCGTAAAGGCGTGTGCAGCTCCGTGGGTCCTGCGCCCGGTGTTGAGTCCCACAAAGGTGTGTTTATGCTGGAGGCCGCGCGCGTGACCGAGAGGCGTGATGTTGGCAGCTGATTCAAAATTTGTTGTGGTTGACCGTTGGCCCCAGCTCACTTGCTTGATGTCCCGTTCCCACTCGAGAAACTGAGGGTCGGGTTGTGGCTCGTGGCTGTTATGGGCAATACTATGCAGCTGACGCAAGCGAGACTGGACAGTGCCTTGTCGGATAACTGGAGGTAAGGCAGAGGTCGAGATCGAACCCTGCAGCGGAGTGCTTCGAGCTTGTGCCGTTGCCATATCGATATGGAGCAATATCTGTACACAAGAGAGAATGCAGAACTAAGCAATGTGCAGCTGTGCAATACAAAGGCATTCAAACAAGAGCGGACGGTGCCCACACGGGCAAGATGGAGAACGAAGACATGCTAGAGCGAAAGCTGGGCCTGGTGTGCCAACCTGGCGTTGTGAAATGCAACATGCACGTGTGCACCAATGCTTTCGAGGTCATGGAGAGGCAGGAGCTCTGAAACGTTAGTGAAGCCTAGAGTGAGGAAGGTGCCGTTGGACCAGAGTTCAAGCACGAAAGGAGGCAGCCACGATGGAGAAACGGGACTGCAACAGGCATGATAAAAGTGTCTTTCCTGGCTCTGGTGGCCTTCAGGACAAAAGGGATGCGTTTGTGATGTACAAGTGGCGGCTTTGGGTGGTATTCCGCTATGCTACAATTTATTTGAGAACGGCCTGCAGACTCTCGAGAACCTACGGATAGCATGTCAGTACATGGCAACGACACTCGGGATCTCGGGCAAGTGAGAATCTTACCTCCAGCTCAATCTTGGCCTCCGCAATATCCTGCTCGCTGCCACTGCCGTTGGCGACCTTCTGGGCCTCGGTGATCTGAGCACGGACAGCCTCCGCGCTGAAGTCCTCAAGCGGGTAGCCCTCGACGGCGTTGATGCTGAGAACCGAGTTGGGCTGGACGACGGCGAAACCGCCAGACACTATGGTGAACAAATCATTAACCATCGCTCTTCTCCGAAATATCCTATCCAGTCCCGGAGGTCCACGTACGGAAGAACTGCTTGCTGCCGCCGGCCTCCTCAATGACCTCAATCAAGCCGGGCTTGAGCTGCTCGATTGAGGGAACGTGGTTGGCGAGAACACCCATCTCTCCGGACTCGGCGGGCAGGTTGACCTGGACGACATCCTGGGACTTGAAGATGGACTGTTGCGGGAATTAGCTCTGCTGAAACATCGATTGTTGCATTGCCGTGTTCGGCGATTCAAGGGCGGGTCGAGCTCGAGGTTTCATCGGGGGGAAATCGCCGAAGGTCGTCGAGGGTGCCTCGCATACCTGGTGAGGAAGAGACAAGCTGAGCTTGATCTGTAGAGCAGGTTAGCATGTGGTGCCTGAGTAGCGAGGGGGAGGGCAGTACGAGCCTTGTCGGGGGCCGCCTCGGCGTAGGTTCTGCGCTGCAGAGGAGCGCGCAGGACCGCAGGGCGGACGCGCAGGGCGGCGCGGGCGACACGGAGGGTGTTCATGGTGGATGGGGTTGCCAATTGGTGGATGCGTGACGTTGAAGCAGTTCACGACGGCCAACACCTGCAAATTGAGGAATTATTTGATGTTCGGGATCGGTCGGGTCAAGCACCCACTCCAGACATGGTTAGCCCCAAGCCTCATGGTGATTGGACAGACCACGTGACTTGGGTGCTCTCGCTCGAGCGGAGCGATCGTTGAGCTCTCCACATCTTGCAGGCCTACCCGGGAGCATTTAACGCTGCCTTCTTCCACCACTTCGAAGCAGTCACTTGGACGGCCAGGCAGACCACGACAGGAGTCTCACTTTCGTGTCCAGGGTCTTTTGAGGTTTCGAGCTGCTACCATTTAGCGTGTTTATTGATCAGCATTGCAAATGAGTGCATCTTTTGAGGTTTCATGAGGCAACATGCATATGCCCTCTGAGCATTCTGCTGACTGCAAGAGATCATCTGCGATGCTGTCACAATGGTGAAGATGACATGTGTGCCAGCGCATGATTTCACAGTACTGACTTTTTTGAAGTGCCGTTCATACCATGCCTGGGAGGTGTTCCCAGGACGACTTCTACAACCATATCTCTGTTTCAGGGAAGCCAGAATGGCTTTGTTTGTCTCCAACAATTACTCAAAGTTGCAGCCTTTAGGTAGATGACGTAGGATCACTCCAATCCATGCCTGCACAGTACATCTCTGATTGGCGATCGACCCTCGTCAGTCATCAGGCCATCGACCGCTGAATAGCGTCAGCAACGAAGCGAGCTATGATGGAATATGCTATTCTTACAACCACGCGTTCGCCACAAAGGAGCGTCCCGTCATGAACAAGTTTATAATTGAACTGGGCGGCGCGCGTCAGCGAATGCAGACGTGGACTTGTTGTGTTAAAGTGGCCGAAAGTGCAAATCACTTATCAGCTCCGAGCATCATCATCAGCCAGTCCGGAGGCCTCTTTGCCAAGTGCTCAAGAAGGGACCCTGACAATGGCTGCCTGGATTGCGCGAGTCCCGACTCCTCCCCAGACCCCTTCAATCTCGCCATCGACAGGACAACGTGCATTCATCTGGAGTAAGCCGTCGCCGCACTGCTGCATACAGCCACGACTAACAGACCCCAGCAGTCGCTCCGCACTCCATGCTTTAGCGCACTGGGTGGCTACAGTAGTGACAGCGGGGACTTGGGGTTCCGTCGGCGCCGTGAAGGGGCTGCACGAGAACGAGACATGTCATCTAATCGGGATACCGATATTCAGTTTCGACTCGCACAGAGCTGTCAGCTCGAAAGTGTTGGTGTGTTATGTTAGGATTGGCCCTAGTCTCTTTCATAGTCCTAGATGAAACGTGAACCAAAGCAAAAGGGGGAGGAGCAATTGATCGAAAACCAACAGGAGCCGCCCTAGCCGACGGAATTGCGTAATGTCTCTTGAGACTGGTCATATGACCACTCCCATGCTCGTGGCTTTTCGGCCTTGAACTGCAGCTCTCGTCAGACATTAGCGCGACTCCTGTTGTTCCTTCCTTCGCTCTTCCGCCTACCGTGCGCTGGCTTCTCGGGCTTCGCTAATACTTGACCAGGAGCAAGCTTCGAGCCTGGAAATAGCTTGCTCACCTCGAGACACCGATATCAACAACCAATCATACATCCTTGAGATGGGTAGGTCCGTAGGCACAAACACAAGCTTGCTCCTTCGAAAGTTGGAATTGGGATCGACTCCTCGCCGACTCCGCAGACATCGCACGGTCCTTGGAATAACAAAACACGAATGACTCGCCGACAGACTGCCAAACCAAGGAACTTCTCTCTCTCCCTCATCTCCAACTCGTGCACATGCCGCAGCATCGTGCAGTAGCGGCGGCACACCCGCGTCGACGTGTCAAGCGAGAGTTGGGTTGGGGTGTCATCGCAAACGGGTCTCCCCTCCTCGTAGATCCCCTAGGGAGAAACGGCAAGGCGGGAGAGCAGCGCGCGGAGGGGGTGTTGCTTTCAAAGTCCCCAGGAAATCCCACGGCAGATCCCCGAGCATTTCATGCATTCGCCATTTGCAGGTCTCATACCAGTTCCCATCGGTGGGGACGAAGCAAACTAACTGCATGAGGACTCCGGTGCGCAACAAAGAAGGAACATGATGCAGCTTCTCCTCTCTTCTGGCCAGGATACGCAGATGAGTGAAAGCGACCGTCGAGAAAACCTCGCTCCTGTTTGTCTGACTGGTTAGCTTGCCCGTTGACTCGTGATCGACATTTGGGCATTGTCCGTCCCAGGGAGCCTACATACAACCCTGGCCCAACCTCTGGCACTTGAGAATAACACCCACGTTTCGTCCATGTCAGTAAAGATCGACAAGAGGACAAACAGATCGTCCGCCAAGCGTGGACTTGACAGCTCATCTGACAGGGCACTGCCAACTTTAAAGCCCTGGTCAGGCGATTGGGTGTTCCAATTGAAGACAGTTGATCCATCATAAGGTGGCCATCATGAGGTGGCCAACGTGACATGGACCATGGATTACGGTTGACTGGGGAACTTGTAAACTCATGGGGGTGATACTAAGTTCATGGTGGGAATTGCCTGCTGCCATCCTCTCATGGCAAGTTGGGGTGACACAAGAACGGCGTCGAGAGTTTTGTGGATGTGTACCACAAGATGGCGTAAGCAGCGCCCTGGAGCAGCGAAAAGTCGTTAGGCCACGGCCCGTGAAAGTGCAGCGTGTGCGAGCCAGTTCAGTCCTTCCAAAATGCACTGGGCGACGTAGGCGGGCAAGTAACGAGCATACAAATGCAGCACGCATCTCAAACCCATGTAGCACGTATATGTCATCGCAACAACTACGAGGACGAAGTCGTGTGTACAACTAGCGTCTCAATCACAGTGTTGGCTCATCAACGAACAGCATGCGTGCTCTTGATACGATATCTCGACGTCGAGTATGGACAAATAAGATATCAGGAGCGGTGGTTAAGTTGTAATGCTGAGGGTTGACTTTGTACCAAATTCACACAGCCCTTCCTTGACATGGCACCGTAAGTACGTAAACAGATGCGGCTGATTCCAGAATGCTCTGGTACTCTATCAGCCAATACGATTTTGTAGTGTAAGGCGTGGCGGAAGCTCAGCTCAGCGCAAGCTGTCTAAAAGTCGGGCCAGGGCTTCTGGAAAAGCTTCCTCGGCTGACTAGCACACTTAGACAGGGCTGAGAGTAGTGAAACAGCGCTCACATGACAGCTTTCTTGACACACGCTGCCCGTGCACGTACACGCCACTGCACCACGCCACGCACGACGGCGGTGGTGGGACGTCTGATGGTGCGCAGGCGGGATCACCGTGGTGGCTGCACTCAACCTGTTCATGCACACGTTACATCTGGGCCGAGGACAGTCCAAGCTGACGGTGCATCGTTACGGCGTTGTGTCTATTACGGTGTGTTAAACTGACAAGGAAGGGCGACAGTGAAGGCTTACCACAGCAAAAAGCACCTAGGCTCACCAGGCTGCCAGGTCGGCCACCAGGAGGCTCAAGATCCGCTCAGCCTGCTCAGTGCTTTCTAATCAACTGCAAAACGCCAGGCGGTGTGCAGCCAGCTAGCCCAGGCTCAACTGGCACAGCGGGTGGCCATAGTCGCAACCCATCCACCAAGAATGGAGTCGGTGGGCTTCCAGCACGTTTTTTGAGATCCTCCATGGCCTACCTACCCCAAGGGTTGGAGATGCCGCCGCAAAGCTCGGCAAATCATGTTCTGCCTGTCAGGGGTAGGAATGAGGGCCATAAAGTTGTGTATGGATGGATTAATGATGTGCAATTGCGGTGGTCACGTTGACACTTTTCCTGCAGGAGGTGGAGGGGGGTCTTCCGGGTTTGGCGACGGAGGCGCCAGGCCAGACTCTGGACGCCACAGGCATGGCCTTATTGGGCCCCCTCAGTGCTGCGCTGACTGGTCAATCGCAGATGTGTGTGCTGATGTGTGGTTTTGCGGTCGACTGGGCCAAATCGAGGCGAAATTGCGGTGACCAACGCCCTGCGTGTGGTCTGTTGCTTGGTCTGCGGGTCCCGACGGGACGGGGTTGCGGAGCCTGCGTTGAATGATGGCCCTGCCTGCCTGCAGCAGCGCGTGTAGCTGGAAACTCATCGAGTAAGAGTAATTGTCATGACCGCTGTGGACGGGTGGAGGAGCGAGTCAAGCTGCGGCCTTCGCAGGTGGAGTTGTTGGGACATGCAATGTATGTCATGTCGAGCAAGGAATATTAACTATTACAGCGACACTAGACCAACCATGCAGGATGCTGTGCACGAAACGGCCAAGGTCCGACACCTGGGAACGGGGGATCTGGTCGACAGGCCGTGACTTGGGAGGCGTCGGGGTAGCTGCGGTGCGTCAAGTGTTGCTTGTTGACAGTTCGGGGCGTTGGCATGTGAGAACAAGAACGTCCAATGCAGGTGTGCTCAGCCACCAGGGAAGCGTGCCCAGGCTGGTTGTAATTACTGGTTGAAGGGACTCTGCAGCAAGGCCTCCGAACTGCCTTGGCTATAGGACCCGGCTTGCCAGATTCGTCCAGATCCGGGACAAGCAAAAGGTCCCTGGCTGCACAGGTCTCAGCGCCGAGATGCCTGGTGGCGGGCACCATCTTACATGGCATGGGTCACGATGGCTTTTTGGGGGGGGCCCCGACATTTCGTCTGAAGTGGCTTCTGGCTGGCCCAGGTAAACATCGACCAGCCCTGCTCGCACGGAGTCGCCTCGACCACCTGAGCAAGGAGCAACTCGTCCGCACCGCGAGGGATAATTTATTCCACGCCTGGCTCCCCCAGGCAGTAAGTAACGTACACTACGTACACTCATCCGTCCGCCCGGAGGCTCCCGTGGCAGGGCGAGACCAGGACCGAAACCGGCCATTTTCACAACCTTAAAAGATCACAAGCGCACAACCGATGGCGGTGTTATGCAGATGCAGCCATACTTTGCTACTCGTACCACGCATATCTGGAGTATTGCTGCATGAGCCGCTTTC